GTCCCTTCCGATCCCCCCGTCCCTGGTCCGGACTTGGAGATCAATCAGATTAGGTAGCCAGGCATGGGCCTTGGTTCACCAAACTCGGGCCCCCTTGCGCAAGAACATGTTTGGGGATGTCTTGCACTCTGTTGAAAGGGTGACTCGTGTTGTTCTGTAAAGTGCCTATATTGGAATTCTTCTTTGGTTCCGTACCGGTATTGTTTGGTTTGGGTTTGTCCAACGTTTGAAACGTTTCGTCATTGGAGATTCTATCAATTTCCCGGGTCAATTTTTTTTTCCTTCTTTCATCGCAACGTCACTAGCAGCGGAAAAATTATCGCCCTCACTTCGCGGGGCTTCTACCGTCCTAGAGTGTGAAGTTTGGACCATTGGGAAGAAATCAGCAGAGAATTCTTTATGATCCGAGAAATGGGATGAAAACCCAAGGATCTAGGTTGTCAACCAAAAGGAAGTACGGAGGAAGAAAAAAATAGGTTTCCGTCCCCCCTGATCCCGATCTCGTCCCGAAAGACAAGCAAAAGCCAATTCGCTCTTTGACCCTTTCGCTTGTGTGAAATGAGAGGAGATAAGCGACGGAGAAGTTGAAGCTCACGATTGAATTGTGAGAGTGAGTGATGAGAAGGGGTGTGTAGTGGAGACGGAGGAGGAGCTAGGAAAGGCCCGCATGAATGAACTCCAAGCTACGGCGTACGTATGTTGACGTTAAAAGGGTAATTAAGGACGAGGAAGGACGCGAATACATGAGGGGAAAGAGTTACAGAAGTCTGGACGAAATAGAGTTGATCAACCCTTTTTTTTTTTTTTTTTTTTTTTTTTTTTTTTTCTATTTTCCAGTTACACCACTTAAAATGGTATTATGATTGTTACTTGATCAAACAAATAATAGAACACACCACCCTACCCACACGCTCATATTTTTTTTTTTCTTTTTTTTTTTTTTTTTGTTTCAATTTACGAGCTGCCACACTTGAAAGGTGGTGATGATGATGATCATGTCCAACAAGTTTAGTAACGTCCCAACCTAGCCAGTGGCTGATACTTTTTTTGGTCCCGTCGAACAAGCCCGGCGCGGGAACTTAAAGAAACTCAAAAGAATGGTTAACTTTTACGTGTTCCCCTCCTCATTTTCCTTTTTGGCTTTTTCGGGCTGGCATGGGCTGTCGGTCTAGCGGCGCAACCGCGTCAGAAAACCTAACGGTCAATGGCGCCAGGGACGAGTCATGTTGTCAGTCGGGGGAAGCGTGTATGTGTGTGTGTGTGTGTGTGAGAGAGAGAGAGAGTGTGTGAGATGTTCAAAACGGCGGGCTTTGCGGTAAGACCTCTCTCCCCCTCCCGAAGCCACGCATCCCACCCAACGGCAAGGGAAACTTGTGCCCGTTTTCGACGAGTATAGTTTGGCTGGTCTGGTTTGATCGTGGTCTGGTCTGTTCATTATTGCGGATGATCTTCATGCAGTCAATATGCGGGACCTCGTCGGTGGTGTGTGTTGGTGATGGGTAGTGGGCCTTTGTTGCCCACCGACCGTTTGAAGCGGCTATAGTGCTCGCGCGCATTCTTTTTTGCGCACAGTTGCGCGCGATGGTCACCGTCTTAGGATAAGTCGCGGCATTAATACTCCTTGGTGTTTCTCCCACAGAGGGGTTCGATCAAAGCCAAGGGCACGGGTGAAAGTCAAGCATGATGGGCAGAGTCAACAAGAGTCATTCACATCGGCTTGGATTGTCAGACGGATGCGGGAAAGAAAAGAAGAATGGACGCGCGGTGTTTGCAACAAGAGACGGCATCGTAGGTGTTGAGGTGTGTTGCTTGGACGGCATACGGAGTTGAAGGGCGTCGAGTGTGTCCACGCAAAAAACAAGACACCACTAGCGAGAAGTATGGCGTGGCATATCTCATCGCATCGCGATCTCGTTTTTTTTTTTACCGCCGGAAGAGGATCCGCAACGGTGGGCCCTGCTATGTGAAAGTTCGGGACGATCACGATGTTGGCCCATTCAGCCAGGTTCATGCTGCATACGTGTTACTGTGTAGTGAGTGTTCGTACTAGGCTACAGTAAGAGAAAGACGGAGTGACAGTAGCTCTCAGGCGGGCGGCCGGGCTTTTTTGAGTTGCTTTCGGGCCCGGCCAGACTGCGGCTGTCCACGTTTTCTTGGCCAGGTTCCTCTCAATGTGACAGACATACATAGTACAGCACGGCGGCCCGAACCCCAAGCTGCGTCGTGTGGTGCTGTAGTGGTGATGAAATTGGGGGACCTTGTAAATGAGCTTGACCTCGGACAGTGGACTTTTTTGATGAAGTCAGGCCATGATAGTCATCACTAGGGAACGTTATGGCAAGCACCAGGCTGCGTTTGGAAAGGCTCAAAATTAAGGTCGCGCGCACCCCCCGGGGGGCCAAGATTGACAATGACAGACGGGCCCAGCGCTACCGGCCTGCGGCATAGACAGGCGCGTGCAAGAGTATAGAGTCTAGAGCCTAGACAGCCCAAGCTAAGGACAAGGTTCCTGAGCCGTGGGTTCAGGGCCAGTCTCAATACGGACAAGATTCAAGATGAAGGGGGCTCAACTGTGAGTCGCTGGATACGACTTCATCTTGCTCATCCTCGTAGCTTAGGATGAGGGTGGTTCATTGCGTATGCGCGTGGAAAGTGTGAGGAGGGAGAGGGGAGGGGGGGGGTCTGTGGGCGAGCTGAACGGCAGCCAGCCGGGCAAAAGTTGGAGAGCTTGCTGCCCAGACCAATTCTTACTTCCCACGGTATCAAATTAGAGGGATGACAGAGAAAGAGATAGAGATAGAGTGAGTGAGTGCGAGAGTGAGAGAGAGAGTGTGTGACTCGGCGACCCAGAGCAGCAGCATCAATGAAAGGAGAGATGATTAGGCGTCGCACCCCTGCCTCACCCGCGCTAGCAGACGTGTTCGGTGCCCACACGCCCCCTGCTGACCAGCCAGCATTTACACCCACACACCCAAAAATACCACGACTGGGTTGAACTGGAAACTGGGACAAAAAGTCGTCACCGAAGCCGAGATGTGCGGTTGGAACCTGGAGGGCACGTTCTCAAAAGAGACGGGAGACAGAACTGGGGGAAACTGGAAACGCCGTGTGCGACGACGCTTCGTCGGCCTGGTGTGTTGACGGGACGGGCAGATCCCAGCCAGCCCTTTCCAGTGGGTGTGTTTACCTTTTCCTTTTCTTTTTTTTCCCTACGTACTATGGTAGTACTTGCTTAGTGGAGACAACGGGCGGCTCTGAGTTCCGTTAGGGAGTGAATGCAATTGTATGAATTTCCATCCAGTCGCAGAGCAGCTTTTAGTCTGTAGGGTGGTCCACCTCTCTGTCATTTGGAGTATGACTGTCTGAGTGATGATGCTCTCTCTCACTCACTGAGCTCAATGGGGCTCACTGAGAGGACGGATAGTGTCAGAGCGAGAGGGGCGGTGCGGCTGCATCCACTTTAACCTTCTTTCCTCGCTTCCATTCGTTCTTTGCCGGCCTTCTGCCGCCGCTTGCGATTCCGCCTGCGTATTACGTAGTATGTACTATGTAAGGTAGGTACTACGGATAGGTATCTTTTTTTTTGTCCTTTTGGCTGAGCTGGTTGTGTTGTCTGCTATCCCTCATCCTCCAGCGCGCTGTCGAGAGTTCCATTTCTCGTCGTCCCCTTATCCTTGGTGGTGCCGGTGGTGATCAACCACTCGTGGTCTTGATCGTCCCTCCCACCGCTCGTCCCACACCCCCCTTCTTCTCGTGTCCTGTTCACCGCACCTTTGACCGCCGGGCAGAATAGCAGCCCAGCAGCCCATCAGCAGAGGAGCAGCGCAATCAATGCCTTGGCCTTGATTGCAACACCGGAATTAGGTACCTGACAATAATAACATCTGCCATGCCGAAAGAGCAGCCAAATTCGCTGTATTCTATATCGTGTCTGCTATTGGCGGCTGTTCCGTTTCGGCCAGCTCATTACTACCGTCACCTCTCTCTCTCTCACTCTCACTTTCACTCATTCTGTCTCTCACTCTCACTCTTGCTGTCTCTCAATCACACCGTCCATCCATCCATCCATCCAACCCCAATGCTCCTCGGCCAATCCAACCAAACCATCCTGCCGACAAGACAGAGACACCCACCCCCCATCCCGTACACCACCACCACATCATCGCAACACACACGCACGCACGCACGTCCACCACACACACACACACACATCCTCACACCCCCCTCCCCTCCCCTTCCCATCCACCATCCACCATCCACCCTCACATCCTCAATCCCTGCTCGTCTAGCGTGCTCTGTCTTGCCTGTTCCACCGACATTACCAGCTCGCTGTGGAGACGCCGCAAAGCCTCACTTCCATGACTGGGCATTCGTCGCGCTGCTGATCCTGTCGACTTCTTTAAACTACTGGCCTCTCGCCGTCCGCCTTCCCGAATTCTTCTGCGATCGTCTTCCTATTCGAAGCCACAGACTTCCCTGTACCATCGATCATCAACTCGCCTCAAACCGCCTCGCCAAATTCAAGTCAACCTTGAGTCCTCCTGCTTGCACAAATCTTCGAGACCCCTCCCCAAGCAATCCACCAGAGAGAGAGAGAGAGAGTCTCGAACACCAGGAAACAAAACTTGACGCCGCCGGGTCTCATTTGTTTCGCTGCGCACCACCTACATAGAAAGACAAGAGCCAAACAACAACGTTCTGTCTTGCTTGTCTCGCTCCAACAAAACAATTAATTTTCCCCGCCCGGTTTCCACAAGTCGTCACTCGGGGGTCCTTGAATGCGTTGGAGAAAGAAGAACGAGGCTGCAGCAACATCGTGTCACATCACACCTCGTCTACCATCAACGTCTAACACCACACTCTCTCTCCGTGTCTTGACTCGGACGGCCTTGGATTCCTCAACCGAGTGGGAGCCCGACACGCTTCACTTCCTTACCATACCAAACCCACCGTAGCTTCTTCGCCCGTCACCCCGCTGTTCTCCACCGACTTGATTCAACATGAGCCATCCGTACAATAACGTCCAGGAGATTCAGAGGCAGATGCAACAGAAGCAGCAAGAGTTGGCAAACCTCCAAAACCTTCTTCTTCAGCAACATGCATCCGCAGCACCCCAAGCTGCCCAGAGCAACTTGAACCTGCTCCCGTCACAAGGGGACTACCATGTAGATGCCGCCGCCTCCTTCATACAATACCAACAACAGCCCAAAGTCACCCCTTTGCTCAACCGCCGGGCCACAATACCTAGGAGCAAATCCAACATGGGCTACGCTGCCACACAAACAAGAATGATGGTAATGCACCACCACCACCACCACCACTACTCCCGTCATCACCATTGCTCGTGACTGCCGTGAACCAAGCATCCGTGCTAACAAACCCTCCTAGGAGCGCACCAGTGATGACTCGCCCCATCCCATGAAGCGCGCGAGGGTCATGTCCCAGCAGCACCCCCGCGCTACGCCTATGACGGGCATGTCGAGAAGTGCTTCCAACAGATCAGAAAAGTCTATCCCCTTTGTCGTCAAGGGCCCTCTGCAACCCCTCCAGACGTCAAATAACCCCAACCCCATGATGGACCGCTTCTACCAGGGCCAGGACGACCCTCATGTCCTGTTCGAGTCCTCCCTACAGCGATCGCCAACAAACCGACGCCACTCAGGCCTATCGCCCGTCGAGGAGCACGCCGTCTTCCCAGAGGTTGGCATGAACCCCCTCGACTTCCTCGCTGCGCAAGACGAGAGCATACCGTCTCCCGCCATGGTCCCTCCGCCGCAGAACTTCCTGACACCCTACGACGGCCGCAACTCGCAGGCCAGCCTCATGAACTCGGCTTGCCCGTCAATGAGCTCGGGTACATCTGCTGCCGAGACCCTACCTTTGACGAGGGAGAATAGTTCCTTCGACAACCAGTCACTGAGCGGCGCGTTCGGGATGACGAGGATCAACTCGGCACACTCGCAAGGCGCTGCCGACTTCATGTCTCCTGAGGTCTACCCTGTGCCTTCTGGCACCTCGCCAAATAAGTCGGACTTTCTAGCCTACGTTGGCGCCGGCGCCGGCACCAGCCTCTCGCCTCAATATGCCCAACAGTCCCCCATCGACGAGCAGTTCCTGACGCAGGGCTCGTCGATGATGGAGCGCTCCATCTCTGCTAACAGCACGGCATCCACCAAATCAAGCACCGAGCGCAGGGCAAAGGAAGCGCGCCTCCAGCAGATCCAAAATGCCAACCGCACAAAGATCTGCCCCAAGCCCCACGACGCCATCAAGTCTCAGTCCGCTAGTGCCAAAAAGGAAGGCAAGGTTGCCGTGTCAAAGGGCAGCTACACTCGTCCCAAGCACCCCAAGGTGTTCTGTGACATGTGCACCGATCACCCCGACGGCTTCCGTGGCGACCATGAGCTGCGGAGGCACATCAACGCGAAGCATGAGGGTCTTGTCAAGAAGTTTGTGTGCCGCGACCCCAGCACGGTTGGCATGCAGAGCGGCGTCCAGGCCATTAACCCACTCTCCAAGTGCAAGCAATGCGTCGCTCGCAAGCAGTACGGCGCCTACTACAACGCTGCAGCTCATCTGCGCCGCACTCACTTCAAGCCCAAGACACCCCGTGGCAAAAACAAGCGGGGCGACGACGAGGAGAAGCGCGGCGGCAAGGGCGGTGGTGACTGGCCCCCCATGAACGAGCTGAAGCAGTGGATGGAAGAGGTGACTGTGGCCGCCGACGACGAGGCCGCCGAGGGCGAAGGACAGGAGGAAGACGAGGAGGAGATGCTGGCGACGGCCCAACAATTCGACCCCTCCATGTCGATGGACCTGTCTCTTGGCCACATGGGCGAGAACATGACCTACGACTTGGGTTTCACGCAGTCCTACCACATGCCTGAGTTGGCGGCGATCGACACGACCCAGGCATCGTACCTGGCCGTGTCCAACATGCCGCTCTCCTCCGCGTCAGAGGCCTTTGCTTTTTCGCCGTTTGGTCATAACTCGCCAATGACCAATGGTCTGTCACACGAGACAGCCTTTTCCATCTCGTCATCAAACACCGTTACCCCCACCAACTACCAGGACCAGATCGTGGCGGAGGGCTTTGAAGGATATACTGCCTACTAACCTGCCTAATTGGGGATGACTTGAATCCTCATTTAATTCTCTATTCATTTCGGAATCATTCAATGCCATACCCCTCGTGTGTCGCATTCTGCCGCCCCCGAAATCGTGATGGGAATATTGGGTTGATGGGCCGCGCTCAGGCGTTCATTGGGCCGACTTTGGTCGGCCTTTTTTGCCTGACCCGGCTCTGCCCATTATCGCCCACCACCACCGCCGACCGCTGCAGGGTCGATCAAGAAAAAGAAAAAAAAGATACGAAATAAGCGAGAACGAGTCTCTTTCGATTGGCAATCATGTCATGACATCATGATCATCAGTACAACATGGCTGCCGGGTTGTCGCTCAATCGGGTGGAAACACTTGACGGTAGTGTCACACGCGCGCAGCCGGATCTATTTCCATCTTCTTCGGTTCTCAACTCTCTCTCTCCCTTTTGATATTCCTCACGTTTTGTCGTTCATTTTCTATTTTTATCTCCCTTCTCAACCGGCCGGGTCGAGATACGTTTCACAATGGCTCAGTGGAATGCGGTGACAGCATTTCGCGCCTCATGAGCCGAATGCCCTTGGTGGTGCAACCGAGGCCCTTGAAAATTGCTGTATATATACACAAACGGCCACGTTTTCGGACGACCTAAAAAATCCAGCGGATGGATCCAAAGGGGTGGTAGGGAGGCGAACGGAACGTCAACCGTCGCTTCCCCGCCCTGGAATGGTACACAGGCGTTGTTTCTCTCCGCAAGGAGAGGTCGTTTTTTTATCTTTGAGTTTCTTTTGCAAGGTGTTGGGGACTCAGGAAGGGGGTACTTTATGTTTGGGAACATGAAAGGGTTCGTCCCGTAGACATGTATATATATACATGGGTTGATTGGTTGGGCAATACGGCACAGCACGCGCTTTCTGCGTTGGATGGGTTTCGGAATCGGAGAAGACATGGTGGCAAATGTCCTACTGTGGTGTATAGCACGAACAAGCAAACTGGGTGTTTCCATCACCTTTTACTTCATGATCTGTTTAGAGAACGTGCCATGACTTCCCCTCCGTGTGTGATTGCCAATCGGATCTATACTTTGCTAGCGAAGGGGGGTCGGTGACTTGCGGGCGAGGATGGTGGGTTTTACACCATTCCGATCAAGACGTTTGAGCTTTGAAGGATGCTAGTAGCAGCGATTAATCGGCAGTTTTCTTTAGATGTGCCTTACCCTAGAGCAACTCGAGCAAGCACTGGTCTATACAGTCTCTTTGGTCGTGGTTAAACTAGCGGATGTCGTGTGTGTGGTGGGGAGGGAGGGATGTGATACCCAAATTCACCCCAACGTCTAGGGAACGGCCCACATGGCACTTTTGGGTACCCCCGATTTGACTGTGAAGTGTCAGCACCTCGCACAGGAGTAGTGCATCAATGAAGCCTGTTTTTTGTCCCATCTCAGGTCATGAGACGACTAGGCTGAGCGGACTTTTGTAGAATCTAGTGCGTTGGAGATGGACCCCCGCCTCGCCGGGGTTTTGTTGTGAGTTTCTCTTAGGTAGACTCTTTATATAGGCTCAACTTGGGTACGTCGGAGGGTTTCAACAATCTTTTCCGTGCTGGCAACAGATTGGAATCACCAGGAAAAAGTTCCTTTTTTTGCTTGGTCGAAGCAAAGTCAATTGAAATGATTGCAATACACAAGCATGCACGTTCATGCGGCAGTGGCGTGCCTGGATATTCACTGACATACTCAAGAGGAGGATTTTCAGTTGCTTGGATTCTGACAGCTGTTCGTAGCTACGACTGCAGCGGTGGAGGCAGAGACTTGGTTTGTTGAAGGGCCTTGTTGAGGCCAATGTCAGTCTGATTGGGGAAGAGAAGTCGGCTGGGAATATTGACTGGCTCGCTCCCACGGATTTCCTAATTGAAGAGCACACCATGCCATTGCCTAGGTTTCAGGAAAAGATCGCCTCCATCTTCATGTCGCATCACGATATCCTCGTTGGGCAGTCAACAATTGATGAGCTTTCGAGTTTGAGAACAGTACGTTGGCTTCATGTTGCTAATCCATCCTGTCAAGTCACTGTATGATCTTACGTGGAACATGCAGCACTTCTGGTCAACCCTACATTGCTACCTAGTCTGAACAATCACTATCATTCGTTCATGAGCTTCTAGACTTACAACTTAGTAATGCCACTAGCCTGATGGCTGTTGAAAGATTCCAGGTTCTCCGACTCTGCGTTATCAGGTCCGATTGTGCTTAGACCCTGAATCGCGGCCCGGAAGGACTGATAAGGAGGCAGGCGTTTCTTTACTAATACCCGCCGGAACGCTCGCACCCCCCAAAGTTCCCCCAACAGACCTCGGAACCATTCCTTTACATCGTCCTCCACAGCGCACGCCCCCTCCCCCCGGCGATTCCGACCGACTTCATCTGTTCCGCGGAGCTACGACCGTGCTGCCCCGGCTGCGACAGCATTAAGCGAAAGCACACCATGGGCCCGGACGCCGACGCAACGGAGGCCGTGACGCCGCCATCGTCGGCTGCGGGATCCGCATCGGTTCAGAAGCGCCCAGTCCCTGCGCCTGCGTCTGCCGAGGTGCAACGGGCCAAGAGGGCCAAGTATACCCCCATCGCCTGGTAAGATGGACGTGCACATACACGTCAGTGAAACCCCTCACCGGAGAACGATCAGCTGACTAGATGCGGTTAAAAAAGCAACGAGTGCAAGAAGCGGAAGCTCAAGTGCATCAAGGAGGACCATCAGGCCGTGTGTCGGCGATGTCTCTCCAACGGCGCCGAGTGTATCTTCATTCCCGGTCCGCAACAGACGCCGCTGAGAGATCGCGAGGTTACCCATGAGAGAGATGAATCCATCAACCCGTATGAACCCCCGCAGTGTCCTACCGTCAAACCCTGTTGGCCTAATCACCACGACAGCTCACAGTACAAGAACCTCAGCGATGAGGTAGCCACGCTTCGAGAGCAGGTCGCCACCCTGACCTCGTCCCTCCGCGAGCTCACCGGCAAGATCACGCACATCAGCACGCGGTCGCCAGCGGCCCTCGTCGGTCCGCAGCACCCTAGTCCTCTGTACACGAGCGAGTCCAACCGGCGGCCTAGCGAGCCGAGAGAGCCGCAGTTCGTCGGCCCGACGAGGTCGGCGTTCAGTCTCCGCATCGCAGAGTCCTCGCTCTCCCGCGTGCACATCCAGGCGCGCGATGCGTCGCCGAACAGCAGATCGGCGTCACCGGCTGCCTCTGCGAGGGCGGCGTCTGAGGCTTCGGAGCATCCTGCCTCGCCGTCATCGTCGTCGCAAAAGGACCTGGATTGCCTCTTGACGTTCGAGGCTGACGAGGTTCTTCGGCTGCTTGATGTCTATCAGGATGATATTGAGTCCGTGTACCCTTTTACCAATATGAATGATGTCTCTGCGAGTTTGCCCCATATTCTCGACTTTGTCAGGACCCAGCAGAACCCGCCGGCAGCGGCGGAGGACTCGGCCACTGCCGGGGATCGACCCAGGATTGAACTCAAGGATGTGCAGATTGTCAAAGTAGCGATTGCCACGTCGATAGTGATGGAGGCGCAAGGGCAGAATGCCATCAGCACGAAGCTGGTTGATGCGGTGGAGCCGATCGTGTGCCGCGTGTCTGGGGAAGCTTTCATTGACCTGAAAGAACTCCAGATCATGACCATGCTGGTGAGTTTCCTGTCTTCATCTTCTGCACACGATACGCAGCTCCAAGGCTTGGTGGGCTCTTGATGTTCTCGCTAACTCGAGAGTAGAGCATCTATTGGTTTCATTGCGGCGAGGAGTTGCTGGCGTGGAGATCCATCGGCATCTCTGGGCGAGAAGTCTTGGAAATCGGGCTTCATCGTCGCGCCATACTTCTTGAGAACTTCAAGGATCCCAAAGAGAGAGACTTGGCTCTGCGATGCTTCTGGTGTGTATATGTGCTGGACCGCCGATGGAGCTTCGGCACGAGCTTGTCTTTTGGGCTTATCGACCGCGACATTGATCCCGAGTTGCCGGAGCCGGTAAGTTTCTCGACGTTTCCCTCACCTTCTTGGAGACTTCAATGCTGATTACTACGGCTCAAGGGAGACGAATATCCGTACCTGAGATGCATGGTGGCTTATGGCAGGCTTTGTTCGAAAGTCTGGGAGGCGCTTCCCCCTTTCGAGTCGCCATCTCAGTTCATTCCCAAGGATACCGTGGCGTTTCTCGACTTCATGACGCTGAACTGGCTGAATTCGATACCGGAAGATTTGCAGCTTCGGCATCCACGACTGGGTCTTGCGCCGAGAATCCAGCCACGCAGCGTGCATCGCCTCCGCACCCTGCTCTACCTGCGAGGGAATCACATGCGGACGCTCATCCACCGCCACCACGTGCTCAGCACCGCCAGTATCAAAGCAGACATGCAGAGCGCGAAGCTCGTCACGGAGATTGCGCTCGACACGATTCAGGTGCTTGTTCATTTGAACGAGACGAGCGACATTTACGCGCGGCAGCAGCATGCCTTTAACTACTTTCTGATGAGCGCCTTGGCTGTGATCCTCCTGGCTGTGTGCCACGCACCAGGCGTCTTCACAGAACCTTGCAAGGAAAAGTTTTTGAAGGCTGTGCAGCTGGTCAAGGGGTTCTCCCGTCACGGCCATGCCAGTCGGAGGTTGTGGAAGACGATTCGAGGCCTTATGCCGAGCATCAAGTCGTTGGGCCTGCGCAGCGACCCTGAGAAAGGCGAAGCCCTTCCACCGGTGGAGAATGGGGAGACGGATCCGAACGAAAGCCACATGAACGGATTGGAGCAGACTGCCGGCCAAAACGAGCGCGATGGGAGACGGGCGGAGGCCGCGTGGGATGCGTATGATGCGGGCCCACAAACAGCAAGCTCCATGCCGGACATGTTTAATATGGGAAACGATCTCATGAACCTTTTTGACGCGTTTGGTCATGCGAATGCTGGGCATCCAGCGCCATCAGACTTTCCTGTCGGGTTCTTTGGAGGCAACGAGCAGGGGATGTCACTTGGGGATCCGGAGGAGATTTCACGGCGGTTCCAAGGTCTGATTTGATACACATTCATGAGAGACCCGAACATCTATCAATTACAATACCGCTATTCAAGCTCTAAACTTTTGTTCTTTGAGTGTTTTTAAACTGCCACATCTGTGTGAACGGAGACCCCGGTTACAACGTTGTCAACCGACGGTACCTCGAACTTTTTCCGACCAAAGGAGAAGTAGTAGATTACGCCAAAGGCTAGCCACCCGGCCATCACAACAATCGAGTAGTTCATGTTCTGTGGGGTGACGGGCATCGCCGAGGGAAAGGTGCTGAAAATGATCACCACAGTCATCCAGATCAAACTGATGACGTTCAAGATGGGACCCAGAACAGGACCCAACTTGAACGGGCCGTAGTCGGAACGGCTCAAGTTCTTCCTGCCATGCACCAGCATGTACACGATGGGGATGATGTAGCTCAAGTACATCCCGATGATGGCCATGGACAGAATGGCGTTGAAGGCGGTCGTGTTGCCGAGGTAGATGAACCCGAGCAGCATCTGAAGGACGGTGACGAGGACGACGGAGTGGACGGGGATTTGCTGGCGCTTGTTGACCTTGCTGAGGTAGTGGTCGTAGGGCGTGGCCTTGTCTCGGGCGAAGGCCCACAGCGTCCGCGAGGTGGACGTGATGCCGGCGACGGTGGCTGCCACGGCGGTGAGAATGATCATGAGGGACATGAAGGTGGCGCCGCCGTACGACTTCGTCACGTCCATGAAGATTTGCATAAAGGGGAATCCCGTCGGGGTCGAGAGGAGGGCCTCGAGGGGCCCGGTGCAAAAGAGGAGCACGGTGCCGTAGACGAGACCCATGATGCCGTTCACGACGACGCTGCCGACCATGGCGATGGGGACGTTTCGGCTGGCGTTGGGCATTTCCTCGGCCAAGTGGCATGCGGCGTCGTACCTGTGTAGATTGGATTAGTGTGTGCGTGTGCAGGGGATACTAGCGGGAGGACGAGCGTACCCGAGGAAAGGATAGACGGCACTAATGAGTCCGACAAGCCATGAAACGCCGTCACTTTCCCAGCCGCTGGAGTTGACGAATTCTGTAAAGACGAACGAGGCCGAGTTCTTGGGCGCCATGACGCCCAAGACTATCAGGATCGACAGGAAACCAACGACATGGAGGACACCTGAGATTGTGAGCCACGAGCCCTATCTTCAAAGCAGAGGATACCAAAGTTTGCATACCGGACATCAGATTGGCGGTGGGGAGAAGTCTGTGGCCCCAAATGTTCATGACCATTCCGTACACCAAGATTGCCCAGTAGAACAGCATGCCCTGCCATCTTTCCGTTACGTACGAATCATCATTGAGAATAATGAGGGCCTGGGTCTGGAGGCCGGCTGCGAAGGCGGCCGAGGAGGTCAGGACGACCTGGCCGCCCACCGAAATCCAACCAGTTGTGAATGCGGCTGCGGATCGAGTCGATGGAGGGCATAGAGCAGCGACCCAATGATATTGACCTGGAAACGAGAGGGAGAGTCAGTCTTTGGTGTTTTTTGTGAGGGCTCTTCAAGACTTTTCTTTCAATCGACCACCGTATGAAGCTCCTTTGCGGAAAATCTGTAACGGGAGGATTGGGGAAACTTTACCTCCAGCAGTCGGATAAATAGAAGCAATCTCTCCGAGCGATGAGGCGATGCAAATGGTGCAAATAGTGGAAATGATGCTTTACATGATGTTAGTCCTATTCAGTGTCTCGCCAAGAAAACCCCCTGGTCCCATTTTCAACTTACAGATTGTAGAACAAACAAGGGGCACCTCCGCTCACTAAAGCTGGTGCAACGACTGTCGACAACGCCTCCCAAGTTGCCATGAGACAGAGACACAAAGCTCCTAGGGCAGGCAGCGAGAACTGTCTCTTCAACTCCTGCGTATGCCCGAGTTGGGCGAGGCGCAGGTCGTCGCCATTGACAGCGTCGGTCTGGGACTGAGAGTCGATTCTTCCTAGAGTCGCGGTATCTTTCTTCATGTCGTTGTCCATGATTAACACAAAACTGAAACTAACTTGTCTTACGATCTTACTGAGTTGACCCCTGTGTATCGGGCGATTCTCGAGTTATGTACGCCATGGCTATTACATACAAAGACGCGTTCCGACTCTCTCTCTCTTTGATCTTATCACCGAAAGGTTGTCAAGCCTTTCAGTAAGAGCGTTGAAAACCTGGCTGCCGCGAGCTCGCCCAAAAGGGAGACGATATCCTGTACCGGCGGTACCGCAGCAGCTTCCTGGCCACCTTATCTTCAGCGCGAGGTCCAATCACCAGCAATGTTTTAATCAGTAGCCAATCACAAGAGCCTCTTGCAAGCGTCCAGGCTGGAATCTTTAATACACTAGCTTCTGTCCATGGCTTATTTAGGCCGGGGTTGAAGATAAGAGAGCGATGGGGGCGTTGTCTTGACTCAGTGGCGTTCCGTCTTTCCGAGCTGCTTCCGCGATACGCACTAAGTGTGTGCTCGGAATCCCTTCCGAGAGCACTAGCAGATCGCAGTGTCTCGGCTCATTTAATGGGCCAGACTTTCGATGTTACATCTGTCTTTCCCTATCACTATCAGCAAACGGATTGTACGCATCAATATTATAGGTGGTTCCGAAACTGTCTTAGTTGTTCATAAAGACGAGAGCTTGCTCAGTCTCGACAACCACCCTGTCAACGACTCCCGGTCACACACCTCCTCAGCGACCCCCCTTCCCTTGTTCCGACCTTCCCTACTTGACCTCTCTCTCATAATGGCATCCATTCCGCACCCCTTGTCTGCCCTGTCTCCGGAAGAGACTAACAAGGCACGAGACATTGTCCTTGCGGCGCACGGCGGATCAGTTTTGGACTTCAGAGTGATCTACCTCTGGGAGCCGCCAAAAGCAGATGTGGTGAAGTTCCTAGAGCTGGAGCACTCTGGCACCCTCACAGCGTCTTCACCGAGACCGGCAAGATGCGCCCAGGCCTTTTACGATGTCATTGGCGGCGCTAGCAAAGCTCAGTACACCGAGTCTATTGTAGACTTGGGCCTGGGAAAGATCGTTGACCAGAAGGTCATTGGTTCCGAGCACCAAGCAAGTCTGACTGTGTATGTCTAGTACAGCCCTGGAACCCTTCCCTCCCTTCCCTGCCTCCCCAGGTTTCTCGTTGGGTCCACAACGCTAACAAGCATATGTGCCAGCTATGAGTTTGAGACCCTTGCGCAAGCCGTCGAGAACTCCCCGCTCTTCAAGGAGAAGATCGCACAGCTCCAACTGCCAGAGGGGTTCGAGGTTGTCATCGAGCCGTGGCCCTACGGCGCACCCGACGCGGCGGACGGGGACAGCCGCTTCTTCCAGGCACTGATCTTCGCCCGGGACACAAGGAGCGGGAACCCGGACTCCAACTTTTACGCCTACCCCCTTCCCCTCATCCCCGTCATGGACGCGCACACCAAGGAGATTGTGCGCATCGACGAGCTCGCCACCGGCGGCAAGGGCGACGCTCTCCAGGGCAAGACACACAAGCCCACCATTATCGACCACTGCCAGGAGAGCGAGTACGTGCCCGAGCTGTTGCCCAACGGCACGCGCAAGGACCTGAAGCCCTTGACTGTTGTCCAGCCTGAGGGTCCTAGTTTCTCTATCACGGATGGCAACCTCGTTGAGTGGCAGAAGTGGCGCATGCGTGTTACCTTCAACCCTCGTGAGGGTGCTGTTGTTCACGATGTCCGATATGATGGACGCCCGGTCGTGTACCGTCTTAGCATGAGCGACATGGTAAGTTGTTATGGCACACCCGAGTAGTTGTTTTTCGGTTCAAGAGCCCCCACTGACAAGATACGGTGCTTCAGACTGTGCCTTATGCTGATCCTCGCCCACCTTTCCACCGCAAGCAAGCCTTTGACTTTGGTGACGGTGGTCTTGGCAACGCAGTGAACAACCTGACCCTCGGCTGTGATTGCCTTGGTGTCATCAAGGTATGCCCTAGAGTGAAGTCCTTCTACTTGGCCATCTGAGTGTACTAATATCAATGAATAGTACTTCGACGGCGTTCTCACCGACGCCAAGGGCAGTGCCGTTGAGACGAAGAACGTCATCTGTCTCCACGAACAGGACAACGGCATCAACTGGAAGCACACGAACTGGCGCACCGGTCGAGCCGTCGTCACCCGCCGCCGTGAGCTCGTCATCCAGTTCATCATCACCCTTGCCAACTACGAGTACATCTTCAACTTCAAGTTTGACCAGGCAGCCGGCATCGTCGTCGAGGCCCGCGCGACGGGCATCGTCTCGGTTGTCAACATCGACCCGGGCAAGACGGCCCCCTGGGGCAACGTCGTCAGCCCGGGCGCCCTGGCGCAGAACCACCAGCACGTCTTTTGCGTGCGCATCGACCCCTCCGTCGACGGCAACGAGAACACGGTCGTGCAAGAGGAGAGTCTGCCCCTCAAGATGGACCAGCGGACGAATCCCAACGGCAACCTGTACGAGGTTAGGCAAACACCCATTACAACGTCGGCGGGCTTCGACGCGGCGCCGATGAACAACCGCGTCTTCAAGATCCAGAACCTCAAAAAGGCGAATCCCATTAGCGGCAAGCCCGTCGGGTACAAGATCACGCCGCCCCCGACGCAGCTCCTGCTCGCCGACCCCAACAGCGTCCAGTCCAAGCGCGCCCTGTTCGCGCGCCACCACCTCTGGGTGACAAAGTACAAGGACCACGAGTTGTTTGCGGGCGGTCGCTACACGCTGCAGAGCAAGCTCGAGGTCGGCGGCGTCAAGGACGCTGCTGACAGGAACGAGGACGTCCTGAACCAGGATGTAGTCGTCTGGAGCGTGTTTGGTCTTACGCACAACCCTCGTATCGAAGATTGGCCGGTCATGTGAGTACTTTTTTTATTCTTTTGGATGACAGGCGTCCGCCCCTTCTTGTGATGAAAGATGGAACTGACTGACAAATTGTTCCAGGCCTGTTGAGATGCTGCAACTGCATATTACGCCTTCTGATTTCTTCACTGGAAACCCGGCGCTTGACGTGCCTTCAAACAAGGACATTGGCTCGCAGTTGACCTCGGGCAGTCAGAGCTGCTGTGCGGAGAAGGAGGTTCCTATCCGGAGCAACTTGTAAAGGGGCTGTGAAAAGATTGAACCCAGTCCATGTATTTTATGAAAAGCGTTGTTTTTAGATAAGAGGCTAGAGCCTAGAGCATGAGACCCATCAAATGACATTGGAATTATTAGTTCCGATTCCAACTGATTATTTCTAGAATACTTGACCTTGCGAATGTCGATGATGCCTTGAGCTGAATGCTGAATTTGCTTAATGGAAGATTTGAACTGTGTCGGAAAATTTTGTCACAGGAGATTGGCTACGGCACAAGTATTCTTGGGAACAGTGTACTATAGCAACCCCTTTTACGCACTTATTGCTTACTCTTTTTCAGCTTTTGTTGATTTCATGTTATGTAGGAAGACATTATTTCCCAATATGAATTGAGACTGTTGGCCCAAGAAGACTCAGCAGCGAACTTCAATTTTTGAAAAAGGTGGCAGCATTGAGATGTGACGCGCTCTTGACTTGCCACCTTCACAATGATCATGGCTTTGCTTAGTGACGAACAGCAGCTGTGATACTATTCGTAGGCGCGTGCCTATCACCGAGCACTTTGGCCGAATCTGCACCTCAAAAGTCTTGCATCAATTATTCAAGCACACCGTGGTGATCTGAGCTATTATCTCTAGTGCAACCCCCAGAACTTTTGATATCGCTTGCCCCTCCTAAGCTTCATGACAAACGTAAACTGTCTCTGGCCTACATGTGTCGAGGATCTGTGTCAAAGTAACAATTGAGATAAGATAACCCCGTGTGTAGATCGTTGTCGGAATGATTCCGGCGAAGCAGAACACGTCAATGAACCCCCACAGAGATAAGAGAATGGATAGCTCGGAACCGGAAACCTTTGGTTTAGATGATTAGATTGTGTGATGGTGGCGTATCGGCGACAAGTAATCAGGCCGCTGAGACGAGAGAACCCGATTCTGCGTCCGAAATCGGGGACGTTCAAGTCAAGGAGGAGACGTGTAATATCTAAATCTGGATAATCTCATGCGTTTTCCAGAGGCAGATTTAAGTACAGCCGGGACTACTGCCTTTTCACACTCATCTAAAAGATAGCGACGAATGCTCTGCCTGATGGGAAGTGACTGGTAAGTATGCTAAGCTTTGCAGTTAACACATGGAGACACCACGTCGATGAAGCGTTGGCTTAAAGGGCGTTGGCATGATTCTGCAAACCTCTGAATAGCGAGCAGCAATCATCAGTCTTTCAAGATTGAATTCCCGTAGTGTATGTCAAGACTGAATGAACATCGAGTCACTGAATGGCCACCCGAAATCTTTGAAGCAATACTGGGCCTCTGTTAGCCAAGACCCTATATGCCATTGGAAACTTTGGCCATGCAAATGTTTGTGTCGGTGGCACTTCGCAGGCTGGCCAGATGGCATGACTTCAGCTCCTTGAATCGCTGGATGAGGAGCAGGGCAAATTTAAGTTTGGAAAAATTGTTCAGCATCGAAATTTAAATGTCCGCCCGTACGGTGGACCTGAAATACCATAGCAAGGTCGAGTGCATCCACATTGGCCGAATTGGGCCAGTCGCCCAGGGGCCATGTCATGTCCGACAATATTTGACTCTGTACGGATACGTATGTGGATTCAAGATATAGTGCTCGGGCACGATGACGGAAAAGGGGGCTGGATCGATTATTCCATTTCCATCAGCTCAGGAGTGGCCGTTGCCATTGCGTAAGAATAGGTGCTAGAGACGACATGAACACTTGATGATGGAAAGCAGGTGATTTGTATTGTAGACAGCACTCGGATCTGGTAAGGATTGACTTTGAAGAAACTCTGCCTTTTTAAACAGCCGCAAGGCCCGCCCTCCGCCTGAAGGCCATCTCAATTTCCTTGGTGATCGCCATGCGTCCGAATATCCCTGAAATTCCCACGTGCGCGAGTGCGCGCGCGCCTGGATCGAGCCCAGACCCTTGCCCCTTCCAAATATTGCCATATTCAAAAGCATTGTGCTGTTTACGCAGCAGTCTGGACCTTGATGCTGGCCGAGCCGGCGGACTTGTAGCCCTCGGTGGCGACAATCTGGTAGTCAAAGGTGGTACCGAGGGTCATACCGGCGGACTTCCAGGCATTGAAGAAGTTCTGGGTGGTGACGGTGCCGCCGACGCGCTTGCTCTCGCGGATGGCCCAGAACTGCTTGAAGGTCTTGGTGCCGTCGATGGAGGGGGCGTTGGTACGGGTGCTCTCGTACAGCTTGTAGACGGAACCGTCGCTGGTGACCTGGCCCTTGAGGGTACCCGCGCTGCCGGGGTTGTACTCGCCATGGTTCTCGACAATGTAGTACTCGATGAGCTGTGGGAGTGATTTGCATCAGCGACTTTCCTCCAACACACATGGATGCGCCCGACGTAACGGGTCGGAATCACTTACAGGGTTCTTGGTCCATCCGTAGACACTCAGGTAGCTGTTGCCGTTCTTGACGGGAGACCAAGTGCCAGAGTACTTGATGTTCCTGGCCGCACCAGTCTTCCAGCCCTTTCCAGCAACAAAGTTGCCGCCAGACTGCCACTGGATGCTGTATGCGCCAGCAGCACCGTTGGTGTAGGTGACGGGGGAGGCGCCGTCGGTCCAGAAGCTGTAGAAGTAGCCGTTGCTGGTTCCCTCGGAGGACGGGGTCGAGGCGCGCTTGATGAGGTCGGTCGTCATGGGCTTGTCGGTGGCGGGGGCGGCGAGGGCACCGACGACGGCCAGAGACGCCGTGAAAAGAGAAGTGAATGAAACCATATTGACAGGTAAGGCTGACGTTTTAGTAGATATATACAGCTAAAAATTCAAGAGAACGAATGTAGTGGTCGGAATATGAACAGAGAGTCCGGTGAGGCTGAGAGAAAGACAGAGAGAGAGAGAGGGTGAGGAGAGCATGATAGAATGGGCGTGGACGAACCTCGTCCTTTTCAATCTAATTCATTCTCAATAGTTTCTCTGGGTCCAGAGCAGGAACCGATGATGGAATGACAGGGGAAAACGGAGATTCAAGTGCCGTTTGCTATGGGTGTTTGCGCATCGGTTGCATGGGAACTGGGGTTTGTCTTCTGGATGGGACCGCCTTGCCCAGAATAAACTAACATTGACCCACGTGGGTAGCATTCTTGGGACCTGGTGAGATGTTGATTTCTTTGCACCTGAGCCAGTCGCGCGAGGCTTACGAGCTTTTCGGTATGGTGCCAAGGCGATTCACCATCCCTGGGGAATCTTTCCCAAACGGTCGACGAACGAACGGCCGTCATGGACCGAATAGGAGCTGTGGGGTTCCGCCAATGGACGTGTCGGGTTTAGATCAGGAGTCAGATTAAGTGGCCGCATCGTCGGGTGTAAATGAACCAGGCCGGGGCCAACGTTGCATGATCCTTGCTACACTCTCCGCAATGTACGCAAGGGGCATGCTCCGGCACTGCGGCCGAGAGGCGGTTCCTCTTTGAAAAAGTATTAGAGGCAAAGAGGCAGCTCGTCCGAGCCCCTATTACACTTTTACTAGTTGTTTAGCCGGCCATAACGGACCCCAGGACAGTATTTATCCAGAACAAATGACAGCTGAGATTATCCCGGAAGTCCATCTCAAAGTCGGACGGGATCTCGAACATCATGGTTAAAACAAGCTGTTAAGGTTCGGGATGAAGGCACTAGCAGCGGCCCGTGAAAGATTCAGCGGCACTTTGGGGGTCTTGCTGCGCAGCTGCTGACCTCGAGGTGGTAGTAGATCTTTTTACCCCGTCGTCTGAAGTCATCTAGTGCTTTCCGGAGAAGAGGAACGGGGGCTCCGAGTCTTAGTGTACTAGATTCACTGCATCATATACCCCTCGACTGGCTGCAAGATGCCATCGCGGAGGAAGCATAAATATCGAGGTTCGCTTCGCCGGCTTATATAGTCTCTTATGAAAGTACCAATTTTCCAGTGTCAGCGGGCACAAACTGCTGTTCAACCTTGCAATATTCTTGAAACTCAATTCCGGGCCAACCACGGGCGATATGCCGGTACTCTGATGAGATCAAATGCGTTGCACTGCTTTTGACGCCGGGTCTCTACGTTTGAGTTAGACGCTGCAGTGCGAACCTTTCTCGCTCTCTCTCCGACACTATCTTAGACGCACAGTAATTCTATGTGGTCTTGGGTAGTCCATCTCATATTCGTATAGCCTCCGGCTTAACTACACTGGTCCCTCCAGAAGGAACATCACGCCATGACGAACCGGGCGTGTCTAGTCTCTGCCGATCCCTGATCTACGCCACATTCCAACGTGCGACCGCTCTCGACCGGCCCTCCAACGCCTCGAATCTCTTCTGCCACGATGCCGATTCCCACGTAGCACAACGCTTGGTGGGATCAGGTGCTGTCCCCGGGCCACATCCCCAACCAATCGATCCTACGCAATCATCCAGCCGCTAGCCTAAGCAAAAACAGCGACGACAACACCAGCTCGCTCGTCTTTGCACTAGTGGATGGCAAGCGGGGGATCCTGACTTGCATGACGGGGCGCTCGGCCTGCATAACCCCCGCATTTCGGCGTGTCCAGACTTTCCCCCTTTCTACCAGATCTCAACCCCAGAAACGAAAGGGCACAAGACACCAGACGGCGTCAGTGCAGCCAGTGGCACCACCCTCCGCCCATTGGTCACCCGTTGTCGTCCTGTAAGTGAGGGTGGCTGCCATGCCTCAGCAGATCATATGTCGCACCCTTCGAAATGCGGGGTGCGTCGACCGCCGTGTGCTGAGGGTGAAGCCGTGGCAGCAGTGGCACAATTCAACGTCGCAGGCGGTGAGGAGTCGTGGTGCTAGTCTTCTCTTGACATGCCATCGGCCAGACCCGCCGTCGACGACGACGACGACGACGAAGACGACGTTTCCATAGTGGTGGCTGTCATCGTAACTCTACTGCTGACGACGAGATGATGCCGATGTTGTCTGTGGGGGGATTGCCACGGTCAAATTCCTGCAAGACGCACGCAAAGGCGCGTCTCAAAGAGACACTCACATCTGACCTGCTCGAGAAACTCCGCCGCTTCTGGTTCAAGCACCTCAATACCGATGAGTCCTATATCCTACCCCAGAGGAGCCAGATGGGGCGATGGTTCTACTCCGACGTTGATTTCGATGAGGCGTGCGTGTATGTAAACCTTCAAGTCACCTGCAAACCGATCTTGCTAATGCCGGATTACAGAAAAAGGTTCCGCCCCGTCACGGAGGCAATGAAGTCAGCCAAGATCACAGCCAGAGACATTCTCACAATTGTGAGGCCATTCACACCCCTGCAGTGGCTCAGCCTAGTCCTCCTCCTGGACCAAGTCCCGCGAAACATCTACCGGGGCCCAGAGTCGTCGACAGTCTTCAAGTTCTTCGACCCCGTCGCGCGTGAAATCGCACAGCACGCCATCAACGCCGGCGCAGCGACCCACAACAGGATCAAGTACCGCGTGGCCTACCGCATGTGGTTCTACCTGCCCTTTATGCACTCCGAGGACCTGGCACTGCACGACTTGGCCGTGGCGCAGTACCAGCAAATGAAGGCCGACTTTGAGAAGCTGATGGCGGATGACGGGACCGCGGGGAGCGACGATCAGCGCAAGTGCTGGGGTGTGTTGGCGGTGCAGAAGGAGGCGGCGAGGGACCTGCTGGAGACGAATTGCGACTTTGAGACAAAGCATCGGGACATAATTGTGCAATTTGGACGGTACCCGCACAGGAATATGGCTATGGGTAGAGAGTCCACCGCGCAGGAGAAGAAGTATCTCGAGACAGGTGGCGAGACTTTCGACGGTGCGAGGTAGCTGCCAGTCGTTTTTTTGTGTATAGTAAGGCAATATAGTAACAGGCTGTGATTCCATAACGACCGGGTTGGCGCTGGGAAGTATTTATTTTATAGGATGGCAGTAACATACTTGTCAACGCAATCCGTACATGTATCATGTGATACAAGGATCCCTTCCACATTTCATGTCATACAGTCTTCAACTCAAGGCAACAAGCTCAAATCTATAGCGGATCGCTTGAGAACTCTTGTTGTGAACCCTCAAGTCGTGTCTAATATCAAAGTAATTAGTACGCTGTATCTCTAACATCATATCGCTCTATAACATGCCGCTCATCCCTTCGTTGAGTATTTAAATCTATCTAATTATTGGTTCCTAATCAGCATGGGGGCCGTGCTAGATGTTTTCAGATAACGCAGTGATTCCGAAAAATAAACCATCGTGGCTTAGGGCTTCAAACCGATCATAAGGAAGTTGCGAAGCCTCAGTTCAAAGTTGCATTCGAGGCATTCGAGTTAGAGTATGCAACTGGTTGCGTTGGACTTACACCCAGTCCAAGTCAAAATTGGGCCTTGCTTATTATTGCTGGGTAGAACCTATCTTGTCAAAGACTCAAATCGTAAACTCAACTGGCTCTTTGCCGTGCTTAAATTTTCTTCAATATGATGAATCGCATCACTGACCACGTAGCCAGAATCTGGTAAGTTGCAAAAGTCGGAGCCTAGCCAAAGTCCGTACCACGTCAAGAATGAGAACGTCTTGTTGACAACGTCCGCAGTTTACATAAGCGCCAAGATTATCATCTTGCCCGGCATTGAAACCTGTTTTCACGCTTTCCTACAGTTTCAAGCGAATGAATCGTGGAGGATTCGACCAAGAATAGGGCTGGAAACACGGCAGGTCATACAGCTAGCACTTGCTATCCAACATCCGACCGTATTCCGCGCCTTGGAAGCTCAGCCAACCTGAGGAATTTATCTGACCTGGTTTGTACGACTCAGAAACCTAATTCCTCAAAATCGTCGCTTGAGTTTTGAGACTGAGGGGGCTTCACCTGATTTAGCTTCGTCACTCTGTGGTTTGAGTTCTTCTCCGCATGCAGTTGAATGTTCTCCCGTCACCCAATGCAAAGTCGAAAGTCTCTCTTGATTTGTTTTTTTTTAAACAACGGGATAAAAACGTCGCTTTCTTCGATTCGAGTAACTGATGTCTTGGCGACACATGCCTCATGTCAAGTTGATTTGACCCGAACTGCCCGAATGCCTCTTACCGCGTATCTCGTCCACGTCCGTGATCACTGGTTCAGACGAATCAAGACAATTTTACTCGCCTTACGAGCCAAAACTTTGTAATTCGGTCTCTTAATTTCGAACTTATTCTTAATATTAAATAATGTCTGTCATGCCGATAAGCTTTGGTGTGCGATATGGACTGGAGGTGAAGACTTTGGGCAAGGGATCTTGCATTTTATTCCACCTTAGATCTGGGAGACGTAGTATTGATAAGATTATTATTCTTAATGTGGAAAAATTCTCTAATAAACATATAACCTCTCGTTTTCTTTTCCTCTTTTAAGCGGATTACCCATTGTCCGTCACCAATGGCTTCTCACGTATTATTGATACGACCACTTTGTCTTCTTCTGTATTGACCTCCAAGTCGCCGTCCCTCGTCAGTTGTCTGCTTCTGGTACTCATTGGAGAGGTCCGCCCATCATAAATATAGTCTCTTTGAACTGCCCGCCACAATGGAGACAGCGATCCATTCGTCTGCTCTATGGCCGGAAGTGCCAACAGAACTCCGTTATTAACAGCCGTCGTGCGATTGTTGTTGTTGTTGTCGGCTAATTCGTTTGAAGGTATGCTCTCGGGGCCTCGACAGTCGCAGGCGCTCATCCGAGTGAACGACAAGAGTTTGTTGAGAACGATGAACTCGACTTTGAGCTTGACACTGTAGACAAACGGCTTGCACATAGTCTGAATCTCGAATTTGTCGTGGTATTCCAGAACGATTAGACCTGTGTCAAGTAGGAAGACGACGGCGAACAGTGACGCCAAGTGCCAAACCATGTTTGTGACGGCTTTCGGTTTGATCGCACTGAGAGGCTTGAGGCTCTTGTAGCCCTCGTAGAGAAAGAGGTATGCGATTATAGTCTCCTGAATGGTGAAGACGACCAGTTCGACTTTTTCGTATATCTTGAACGGCGCGGAATACTTCTTGGGAATCGCGTTGGCGAGAAAGAAGATGACCGTCTCTGGGATATGCATCGTAACGGCGTTGAATATGATCATTGTCAATATCAAGCGGATCGTTCGCTGGCTGTGTACAACAAGGTGCAATCGTGACCAGAGCACGATGGCCTGGCCTGTAACCATCGAGTACCAAGCAATCGGGATGATGATGCTCGAGGCGAATACCGCTTTCTTATAGTAGCCGAAGTATCGCAGGATAAAGGCGATCACGTTGATGTTGATTCCGGTATTCGACACGATCATGCTCCAGAAGTATCTCCCTCGCCGGCGCTTGAATGTCGTGAATATGGAGAAGAAGGTTTCGATGGTGTTGAAATATGCGGTCGCGGCGAACGCGATCATAACCATCGCCTGAGTCTGCGAGACCGAGATGGGTCCAGTCTCTCCGGCCATCTCTCAGACGAGGACTCCAACTCGATAAATCAACGGCGCCAGTAGTAGTTCGTACCCTGAGGAAGGCATTATGCGGGAAGAACACAACCGAGCGGCGGCGTCACCAAGACGGGACGGAAGATGCGATGGCACTGCTGATCCTCGCCACACTAGCAGTCGAAAGGATTCCCGTTGGTACTTAAGACGAGCATTAGTAGCACCTGCATGCTGTAGCGGTACAAAGTATGTGTCTTGAAGCCCAAGCGCCATCACGATAAGGTTTGGGAACCACCTGACGAGAAACCTTACACGATGAGCGAGTACGACCGATCCATGCTGAGAATGGAGGCAAAAATGATCGCAGAGCCAGTCAGAGTCTCGCTGCTGACTCGTTTGATGCTCTGGCTCTCTGGGGAGCGGCGGTGGCGGAGGCAAGTTGCGAGACTTGCGTACCGACAAGTAAACTGCGATGAACTCGGATGCCGGCGAAATCAAATTATACCGCGAGGTTGCATAAACTCTGTATGTTTTTTTTTAGGAAGGTCGAACCAGTTTGGTGCTAACCATTGGCTACCAAACGCATGGCCGGATAAATGTGATGCCTCGCGGCAGGAAATCGGCTGGGGAAGCATGTATAAGTGATTGGCTCTCGAGGGTTGACACTGCCGAAGACAGTATGTGGCTCGACGCCGGTCTCTGCAGTTTTCAGATGGCGAACGGGTTTTCCAGGGGCCCGGAATACCCCTCATTGCCAGCCGTTTTGAAGTGCGAGATTTCTTCTGCCCACTGATAAATTAATAATAAGAACAGGACTGTTCAGGGTCTGGCGTTTTGGTTTACCGATCTTTGCAACAATGTGTTCAGCTTGAGACAGCCAACTATCTCGGCAACCTATCTACGACTAGATAGACGTGAAGGAGAGCTATCCTTCTTCAGTAGTAGCTACATGTAAACATAGCTTCTTCGAGAAGCTCTGAGTAAGGTATTGTAAAGGGCTGTCTCGCGTAAGCGGGCAACGGCAGCAAACAGCACACCTACGTAAATGGGCTTCACGGCCCGACCCATAGTATTTTACCAAAAGGTAAGTGACTAAAAGCCCCGACTTCTGGTTGGTTGCACTTGAGTATTACGCGGCCAGGATATGGCACCGGTCTCATAACAGGCATGAAAGGGGCATCTATACTTGCTTGAAGGCTTGAGTCGAACCACCCCTAATCAGCCTACGGGAGTTGGATCTGGATGATCGCTTCAACTTGAGCTATGTGTTCATTAAAGATCACGACAAATGAAAGGCTAATTCTCGGCCTTTCTGTGATCGCTATATTCAATGGCAGTCTCCATATGGTAATGAGGTTATAAAGGTGTCGCACTTGTGTCCCCGCCCCAATCAGACAGTGAGTGACGCCGCAAAAGCCTCATCAGGTTGCGAAGTACACAGTATGGAGATACAAGGTATATTTTCACAATACTCCGTTTTCATACCATGTCAATAACTGCGGGGTAAATTATATCATACACTGTGACCACTAGCCTCAACAACTATACATTGAAGAAACAGTGCCCAGCTTGTATTTCTCGGAGATAACTCCCATATCTGACTTTTGAATCACTCCCGTGTAATTGATACAATCAACAAGAACACAATCTTGTTACCGAGAGCCAAAGACTTGCCTTTGCCTGAGTAATTCGAGAACCCGAAGTACTCCCACTCCCACGTAAAATCTGCGTCGATACTGTTACTCCCTTGATTCAAGGATATTCCCTGAATGCCACGTCTGGATTTATGTCACTGCCATAATAAGTTTACCTCCACATCAATTTTTGAAAGCTAGGGTTCGGTTTCGGGCTAAATTTCTGCCCCTTCATCTCTCAGTTATGGGCAGAAAGCTTTGGTCTCCCTCTGTGCTGGGCCATCATGAATCAGTAGCTGTTGACTCGGGAACAAAATTGAGCCGCGAGAGTGGGTATGCGTACCCCGCGAAGCGATTCAACGAAAAGACACCATTACGGCGATAAGGAAGTCGCATGCCTCTAGAAAGGATGAGGAAAAGCTGTGCGCTAATAATCAGTGGATTTTCGAGAAATACTGTCGCATGGAAAATGTTTGACGTCGAGATCGAGTCCACCCAACCCTCACTGATCAAATCACCATCGCAACATGGTTCTCTGATGACAACATGGCTCACCAAATCAGGTTGTGATGTGAGTTTAACAGTTTTCTTACTTCCAGATATTTGATATTGTAAGTCTTCTTCAATTTTCGATTTGTGTCTCCCAGAGTGCGCATTGAACTTTTCAACGACAGTAGCCTCTTCTTATCGACTCTATAACACTGAACTACGTAAAGACTGCTATCATTCTAAGCAAAAAAGGAACAAACTAGCCTTTCATGCTTCACACTGTCTTCGCCGCGCGTGGTGAAAGATACACTCTAAAATTGCCCAAATGAAACCAGCCTGTGTGAGAGGTGTTCGGATGTAAACAAAACTGAGCTTTACCCGTTTTGGAGAATTGAAAGACCTAGCTTAAACCCAGTTAGCTGAAGTAGTATGATAGAGCAGTGATAGTCCCCAGAGAGTTGAAAACATTTACTATCGATCCTCAATGAGCTTCTGAATAGAGGTTTCGCTCATCTTTCTCAAAGCATAGCTCATGCTAGCTTGAAAACTTGATGCGGAAAGAAATGAATAAGACTGAAAAATTCTGCTTGATTGTTAAATATCTCTGATAATGTTGAAGATTATATGCGTGGGATAACAAGACGTGACATGATCGTCCTCAAATCAAAATTCTTAGCAATTTCGCAGGAGCACAGTTGCAATATCCCTTGATGAAGCCCATACCATAAAATTTGACTTGGAGCAAACCTATGAGACAAATCGTATAGTCTGACATTCGCTCAAAATGAAAATGTATTTCAACTCACAAATATCTCATCTTGAGCAACTCTTCTCCGCAGCAATCGACTTGATCAATCTTTTCAGCCCATCTGACATTTCTTCAACTCCAAGGATAGGATTATCGCCCTTCGACCAAGGGCAGGAAAAGACCGGTCTCGGGCTCGCATGGCGTATCCTATCGCCGGAAATGCTCATGCTGTAATTGCTGGCCTGCAAGTGTTTCAAGGCTCCGGCAAAGACTTGGTCCATATTCGACTTGGACTCAGTCCATTTTTTGGGCTCTAGCACCTCTTTACACAGGTACACCATCTGCTTTTGGCTCTTGTTGACAGAATGCACGTAATCCGGGTTCTTTTCGGTGTCCACAGGGTGAAGAAGAGCCCGCGACGCCGCCTTATTAGGTGACTCGAGTGTGGTCCAGACCTGGAAACTGCACATGTGCGCACCTCATTCATGTAGTCGATTTTCTTGTTGTACATATCAATGTTCATGAAGCCACTTCATAGGTTCCAGTCCAAGAACGCCCCGTTCCAGATAAAACTCCAGATCATACCAGTCTCTTCGCTTTTCTGTTTTCTTTTTAAAAGGTTTATCGTTCATATCTTTCTTGAAGTAGAAGGGCACCGGGTGAACGCTGCGATTGTTGAATTACAACCCACTTTACACAAAGCTGAAATGTAACGGTATAACCCAGCAGCAGCAGCAGCAGCATCCACGAATCTTGTCGGGGTATCTATATGGGCAAGAGTACAATCCGCAAAAGCTTGGTGGTCTGGTAGCGCATCTTTATTGGCGTCAGAAGAACTGCGGTCGATCATCTTGACAGCAGTTCTGTCGGAGAAAGAGCGTGTTTGCGGGCCAGGACAGCCACGTGAAATCCATCTGCAAGCAATGCTTTCATTACTGATCTTCACAAATATTTAACTCATGTTACGTTAAAAGAAAATTTCCAATTGCATTTCATTGTCAGTCGTCAATCATTCGGCTAGATGCTTTCTGGGGCACGAGCTTACTCCGGCAACGGCGACTTTCTGGATTTAAGGTGTCATTGGTAGTGAGAAGTGTTTGCACCAATAGCAGGAGGCTTGGATGGGCGAATCAGTTTACACCATTTTGACGATGTTTACTCAGGCGTGTACAGTATTGCCTGTATCTCTGAAGAGGTATTCATGTCGGTTGCAGGCTGTGCGGAATTATCGGGCCAGCGAGCTCATCGAACTAGATTGTAATGATTATCACCCGAGGGAGGCGTAAAGCGCGTCAGCAATCATGCATTCAAGACATTGAACGTAAGAAATCGTTATATCTGAGTCTCGCGGACACCGTTCACCTGCTCTGTGTAAGATAGACTATTGGGCCGGACTCCCGGTTTGACAGACGCATCCTCCCGCCCCAAGTCCGAGCACAAGTTGCACAACCCTGTCGTTTGACAAGCAACGTCACTCGCTGGGCGAATCAAGGTCCGTGGGGGCACGTTTCGGTGCATACCTCTTTCCGGGTCTGTCTCAGACCATCTGATCTATCTCGGGCTCGTCGGCTACTTAAAGTTCACATCACGGTATATGTGTCCGTGGGAATCATAGTCCATTCGCTGTGGCGGGAAAACGTGCGCGGCAGATGATTTTTCACTGCATTAGAACAGCGTTCGTGCTGACTTGGCATCTGAAATAGCGTTGAATACTTGGTAAATGCATCCACTTGACGTCTCTCACATGGTTACAAGATCCCACATAGTCTATAAGCTTGATAAGTAACATGCAAGAAAACGCGACACAATCGTCACTAAGTATGATCAATGGCTTCAGAAAAGTCGATTGCAAGCTATTGGACTATCGCTATCGGCAAATGATCCGTCTAGATACGCGAATACCTCACCTAGTGGGTGTTGGTAACAGAGAAGCCCTTGATGGGGTAGTGGAAGTTGACGTGATGAACCTCAACCTTGCCAGTGGCAGGAATGTAGACAGACTTGTCGGCAGCTCTGCTCTTCTCCAAGCTGTCCCATCCTAGAGCCGCGACGAAGACCTTGCCCCCGCCGTCCACCTCTTCGGTAGAGAAACCACTGGCAAAGTCGTTGAAGCCATCCATACCGCGAACCTTCTCGAACTGAGCTCGCATGTCATCCTCGGACATGGTGGAGCCGCTGATGGTGATAGTCTCGGCAATAGGAGAGTCAATGGCGGCTCTGGGTGCGTACGGGACGAATTTAATGAAGTACGACTTGGTGGGGCCAGTCATGACTGTCTTAAACTGCTCCATCGCATTTGCGCACTCGGATGACGCGAAGAAGCTGTCGCGGGACTCCTTTGATTTCCAGCCTGTAGCGGATTAGAACGGTCCTGGTCGTACCGACAACCTGATTGTGAGCTTACCAGAAATAAGGTCGAGAAACTGCTCGTTCTCGGACCAAGGTCCCCATCGTGTGCGAAGGTAGCCGTCTTGAGTCTTCAGGGCAAGGAGATAAGTCTTGAGAGGTTCCTTCCAGTCCTCCTTGGTTCCCTTAACGGGAATGATCATGCGCTCAGTAACGCCTCCAGCTGGTGGTGCAGACATGTTGACAGTGGTTGGGTGAATTGGATTCAGGGAAAAGTTGAAATGTATTGTTAATCGTTGTGAGTAGTCTTTGTTGACTGTATAGATGTGATTGTTGTTGATGATGAGGCAAAGATATCTGCAGGTGGCGATTGGGGGTTAGTTATATACTACCCAACGTAGGCCCGTGTTCTTCAGAGATGTCTTTTAGTACCCATGATGTTATGTAGATGCATAAAGCTGGAGGCGCAGGTCCGAGAAGCATCTCACGGCACGACACTGCGGCCCGGCGGCTTTCGGTGGAGTACCACGTCCCATGTCTGTTTTGGGGGACTCCCGCGGCTGCCACCACGTCAGGCCATCCACGCCTAGTCCTTCGATGTGAAATGTTATGCTGACCGGAGTCAAAGTTGTGGCTGCAATGCTGTGGGGTTGCCAAATACGGCGATCTTCTGGAACGAAACACTGCTGTGCGTCCCCGAGCCGCGTTGTTGGCGCCATTGCGAACCCAGGGCCTCAGCTCTTCCGCGATGTTTCTAGTTGCGAGAAGGCGCTGTCAAAGAGGGCATGAGGATACCGAATAAGAGGTTTCGAGCATTTCTTCAAAACTTCAGACGAACTTGACAAGGGCAGTCACTTGCCTTATCGGGAGCGGGAGCGGAAGCTCTGCAGCTCGTATGAGACTAAGGCAAGTCATAACACAGATGGTGCAGCATGTGGCTATGACGTTGGCTGTGATGAAGAACCAAATAAGAATCGGCGATAGACTTCGCAAAGAGAAGATTGCCGTTTTGGGGTATCCGATGCTTTCGAAACCACGCCGCGGACAAAGCGGTTGTGAGGTGGGGGATCGACGAAGGACCTCCGCAAAGACCAAGTTTCATAAACATCGAGGGAGGAGGAACAGACATCTCCGCAGCCAAGGACTGAGGTTTTGATGATCCAATTGGTTGCTCGATTTGATATGGCCAACGCTCTCCGGCACTGCCATCCCGTCGCATTCTTGTTGATTCTGAGTCGCATTGGCACCTCACCGCAGGCAATGTTTCCTCTCAGTTCTCCATTGCTCCGTCTGTTCCGTTACGCCGTCAAACCTGCAACGCCGCTGGCCTAGTATACCACGAATGTTGGAAGTGATTGAAAATGAAACCTGAGACCCCGGCGGGCCGCGGGCAACGTGACGTCCCGTAGCTACCCCTCGATTGCCACGGCATTGATGCCGTTCCCCCCGATGGTCCCAGTCCGTCAATGACCCCGGTGACCATCGGAGAAATACCAGTAGCCGGTCTCCCGTGATTGTGAACGGCATCAACTCGGCGGGTCTCTGTACACGGACTGTTGCCATGTCCGATGCGATGCAAGAAACCAGAGCTTTCAGTCATGTTGGCGATTTGTCTTCGATCACAAGTTGCGGCTATTGAAGACATCCCCCTAATTACCTAAAGATCGTATTTGTCAGGCACAGCTACACACACGATTCTCGCGAAGTGATACCACTCTTCGATAATGCCACTTAAGTGGCGGCAATTAAAGTATCGTCAAAACCGTCTCCAGTGATTTGTTCGTTTGATTCAAATATGTTGGTTCATCTGTACCTAACTTGGGAAGCACGCCTGCTCACTTGCAAAAGTTATATTACTCGGTAGGGGCGATGGCAGTGTCCACAGAGTCAAAGAAAATACTCGACGAGTCACAATCATTGGAAAAAATCATTGAATCGTATATTTACATAATCTGCATCACAAATAAAACCGCCAAGTTATTCGTGTCATGTCTCTGATCTTCGTGATTTATAAACTCTAAGGGGAAACGCCGAAGAATCGGAATCCCAAGCTTCTCCCACAGAAACTGTCGCAACCACATTGCGCCTGACCCTGGATACAAACAGCCAACCAGCAGCTTCATTATAGCTTCGTTTTTCAGTCTTCTTGAATCATCGGCGAAAAATAGGAAGACATATAAGGTCCAGATTCGTTATAGTTGTAAGAGACATAAGCCAGTCCACCAGGCTTAGAATAGTCGCTGCCAGGCCTGTGTTTTTGTCAGTTCTGACTGCCAAATAAGATGTATAACAGGACTTGTGTCAACTCACAGTTTGGAAGTCTCTGTTGCACCACGCCAAAACTTGTCTGCAGACTCGTCCCATCCCAAGTCTCTTAGCACTTGCGCAAAGTTCTTCATAGTCTGCGTATCGCTGCTCGCAGTCTGACCCCATGGCAAATGTACCTTGATGTCGACGCGCTCCGCTCCTGGCTTCAGCTCGAAAGCGAAACACATACCCTTGTGCAGGTTCTGCATGTCTCGAGCATCTTTTTTCTGATCCGCCGCCATGCCTTGTGGCTCATCGAGGAGCAGGTGCCAAATCTTTTCCGCGGTCTCTACGCCCTTCAATGTGGCCTCGTCGGTCTGGGCTCCGCCCAGGGTAAAAACGTCTGCCAGCACTGACTTTGCGTTTGAGTTTGTCCGAGCATAGACCTTGACGCGCGCCTTGTTGGGTTCGATGCAGTCGACAGCCATCATCTCAACTATGCATGGCTCTTTGCACGTCGCCAAGTACTTCTGCACTTTTGCGGCCGATTTGGCGAGCTTGTCTCCACAAGGCTGCAGCTTAGGAATCATGTCGAAAACGATATCTGATGTCGCCGCACCCGTCGCGAAGTGCTTGAGTACGGGGAAGTGGTAGGATTTGAGAATGCGCTTTGAACCCTTCAAGTCGTAGGCGAGGAAAAGTTGCGGGACACGTTTCAAGAAACCAGGCATCGCTAGACGAGCAGCGGCGGCTTCTTCAGGAGTGACGAACCAGGCCTCGATGAGTTGCTCATACCATCGCATATCGACGTCGGAGGAGACCTGGGAGAGTATTGGGATCATGGACTTGCCAATTTCTCCAGCGAAGGGATCATCGGCAGAACCGGCAGTGTCGCCGAGGGGCTCAAATGAGTAGCGGATGAAGCCGTCGTCACCCTTGGTGAAGTTCCAAGATGGCTCGAATGTCGATCCATCGTAGGTCAGAAGCGGTCTCACTTTTGCCTTTGGTGTCGGGATTCCGAAGGAAGGCACAACGACATCGCGGAAGACGCGCAAGTGGTCTGCCTTCTCCTCCGGTGTATAAGACTCGGCGCTATTGAGCAGGGAGTTGAAAAGTGGTGCGCATTTATCCCACCACCACCGATGCTTTGGGTTGAGGGGAGGGTCAATGAGAATAGTACCATGATTGAAGCTTGAGGACAAGTTGTTGAACTTTTGAGGTGACCTTAATGGTGCTCCGAGTCCATCATTTACGGTACTGTAGACAGCAGATGGTGCCATGCTGAAGTCAAAGGAAGTGTGTGCTGAGTAAGATTTGGAAAGAATGAGTTGGAAAATGTTTACTAAGTATGCTCATATGACGCGGATATGTAGGAGGTAGGGCATCCTTCAATATTTATAGCTTCGGAAGACTCTAGACCTACGAGTTGAGTACGGTTCGCTCGGAGTGGAAACTTTCCAATCAGATCTACATTCCACTCCATCCGCCAAAATACCTATGTAGCTGACGATTGGACCAAAGGCCGAAGCCTTGTAGTTGGTCAGTTTTTTCCGTCGTCGGTCTCAGAAGTTCGCCGTCTACCTCCGGGGCAAAAGCCGACAGTGACTTTGATCGGGTATCAAGTCAGGGCAACGTCACTGCAATGCAGTCGTCTGCTGGACTATCGTCTTGCTGAAATTGCAAGGAAATGCTAATTGCTTAGGAGCGCTCCGTCATACACAGTAACATTTCATCTTAAAGTTGAAGCAAGGAGGCGATGGCCTGCCTGCTGTCAAGCTCAGACAGTCGGAGGTCGCGTGCTTGGAGTAAACGCGGAGAGCGATCGAATCAGACAGGGATAAAATAGCTGTTTCGATCGCCAAAGATCAGGCGAAACTAGAAGCCATGGCAACGTGTGATTCACATTGTCAACGAAACATTTGTTGGACGAGATTCGTATAGGGCAATTAGTGATAGTATCCTGCCTGCGCCCGTTACTCAACAAACCAAAGTCATTCACGGAAGCTTGGCAGAGGGCTGGAGTTTGCAGAGGGTGCTGATTTCGCTTTCGGCAAGCTAAACACGACTCTTACAATCCCACATGATCAGACGAGGTGGCTGAGGCTGAGACAACCGAAGATCACGACCTTGCCGCGTATTCCCTAACCATTCGCAGTCTGTCGGTGACCTTCCAATGCTACCTGTAAGTCAGTGTTGTACTTGTCTCTGTGATTCATTCGTCAGGTGAGAAAATCTGCACGGAGGTTCCCATCGGACTCAAGGAAGTTTGATTCATTGTCACCTAGTCACTTTGGGCAATTCGGAGAGAAATTTTCTTGACGGGAACGGGTTTTCTCGTGTAAATGATATTTGTTACCAGTCAGTCCAAGTGTCATGGTGCACTTACGGCCCCGCGCGGACTGGATCCGCGGTCATCTGGGGAGGCCGAACTCCCGAAGGTCCGTCATGGTATGGTTACTGGCAATAACTCATCCTGGGCCAGAGCTAGGAAGCTCACCGACGTCAGACTAGAAGCCTTTATCAATAAAAGAGCTGTTCCCCTACTTCATAACATGTGTTTACGAGCATGATTCTGTGATTACAAACACTAGCAATAATTGGAGGGTGACTTGTCTCGAGTCCGAACCACGCTGATCATTTCCTCAACTCTTCAATACTCTGATTTACAACTGGCCTATCTCGACAACACCATGGCACCAGGCGTCACGGCAGAAAATGGAGAGCACGCATCGAATGGTGCGGCGCCCGCTCCGCGATTTCTCCCTCCTGGTGTATCAGTGGAGAAGTTCCAGGAGTTCGCATCCAACTTGCAAAAGGCAGTCGGAAAAGACAACCTCCAGATCATTACCAAAGACACTCCCCTGGATGATGGTGACTACGAAACCATCGACTGCCAGACGCACGATATGCACTCCCTGTACGAGCGTGAAGAGTTTGTCGGCAGTGCGCTGATTCACCCACGCAATGTGACAGACATCCAAGCAGTCATCAAGCTCTGTAACGAGTTCCTCGTCCCTGTATGGACCTACAGCAAAGGCCACAACATCGGCTACGGCGGTGCCGCTCCGCGAGTATCCGGAAGCTTGGTGATGAACCTTGGGAAGCACATGAACCGAATTATCGAGGTCAATGCCACAGACTGCTACTGCCTCGTCGAGCCTGGCGTCACGTACCTCCAGATGCAAGCGTACCTCGATGACAATGGCCTACGGGACAAGGTGTGGCTAGACTCGCCAGAGCTCGGCTACGGCTCCATGATTGGAAACGCGCTGGACCACGGTGTTGGCTTCACTCCCTACGGTGATCACTGGATGATGCACTGTGGCATGGAAGTCGTACTCGCCAGCGGAGAGGTCGTCCGCACGGGAATGGGTGCGATGCAGAGTCCTGAGGGTCGGAAGCAGGCTGCTCAAGGGGTGCCGCCCCAAGATCAGCATCAGAACGAGTGTTGGCAGCTCTTCCCTTACGGATTTGGTCCGATCAACGACGGCATTTTCTCTCAGAGTAACAACGCCATCATCACAAAGATGGGCATGTGGGTGAGTAACGGTTGGAGAGGAAATTGGTTTTGAGACGAGGCGAAGCTGACATGGACTGATACACAGCTCATGCCCGCACCCCCGGGCATCACTCCCTTCATGGTTACCTACGAGAAGGACGAAGACCTTGAGGCTGTCGTCGATATCATTCGCCCACTCCGTGTTGTAAGTAATTGCATGGATACCCTGCGAGTAGCACTGCTGATAAAACTCGATAGAACATGGTTCTCCAGAACGCGGCCAGTCTCCGTCACATCTCGCTCGACGCATCGCATTACCATCCCCGAACAGCATACACTGATGACCCCAATATGCCTCTCACGGAAGCACAGCTGGATGCTGCGGCCAAGAAGGTCGACCTTGGTCGATGGGTCTATATTGGCGCAGCCTACGGGCCGGAGGCAATCCGCAAAGCCCACCTTGAAATCACTAAGCGGGAGATGACCAAGGTCCCTGGTAGCCGGTGGTTCCTCCTCGAAGATCGTAAAGAGGAGCACAGCACTTTGCATTGCCGAGCTGACACAATGCGAGGCTTGCCAACATGGGATGAGCTCCGGTGGCTGAACCAGTAAGTTTCTAGAACGCCTCGTCCCGATGTTGGTTGCAGCACTGACCAAGTACCCAGATGGATTCCTCACTGCACGTTCCTGTCTTTCTCGCCAATTTCCAAGGTTGATGGCAAGTCTGCCATGATGCAGTATAACATGGCAAAGAAACGCTTTGCGGAGGCGAAGCTGGATTACTTTGGCATCCTCAGCATTGGCATGCGTGAAATGCGTAAGTCATCCATCATCACACAAAGGTATTGGAAAATGAGTACATGTACTCACGCGTGGCTGCACAGACAATATCGTATGCATCGTTTACAACAGGGAAGACCCCGACATGCGTCGCCGTGCGCAGTGGCTCGTCCGTACTATGATTCAGGATTGTGCCGATAATGGCTGGGGCGAGTTTCGTACTCACGTCGCTCTGATGGACCAGATTGCGGATACGTACGACTTCAACAATCATGCGCTTGGCAAGTTGAACCAGACCATCAAAGATGCGCTAGACCCCAACGGTATTCTGGCTCCCGGAAAGAGCGGCGTTTGGCCCAAGAGCTATGATAAGTCCAAGTATGTGCTCAACAAAGATTACATCAAGTAGAACTTTGCAGATCGCGAGAATGCGAAACCATCGTCACGTCTCCACTTAGTATATGAGTAATTTTCTTCGAGTATCCATCCAAAGTGGTTGAAACAGTTGTGATTGAATGAGATCTTCATCATACGTATATAAAGCCACCTAGCTGGCTGGTGCGTAAAGTAATTTTCTACTAAACAACGCCTTCTATACTTCAAATACTCCTCGGGATGCAGTAGACAACATGAAACCTTGAAGAATTAGTTAGGTACGTGAAATATTGGCAAAACTGGTAATCATTTCCCTCCACATCTAGAAAGCGTCATAGTGGCTTGATTGTGAAACACATTGAAGAACCTCGCTTAATAATCAGCCCTGATGGTCTAGCGGTATGATTCTCCCTTAGGGTCTTCAAGACAGTTCTGGGAGAGGTCCCAGGTTCGAATCCTGGTTAGGGCCCATTCCTTTTATCTTTTGACCTTGCAGTAAGTGTTTTTGCTTCCCTTTTGTAAATTGAGATACTACATGCTAGATAGCTGTCTAGCTTAGGTATTTAGGTAGAGTAGTTAACTCGATGCTTTACTTCGCTTCTTTCTCCGCATCATACAGATATCTAATAGACCAACCAATGTCGTCCATTTATTTATCTTAACTATCCCTGTTTTATCATTTGCGTTTCCGCACTCGCTAATCAAGGTTTCAGAGTGCAGTGGACGGGTTGCTAGCTGCCAAGCCAAACTTTGAATAGAAACCACATCCTAGTTCATCTAAACAACCGCCAGCCCCTCATGTGTCTTCTCTGCCGTAACGAAGCTTTCTTGTTATCAACTCTGTGATATTTCGAGTTACATACGCTTTCAGCGTTAAGCCCGAGAACCCGTGGTCCCAGTTTCAGATTACAAGAAACATTCTCTGCTCCCAGAACTTTCGGAATCCGGATATAGGCCGTGGCAAGATGGTCAAGTTGGGACGGAAATTCTCGCCGGGCGGGATGTATGAGATCTTCGTTGCATCGACATTAGACGAAGCATTGTTTCGGCATGAAGTAAGAATCTGTATGTAGGCTTTTCGTATCCTAACTCTTTCAGAAAAGCTTTGTTAGCAGGCTGGTCTGACTCTCGTTTTAGCTGTCGTTCATGACCTCCCCGAAAGGAAAGTTTCGGGGCGCTCGGGAGTGATTCGAGTTGGTGCGGTTGACCAGTCGTCATACATTCTGGGCGCGAAAGTCACGAGGCACAAACAGAAAACCTTCTGCGCTCATATGGAACTGCGTGACCCATGTTTTTAAATAAATTAGACGATTCTCTTGTCATCACGGTTTCATACCATGGAAACTACGTCTGCGCAAGTGAACCGCATCAATATTCAGTAATTATCTTGAACACACAGAAACGCAGGCGGAGATCAACATGTCAAAGGAGTCTGCAAGCCCTACAGTAGCTCTGGTGACTGGAGCGAACCAGGGGATCGGCTATGAGATTGCCAAGAGACTTGCGTCTGAACATCCAGACTACCATGTCTTCATGACAGGACGACGAAAAGAAGCGATTGAAAAGGCAGCTTCAGAGCTGCAGGAGGCCGGCTTGAATGTAGAGCCCCTCGTACTCGACATCACCTCCGACGACAGCATAAAATCAGCCCTCGACATAATCCGCTCCAAATTTGGCCACCTTGACGTTCTGATTAACAACGCCGGTATCCTCTCGGGCAAGCCCGAAGACTCGATCCGGCAAAAGCTCACGACGGTCTACGACACCAACGTCTTTGGCACGATCGCCGTCACAGACGCCTTTATTCCTCTTCTTTGCGAGTCTACCAAGGTCAGGCGCGTTGTTTTTGTCAGTTCTGGGCTTGGGAGTCTTGCGGTTAGGACGGATCCGGGCCAGGAACTTGAGAGAGACTTTATCGAGTACGGTTCCAGCAAGGCTGCACTCAATCACGCTGCGATGACCTTTGCTTCTAGATACAGGGACGAAAAAATGTGGAAATTTAATATTTGTTGTCCTGGCTACTGTGCTACCAGCATGACTGGGTATGATGGGACTGATGAGGCGTCGTTGGGATCGATTCAAGCCGTTCATTTGGCGACGTTGGGGCCTGACGGAGACACCGCGACATTTACGAATCGACATGGGCCGATCCCGTGGTGAATTTCCGAGGGACTGGCTGCGCGACAGACTGCCGAAGCTGGAGATGCTGGTTTGATGTTTCGACATTGTCAAATGTACTCCAACTTAGTTCAGAAGACCGAATCACAGAAGCTGAGAATGAATCAAAGGAAAGGCCGAGAATAGCTGATCGTTCTGATCATCAACTTATTAGTTACTATTTTGCGTTGGATGCATTGACCACTCCTATCAATCGCTCTTGTATCAGCTAGCGAAACAATCTTTGTGCTGGCGCAACACCCGCGGACGCGTCCGGATGTGTCCGGTTTGGTGCCAGGGATGAATGAGAGCGCGCCAATCAGGCGAATGTGTCCATGTTACTCCAAGGGCGTGCCTGGGACTTCCCCGCTCCACCTCGTGGCGCATTCAAACGAAAACGACTCTCACCCTCCACGGCCATGTCCCATAACATCTTTGATAGCTAAACCAAGGACCAGGAAGCTTGAAAAGATTGCCACTTCGAGGCCCTCTTCATCATGGATAAGCCTATTAGACGACCCTACCGAGGCTCATGTCACTGCGGTCAGACGCAGTACATCGTCTTCCTCTCATTCCCTCACACTCTACCTCCGCCGCGGGCCCCAAAGGACGAAGCGCCGCGATCCCATCAGGACTTTTACAGATGCAACTGCACCACCTGCCACAAGGCCGGATTTCTCCACATGCGCCTCGCCTCAGCTCCGGACGACTTTCTCCTTCTGAAACCTCTCGATCCGTACAATGACCTTGGCGACTACACCGTCTATGAGAAGGATTTGCACTTTCTCTTTTGCAAGACCTGTGGCATGCGATGTTTCATCGTCATGGGGGAGGGCGAGGTGGCAAACGTGGACCTAACGACCGTGAAAGCCGGTGCCGATGCCGATGCCGGTGCCGGCTCCGGTGTGGAGAAGGGGGAGGAGGAGGCGGCCCGCGGCAAAGACGGGGCGGCGGCGGGTGAGAAGAGCGTGACAAAGGTGTGGAGACCGAGGAAGCAGGGGTGGGTGGAAGGGAAGAAGTTCGGAAGCTATTTGAGCGTCAACGGATATTCCGTCGACGCCGGCCAGGATGGGTTCGACTTACGCGAGATAACGGAGAAGAAGTGGATTGGGTATTGTGATTGGCTTGAGTTGCATTCCGAAGGGTCTCAAGGGACTCGACATGATCGGCCCTGGGAAGGCGGCGCTTATTGAGTTGGTTCGAATGGTTGCATGTGTTCAGTCAAATCCCGGAATGATAGGGGACTGAAGCGACGCGTTAAAGTGGATTTGAGCTGAATATAATGTTGGTTGGATCATGTTGCGCGGGGACGATGAGGGGGCCGTCGGGATATGGATTCCCTCGCATCCATAAAAAGATTCCGGCCTCTGATATGAGCACCGAACCAAACTTGTCGCTTTTACTCCTTCGTAGTTCGTTTCGTGAATTTCTGCTTCAGTCCTGATAGCTGTGATATCTTAGATGATTAGAACTATAATAATGCACTGCAGTCATCCCTACTGAGTCGTGTGCTCCTGGATATTGCTGACGGAGTATCACTGCGGAGGTCTGGATTCCGCTCCCGGCTCACTGCCGCGGCGCCAACAGAGAGGCTTTAGCGGAATCCACCATACCCCCTTTGACCGTCGCTGGGTGAAACGATCTCCTTGCTTTCAAGAGACTATGCAATTAGCAAAACTCTAAGCCCGTATGTCCCTTATCGTTGGGCTTAAGTTGCATGGAAAAGTACGAACTTTGTTGGGAGACATATCTTGGCGCTATCTTCATCAGGTCACACACCCTGTCTGGTGCCATTACATTTGATCAAATGCCGCGCGAGTCCCACATCTAGGCAGCAAGCAGCGCATCAAAGAGATATAAAAAAAAAAGGGTCTTTGAAAGGTCGTCCGAGGTCAGAGGAGCCCGTCAATCCTATTTACCTCTCACCTGCAGTTGTGTCGCCTCCTCGCATACCTTTGCTCTCCAACCTTGCCATACGAAGAACCAACTCCCTCCCCGAAGCAACAGCGACAGCAACAGCAACAGCAACAATGACAAACACAAACCGCATCGTCAAGGTAGCCGTCACCCAGGCCGAGCCCGCCTGGATCGACCTCCCCGCGGCCGTCACAAAGACATGCCAGCTCATCACCGAGGCCGCCTCCCATGGCGCCCAGCTCATCGCCTTCCCGGAGTGCTGGATCCCCGGCTACCCGGTGTGGATCTGGACCCGCCTCATCGACTTTGACCTCAATGTTAAGTACATCAAGAACTCGCTGCAGCTTGACTCGCCCGAGATGGCCACCATCCAGGCCTGCGCAAAGGACAACAACATTGCCGTCTCGCTCGGGTTTTCAGAGAATGACAACCACTCGCTCTTTATTGCTCAGGCCCTCATTGGCCAGGACGGCGAGATCAAGGTGCACCGCCGCAAGATGAAGCCCACGCACATGGAGAGGACCATTTTCGGCGACGCGTCGGGCCACTGCCTGAAGAGCGTGGCCGAGCTGCCCTTTGCGCGCGTCGGTTCTCTGGCATGCTGGGAGCATATCCAGCCGCTGTTGAAGTATAATACGATTGCGCAAAAGGAGGAGATCCATATCTCGGCGTGGCCCAGCGTCACCCCTCATTCCGGCGGTGGCCCGGACATGTGGTCAATGAGCGCGGAAGGTATGTCTACATCATGCCCATTATTCCAAAAGTTTCCCGAGAGACTCACAAAGAACTTTGCTAGGCTGTCAGAACCTCTCCCGCACGTACGCCATCGAGTCCAATGCCTTTGTTCTTCACAGCACAGCGCTCATCTCCGAAAAGGGGATCGCGGCGCACAGCAGCTCCGGCGGCGCCATCATGTCGACACCCGGCGGCGGAACCTCTGCCATCTTCGGCCCGGACGGCCGGAGGCTGTCGGAGCCCGTTGACGAGAACACGGAGACCATTATTTACGGCGACTTGGACTTTGACGCCATCCACAGGACCAAGATGTTTGCCGATTGCACCGGTCACTACAGCAGACCGGATCTTCTCAGGCTCAACGTAGATAAAGAGATTAAGATCTTGGTCAGGGCGGATAGTGATGCGGCCAGGGAGCCGAAGGAGGAAGAGGCAGTGCTTGTTCTATAAATAGCTATTTTATAATTGCGATTCTTGTCTTATTTTCTAGCAATCAAACTTGATAATGGGAAATTGCATTCCACCCAAAAGTCATGGGCTTTAATTGTTGTTGCTGGCTGATGGCAACTTCATGGGCAATCGTGAAGACTCGATGAAGGCAATGAAAACGAGAGGTACGCTTAGGTGAATGATAATCTAACCTCTGGTCGTGAACGTTGTCCCTTACGCCAAACGCATTCCTCAATCTTCCCATCCATTCATAAGCCGTGATTACTTGAAAGCCAACTAAAATCTTCGCACTCCGTCAGCCCCTGAAAGGCCTGCAGAAAGTCAATAGTGCCCATGGCATTCGTCCGCGCGCCGCTCAACCCAGACACGTCGAGAGTCCCCAGAGACGCAAAAGAGTCCATGTCCAAAGTGCCAAAGTCCACAGGAGGCGCATCCGCCGCAGCAGCGCCGTACCCATCCCACTCGTACTCAAACTGCACCTGATTCGCACCACCCAAGTCCGCCTCGCCCATGTCTCTACTCTGCGTAATATTCGCGCTGAAATCCCTCTCGGCATCAGGCGCTGCCGCCGCCGCCGCCGTCTGCTCGATCTGATAGCTGAACTCGATAGGCAGCGCCCTCGTAACGCCCCACCGCTGCGCCAGCACGCGAATGATCTTGATGCTCTTGGCGGCGCGTACGGGCCAGGAGAGCTGCAGCTCGCGCAGGAGCTCGAGGCACTGTCGAAGCCAGTAGGTGCTCTGGTGCCGTAGCGCGGGTGTCCAGCTCGTGGCGTTCATGAGGTGGACGATGGCGGCGCTGAGGAGGTGGTGGATGATGACGGGGTTCGGGGACATGTCGAAGCCGTGGGCGCGGCGGTAGGTCCGGACGAGGCGGGAGGTTGCTGTTGCTGCGGCGGTGAGGGAGCGGAGGACGAGGAGCATGAACTCGGCGTTTTGCCTCTTGCTGCTGTTCCCGGGCTCGGCTGCTGTCGAGGTTTGAGAGATCGCGGCAAAGATGCGGAGGAAAGGAGGCATGGTGATGAGGATCGAGATCTGGTAGGCCAGGTGGAATTGGATGACTGGTTTCGGGGTCGAGTCGCCTGACAGATGGAGCCTGTCGTCACGGGAGCGGAAGAATGCACTGAGTGCGTCCTGGCTTGCCACGAGGATGCGAACTTGTTGTGATATAGGTAGAGATTCAAAGTTTGTTGAAAAGCTGAGAGATCGAGGTTACTCGTGGGTTGTCCGTCCAGGGAATGCTGGGAAATAAAACGGAGGAGATGGTACTTACACCTGGTCCATGTGCTGGTCGTGTAGATACCACAGCTTGCACTGCCATGCAAAGGATACCTGACCCAAACTTGCTTTTGAGCTCTCAAAGGTCATTTCAAAGTCTGGCACGTTGACTCTTCGCCACGGTAACGCGCAATTCCGCCCAAGAATCGAGATGGCTGTCCTGTCAATGATGTAAAACATCCAGAAAGTGCGAATCTCCTGCTCCGTGGCCTCCAGCTGCCTGGCTTCGCACTCGTCCAGCGCCAAGACGTGCAGTCTGAGATGTACGCACATGCCGGCGGCCATGGAGATGAACATCCAGCCAAAGTGGTCTCTCCCCATGGCCAGCGAGCGCCAGGACATCATGGACAGGCCCTGGATGACCTTTAGTGTCGGATTCTGCCTGCAGCACGTGAAGATGAGGCTTTCCGCAAAATGCGCAAATGCGTCTCCTATTAGGGTAGCATCGGGTCTTCGTGTAAAGGTTGTACCGGTGGCGATGATGGCGCTGTGCAGGAAGGCTTCATCTGGGGTTTGGTAAGGGTAGCTGTGCAGAAAGTCGGTTGTCGTATGTGGCGTAAACTGGTGTTCCTGGTTGATATTCTCCAAAAAGAGATCAGCCATCTCGTATATCAGGCCCTTTTGTCGGCAGTAGACGAGGACCTGTTCCGGAGGGATGACTTGATTGGCCAAGGGCACTGCCGGCCGTACGGGGTCGACGGAGTAGTGAGACCCAGTAGCAGGGTCGTCGATGATGGTCACCCCGTCACCGACATTCGTCCTCCATAGCATAACGCACAGCTCTTCCATTGCCATCTGGGACCTCTCCTGCGTCCCTGAGTCTCTGCTTGCACTACCCCCATGGTCTTCTATACAGATGATGTCCTTGGTGTTTTCGTCGTTGTCACTGACTGCGAGGCCTTCAGTGGCGTCACCTCCATCGGCCTCACCTCCATCGAGACTCTCTCGGAGGGTCGCGTCCGGCTCTGCGGACTGAGATGCACGGCCACTGAGAGACAATGATGGGGACGGTTCATTGTCGACGCTTTGCTTCTCCAGAGCCAAGAGCAGCGACTGGACTTGGGCTTCAAGGGCTCTGACGTAGTCCTCATCCCAGTATTTCCGTCTGGATGATTACGTTAGCGACACATTCGGCTGTACTTAGCATTACTTCTAGTTGAGGTGACTAGAACTGGATGACACACTTTCGGGGCCGTTGCTCAGTGTATACACATTCCCTGCTCTGCCTGCTGCATAAGGAGCATGCAGGACGGGCAGCATCGCACTGCCGACGGGATAAGCTCGTTAGTCGCGGAGGTTCACGAAAGGACTAGAGACTAGCAAGGAAGCCGAGGAAAGTTGCCATGCCGTGGGGTTTAGAATGGAGCAAATACTTGGGGTCAGTTCTCGCGCGGGATTCAGGACCTACTTTTCGCTTCCCTGCCCTGCAACGGTCACAAGCGAAGCTTGTTGATTTCTGGGACATGGCCGTGTTGGGAAGGACCGGGGAAGTGTTTGGATCAGATGTCCAGTCTCTTGCGGCCACCTGCAGTTGAGTAAGCCTACCCTTGTCGCGTCTGCAAAAGGCCGCGCGAGATTGGGTGGCGACTCACTTCATCCGGCTGCCAACGGTTATTTTCCTTTCAGCTATGGAATTGATTGACACACCCTCTGTAGTCGGACGAGTCCAGAGAGGTGGGGGGTGCGAGACCTCCTGGGAGACCTAGAGGCAGAGCTTGAGTCGTTGGATATGACTCTGCTGGAGAGCGACTGACGTCTCACGTTTGTGGTGTCGTCGTGGTTTATCTGCGGGGTGGAGACCTCCGCAGGATAAGGAAAAAGGGCGTGAATTGAACATGTCATAGACGGATGGCACCGGGGCGCAGATGAGGGGTTTGCGAGACATTTCTCAGGGCACGAGGGGGCTGACAACCCTGATATGCTGAGTGGCTGCGGATGGTCGGAATGATTTCCGATGCCCATGCTATAGACTCCCGAGCTGAACTCTCTGATGTGGTTTCTTTTTGTTCTGTGAAGAAGGGGTTCTTATCAGCAGGATATCTTAAATAAAGAGGGCCTAGGGGCGCGGGCCACAGGTCATAAATAGGTCGACGCGGATAGCTATGGTGAGCGTGTCATGCATGTTGCTACGGGCTGGACGCGCTCATCTCCCGTCCCGTACTGCTTAAGTGCAACCAAGCTACAAGTTAGGGACCTGTACTCGTAGTCACATACCTTTTGGCGAACAACCCCAGGTTGGGCGAATAGCCTAGTCGGTAGATAGGCTGCTTGCCACTTTAGCGCACTTCGTGGGCCAACCCTTCATTCACAAAGGTGAAAGACACCAGTGACGCCCGAATTGGTAAACACTAGGGGCCGGCATTTACCCATATGATCAGCAAGGATGTATTTTCTGTTCCAAACGAACGATGGGAAGTTCCTCATCGATAAAAGACCTTTCAAGAGAACCTCCGCGAAGCCGTGGTGGGTCGGCAAGTCGTGAGGGGGCTGGATTTTGAAAAGCTTTCACGTTGGCGGCAGAAAATCTGCTTCTGTAGCAAACCGGTCAAAGGCCAAAGAGATGATTAGAAATTTCGCAGGATTTTAGGCGTTGAACCGCGTGGGGGTCTCGTAGTTGGCAGTGGACGACAAGTCTTTTATCGCTCATCTATGCTGGTGACCAGAAACGGCCTAAATTGAGACAACAACTATGGTGTGGGATTAGTTGCTAAACTCCACCGTCTAGTTCAAGTACGACAAGATTTAGTGGGCTGATGTCATGCTTCAGGCATTGAACAAAATCGTATGCCATAGGCACATCAGGTATTCTCGCTGCCTCTGAGGGACACTTCCTGAAGGTAATAAATGCTTATTAGACTCTGATTGCTTGAAACATGAGGCCCGACTAAATAATTCTCAGCATTTCGAGTTGCATTCTAATATACCTCTGATCATCCTCATATATTGTCACAAAAGGGGCTGATACAGCTATGAGACAGGGCGCGGATACTACGCGAGTCAGGCGAGGGTATATATAAGGGCACATCAGACACAGCCTTCTGAATGCCGTCATTCAGACAGAAGACAGACCACAGTTTAGGTGCCGATTCCTATGAGCTATTCTATATGCTGATTCATCGCATATATTGATACAGAAAGTACTCCACTGCGGGAGCCAGTCAAGCAGATAAGAGGGATAATTATTATTTAAAAATTGATCTTTTTAATCTAGAATTGAAAAAGATCACAGAAAGCTCTGAAAAGGATCTGAGAACCAGCTAGATCCATCAGTGTTACTCTACAAATCCCTCATTTTGGGATTCCATCCAGTCTGATCCTTTGACTGTCGATGGGGGGAACTGTGATCCCAGTTGTCATCCCTTTGCTAACCTCCATAGTTCCAGCCATAATAAACGACTCGAGTATTATTAACTTGGTGCAAGACCAGGGCCAAAGGCTCCCAAGACTTTGGCAAATAATCAAGAGTTCTTCAACTGAATCCTTCTATAAAGTTGCTGGGAGAATTTTGACTGCTCAAGGGGCAGCATGAGTAAGCGGAACTTGTGTAGGCTTCCAAAGTTTGAACCAGTACACGGCAAGGAGTCCCCGATTGAGTTCAGTACCGATGCCATGCCCACCTTAAAAACGGACGGTTCGCAAGAGAGAGCACTTGACGACCTAGGATTGATGATGTAACCCCTTTGAGCAGCTACTCAGAGAATCCTTCCGGCACATTGAGAGCCCTACTGTTTGTGGAGATGATTGCTTCCAAAGGATTCACACGTGAGCAAACATGCCCAGCCAGTGGACCTGAGGATCTTCCAAAGTCAATTGGGAAGCTCGCGTATGAGTCATCGAGGCAACTATCTTCGCTGACAGTTGAAAGATAGCAAAGCATTCATGTATGAAGGGAGGAAGAGCTTTCGTCTCCAGAGCCATTGATGGTTCGGGCCTCACTCCAGTCAACACCGACATAAAAAAATCTTCAAATTGGTTTCAAGTCCTCTATACCAGGGTACCGATTCGACTTTTATAGGTACAGTCAGTGTTGAGTCATATGATCTGACTTACACCATGATCTCCAAAGCATAGTTCACTTTGGGTTGGTGAGTGTTTCCTGATAGAGCTGTCATCACAGGTTTTTGAAACCCGTTCAAGATGAGGTTTATTGCCACCGTCATTGTCACCTTGGACTATCTCGCCATGGCTGCACCCCGCCCTGAGGATCAGGCAACTTCGCAGCTGAGGCTGCAGTATCTGCGTACAGCCTGGCTTGGTGCAAAGTTGCAGGCTTCACGAACCAAGTTTTCAGGGACAGCCTGCCAGTAAAGCAGGAATGGGGATGTTTGCAAGGCGGTACCATGAAACCAGCTTGCAATTGAACGAGTGACGGCCATTGTAAATATCCAATTGCGTCAAACTACTGTCTCAAGAATGCCAATTCAAATTGAATAAGCCGTGACTACCGGGAATGTCTTCCATGCCACGTCTCAAATCGCAATTGACTTGATTGAACTAATAATAAAAGGGGAAAAGAACACAGTCTACAGAGTTCAAGTTGAAACGACCACATTATCTTGATACAATCTCTGGCCTTTCGAAACGGTGATTGCGCAAACCAGCGCTTACATGGTTCCCTCGTACTATTCCTCAGTCCAGTCAGGCCAGTTTCCGTTTCAAACTTTTGGTGGAGAGGATTGACCGCGACTTGCGTCGGAACGGTCGATCCCCGACGCGAATCCGAGAAGGCATTATTCAGCTCGACCAGCCGACCAGCTCCGCCCCTCCTCGGCGCCGACCGATCGGTGCCCGGCTGGGTCGGCGGGAAGAACCGCCCCGGGAAAGTGGGGGCGGCCGTCTTTGCCGCACATGGTTCGCCGAGGACGGTCGGGAGACAATTCTCCGCTGCCCGCCGCTGCCCGTGCAGAGCTGCCCGCATTCGCAGATCTCCCTCTTCCCCGTATGCAGTTGGTGTATCCATCCCATTTCTCGATGCCGCAATGATGATGAAATTGCGCACAGAAAGCACACGGAAACGCATCCATGACGTCACAAGAGCATCTTTATGTTCTGCCAAATTGTGCGAAATCCTCTACCCTCGGGGCAATGGTGAAGGAAAACACGAGACATTGTCAACTACTGGAAGAGAGCAGATACCATTCAACTTCGAGACTGGGTAATCAAGCCGTGAAAAGAATTCAGCAGGTGTCTACTTTAAGTATCACTGCAATCTCGCTTGTTGAACAGAATGGCCACCAAGCCGGACACAAGTGCCGGAGATCCCCTCAGCACCAAGAACCAACTGCTCCAAGCCGGTGCTTCAGTGGTGCAGGTAAGCTGTCGCCTTCTTTTCACAACCCAATGACGACAATCTCTGACATGGACATAGGACTTTGCACCGTTGAGAAATGTATGCGCTCATCTCAATGCCTTCCACGCATACGCCTCTGACCCAACTCGCGTAGTCGAGGCAAACCACTACTGCGGACACTTGAACGAAGACATCCGCCAATGCATCCTCTACGATAGTCCGGAAACGAATGCGCGCATCATAGGCATCGAGTACATGATCACCCCCAAGCTGTACGAGACTCTGGAGTCGGAGGAGCGCAAGCTCTGGCACAGCCATGTGTACGAGGTCAAATCGGGTATGCTCATCATGCCGCAGGTAAAGCTGCCCGACTCGGCATGGGAAGCGGCAGAGAACAGGGAGATGGAGCAAGTCGTTCAACTATACGGAAAAGTGTTCCACCTCTGGCAGGTCGACAAAGGCCACCAGCTGCCCTTGGGCGAACCGCAACTCATGACTAGCTTCACCCAGCCCGGCCAGCTCGACTTTGAGAAATACGTTGATGAGCGAGACAAAAGGTTCAAGTCAGATTATAAGCGCAAAGAGGAGGCCCGGAAGCACATTGCGAGCCCGTTGGTTCATACCGACGCTGACCAAGCATGGAAGGCCAAGAAAGAAGGGAGTCTCGCAATAAAAAGTGCCAAACACTGATGTGGTTGATGCGACAAGAAATAATCGGGGCTTGTAGCATGTAACCGAAAAAAGTCAATCTGCGAGTTTGATGCATCGCTCCCCGCGGAGGATACACCCGTTAACACGGTCAACTATTGACCAGTCGCATAACGTTGCAGGCGGGTCGTACAGGAGATATTCCTGACAGGGAGCCAGCAAGAGAGAGGGGGCGGGCATCATAGGTTAAAAAAAGGTATTATAGGCAATACTGGCTACTTGAGAGCACAAGACTAAGTTTTTACGGTTGCGGAGGCCAGCGCGAGGCGAGATTAATCTCCCATCTGAAATCCCATTATTATGATTTATCCAACACCCCCGGAAGATGGAGGCCCGGTCGCGAGACCAGAGGTTGTGGATATCAGAAGCCAGACCTGCTCGCGAGTGACGAGTGACGACACAAGAGTAGGCCAAAAGTAAAATGCCGAGCTATCCCCTTTTACTCTCTCATGGCCCGATGTCGATGCTTCAGATTCGTCTCGAAACGTCCCTTCTCTCGATTCTGCCCGCCCCCCATCCTCCTCTCCCACAGCTGACCAATCTCCTCCCCTCTCGCTTGGTGTAGCCCACCCACTTGAGGCTGCTGGTGATCGAATGACACCTGCTCTTGGCCTCTCGATGTGGGCCAGGGGTGAAACGTGAAAGGGGAGATCCTGGTCTGAAGAGTCCGGGCGCCGGCAGGGATGGGATGACTCCTTGTAGCAATCTTGTGGATCTCTCGCGTCTCCTTTCCCTCGCGGAGAATTCTTTAGGATAGCGGTGTCAGCGGCCGGCAATTTACGCGGCGGTGAGAAAAGGAGAAAGTTCTGGACTGTCTGGCCTTGGACTCGCTGAACGAAAAGCGAGCTGCTGGCTGCTGCCGGTGCGGCACCCTGAGCACCGACACCCCGAAGCACGGGGCAGATGTGTCTTCCATGTTCTTCCCCCACTTACCATGCAAGACACGCTCGCAAGCGCTCAGGTACCCGTCCGCTAAATTGTACCTTATGTGACATACGGGGATGCCGGGGGCGAAGAAGATTTCTCCCCAGACTGTCCAAGAGCAGAGTTCACTATCGGTAGGGCTTCTCTTCCTTGATGCAGCTGTGCTTCGCTCCGGCGCTTTCCACGCTTGTCTTAAGGTACTGAGGTTAAATGGTCCTGGCTATATACCAAGCAAGTCGAGTCGAAGCTGATCTCCCGAGGCGCTCATTCTAGCGTGTGGCTCTGATCGTCATTAAGAGGGCAAAAATTGAGGCTCAGCTGAAAATCCCCCCATCTTCTTCGTCCGTCGGACTTGTCAAACTACTAGCGTACGCCACGATCTGGGTTGGATCTGACGGATTACCCGTCCCGCTCGCGCGTCCGTGGCTCCTTTTGGGCTACAATGGCGACCTCCTTCAGCCGGTCTCCGAGCACGAGTCTCAGAATGGGGGCAATACACCAGACGAGTTCCCACGTTCTTTGCCTTTCTACCCGCCCCGGGAGGAGCCCACGCTGCGCCTGTCAAAGTCACGGACTCAGGAATGGGACGAAAAGGGGAAGGGGAAGGGGGTAATGAGACAGACAGAGGAAACAAGAGGGAGACTGGCAAGATTCAGAGAGATGGAGAGAGAAAGAGAGCCCGCTGAGCGAGCGAGGAGAGCGCGTGAGAGCCGGCTTCCCTCGCCCGTTTCGCCGCGGCGCCGCTTCTGGCTGTCTTCTGCGCGCTTTGGTGCTCTTGTGCTTGGCATCTGTATCACCCCTCGAGTCTGTGACCCCGTTTGGGCCAAGGAGGAGTTGGGACTATCCTGGGAAACAGATGAATGGGACACCGCCGACCCCCGGGAGAAAACAGGGCCGTGACGAAAGAGTTGCTCAAAGCGTCCAAGGTTCTATGGACAACCTTTCAACTCTCGCCAGGCTGCCCGCCCTCCTCCTCCTCTTCCGTCGACCAGGAACAACGTCCGCTCCCGCCTTGTCAGAATTTGCTTAGTAGGGAATCTCATAATGCTCTGTGAAACACGCTCGCCTCTTCAGAACAGCGCCCCCCAGCGCGTAATCGTCCGACCTTTTCTTTCCATCTGTCTCGGCCCTGCCAAACACGGCTAGTCGCCGTTTATGAAAACCAGTGGTTGACTCGCCGTCGACCGACAGGGATCCTGAGCCAAAACCCTCCTCCAAATCCACCTTCACCTCAACATCTGCACCCACGTAAGCCTCCCCCCAACCGCCTCGCTACCGGCTGCTTGACCTGGTCTTGAACCAACGCGAACTGCACCATGCTATTACTGCCAAAGCTGATGGCCAATCTACTCTTCAGCCTCGAGTGAGGTCCTCCCTCCCCCCAAGGTTCCATGGCTCGTCCCTTTGCCCCCCTACCAAACACCACCACCACCACCGCCCCCTTCAGTCCCATACCCTCCATCTGCCAAGATACGTCGGGGTCAGGGTTAGGTCGCGACTCCGCCCAGCACCACAGCCTTGCGACAAGAGGTGTTGCAGATGATCTGAGCAGATCAGCGTACATCATGGGCTGCTCGACGTTTGGCAGTGTTTGCGTCGTTTCGGTCCTCGACCGCGAGCCTTTGTATAAGACGACCTTTCCACGGCCTCGTCTCGTTTTTAGGTTTCCCCCCTCTCTACCCACACATCATATCATCCTCCTTCCGCGCCTACGCTCCTTCATCGGGCTTTTCTGTTTTTCTTTCCCTTCTTTTTCACTTCTCCCTTCACTTCGTTCCTTTAATCGTGCTGGCACATTACTTAGTCTCTGCGAGACAAGATGCTTTCTTTCACGGATATTGTAATTGGCTCGGCCTTCCTGGCATTGGCCCACGGCCACGCTGCCATTCTCGCTGCTCAGGGAGACGCTGGCTCACCTTCCAGTGTGGGGTTCTTGGGTATGTTTTTTTGCGCCGAGGGAGGGACGAGCGGCGAGGCTGTACCACGAAGTTGCATACTGACCAAAATTTCCAGTCGACCCAAACATTGCCCGCAACTGCACGACGATCAACCCCTGCCAGCAGGACGCTACCATCATCCGTGATGCCGAGATCAACTCCAACATTGTCAACGAGTGCGGACGCACCGAGATTGCTGGCAACATCGACATTGGCGAGAGCACGGAGAACGCCCTGGCAGCGAACCAGGTCACGCAGGTCAAGGCGGGCGGCGAGGTCACAGTCGTCATTCACCAGGTCAATGCCGATGGCGCCGGTCCCTTCTCCTGCGATCTGGACCAGACGAGCAACTCCCTCGCCGGCTCCGGCCAGATTCCGCTCGAGGTCACCAACAACGTTCCCGGCACCAACGGTTTCTCCCAGGCAAAGTTCCAGCAGTTCAATGTCACTGTCAAGATGCCTGCTGACATGAAGTGCATTGGAGGTGAGTTGAATCGGCCATGCTCTCTCGCAGCTTTAATCCCATACTGATCTGAACGCGTGTAGCCTCCACCGGAAACGTCTGCACCGTCCGCTGCCGTAACAACGCCGTCGCCGGTCCCTTTGGCGGCTGCTTCGCCGTCCAGCAGACCGACGTCACTCCCACCCAGAACACCCCCCAGAACATCCAGACCGGCGCCAAGTTGAAGGGCGTTCTGTCGCAGGTCCAGCAGGACATTGTCGACTTCCCCGCCGCCGCCGCCGCTAACCAGAAGGATGGCACGGCCGAGCAGCTGGCCGCCACCGACGCCGCCAATAAGGTCCTCGGTGCGCCCCCGATCACCGTCAAGCAGTTCCCTGTCGAGAATACCGGCCCTAGCCAGAACGGCGGAGGCAACACCGCCGCCGCGCCCGCTGCTGCTCCCGCTGCTGCTCCCGCGGCCGTCGCGGACCCCAACGCTGGCGCCGCGGACGCGACCGCTGGCAACACTGGCAACACGGCCAACACTGGAAAGGCCAACGGCGCTGGCGGCAACGGACGTGCGCGTGGCAAGGGCCGGGGTGGCAAGCGCGGCAGAGCGGCCGCTGCGAAGCGGGAGGAGAACGGATCCCTTCGCTGGGCCAAGCGCTACGCCAACGCCATGCCCGGTGCTGACTTCCAGCCTGAGGTCATGCCATGAAGGGGGTCTCTTTTCTCAGAATGAGAGAAAGTTTCAGCTTCTGCTGCTGACGTGAGAGAGACGCTCTGAGCCGTTTTTCCTTCTCCACCTGGTCCGTCAACATTGTGGTTTTTCCCTCTTAATCAAAGTCTCAAATTTTACAAGCACATTCCTCTTTATTGAGCGATAAGCACAGAGACACACAAAACCGCGGCGAACTCAAATCTGGGAAGAAAGGGAGGAAGAGAAAGCAAGAATAGTCCTGTTTTTGCTTCCCTTTGCGGAGAGCGGTTGCGAGTCTTTTTTTACACCCAATACATCTTTTTTTTACTCTTTACTACTGTGTGTACACATTATATAAAAAAATTTCATAGCCTTGATTTGATGTCAAATCGTCGCTGTGCTCTTCTGCGGAAAACTGATGATAATGTGAGAATTGAACCAACAACGACGGCTTGATGGGTTGATTGGGGGAGGGATGTTTCGTTCCCTTGCGCAACAACCCGAGGGTGCCAACCGAACACGGCAATGAAGACGAATCCGAGACACTTGCACCAAGTTTGCATTTCCCTCTTCCTCTTTGAGCTCTTCTCGGGGTTTTGTTTCCACTATGCAGTCGACCGGGGCCTGCACCCGAGCTGTGCGTCCCCCCAAAAAAGACTAGACTTTACGTTTCTGAAACTGCGGTGGTGGGGTTTGTAGAGTTTGCTGCCCGGTGTTAAACACTACAGCCCGTTATTTCCCTTCCTCCCCCCCCCCCTCCCTTTGAGCACCACTTCTTTTCAACCCGCGGTGTTCGAGAAGTCCCGTGCTGAAACGCACAGATGCTACGGATGGGTAAGCGATGCAGGGCCCGGCCGGGTAAGGCCTGGCGCATAGTCGAACGATTGGGACTGGAGTTTCTCAGTTGGGAATGCGAGGCGGCGGTTCAATGCTACGAGCATAAGGCCATCCCACCGCTTACTGATACAAGACGAGCCAGAAGGAACAAAGCGTTCCCTACTAATTCCCTTTTCCAGAAAGATAAGAGCTGTTCCAAAAGTGCGATGTAGGCATCCGCCATGTTTCAATCAGGGAGGGTAAGGGATGTAAGTCTGAGGCAGTATATTGCATCACATCAATTATAAGAAGCCCCCTTCCTAACGTTGGAAGGGCCATTAAGTGTACGTGTCATGTGTTTTTCTTTTCCGAAAGTTCTTGACAATGTAATCAAACTTCTCCTCTACAGTGATTGATCTACGTGTGTATGCCAATGATTCCATTCATGTGACTCGAGGGAAGGCAGCGCTGCTCCTGCGACGTTTCTGCAAGGTTTGAGCATTGCCACAGTGCTAAGCCTTACAAGTGGGTTTAGATCTCTTGGCTTCAACTATGAATGTCGACATCAATCGTAGGGCCTGGGTTAACGTGTGGGGGAAAGCATGGAGATCCCCCTCAGTCAGTCCGGGAGGGGACTGCCAGACTTCAGCAACCTCGGAGCTTACTTGGTCAGCACAGTATTCTGAAGTCTATTGCCTTCTTTAGATGCATTGAAAAGTTCCGTGGCAAGTGTTGTGTGTGGACTAGTCCGTCCGCATTGAATAGACAGTTCACTGGTACCTTGCATATGGTTGAAAGTCAATGACGGAGTGAATGCATTCCTCGTTATCATGGAAACGCACCATTGCTGCAAACAAAAACAGTAAGATTCCCAAGAAAAATCTCGCAGACTTTCTTCCGCTCTCGCATCGCAACAGCATTCTCATAGTTGCAAAAATGCATCAATGCACGGCCAAAAATCTGGTTAAAGGGTGGAAATGGTTCGGCGTCTGTTCTTCAAATCATAGTTTCAGCCGTTTCGACGACAGACGAGGGAAACCCAACAAACTACAAAACTCAGTCTTCTCATCCTCTCGTCTGGCCCAATCGGCAGTCCTTTGACACAGGATACTCAGTAGATCCTGGTGAGGCGAAAGAGTCAGTCACAACGGCACAGCACAACAACCTTCTTGGCTCGTTTGATTTGCTGGGCATGATTGTCCGTTGTGTTTCTAGATGCCCACCTTCGCTTGAGGGCTCCATACAGCTGTGGTGAAGTATCTGGAAAGGCTGGGAGCACAGGCTTATGTGACAAAACAAACAACCGATCTTAAAGTTGACTTTCATCGTGCAGTCTGACAAGAGACTGACAAAGAGGGACGTGTCGTCGGACAAGCTTTCCCTGTGCAATTCGTTTCTCTTCACTCTGCGCTTGCCCCTCCCCCCTCAATAATAAGGTATGAATCTTGTGTACAAACGTTCGAGCCCTAAATTCGTCACGCATACCACCCCATTTTCCGCCGGAATCTACTATATAAGCTCAGAACGTTGCTGCAATCACGCTTTGTGGACGAGACATGCTTTTTTGAATACGTTGTACTGCAGCATGTAGAACTCTTTGAAATTTTTTTAATTTTGGTTATGCTTCATCTTCTGTGATTTTAGTTCCAACGGCGCGGTAGCATCCGTGATCTAGAGTTATTGCTACTCATATCCACATCTGGGTCATCGGCTCGACGGTCAAAATATTGTGTGACGAAGCTTAATGATGTCCTAGTAGTACTGTTTACAGATACAATATTCAAAAAGACTCCACCCTACGGCTTGACGTTCCGGAAGTGTACAGTCTCAATATCTCCCTCCAACTTTGAATATTGTTGCAGCGCCACATGTGGCGCTACCAGGTATACTGCCGCTGAATACCGCTTACCACAGAACGACCGTTCCGTGAGCTGGCTCCATACAGCAAATGTGTCCACGATCCCGCAAGGGGCGTTTTCTAAGTTGAACCAAGCCACTTACTGTAATATACGTCTTTCGCTCGATACCTCGCTTGTTTATAGTTATCCAGCCATACATGAGCATTTTTGCATTTCGGCTCCAAGATTTCAATCGGCTGGTGGATAGGAGACCGAGCTTATGGTCTCTGGGCCGGCGTTTCACATAGGTGGCAACATGAATATTATTCAAATACTACAGCCAAGCCAAGGCCCAGCCATCAAACATGGAGCCGCAAGACTTCAAAATCCACGCCGAAGAGGGTAGACAATGAGAATCATGGCTAATCATTGACAATTAAAGAATGCGGTGGGCTACCCTCCGTTGAGTGCATCAGCAACACTAGCGCTCAAGGGGCTCTGCATGCATGAGATTCCCAGGACCCGAAATGTGAAAGAGAGCATGGGACTTTGCAGCATATAGAAATCTCAATTATGGGGATCTAGAGTAGCATGAACTACGTAATGAATCGGTATACTTCAACTAACCAAAGTTCGCTAGCACTTGGGAGAAGTTAAAGACCGCCCTCGGCTGAGTGACTCCGATAGGTGGACTGTTTTCCGCGGTCCGCCGTTCCGTGCGACGCTCCGTGGGTCCACGGCCCCACTACCGGCAGCCTGAAGCCGTGAAACAGGCATAACCTGACTAAAAAAGGGGGCCAAAAAGTCAATTAGACTAAGGGGGGATAAAGAGGAATGGGATAAAGAGAACTCTACTGTTTTCTCGTCAGAAATAAAGGTTTCGCGTGGGCATTTGCAGGCATGACCGCTTTTTAGTCACGTTCGTCGCAGTAATTGAATCTAAATGTGGCGCGCCCAAGACTTGACGGCGATGTCAACGTTGACCGGATGTCGGCGGTTCAGCAGCCCACGTTTCACGACTCTGCACGACGGTGGGCCGAGTTTATGGTGAGAAAGAATGAGGCAAATACTAGCCGCTGAGCGGCGCTGAGCGGATGAAGCAAACGAGGAACTGCTGCTGTGGAATGGGATTTGAAGACTTCTCTAAATCAGTTCGCTCAACAAGCGCGTCTTCTCGATTGTTTTCTTAGCCTACTTGAGACCAACACTATGAGTGCCGCACAAAAGTTGATTGTTGGGGAACTTAACGCCGTCGCACCCGCATCCGTAGCTTCGGTACTGCTCAATAAATGCCGTGCCCTCCGGCGCGAGCAGGGGAGGCGGCTATTACTCGTCCAATCGCATGAAGACACTTCTCCCAAACGGAGGGCGGTGGGAGATATTCCGCCCGGGTGCCCCTTGCATGGACACTAACTTGGCTTTGCTTGACTTTGCGGAGAGAGCCACACGATGTCACCTCATGACGAGTTGCAGCAACCATGTGCTCTCTTGACTCGCTCATCCAACGCCCAATCTGCGAGTCACCAGCCCGTCGGTGCCAGCCCGTCGATCCTTGTGATAATTAATCAATATGTTGCAGACGGCTGCCACGAGGCAACCGAGAGAACCAACTTGCGCCCCCCTCGGATCAAGCCTCGCCCAGCAGGCTTGGCCTCCTTGGTCTCTTTTGGTCTCCGAGAAATAGACTTTGACCACGTTCGTCCAATCCTACCTCTCCCGGGCCCTCAAGACGGACTTGGGCAAGGCGGGAAGATATCCGATCTTGCCTATCTAGGCTCATTAGACTAGCAACAACTCTCCAATGACCGCTGCATCCCGGGTCACTGTTCCCAATTGAACACACCTCGACTCACTACAAGCCGCTCGCGGGAGCTCCTTAACCCCTAGACGGAAATTAAGCAGTTTGGGAGGAATTGGGAAGAGAGGGGCGTAGCGCGGCCATCTCGCGATAGTTTAACCTGGAACGAGAGATCGAAACAGTTTGTGAGAGTCTATATAATGTGACCGAGGCCATCCCCTCACTTTGGCTTTTCGTTTTTCCATCCCAAGCCATTCGCCACATTCTTTTCCCATACATTCTTTTCTTGCTCAGACCCATCTGAACATTTTCCCACACTCTTTTTTCATCGATTCTTTCTCATCCGTTCTTTACCGACTTGACGTCCGAAGAACCATCATCACCACCATGTTGACCAAGGTTTCCGCTCTCACGGCCCTCTTGGCCGCCGTTCGTGCGCAGCAGGTCTGCAAGCTCAACGCGGAGACCAAGCCTGCGCTCACCTGGTCCAACTGCGCGGCCGGCGGCACCTGCAAACAGGTCAGCGGCACCGTCACCGTCGATGCCAACTGGCGCTGGACTCACCAGACCGAAAGCAGCACCAACTGTTACACTGGCAACAAGTGGGACACGTCCATCTGCTCTACCGGCGAGGAATGTGCTTCCAAGTGCTGTCTCGACGGAGCCGACTACTCCGGCACCTACGGCGCCACCGCCACCGGCGACGCCCTCAACCTCAAGTTTGTCCAGCAGGGCCCCTACAGCAAGAACATTGGTTCTCGTATGTTCCTCATGGACGGAGCCGACAAGTACCAAATGTTCAAGCTCCTGGGCCAGGAGTTCACCTTTGATGTTGATGTCTCTAACCTGGGTGTAAGTGAAAACCCCCTTCCCTCATTCTGGGAACAAGGGAGCACCTTGACTGATACGTCGATCATAGTGCGGTCTTAACGGCGCCTTGTACTTCGTCTCCATGGACGCCGATGGCGGCAAGTCAAAGTTCCCCGCCAACGAGGCCGGCGCTCTCTACGGAACCGGCTACTGCGACAGCCAGTGCCCCCGCGACCTCAAGTTCATCGATGGCAAGGCCAACGTCGAGGGCTGGGTGCCCTCCTCCAACGACGTAAACGCCGGCGTCGGCAATCTGGGCTCCTGCTGCTCCGAGATGGATATTTGGGAGGCCAACAACATGGCCAGCGCCTACACCCCGCACCCCTGCGAGACCATCGGCCAGGCCAGCTGCAACGGCGACGCCTGCGGCGGCACCTACAGCTCCACCCGTTACGCCGGCCAGTGCGACCCCGACGGATGCGACTTCAACAGCTTCCGCCAGGGCAACACGACCTTCTTCGGCAAGGGCTCTCAGTTCACCATCGACACCTCCAAGAAGATCACCGTCGTCACGCAGTTTGTCGAGACCGGCGGCGCCCTCACTGACATCAAGCGTTTCTACGTCCAGGACGGCAAGGTCTTTGCCAACTCCAAGTCTGACATCGCCGGCGTCGAGGGCAACTCCATCAACGAGGGCTTCTGCACGGCCCAGAAGAAGGCTTTTGGCGACAAGGACATCTTTGCGCAAAAGGGCGGTCTTAAGCAGATGGGCAAGGCTCTCGACGAGGGCATGGTCCTCGTCATGTCCATCTGGGACGACCACCACTCCAACATGCTCTGGTTGGACTCCACCTACCCTACCAACCAGACCGGCCCCGGCGGCCCTCGCGGCACTTGCGGCACTGACTCTGGCGTTCCCGCCGACGTTGAGGCCAAGGCCCCCAACTCCAACGTCATCTTCTCCAACATCAAGGTTGGCCCCATCGGCTCTACCTTCAAGAGCGCCTAAGCTGCTGTAAGTACCACTGTCTGAATCTTTTCTATAAGTAATCGTCTCTAACGATGCAACCGTAACAGTAAAGCCTCACATGTCCGACACGCATGGCCGCGACAGCTCTCGCACCAATCTTTAGTTCAATCGGGTCCCATGATGCTTCTGCTTTGCCGGTTTGTCGGTCAGCCAGCAGTGAAGCTGGCACTGGTAGCTCTAGGAAGTGGTGGCTAGAGAGTCGCGCGGGTAGACGATGGTCGCATGGTTTGGAAACAAGTGTGCAATATAGACTTCTTTCCGTTTGTACATCTTCGAGATGGTTCATTGTATATACATAGTGCATGGCTTCGACTGTTCCTGCGAATGAACGCAAGGACATTCACCAAATAAGAATCTTTAGCCAAGATTTTTTAACTTACTTTTTATCTGCGCTGCTTGTCGTTCTAAGTGCTTGTTCTCTTTTCAGCTCGGAAGCACAGAAGAGTATTTGGCAAACTGTTTTGAGCGTCCTTCACCTTTTACTCCCAGACGAGGAGTACTTTCTGACAATCATCCACCTTCAGAACAGTTCATTGTATTGTGCCCAGAACCAAGTATGGCAGGGGTCGAATTCTGCATGAATTCTCAAAATTCGTCTGGAATAGAAGCAGGCAGGGATACATAGATGGTGTTTGCAACGACATCAGAAAGAAACCCTCAAGAGACCTGTCCGAATTGCGGTTTGTTAAGTTTTGAGTCCGGTAACGATTGTACCTCTTACTCATGCTGTACAGGCAAAGTGGGTGATTCTATGCCCTGCAACGTCTGGGGCCACGCTGATAGTGAGTCGTCTGTTTCTCAAGTTTCTCAACTTCTTTTTCTTTGAATTTTACCTACAGTCACTGATGCCTCATTTGGATGATGATTGGTTTGCGAAATAACTGCCTGGCGTTCTAGAGGAGACAATGAGTCAAAGACTTTGCAGCCAATACCTTTCGATCTGGGTAGAATTGAGCGCCCATGCAAAGCGTTGGCTCATTCTCGAGCATCAAATCGTTCCAATCAGCGTTAGGAAACATCCCCAAGCAGTTTTCGGGCCAAAATTTATGTGTTTCCATGGGTTCGCAGAGCACAACCTTTGTGGGAGCGTGTCAAGTGAATTGCGCATCATGACATAGGATATTACAGTGGAACTGTGGCCTCTACTGGTTGATTTACAGGGCAAATCCCTCTAGAGCGCTAAGCCCAAACAGTGCCCACCTCTCTTTCGCAGACCATGTATAGACGCTAAATGGTTTCCGAAAATCGGCAAATGTTGCAACCCTCACAATCTCCGAACCTCTTTCGGGCGCGGGGTTTTCAGATCAAAGGCTTTTGAAAAGGGCGCGGTTCAGCGACAACCATAATTCACGGAAATTCCAAGATGGACGGTAAAACGGGGAACAGCGCTACGGCTAGCAAGCCAGTGTTCTTTTTGTAAGCTCGATAATTCACAAACTCTTGGAGTTGAGATGCCCACAAGCAGATGCATACTCATCAGGAAATAGTGATATCGACAACTGCCTGTACTCTAGAAGTCAGTCGACCGAATATTTCTTTTCAAAAGCTGCCACAGCTCAGCCGGACTCATTAATGTTTTGCCTCAGGTCACAAAATTCATGATCTCATGGCGAAGCTCATCGACCAATACTTCATAACACACCTCTCGCTAGGTGAAGAAGAAGCATCGAGATTGACGAGAGAGTACTACAAGACCTACGGCCTCGCCATCGAAGGCTTGGTCCGCCATCATAAAATCGACCCTCTGGACTACAACGCAAAGGTAGATGACGCCCTGCCTCTGGAGGATATTCTGAAGCCCGACACAGAGCTCCGCGAGCTCTTGGAGGACATCGACACCAGCAAGGTCACGCTCTGGCTTTTCACAAATGCCTACGTCAACCACGGAAAGCGCGTTGTGCGACTCCTGGGAATCGATGACCTCTTCGGCGGTCTGACATACTGCGATTACGCTCAGTATCCTTTTGTATGCAAACCAGCAAAGGAAATGTTCCGCAGGGCCATGGAACAGGCGGGGATTGAAAACCCAGTAAATTGCTACTTTGTCGGTACGTTGTTGATTACCCATTCCTACGGGGGCCTGACCATTGGCCTTTGAAAGACGTGACTTGTAATACTGAACGACGCAGACGACTCCTATGATAATTGCAAGAGTGCAAAAGAACTTGGGTGGACGGCCGCACACCTTGTCGAAGAAGGGTTGCCGATCCCCGAGACCCAGGCTTCCCAGTTCCAGATTTGTCATCTACGAGAGCTTCGCGACATTTATCCCCAATTCTTCAAGTCCAGCGTTCAAAAAGCTAGATTGAGACACACAAGAATTATTTGAGATGCTTCGAGAAAAGAGAAAGAGATAGACTAGAATCTTGGTAGAAGGCTCAAGGCTGGGCTTCAATCCAATGACGACCGCATTCCTCGCCACACCTGGACTGCGCGCGGAGAATAGGTTTCAGTTTTAATTAAGAACAAGCGCCCTCATTAGCCATCAGTGCAGTGCCTCTGTCCATAGCAACTTGAAGTGACTCGAGTTCGAAATAATGCAATTCGAGAAATATGAAGTATATTCAGATGTTTACCGCAGGGTTCTTTTCAGCGCAAAGTTGCTACTTCAACTTAGGTGTCCTATTCTGTGAAGTCCCTGTACGACACAGCGATAATGTTTCTACTGTTCCGAAGTCTACGTTGCATGCCAATTTGGACGTTTGAAAAGCTGTCCCAGATTATGAAAGTGTGGACAGACAAGCAGCTCGAATGAATAGGCCGCAAACCACTTGTAGGAGAGAATCTTCCTTCTCCCCTTGTTAATACGCACCCTATGTGGCTTTGCCATTTGGATAACCCCTGGTGTTGCCTAGTGTCGATACAACAGAACATTGCCCGAAGAGTCCAATCTTTGGCCCATGTTTAGCTGCCACATATTTAGATGTATAACTTGCATAAGGTCGGCATGCACCTTTATGCATGAATCACCCATGGATCACCGCCAGTTGTTCGTACCCCTTGCATCCGAGAGAACAGCAACACTCCTCAGAGGGGCTGATGTGGATCTCATCGCGTTTGTAGCCCTACGCTTCTTAGTATATGGTCCACTTAGACATGGTAACTGACATCCACAAGAGATTAGTCACCTTGCCAGAGTGGTTAATGGGCTGGCCTGCTAGCTCGGGATTTCTATCCTGGAGAGCTGATAGCCAGTGGCTTCGGTCGCGCAGGTTCGAATCCTGTGGGTGACGACGATTTCCTTTTGCTGCTAGGCCCAAGGCGCTGAACATTTTTTCGTCAATTTTACCTTTAAATGCGGCTTGTCTTGTACTGACTCATGTCGTCTTGTCTTTTGCTTGGGTGAACAGCGTTGGAGATACATTCTTCGCTGACCATTCAGATAGATAAAATGTAGTAGCATCTCACAAGATCCATGAGAATTGTGCAAAAGGCGGCGGATGTCTTACTGAGTCGGCATTCAAACTCATGCCCAGTCGCAATTCATTTGCGCAGGCGAAGGTGTAGTAGTGTTTGTTCTTCACCGAAGCAAGCGGGCACAGTCGGCAATTGGACCCCTAAAAGTTGCTCATCTCCAGCCGGGGAACACTCTTCCATAATATTCCCCGAGCCCTACTGCGCCGTGGTTCCCGTCCGCGCCATCCAGAGCACTGGCGTTGCTAGCCGGGGCCATCTGACGTGATAGGATCCCCGTTGGCACCGACACGTTACCAATGATGGACGAAAGAGAACTCAAGTCTGGCGGTTTTATTCGTTCTCGATCACTTGAATCGAGGCCAGGGAGAGCAAACTGCGCCAGCACGCAGTGCCCCAAACGGACATGACTAATGCCATCGTTTCTATTGCGGCTCCTGCACAAAATATACGAGCCCTTGTCATCATCAATATATCAAGGTTGTTTTCATTTGTAAAGATCCACCAGATCAGCATCGTGCACTTGTCCAAGGCTTGATTAATGCCCTGCATCTTCGCCCTGGGCCCGCCCTTTTCCCTCGTCATAACACTCTTTCCCCCAGAGTTTCCCGTCACCCGACAACCCGACAAATAACACGTTACCTCCTCCTCGCACTTTGAGGTGAATGGTGTTGGTCGCGGCGGAAGCCACTACACTGGCGGCGACTCCTACTAAGAATAGATCAAATAGGAAGAGTTCCAGAGTCCTACTGCTCACATCATGCCACTAGCTTCAACTGCTCAGCCCTTGTACCCGTGCCAGCACGCTCCGTAGGCGTAGCTTAGATGGCGATACGAACCACAGCGCCACCCGCTCGGGTTGGGGCCGCGCCTTTTGCTGACACGAGGCAACCGGGGGCACCGAACGATGTCATTCATGCTCAGATGATTTTCGTCTACGGAGATATTCTCTGGGACCTGACGTTGGGGCCGTAGGACAATAATCGTCAGGAAACAGACGACAAGGGTCACTCGCAATGTTCATTTAGTGTTTGTGATGGAAAATACTTAAAAACATCAGACAATCCCCCCCTTCAGGCAGCTTGTTCTCCTTTGGCTCCCGCCATCTGCATTCCAAGCAACGTTTCTTGATATAGTAGACCATCGCGGCTATCCTTACAGCACCGATCAAATCGGCTAAACCTAGTAGCACCCGTCTACACAAACTCCCAAAATGCAGTTCCGCGCCTCTCTCGCCGCCGCCGGCCTCTTCGCCATGGCCAATGCCCGCATCTACGGCATCGCCTTCCCCGAGACCGTCAAGGCCGGTGACGAGGTTCAGGCCATCATCGAGACGGAGAACTACATCCAGACCGTCGCGGACGTCGCCATCGCCTTTGGCATCGCCCCCGAAGCGTCCGCCTACCCCGGCACCCTCGGCCAGAATGTCTTGGGCTCATTCTACCTCGGACCTGGTATGTCGGACGAAGCAACCATCATCACCTGACCCTGGTTTCTAACACAAGGTACACAGAAAAGTCCAACGTCATCGACAACATCACCGAGACGGTTACGATACCTGCCGGTCTGGCGGCTGGCAAGTACGTCGTCTCGGCCGGTTTGTATAGCTTGTACGGCGCCTCTTCGTCCTCGACCCTGTCCAGCTACAACGTCACCGTCACTGTCGGTGACACGACCAGCGAGACCTACGTTGGAAGCCAGCAATAGATACGATTCACGACGGTCATGGGAGAGTAATCTTGGTGCATATCAATGGCGTTGGATTTTGATTTCCGCTTGTAGGCCCCTACCGACTCACTGGAGAGTGCATCTGTACTGGGCCATGTATTGATAGAAAGTCGGCATTGTCAGGCATACGGCTAGCATTATTGAGGTTATAGACATGGTATCTCGTGTCTTCTGATAATCACACGTTGTCAATTTGCAATTTGCCTGCCGCCATGCTCGCATAATGACGCAAGACGTTAAGAATCTATTCATCGTGATTGATCTTGGGTAATGTTGAATCGAGATCGAGCAATACAGGATTTCTCACTGCCAATCTATACGTATTCCTCCCAGAGATTATTATCGGGATGATGGGAAGGTGGCAAATGTCTCGTGTTGTCATGTTTGCTCGACGTGTCTTTTTGCTTAGATTTTCTCTTTTTTTTTTTTTCTGCGCAAGTGCAATCAGAAACTTTAGAAAGTTACATTTGTTGGTAGTGAGTATTGAAAGCCCCTATGTGCCAGACGCTTAGCGAGTTCATTTGAAGAGAGGAATGGCACCCAATATCATTGACCAGGTCTAGGAAGATTGTTCATTCGCATGCTCGTGCCGACTGCCGTCATCGACAATAGTGCACCTGCATAGTCCGAAAACCCGATGCACAGTTAGGTCGGCAGTTATAATCGTTGGCATTTTCTTTCACTTTTAGTAGACATTCGCAGCTGTATGAAAGAGAGACTATGCTATTACGATTGGACAGCGGGAATCCCTTTGCCACTGAGACTTGAAGCAGTATACCACTCTATTTACACGTAGGCAATGCCAATAATCTAGTTGAGGTTTGTGACGCGTCGCTCCTCTTAATCTGCCAGTCTTAAACTACACCCAGAAGGCTACAGTACATAGAAAGGTCTGGATGGTGGACTGATCATTGTTCTACTGTCTCTCTCTATTCAAGACATGGCAATTAAGGATAAGGTTACTCACAGAATAGAAGATCACAGCGGGCATATGTAAGCCAGTGGCGTTAAAAGCAACTTCGTTATAGGTCTTTCCGGTTTATATATACCTATAGGACAGCTAAAGGAGCCTACAACCTTCAGCTTGATATCCATGAATAGTATTAGCCCCTAGGACCACTATTTGCGTTCAGTCAACACTTCTCCTCATGGCGTCTAGCTCTAGGCTTTGTCTCCGCGGCTGATTGATCACCTTCTTCGACTGCTCCTTGAGAAACCATTTGTGATGGAGTAGACTGATTTCACCTCATAATTCATACATCCAACTCGCTCTTTTCCCTCGCGAAAATGGGTACATTCGTTTTTAAACGCAAATTAAGACCTTAATACATGTATTCTTAATGAGCATCGAGAAAATCGCCGGCGGGTTTCTCTTTGCTCAGATTAGCATATTCGTCAGCTTTATGCTTTTTCGACTGCTCTGGCCCAGAACTCAAAGGCTTGTGCGTGTCGAGTCAGACGTTTTATCTGCCGTAGAGGGATTAAGCCAAGGCCAAATAACGTTGATCTAACAGAATAAACATCACGACCGGTCAAGTGAAAGTGTCGATGCACAAGAAGATCGCTCAAGGCACTGTTCAACACAATGCTCTGCGTTCTTGATCATGACTGAAACTTTCTGTTGTTTCGCCAGGCGATTGCTTGACCCAAACCAGCACATACATGCTCTGTGTCACATATGTGGGTTTCAACCTTGCTTTCGAATTTCAGAGTTGTAAGGTCAGACATTTTTTACCTTGGCTTTCCCTCTTATCAGACAGCGAGACTGATGAGATGTGATTGCGATTACTCATCCAGTATATTCCGACCTCTGCCATACTAAACGGCATGCTAAGAGACAAGATGGCAAACTGACTTTGATCTGATCAAGGTTACCTCCTCGATCACGCAAGGTAACATTGAATATAAGAATCTAGTCATTTGGATGATCGGAGTCGACATAAGGCGTGTCTTGAATCGTAGGTGTCAGGGTTCTTGTCAAATACAACAAAGTTGGAAGCGTTGCAGCTTCGAATGTGCCTGGTATATTGCTCCACATGGTGTATTGACACAGAGTCCAGAGACAGGGCGAACAATGAGAAGCCTAAATTAGACTAAATGTGTCGTGTCTACATGTAGGCACAGGAGACTGCGGTCGAACTCATCAACGCATCGTGGCAGGCTATGATCCCAAAATATCATTTCAGTGATTGGTGAGCGAAATGCACAGTGTAACCTACGAGGGCATTTTCTCACTCAAGAGGACATAATTATGACGATCCAGGAGGGCGAGTATGAGTGCTTATGCTGAGTTCTCAGGGTTCACTTTGAAAATGAAAACCTCAAGAAACCGTTAAGCAATTCTTGGATTGCCTGGGACAATTTTGTTGTCGCGAAAATGGTCACATTTCACTTTCGAGATCGATTGTGGACATTTGCTTATTCCTTTGATCCAGCTGCACAAGCGCCAGGATGGTTGCATTGGCATTCCTGGTCGCCGCCGTTTGAGGGGAATTTTCACATGGACATGAAGAACTGGACCCCAAGCTCCATTTTCAGGCTCTTTCTATTGGCTAGGCTTCCGACTTCCCGTTGCTGGCAATTACTGCGTACACCCCGAGCAACCGAGCAAGTTGAGACGAACCCATCCCTACCCAGTAATTAGCAAGCAGTCTGAGTCGGACCGAGGTCTCATCCCCGAAACCCAGGAACTGGGATAAGGCACATAATGAAGAAGGGGGGGGATACACTGACCGGATCCTGCTCCGCCAATTCTTTTCATAAAACTTTGAGGTGCTAACAAGAAGTTAAAGAAGGGTTCTTCAAGTCTTCAACTAGCCTGGAGAAGGAGCTAGGAAGCTCGGGCGCTACTGGACGGAAGTGTTCATCAGCCTGATTCCTTCAGACATTTCTTCAACGCTCGAGCCCCATCATCGTGGCGTCATGTATCGCTTGATGGTCCTGGCCACATCCATGTGTGCAGGGTTACATCGCATCCTCCGCGTCACCAGTCATCTCACGGCCACTTAGGATCTGGGTGAGAGGGCGCTCAGGCTCTCGCGGAGGATCGAATCTGCAGTACGGAGTAGATATCGCGACAATCACCGCTATTAGCAATTCTGGAGGTGGAAATCCCCGCTGCTATTGACACAGGAGATGGCCGGATGGGACGTCATCCCCGGCACCCGAGCAAGATTAAGCGGCCCAACGCGCTGTTTGCGGAGCCAACAAGCTTCACCTTTGCGCAAGTGGATCAAGCTATTGCTGTGCATACAGATAGTGCAGAGTCTCTTGGTAGATGCTGTTATTGACCCCGGATTGAATTGTGTCGGAGTACATCGGCGATCCTACGGTTGCAGTAAACACACTTTGAGATATATTGAAAGTATCAATGATATCACAAACTTGAGCACATCGTGAATCACGAAGATCTGCATTGTCGATACTGTAACAATGCCAAGCGCCGTTGGAATCTGGCCTGATCTGGTCACATTTATTATACGCTAGTAAGATTATCCGTAGTTCGCCTTGATAGGGGTTGAGTTGACTATGGATGACAAGTTTCCACCTCGGGTATCGGTGATCTCTTCATCCTTGTCGAACAACACGAGGTGATGTGCACGTTGACGCCCAATTCCGACGAACCCCATACTGTCCGGGTCCCTGACATGAGGGCTCAACCGTCATGTCGACAACGACGATGCCATCTCGTCGAACTGGAATCAATGACGAAGTCTTGCCCTTGAGCCAGACAGTCTGATAATTCGCGCAGAGTGAGCACCGAACCCTGAGCAACAAACACAGCCTCGGATGGTGGGGATCCCACGTTCAACAGGACCGGGAGGTTTTTTTTCTTGCAAAAACTTGATGATGAAGTGCAGGGTACGTCTGGTCCGTGCTCTGCCAAAGTGACAGTGGGCCCTGCTACCGAATTAGGGTTAGTTTGCAGGGTGCCCTAGGGTTCGTGTTATGATTGGTACGGATGGACTTCGGAATGGAATATGGAATAACCCGGGTTCGGCCCCCATCATTCTTTGCGGCGCACGGACCTGACTTGCCAAGTACTCCCGGACTTGCACTACCAGGGGCACGGCAATGTCAGGTGATGTGTAAGGAGGTACCCTGGCCTCCCAAATCGTCTCGATGCAAGACTCGAAAAATCGGGGGCCGGACCAGGTTCCGGAGACGAATGTCACCCTGTTTTGCAAGCCACACCCGGCCAGACACTTACCATGTCGGGGTCCAAGCACAAAGCTAACGAGGGCACCTGGACCGAGGATTTTCTGCCCTGTCGTCCAATCTTCTGCAAGTTCTGCTCAACTCAGCCAGCCGTGACGGGACGCCATCACCAGGCGGCCCTCTAGTTCGAGAGGGTGAAAACAGGTTTCAATGGGCCCAACCCCTCTCTGCGTGACGAGCATTCCCCTGCTTGACATCAAGTGCCGGAATTGTGCTTACGCAGTAGGGACGAGAACGCTCGAGCGTGCATATGAAGATGGAGATATCAAATTCTTGCTGGGGACTGGCTGCACTGACTGGCTCCTTGAAGCCGGTTCAAGAAAACGCAAAACGCCCTCTTTGTTCCTCTCGACAAAGTCCCTTCTGTTTTCTTCCCATCTGAAAACGTACACTCATGTGACCGCAAGTTGAGACATTCGCTCGCGTGCCATTCCAAACAGCAGAATTTCGCTTCCACTGGCGAACAAGTCCTATATTCTTCTAATTAAGCGACATTCTTGCCCTTGACCCTTAGAGCTAGAGTCTCTCACTAGAGTCCTCCAGTCAGCCATGGCGCCTGGCTATGACGTCGATGACGACGGTCCGCCCTACGCTCGCTCCGGAAATAGAAACGCTTCAAAGTCTGTTTCCACAGGGTCCATCGACGACGACCTCTTCACGCGGGTCCTGCCACGGGTAGACACGACGGCCATCGAGACGGCGCGTATTACCATTGGCCAAGAGTCCGAAGACAGCGATGAAGAGCACTCGCGATCTCAGTTCCGGCGGTCCGTTTCAGAGTCTAGTCTGATATTGGGAGTGACCGGAAAGGACTCTGATGGACTCCGGGACACGGCCTTAGGGAGACAGGAGAGGAACGGGGCAATGGGTGCCACCGGGAAACCTCACTCAGCGAGGGACAGCACGGAACTCAGTCGTCCCTCCCGCCCTCTGTCGCGGGCAGATATCGTCACCCGGGATTACTCTCCACGCCGGCTCTACACAAAGTCTGACAGGGACACTGTAGCCGTGCCTCCACGCCAATCTTCTCGACCTGATCGAGCTAGCATCGACAGCCCCGATCGAATGCTCAGGCGACACGATTACAACACGCCCCAGCGACCCCCGCGCGCCGACGAGATCGAGGCCGCAAAGAGACTCTTGGCGCAGGTTGCAGAAGACGAGGAACCCTCCCACCAAGGGGTGGTGGCACCATCTCCCAGACCGGTCCGCTCGGCAACCCCTCCGCCGATAGGAGGCCGACGACCGCATAGGATTATCTTTGACGACTCTGAGGACGAAGAGGACCAGCAACAAGAACACGCCGACGAGGAGGACCACGAATACCACGAGTACCGCCATGAGACGCGCAATGGGCATCGAAGCATAGCCACGACACCCGTCACTGCCATTCACATCCCGACGGAAGATACCTCCCGGCAGCCCCCGGCGCATCACCGATCGTCACAGGCCCGCGGCCGATCGACCGTCTCGAGAACCTCGTCGCGACAGTCGTCGCTGCCACCTCTGCGATCCCAAGCAGCCGAGGCCCTCACCGCACACAAGAGAGAGCTCCGGACGCCAGTGCTGGATCATCAACGTCTGTACCTGGACGCCGAGCCTCCACCAATCAGCCAGAGACGCCCCCACCAGTCGTCGCGCGCTGCCCACCGGCAGACGTACAACAAGCAGCAGCAGCAGCAGCAATACTCGGACATGGACGAGGAAGCCGAGGATTACAGCGCGGAAAACGGACTCAACGGCTCGAGTGTGGCGCCGGATTATCGACCGCCGACGGTGGCGCGGAGGGCGATGAGCGATGACTCGATGTCCATCTCGAGGCAGTCGATGTCGAAGCAGAGCGCAACAAGTAATGGGTCGTCGAACCGCACTGTTGATTTCTTCGGGCCTGGTATTTTCCAGATTGTTTTGCATAACCCTACGACCGGACACCAGCTGCTGAAGTTTAGCGAAGCTCGGTTCTGCAGTGAAAGTGTCGAGTTTCTGAAAAAGGTAAGCGTGTTGTGTCTGTTGGTTGTTTTCCAGCCATGACTGATATACTGACAACATTTTCTCCTCTCACATAGGTTGAGCAGTACCAAACAGTCCTCAATGACCTGGCAGGAATCATGACGGGCATCCATAAGGAGTTCCTATCCGACGAGTCGTCAAAGCAGATCAATGTCAATGGAGAACTGAGAAAGTCCGTTCGCAGTGACATGAAGTCATTGGTCACCAAGACGCTCCCGTCCATGGAAACACTGTTTACGGATCTCCAAGAGAGCGTTGAGCAGGATGTCTTCCTGGACATTTACCCTCGATTTGTGCGCTACCAGATGGGGCTTAGTGCAACGAGGGCGTTGGCTACCAACCGACATAGTTTTCAAGGACTCGGTGACTGCTTTTGCTTGACGAACCCTGGGTAACTTGACGCCTTCCCCAGACTTGACCCCTTTCGGCTCGTACGGAGGCTAACCCTCAAGTGAAGGCTCGCAGACAATCCCATCGTTTTTGCTTCCGATGGATTCATCAAAGTCACCGGTTACTCTCGTCCCGAGATCATTCCGCGCAACTGTAGATTCCTCCAGGGAACGCATACCGATCGCGTCCCTGTTCGGCGGCTGAAAAACGCCATTGACGAGCGAAAGGAGTCGGTTGAACTCATTCTGAACTACAAGAAAAACGGTGACCCTTTTTGGAACCTGCTTTATGTCGGTAAGTTTATACGAAACGAAGAAAAGCCAAACTTACCATGTCCAATGTCCACACACATGAAGGAACTCTCTACACATGAACGAACTAAAACGCACCATGTGAAAAATGAAGGCTTACCAGGTTATTTTTTTTATAGCTCCGCTGTATAATGAAGCCGGGAAATTGGCCTTCTATATTGGCGGCCAGATCAACTGCTCAACGACAATCCACAGCAACGCGGATGTTATGAAAGTTTTGTCCACATCTACCAATGACGACGTCCAAATTCAAGACAAAAAGGTGCCACCTCCACCACTGTATCGCGCTGGCTCACAACCGTCCGCCCGGAAAGCCTTCTTGAAAGCCCTCGGAGTCAAGGTCAACGGCGACCATGCTCCGAATGGCATCGCCGTCGACCCGGGCATGGAGAGCAAACTGCTGCACAAGCTGGAAGGCCGAGACTTGAACGCGCAGATGAAGGAGTTTTACACTGCTTATTCGAAAGTGAGTCTTTACAGACCAATCAATCCGCATAATTGCTTATGCTGACCTGAACAACGTAGTACTTGATTGTCAGCTACGACTCCTTCATTATCAAATTCTACTCCGAAGGCGTCCTAGAAATGCTGCACCCCGCCAATAACACCGTCGGCCTGGTCGCGGGCCAGGAGGTCTTCCGCTTCTTCAAGCAGAACATGGTCAATCACCAGTCCGACTATAAGACGCGCGTGCGTAACGCCCTTCGTATCGGGGCGCCCATTAGCGTCGAAGTCCGCCTCCAGACTCGGCGGAGCGCCTTGTTCCGTGGCGATGAGAGGTTTGTCACGCACTGGACGCCTTTGAAGGACGAGAAGTCCATGGTGCACTGGGCCGTCGTCACGTTGGCGCCGGCGATAGAGTAGCGGGGGCGTTTGTTGCGGAGAGATGGTGAGAGGAGGGAAACGAAAGGAAGCTTTCCTGAAAAGATTTGGATTGGATTGTGTTTTGTCTTGCGAGTAAATACCCTGTTCTCTGAATCAAAGTTGGAAGAGCATAGTCTTTGTCATGTTGTTGCAACCTCTTTGATATAGAGCTTATTTTTACTTATCTATACGATGCGTCTAGAAGTCAGCTAACTGCACAAAAGGTTTCCCGGAGCTTTGAGTGAAATGTCCATGAGCTAGCTTCCCGAATCCTTGTGTTCTCGCTCAAAGAACAAAATGAAATCGGTCATATTTTTATCGGTTTCATGTGCAAGTCGAGACAGTCGAATCATGTGCAGCCCCCAAATACTAGTGGGAAGCGGAGCAATTTAATACCATTTTTAGGCTAATCGTCAAGTGGTGGGAATAGTCATCGGAAACTCGTCTCCTTATGCAGCAGTAACATACAGCAGTCGCCCACCGCCGACCTAATTCGGCCGTATGAGCATCCCGGGCATTTATGTTCCCGAAATGAGCTTGTATCAAAGCGAAAAGTGACTCGAAGGTAAGTTTGTTAGCCAGCAATTGCATTGTAAACCGCGAAGCAATTTTGTGTTATTGCCAAGATTAAGTCTGAGTTTGAACCGGCAGGGAATAGGAACAGCTTGTAATCTTTGTATTGATTGTCTCGTACTTAGTTGTCGGCGAGGTTTCATTCTAAAATTACCAGCTCAGCCTCAAGTTGATGACAAGTCAATCAGTTCAAGGCGATCTGAAGACTGCTTGACTGTCCGGAACACTGAGGCAGGTGGATAGGCGCCGGTCTTCGGCTCTTATTTCGGCCCGGGATTTTGGCTGCGGTCTATGCAAACATTATATATAGTATGTTGGCTTTCGTACAACGAGTCAGTCCCGTCACAAAACCCACTTTCAAGCAGAGGTTATAATTGGAAAGCCAAAGTCAAAAGCGAAGGCAGTTATAGTGCCAAGCCTTTGAGGGCTCCTTGGTTTAGGTAATTGTATAAGTTAGATGAGTAGCTACAAAAGACGAGCGGGCCAAGCGGCGGCGTCCAATGTGCTTGGGATTAGAGGGTCGAAATGTATCTGAATTGAGTCAGGCTTGTGGAGCGAACTTCATATTGTGAAACGAAGCTAAGTAGCAGCAGGATTGAGGCTGCATCTAACGAGCTTTGAGCCATAGGAGAGGCGAGGCAACTTTCTGACGAACTATGACGATGACATCCAGAACATTCATATTGGTAAAGGAATTAATAAGCCGCTGTTAATATAAAAATATCATGCTTGAGGAAGGCTTCTCATGCCTTCTTCATGCCTAACCAAACTATTACCATCAGTCCTGCAACACCACGCTCATTAGGCTGTCACCACAACTATACAGTCACTCTTTTACAAGTTAGTATAAGCAAAAGATTCAGATAAACTACATAGATACTAACACGGCAAGACTCGACAGGTCTCTTCTCCCACCATGCAGTTCCCGACCTCCCTCACATTGTTCGCTATTCTTGGCATGGTCAGCGCCGCAGATCTGTGTGATTTCAACGAAGCCGCCGAAGGGCCCTACGAGAACAACGAGTCGAGTATCATGCCAACCGAGGTCGGGCATACGACCATATTCACCTGGGGAGGGAACGACATCTACGTCAAGAAGCAGTCGACCCAGGACGCGTGCCCCGACGGATCGGAGGGCGACTGCAATGACACCATCACCTTCAACTTCAAGAACAAAGGCACCACGTACGTCCGCGCGCGGGTCAAGGTGAACGACAGATGGTATAACGGGGCCTACCTCAAGCCTGGGACGGATTGCGATGTCACGGACGACTTTACTCGCAAATATAAGACCCAGGAGGTTTCTTTTGCGAGCTAAGCATAGCGTGTGACCAATGCAAGTCATGGCCTTAAAATAGATGCAGGATGATGTCAAAATACCAATTAGTTCAGCTCCTCATGTCTCTGTCCTTTTTTCCCTTCTCCGCTTGTTATAATCACAAACGTCTGGTTTGGCCACGACGATGCATCCGAATGCACAAGGACAAGCAGAAATGTCATCATCTCACAACTCAAAAAGCCCCTGCAAGGCCTCGTGACGGCTGGTGCTTAATCTCGACGGAAAGTGCGTTGATCCTAGTGATGCTCTCTATAATTATGGCTGCCGTCGCACTTGGCCAGACTTGAATTGAAATCAGATAAACCTCTGACGGTCAACCACGTCAAAAGACCCTGTTCCAGCTTCGTCTCAAGAACTCTGACCGGAGATACCGCGAAATGGGGGGGGGGACGGGCGGGTCCGACGTTAGTGCGCTGAGCTTCCTTGCTGAGCTTCCTTGGAAAGCAGATAATATGGGGTCTCGACCGGCGACTTTTGGATCTCCGATATCAGCGAGACCACAATAGCAATATGCCGGTTGCTGCTCCGCTCCGGTGTGTATAGAACTTGCGCCTCACTTTCAAGCTGTGAAGCCGTCTTTCTGTACTTTTGACGTGTTGCGCTTTTCGAGATGGCCGATTCTAGTGTTCCTTCATGTTCTTTCTCCCATAATTGCACATATTATTCTCCAAGACACTATCACACCGTACCAATGCGTTTCTCCACCATCGGTTACTATTCTCTCTTCGTTCTTTTTAGCGCTGGCGCCGGTGGTCAAGGCAGTGTTGTTGGTATTTGTTGAGCCCAGCCTGCAATCAACGGGCCATCCGCGTGATGTAGAAAAAATGATGAGATCCTATTATAAAGAACCCCATAAACGCACCGGGCGAAACCATTTAGACAGTATCAAGTCTTTAATGCATACATTATGTGGTTTCAAATGCTCCAGGAGTACATAGTGTTTGAATGAATTTGTGTATGACCGCCGGGGAGTTTCTTATATTGTCACCTCTCATCTTAAATCCTCTATGCACCGGTCATTTTAGGTGATATGGACACTGGAATCATGAGAGTGTGATGACTTAATAACTAGGTATTTATTCAATAATTATGTGGTGGAACAATTGAAGGACTCTTTGTCGGTTCGTGATACGGTGAGATTAGAATACCTTGAAGGAAGACATCGATGATGATTAGCTCTTAGTTTGCCTAGCCAGATGTACCTTCGCAGGGGCGGACAGAAGAAGGGAACACAACGTCTATGGCGCGATGCTGATTGTGGTTACACGTCGACCAAAGAATTTGGAATTATAATGCAGGTCAGGGTAACGTGGAGACACGGCTATCGGGATGTAGCATTGCTGGCCTAGTTGAACCGGGATGTCGGGACTCGTTCTAGCGGCCAGGGTTGAAAAAAAGTATACTTAAGTAAGTATTAGGCAGTACTAATACTAATAAGTCTAGTATTAGGGTGGACTAATACTAAGCTAGTTTAGTATTAGTATACCAATAAAATACTAATTATAGTTTAGTATATTAATAATACACTAATAGTATTAAATTTATTACGTAATCATAGTTTAAAATAAGTGAATAATAATAATAATAACAACATAATAAAATAAATTGAATTTAGAATAAAATATTGATACGCAATCAAAATTTAAACTAAGTAAGTATTGAAAATACAATAAATTAAATTAAATTGAAAATAACTTATTACGTGATAATTAATTTAAATAATCTTTTATTTATAATTATATAGTGGAAAAGTACTACTAAGCATACTTAAGTATATTAATATTAACTTATTTAGGACTAAAACTTACTTATACTAGACCTAGTACTGATTTTTTATACTAATACTAGACTAAATACTAGTAGTATCTTTTTCAATCCTGGATCTGGCCCGGCATAGTTCTACTATCTTCAGCGGATCTACGCTCCGGATGAACCATGGCGGTGAGACAAAGTGGAAGCCTAATTCCAGTTTTGCATAAGCGCTTGGATCACAGCCAAGAATGCTCGTCAAAAAATTGCATGGATTTCCGGACTTCACGGGGTTTGTTCCCTAAGGTACGACAACCGTGGCCTTGCGTTTTGCACCTATGTCTTGGATCGAGGCGGTGGACAGGACTATGAATTTGGGTTCCTTACAAACCGGGGGCCACCTGCATCTGCGTGTCCCTTTCAAAATGTGGCTCAGGTGGGATGCAGCAAGTCAACGGTAATACGTTTGTCCATATGATTTTCCGTAAGAGAACAGCCTGTTGTTGGCAGGAAAGTCCCCGTATTATCTAAAGTTTCCCTGTGTGAGAAAGCGTCATAGAAATAAAGCAATCGGCGCTACGCTTTTATTGATGCCCTAAATGAGTGGTAGACACCAGTCATTAATCGCCGTGAGCAGATTATAGGTGAGGTGAAGGGTTCCGGTTGAGACGGCACTGGCGTTGCGTTGACTCGTGTAAGGGGCAAACCTTGCCGCGGAGGCACTGCAGAAACCGAGACCGAAGGGAATACCGAAGGAGATAATCTGAAAGTAATGGAGCGAAGGAAATTTGTCGCTTAGTTCGACAATCCACAAGGTATATAATGTGCAAGATGGGTATCTTCCTCTACTTCGAAACCAAGATGAGTCCCAAGGTTCTAGTTGATTATCTACCGCACTGCGAAATCAAGTTGACCAGGCACATTAAGACTGTGACGTATCTCCATCTCGAGTATGTATCCAACCCCCGTAACAGATACTACTGCATATCTAATCCGGACCTATCCCTCTATAGTAATGCGGTTCTCTGGATTTTCCGGCGCTCTTGGCGCACTGTCACTTCTCTATAGCATGGCCGAGGCCAGCTGCACTCAAGTCGACTCCGGCTCCGGCAATAATCCCTTGTTGTGCGCATCATACTCCATTCCGAAAGGCGTTGGCTCCAGTGTCACCGTCGGCCTGCAAACACTCTCGATTGGGAGGACGAGTCCACCGACGGTAACGCAAGAGAACGGGTCCGTCTTCTACAGTATGACGAATAATGTCAACTACGTAGTGCATTTTATTGTGCAGTATTACGACGCAAAGATCAACATGGTGAGAATACACTCGGAAAGAGTGCTCCAAGAGTCTCTGCAAGCAGGCAGGCAGGCAGGCAACGTGAAAACTTTGATGCTGACTCTGGCTATTGAACAGAACGCGTGGAGAACATTTATTCTGGAACCAGGCGAGGCGTGCAACGTCGGCTTCCCTTCGACTTTGCAGAATGTTAAGCTCACCTGCTAAGGCTTCGTCGGGGCACTGGGCTATCGTCGAATTGATAAGACATTGCATTGTTGCTGGCTTGCAGACGTGAGAATCGATTGAGGATTTGAGCCTTCACAACGAAAGATTTCAGAAAATCTGGAGAAAATTCAAATTAAATGAGTTATCATCAAACGGCGAGCTGCTCTGTTGTTTGGTGATAGCATCAAATGACGATGCTCGCTGGCTGCGCGGCTTCTGGGGTTGAATTTTCGATGTTCCTGTGAAATGACTCGTAGTGATTGATATAAGCTGGGCTATGGGCGCCAGCTGACATTCTCAGCGCCGAGAAAGCACGGGAACGGGGTTCATCGGCGCTGCCGGAGTGCGCTTTCGCCGTGGTGTTCTTTGTTTGTGTTGCAAAATGCAGTTTGAACCGTCAGAATCGAACAGCCCGGGCAAGCCAGGTTGTCGACTGTTGATATTCCGACTTCCAACGGCGAGCTTGGCAGCAGTGCATGAACTCATTCCTTTTGGACGGGACAGGTTCTCGGCGAAGTCCATGATACCATCAATCTAGGCGTCCCGACCAACATGGCCCGACACGACACATCCCAATGGACTGGACCGCCCGCTCTGCCAGCTTTGGGCTGCTGCGCCGCGGCCACCCGACGAATGGGAGCGCGTGCTTACGAAGAGAACCCGGTAGGCATCGTTCGACTGGGAGAGTCACATTGGCACAGTTGGGCGCAGGAGATTCCGATCGTTGAAATCCTCCCAACCAACGAGGCATAGCGCCAAAGGAATCAGGCCTAGTGCAAGATCTTGTCCTCATACGGCCCAAAAGGAGCCCAAGAAAGAACAGGGGGTTCCGGTCTTCTCCATGCTAGAATTCGACACGTCTGGACTCACTTGTTGCTCCTCCTGGAGAGACCCCTCTGAAAAGTGAGAAAAATGACAGGCCCACACCATCGGGACGCACATCACACCACCGCACCACCAGATCCGGCCGCAACACCGCAACACCGCACCACCCTCGACCAGAGTCGAACTATCAACAGACAACACCGGGAAAGATGACCTCGCCAACCACACCACGCTCGGGAGAAGCAGGTGAGAGGCAGACGACGCCGACTACATAAATGTCTTCAACGTGTATGGGGAAGCACGATCTCAGATGCACTCCAGTCTCACATCGACCACACAATAAGCAACAACACTCTCCATTGTTTCAATTACACAAAAGTCCACTGCAACCATCCCCGGTTTCCAACTCCAACCCCCACCGTCGCACTACACTACATAACCTCAATACCTTCAACCACTCCAACCCACAACTCTTACAATGGTCAATCAACCCGCCAGAGTTCCCACCTCAACCCCGGCTCTTGCCAGGTTCCTCCCTGCTGCAATCACCGTCGGCATTGGTACGTCTTCAGCCCTATTCCGTCTCCCTAGCCTGGTTGTGGGCCAGACTCAGTCAAGTACATTCAGTGAAGTTGCGACTAACACAGCCCGTTTCGCAGTCTCCGCCGTTGTCCTGAACATCCGCTCCCAACTCAAGACCGAGTCCCAACAGATGGACCGCTTCTTCTCCAAGTACAACAATCCCCAGAGCGAGGCCAACCGCCAAAAAGTCTATGAGGGCTCTCTCGACGACCCACGCAGGAGCTGGTATAACGCCCTGGGCCGATAAATACTAAGAGCTGGGCGCTATTTCGAGGGGGAGATTCTTGCACATACCATACATTGCTGGGGCGGTTTTTTTTTTGTTTCAAGGAAAGGATGATATCACTGGCTGGCTGGCGAAGGCGTCTTGCTTCACTTTGTTTTGCAACCACCCTCGAGGCATACAAAGAGAACACGCTGAGAGGTGATTTCTAGGTTATGAAAGGAGGTATTCGGTATCATCGCTTCGAGTTTCAATATTCAACTTTTGATTTAAACCGTTTGCATTACACCGTGATAGTAGACATTGGAAGTGAAAGATACCCGTCCAGGGAATGTCTCCAAAATACGTATGTTAACGGGAATCGCCACTCGTTGATATCATTTTGCCTCGTACAACCCCTTGAAGGCTAGAGAGGGCAAATGCAAGCAGGGGATGAGTTTCGTGCTGGGAAAGCCTTGCTAGGGGGCTTTCCGGAAGCGACCGTCTGCTAAAAGGTGACGTGGACAGGTCTGTGCCGGGTCGAAACTTGATCACCATCAATCCGATATCTCTGGGGCAAAAGGCCTGTTTTTATTGCCATGTTGAAGGTCATACAGCTCCGGTCGGTTATCTTCCCACCTAAGGCCAAAATCGCTTGTTGGTTGTGCCGGTGATTAGGCCACTGACATAGGCTTGCAGAGCTCAGTAGACCGTGATTATTGATCTCGGCCAGAACAAAGAAACATCACCAATCACAGACTGAAGCGAGTAGTGAAATTCTAAGTACACGAGGTTGATGTGCGTTGCAAGCCTGCAGTGTCTTGCGGGCTGTGCCATGGCATCACATTAATTTGAGACAAGTTTCTCTAAAGAAATGCGGTCGAAATCACAATCAATAAATACGGCGCTGGCGGGATACTGTCGCTTGTGGCATTCTGCTGTTGTATTCGTTCACACCGGTCTATAGGCAGATGCAATTATAGGTTGTCCTTGGGATAACGAGGGCGTAACTCTCAACTTTGACAGGGTAAGGGTTTGAGGCATCTTACCGCCATAATTGAGCCGGCGAACTCTTGCAGTCACAATAGTTCTGTACGTATCCAGATTTGCTAAGAGGCTCATTAAGATCTAATTTCCCTTCCCTGTGGTCTAGAGGCAATCAAAAAGTCGTTGGAGAAAGACCTTTTGATGATGTCATTATCTATCGAATTAGGCACAACATACGTCTCCTCCGTAATCTCTCACGTGCTAGAGTTTATTTCTTCGTTGAGATAGTCCTTGTTGTTGTTACTAGCATTGCCTTCGAGCTGAGTAGGGGTAAAGTTGGTCAGTGAACCTCATTGGTATCTTTTCGTCTCGTTAGGTACTTGACTTACACCAATAAGCATGCGCTTATCTCCTGGAACAACCATCTCGAAACGATCATTGATAATACCGTACTCGAAGTACCCAAGTCGTGCAATTGGATTCGTCTTGGAGACATCGATCCTCCCATCCGTCAAGACACCGTCGTCAATATGGATGCCAACGACCTTGCCGAAAATAACATCGACAGTTCCCATGGGCGGGTTGCCGGGAAGCCGTACCGTCTGCATATACTCGCACTCGAAGCGGACGGGAGAGTCGGCGACCATGGGCACCGGCGTCTTCAGGCTCTTTGACCATGTCTTCGTTAGACCGGCGCGCTCAAACTCGTCTTCGTCGGGACCGATTGCTTCCGCCGAGATGTTGACGCTCTCCCGGAGGGGGTAAGTGGCCAACTGCCAGCAGAAACTGCCGGTTTGTTCGATGTTGTTGACGGTGTCCTTTCGGTCTTCGGCGTGCGTTTGGTTGGCGCTAAACATGACCATGGGCGGATCGAAGCTGACGTTTGTGAATTGACTGTAGGGCGCAAGGTTGTGTTCGCCTTTTGGTGAGACGGACGAGATCCATCCAATCGCACGGGGCACTACACATGCCTAGTACAGAATCAGTAAAACAGCGCATTTTTTGGAGATGATGGACATCTCACTTTGAATGGGTCATGAGGAAGACCATGATCATTGACCCCGGGGTTGTAGAACATTGTGAACGTGGCTGTGAAGTGTCAAAGGAAAGTACCGTTCAGTGCGACAAGTTGACAATGCTACTTGCAAAAAAAGAGCGAATGGATAAAGTCTAGGTCTAGTGATTAATAACCATGAGTAGATTTTGCTCCGAATTCTCCTTGATCTTCGAAGCCAAACGACGAATTGAGGGGTCCACTGAGCATCCTGTGTTATCCAACTTTCAGAACATTTTGACGTCACTCTTTCGGGGTATTCGGTGTTTTGGGAACGGCGTTTTCGGACGGTTCGGGCCTATCATCCGATGCTGTTGCAAGATAAAACAGACTTCAATGTTGTTACTACAATACTCAATGTCTATGTCTACGGTGTGTTTACAAAGCTATTCTTAGAGAATTCGGAGTTCGTAGTTGATTTTCATCTGTCAAGCGCCTGTTGCCACCAAGAGCATCTTTCAATTGCAGTATTGTCCGAAACAGCCGCTGTAGATTGATATGCAACTCGAATTCCGACCCTAGACTGTTACCCATGGATAATATGCGCCGATGGGACTGCCAGTCTTTACAAATATCGTCACATACGTCTGCAACGCAGCTGCCGCGGACGTATTCAGCGTAAATCCGTGGGAGCTGGCTACTCCGTTGAAGGAGGTGTACGCAATATCCGTTCCGCGCCAGCCCGGCGACATTTCGAGCAAGTCTTGTAAGCATTTCCAGCAAAAGCCCGGTTGAGCAACTGCTTGTTGCAGATGAACCAAGACTTCCAGGCTTTCCAGCAAACTTCTCAGCAACGCATACTCAAATGTCGAATACCTTGATCAAGATTACCAGCATATGATCCACCCTTGACACCAGACATCTGCAGGAGCTGCAAGGGACAGGAAAATGCATGTGGTAACAAAGAACTCTGATGACATTGGCGTTCGGTGACGTTTTGGAGGTTAGGTGAGCATTTCGCGCATATGAGTGTGATGATTTATACTCGATGCATAGCCATCACTGGCTTTGGCTAGGTAAGTGCGAAAAACGAGAGCGAACGATGGGTCAACAATTCACCCTTTGGCAGAAAGGAATTAAGAAGGAAATTGAGGCTTGAAGTGCTGCCCGCAATTCACGGCGTCATTGTTACGAAAAAGAATTGAAGACTACAAGTGCGTAAGCCGCATGCGGAATGTCAGGAAATACATCATTTGAAGATTGGAGTAATAAAATGGAATATAGACATCAGAAGGTAGAGCCCGAGTACATATCATTGCGTCTTATTTACAGTGTTGGGCAGTAAATGAGCACCAGAAGAAAAGTGACGAGACCAAAAACTTATTCAAGGTATTCGCCAACAAGAGCCAAGTCAATAATCGCCGCCAGCCCATAAAGAGCAGCATCATTCGTAGCAACCCACGAAGCCTCATCGATGGGAGCCAACACAGCGCTGCCGTTGAAGTGCACAGTACTCCACGGAGCAGACTGCTTCAGTCCGTCCGTGTTGAAGAACTCGTTCCAGGCGCGCGCCGCGAGAGTGGCATTCTTGGTGCGGTGGGCAGCGTAGGCAGTGAGACGAGAGTGTCCCTGCTTGAGACTCGTGTTCCCGAATCCCTTGCCGTACCGCGCCGTCTGCTCGGCGGCACCGGCGTTGTAGTAGTAGCTGTAGTCGTACCACGCCTGCTCGAAGCCCGCGGGCACGTCGTCGCCGGCGTGCTCGATGAACTCGGCGATGACCTCCATGAGGCCGAAAACGGCGGACAGGTGGGAGACGGCGACGGTGCCGTTGTTGTTCGGGTCCGCGGGCGGGGGGCCGAGAGTGCCGTCGGCGAGGTTGTAGAGGCCGGAGCCCGTGACGAAGCCGTTTTTGAGCTTGGCGATGCTGGCGGCCGTGTTGGTCAGTTTCGTGCGGGCCTCTTCCCAGCGGGAGCCGCGGCGCTCCCACTCGAGGAGCCAGGAGGCGGCGAGGGAGGACCAGTCCGTGCCGAGGCCGACGGCGACGGAGGCGTTGGGAGTCGGGACCCAGCCGTCGGTGCGGACTTTGCGGTTGGGGTCAAGGACGCCGTAGGTCTTGTCCGTGTCGAGGATCTCCTCAATCAGCTCGCCCGTGCGCTCGTCGCCGCCCGTGACGAAGAAGAAGACCTTGCGGTACTGGGGGGTCGAGATGCGGGCCTGCTTCGCGCTGTCGCCCCAGTGCTGGACGCCATGGCGGGTTCCGAGGCCCTTGTACTTGCCGAGGTGGTAGACGTCGACCTCGCCGGTGTGGCGGACCTGGGCCTCGGCGAAGCGGAAGACGTCCTCGCGGCCTGTGCGGAGGAAGTAGTTCCAGAAGAAGAGGTCGGGGGAGAGCTCCGAGTTGTCCCAGGCGTAGCCGCCGACATCGTAGCGCCACTGGTGCCTGTCGGGGTCGTAGGCGTGAATGAAGTCGCCGTGGTCCCAGAAGCCGTACCACTTGCGCTGCTCGACCTGGCCCTCGTAGAACTTGAATAGGAAGTCGAGGTGCTTCTCGATGTCGGCGGCGAGGCCTGTAGGCGACGGGGCGGGAGGGGCCCAGTAGTTGCCGATGGCCTTCGTCTCGGCGAGGTATCCGGGCTCGCCAAAGAGGACGGGCGGGTTGTTGGTGTGGTCGGTCAGGTCGGCGAGGAGGGTGCGGTTAGGAGTCTGGTCGAAGCCGTAGAGGAAGATCTCGTTGGTTCGGGCGACGCCGTAGGGGTTGTTGAAGCCGGGCTCGTAGTCTTCGTAGGTGATCTCAAGAGCATCAAGTTGCTCCGCGTAGGTGTCCTGGCCGAGGCCGTCGTGGTAGGGGCGGAGATCCAGGGCGGGCGCCGAGGGGCTGTAGATCCAGATTGTGATCTCGCCCTTGTCTGTGGCGGCGTTGGTGATGTCGATGCCGGTCGGGTAACGCTTCCAGAAGTTGCGCAGGCCGACGGCGAGACCACCCTTGGTGGCACCTCCGAGGTACGCAAGACCGCCTGAGCGAGTGCCGCCAGGGATATTGACCCAACTCTGGCCGGCCTTGGTACGCTTCTTCAACGTGAAGCCGTCGGGGGAAAGCTGGGTCAAGCTGAAGTCACTCCAGGTTGGAATCCATTGGAGCCTGGTCGTGACCCTCTGGTCCCAGGTCGCGGGGTCGGCGAGCTCGACGCCTTCGAACTGATCGTTGCGAACGTCGACACCGGGGTCTCTGCGGAGACCGGTGACGCCCTGCACAGCTTCGCTGAGGAGGCCCCCGTCGATGCCGGAGATCCTGACGTGGCGGTTGTACGGCTCCTCGCCCTCGAGGGGAACCTCGAAGCGGATGCCGAGCCCAGAGATGAAGTCTTCTTCGGCATTGCCGTCGTAGATGACGGTGTGCACGATACGGACGGCCTCGGAGTTGTGGTAGAGGTAGAAGCGGAGGATAAAAGGAAGCCAGTCATCGTGGCTGCCCTCGCCCTGGACCGAGTGCTTACCGCGGACAGTGACAAGGGCACGGGCTGTGCTGTCCTTGCTGACGGTAACCTCCTCGATGTTGCTTTCAAAGTTGAAGTAATTAATGGCGGATTGGCCCTTCAACTCGGCCTGGTCCTCCACGCCGGACTGAGAATGCAAGACAAGCTTCCCGTTTTGGCCGATGGTCTTGCCAGAAGCAGTCTTGATCTCGCCAACGACGACGTTACCCGATCTGGGAAAAGTGATGGCGAGTTTGCCGGTATCAACGCTGACAGTATCTGACGAGTCGGAGACGATCAGGCCACTAAATTGCTGCCGTCTCACGCGGGAGAAGCGCGCCGTCGAGTTGGACGACGAAGATGCGCTGACCGTGTACTCGTCCAGAATCGTATCGGACTCGGGAATCGCGTGCCCGGTCCATTTAATGGAGCCGTCGGACCAGTAGGCCGTAACCCAGGTCTGTAGTAAGCCGCCGCCGGAGAGGGCGAACTCGGTTGAGTTGGCAAAGTACTTGCCGCGGGCCCAAGGCAGACCGAAAGTTGTGCCAGCGGTGTAAGAAGGAGTGCTGCCGAGCCATTTAACGGTGGCGCTGTCGCTGGTGCCGTTGTCGATGCGTTGCGCGCTGCCCGTGCCTATGAGGCCGGTGAGGGCAACGAGACCAAGAACGAGCCGAGACATTCTTGAAAGAACAAAGAGTGAAGAACCCAAGATGTCTACCCGTGCACCGTTGCAACAGCTGCAAAAAGACGCGGAAGTGGCGTTGCTCTAATAAGAGCCAAAGACCATCTTCGGGGCAACGGGAGGCGAAAGATAATGCCATCAAGTCAACCGCGTGTTCCGCCGAGTCTTGGCTCGCTGCACTGCCTGGGGATGGCATCATCCGGCGCGGTGATCTCGAGTCGTGGGAGTGGACGGATGATTGCCTTCAGACTTGGCCGGACGCGATCTCAGCGCGCATGATGCCATCCGCCCGCTCCATCTTTCTCGGGGAGTCGCCCGCAATCGATGTGAATGCTACGCTGCTGCTGGCCGCTAGATCTGCAGGTTAGATGATGCCAAGAGACTCCTCTCTTTCTTTTGAGTCGAATCACGCGTGTCATACCTTGATGAAAGCAGGAGAATCTCAGGGATCTCTCTGTCGATCCAGCTTCAATAAGCTGCAGAGCTACAGAGAGGAAAGGGGAAGCTCTCATCTTCGGTGCAATTGCACCGATGGCGGAGGAAAGGAAGCGAGAAAGGGTACAACTTCAAGGAGTCCAGGGGCAGTTGTCACCTCCCAGACGGGGCAATTGAGCCGGGATGCAGGTCCCGCAGATGTTCCACCGAGATGCCGAGAGCATCCAAATCCAAGCCTTTCTTTCTAGGATTCCCACTGCGATCCAATAGGGAAGAGCCGAGAAGGATGCGGGGTAGATGGCTCCTGGAGCTTGACGGTGAAATAGGACGAAGAAGCGAAATTAGACTTGCAAATATGCCTATTCTCGAAGTGATGGATGCAGGGGATGTCCGTTGTGGGAGGATGTTGAGGTTATTTGACTTCATTGCAACCTCGAGCACGTAATATCGCGCCATTCAATGCCTACCTAATCAGATCATTTGCGCCGTTGTCGAGTCTCTGTAGGAAAGTCAGCAATAACAAATACCGCAGGAGCTTGTTTCCCAAGATTCGAGGTCAAAGTCGACAGGGAGCAAGACGCAGGAACAAACCAAAATGCCGGAAAGAGACAAGGGGCCGGAATGTCACCGATATCACCTCGAATTGCGTGGAGACCGCACAAAGTTTCGTGATAAAAGCTTATCTTACGCTCACTGCCGCCATCACCCCAGCACATTACTCAAAGACGACTTGTTTAGTCCCGGAGAGGGGATCTGATAACTCATCGCCCTCTAGGCTGATCCGTCCGGACTCATCCGCTCTTTGAAGATTGGATGTTTCAGAACAAGCACGACTGACCGCAACTACTTTAACAATATGTGTATGACTGTTTTGTGTGATTTGCCAACCATATGATCAATCCTGTCTCCCTGCTCCGTCGTCAAAGTTCCATGCCGTGTTTGCCCAGGCCTTATCAGGTATATCCCATGTAGTCATGCGCTGCCTTCACCACCAGATTGGCCTGCCCACCCTTGCCGCGCCTTCGGCTTTTCGGATGACACCTGGAATCTTTCAGGAACATACAACGATCACTGTTAAGATTGTAAATTGCCAGAATTGTGCGTAAGAACAAATCACCCCATCTAAGGTGGCCTCCCGCATACTCGCAAATCAACAGCACTCGAACACTATTATTATCCTTCTCATCCTTATTACTTATCCCTCGCTTCCATGTTAGCCTCCGGACTATCCTAAGGCCAGGGATTTTATCTACGTCGTCGCAGTGCCTCCCTCCTGTGGAACATGGGACTCGATATCTCTAGGTATCGACTCTTGAGGCGGGGACTCCATCTGATTATGAGCCCATTTGTATCTCCACCACAGAATCCAGATTATTGTTTCGGTTAGAACCAGAGGAAGATACACTTTCACCGTGAAATCCCATAGATACGTGTACTTTTCGGCCGTGGAATCAAGAAGTACATAGCCTATAGAGGTGCCGGCACAGGAAATCGAGATTAAGCCTGCCGCTTGTGCCCAACAAGCACTCTTAGAGACAATTATCGACCATAGTACTGACCAAATGATTAGCATAATCTATCGCTTTGTACCCAGTGCAAATAACTTACATGGCATAACAAGCCCACGTAATCTTGTCAGAACATGAAGAATAATCATACTGGCGTAGCCGAAGGTCCCAAACTCTTTAAAAAGGAACTCGTTAAAAAGGAATGCGTATACCGATATCATGGAGGAGAGGGCCATGATCATGACTCATACCGATGTTAGTACATCAACTTCGCGCCTAGTAGAATCTACGGCGGGGTAACTTACAAGCAAATGAAGGTTTGAAAGTGATAACCAGTCCTATGAGGATGGCAAGTGAAGCGTCAATACCGAAGATTCGATAAGACTCCCAGTCCATCAGCTCAGATGGTAATGGTAAAAAGGAGTTAAGAAATGACAGGACAAACACAAAAAAGAGATCTCGGGCATAAGAAAAGGCAGACTACTGATGGGTTAGTCGGCGAATCAATGTCCCAAAGAGCCTTACCTTTCGCGAACTCCAAATAGGACCCCCCGTATCATTCAGAAATTTCCTGATGCCTACATCATGGCAGAGGACAGCTTTGGAGTACGTTTCAGGCCAAGACACTTCTCTGTGTCGACCTACTAATCCCGAAGGGGCTTCAAAGAATATTACCAATTGGAGCCAGAATTGCGCTACAGATGCAAATGGGCGGAAGAACTGTGTATATGCGATGCCAAAGTAGCCGAGCAAGATTTTCAGCTTTGGGGCTACAGCCAGGCAAAGAATAAATCGCAAAGGTAGCTCGCGCGGCGAATACCCCTCTGGCAAAAGTGATAGGAGCATCGAGAACTTCCATCCATTGAGAATGCCGCATAGGGACCAGAGGTATAGATTCATTCCGTGGTCGGGGTTCTCTGGCAAAAGTAAAAAGACTGTTTGCAATAGTTAGCATTCATACACATAACCAAAGGAACTCTCCAGGTTATATCTCCCTTCCACGAAGGCGACATATGGGAAAACGTCCAGTGGAAGCCTTGACAGAATGAAAAAAGCCAAGGCCTGAGCAACGATGAACGAGGAGTTATAGTATATATCACCGTTCGAACGAAGATAGATGTCGACGTAATAGAATTCGAAGCCGAACTAGGATAAGTCAGCTTGAGACAGGAATAATACAACCAATCCCCAGTCGACTGAACTCATATTCCACAATGGGGGTTCTTGAGGGCTTGGAAACTTACGAGGCACATTGCCGCGAAAAGAAGCTCTCTTCGCAATCTACTCGGGCGCTCTCTCGACGCTGCACGAATTGCGTTCGCAGGAAGAGATGGGTCAGATGACGCGACTGGTGGTAGCGAAACTGGTAGCCCTGACTGCGAATCCTCTGGAGATTTTGGAGTCTTGGTATGGGAAGCAAGCGATACGCAAACTCTATCGACCAAGCCCAAATTCTCTAGTTTCCAATGATTTGACCTGAGGACGAATTGACGATGAAATGTCTGTGTTCTCCAATCATACGAGCAGAGCATAGCTCTGTGCATGTCGTTCTCTTCCCCGCAGACAAACATGGCAACGGGAGGCATGCTGCATTCAAGATGGACGACTCGAAATGTGTGCGTGTCCACAAGAGTGAACGTGAATTCCCCTCGTGGACTCGACAGATTGGGTGTCCGAGGACCGTTTTCTGACGAGTCGGTGTAAGCCCGAGGGGTGTCGTCCTTCACATTTCCATGATTGAAACCCCAAAGATATTTCTCAATTGTTCCCGCGTCAACAAAGCCCTCGATTCCAATGAGGCGAGGAACCGTAGGTTGCCTGAAATGACGTCGTGACTTGATGATGGCTATTGGAAGGTGCAGAATAAACAGGCCGAGGAGCATACGATAGATGAAGAATATCTCCGGGAGTAAGACAAGCGATATGGCGAAGAAGTAAAGTGGGATGGAGGTGGCGATGTGCGATCCGCAGTCAATGATCTTTTCGAAACGTCCCATATTTTGACCAAAGTAAGGCTCAGCGTCCATTTTGTCCCAGTGAATTGTCGTTCCAAACACGCCCTCCAGGATGACGGTCTCGGGCCCCAAGACTCCTCGCAGGTTGCCAATAGGACTGATGTCCCTGAGCTTGACTCCCCACCGGTCCTCCATTCGATACCAAGGAGACCCATGTGGAGTTGACAGGCAAATTAGACGATTGAGAAACGTTGCGCTGTCATTCTCGAGTGCTAGTTTGCCAAAAGCTTGGAAACCAGTATCGCTCCTGTCGACCAGAGGTCTCTGGCGACTTGGGAAAAGGCCCATGGTAGCGTATGCCAAATCGCCTTGGCTGAACTGATCAGTCTGTCTTATAGGAAAGCACGTCAGGGCTGCCTCGATAAGAGAAGACGATGTGAGAATCGCCGATCCCTCAAAGTGATCAACAAGCTGTTTCACTGCGTAGGCATCGTCCCATGCCCTTTCAGCAAAATTCCGCTTTGCGATCGCTTTGGGCTCCGAGGTGTCACCAATGACGTATAAGCGAATCCTGAACTCTCCGGGGTAGAGCAGCAGTTCCGGCAATGTCCAAAGACGTGAGCCCCATTGCCGCAGCCAGGGGGTCACCATATCTGGGTTGTACTGCAAAGACTCGAGCTGCTTCCCAAGCATGAGAGCATCAACCTTGTCATTCGCCTTAGGCCCGATGGCAATGATCATGGAGTGCGCCGCCCGTACAATGTCACAGATTCGGTAGACATCCTCGCTGCCGCTGGTAGATTTCGCAACGCCATTGTCGCGCACGCATTCAAAGTCCAACCAGAACGCTTGCTTGTTGACCTTCCTCGCAGCGTCAATGCCCAATCTGATGAGCGTGGCGCGGTCACTTTTTGCAAGCTCTCGGTTGGCCTCCCTGGTCTTCTCCTTGGGTTCCGGATAATCGTACTGAGAAATTTCTTCATCCGTCGAGACCCTAAAGTGCATACGCGTGTATGAGACGAAAACGAACTCAATGTCGACGCCGTCTCCATTCTTTTTGAGATAGTCCGAGACATTGACGGTCTCATAGCCATAGGTGCCATCGGGGGACCTTGTAAGGAAACACAGATAGCGTGGGCGAATCATGGCGGCATCATCTCCAACTGCGCCAACCGTTGGCGTTTCTCGTCCGCTGCTTATCCCCTGGTTCGGTGTGATGTTGTCTTGGTGTTGTTGAATGGCCCTGTCTGTTGCCGTATGGTCTGAGATACGCCGAAGGTTCGTTTCATTGGTACCAGCAGCATTCTGATCTGGAGCTTGATTTTTCCGTCGACTGTCCAAGTTTGGTGGAAGGAGATACAATTTATGCTGATTTTTTATTTCGTAAATGATGCCAAAGTTCTCTGACCAGCAGACCTGGAAGATACCATGTGAGTGAATAGTCAGGAGGTGCCGGGTGCAGAACTCTTGCAGCCGGACAGAAGCAAGTATCATCGTACTTACCCATCATCCTTCCGCCCATATGCAAATGTCTGTCAAAAGTTGAAAAAGACAGATAATTAGATGCTAGCTGTCATCACCTCATTGGTCCATGTCATTTTTGACTCGGCAGCCACTAGTAGAGCCCCAGGGGATTCAGTCCGTTACAACGATGCGGTTGATCAGAAAAGTACATGTAGCTACCCTTTATGTCTCTTACTTACAGCCATGGACAAGTTTATTGACCAGTACCATTGTTGACCCTGAGGAAACTGAGAACTGCTCTTGACGAAGTCAGAAGAGCGATGGCCGTTGAGGGTGGGAATAACAGACTACGGCGTTCAGTAGCAGCGCAACATATTGCAATTTTGCTCCAACTGTAGCACTGAAGATGGTTTCGTGGTGTAGTTGGTTATCACGTCAGTCTAACACACTGAAGGTCTCCGGTTCAAGTCCGGGCGAAATCAATTTCTTTTGCAGTTTCATTTTGGCGTAGTTCCTCACCATCGTATCTGTGTTGTGATATTGTTGAAGTCGCTCCGCATTGTTCCCTGTCAAGGTTCAGCCACTTCGATTGTGACCAGCCATTCTTTGTCTGATTGTTTTTTGAAGCTTTCGCTCCACAGTCCAGACACAATAAGCCACCCCATCAAAACTAACGCAGTCGGTAGTGTCAATGGGGGCGCTCAAGGACAAAGTGATTATCATCATTCAGTTATTAAATAATTTTGGTATTGCTAATTCAGTCAACTAGGTCGGTCCCAATGTAATCAGTCCGTGCTCGTATTGTCCCGGAGAGAACCCAATTCCTGATATTTTCATATCCCTCATAATCATGCCGTCGTCTTCGTAGCATCATCAGCCGTCTCCAGCTGACCCGTCGCAGCCGCGACTTGAGCCATTTCGTTACCAACCGCCTCCCCTCCCTGGGAGTCTCGGTCCTCAACCTTTCCACCACCACCAGCTACTTGTGTTTCAGACTTCTGCTCACTCTCGGCCTTTGCAACCTCCTTCCCATCAGCAGCAGGCGCCTGAGACGGCGTCGACTTTCGAAAGATGTTGACGCTCGGCAGAGACCAGCTCTTTTTCTTACCCCCATCGGCGACCGGCTCGGTGGTCTGCGTCTCGAGTTGGCCACTGGCAACCGCCGCTTGAGCAGTCTCGTTGCCAACAATCTCTTGGTCTTTCTTCTTGGCGTCGGCGGTACTCGGGCGAGGCTTCGCCGCATCGCCTTCCGCCTTTGCAACGTCCCCGGCATCGCTCGTCTTCTCCGCCTCGGGTTTCTCCCTGTCAGTCGGCGGTTGCGAAGGCGTGGACTTTCTAAAAATGTTGACGCTCGGCAGCGACGCCTGGCCTAGGGACGAGACGGAGGCGGGAACCTTGGGCATATTGGGTATAGCTGGCATGCCCGGTATACCTGGCATGCTGGGCATGTTGGGCATCTTACCTGGCAGCCAGCCCTTGACGCCCGTTCCCGTTGACTGCGCGATCCGGAAGAGATGCTGCATGTACGTCCGCTTCTCCTCGGTAGTCATGTTCTCCGGGTTCATATCCCCGACCAAACCACCCTCGCCGTCCGCGGGGAGCGGCACGAGCGAGGCGGCGGCGGCAATGTCAATGGGCGACTCATCGGGCATCTCTTCGTCAGCAGCCGACTTGGAAGCTTCCTTTTCGTTCAGCCTCTCCTCGGCCTTGTCGTCCGACTTTTCTTCCGGCACCTCGGTGTTGGAGATGACCTTTTCCAGCGTCTCCTCGACCTCGTGGTCCTCCGCGACCTCCTCAGGCGGCGTCTCGCGGAACTTTGCGTCGTCGACGACAGGCTCCTCGCTCTTGAACCACTCAATCACCAAGTCGGCCGCCTGCTCCGTCATATGCTCGTATCCCTTGTGCTTCTCGGGCTGGAACATAGCCATGTGCGCCGCCACCTCGTCGTCGACCTCTGGCAGAACCTGGCGCGAGAAGAGGGACGAAGCAGGATGGCTCTCCTCGGGCACGGCGCAAAACGTCCGCTCGGGGACAAAGTACCCGCCCTGCCAGTATCCGTTCTCCCCCAGCGACGCGTAAAAGTCGTGGATGCCGACGCCCTTGAGCGCGCCCATCCGTTCGAGCCGGCGGTTGAGTTCCTTTTGCTTCATGAGCGCGCCGACAAAGGTGAAGTGGTCCGAGAGCCAGGCGAACGACTGGCCGACGTTGCCGCGGTTGATGTACGCCAGCCCCTGGCCGAGTGCATCGACGCTCTGCTGGTAGCCCTCCTTGACGGAGTTCTTGTTGAGGCCCTTGAGGCTCTTCAGGATGGCCTCGCGGTTGACGTAGGCGGCGACGCCGCCGGCTGCGATGGCGCCTACGGTGCCTGTCCTCACGGCGACGAGCTGCCACGTCTTCCAGCCCGGGTTGCGGGTGGTGGTGGATGCTACGGCCGAGGTTGCGGCCCGGCGGGTGCCCAAGCGGGCGAGGGTGGAGGGTGCGGCGGCCGAGAGGGCTGTCATGACGTTGAAGACGCTGCTGACCTTTTGGTAGTTTGAGAAGCCGCCGTATACGAACATGGAGCGGGCTAGACCGTTGTAGGGGGTGTCGAAGGTGAGGATGCCTTGGATCAGGGGGAAGATGGGGTCCTCTTCTGTCGGGTTGGACTGCGCCCGCTCGTTGATGGCGAGGAAGAGCGAATCTGCGGCGACGAATCCTCTGAGATCATGTCAGCCGTCGGTTAGAAGCCGTCGATTAGAGTGCAGACTGTAAGTGTTGTCGAGCAAAACATACCCCATGGAATGAGCAACGAGAACGACTCCGACCTCTCTGTCGTTTGGAGGCCAGGGCTTCTCCACGTTGGTCTTTCTCACATCCAGGACCCGTTCTTTGAGCCTGGAGAGTGTCAGCAAGTTTGGTTTGCGATACGATGACAGTGTGTGCAAGCGAGGAAGTAGACTGACCATGAGAGAAACGCATCGGTGGCCTGCGCCAATTCGCCTTTGGTCTCATACTGAGGGTACACGATGGACTCGACGTGGTGGTCGGGGAGTTGCTTGGTGACTGAACGCTTTAGGTCCTGAGGGAGTATCAGTATGGGTGGAAGACGGAAGTGATGGGGGATGACAGGTGTGGCCTCACATCTGGAAAATCGTGAAAGGTGCTTTCATTCCCCTTGTACTTCTTGTTAGCTGCTTGCTGTGCCGGTGCATCGATGGCTTGCTGTTGTTGACTACTCACTTTGAAGCCATGGATGAAACACAGAAGCAGTGTCCGAGGCATGATGATCACCAGGTGTGGTGGCAGAGATTAAAAGGAGGATTAGATGCTACTGGGTAGTGTGGCTAGGTGAAATCTGATAGGAAAAAGGAGTGACTATCTTGGGTATTTCATAGGTGAAGGGTATCATGAAAGTCGCGTCGAGGAAGAGAAGAAGAACCCAGACAAGAAGGATGGCCGGTGCTCGTGGAGTAATATCCCGCATCTTCCCTCCTCTCCCCCCCTCCTTCTGCATCTCTGTCTCTTACACACACACGCACACACATACATACATACACCAACCAGACTGTCGACGCAGAGCAGTGACGATTGACTGAGCGGTTCGTGCATGTGCACCGCCTTGCCTTCCCAGACGTTCCAGGTTTTTCCCAGCCACACCTTCTCACACTGAGTTGCGTGGGCGCGTGGCGAGTGCCTCCTCAGGGCGAGCCAATGGCACGGAGCGCCGGTTTGGCCAAGACGTCACCGACGACGTCATCTCCATGTTGGGGTTTTGGGGGGGGGGGGGCAGACGCACGGCACCTCTCACTTTTGGCGTCTGGGCCTCTCATCTCACACCTCACTCGCACTCCCTCCCTCAGCCACTCACTCACTCACTCACTCACATTGGCTCGTATACATGTACACACCAACTACGATGCGATAGCCCTATTCACCTGGGAGTACCGTACACGCTGGTATTTAGTGAGCTCAAGTAACAATAGATCTACTTCAATTATCTGTTGATCCGTTCCGAAACTCTAATTCTTACCAATCCAAACCCTTGTACTAAACTCGCAGCCTAACCTGCCCTATCTACAAACCCTAATTAAGCTAGAAACTCTATTGTCACTTAAGCTGAACGTATACCAGCGTGGACGGTACTCCCAGGTGAACAGGGGATGCGCAATGTCAGGTAGGGCATCACTCCATTGACTCGCAGACTTCACTCCTTCAGCTCAGCTCAGCTCAACCCTGGCTGGTCATCTCTCACCCACCACATCCACACCAACTCAAGCATCCCGGTCCATGTCAACATATCATCTGCCAAATCACATGCCTGCGATACCTACTCACCTTCCATCTTCTGCAAAGTGCGGCACGTCACATCAAGCTCCGATGCATGCGCGGTGAACTACAGAAGGTGGGATTGGGTGGCCCTCCTCCACGTGCGATCCAAGATCTTGAGCTCACGATCGATGTGCGACCCGGGACCCGGCCTGTCATCTGGAATCTGGAAGGATTTCTAAGGTGTCCTCGCTTGATCTCTTTTTTCTTTTGATGAGTTCCAGAAATCTGGTTCCGATATGACCGCGACCCTGGTGGTCTCTGCTCTTACAGTTTTCTCTCCGCCCTTATGCCCCAATTCAAACAACCCTCCCCCCATTCCATCTCATCATTCCTTCACTCTGACAGGCTCTTCTTCAAATTGCCAAGTGACAATGTCGGATGAAAGTTCCGAATCTGCGTCTCGTTCGCCGCCGAGCCATAATCCCACACCGTATAAAAGTTTTTCAAAAACGTCGACCCAATCAACACGAACCAAGACTGCGTGCCCTCCTCAAACGGAGGCCAGCACGCGTCGTCCCTGTACGCGAAACCCGGGATGGCGAGCTGGTCGCCCGTGATCTCGACCGTCTGCGGGTACCGGTAGTCGCCAAAGGAAAACTTGACGGACCACGACGAGTTGAATTCGCTGCAGAGCGGGATGTGGTCGCCCTTGAGGATGGCCGTGTAGTTCATCCCGATGGACTCGTACACGGCCAGGTTCAGCTTCGTCGGCAGCGTGATTTTGCTCGCGCCCGTGTCGAAGACGACGCGCGCCTGGTCGAAGTCGGTCTCCGTCTCCGTGACGCTGCCGTTGCCCGTGGACCGCGTGCCGTTGATGGTGAGGATCGAGGACCGCCACACGTCGTAGCCGTCTTCGGCCTGCCAGATGGGGACCGTGACGAGCTCGCCGTCGACATAGTCGGCCTCGCGGGAGCCGCCGATGGTGAGCACGCCGTTGCCGGGGACGCCGCCCGTGTTATTGACCTCGGTGCCGTAGTAGATGCCAAACTTGGCCGCGTCGAGGCGGTTCTCGCCCATGAGGGTCTCGACGACGGTATTGGCGCCGCCGTCGATGATGGAGCTGAAGCCCAGGCCCAGGAAGCCGTCGGCCGCCAAGGAGGACCAGCTGCTCTCGTTGGCGGCGATGAAGGACTGTTCCCACGAAGAGTTGCCGACGGTCCATTTCTCGGCGACGGTGAGGCCGGCGACGTCGCCTCCGAGGTACGGGATGACGGCGCTTCCGCCGGTGTAGTGGCCGCTGGTTGAGGCGTCGATGCTGTAGCCCGTCCGGTGATAGCTGGATTCTACAGGTCAGTCGTCTGCGGTATCGAGGTGTACGGGCAGAAGTGAGGAAACACGCACCCGCTCGCGTTGTTGCACTTCCCCTTGGCGAGACATTCGCTGTCGGTCGCCCAGGACGACGAGCTTCCCGTGTCGAAGAGGAGACGGAACGTCTTGGCCGGGGTTCCGATGCCGAGCTCGACGACTTTCTGTTATGCCTGTGTCAGTGATTGTTCTCGTTGCCGCAGAGTTCTGCAGCAAACTCACGTAGCCATCGTCGACGATGATGGGCAAATCGATTACAGCCGCAGTCGCAACGGACGCGACCGCCGCCGCCGAGAAGAAACGAGTGATGGCCGACATGGTTTAACGGATCTCGTAGTTGTGCCGATCCAAACGATTGACAGATCGTACACTACAGCGAGAAGGGGACGCGGCGGACGCCATCTTCAAAGAGAGAGCTTAAGTATTTACCTAACACCATGGTCCCGCATTATGACGATCATTTCGAACCTCGTAAAAGGCGGATGCTACAGGGAGGCTTGGTGGAGAAGGTCAATCTCGACAATGCATGCCAACCCGCTTGGCTTGGAGAAGGGGGGGCTTGCTACTATTTTCGTCTCGGTTCGTGTTTCTCTCCGTACGCCGTCCGCAATGAACTTGATTCCCCGGTGCTGGAGGGGCAACGAGGCTCACATGGTCGTAAGTACGGAGTAAATGACCTTGTGTGCTGGTAGGAGTACGAGGAGATCGGCAACTCGCGCCGAATAACCAGACACACGCTTGACTTTTGCTGGTTTTCAGGCTCTGATTTTTCAAATCCCGAGGACAGTCAACATCTTGATATTGGTTGGGGGCTGTGTTGATGGACTCGTGACTCGCGACTCGTGGTTAAAAGTTCATCCCCTGTACCCACGGCGTGATTGCAGTCCAATATGTACCATGGCAGACCCCGTCATGCATCCTTACAGTGTAGTACCCTTTCAAAATCCATTTGTATGACTCTCCGAGGGTCCAGAGTCCAGAGAAGAATGGCGATCTGTTGTGAATGCGAGCCAAACCGCCAAGCAAACTCTCCAACACGTCAATATGTTATGCTCACATGCATCAATGAAAAGCCTGATAACACAGCTTTGAGACTATCCTTGCCTTGAGACACTCTTGACTCAGTCTCAGATGAGAGGACTATATACATCAGAGTCGGACACCTTCACTGTGCCTTCACGACAACCTCGACGCCCTCGAGACCCTCGCCAGAAGCCGTCACGGTGATATCGCCCGCAACGCCCTCCTCGGACCTCACAATCGCCAACACAAGACCGCTAAACGCCTTGCGCACCAACGACGGGAACGCAACCAAGTCCGCCGGGTCACCGTTGTCCGTCGCCACAATCCGCCCCGGTCCGCTCACGGAAAACGTAACGGCATCGTCCGCGAACCGCACCACGTCGCCCCGCGCATCCAGCACCTCGACCGTCACAAACGACAAATCCACGCCGTCGGCCGCGATCGTCGCGCGGTCCGCCCACGCTCGCAACTTCGCCGGCGCCCCCACGGTCCGCACCGTCGTCTCGGCCCACGCCGCGCCGTCTTTATACGTCGCGACCCGGAGCGCGCCCGGCTCGTACCGGACTGCGTCCCACCGGAACCGGTATGTCAGCGCCGCGCGCGTCTGCCGCCCCTGCGACACCCCGTTGACGAACAGCTCGGCCTCGTCCGCCGAGGAGAAGACGTGGACGGGCGTCACCTCGCCGACGCGGTCCGCGGGCCAGTTCCAGTGCGGCAGCACGTGGGCAAACTTGACGTCGGGTCGCCAGCGCGCCTGGTACAGGAAGAAGCGGTCCTTTTTGAAGCCCGCGAGATCAATGATGCCAGAGTACGAGCTGCGCGCCGTGTAGTACGGCGTCGGCTCGCCGAGGTAGTCCCAGCCCGTCCAGACAAACTCCCCCGCGACAAAGGGGTGTGTGTCCTGCGCCGCAAAGACCTTGTCCGGCGACGCGCCAAAGTTGGCCGAGTAGAGCTCGTACGCGCTGACCTGCTGCGCGGCGGCGTTGCCGCCCGAGGTGTCGTTGACGGGGGCGCCCGAGTCGCCCGTCACGGGGAAGAGGTAGGTCCCGCGCGTGCTCAGCGTCGACGCCGTCTCGGTGCTGAGAATCATCTTGTCGGGAAAGGCCTCGTGGAAGTCGGCGTAGAGCGGGTGCGTCTTGACGCCGGGGAGGAACGAGTAGTTTGGTGTGTCGCGGATGCCCTCGCCCTGGTAGTTTAGGCTGAGGACGTCCAGGGCCGTGGGGAAGGACATGTTGGGCTTGGCAAAGTTCATGGACGCCGTCGAGGGCCGCGTGGGGTCCTCCTCGGCCACGATGCCGTGCAGCGCGCGCGCGGGGACGGTGCCCGGGTCGCCAATCTGCTGCTCCGAGACCTCGTTACCGAAGCTCCACAGGACGACGGAGGCGTGGTTCCGATCGCGGCGCATCATGGCCCGCAGGTCCGGCTCGTGCCAGTCTGCAAAGATGAGGTGGAAGTCGTTGGACGTCTTGTTGCGGTACCACGAGTCAAACACCTCGTCCATGACGAGAAACCCGCGGCTGTCCGTCAGCTCGAGGAGTTCCGGGGCGGGCGGGTTGTGGGACATGCGGATCGCGTTGCAGCCGAGCTCCTCGAGGACCTCGAGCTGGCGCTCCGCGGCGCGGGTGTTGAAGGCTGCGCCGATGGCGCCGAGGTCGTGGTGGTTGTTGACGCCCTGCAGGCGGACGTGTTCGCCGTTGACGAGGAGGCCGCGGTTCGCGTCGTAGGTAACGGAGCGGATGCCGAAGCGGGTCTCGTAGGTGTCGACGACGGCGCCGGCGAGAGTGACGATCGTCACGGCGACGTAGCGGTTTGGTTTCTGGGTCGGCGGCGGGCCCCAGAGTTGCGGAGATGTGACCGTGGTTGAGCCGTTGACGTGCGCTTTGCCTCTGGCCGTGATGGAGGCTGATGAGCGGGGGAACGCGGCCACTTTGGCTCCCGGTTTGCCCATAGCGGAGTCGAGATGGTGGATGGCAGTCGAGATCTCGACTTCCTGGTCGGACTCGCCCTTGTTCTCGACCTCGACCACTAGGTCCAAGGTGGCGGACTCGGAAGAGACGTCCTTTGAGACGATGTAAGTCCCCCATTGCGCGACATGGACCGGGTTGACCTTGGTCAGCCAGACGTTGCGGTAGATGCCACCTCCGGGGTACCAGCGTGCCGAGTCGGGGGGGTTGTCCAGTCGGATAGCAAGGACGTTGTCTTCTCCCGTCTTGAGGTGCGGCGTGAGATCGAGGCGAAACGAGTTATACGGGTAAGGCCAGCCACCGACCAAGTAGCCATTCAGCCACACCATGGCGTAGGACATGGCGCCATCCACATCGAGGAAGATGGACTTGCCCTCATCTTCGGGGGTAACCGTCAACGAGCGACGGTACCACCCCACGCCATGCACAGGCAAGCGGCCCATCCCTCCGCCGATGATGGGGTTCTCCTCGGTATAAAAGGGGCCCGCGATAGCCCAGTCGTGGGGCAGGCTGACACTCTCCCACGCGCCATCGTCAAATCCCTCGGACGCGTAGGAAACATTGCGGGAGGGCTCGCTGCCGGGGCGCTCGTGGTGCTGCGCGGGGTCGTTGATGAAGTCGTTTGCCGAGGGCAGGATCCAGGGCTTCAGCACAAAGGTGCCTGTGAGGTTCTCGAGGTCCGGGCGGTGGTCGTAGATGAGGCCGTCCGGGTTGAACTCTGAGCGCCAGAAGCGCCATCCCTTGTTGATGCTGACGTGCTCGCGGCCGCCGGTGGTCGGCTTCGACGTGTTCTGTCGGGGGTGGAGGGTGAGTGCTTGCGCGGGTGTCAGGATGAGCAGCAGCAGGCTCAAGAGTGACAGCCCAAAGGCTCGCGTCGTCAGGGACCGCCGTGAAGTCGTCATCATCTTGACGGCTGGTTCTGAAGTGACTGTGACACTGCGATACCACCATCCACGCGCCCCGGGGCCGAGTCTTATATGGCGGGTCGTGATATTCATGTCGGTATCCCGTCGGGCCATGGAAAATCTACCGTGACGTAGCTCCGACCAACGGTCGGAAACGGACAGCTAGATCGGGTAGATCTCCACGAAGAGGCCGCGAACCCCTGGCACCGAACCATCGTACCCTCGGCTTTGCTGGATTGCTGTTGATGGATCATTAGGGGTTCATGAGGGGTCCAATCTCGGGTGAAAAGACTCCAGGCCCTCCGCACCCCGCGTTTCTCCACACGGCAGTACGACGATACAGGGATCCGGGGCGCTCAGCGATGGCGACTCCACGATGTATTTAGCCTGAATCTCTGGTCTGGTGTGGTCATTGGGCCGCCTGTGTTCGCTATGAGGGGCTCATTTCTTGGAGTTGGCAGATCCCTAGACAAAAGTCAGTTGAGAAGCTTATACCAGGTAATTGCCACTACGGATAGCACTCATACGATGTTGGACATCGAACCAGTCGTCGGTATTAATCCCCACCATCTGGCCACGACGGGGCCGTGGCATTACTGCTTGACGGCGTACCCGGTGAGAAATTCCGCGTCATGAGATGGGACACTGATGCATGTTCCCACCACGTTGGTTCGCCAGTGCAGCGGACTAGCCCGTCTGGGAATGCTGCTAACCTAGTCATGAGTTAAGGCCACTCACTTCCCGTCCACAGCTTTAACTCCCTGTCCAGCAGTAGCTTGCGGCCAATAGGACTCTAGACAGCAGGCTCTAGAGTCGTTACAACTCTATAAAGTCATCGAGGTGGCAGAATCTACATATCGATTTCGTGGCGACACAGATCATATTCGGGCAGATACGAGATGCCAGAAGCAGGAGATAATGCAAGTAATCAGGGCACGTAGACCTAGCCCAAAATCTCACTCGCATCAAGCCTGCAGTGCGCAACCTCAACGAAGACGGGGGTCTTATCAGGCTGCTTTCCCATCTCGACTGTGGCGGACATGATGAACTTTGTCCTATGATCAATTGCCTCACTTCCGTCATTCTCCATGTTTGACTCAGAACGGCTCGACATTTTGCACCGGCATGAAAACCGTGAGCATGATCGGTCACGGTTTTTGCCGGGCGAAGGGCTCCTAGGTTACATTGAGGCATGGGAGGATAGTATGTCATCATCTTCCGACTCGGAACCCGATTGCAACCCGTGTTAATTGGGCGCTCATGTCGCAGCTTCTTCCGGCACAGCTCGCGTCAAGACTGGGTTCCTGAGCGACTCTCAGGTGGCGGAATGGCTCCAGCAAAAGGGCAGGTTTTTACCGCCAGACTGGCAGCGCCATCGGACGGCGCGAGTCCGCCTGCTACTATGCGAACGTATAGAATATTGGCGTCTACGCTTTGCCATGAGCCGCGAATCCTTCTTTTTGGTGGAACAGGCTCTCGGGCTACCTCCTGTGTCTCTGACGATATTGGAGGGGGGCGCTGGGAAGCATCACTTTCATCGGAAATTCAAGCATCATCAGGGCAATCGGTCATTGGAGTCAATAGGTAGGTGCACAGAGTAAAGATGTCTACTAACCTACCCACGAACAATGAGAAAACCTGAACTAATCAAGTCCGCTGCAGTTCTCACGATGAAGCAACCTCAAATGTTTCAACTCGGGAACCTGGGAATGGCAATGTCTCACCACATTGAAACCCGTACAACTCTAGCCTTCATACACGGCTGGGACATCTTTGTGCACGAGTCCCACGTGACTGGCGAACGGGTCATGCCTCACAAGACAGCCATCTACGAAACACTCAAGTTGTCCGGCAGGCTGCTGGGCCACCCCTTGCTGCTTCCCGCCATCTTCCTGCGAGTACACCTGAAAAAGGCCGAGATCACGAGGAAGCAACTGAGCGCCGCAACGGAAGAAATTGAAAAGACCCTCGGGGTCACCAAGACAGCCCGGCTGGCGATGAGAACCGTCCAAGATGTGCAGGTCAACTCGAAGATGAACCGCATGATCACAGACGAGAAGACCAGGATCCACACGACGGCGCTGCTCAGCACCACGGTGACGGATGTTATCAATATGAAAGGGACACTGGAGTGGGATATGGAATACGTCAAGTTTCTTCGCAATGTCAACGAGACCATTAAGCCAGATCATGACGATATGGAGGTGTCATCGGAGGTGGACTTGGAGCTGAACGGCTTTATCGACCTTCTCGAGGTCGATGCACAGTCTATTTCGTCGTATGCTACCATGATGCAGTCTAGGCTGGATATCCAGCTCAATGTGGTAAGGAATCTTGAAGAAGATTTATCAAGAAGCAAACATTTCGATCGCGCTAAAGCTAACCGGAATACCAGCTCTACAATCTCATCGCCTAGGCCGGAAATAATCTCAACATGAAAATCGCAAAGACTGCGGGTCTGGACAGCACAGCCATGAAGACAATGGCTGTGGTGACCATGGTCTTTCTTCCCCCGACATTCGTTGCCGTAAGTTCCCCTACATCGCTCATATACAAATGCATGTACACTTGATGAAACAGGGCTTACCAAAAGCTTTTGCAGACAATATTCAGCATGTCAATGTTCAACTGGCAAGCTTCGTCCTCATCAAACACAGCCGACGGCAGTGGCGGCGGTTCAGAGCCCACCGTTGTGCCGCAGTTCTGGATCTACTGGGCCGTGAGCTTACCTTTGACGGTGGCCATCGTGATTGGCTGGCGAGTGTGGTGGCATTTCCAGAAATCGTACTACGAGACCAAGTTTTTGAGTACAGAGAAGGAAGACAAAGACGCACGATCTGCAAAGGAGTCGAGGAGACGAGTATGACGACTGACTACTAATGATATCTTGAAGACGGTTGCAATCCCTTTGAGTATTTTATCCATAATCGTAACCCTTGTTTCTTCTTCGAACATATAACCATGCTTAACCTTTTTTTGTTCGAGGTCTTAACACAAGCGGCTGGCGCGCATAGCGTGCTTTCAAATACGGCAGACACGCTCGTTACGCCGTGCTAAAATTGGTGGGGACTTCTCATCGTCATCGGCAGGACCATAAGTTGATTTCAAAGTTATAAAGATTTCGATCAATTGTGAACAGCAGATTCTTTCCCAGAATCTCGTCGAAATCGGTGGGTTTCTGACTCTCGGATTTGGTTACCCCGTGCCATCACGGCACGGTTCAAGAATTGTCGGATTGGAAGCCCAATTCGACCTCGAGTTAGCGCTAGCGCAGGGGCCATCTGAGGGTCTCTATATCAGCGTTCAACTGACGGTCCAACCTCCGGTTGGAACCTCTCTTTTCCACTTCACGCAGAGATCAATATACAGTTAATTGACCCTTCGTCACCACGGTTCGACTCGAGCAATCACACCTGTGATACGTAAACCAACAAGGATGCTTAACTGATGCGGCTTTTCCCGGGCTATGACGCCGGTTGTCGGATCGAGAACCGAGTTGAGTCATACAAAAGTCCTTATCAGTACATGGCAGGATATAAAATGCACGGATATCTCCTCGAGGGTGACGGTTTGTTTTTGTGACTTATTCTCTACATTCACACAGTCAAGCCTGTGCCGCAACTTGACTCTTCAGAAGCTCTTCGGATTGAATTAGGCACAGAACCCAAAGGCGAAACCTCTCACAACCTCCCCCGGACTACGCCAACAACGTCTCATCGCGCACAACGTAGCCATGGCCTCCATCAGCGCCGAACTGCGAAATCAAAGGTGGACGAGGGACTCCTACCTCATCTCGACCGACGCATCCCTCATCCCGGTCCCCCAACTCAACGCCGCCTTCGCCTCGGACGCCGTCTACTGGGCCAAGGCCATGCCCGAAGCCATCATGAGAGAAATGCTGCAGAGCTCCCTCTGCTTCGGCTTGTACGACACCACGTGCGCCAACCCTCAACAAGAACTCGGTGGCGCAGCTCAAGTAGACGACGACGACAATAACAAGAACAGCAACAACAACAACGACGACGACACCGCGGAGCCGGAGGAGCACCAACGCCCCCAACATCGATTAATTGGTTTCGCCCGTCTCATCACCGACTTCGTCACCTTTGCCTACGCCACAGACGTCTGGGTCGACCCCGCGCTGCAGGGCAACGGCCTGGGCAGGTGGCTATTGGGCTGCGTGCAAGAGATGATCGAGGCGATGCCGTGCCTGAGGAAGAGCCTGCTGTTCACCGACAGCTGGGAAAAGTCTGTGCCGTTTTACGAAAAGGTGATGAAGATGAGCGTGGTGGGAGGGCAGCCGGGGGTCAGCCAGGCGATTATGCAGATGAGGGGAAAGTGGTCACCGCATTTTACGGGAAAGTCGGGTTGAAAGTCTACTATCAAAGACATTGGGGGTTGGTTCTTTGTGTGTTGGGTATGGAAAAGAGGAGGCTACGCTAGACGAGATCCCGGCGCAAGAATACTGTTCTTCGAATGACGGGGTTGCCGTCTTGGTCCTTTTCCGGGAATCCGTAAAAGTTGTTTTCGGTGTGGATCAGTTTATATCCTCGTCTCTCATACCATGCCTGCGTCGGCGTCTACGTGTGAAGAAAAGACACGAAATTAGTCCCGAAGATCTCGTGTAGGAACAAGTCACTTACCGGCGGAAGCTTGCCCTGCGCCACAACAATAGACTCCTTTCTCAACTGATCCTCCTTGGACACCGTGTCGAGCATGAGCGTCTTTGCGCACAGCGGCTCGCTCGTGGCCATGCTCTCGATCAGGTCCATGGCAGCCCTGGCGATGCCCGAGCTCTGTAGCGCAAAAGACACGTAGAGGGTCTTGATCCAGTAGACGTGATCTTTGGGGATGGGCAAATTGAGGCACGCGGCGGCCGGGCTGTCGACGTCGAGCGAGATGTGGCCGACAGGATGGAAGAGCGCTTCCGTCGGGGTTCGCGGGGTGGCGCGGATGGAGTCTGCTGTGTCTGTGATGGGGTCTTTCTCCTGGTGGCGATTGTAAGTCGTGATGCACGATGGGGGAGGGAGGGCATAGGTGGTAGATGAGAACGAACTTTTGGGTACTCGGAGACGAGCTTCGCGAGCCTTGCTTCCCGGTCTGGGTCGTCTGGTGAGAGCACCTGAGGGCAATTAGGAGATGCACTTTGTAGAGTTATACGGGTTTCGAGAAGAATGGCAGGAAGGACACAGTTGAGGATTGTCCATGGGGTCGCAACATAGCTCATTTTTGGCAATGGACACTTACAAGCCAGTAGATGCACTTAAAGCCGGATCGCTGGTAATCTTGCCATTGTGGTACCTGCTCCGAGGCCCAGCCGCATTTTATCCTCTGATCTACCAACCGTGTGAAGTGGTCCGGGGAGTTTGGGTCCCAGGGGATCAGCTCGACTTTGGCTCTTGACATAGTGCTGACACTACCTCTTTCGCGCCTATTTCGGTTGGAGAGGCTTCAACTGACTAAAATGCACTGACTGAGAGGCAAAAAACCGTGGTACGGTGTACTGTCAAATTGAATGAGAGGGCTGACGTCGGGCTTTAAGAGTGTCAACGTTGGAGGATTGTCGTGACGGTGAGTCATCAATCTGATTCCTCTTAGTTTCTCAAAATGTCCCTCTTGGATACTTCTGTTCGGTTGGAACCGGTCGGCGGGTCTGGACAGGACCTAGTCGGCCGGCCTCAAGAATCAAGTGGCCGCGTTTTCTCGGCTTCGGTCACTTGGAAACTGACAGGGAAGGATACTCGAGCCGAAGAGTTGCATTAGCGTTTGTGGGGCTCTCAATGACACAATCATTCAGGATCACGCATCGAGCGGATGCCAGCAGCTCAACAGTAAGCCGGCAACTCAACCTCCCGACTCCGAAGACGGGCTTCAGAGGTATTTACCAACGCGCCCGAGTCTTAAACACTGGCTCAAACTCGTTAGTTCAGAAAAAAGTAGTGTGATTGTATGGTTTATTATCTTGTAAATCAAAGTCGCTACGCAAGAACCAGTTGCAACTTAACGCCCCTCATCCCCATGCCCCATTCTATAGCCGGTCATGCGTGTATATGCAATGCTGTGTCTACCGCGAGGGCATCGCCCACGACCCGTTGGAGAACCACGTCCCGGCCCCTGTATAGTCTAACGTCACACCATCCTTCATATATGCAAATCGAAAATACTCTGGAAGCGCCATCTTGGCCTTCCTCATCCACACAAACTCGTTGTCGTCGGGCCCATCGGCAAAGTAATACCGAAACCGTTCCACGTCGTTGACAAGCGCGCTGATACCGTCAAACTCGGCGGCGACGTTGGGCGGCATAAGCCAGCTGATGGTCACGCTGGGCTCAAACGAGCCCGTCGAGAAGATTGGGTTGGCAATCTGCGGGAGCAGCGAGTTGAACGGGCCGTCCTCGCGCAGCTCGTCGGGCGTCTGCAGAACCGAGTCGAAGCCCCAGCGCGCGATGCCGTTGACAAAGAGGCCCAGCAGCATCCCCTGGTAAAACAGCGACGTCCGCGTCTGCATGCTGGTGCCCGGGAGCAGGCAAAAGGCCATGATGTAGTGGTGCACGCGGAGGTCGACGCCCGGGATCGAGACGCCGATGACGACGCCGGCCAGGAAGAGCGCGTACAGCGCCAGGAACCGGGGCAGCCTGCCCTCGAGCCAGAAGAAGTAGACCTGCTTCGCCATGACAAAGGTCAGGACGATGAGGATAAGGGCCAGCGCCGGCTTGGCGCCGGGCTGGTGCTCAATGTCGTGAGCCGTGAGGCGCTGGATCGGCATCCAGCCAAACGTGTAGTTGGACAGGGCGCCGAACCAGAACCCGCCCAACCAGAGCGCCGTCTTTTCAAACTGCGCCCGCAGGTCCTGTAGAGTCCGCCTGACACAGACGCGGAAGAGCACGGCGGCGCAAAAGAGGGCCGGGAGCAGACGGCCGGCGAACTTGGAGATGCGGTCCGGCAGGACGGAGGCCGCGTGGTGCGAAGCCGTGGGCGGGTCGGAGCCGAAGCTGACGTGGGCAAAGATGCCGACAAAGGAGACGAAGAACTGCCATGCGGGGCTCGTCGTGAAGAGGGAGAAGACGGACGTGAAGAACATGGACGTCGGGAGGAGGACCTGGCGCGGATCCCGCTTGCCGCACTGGAGGGACGGGTCGGCGGTGAGGTTGTACGACAGCGGGAAGTACGAGTCAAAGGGGACCGTCTCGACGCCGTTCCTGGTCGAGCTGTTGAACCCTTGGTGCCGGCCGACGCGGTGGAGCCGGCCGCAGCCTCCGCTGAGGTCCGTCACGATGTCCGCGTGGATCGCCGAGGCGCAGATCATGGAGTCGCCGCGGTAGATGCCGTCGCCTACGACCAGCGGCCGGTACACAATCTCCCGGTCACCGACGGCGTGCGGGTTCAAGAGCTTGTGGGCCATGCAGTTGGCCGGGCACCGGAACGCAAAAGAAGAATTCGTAAAGGGGCGGCAGTCGGCGCCGTCCAGGCCGCACCCGTTCTTGAAGCGCCAGAGGGTGTCGCTGCAGTCCAGGTTGATGACGTCCCTGCCGGCGCCGTCCCTGATCCGCCTGGATGACGCGAGCGGAACGGAGAAGGCGACGGCCCACAGCGCCAGGAACACGGCGACGACGACGGCCTTCCGGCGCGACGTCGGCGCGACGAGGTCAAGTAGGCGCGGGGGTGCTTCCTGGACGGCGGGCAGGACGGGCCGGATGGTGTGTACGCGCGGCGGCTGGGGCCCGGCGAGGCAGTGCCGCTTCCGGGGGACGTGAGGGCCGAACTTTTGCTGCGAGAGGAGTGAGGGCGTGCTGGATGTGCTCTCCTCGAGCTCGTAGCCCTCTTCTCCATCGGCCAGGAACTGGGCCTCCTCGTCGGCGCTCCGCCGCGATGACGCGTCATAGTCGTCGTCCATGTCCTTGAACGGGCGGTCCCCGCGTCGGGGACCATCACCGGCGCCCATCTTGTTTCCTCCCTTGGGCTTAGCCCCTCGTCTTCCTTCACCTCCAAGGCTTACCTCTGAGGTTGAGTAATTACCGAGTTAATTTACAATTCAAGTAAGTCCATGTGCGTGAGTGACGTGAATGAGCGATTTGAGAGTCGACAAAGAGTTGCTGACAGATGACGAGAGAGGAAAAGTGAGGCTGTGAGTTCCTCTCGACTCTCCGGGGGGTAGGTAGATCCCGAAAGGAAGAAAAGAAAAAAAAAAAGAGTGACGGCCGGCGCTTAACGGAGGCGACGTGTTCGACTTCAGACTTTCCAAGACCGCAAAGAGAAAGGCTCCCGTCAGCGAAAAACGCCTCCCAGATCATAAAATGGACACCAAAAGCTTCAAAAGGAGCTCTTCCAGGGTGGAAATTAGTACGGTAATCGGAAGGATCGGAGGGGCGCGCTACGCTCAGGAGGGGGGAGAGAGAGGACTCGGCCGCGGCGGCCGTGTTTGCTGTCAGCAAAGAACACGCTCACCTCCTTCTCGCCCTCGCTCTTCCAGTCCTTTGCCTCGTCTGCGACACGAGCGTCAAAGCTTTCTATTATTCCCTGAGGCCCTGAGGGAGACGAGACTCCAAACTGAGACAAACAGTGGAGATGTCTCCAGGGATCTGCTGCGGCTAATCGGCGCCGTCGGGGCGCGCGCATCCTTCCGTTCCCCTGCCCGCCATGTTTTCCTCGGACCATTGAGATTCCTTCCTTTAATTAGCGAACAAACTTCTCAACTCCTAGACTCCCTCACTGGCTCACAGGTCTTTTGAGCAAGCTAGGTGACTCTTTGGCCTTCAAAGGATGGGAAGAGAGAGCTTCCAATCCTCTTCGGCTGGGTTTCCCAAAGCCAGTGACCTGAATCTGGCTTACTCAATCTGAAACTAAGAAGGGGCGCCTTGGCCAGGGTCTTACAGGGGACATTTTAGCTCAAGATGAGACTAATATAGGTACCGATACGAAGCGGTGAGCCGGGGGAGAAAATCAAATCAAACCATACCCAATAAAGGCAAATCTCGGCCTGAGAACCCAACAGTAGCTGTCCCCTTGGACTCTCAGAGTGACATTGATCGTGAATATGAACCTCGAGCCTCACTCCAGAGGCTGAAGCCTCAAACCGAAAGAACGGACGGCCCAAAGTACAGACGGGTTGTTGTTCCCGTGGCTTCCAGCGCGCATTGGACAAAGCCAGAACTCCAAATGACATCAATTGACTTTAGCCCTGCGTCAGAACCTTTACGAGCGGCAGTAGCAGCAGGCTGACGAAGGGTTGGCATGACGCACCACACAGTTATCCAACCAGTGAGACACTTTCACATGCTCACGGGTACCCCTCCCACATCTGTGGACAATATCTTCGCGACACCACCTCAGGTTTCGTCGCCTACAGCTCAGTTACCCATCAATGTTGCGTTACAACAATAATGCCACGAATTTACCTACCAGTCCGATCGCATTTGCAAGGCGGGGGAAGGGGCCTATTCTGTTTCCATGAACTGGAGCAAACCACATCTTGCACTTGATGCTACTCATATCCATCCATTTCTCAGATTCTCTCCTCGGCAACGACTATCGGAACTGCTCACATCAAATCTCACAAGTATACTCCATCGTCATGTCAACCCGCGGAATACCCCCAAATCCGGCAGGCACCGCATACGACACATTGTAATACCAATGGTCCCTCAACTGCTTCCCGTAAGACACCGGCAACTTGACTAACCCCGGCGCCGAAACGTTGACGCGCAGGCACGGCAGCTCCTCCAACCCCGTAATCGTCTTCCCGCCCAGCGTCCATGCCGGCGGGATCCCCGACAGCGCAAAGGTGAAGATGTCTGTCCCTTCCTGCGTGCTGTTCGGGTACGACACGCTGAGGGACCCCGCCCCCGCCACGGCCGAAATTGTCGACGCAGAAGGGTACAGCGAGAAGAATCCAATGTACGGGTACGGCTTGTGCGCGGGGTCCGACGCCCATTGCGCAATCAGCGGCACGAACTGGTCTCCGCGGTTCTTGGTCTCCGCGACAATCTGCCCGCCGATCATGAGCGGCGCGCTGACCCACGACGTGATCGTCCGCGTCACGTCCGTGTCTAGCGCCTTTCTCACCTTGCGCGTGAGGCTCCGCGTCCCCGCCCACGGTCCCTTGGCCTTGAGCGCCGCGGCGGTGCCGGCCGAGATGTGCCGGGCCACCGTGTCGGCTACCAAGGCAATGGCCGCGCCCTGCGACGCGTCGTAGAGCAGGTCGGCCTCGCCCTTGGGCGGCTGAGGCCCGTATTCGCGCCCGAAAACAGCCCACCAGTACAGGGACAGGATGGCCGAGTGCTCCGTCATGTCGCGGGTGTAGGCGCGGTCGTACGGGCCGACGACGTTGCCGAGGTAGGCGTTATAGTGATCCGCAACGTCGTCCCACAGCTTCTTCAGGATGAACTCTGCGTTCTTCGTCATGGTCGCGTGGCGCGGGCCGTAATCGATGTTGGCGGCCAGGGCCCAGACGTCTATGCCGTAGTAGTTTGGCGCGTTGTACTCGCCGAGGGTGTTTGAGCCGTTAGCCTTGAAGAGCTCGAGCAGCTTGGTCCCTTGGGAGTTGGCAAAGTTGATAAACGTTGCGTTGTTGCGGCGGGCGCCGATCCAGCCGACTGTCAGGGCGCGCATCAGACTCGGGTTGGAGTAGGCCACGATGAGGTTGTCGCCTTCTGGAAAGCTGCCGTTTCGCCGCATGGCGCCAACGGCTTGGATCTCAAGCGCATCTTCAATCTTCTTGACTAGGTCCGCGCCAAGGAGGTCGGAGTAGAGCTCGACGTCTTGTACCAGTTGAGTCCTGGCGTCCTGTAAGTATGTGAACGCACCCTTCCCAGCGCCATGATGTCTCTCTGTTACAAACTCACCCAACAAACTCTCTCCAGTTAGGGTCGTAGGTGGTCTATTTCTTCATCAGTCTCGACTGCGTATAAGAGCTTTGCTTTGGCACCCATATGATACTCACATAAATCTCGGGAGGGTACAGCTCAGAGTACGGTGTCGGATCTGGCTCATCGGGCGACAGCTTGAAAGTGCCATACCATGCCGACTCGTAGTCCGAAGTCATTTGGCTCGCCAGACTGCATCGCAGACGCAAATTAGGGCCCTGGAAACCTTGCCGAATGATTAATCCAACCAACTTACATGCTCTCAATCGCCGCCTTTGCATTCTCCACGTCGTCGCCCTCGTTACGATGGAGCAGACCCGCTGTGTACCAGGCCGTGAAGCGGACGGACCACGGACCATTGTCTTGGTACCAAATAAGCTTGTACGAGTCATCCCATCTGGCGTCCTGGACCTCCATGGAGAAGTCGAATAGACTTTGGGCATCTGGACATAATGTAAGCCATTACGAAGTATCAACTGGGATGTCTCTTGTTTCTTACTCGCTGAGAGCTTCGGCCTGCTGGTCGCGGCGGACCCCAGCGTTGCGCCGGAGGCCAGAAGCGAAGCCAATACCAATTTGAGATGCATCGTGCGTTTGGGGGATACTATGAGAGGCTACGCAAAGCCAGGAAACGCTTCTCTAACAGACATCTTCCCATCTCTCTGCCGTCTCTTGCCTGCTCCTATATACTTACCAAAAGAGTTCCCCATTTATGAGTGGAAATTGCAGCAATTCCACGGGGGAACCTTATTCCCCGTTCACACGCGAGCATCGCTAATGTCCTCAGGCGGGGGAAGATCAACATTCACCAAGAAACACCATCACCGACCCCTCACGCCAACCTCACTCAGCCCGCTCCTCAACCCAACAGCTCCAAGGCTTCCCTGTAGGTCCGCCAATCACAGAGACCAATTGCAGCTCTCAAGGCCCCGGTGCGAACCGGGCCGGAACCGGTGGACCATCACCGTACCCCGGGCGAGGTTACATACCCCAACTTTGGTCCTAGTGGGCGGGGTATGATAAACGGGTTTGCGGGGTGAACACCTCGCGTTGGGTCTCGGGAATGGCACCATGAGCCATGAGGCAGCCGGGGATAAACCCTCGAGATGATAGCGGAGTATATCAGGTGCTTGTTGGCTTAGCGACTCGATAGTCAAGGAACCCCAAGGGGGAGGCGGCACCAACCTCCGCATCTTCAGAGGTCATGTTACCAGCGGCGTATCTGGCGTTGTTCCTAATTCGGAAGTCTTTTGCCCGAGTATCTTGTCAAAGGCTGATAGGCGCAGCCAACCCGAACGAGGAACCCCGCCGGTATCTCCTGACCTCTCCCGCGGGAGCTCCTATCGGCACCTCAGACTGAGGTCGGCACAAATCTCAACCATATCTTTGGTACTTTGAACAGAGCCTTGCGTCACGCCGGCCCGGATGTTGGCCGGACAAGGTGACATTCAAAACTGCTATCGGCAGCCGAGTGAGATACGATCGGATCGGGTCTGGCCTGTTGTTATCTCGGAGCTTGTAGCATAATAACGAGCCCGTATCCCCCCCCTCTCCGTTCCCGGGAATCTTGCGAAGTGGATTGCTTTGGGCTAGACAGGCACCATCCGAGATTTCGTTCTTCGACCGCAGCAATGTCCCACAAAGCTACCGCAACGGCCGAGCCGGCGGGCGGCATCCCCGTTACTGTCGACGCCGCGATCGCGAATAAGAGAGGGGCATTCGCCTGGTTCTCGAATCCGGGGATCGTCAAGCTAAACTGTATTATCGCGCTGTCATTGGTGTCGAGCTACGCCACTGGATACGATGGCTCCATGATGAATGGCCTGCAGTCTCTGGACACATGGCAGAAATCATTCAACAACCCTGGAGCCTCGGAACTAGGACTGTGAGTATTTGGCAACATCTCAATGAGTCTTGTCCAACGCTAATTGGGGCCCTCAGGCTGAACGCGATCCAGAATGTGGGCCAGCTGGTCGCGCTCCCCTTCTGCGCCTGGTACTGCGACCGATTCGGACGCAAGCCCGCCCTCCTCGTCAGCGCCTCCATCCTTCTCATCGGCGTTGCGCTTCAAGGCGCGGCCCAGAATGTGGCCATGTTCATCGTCGCCCGCGGCGTCCTCGGCTTCGGTCTCGCGCTCAATATCACCGCCGCACCTCTGATCATCATGGAGCTGGCGTACCCGTCCCAGCGAGCGCCCCTGGTGTCCATCTACAACTCGCTCTGGGGTTTGGGAGCTCTGAGCGCCGCGTGGATCACCTTTGGCACGTTTCGGATCGGCAATACGTGGGCTTGGAGGATCCCTTCCATCTTGCAGGGCCTGTCGAGCATCCTGCAGCTCGGCTTATGCTTCTTCATCGAGGAGTCGCCCAGGTGGCTGGTGTCAAAGGAGAGGGACGCGGAGGCTGAGAGACTTTTGATAAAGTACCACGCCAACGGCGATGCGTCGGATCTCATTGTGCCTTTGGAAATGGAGGAGATTAGGACGGCGTTGAGGCTGGAGGCGGAAGTATCACGGACTACGTCCTACATGGCCTTCTTCCAAACGCCAGGCAATCGGCGTCGCTTCTTCATCATTCTGGCTGTCGGCTTCTTCTCGCAGTGGTAAGTGGAAAGCGCCGTTCCTGGCCGTGTTGTCATTGATCTGACTTTGTTTTTTGCTAGGAGCGGCAACGGACTGATTAGCTACTATCTGACCTTGATCCTGGACTCGATCGGGTACACCTCGGAATACACACAGACACTGATCAACGCACTCCTCACTGTATGGGGATTATTCTGGGGTCTCCTCGCCTCGGTCCTCGTCAATCGCTTCCGCCGCCGAACAATGTTCCTCGCCTCGACCATCGGCTCCCTGGTGTGCTACATCATCTGGACGGCCATCCAAGCAACCTACGAAAAGCAGACCGACCTCACCGGCGCGGGATCACCGGGTCTCGCAAAGGGAGTCCTGGCCATGATCTTCCTGTACAACATCACCTTCACCGTGGGGTGGGGCGCGCTCCAGGTCACCTACGTCGTGGAGATTCTGCCCTTCAACTTGCGTGCCAAGGGCTTGGTCCTGTACAACCTCTTCGTCGCCCTGGCATTGATCTTTAATCAGTACGCCAATCCCATTGGCGTGACCAACTCAAAGTGGAAGTATTACATCACGTACGACGTATGGCTGGCCTTTGAGGCGGTAGTGGTCTATTTCCTGTTTGTTGAAACAGGCAAGACGAGTCTGGAGGAGACTGCGCTTATTATTGATGGCATTGAGGACAGACTGACAGAGGAGGTGGCTCGCAAGACGGAGAAGCTTGCCATGGGGACACACGAACTTGCTATCGAAGGCAGTAACAAGGATTGAGTGTACTATCGGTTTTAGCGCAGAGTCCAATTCTCATTTTTATTTCTTCCGACTACAGAAAAGACTACCACCTCAAAGCTGGCCACGCAGGCTACTCTGAACTCTATATCGAGCTGTCATCTATACAATCCGGATGTACTGAGTTCCATCTTCGTCACGTTATAAGATAATCGCAGGAACCCTTCAAGTTGTCGACCCAATGGCATGCCGCGCATAACGAGGAAAAGAGTAGTGCTAGCAACATTCCAGCCGAAAAGGGGAAGAAGCAGTAGGCGTGTCCATAACATAGTCAACTTGAATAAGATTCTCATGAGATCAAGTAACCCATAGTTTTGGTCATAAGATGAAGACTGATGCCGAGACCCATGTTCCGAGGCTGGCTGAATCAAATCCGGAATGTTGACTAGGGTGGCCTCGCTATCCATTGTTCTTCTGGACTCCAGTGATGGCACTATTGCGGACATGGTCTTGTTGTTCTTGATAGAGTCGGTTGTTGATGTCAGCTTCAGTATTTGGGGTCGTCAAATACCGATATCATGATCGACCTGGGTCCATGCATTTGTACATACTATGCGCTCTGGAATCCGACAAGGTTCTCGCTCCAACTTCAAATCGTTTGATCTATCGCTCGATCAGAAAAATTCCGATAATGACTGTGACGCAGTGGTCGTTGTTGTTGCTGTTGTTGCCGCTGCTGTTGAAGAATTTGGACGGGTGCAAGTAAACTCGAGGCAGGCACCTTCATGTATCAATGCAAGGCTTCTGTCATGTAATCTATTACAGGTCGAGAGGCGAGAACATTATGATTTATCCTCAATGATGTCTAGCCAAGCCAATCAACTGCCCAAGACCCTTGGGTTTGGGAAGGAAGAGTACGCCGGGGGTGATGAGCAGCAGGCCCGATAGACCGCAGCAGGTGACGCACCACAGGCGCGTCGCTTGGGTAGAGGCAGCTCGTCAAGAGTGGCACAGCGTCGGGAAAACAGTCTCACATCTGACGTGGATGGTGCAGGTTGATCAAGATAAAGACACATTTGAGTGGGCTTCACGTGTGACCAAAACGATCACAAATGGCCGAGTGTAGTAATACAAAGCAAATCAGCTGGTGCGATGTTTCTCACAGGGGATGGGTTTGTCACGAGGTGCACGTTCTGGAAATTCAGCCGCTGAGTTGACCGAGACATTCTCACCCACAATGTTCATGGCCGACGCCTCACGACTTGTCTGCTGAGGCGATTTGGCGACTAAATATTCTTTCCCAATGATTCTTGAGACTTGCTACAGCACTCATGTCGATGTCGCGTATTGTTAGTACCGCTTCGAGACCTCGAGATTTCGAGAAGGGGATGGCTGGACATTAGAAACATGTTGCGAGGCCAATTTTGGGGTCTCGTGCTCTCACTCGGAGGGCTGTGCCGCCTGCATCATAGGGGTCCCGTTGCCTGATGGAAACTTGCCATTAGTGTTCGTCAGCCTGTGGCTCAAAATTGAGACCGTGCTATTTTTGGAGCATGCTGTTGTGGCTTGAGTTTTGCCGCAACCCTTGTTTTTATTCCTTTTGGCAGTCGTTGAGTTCGCAGTTGGCAGGTCGATTTACAAAGTATTGGGTAATCAAGAGTGGTGTCTACATGTAACTTTGATTCTTAGATAGAGAAGGCTTTACACAAAGACTAAAGTTATGTCTACTGTCTGCCATGACTCCGATGCCAGTAGCTCGACACGGAGCACAATTCAGATGTCAGCAGTTCAACCATCCTCCCTCCACCAGTGCCATCACCGGCAACCTGCTAAATAAGAAAAATCTATCTTCTCGCCGATAGATTCCAGGGCCATTACCAAATATTGGAAAATGAAGTTCCCTAAAGACACCTTCCCGAGGTCTGGCAAAAGCCAAACCGTCTACACACCAGAAGACTACATGTATTTTCAAAATCAATTTGGCTCTACCGGAAACCGAGCGCCCATGGTCCGCTACGAGATGATAGTGAACAACATGAAGGGCAAATATTCTGGTTCGAGGACCCAGTTTCCCGCGATGCAATGGAAGGCTTGCGGAATGGGGTGTCTAAGGGTAACATTTCTCAACAGGATGAATCCTTTCGAGGGATCGCCTTGGTAAGTTCTCACCGCCATGCAGAATCCACACGCCGGCGCAAGCCTGATATTGATGCATAACCTATGGGCAATCGCGGTGTTCGTTCACCTGAACCAACCTAACATTTTACTGACGGTTCGAGTCAATCGGCAAAATATTTTCAGTGCAGCTCGTCTTCTTTCCGTGTTGATCACCGAGTTTGCAAGCCTGCAGTATCTTATCATGGAGTTCAAAAAAGCTTAGTATGAAGATGCAGCCAGATTAACCCGTGTCTGGGCGAAAGAGATGCTGGACGATATACAAAACGCCTTTGCCCCCCTCGTCCTCTCCGACCTGGCACCGCCAAACATAGCTGCCGTTAATGCCTCGATAGCAACCCTTAGAAGGCGACTGGGAGACGTAAAGGCGCCGCCACGTAAATAGCAGGCAGTGTGGAATGGGCCCCCGCTGTATTTAAATCAACCAACCCAACTTTGGCCCCCAGTTTGGTTGGCTATCCGCTATTTTGCGGCAAGGGCCGGGGGTGGAGTTGTTAGGAGCAAGGATCACAGATGAGAAAGGAATGAACTTGGAAGATGGGTGTATGGTTTGTACTTTTATATTGTTTAGTATAGAAAGACGTTGAAGTATACAAGACACAAGCCAACAGAGGCCATGACGGGTTGCAGAAAGTAGGCTCATTTCCAGTGGCGCAGACTACATATATCTGGATTCAACACCAAAGATCTGCCATGAAGCCTTCAGTGCCGTGAAGCTGATGAACAATCATGCTGTACATATGCCTCGCGCTCTTTGAAGCATTCCGTGAAATAACGCAACGCCGGTACTATCGTAGGACGATGACATCAGAAAGTTTTTGAGTGCAAGTTGTCACATATCTATCCAGGGTCGATTTGGAGCGACATACAGTGCTGCCAAGATCCATCAATGCCTTTTCATCACGGTTTGGAGTGCACTTCGCCTGCTTCGAGGTTGAACCGGCTGAGTCAAAATCACCGAGGTTAGCGCTTGAGCTATCTTACATGAGATGATCTTGGGAGGCGTACCACAGAGGACACGTGTAAGCGTGCTTGAGGAGCCACAGCTCGATGCAAGCCGAGCAGAAGACATGGCCGCACGGCAATTGCCCGACAACTCTTCCAGCGACCAAATCATCCAAGCAAACAGGACACGTCTCGGCTTCCACGATCTCAGTCAACGACTCGAGTTTGCCGCGGGTTAGCTTTGCTATCTGCGCCTTTCTCGGCAGCCTGGGCATGTTGTAGTGACTCAGGGTCGACGCGTTGGGGGAGTCATGTTGACTGCGGTAATGGTACGTTGTCGCAGAGAGATGAGGAGGAGGAGGAGGTGGTAGTGGTGGTGGGGGAGAATGCTTCCTAATCTTTTTCCATCCAAAGAGGTAGAGTACGAGGCCGACTAAGAGAGCGAATGCGACGCAGAGCGCTGCTGCCACTGCGCCTGGCTGCTTCTCAGGCACCCAGGTGGTTGAGGCATCTGTGACAGGGGCATCTAGAATGCTCGTCGGGCTCATACGGATGATGTCATGAGAAAAGTCTTGAAGAGGAGGTTGAGTGGCGGGAGTATATCAGGAAGAGGCAGATCGAACCAGACATAACCAAAGCCTTGCTACCTACCTCGCCGTTTATAAATCCCATCGACTGTTGCTGACTGCACTGCCTTCCGTGTTAACATTAGACAAGCCCATTCTCACAGACTCGAAATCCATGTGATGTCTCGGTTGAGGGATTAAGAACCTCCTGGTGCATTGATACTCGGCTGGCCAGGTCAGTGCCTTTGGATGCAAGAGCTTTTCGCAGGCTTAGCAGCCGATTGGAACAAGGTTGAGATTAGTTGGGCCCTTTTGCGCCCGCTTCCCATGGGGAAGTGGTGGCCTGTAGGTAATTTTAACGTAATGGTTGTCCATCACCACCGAATCCGACCGCCGTTCGTGTTGACCTTTTCTGTATGAGCGATATTCCCTTGGCACTCAGGCCTCCCTGCTTCTCTCATAAGCTGGCACGATGGCTAGGGCTCCGTGTGAGTGCTCATTTGGTGGAGAATGTTACTGTCCTAACGGAAATATGCTTCCTTCGAACAACATATGTTGCCCGAAGCGATAGCGCAGTAGCTAGGGGCACCTGACGAGAGGCATTTCTTTCATGTCTTTGTTTTGCCTGAAATGGTACTGAGGCTGGTCCCGAAAGATACCAAACAACTTTGGCGGCCTACTTGAGACTCTGAGACCGAAGCGACCATACCCAAGCACGTATTGTGGAGAGGAAATACTCAGGTCAAGACTTATTTCTTTTCATTGAACATTCTGTCACTTCGATTCAACCACATTCCAAGATTATAAAGCGAAAGAGAAAAAGCATTGTTAAGTAACCCGAAAGCGGTGTGTAGAGGAGAAGAAAAAGAAGAGGTGGTCAACTGTGAGGGGAAGTAATAGATGCAAAAAGCCCTCGCCGAGAGAAGGAGCTCTTGTTACATTTTTCCCCCTCAACTGTTCTAGCGGAAATGAATCGAATAATTGCCCTGTACTACCTTCGACAAACATCTATCCTGGGTGAAGACGATGATGTATTAGAGACATGGCCGACACCACCTGCATCACTAGCGAACCAAGTTGTGAATTAAATTCGAACGTCGGCATTATAGGCAATTTCAAGAGGTCAAAATGAAGAAGAAGCATCGATGTTACAAGCGGTTCGATCTATAGCACACGTGAAGTTGAGGTGCTGGGCAAGAAGTACGTCGGCCGATACCACGGACTCAATCCATCTTACTACATATTCCTCAATAACATTTGATTGTACGTATTGCTAGTGCTGTTTAAAAAGACCCGTCTTTTGTGCCTGCTTCTGAAAATGCTCGTCATATTTCCGCTGAAAAAAGCTCATATCTCCCCTCAACATCAAAGACCTCTCCACGCCTTCCCGAAGTCCAGACTGCAATACTTGCTCGCAGGTGCTAAGGGTGAAGCCGATCCGCGGAGGCGGTATGGGCTGTCCAAAACCGAACGACTTTAAAGACGGGGGCGAGAAGCCCGAGTGGGCTGTGTACAATTCAAGTTTGAGCAGAACGGACTCGAGTGCCGAAGCGCTCCCGCAGTAGGCCGAGATGGGAAGCGGATCCGTCAGGTCGATCCCCTCTGCCGCGAAGGACCTGATGAGAGAGCCCAGCAGGATGCTGTCACATCGTTTGCCGCCCGTGGGATCCTGCGGCGACGACATGCATCGGTCTCTGTGTTTGAGCAACGTGCAGAGGCTTTCGTAGGGCTCCAGCATGATTCTGAGCAAGGTCTTGCGGATTTTTTTGGCGTCGTCTAGGACGCTGTCAGTTCCTTTCTTTTGGATTGAAGTTTGAGAGTACAATCGCTTGAAGACATACGAACAAAATCAGACGGGAATAGATTTTCTATGTTGCAGAGCTTGTATGAGTGAGTATCACGATCCTCACCGCTGTAGCCAAAGACTAGATCTCCATCGTCGTCAACTAAACACTCGGCAGCAATCTTCATCGCCATGTCATTGAACATCTGGGAGTCTCCCAGTTCATAAGAAACACCGAGAAGCAAAGGATTCTGCGTGCTTGTCTTGACTGCCTCCATCCAGCCGCGGGCCCACGGGCGCGTAATGCTCGTTGCGTCATATTTCTCAGTGACCACGAGAAACTTGTACAGGCGCGTGAGTTCGAGCTGTTCGGGGACCTTGTCAAAACGCGCGTGTGATATGTCGAGCAGCAACTCCAGCGCCTCCTGTCGGTCCTCGGGGAGTTTCACGGTCCAGTTCTGCTGTGCGTCGTTCAGATGAGGCCGCGATTCGGCGAAGCCGCCGTAGAGCATTTTCCGGAAGACTGTCGATGCCCTTGCGAGCGCCTTGGAACACACAAGATAGCTTTTGGGTGTTTCCTCGACGTGCTCGCCGACGAAGAGGTACAGGTCTCCGTTCGAGTCAATGACGTCCAGGTCGCCAAAGCTCCGGATCGCCGGCTCGTGGTTGGCATCTTGGTCCATTTTCGTCATGACACTGCGAGGCTCCGGAGGACGCTCAGAGACTCTGGCTGTTTTGATCTGGCTTCCTTTGTTCTTATTTTGCCAGATGAACTTTGCGACTTGTGGCGACTTGTTGCCATCCAACTCAAAACTGATCGATCATAAGTCTGGGGACCACCAGGTTGCCCCCAGCTGAGCCGTCCAAACAGCGAGCTTCCAAAGGTGGTCAGATTGTGGCCCGTGCACGTCACAGAGGTCGTGCAACGGAGAGGAAGGAGTGGTTGAAGTTGATTAACAATAGAGAGCGGGAATAAGTCTTGGATAGGCGAGACCGCGAGGGATGGGCCAGGGTCTACTTCCTTCAACATAGCTGTGTCAACATGAAGATCCAGTCTGTTTGGTGATTAGAGATGAGAACCCTTCGTTTAGCGGAACTCTCATAGCAAGACTACATGTAGGTTCAGCAGCCGATGCTTCGAGCCCCCCGAGGCCTCCGTGGGTATGGCAGACTCACCACGCAAATGTCCAACGGCTCCTCGCTTCTCGAAGCGCCCAGTCCCGTCACGGCACCCCACCCCCTGTGCGGCGCGGCGCGAGACGTCTTGCTGGCCCCATAATCCGAGTGCTGTCCGAGACCCAATCATCGAGCGTGCTTGCTTTCGGTGCAAAGAACGCGGTGTAAATGAAGTAAATGGTGTTCATTCCTCCACCTATGCTCTCTCGGCTGAATTGAATAGCCATTTTGCTGGAATGACTGATGATTGTTATCACATGGATGCGACTTTGGCCACTGTATTGTCAGATTCGTGAGATTCTCAAGTTGAGTTAGATCAAGAACACAGGGAAGAACAATAAATGACCAAATTGGAAGCTTGAAGTCTCAGTGACGATGATCATGAAGGAAAGGGACTAGATCCCTTCCGAGCCACCTTACACACATTGTTGATCTAGTTTTTTATCCTACTACGATCTGAGGCAAGTGATTTTGCTGCGAGCATACCGATGATGTCCTTAAACGTAGTACTAACTCGCCAAGCCACCGAAAAAGCCATCTCCGAACTCTAGGACCGCCCATATAAAGAACGCTCATATTCCTCCCCCCGAACCTGAACTCAACTATAATCACGAGGCATTTTGCATCATCCAACAGTCCAGCTGCTATTAATCTCTATCGAAATTCTTCCAAATACGTCATTACTCAAGTAAACGACATGGACTTCCTCGACGAGCTCGAGTCTATGGCTCAATTCGCTGTCTCGCAACCAGGAAATGTTGAGCCTGACTGCGACGACATCAAGAGGTGGCAGTCTCTCTTCGGTTCATACTCTGATGCCGCAAAGAAGATTCAGGATCAACGATCCGACCTCGCACGCGTGCAAGTGTCCGAAGTCCACTGGGAAATGGTACGCGCGGAAAAACAGGCTCAAGGCTACGACAAGGAGTCGTACGAATATTCTTGCAGCCTCCCTCAGCGCATCTCGCATGCCGTCGACAAGAAGACCAAGAAGAAGCAGAAGCTCACCACCTACCTCCTCAAGCTGGAAGGTCTCTTCTCCACCCCCGAGGACGTCAAGATTGCCTGCGGCTCGTCCATGCTATTGCCCAAGTTCAGCGGCACCGATGACGAGGGCACCGCAGCCTCTTTCTGCAAGGTCGATGAGCCGACCAAGAAGATCCTCCTCAATCATCTTTCCGCTATTGAGTCTACCTTCCAGCCCACGTTCATTCGCTACTCAAAGGCGGAAAAGAATCTCTCTGCCACTTCCGCACATCCCACTCTGGGATTCGAGGCCACCTTGCCTCATAACCGTCCAACGAGCTCCTCGGATCAACGACTCCTCCCGACCCAAGACCAGTACCCAGTTTGGTACTTCTTCTACGGCACCTTGGCAGATCCGGGCGTCCTGAACAACCTTCTCGGCATTGAGAAGCCAGTCTACCGCGCTGCAAAGATTCGCGGTGGCAGGCTGACTACCTGGGGTGGGAAGTACAAGGCCTTGGTCGATGCGTCAGCCTACGAGGTAGGTTGTGTGGTGGAGGGACACGCCTTTCTCGTTACGAGCAAAGACCAGGAAGATGCACTTCAGTGCTACGAGACTGACAACTACGAGGTGGTCTGATGCGTGATTGATATGGGCAAGCAGGAGGAGGAGAAGGAGGTCAGGGGACTTACGTTCCGATTCATCGGGGAGACGGATGCTTGAGAATGTTTGAGTGGAACGACTGATTCGTCTTTCTTGGTGATTCTGTTGAATTCATTCAGGACACCCATGGCATTTGATTCATGTTACTCAGTAGCTACTCAAGCGAAGTGGTGTCAATGTTCAGCGGACTTGGTACATGAGAAGCCTACTGTACTTCTTGAAATTTGCAATCCCAGAATCAGGCTCAAAACTATGAACATGTCCAAAAAGTGGCTCGGTACGTGATTCCTACATGTATTGGCAAGGTACTTAATCAGTCTACGAATATGCATCTAAATCTCAGCTAGCACCGAGACCTGGTTTGAGTTAAGACATCCCGTGGCGGATTCTGAACATCCATGAAACGGTTATTTTGGCTCTGGCTGCACGCCCGTTGACCAGTGTATAGTTGCTGCTACGTAGATCAAGTAGCGTACCATCCAGTCTCTTGTCCCAGCAGAATCCATGCCTTTTGGTTATCTTAATGCTAGTATATAGCGCATCATATCACCATGTGATTGATGGCAACATTGTTGAGAACGGGTAGACAGATCTTGTCATTTCCTTTGTTGCCACAGTTCCCTTCTGAAGGAAAGAGATGAAGTCATTTGTTTCTCGTTTACCCTACATGTCATTAAACACGTTTCGTATTCTTGCAGAAATATAAAGGAGTCTAGGGGAGCATCCAACCAAAATTTACTTCTACGATAGCGATATCTGGCTGGCCGACAGACGATTATGTCTGGTAGAATCAACACAGACGAATTGAGAAAGGCTTCTGTTTAACTAGCCATATCTTGTAAGCCAAAATTCACTACGACAGTGTAATGATTTGTATTTTAAATTAAACATAATAATGTTCATTATGTTACCTTACTGAGACTGAAAGCGGGCCTTCAAAAAGTACAATCCAAGTGATACCCCCCCAGCGAAAATCCACCATACCACGAGCAGGAGTCCGCTCATTTCCAGACCGATGTAGTACTTGTTCGAGTATCTCGTCACGTACCCCGTACCCCACGCCCAGGAAGCCATCAGTACCATCAGTGCGGGTCTACTCTCCCTCAAATTCATCCTGAGACTGGACCCAACAGCGATTCTGAAAAGCGGACAGAGACTCCAGGCGATGAAGCACGCCAGCTCGAGGTGGAAGCCAACCACCTTCAGACTCTCTCCCACGGCCCAGGCGAAAGACGAAGATTGGGATGCTGTAGAGGGGAGTAGGATTTCCCAAAAAGCCTGCTTATGAAGAGGCCCACCTCGCAGAAGCTTGGTGTACGTGATGCCTACAGCTACGACATGCGCAGCCCTCGCGTGGAAATACTCGGCACACCCCAGCAGCCAGACCAAGTGGACAACGACCGCCGCCGTCATCCGCTTTCTGACCGCATTTGCACGAATCCCATCTGCATGGCCCAACCTCTCCTTTGTCGTCGGATCCATTGGTGCAACTCTGGTATGGTCCTGAATCGCACGCCATTGCTCAACGGTGCGGTGCAAGACCTGATCCACAACGACACCCCCAATCACGTCTCCGAGAACCTTCCACGCTCCCTTCGTCGTGAAGGCCCTGCCGAAAAAGCCAATCGCAATCTCCTCCTGCAGAAACAGCGCTGGGCTGCCCACGGCGAGTTTCAGAGCCGAAATGGGACCCCCGAACGCGCCCACGCCCAGCGCGGGCGCAATCATTCTCCTGACGTGGTTCGCCAGCACGGCGAATACCACAATCGCAAGTGTCTGCACAAATCCGCCATCCAAGAGCACTTTGGTTGCTGTTTCAAAGCCGGACTGCACTGGTGGGAAGAGTCGCTTGAGTCTAGATTGATGGCATAAGCAAGGCTGTGCTAGGTGGTAGAGCTGGGCCAGTGTGCTGTAGGACGCGGCTGGGATCTGAGCGAACGGGCTGTCGGAGGATTTCCAGTCAGAAGCTCGCGTTGCCCTTTGTCGGGAGGAGGTTGCAGAGGCTCCATCCCTCGGTGCTCTCGTCGGCGATGAGGGTGCGGGTGACGGTGTGGAGCGAAGACCGGGTGAGCTCTCTGACGGTGCCCGGCGAGAGACTGCCGTACCGATCATGGCGACATGCAATGCTCATGTGCTGAAAGTCTCATCGACAAGCAAGATGTTTTTTTTATTCAGTCGTTGGTACACTGTCCAGCGCGATCAAAATTCTTGGACGATGAGAGGTTGCATGCAAGGGGGGAAAATCCATGGCCCATTTAGTTTTCTTTTTTTTTTTCTGCTTACTCAACGCCAAAGAAGACTAGCTCACAGAGCCACGAGTCCACCAGCCGACTTTCTACAGATGAAGTGCAAAACACAGCTCGGTCGATAGTGCAAGGCCGTCAATGATGAAAAATATCTGTCCCGGTCTGTAGCTCAGACCCTCTCAATTACATACTAAGGTACTCAGGGACAAGAAACTACGGCGTTGTCTCACGGCCTCCCCCGCAGCCCCATAAAATCTCCCACCCGCACCGGAGCGGGGGCACCGGGCGAGCTACGTCAATGAGACGGAGTCCTCGATGCCGGCGACAAGAGCGAATCTGAGCCTGATATTAGTCGGCTTTTGTCGAAGCCACGGACTGGTTGAGATGGACTCCGTGGGCGAGTTTGCGCCTGGACCAGTCCCCATCTGGCCCATAATCCCCAGTCCGGTACACTTGGTGAGTTGCAGCTTTCACTTGTATTTCAGTGCAACACGATTGAGATCAACCAATTTACCGAAAAAACGGAAATTTTAGCGGCATATAAGGTCTCTTGATGTATATCATTCTAAATACTGATCCATCCGTTTGTCCGGGACATTGGGTGGGACGGGGACCTGCATCCTCTCAGCTCGCTTCAGCCAGCCACACCACCATTGCCCAAGTGTGTTGAATGCCATCAAGTCCCCGCTTCATGAAATTGGTAACTCTTAAAATATACGGGAGTCCCTCTTTGAAGCCGATCCTCCTTTCAAATACCGAAATGCCCACATAACAAACGATACCATGGCGCAGGCTAGAGAGAGACTGCGGGACCCGACACAGGATGGCCAGCCGAGATTGACACTGCAGATGAATCGTCCCAAGGACGTACATCTTAAGTGGACAAGGCAGTAAACAGGCAACCAGCTTGTAAACATCCATCGCCTTGAAGCCTGGTAATGTCCAATGGCGGAGGCTGTGATACCAAGTTGACCAATGTCATAATGCACGCGCAGACGTCTTCAAGAGAAAAAATATTCCAAGTTTTATTTTGATGAAGGTACCCTGAAGCTCTGTCTCCTCAAGACCCAGGTGCGGTGCCATGCTTTTCCGCTTCCAGCAAGTCAACGCCATTCCACCTGTTCTACTACAGGTATGCCAGACACCCAATGTGGGTGGCAAGTAAAAAGTCCAAATCATTGCTCGCTAGTTTCGTCCTCATCGTACAGCGTGCCGTTCAGCATCCCTCAATGTAGGGACGCAAGGGGCAGGCAAAGGTATTACGGTCGGCCCATCAAAGGGGCCGAAAATGTTACAATAAGGCCAGTACCTCCAAATCCTAGTCATTAATAGATCACCTGGATCGCTGGTTCTTCTCATGTCTTCATCAGCTCTCGGTGGCGATTGGCTTGATGATTGCCAGATTCCTCAGCCAGCACGATTCCGCAGACTGCTCGCTCGACCAAAGCCCGGAAGCCATTTTCGCTTGTGCAAAGGCGCGCCACCGCTTGCAGTATTGCTCGTGGGTGTGGTTTCTGCAGAAACAGGCGTTCCATTCGCCGTTGTTGTATACGAAGCATAGGTTGTCACAGGTGTCGTCGGAACTGCAGGGCTACGATCATGCACAGGCGCACCCTCGTCAAAGCTGCCAGAACGGGTGGGACGAGGGTTTCGCATGATGGGAGGCGGCGTTGCGCTTGTCCTATCCTCCTCTCCCGGATGGTTTCCCTGCACCCATGATGGGACGCCCATCGGAGCAGCTTGGGTCGGAGCTGGTACCAGTGACTCGGCTGCCGGCGATGCTTGCTGAACAGGACTCGGGGCAGTACTACCTCCAATGGATCGTCGGAAAAAATTCAACCGATGCCCGCGGGGTGCAGCAGCAGAAGAAGGGGGATAGTGGCTGTCTCTGGAGCGAGCGCCAGCTTTTGGATCCGAATGCTGCGGGGTGTGAGCCACCGACTCTGCCAACTGACTCGTTTGCGCATCAACACTGTTGCGCCTGGATCCGCTGCGGGAAGGCGACTTGCGAACTTTGCCATTGGCGGGCATATTCTTGGAGGATGTCTGGCCCGTCTTAGCACCCAAGCTCGACCTCCTATTTGGCGGGGGCAGAGGCTGGACACCGTCCTGGAAGAGGACATCCTCGGCAAGAGTTTGTTGCTGTGGTGGGAGACCAGGGACCTCAAATGCGCCGCCTAAAGAGCCAAACATGCCAGCTGGGTTCCATCCCCCACCGGACGGAGGAAAGCTGAACAGATCTGGAGATTCGCTCCTCTGATGCCCGATATACTTTGGATCTTTTCCTTGCTGTAGCCAAATATCGAGGCTAGAGTCGAGCGAGTGCATTGAGTCCCCGTCAGAATCCCATTCGATTTCCTGGTGATTCGATATCGTCGTTTCGTTTGCCGATCGAGGGCGAGGGATCAGGGGCGGTCGCATTTCGAAGTAATGGGCGCTGGCTGGCTCCTTGTGTCCTGCAAAGGGAGAGGCTGCGGGATGTTGGAAGACAGGCACGCCTCCACCATGGTCACCGTCATCACCCTTAGACGTACCCTCTGATATCGAACGATAGCTATGCTGATCCGATACGGCTCGCTGTTTAGAGAGCGTGTCATTCGATGTCTTGAATCTTCGAAGAGTGGATGTGGAAATGGTGTCCGGTGTGGGAGGCAGGCCTTCGCCAGACCGTGAAGCGGGCGCATCTGTGGTGACTCTTCGCAGGGCTTCGCGCTTCGCGTCCTTGACCTGTTTTTGCGACTGACCTCTGCCCGCCATTGGGGACGAGTCCTGGGCAGGCAGACTGTCCAAGTAGGCATGGTCGAGTCTCGCTAGCTTCTGAAGGGGCGAGGTATGGTCGATGATGTCGTGGAGCGACTTGAACTGACCTGGACCAGGGGGGGCCCGACCGATGGAATTGGACCTACTCGGGCGACTCGACCTTGTTGACATGGTGGTTGGTGGCCTTTGTATCCTAGACTGATCGCTGCTATACGACGCTTTTCGAGGCGGCCCAGAATTAGGTAAAGCACCATCCATCGAGTGTGGCTCGTCTGCATCGGCCACGATCGTCCGATCCTGATCTTCCTTCTCCCCATACACACTTACAAAAGAACTTTCACTGAGGACGCTGAGGCTTGGGCTCGTCATGCCGTTACCGCGACGCGCATCGGATTCATCCACCCCCTCCGTTGTGAGCCTCGGCAAGCTGAGGAGGCTACCACGCGAGCTGAGGTATACCTTTCGTAGGTTCTCAGTGTTTTCGGTGTAGTCCGACAGGAAGCTTGGCATACGATTGAGTGTCTTAACATCATCTTCAAGCCGTACGAGATCCGCTATTCTGGGTTTGGGCGTAGGGCTTTTAAGACGAGACTCGAGGTCATCGAGAGGTAAAAAGCCGGCTTCATCGACAAGTCGGACCATTTCCCGCTCCTTCAACAGCGTCTCAACCTGGGCCTCAAGAGTCACTATCATCTGGACAGCCTCCTGCACAGCTTTGTCTCGCTTTTCCAACTCGTCGAGTAGCTTGTCGTTCACATCGTCTATCTGTGCTTTTTCGGACTCGAGAGCGTCCACTCGCTCTTCGAGCGCATTTTGTCGTTCGCGGCGGTGGAAGAGCTCGAGCTTCAGGTCAAAATTTTGCTTGTGCAGGGTTGAAACAGTCTGTCAAGGCAGCTATCAGCAACGGCATCTCACGGACATGGGATACACTGGAACACTTACTGCTTCCATCTCCTTGGCGCCCATGCCCTTACTCTTTGCGGGTTCTCCATTGCCTCCACTCGATCTTGGCCGGCGGCCATCCACCGACTCGCCTTTCACGGGGGAACTCTGCGCATGACGTACTGGTAGGTCTACAGAGGCGCTCATATCTTGTGTTGACCGTACCGCAGCCAGCCTGTCCGCTTCTTCCCTTCTCCTCTGGAGCTTGTCCTGGAGATACGTGGATGCGGCGCTCTGCCGTCCAGAGTCGGAAACTCGGTCTCTTGACACAGCAGACCCAGGCCGGGAGGTCACCATTGACTGGGCGCAGGAGCTATGGTGGAACTTGTGGGAAGGATGAGCACTGGGAGGTCGCGGAGATGTGACAAATTGAGAGGTGGAACTGTTTGCGCTTCGAGGAGTCCGTCGGGTTGCGCTAGTACTTGTACTCGATCTTGAAGACGGACGAGGGTAGATCGGAGAAGGCAGTGACCTCTCGCGGTCGCGCGATTGTGTCCGCGCAAGACTGTCCATCTTGTCGAGGGAAAAGAAAAGACAACTTCCTATGCTTGATCCGATAGCACAGAAACAATCGCTCGTATGCAGGTCGACCTAGGAATTCGTATAATCAGACGGCTCTTTGGCCCAAAGGGTCACAATTGGAGTGCTGAGTGACCGACTTGGGCGACAGGCGGGCGTGAAGAATCAGGATGATGCCTGTTCAAGGTGCAGAAGCGCGAGTGGCAGTTGCGTCGAGCTAGCGCAGCTGAAGGGGGGCGAGCAGCGAGCTCAGGGAGGGCAGTCGACGTCCTCGAATAATTAGGAGAGGGATCCCTGGTAACGGCGCGGCAGCGAGGGAGGTATTGCAACAGGAGTAAATTCGTCGAGTCGTGGCTGTGGGTGCGCTTTGAGGGTATAAGAGAGCTTCTTAATGTGAGAGAACAGGCCAAGACCTGGTTTCTGCAGCGTCGGGCCTACGCGATTGCTGACCGCGGCATGTGGTGGAAAGTGCCGTCGAATTCTTTCTCTCCTGGGCGGTAATAGGAGGGTAAAGCCGATGGGCTGTCTAGGCAGGAGGGCTGGGTTACGTCGGATGGCTCGCCATGAACTGATGGAAACGTGGACAGGCAGGGCGAGCGGGCGAACTTTCGAGTCGGAACTTTTTCTCACACAACCGTCGGATCGGCAGTTGGGTGCAAGCGTTGGAGGTTGGGCCGTGTCGCAGACGTTGCACCGCTGCGGTCTGTCTGTCGCGATGGCCCAGGAATGTCTCAATTGGCGAGGGGTAGCGGTGCTGGAATGTCTCGACTGCGTGGTGCTTGGCGGGACAAACGAAGAGGTCTGGTCGCAAGAACCCAGACAAGCTGACAAGAGAGGCTGGGAATGCAGGGCAAAGAGATACTGGGTACCGGTATTTGGAACTGAACTGACGTAGTAAATGCCGATGGTGATGATGATGATTGCTGGCAACGGGATGGGATGGAACTCTCTTCTGCCGGTTGCTACCGTTGATGTCGTGGTCGCGAGCAATGCTGCTGTTGCGATGGACAACAATGTTGGCGACGTCCAAGAAAAGACTAGCGGCCCGGTCAATAATGGTGTAAATTAGCTGGAAGACCTCGCTCCGAAAGAGACCCTTGAGCTCAGGGAAGCAGGAAGCGATTGATCAACGGGGCTATCTCGGGGGAGTTCTGTTGGCCGACTGAAGTTCAGCGAAGCAAAGACGGCGACGGGTCTCGTCTGTTGGTCGAGAGGATTGACGATGTTGGTGATGGTGATGGTGGTGGCGGTGGTGGTGACCCGCGGACGGCGAATCTAATGACTGCAGTTCGTGGGAGAGGAAATGGAGAATGGCGAGGATGACGGAGCAAGTAGCCCATTTCTTTCTTCCTCTCTCTATCGGCTGCAAGTCGGAAGGAGAGAGAGACACATGGCCCGTGGTGTAAAAGGTACCTTGAACAGATGGGTAGGAGAAGGAAGGGCGTCTGTCTGTCTGATGCAACGGAACAAATGTGACGAGGGTAGCTGCAGGGGGCTTTAGGGTGTGGAAGTGTGGATGCGACGCCGCGACGGACTGTCTGTAGGCACGCGGGGAGCCAGACAGCAGCAAAGAGCAACTGGGTTATTCGACAATGGCAGCAACGGGCAGCGAGGCTAGTGACAGGATGCAGCCGACCCTTGCAGGTGCAGAGTAGGATGAGGTGGGATGCGACGGGATGTGATGGGCCAGATGCGATGGTTGGACAGAGGTGGGAGATGCGCAGCAGAGCAGAAGACCAATAGGTGCAGGGTACGCAGTTGGAGAAGGTCGGACGTGGGCCACTGGAGGACGAGATGACGCGGGGAGTTTATTGTTGGTGTTGGTGTTGGTGATGGTGATGAAGTTGGTTGAAGGCGGCGAGAAAGAAATGGAGACATCCGGGTACCCGTAGGGCCGATATGAGAGTGAGAGTGAGAGCGAGTGTGAGTCTCAGGATGAAGGCGAAATGTAAGTGAGGTGAAGCGCAGGTGAGGGGACCTCAACTGAGCAAGTGCACGTACGGGTGCAGGTAAGAGAAGATGCGCCTCTACCACAGTCCATTATTGCAAGAAAAGAGACATCAGACCATCAGTTCTGACCAAAATTAGTGAAATGGGCACAGGGCACAGATGCCCAGGCAAACATTATTTTGCTTTTTCCATACGCCAATGCAATGGGTCTCTCCCGAACCAACCCAGCTCTCAGTGTCCGAGAACATTCAACCAACCAACCAACCAACCAACCAACCAACCAACCGGGTGCGCAGTGCGCCTCACTCTGATCGCTTGGCGCATGACTGCCCTTCGCTCTCTTTTTCGGTCCTGTTCGGATACTCTTCATATCAGTTAGTAAAAACGTACCTGGAGAATTGGCTCGAGAACTGGCGCGCCCGCGAACACCCTCAGATCAGGAACAGATATAGCCTCGGGCAGGGGAGATTGCCTGGCGCAGAAGTCGCCGCTGTTAGTGCCGACGGCCGGCACCCGTCAGTCGCTAGTCTCCCACCTAGCGGCACGTTGCGCAAGGAACTAGCTGTGTTAGTACTTAGTACAGTCTACAGCAAGAACAAAGTGCCATTTGCAGGTTTGCCATTGATCGACATCTCCAGCAAGTTCTGCGTGTCGAGGTCTGGATTCTGGGAAGCTTTTTGGGCAGCAATGAAGTCATTGCCCTCACTGAGACGGGACTGATCTGTGGTATTGGTGGTGTTGGTGGTGTTCCTGCTGCTCTCATCCAATTCTCATCCCATTCTCATCTCATCCTCATCTCATTATCCAAGTGTCGGGCGGCCCGCGCATCTGTCAGATCCTTAGGTCCCTCACCCTCAGGTCGATCGTCGCTATGACCTCTGCTCACATATTGTCAATCTTGCATTCCTTTGCGGGCAAAGATGTGGATGCGCATTGTGGAAATGCCGACCAAGCAATGAAAGCTTGCAGCTCGGGCATTTCTCTCGTCGACTTTTTGTTTTTTTCTTCCCTCATTTTTCTTTTCAATGGCGCTGGCGGTGGCGCTTCTAGCCACTAACCGTCCGTACTCAGCTCCTGGCCCGAGCTCCCCACCTCCCCTTGCATAAGTCAGCCTCGCTTCATGGGATTAGGTAATCCGACGGCCGAGGGATTGTGCACGCGTTGGGTTATGCAGGGGCGCGTGCCGTCAGTGGATCCCCTGCCCGCCGTCCAATTGCTCCGAGCTGCCATCCCTGCCTCTGCTGCTCTCATCCCTTCCCCTCTGCAGTCGCCGGTCGGCACCCACCTCCCATCTGCATCTCCCTCCTCCACGCCCAATGAAAGACGATTCCAAGGTGATGGAAACAAGGTCTTCCCCAGTTCCCCGGCTGCAGGCTGACTCTGCCGTGCAAGTGATAGTCCAAAGAGGCGCACCATCACAGTCGCAAAAGGGGTAACGGGAGGAGGGGTCGATGCTGGGAAAGACACAGGCAACGTGTCTGTCGCTGTGTCTCTTTCACAGAAAGGAAGAAGGAGGTTGGTGTCAAAGACAACAGCTGACAATCCCTGGTAGAAACCGAGGCAATGTCGCACGAAATATCCGGCCGCTGACGGCTACGTCCGTACTGAGTCTCGTTTGCCATTGAGGAGAAGAAGAAGACCCGACGGCGATTCTAGGGCCTTGGTAGCAGTTGCTTCCCTCATCTTCACCGTCAAAGCGTAGCAAAACCCGCGGCTGCCCGTCGATAGACGCAGACCCAAGGGGAGGTCACATTGGTACCTGATATTGACGGGTATTTGGTCTCGCAAAAAGCCGATTGGATAGCGCCACGACGCCGCCGCGCCAGCGGCTCCATCTGCGCCCATTTCGATGCGACTACGTCCATCGTCCAGGGCCGTCGGTCTTTGAATTTACGCCGTCTGCTTCTGCCGCATCCCAAGTCTGCAGTAGCTCCTACAACTGAGCTCCTCGTAGTCATAGACTCTTCCCAAGACGTCGCCGCCAGGCTTATCCGAACGATCTCCACCTTTCCCGACCAACATTACCCTCTGCGGCTCTTGTTACTGTTTCTCTGTGTGACGGCCGTTCCCGAGGGTCTATCAGCTGAGACTTAGCGTCACAAATTTCTCGCACACCTACCGAATCAACTCCACACCGGCACCATCTCGCCACCAACGTTGCCCGAAGTACGGCCTTTACGGATATCCCGCCGAACGAGGCACCCACGCACCCTACCCCGGCCGGCTGCAACATCTACCAAGCTCCTTCGGCCGCCGCCACCGAGGCCCAAGGCCTAAGGCCCCGGCCCACACCAACGCGCCAAAACACCAAAATAGCGTTCCCGGAATCTGGTTAACGTTCCGCTGGCGTGGGTCCCCCACCAAGCTCTGCCCAAAGGCTGTGCGCGCGTGCCTGGCCCAGTGCCATTTCTTGGATTGGGTCTGCCGTCTTCTTACCCTTTGTCGGGGACCATTCTATTCGCATCATGCGGGCCCGATCGATGGGAGGGAACCAGCACATTGAGCTCTCCCCTTGGTATCCCGTCATGACTCGGAAATCTGATGTGACACGCAATACAGGAAACGAACCGGCGTAGCCGTTGCTCGAACTCAAACTGTGAACCGCCGCCTGGAGTACCGCCCGCGATGTGATATAGGACACGCCCGCCCACCCGCCCTCTTGCGCATGGCCGACACAGAGCCAGCTTGTAAGCTTGCGCAGCGGCCGATGAAACCTCAGGCGGTGAGATCGGCGGTCTCCAAGTCCGCTGGCTTAGATCACAGCATCACTTGAGAAGACTCTTTTTCACGTTCCCTTGATGCTGGTGTCGCTCGGCTAAATTGGCTGTGCCACTATATCTTCAATCACAATTGCGATGTCATGTCATGGCGGTAGATGGGAGGTTTCCTTGAATCAGGAGGAGGAGTTAATCAAAGTGAAGCACTGTAACTAACACCGGATTCAATACCCCTGTCGCTCGCTACCAACCCCGGATGACTCGCTGATTGCAAGGGTTCACGGCAGACACGAACGCGACGCCAGATGCTCCTCCAATCTTTTGACTGTTTCTTTCACAGTCTAGTGGGCAGACACAGAGTACCGTCAAGTCAGGTGTCCGACATGGGCGTCGCAGAGAGAGGGAACCTTGCCTCCCACCGCAAATGGCCGTGAGACTATCTAAACAGGGCCTGGATGTTGCTTCACGCTCAGCGCATTGTGAACTGCGACAAGGTGTCTGGGGCCTCGTCCCCATCTTCTGGCCTGCAAGCACTTAATCCCCAGCCAAGGATACCGCCACTCCTCGCCGAGCCCCGTATCCATAATTGAGATTTTCCTCCGCCTTACCTTGGAACGCCTGGTCCAGGCGTCGAGAGTGACACTAATTTGCTTTGCAGATCCAAGCTGTGTTTCGGCTCAATGCCAGATCTGGATTTTTCACTTGTACAGGCAGAAATGGTGTACTCAACCATGCTTTTCAGCATCTTCACGCCTAACTACAATGGTGAGCACGGAGTTGCCGGGCAGAGCAAGTGAAGCACGATCAAAAATATACCCACATCGATGGCCAAGTACATCTCGGCAATTAAATATAGCATTATCTACACGAAAGGGAGCACAATATGGCTTGCCCGCTCACCTCCCAAGTGTAGGATATGCCGCCCCTTATTCAGGGTATGGTTCTTTCCAAAGTTACTCACAGCGAAGCTCTGTCCGCTGACGACAACCCGCAAGCTCTCTCCCGCCTCGTACTCGACCCCGAGCGCCCAAATCCCAATGTCCAGCCTGACCACTTCGCCCGGCGGGATCTTCTCCTCCTTCTCGTGCGGGTGGAACGGCCAGTGCGGGTGCATGCTTCTGGCCTCATCGATGGCGCGGTGAGAGGCCCGGAGGATGCCCACGGGGCCCTTGTACAGCACGACCTCCGTCTCCTGCTCCGGCGCAAACTCTTCAAACGAGCTCACAGGGATGCCCTCCCAAGGGATATTGAGGTTCTTCATCTGTTTGCCGTTCTTGTCGAGCTTTTGGATCATGACGTACACGTCCAGGTCGTCGTAGTCTGGGCAGGACATGTACAGTACGGCTTTGGGTAGGCCCATGATGCGGGTATCCTCTGCAAAGGTGTGGGTGAAGCTGACGTCCCCGCCGGACTCGGAGTCGTAGCTTACAGTCGTCTTCTCCTCAGGCGCGGCGTCAGGCAAGAGCTTCTCTTCCGTGCCAAGGAAGAACTCTCTGTACTGCGTCCGCGCCGGAGGAAAATCTTCCTCGACGATATTCTCCAGCGCTTGCGGGCTCTTGTGTCCGAAGCGCAGCAACGACATCCTCACCTTGGGCGTCTTCTCCCATCCGTTGTCTACGCCCTTGAGATACCGGTCAAAAAACGCAAACAGCTCGTCCTTGGCCTGCGAGTTTCCCCAAAGGTCAAACCACTCCTGCCACGGATGCCATCTCAGCCACTTCTCGCTCGATTCCACCTCTAACCAACCCCTGATCGCCCCCATCCCGTGCATCGTGTTGGTCCACGTGCCCGTGATGTACGTCGGGACATTGATCTTCTTCATGTCCGGCCTCTTGTCGTTCCACCACGCGTTGGCCAGCGGATGCTGCTGGTACATCTCGCGGAAGCTCTCGATCCCGCCGCGGCCCTTGAGCATGTGCTTGACAATGAGCTCGTCAAATAGGTCGCCCGCATACACGCCGCCGCGCGCAAACTGCTCGCGGTACAGGTCCCCACACCCTTCCCACGGCGCGATGGCCTTCAGGCTGGGCGGGCGCAGCGCCGCGATAAACCACTGCGCAATGGCAAGGTGCGAGTTCCCCGCGAGTCCGACGTCGCCGCTGCACCACGCCATACCCGCCACGGCCTCAATGGCATCGTACCCGTCCTCGGCCTCCTGCGTGCCCATGATGACCATTGGGGTGTCGTCGTCGCCGCTGTCAAAAGCGCCGCGCGTGTCGACGTTGACAATGGCGTAGCCGCGGGGCACCCAGTCCGCCGGGTCCGGCGCCTCGAACTTTTCCAGACCGGAGAGGGTGGAGGCGGGGATCCCGAGCTTCCAGGGCGTCATATAGTCGAGCGACGAGAGGCCGTTGAATTTCTTGCCAAAGGGGGACCAGCAGATCAACGCGGGGACTTTCTCTGTTGTGTTGGGCGGGCGGAGGACGTCGGCGTAGAGCGTGGTGCCGTCCCTGACTTTGATGGCGACGTCGTGCTCTATCAGGATGGCGCTTGGGAGCGGGCGAGCGTCTGGATGGGGATGTTTCCAGCCCGCGGGAAGGGTTTCTGAGTGAGGGTTGAGTCCAACGTAACCATCGCGGCCGACGATGGGGGCACTCAGCGGGTCGATTGGGACTCCCAGACTAGACTTCCTGGGAGCTGACATTGTGGCGAGGCTTTTCTCTTGCTACCTTGTATCTAAGTCAAAGGGCGATTTGCGGCGTGTCCAATGAGATTGTTGACCACCGATTGCCAGTCCCGGTCTACTTGTAGAAACACCATTTTTCTTGAGTCAACTCGAGACGGAATCCGGTTTTCTCATACCCATCTCCAAGACTCCCCTCTTCCCGGCGGCAGTGAAGAAGGAAGAATACTTTACACTGCTTCCGCGTTGGTGGAAGTGTGGTCCAAGTCGGGCAGCAAGGGGACCCGCCATCTCCCGAGCCGACGACGACTTGCACATCACCAGCCGATGCCGAGCCGACGCATTCCGCCCCGAACGTACTATGATGATCCCCCACCACTGTTCCGCGCCGTACCGATATAGACTGAGCTAGACGATTCCGAAGCACTATGATGAGTTTCGGCATGGCGGTTCATCCTTCTGTAAAGTGGTCACATTTGAAATCGAGCGGGTCCAGGGACTTGCGGCGCGGTGGTCACGGGCCGATGCTGTATAGATCGGTTGAACATCTAGACGAAGCATCAAACACTGGCTATAAACACTACGATTCAGTCCACCGAGTAGTAACCCATTCAGAGACCACCAAGCTCCTGCTCAGGCAATTGAATTTCACAAATCACTGGACAAACGTTGTTACTATTCGACTCTTCAAACAATGGTTATCGCTACCGACTTTGCAAAGCCTTTGGCGACCATCCCGGTTCCAGAAGGGAAGACCATCAAGCAGAGCGCACCGCCCACGACTCCCTTGAAGCCTCAACCGGCGGGTCCCAACAGACTCTTTTCCCAACCAGACGCCGTCTTTGGAGACTTCCGCGATGATCTCGTCCGGGACGGCTACGTCGTGGTCAAGGGCGCGATCCCCCGCGAACGAGCAGACAAGTACGGCGAGGAAATGATGTCGTACCTCGAAACCTTGTAAGTTTTCCTTACCCCGTCTCCCAGCTCCTTTTTTATTTTATTTTTTAAATCCAGCCGCTGATAAAAGGTCCGAAACCACACAGCGCCGGCGGTCTTGGCTTCCAGCGCGACGACCCGAGCACGATCAAAGAATCCAACCTGCCCATCATCACCGAGAAGGGCATGTGCCTCGGCTACGGCGTCGCCCACGAGTCCTTCACCTGGGCCGTCCGCCAAGAACCAGGCCTCGTCGACGCCTTTGAAAAAGTCTACGACACCAAGGACCTCATTGTCTCCTTTGACGCCGTCAACATGGCCTTCCCCAACCGGCCCGACGTGAAGCCCAACACGCCCTGGCCGCACCAGGACCAGGACCCCGAGAAGCCCGGCTTCCGCTGCCTCCAGGGCCTGGTCAACCTCCTCCCCAACGGGGACCGCGACGGCGGGCTGATTGTTTGCAAGGGCGCGCACCTGCTCTCCGAGGCGTTCCACGAGGAGTTCCGCGGCGAGGCCGACAAGATTTGGGCCTGGACAAAGGAGTGGTACGGGTTCACGGACAAGGGCATGGAGTGGCTCCGGGAGCGCGGGTGCGAGTGGGTCAAGATCAACGCGGAGCCCGGGGACCTGCTGTTGTGGGACAGCCGGACGCCGCACTATAACCTCAGTCCCGAGGGGACGTCGCCGCGGTTCTGCGTGTATACGTGCTACATGCCGGCGGCGGAGGCCTCGCAGGCGGACCTGGTGCGGAAGAAGGGCGCGTACGAGACGCTCCAGAGCACGACGCACTGGCCGAATGCGATGCATGTTGGGGGTATCCCTGTGTTGCGGGACGGGAAGCCGTGTCCGTATAATACGGGCAAGCCGAGGCGTGCGCCTGAGCTTTCGGAGAGGGGATTCCGGCTGACTGGTATTCCGTATATTCAGGGAGTACCTATTGATGCTTTGGGGGAGTGAATTCGGGCGAGCTTTGTGGAACTCGGGATGCTGGGGGGGGGGGGAGCTTGTTTCCCGATTATGGTTTCAAGTGTTTTTGAGTTTAACTGTTTGAGTACATAAAGTGTCAATCCTACCTCCACGTTCTTTTGGATACATTCGCTTTGGCTCACAACTATGCCTACATGTAGACTGTAAGACAGAATCATCTGTTCCGTACTGAGAGATAATACGGGAGATAATGACATACGTTTACAATTACTTTACATTTCATCTTTTAGTCGCCACGAAGGTATCCAGTCAGCGAGGCCAAATACGCCGGCATTCTTTTGAGTCATACGTGTTCAGCACCTCACGGCGCGTCTCTACACAGTCTCAACCCTTGCATTAGCCGGCAATTCCTGTCATGGAGTTTGTATCAAAGAACCACTGTGCTGAAAACCTTAATTCTCGTCACACATTTTCGCACGTGTCTAGACCATGAAATATACAAATCATTATAATCAGACTAAAAACACGCCAAGTTATCTGTCTCGAGCCAGTACAATCAATCCGATCGTTCACATTACTGGGCCATCTCAGGCCAAACCTTTCTCGTAGCCCACATTCTGACCCGCGGCCCGAAAAAGTACACAGGAACAGTGATAACGCCCAAAACACCAGCAATAATGGCGAAAATGTTCATGGCACCATTGTACCCAATGAGGTTGATCAACGGGACCGTGGAGTAGCTGAGGCCAAACGAGATGAAGCCGCGGCCCGCGCACAGCACGAGGAGAAGCGGCCCGGCCTTGCTCGGGAAGCTGTCAATGGCGTAGGTGATGCCAATGAGGTTTGCCCCGAGGAAGGCAAAGTAGCCGAGGTTGTAGGGAGCCACGACCGTCATCCAGTGCCACTGGTCCGGGTGCGCGCCTGCTTGCCCGTAAAAGACGCAGGAGATGATGGCTGACAGGATCGGGACGCTCAGGATGATGAGCCTGTATTCGGGCTGTTGGAAATTACGCATCAGCACTGGTTCATCTCATTCGAAGCAGTCGTGGGAGAGTTTGGGGTAGGGCCTGCTCACCTGGAAAGTCCCATTCTTCCAATTGCTCATGGCCCGTGCCAGCATATCGGATCCGTAGCCGAGCAGGGGTACCATGACGACGCAGTCAATGACCTGGACGAGCTGGACGTATCCCAGCCAGTCATATTTGAAACTGTACGGCGGCGCCATGAGGATGGTGGCAAACGTTGAGGCCTGATAAATGTAGATGCCCAAGAAAGCGCCGTTGAGCAACAGCATCCAGACAATGTTAGGCAGCCAGAGCGATTGCATTGTCTCTTTGTAAAAGATGAGGGTCTGCTTCCACTCGGGTTTGAAGTGGAAGATTGTCAGATTGTGGCGCCAGGTTCGGGATCCAAAGACATCTGGTTGCAGAACGTGGTTTTCTCGTGTCAACACCTGAATGACCTTCTCCTTGTCGCCTGTCCTGTTGACGTTGCCTTCCTCGTCCAGCTTCAAATGTACAGCACCCCCTGTAGCAAAATTATTAGTATTTGTTATAAGCTATGATGGATACGTGGCTGGCTCGCTCGGGACATGGGCGGAACTTACTATCGGCATCGTTTGGCCGATCATATTTGGTCTCAACGGCAAAGAAAAAGGCCAACACGAGAATCGCGGCGTTGATAAAGGTAATGACGAGGTACCACCACTTGAGCCCCAAGGACGGGACAATGTACGCCGTCGCAACGAACATGCCCGCCGTCCCGACCGTCTGGACGCCAATGAACCAAGACAGCTTAGCACTCCGCTCGTGAAGGAAGTGAATCTCTTCAATGATGAAGGGCGCTAGCGCTTCGCTCTGGCCCGCGGCGATGCTGTAAAAGTTGCGGCCTGCAATGTGGCTGCTGAGAGACGTCGAGAAGGCGCACCAAAACCCGGACAAGACGAGCAGAACGAGCGACATGAGAAAGACGGGTCGTCTTCCAATGGTCACGCAGAGCGGCATGGAGAAGAGGTTGCCGATCCCCATGAAAAGCGTTGGATATGTAAGGAGGTCTGTTGCTCGCGTGGCGTCTTCGGGGGGATATTCCTTCAGCACGGAGGGGAACACGGCACCGAGACCGGATGTTGCGAGGACGGCGATGGCCGAGTACGAACCGACGATGAAAATGATGAGGTATTTGTGCCATGTTGGAAGGTTGAGAGGGTCTGGTTCAAGGCTGTCAGTATTGAGCGTGTCTTACTGCCAACCCCTCGCGGCCAAGATATTTGATGATGAGGCTCGATGGTCTTACCTTTAGGATCAGGACTTGGGGTGGGAATCAAAACGACTGAACCGCCTTGAAGAAGTTGCACGGTTCCATACGCCTGGTGCTCTTGTGCAGGCGCCTTCGCGGCCGCTGCCTCAATAGTATCGACGTGAGGCTCATCGTCTTTCGTTCGAGGCGTGTTCGCCATGATAGGCAGTAAGACTCTCACCACCTGGTCAGGCAATCGGTAGTATGGCGTCTAGAGGCGCGTAGTAAAGTTTGTTCACACGTCGTCGAATGTCGTTGCAGCACAGACCAAGCCAACAAGCTCTAAGTTATGATGCCGGCAGAGGCCGGATGACGAGACTTCATGTGTAAGACTATATATCAATTTTAGATCCGAACATGTCTTGACGATTACTCAATTTTCCTTGTTCCGGCACTATACAACTCGACTGGCCCTCTCTATTGTCTGTATAGCAAAAGAGTATGTAGTACACTCTGCTGCCCAATGAAAGCTGAGCCATTATCACGAAATGGTATCGCTTGGGGCCGTCGGCTCGGGTCAGACCCATCGACTCCCGATAGTCCCTGGTAATACCATTGCTGAGACCAATGGCATGAGGGTGGGACGCAGGGGCTTGGCCTATGGTTACGTTCCCCATGTTTGTTTGCATGTTAAACCCCATGGGGAAGATCTACTGAGTCTAACCACTTCCAGAGTCGTGATGGCAAGCTACACACGCCAATGTAGGGATCTATGGCAGACGGGCATCCCACAATCTCCAACTTCCAGCATCCCCCACCGTTCCGAGCTGCTCGTAGCGTCGCCGGAATGAGGGGCCGGTCAGTTCTCCGCACCGTCCACCAGTACCACGGGGCCACGAACAAACTGAATCTCCCGAAACGCTTCCGCGAGTCATTCCCGTCCCCATGAGCCGCGCCGCCTTTCACGTTTCGGAAACGCCAAAGTACTCCTCATAACGACACGCTTCGGCATCTCAACCTACCCAGCCGACCGACCCTCACCTCCAGCTCCCGAACAACCCAGTCAGTCAGCCAGCGAACCAGCAAGGGTACAGATACCTCTCCAACCAGGCCAGGCCCAGTGGAGAAGACCCGATCATGTGAGGAATGCCGACACCAGGCAACACGCGGCAAATGTCTTCATATACGAACCCCCCCGTCTCCACTCCCGCGGCTGCTGCGCCGTCATCCCTCGTCGAGTCGACCGAGGGCTCCTCGGCGGCGGCGGCGGAGGCGGTGATCAAGAGGCGGCGTATCAACTTCGCCTGCAACTACTGCCGGAACCGGAAGACGCGCTGCGATGAGCAGAAGCCCTCGTGCAAGGCCTGCCTCGCCGCCGGCATCGAGTGCGTCACGACGGACCGCCGGAGGCCCGGCGTATCGGTCCAGCGCCGCGAGACGAAGCGCCGGCTGTCGCGGGCATCCAGCTCGTCTCTGACGCACTCGCTGGCCGCCAACGCGTCTCCGCACTCGCCTCAAGAGGAAGTGGAGAGCTCCGGGCCACCGCCGCCCCCGCCGCCGCAGTCGGCGGACGCCGGTGCCAGGATTTCTTCTCCTCCATCCGTAGAGCTGCTTCACAGCCGTGACCGGACAGGGTCGGTGGCTGGCTCCGTGACGGCTTCCAATGACGCCGCCGTCGTCGCTGCTACTCTTCCGGCAGACGAGGAGGCTCCCGCCTGCCCGGCTCCGCCAAAGTTTCAAGGAAAGTTACCCGTAGTACGACCCAGCCGCGGGAACAACTCGGTTGAGATCCTCGGCGACTGGCTGGACCTTGCCGCCCGTCGGCTGAGCATCCCGCAGAGGCGCGGCTTAGCCACACGCGCGGACAGGCCGCCGGCCTACCGCATCCTGTCGTCTGAACCCTGCCCTTTCCCTCCCAAAGAGATTGCTCGCCAGCTTGCTTCCCGCTACCTCGAAGGAATGAATATTGTATATCCTCTGCTCAACCGAGACCATCTTCTGAAAGACGTTGACGCAGCGGTTGAACTTGGGCCGACCAACTTCGCCGAGGCCCGAGGGTTAGCAGTCTTGACGACGGTGTACCTCGTCATGGCTATTGCGTTTGTTTCCGAGCCATTGTCGGAGCCAAGGCTAGATCGTGGGGACTATGTGATTTACTGCAAATCCCTCATCGGCCACCTCGTCACCGTCAACAGCGTAGAGACGGTTAGATCTCTGGTCCTCGCCGCGTTGTGTCTTCATTGCTACGACGAGTGTGCGGGGGCCTGGAACATTCTAAGCATGGGTGTCTCCCTCGCCATGTCGCTGGGCCTGCATAAACCTCGCACGTGCCGGGGCTGTAAGGCCGACCAGCCAAAGAAGAGGCCAGACTTTGTGGATGACGAAGAGCGCAGGGCGTTTTGGCTCGGCATCTTCTCCTTTGAAAAGTTCTTGGCGTTCGAGCTGGGGCGTCTCTCTTCGATTGACGACGAGGAATGCTACCCGGCTCACGTCGACATGCCCTTGGGCAATGGGACCTCGTCAAAAGACAAGGCGTTTCCCGTGACGGTTGATCTTGCGAGAATACTCAGCGAGATTGGGAGAAAGGCCGTCATTGTCAGCCGGAAAGAGGACGGGCTCCAGGACGGCGCGTTACAGGCCATCGTTGCTGAAAAGGTTGAGACGACCGGGGAGGCACAATTACTCCTCACGCGATGGGGCGAATCAGTGCCCGATGAGCTCAGGTAGGTCTCGCCATGCGCGGAAGCCTTGACTTTAACGGCGTACAATGGTGAAGCTGACAGTCCCCGTCATTAGACCGATATCGGATATCCTGATCGGCTCAAAACAGTGCCCCTTTGCATCATTCATATCGATGCATTACAACAACGCGTACGTGATTCCTTTCATCTGCTGTATGAGGTCCATCTCACTGACATGATTGTCTCTCAGCCTCGTGATCCTCTCACGGAATAGTCTTCTCATCAGTGAAGAGGCAATCACGTCTGGTGCCAATATCATCTCCAAAGGCAAACCGTGGGACTACATCATGCGAAACGGACAGTCTCTCGCAGCCAATTCTGCCCGGAAAGTCTTGCGCATCGTAGTCGAAGCAGTGGACTCTAGGTCAAACGTAGTTCTCCCAAATCTACTAGCACCGCTCCACGCACTCTCGGCACTTGCAATCCACGTCGTAACGCACCCCGACTCTCGCATCTCAACCATGGACCTTCATGTAAGCATACCACTCATTGCTTGCATCGTCTCAAAATTGTTCCTAATTGTTCTCTTCTTTCAAAGCTCATCCAAACGGTCTCGGACTCTCTGAGGGAGGTGCACGCTAGGGTACGGGGTGATAACCTACTGGACCTCCTCCTGCAGAAGCTCGACTCCTTTCTCCGCAAAGGGCTGCCAGCGCCCGTTACATCATCCCATGGCCGGAACGCCAACACCTTACCTTCTCTGACCCCGCGGTCCATGCCGGACAGCAGTCCGTGGCAGAACGCGGGAGAGACCCCGACCCCCAGATCAGTGGAAGCCCACTGGTCTGGCAGTGATGAGAGCCGGCGCAGAGAATCAGGTGCTCATGTTTCCGGTTCGGCGATGCCCTTCTTCAACCAGGGACATGGTATTCCCGGCGGGTCCGAGTTCGGATTCGACTCGTTCGGCACGATGCCAATGGTGGGTGATGAGTGGTCGCCTAGTCTTTCTGACAGTATCGGATGGGACTGGGCATGCTTCTCGCATCTTCTCTCGGAGCAGTACCAGCCACAATGAAGCTGACGCTTATCCTTGCAAAATGGACCCCACCATTTATCTTTGACGCGGCGACTCTGACTCAGTTGAAGTCAGATTAGTGTTTCGATCTCAAGTCAAAGGAGTGCAAGCGTCGAAAGACAAAAAGCACTCAGACACCATGGCCGCTCGAGGAGAAGAGATGGACAGAAAGGACTACTTACCCAGCCTTCTGGTCAGACGACGCGTGCAAGATGTATATTCAATATGTAGCTCAAATGGGCTGGTAGGGATGATTATACCCAATTCATTCGGATCTTCTCTAATATGCCGATGACGCCCACATTTGAAAGGGCGAAAGGGAGGAGGGCGGAGTACTGAAGGTAGGGGCGGAGTTTGCAACAAGAGGGTGTCTTCTAATGTGGGAGCCGAAAGGCTGGGGACTAGTTCCACAAAGACAGCTTATTGCGTAGACTAACGCCCAGCTTCAAAAGGAGGAATAAAAGGAGGTTGTACAATGTGATCACAGAGAAGCGTCGCTTGGATTCGTCAAGATTTGAGCTGGGCCTGTCTAATGAACAGTGCATCCATGCCAAACAAAGCGGGCATCGTTCCTGCAAATCATGCTTCGTTCCTTGATGATGATTGAACTACAATTCTATTACTCGAACCTCGTTTCCGACTTTATGCTTGAATAGATGCTTCGTATCCTGGCTGCCTTAGGTGGTTATTACTAGCCCAAGTACTCACTATGCGATCAAAGTGGCCAAACTTTTCCGCCCCAGCGTTTTTGGGGGTAAACTTTTAGCCGTTGCTTGGGTTGAAAAACCAGATCGTTTAGGAGGCAGATAAATTCAACTCGGGGTTTACAAAATTCCCATCGGAGGTGATTCTGGTATCCGCGCAAGGCAGTTTGGGTAGCAGCTATCGGAAAACGGAGTCATCGCTTCCATCTCCTCTCCACCAAGCCCTTAGCCATCAATCATTTTCGCACCGCGCAAGGACTGGAGACTGCGTAACTGTCCGCAATGATTGAGGGAAATGGAAGTAACTCGTTTGATGGGCTCAAGTCCGAGTAGAGGAATTCGGCTGCCTCAGACTGCATGTGTGGCCCCAAGACGTGCATGTACCCTCGGCTGACTTCATCTCCTCACAGCAACCATTACAAACTCTTTACGCTTGGCTCGATCCCTATATGAAAACGCTCCTACCAAGACGTCCCTGATAGTTTCTTGTGTTCCGATAAGTTGAAGGTCACTAGAGGTATCACTGGCACTCGAGACTACGTGTACGTTACCTCTTCCAGCAGAGAACCGCAGCTAACGACTTCGTTTCTCACAGAAGTGTGTAAATTACGTTTTTGAATTTGCTTCCGATGACAACAAAGGCCTAGAAAACTGGAAGTCTTGTATCATATTCTTCTTCCAATTTCTGCATTTACCTTTACATTAGTACAACGCTCGTTGTAGAGATATATAAAAGACTGACAAACTCATTTCATTATACAACTACTGTTAAATTCGCGTCATTGAGTGCATGTATACAGTGTATTTCTTTAGTTGTTTCTTCACACAAGGCATTTATCTACGCGTCAAGACTAGTGCTTGGTCACACATGACTCGAGCGATTTGTTGGATAACACCACAGATGCAAGCCTGAATAAAATCACGGGGTGTCCATTCATGAGGAAGTGACCGAAGAAAACTGTCTAATCTTGCTGCGGAATTTAGTTTCGCTGTCGGTGGAATAGATTAGGGGAATATTTTCCAAGGCTTTTCGCTCTGGCCTATCTCACCTCAGTCGCGCGTCCCGCCGGGTACAAGCGGACCAAATACAACGAGATTCCTTCCTGGTTCCGCTTATCTCCATTAGGTAGGTAGATGAAATGGTTTTCCTTGGAGGATATCAACTATACTAGCTTATTATGGCCACCAAGCTTGACTAGATGCTTTTATCGATTGCAAAGTACTTGTTTTACTCCTCTTCTGTTTTAGTTATAATCTGTTGTGTTTTCATCGATAAGATAAGCATTTGTTTTTTGAGGCCCCGTATCTCAAAGAAGTCACTTCTGATCTTGGCACCAGCGGCATAATCTTTTGAGACGCACCTCCGTATTTAGGCGATTTGGCCCCTACGATTAGCTGCGTGTGACTTTGAATGGTGGGTCGATAAGAAAGGACCGCGCAGCTCACGTCATCTTCGCAGTAGCTCAGCCACAAGTGCCCCGGGATTCGCTGCTCCAGCTCGTTTTGCACTGTTTCTCATCACCAAAGCTAGTGAGCGATTATTCCCCTCTACATGCCCTTCCGTTAGTTCATCGCCGGCAGCATGTCAGTCTATCGCGTTGCCGGCCTCCCCACTGGCCTGTCCAAGGCCGGCGCGAAGGAGATACTCGACGAGGTTTTTGGTACAGAGACGCAGACGATAGTTCGCTCCCTGGGTCTGTATCCCTATACGGACTCCCTGTTTGCGACCGTCATGTTCTTCCCCGTGCCGAGTCCTTTGCTGGAAGGGCATTCCTGGAAATTCGACAAGACCCTCTCATTCGAGGGCCACGTACGGCGTGTCCAGCTCGAAATCGACACGGCTTTTCTCGGTTTCACTCCCTTGAATGTTGTCGAAGACACTCAAGATGACAGGATCGACTGCGTCGTCGTCAGTGGCCTCAGCAGTCACCCATTTGGATCATGGAAAGAGAGGGGTGGCCAGTTCATGTGGCTGGTTGACGATGACACAGCGTTCCCCTCCAACGTCCGCGTCCTGCTGTACGGCTACGACACATCACTCTTTGGGAGCGAGTCATTTCAGACTGTCACCGACATTGGCGAGCGGCTTGCCACCTCAGTCCGCAGTGTACGATCTCTGTCCACGGATTCAACGAAAGTCAAGCCTCGGCCCATCGTGTTCATAGCTCATAGCCTGGGCGGACTGGTCGTCAAAGAAGCCATCCATAGCTTGGCAAAGAAAGACGATTCCAACGCCAAATGCATATACGGCTTGGTTTTCTTCTGCGTTCCTCATCAAGGGCTGCTGGTCGAGCCCTGGCTTCGCCTTATCAGCGAACAGCCGAATCGGCAGCTTGTGGAGAACCTCAAGCCCAAGTCACCTTATCTAAAAAAGCTAGACAAAAACTTCAAAGCCGCCATAGTTCTCAAGGACTTGAAAGTGGTAAGCATTTATGAGACAATGACGAGCCAGACTACCCACAAGGATAGTAGCGGAGCCGTGGGGCGGACCGGAGATAGAGAAGTCTTGGTTCCCATCAGCTCGGCTCTGGGTGACTGGCCAGAGTCTGTGATTCATGGACGTGTGGCCATCAATCGCACCCATGACAACCTCCCCAAGTTCCGGGGCCGCTTCGACGAAGACTACCAAACAGTCAAACATTGCTTACAAGATATCTGGGCAACTGCCGTTGAAGATGTCCAAAAGAGATTCGCAGCCGACGAGAAGCCAACCAATTCGAGCGTCCCTTCTGTGGAGAAGGTGCAGGAATCTTTGTCAGAAAAGGAGGTCCCTATCGGACTGATACCGCTTTGGCCGAGTCCGGAGACGGAGGAGGTGGTCAATATCCAAACAGAGGTGGACTTAATCGCCATCCATGGTCTCGGGGGCCACGCCATTGAGACTTGGACTGAAGGGGATAGATTCTGGCTGCGAGACTTTCTGCCGTCGGATCTGCCTACAGTCCGCGTCTTGACCTTCGGTTTTGATGGATCGTTAGTCTTCACGGCCTCAAAATCCAACATTCCCAATATTGCCACTCAGCTGCTATTTAGTATCAAGCAACTGCGGAGAAGGAAAGCCGAAGCGGCCGAGCGAAAAATCATATTCGTTTGCCATGGGTTTGGTGGCATCGTCTTCAAGCAAGCCATGGTCATGGCCTGCGAGAGTGAGAGTCGATACAGTGAATTCGGAAAATCCGTTGCAGGTGTTATATTCCTCGGCACACCGCATAAGAAAGCTGATATTGGCTACTGGTCCAAATTACTGGCAAAGGCTGCCCTTCTCCATGAGCTTCGGCCGGACCTGTTGTCCAATCTTGACGAAAGGGCCATTGAGCTGGGAGCGATTTGCTCTGGTTTCGTGGAACGTGGCATGCCACCAGGCTTACAGGTTTTCAGCCTCTATGAACAACGCATTACTGCAAAACTTGGGTCTCTGGTAGGCTATCCTTGCCATTACCCGCTCAATGACTCCCACTAATGCATAGTTCGTAGGTCGTCGACGAGTCCTCGGCTATTCTCCATCTGACTGCAGAGACTCCGCTTCCCCTGAACGCAGATCATGACAACATGTCTAGATATCTCACCGAGTCTAATCCTAACTATATGACAGTGTTCAACTGCATTGCTGAGTTAGTGGATACTCTGTCCGGGAAACCTGAACATACCTGTGCGTGAAGGCACCACCCAACCCCAGCCCAGCTTGCCGATACTTTGGCATCACATACTTCAGGTAGCTAATGGTTTAGAGCGGACAGTCTTCAACTCATCGCAACGCGATTTTCTATCAAATCTGAGAGCCATAGACACGAGAAAAGTCCTATCACTCATTCCCGTTCACCTAAATAAATCATCTAGGTGGCTGCTCGACCATCCTGATTTTCAATCGTGGACTAAGCCACAAGGCCACCAAGTCACTTGGCTTCATGGGCCACCTGGCTCGGGCAAGACGGTGCTCATGAGAGGCATTGTTGCTCACCTGATCGAGCAGAGCGAGTCATCCGGCGACACTGTCATTCGAAAGCCACTTTACTTCTTTTTTGACGACAAGAACTCTACCCGGAAAACATCTGCAGCATTTGTGCGTTCTATTTTGAGCCAGATTCTGGTTGACGAACGAACGTCGTATCTCATCAAGTTTTTGGAAGGTCGGGATTACAAAGAGGACGCAGAAATGGAAGAGAATCTCTGGATATGTCTCTCAACTGTGATTGAGAGATCGCGAGGGATTATGTTCCAGTTTGTTATTGACGCGATTGATGAAGTGCTGCGTAGCAGTGCTGGTGCACCAATTACGATACTCGACAGACTCGAGCAGCTCATCACTCAGGATCTAAGTGGCCGGGTTAAGCTGATGCTCTCTGACCGCAAGATGCCGCAGAACGAGTTTATGGAGACGGCTATTGCTATCATTGATGTTGACAACGACTCTAATCGGCAAAGCGTGAAGTCTTTCGTTGGCGGTCAGATACGAAAACATCTCCAAAGATCGTACATCTCAGTCAGTACTGGAGAAGTCGTGGAAAATAAGATCATGGAGATATCTCGAGGGAACTTTCTGCATGCTAGACTGGCATGGGATCAGCTCTCTGAGGGTATCACAGAATGGTCCCGAGATCAGATCTACAAGAGCCTGGATCAGCTCACTACAATTTCCCGCGGTCTGGTCGCGGCCTACTGCAAGCTCCTTAGCAGCATCCCGAGAGCGCTGCGAAGCAAGGCCAAGGCATCTTTCGCCATACTCCGAATCAGTCAAGAGAAGCTAACGTCTCGCCAACTTGCGTTTCTTGCCACCTTACACGACCAAAAGTTGGATGAGCGGCCATCACTATGGTCTGAACTTCATTCGCAGAGTGCTGACTTTGAGAATTATCTAGCTGAGGCTTGTGGATATGTCATAAGAAGAGCTGATGATGGTTCGGTTGACTTCAACCACGTTTCTGCCAAGGACTTGTTCACAGACAGTATGGAGGGCCTCTCACCCGAGGAGCAACAAGTCATTTCAACCTTTGCTGTCTCAGACGCGGATGCGCACGCCATGATGCACAGTTTGTGTATGTCTATCTTCCGATTGGAGAATCGAGAAGCAGATTACTGGCGCCGAAATCGGCAAGATATGAGGCAAGCTCAGGGCAAACTCAGAGCGTCATTCGGAGTCGGCATCTTATCTATCAGACAATCACTCGAAATAGCCGAATTGGGCGTTACTCGCATTGAATCGATTGCTAGAACGCCTTGCTTCACCTACGCAATCCGACATTACATCAGTCATTACGAAGGCGCGACGCCCAGTCCCCATGCTGACAGTGCACTGGTCTCGTTCATGCCTAGTCGACAGGCGTACTACTGCCACAGGATGTGGTTAGAGATTCGTACCTACGACACAGACCACCACTTGAACAGGTCCAAGTCGGTGCATACAGAGCGCGACAAGAAAAGCACTAGCTCCAAGTTGTCGAAAAGTGCAGCTCTATTTCGGCTCATGGCGCGAGGAGACTGTCCACAGATCGTGAAGGGTCTCGCGGCTCAAGGTGCCGATATCAATCATGTGGCCGGCTCGGATTTCGAATGCCTCACACTGTTGTCGTGGGCCATCATCTGCAGACGGAAGGACACTTTTTGCGCGCTTCTGCGAGATGAAAACGTGCTAATCAACTCCAGTCCAGACAGGGATTATGGGCCGCTTCATCATGCAACTCGTTGCGTAGACGATATGTTCTATATCCAAAGGCTGCTAGAGCATCCCGACACAAATGTCAACATCCTTCACGCATTAGACACACCGCTTCACCAGGCGATCAAGTCCAAGAACCTATCGGGAGTCGAAGCACTTTTGGCCCATCCAGATATCGATCTTAGCATTACAGATTTGGACAACGAGACTCCCTATTTCAAGGCATTTAAGCATAAGATGTGGGAACCGCTCCTGATAAGAATGATGACGATGGTCTCTAAGAGAACCTTATCGAAGGCAATATCCGGGACCAGCCCGTTACTCATGGCTGGTATACACGGCTGGACACATGTCGAGGAATCCATTCTCAAGATGTTTCCGAACCAAGTGCTTATGCAGGATCCAGACACCAAGATGAACGTGTTGGCGCACTACGCTTTCTATGGCCGTCGAGAGAAGTTGCTCTGGATCATGAACCGTCTTCCAAGTCAACATGCCTCATTACGCAGCGAAGCGGACCACTATGATCTCCTTCATCTGTGTGCAAACCAGAACTGGGAAGACATTGTGCATCTGATGCAGCGGAAATACCGTCTACAGTCTCTTTCCTCGGACCATGTGGGGAGAACACTTCTTCACTGGGCACTGGAATACAACTGGGATTTCGACCGGATAGATCTCAGTCAGTACAGCATGGCCGACCTCAACAAAATGGATCGCGACGGGTTGACGGCAGTCCACATCGCCGTCACAAGCAGAAACATGGCCGCCTTGGAAATCTTGGTTGCCTCAGGGGCAAGTTGCTTACAAAAGGACAAGACTGGCATGTCTCCCGCCCATATGGCCGCCGATCAAGGCTACCGCGCCGCCCTGGAATACTTCATCGACAGTCCGCATGCCGATTTTGGGACCACTCGGACCGGCGCCAGCCTCCTGCACCTCATGGCCCTGTGGTTCGACGGAGCCATGGTCCGTCGCTTCGTCACCTCGCGAAAGGCGACGCTGAACATCAACGCCGTCGACCTCGAGCGCCGTACCGCGCTACACTACGCCGCCATGGCCAACAACGCGTCCGCAACCGACGCGCTCGTGGCACTGGGTTGCGGCATCAATGAACGCGACAACAATGGCAAATCACCCCTTCACGAGGCGATCCGCGGCGGCGGCGCAGACGCGGCCTTGCGCCTGCTGCACCTCGGCGCCGACTGGCGGGCCACAGACGCATTCGACCAGACGTGCCTGCATCTGTCTCTCCGATACGACAGCGACAGTCTTGTGTCGCGGTTCCTGCGGCTGGGCCTGGACATTGGCGCCGTAGACCGGTTCGGAATGACGCCGCTTCATCGGGCGTGCGGTGCGGGCAATGTAGACCACATCCGCGAGCTACTTCGCAAAGGCGCCGTGTGGGATGCACGGAACATGTATGGGCGCTCGCCGCTGGAGTTGGCTGTGGAGGCAAGGACCAAGAGCACCGTACAGACCATGGTGTCGTGGGTGCTGACTCTGAAGAGGGCGCAAATCAGCGGAAGCCAACGCAGGGTGCGGCGATACCTCGACAGTGCGCTCAAGCTGGCCTGTGAGCTGGAATGTACGCATATCGGGAGCATACTGAAGGAGGCTGGTGCGGATATCGACTACAGCAAGGTCAAGGTTAAGAGGTTGTATCGGATCGGGCCCGTAGCGGAGCCGGGTCGTGACACTCTTGTGCCCATAGGGGAGGGGAGCGGGTATCCGTTTAGAGACTATGATTTGGCGGGCTTCTCTGGAGGGAAATACCGTGCCTCCTACCATTACCTGGACAACGAGATATCTTGGAGCGATGGTAGCTATCAAGAGTAGGATGGCCGTAGAAGCTACTATCCCATCGAGTGCTGGATAACGTCGACGTAGAAAATTAACGTTTGCGATTTCAAGTCTTTTTAATTTTTGAACATAATATAAACAGTAAATAGACTTTGAAGAGAATGCTTTATTTTTTTCAAGTGTAAATAACGAAACAGGGAGAGTCTGAAAACTAGGTTCTCAGATTTATAAGGTAGTACAAGAGCCGAATCCGGTTGATCTTATCAAAGCATCCCACAGGATTTGTAATGCCTATGCTCGGTGGGAGGGGGTCGTAGAGATTCAGACCAGGTCGTGAAGATACAGGAATAATCTCCTGGCCGGGATAGCAGGGCTGACTGCAGCGCGCCAGCCCTAATGAACAAATTGAATATAGCGGTTGTATTTGAATTTTTGTTTCGCTGAATGGCGCCTGTTTGATTATTGTGTTTGATGGATCTAAATGGCCTAGCAAGCTGGCTGGCTGAGGAGTACGTCCAGATCACAAAAGATACTCCCCTTGCCGGTCCATGGAAGAACCCCTTGTAATACGGCCTTATTGGGGAAGTATTGAACCCAGATGTTGGAGGCCTCGAGGAAACGCTACGTCGCAAAAGGAACTAGGATCCTTACGTGGGACCGTCGCGGAGTTGGGTTTCTCAACCGAGGCCGCTGGAGGCGTTCGAGGTTTTTCGTGTCGTCGGTGCAATGTGGACTACCTCACGCCGGGAAAGATGCTTTCAGACACCCAGAAGTTCATGCCACTCTCCGACGCGCCGCCAACTCACGTTCAAGCCGAGTTCAGCGTCATGAAAGTTCACATGAATCTGCAATGGCGCAGCCCATTTGGCCGGCTAAACGCAGATTCATACCTACGATTAAGTGCGTTGTTATCTTATTTTCCGTCGGATTCCATTATCAAACCTATTCGCGAGGCAAATCTCCTTGTAGGATATTTCTCCTGTGGAAGCGATCTCTGTATGTTCGATTGGTCTGTCGAAATGACTACGGTGCAACAAGCCTACCAGATGAAACTCTTGTTGATTTCTAGTAGCTGTTTCGAGACCAACAACTGGGCCAGCTACGATACTTGTTAAGACTGCGAGATGGATCAGGAAAGTCTTACCTCTTTCCGGCGGGCAGAACGGTCTTTGAGGATGAAGGCTGGCAAAGAGTGGGGTTCTGTTAATTTTGCAAAAATCGCGAGGCTCCAAAGACTGTTTGGGGCTCACTGTGCATCCAGCTGATCGTCTTGAGGGGGTATTAACGAGTGGGGACATTCCTGATATTTTCTGAGGGCGCTTATAGGAATGTGTATGTAAACACGGAAAAGAAGGACGTGGTCCTCAGTAAGGGTCTTTAGATAGAAGTACTAGGCACCTAAAGCCAAGCCAATAAGTAATACTAGAAGAGGTTTGTCCTTGGCCGAGGTCTACGGGTCCCGGCTAATCGAACTCATGTTGTCAAATTCTCTACTAAACGACTATATGAAACAGCAGACACACCTATCGTCTATTTATGACTTGGCACTCTATCCCAACACCCGTGCCTAGATCAGCTAGCAGAGTCACTAGCAATTTTGGACGTCACAACTCATAATCCAGCCCAAATCGCCTCTGCCTGACTCGCGGCAACGGGTCCACGCCTGCTCATGCGACGCATCGGCTGATAATCAGCCAACCAACGCTTTGGTAAGCGCACAGGTTCGCTTATTCGCTGTGAGTCGCCCTCTCGCTCGGGTCCCTGTCCGCCTCCATCATTTCCACATTCGAGCAAAGCCCCGGCTCCATGGCTATCCGTATTTTCTATTGAAAATGGCAGCCCGGACCCAGTCCCCCGGCCATAAAGGAATCACAACCCAGCCCGGTAGTGTGGCGACCATTTCTCAGCCTCACGGCAGTCTGTGTGTCACGACCGGACCATGGCCGAATATGACTGAAAAGCTGGAGGAGAGAGCATCAGCCAATGCGTTCTCGAGGCAATTGGTCTGGTTGCCATGGATGAGGGCCTTTCGACGTCGTAGCTGATGTGGTTCTTCCATCGGTGACGCTCGGATCGCTGGGATCGACAGACTGCCCCTGACTTCATGGCTGGGCGCTTGAAAAAGGAAAAGATGGCATGCGTATTTACTTACCCCTTTGGGATGGCAGATGGGATGCGGACTGGACTCTGGCTTGACAGAATTTCGTGACCGGGGAACACCCGGGTCAAATCGAGATATGACCAAGCATTGTGATTGTCATCCATCCTCCACCATGCTACGAATACTTTATGGTACGAACTTCTCGCCCAGCATGCGACTTGGGGGCTGTTTGGAAACGCATGCCTCCCTCGCCTATCGCCTTCACGACTCATGATCATAACGCCATAGCTCATTCCGGAGGGAAAAAAAGTCTAATGAAGCCCCAGATTTATGCGTACTTTTGCACCATCTTAAGCAGAGCCTCCTCGACCTCCTTGGGGCTCGTGGCGTTCAAGTAGTGGCCACCGCCCTCAACCAGTGTCACCGTCGCCTCCGGCGCGGAAGTGAAGAGCTTGATTTGCTCACCGGGAATGTTGACGCCAAAAACAGGGTCCGCGGTTCCCTGATTCTCCATTAGCCATGCCAATCGCCTACCAGCATACTTCTCTCTGCGGCAACATCACATACCTGGAGCCAGTAGACGGGACACTTGACATCCCTGAGTCTCAGAAGCAGACCATCTCGCGACAAGAGGTTACCAAGGGCCATCTTGAGCTTCTTGCGGCCCTCGTCGCCCTTGTAGATGGACTTGAGGGTCGTTGTCCAGAACTCGAGGGTCTCGGGCGGGACGGTGCCGGAGAAACCAAGGTTGCCAACCATGCCGCACCAGACGTCGTCAACCACGAAGTCCGGCGTCGGGGTGGCACTGGACCAGCCGTCGTAAAAGGCCAGGAGCTGAGCCTTGGGGTCCCAGCAGCCCTTGACACGCGAGTCGGCCGACTCGTAGTCCATGGAGGTGCCCAAGGGCAGGAGACCCAGGATCTGGATCGATGGAAGTCAGCACAGTCCAGAAAACACAACCCACAAAACATGATCCTCTTTTTCAAAGGATCGCGATCCCAGGAGAAACAAAGTCATTGTGTAACGGGGCCATTGAATGTCACGTGGAGTTGGAACGTACTCTCTCAGGGGCCAAAATGGCCATACGGGCAACCATCCACCCACCTTGGCTCGTACCAAGGGCAAAAGCCTTTTGAATATTGAGCTTGTCCATGACCTGCAGGGCCATGATGGCGGTGTCCCAGTAGGTGAAGTGCTCGACCGGGCAGCTGGTGGATCCGTGGCCGAGAGGCTCGACGGCCAGCAGGTTGACGGCATCCGTCAGCGTCTTGCTGTTGAACTGGTCGTTGTAGAGGGAGACGGTCGTGCACATGGAGCTGATGAGCACGACGGTGGGCTTGGCGGGGTCGACCTTGTCCCCGGACAGCCGGTAGCCGGCCGTGATGCCGCCAAGGTGGGGGACTTGGATGGTGGTTGTGGCTGCCATGATGTGATTTCTGTGCAGTCTTCGGATATGCCCTGGTGCTCTGCTGTATAAGAGTGTACAACGAGCTGCTTTGAGTTTGGTTCGGTTCCAGGAAGGAGAAAGGTGGCTTGGACGAGAGTTAGGTTTAGTAGTAGGTTTGAAAGAGATGCAGATTTCTACATGTACTAAGCAACTTCTGAGGGGTTCTGGAGATCCTGCCCCTCGTGGCGCCAGTTGCGGGTTGTATTTGGTAAACTTCAGAGGCGGCGGCGTATCTCAAACGGCCGACTCCGACGAGAAACCTCGGGAGCCCAGCTGAAGGTAATCTCTGTTGCAGTAGACCACGGACTGGTTTTCCCAAAGGAGTCGCCTCATGGTGAGGCCTGTCCCTGTTTCAGTGAGGTGGAGATGGCAGAAAAAACGGTTGTTGACGACTCCAGTGAGTCCAGTCAGAGCAAGTCACCAAGATTCATAATTCGCCAGTCCCGGTCTCTCAGGAGCGGAACTCAACGGTATTCGACAACGTGTTTTTTAACGAGTGGAACAGACTCCAGTGAGGAGCCTGTTAGGATCAGCGAGCACGCGTCTGGCTTGGGTGTCTTCCAGGAATATCCCTTGTGCTATCGCCGAAGCACAGACATCGGGAACAGGGACGGGACATGACTCGGGGTCTGCTTTCTGAGGGGCGAAATGAGCTCCAGCTTGGTTTGGCCATGTTCTCCCCAGCTAGCGTCTTCACTGGCGCTATTGCGATGGGTGCACGACCGAAGAACCCGAGAACGACTTGTACCTGAACCGCATTTTTGCTCCGTCAATCTATCCTTAAAAAGGGGAATCATACGTCGGCAGCGGGGCCGGAACTGGGTGGCGATGCCGTTGTGATGGTGAAAGATTCATCTCATACCCCTTTCGGATTCGTGGTGTCAGGGTTGATGTAGGCGCCGTCGTTTTGGAAGAGGCAGAACCGTTAGAAGTCAGTTCCTTTCCCGCCCGTCTAAGAGAAGCGAACTGTCGGGAGGGACGGGAGCATCCTTCCTCTAGTGTTTCTTCTGACGGTTTGGCGTTTTTCAGACACAAGGCGGGTGGGTTGCTCCATGTCGGAAATGTCTGTGAGCAATGTGGACGAGACGGCACTGGCTGCCAGACTTTAAACGCACAACATGCTGGTTACTCTGATTGCGATAGACTAGGCATAAGAATTCTTCAGGGGAATTCTTCAACCAACCGGGGCCCATGGTCTGACGCGGGGCATTTCTTCGATCCCCTTCTGCCGCCCCCGATCCCACCGCCATGCATTCATGCGGGTGCCGAGGCTTCGGCTAAGGGAGGAGCAAACCCTTGTCGAAAAGTCTGATGTTCTTGGCTCTCACCAAAGCTCAAGCGCCAAGGCAAAGCCGGTCAAAACCCGGATGCGGAATTCGATGTGTAACAACAACCACATAATCCAAGGCCCAGCCGTCATAAATCTCCCGACGACAAAGGCCCCGGCCCGCCCAGGGGATGGCGATGCTGGGCAGCGAAAGCACCAAGAGAGCCTTGGAGAACCGAAGGAGGTTGCTAACCGATGCCTATTCGAGGCATACTTCAAGTCGGATCCCAGCACCGGGCGAAGCAGTCTGGGATGATCCCCATCCAGCCATGCCAGTTGGCCCCAGGCATCACATAGTCCGGTGGAGAACGACGCCGAAATCAAGAACGTCGTTCGACCTGCAGAGGCCTGCCATACTTTGGCCGCTAGCAACCTCGGTCCACCATGTGTGGAAAAAGCGCTCACTTAGCGTAAACTTTTCATCTTTCCTCTCTCGGGAAACGAGGCGATCAACATGGCGGCGAGCAATGACAGCAACTTCTGTACGAAATAATCCAGGAATGTGCATAGATAGAGAGGGCAGAGACCAGGGGTCTGCCTGACATCCCTCGTGGCATCGAAGAATTTACCTCTTTTGTGAACCTTGCAGGTCAATCAGATATCCTTTCCCGTCAGTCCACTCGCTCGTTTGCCTCTCCTGTGGATTGTCCAGTTCCCTTTTCCGTCGTAAATCTCGTTTGACATATATGCGGTCCTCTCCTTGGCCGCTGTTTTAGGAATGATGCAACGGCGGTCGAACGGAGAGCTCCATCAACCCTCACTGCCTCGAATGTGTTGAACCAAGAACAACGTGCTTCCCCCATTTTTCTTCCTCTTCGTCATTCCCACGTTGTCCAGGGGCCCGTCTCTTAGCAGGCTTCGTTGTATCCAGGGGTCAGGGCCATAGAACGGCGCTTTCTTGCAGAAGGATTCTGCCCATTACTTGGAGACTGGGCAGAATAAAGCAACGCCGTCGCCCTGCTCTCTCCTAGGGTCGTCTAGCGAAGCGAATTTGTTCGTACTGATGAGAGATTGATGACTGCGCGTTGACTCGACCCCTTCGTCGACCGGACCCCTTCTTTCTTTTGTTCAAAGCCATCAGGCTGGGTCCTCCCACACCCATTCCCGAGAGACTGGTTTCACTTCCCCGCGGCATCTTGATTAGGTTTATTCGACGTATTACCAGTGCCAGCGTCAGGTAGTGAGGAGAAAGACAGTTTACGCACGAAAAGATGTCGGCCGACTCTGGTCCGTCGCCGCTACCCGGGCTTCCTGGATTCGATCCGCAAAACATCCGACCATGGACTATCGAAGTGGTCGCCTCGATGACAGTACTCGCGGTAGTGGCCGTCGGGCTCCGTCTCTTCAGTCGTCAAACGAAAGGACAGAAGCTGTGGTGGGATGATTACTTGATAGTATGGTCGATGGTATGTCAATGATCCATTCCAGTCTGTTGATGGCGGGCATCACTCCGAAACATGGCTGAAGCTGACCGCATCACAGTTGTGGAATCTCGTTGTCGTTGGATTCATCTTTGCGATGCACTCGGTGGGCATGGGTCTCCACGCAGACAAGGTCGGAGTCGACAACATCGTAAAGATGGCCAAGTATCTCCTTGTGGCAGAGATTCTCTACGCCTGGAATCTAGGGTGGACCAAGCTGAGCTTAATGTTGATGTACTACCGCATTTTCCACATTCCATTTTTCAAGAAGATGACGTGGTTTGTCATCTCCTTTGTCTTCGCCTGGGTCATTTGCATCACCTTTCTCTTCATCTTCATTTGCGTCCCGGTCGAGAAGCTTTGGTATCCCGACATACCAGGAAGATGCATCAATCAAGTCGCTACATGGATCGCCAACGCGGCCTCGACTATTTTCACAGATCTTCTCATCTTGCTGCTGCCCCTTCCTCAGGTATGGAAGTTACAGTTGCAAAAGGCTGAGAAAATTGCCCTGACCTTTGCTTTTGGTCTCGGGTTCTTGTAAGTTACACCAACCAAAAGAGAGTTTGCAGACTTTTCTCACCAGTGTCACAGCGTTGTCTTCACCTCGGCATACCGAACAAGCGTCCTCTTCACCTACAGCGGCACCGACCCGAGCTATACCCTCGCCCCGACAGTCGGCTGGACCTCCATCGAAATGTCAGCCGGTATAGTCTCCGCCTGCCTGCCAACCATCCGTCCCGCCTTGCAGCGCATCGTCCGAGCCTGTGGTTTCAAGGGCAGCATGGGCGGAATGTTCCGCAGCACGACGGCGCTGGGCTTCGGCTCCAGCAGGAACAAGTCCAACTTTAGCAACGGCATGTCCTCGCAGGACCCGCACACCAACACCGGCTCTCAGATTCCTCGCAACCTCTCGACGACCAAGCACGGTGTCGGCGAAGATGGTTTCTACCGGTTGCCCGACGACAATGGCTCCGAGGGCACCAGCCGCCAGCCTACGCCCCCCTTGGCGGACTCAAAGCTGAGGCCTGACACTACCGGATTCGGGTATTCCATTTCGAGTTATCCTGTCAAAGAGGGGGATGATAAGAGCGATGACGAAATTCCCCTCCATGCCATCCGAGTGCAGAGGGACTTTAAACACACGACAGAATGATATCAGGAAGGATTGGGTACACAGGGCGCCGTATAAAAGACAGTTGGTCAGACGATGATGACATTCCCGCTGATTGCAATAATTTGGCAGTCGCCTATACCAGTCTCGCAGTTTGAATGCACGAGTGGTTTGTTGATGGCCGACACTTTTGCGAAGGCGTTGAAAGGAGTCAAGGAGAAGGAATCAAAAAGTCAACTACTTGTCAAAAAACAAGAGCTGAAAAAAACGAGGGACGTCGGAAAGTAAGCTATTATTTAGCCTAGGAGCCCCAATCTAGTGGTGGTAAGAAGCGATCCTTCAATCGAGGTTGCCTTGAATAATTTTATAATGAAGCTATATGTACAAGCGCGTCTTTTCCAATTGGACCACACATTGTGTTGGAGTCTTGTTCTCGCATTTGAGAAACTTCAAGTTGAACAGGGCGCCGCTGAGGAGCAGCCAGGCCTAAGCTCTGGTGATGAAGAATGCTGAACTGCCGCCATGCAATGAACCGATTTCCCTCAAAAACCATTCAATTCATTACCAAACTCCTGGGTCTTCATGAGGTCGATATTCAAGTGCTGAGTAAATCATTTATTTTTCTCCTCGTCGAAGCGGCGGCCGTGATGGATTGTTGACACGCGAGTTACTATGGCATTTCCAATGTACCCCTAGGCCCCAGTAATTGGCAAAGGCCTGATATTTTGCAAGTGAATCAACAATGCAATTGAACAAGGTCATCTGACCCCCGAAACGCACTTCGGTCTGAAACATGTCACTCCTCTTCTTTCTCTGGCTTTTGGCCGTAGACCACATTGCTTTGAAGCAGTCAGCGCTGATCATGTCTCCTGATAGATTTTACTCGGAGTACAACTTACTAATGTAGCCAAGCATGGATTTTGGGGTCCTTCAAGTCCTTCCGAACCCCAGCCAGCAAGACAAGGACTTCCTCCTTTGTCCATCCCAGCGCTCCACAAAGTAGACGCAGAGAAAAGCCCTCAAGGCCATCCAGCAGTTGAATCAGTTCCAACATTCCAATATCCTTGAGATGGGGATCCTTTGCCCATGGGCCGGCGGGAATTTTATACGGCTTGTGGTGGATATTGATAAAGCCAGTGTTCTCGCGCACAAGACTTTCCAATTTTGGCCCGATTTGCCCATCTCGGCCAAAGACTTTACAGGCATCCATAAAGAGGTCGACCCATCGCAGGAGCTCGGTGCCCTCGATCGTGCCATCGTCGGAGTAGATCATGAAACTCCAGTCTTGGAACTCGGCCCAACCGCCGGGGTTGAGGTTCCTTATTCGATCATTAGGATGGAGCCCGGAACGGGCGAACGGGGATGGGGGAGACTTACTCGTAGACGCGCTTCACATACGTGGGCCAGTCCGCGATAGACCCGCACATGTAGCGACTGAAGATGAAGTCATACTTTGCTCCAATCCACTCACTTTCGACGTCGTCAATCTCAAACTTGACATTGGGCGGGACCCTTCACAAACAATTAGTAGGTGGAGATTCTTGGATCTCGATAAAATATACCATGCTGGCTGAATGGCGCTGAGGTCGTTTCCTAGGATCTACATGGACTCTCTTGTTAGAAAATGCTTGTGCTTAACCCGGACGTCACGACATAGTTGGCCTCGTTTAAGTCCAGTACACCTACCTCAGCGTTGGGCAACTTATCACCCATCTCAATGGCCCCTGAAATCGTTAGTCATTCTCGTCGCAGTGACTCAAGTTTCAGTGCTGTAGTACAGATGCCTGTCCCCGTTCCGACGTCGAGAACTCGACGAATCTTTGCCTCGTCAATCGGTGCCAAAAATAGCTTGTTTCCGATAGTCTTTGTCAACAAGGTGTGGCAAAAATCTAGTCGGTCCATCTCGCTCTACGTAACGACGATTAGCTGAATCTTTTTCGAGTCTTCGCAACGTCGTGAGGGCCCCAAAGTACTTCATCGTTGGGAAGGATATAGGCTAGGGAAACTCGTCAGTAAACATCACAATAGATTAGCGTTGACAAGAGCATACATCCAGACCGGAATGAATGATAACGACGACCGTGCTCGGTGGGGTAATCAACGACAGAAGACGATAAAGATGCGGTATACGAGGAGCTGCAAAATTAGATCATTTGCACGACGAAGAAACGGCCCCAGTTTGAGGCTGTGAATGCTGGGAAATTACATTCTATCGTCAATGGTAGAGGCATTATCCTCACGGCAGCAGATGTCAGTATTCTCTAGAGTCTACTAGATGAGCATGATTTTGCTAAAGTCACTCACCGATTCGCCGTCATCGATCGTGATCTCAGCCTCCGGGCCAGTGGCTCCAGCGGGGGACTGCCCAGCTGCCTCGGACGGAGACTTTGGGGACTTGGCCGACTTGGGAGATTGCGCCGCAGGTGATCCTGCCGGAGGCGTGGATTTCGTGGTAGAGTCGGCCATGACGGAAGAGTTGGGAAGAGTTGCGGTTGCTACCTTGTAGCAACAAGGTCAGAAACGCAGATGGCAGGAGCGCGAAACAGGAATCAAATCACAAGGCCGTTGTTTGTGTCGCGTCCGGGCCCGTTTGGCATTTTGTAGAATTGTCGGACCACGGCCAAAGCCCCCGCAGCTTGGCGACTTATGAATGTCTGTTGGTGCTTTGCTGGCTGTTGGTTCCGTCAATGTCTCGCCGGCTACGTCTTAGTGTGCGGCACAGCTGCAGAGTGTGCATAAAAACCAGATTCGCCTTCCCAATCAGTCTTGCTGCCGCGTGTGGTGTGGATTCTCTCAGCTCGCGTACCAAGACCGTTTATCCATTGCTCTCCCCGAATGTCTGGCCCCGGCTCGCTCACTCGGGCTGTCTGGCCTTGTGCCATGAGGCTTTAACCCGGTCTGCTGGGGGGGTGAGAAGGAATTTTCTTAATTGCTCTACCTGATTGAACATGAGTGAAAACGGGACTATTTCCATCTCTGAGGTAGGATGAAGTGGATGTTCTGCAATGACCATAAACTCGGGAGGTGTGGAGTCTAACGTCGAATCCGAACTCATGCCGAGGTAATGGGCTCGAGGACCAAAACTTCTGTTACGATTGATAACGAACTTGCGTCCAGCATAACGCCCTAGAGACGCATGTTCAAGGGTATCATCTGCAAGTTTCATCAACCCGGAGCGCCGGAATCGATTCCGGTGGCTCGTTAAACGGATATCCGTCGGCTAACAAGTCACCAAGTCTGGCAGACTATGGCCCCGCCAAAAGTCTGCCCAGGTTAAAAACTCTTTTAGAGTATAGCTACGTTTTAAAGAGTTAGGGTATTGGTCATATTTAATTATGTTCAATGAGGTTGTAATAACCGTCACGCTGTGTTTGATGAGTTTAGGTTTGAGAAACTGTCAGCGGACCCCATCGTGCTCTACATCCAAACTTCAACCCCGATAAGTACCTACAGACGCTGAGATGTTGTCTCGGCGCAACATAAGTGCCGATCCTCTTAGAAACCACCATTTGGACACACAGCTTTGTAGGTCTAGTCTCCATTGGTTTTTGAATCCCAAGCCGCACCCTAGGGTGGACTTGGATATTCGCACAATGGTGAGTTTAGTGTCAAATTGCTGGTTGGACCTGACGTATCCCACTTCGAACACAGAAATAGGCTAGCAACTCGTGAAGCCCACAGGAGCGCCCTGCCATCAACTTATTTGAGCTCTCATTTCAAAGGTGTTTTTGACCATAGATTGAGGAAACTACATGTACCTTTCAACCTTTCCGGACCATCAGACTACCTTATTTAATTCTTTTTTATACCTCTGTTGCATTCATGTCACCTTTTGTGGTGCTTCGTATGCTTCTGGTGGAAGATATTGAGTTGTAACAAGGTCCAACAAGGCTTTCTAATGAAACCGTACGCGTATAAAAGCCTTCTAGTCTCTGTGAGAGTAGTACCCGTCTTCCTTTAAGAGACTCCATGGACTTTCAAACATTCAGAGTCGCAATGAAAAAAATGGAATTTCCGACCGTGATTAAGAGTGCGGTCGGTACAAAAGTTGAATTTACTTTCATTTCATGACGGAGTAAAATTCTAGAATAGGAATCGCAGTCCAGTCCATCCAGGATTCACATGTACTATTAAAGTCATCGCAACTACTTGGATGCTCTACCTTTCGCGATACAACTAGTTCTCCTCTTCTTTTGGCTTTTGACCGTACACAACATTGCTGCGTTTAACGTCAGTACGCAGGCAACTGAATCGCTGGGCAGTGGTGGGAACACTTACTAATGCAGCCAGGCGTGAGCCTTACCGGTTCTCAGCTCGTTGCGCACACCCGTCAGCAACACCAAAACCTCCTCTTTGGTCCAGCCGAGGACGCCACAGAGAAGCCTCAGGGTGAAAGCTTCAAGACCGTCCAGCATTTGGATGAGGTTACACATGCCAATGTCCTTCAGGTGGGCGTCCTTGGCCCACGGTCCTGCGGGGATCTTGAAGGGTTTATGGACGATATTGATGAGACCGGTATTCTCCCTCACCAACGTTTCCAGCTTAGGTCCCACCTGTCCATCACGGCCCAGGGCCTCGCAAGCGTCCATGAAGTAGCCCATCCATTTGAGAAGCTCGGTGCCTTCGGTCGTCCCGTCATCTGAGTAAAGCATGTAGTCCCAGTCTTGGAATTCGGCCCAACCTCCCGGGTTCAGGTTTCTTTTTTGGAGATTAGTACGGCGGTTTGTCAACTTAGCGAGACTTTGACTTACTCATAGACTCGTCTCATGTATGTTGGCCAGTCGGCTAAAGCGCCGGCCATATACCGGCTGAAAATGAAATCGTACTTGTTGTGCCCGATCCATTCGCTTTCAACGTCGTCAATCTCGAACTTGACATTGGGTGGCACCCTAGAAATCATAGACTTAGTCGATGTTTTAGAGTAGGTGATCTTGATGAGTAAACATACCATGGTGGCTGAATAGCGCTCAGATCGTTTCCAAGGATCTGTGTCTTTGTTAGACCTCAAAAGCATCTTAAAATTATATGGCCACGAGGTTATGACTACCTCTGCATTTGGAAACAAATCACCCATTTCAATAGCCCCTGACAAGTAAAAGAGAATCATGAGCCTGTTGTCACATTGGTGAGCGCAATCAGAAGGGTGATTACTCACAGATGCCAGTTCCAGTGCCAACATCAAGGATTCGGTGAGTCTTGGCCGCATCGATCGGCGCAAGGAAGAGTCGATCTCCAATGGTCTTGACTAGTAAGGTGTGAACCATATCGAGTCGTTCCATTTCAGTCTACAAGCGATGCCTCGTGTTATTATAAACTGCCACGTCACGACATGAGTCCGGTGTGTGTCTTTTACTGCGCACCTCATCATTGGGAAACACGTAGGCTATTTAATTCATCAGCTTTGTTTGAATCATTGATTTTTAATGTTTGTATCCATGAAACAAGATGAATAAAAGAAGACGTGAGTTGTTGATTTGAGCTCACCTCCAGATCGGAAGGCGTGATAACGCCGGCCATACTCGGTCGGGTAGTCGACGACGGAAGATGTCAATGATGCTGTGTATGAAGAGCTACGCATTCGACGTCAGGACACATTCATTTACAAGACTTTTCTGGATGCAATCGGCAATTTTCATGAGAGAGGCAGGGGTTGTTACATTCTGTCGTCGATGGTCGATGCATCGTCCTAGTCACTGGGTAAGCTCCGGCTTGGTTTTTAGAAGCATGTTCTATCAAAGTCAATAAACGCACAGTCGATCCATCGTCGATTTCAATGGTAGCCGGTGTCTCGGCAGCCTCGGTGGGAGGAGACTGGGGGGTTGGCGTTGCTGCTGTGGCAGCCGCGGACGCTGGCGCGGCGGGGGAAGCGACTGACTGTGGCGACTTTGGAGACTTTGGTGACTTCGGGGAGCCGGCTGGCGGGCTTGCCGCTGCTTTGGGAGTTGAATCCGCCATTATTACCGGCGACCAATGTTTGCGAATCCTCAGTGGCTGGGGTGAGTAGTCCGCAGCACTGAAAATGAAGAATGAACAGCTTCCACAAAGGGCCACGAAAGGGACAGGACAAGTCGCGGGGTTTTGTGGAATTACGGATAAGAGACAAACCCCCGCAGCTTGGCAGGTTTTCGATGCAGCTGGTTCAACAGAGCCAACTGCATTCTTCATAGTCGATATGCGGGACGCATACGGACTAGAGCGTGCAGAAAACCAACATCCTCCCACAATTGTTCGCTTCCTGTGTGGGCAGTTCAAGCGCCCACAACACAAAATCGTTCGTCCCACAGCCTCGGATGTTGTCCCGCAGCTCTTCTTGCGAAGTGCTTCGAAATGCTCCCCATCATCATGGTGACTAGCGATAGCTGGTATGAAACTTGTCAAGATCCTCGAATTCAACTGTAACATGAACACTTGTTCTAGCTTTCTAGGCCACGCTTGGGCATCAATGAGCTCGGGAAATCTGGAAGAGCAAGGATTTGTGCCAGCTGGCACCGGCGTTGAACGCGGACCAATCACATTTTGAACTTCTTCGGATAGCTGCAGCTCCATGGATATATTCCGCAGGACTTCATGGGCTCGGAACTGTTCCGGTAGCCCACACTTTTGGATACGATACGTGATCCATCCGCAAGCAATCCTACATAGTAATTCCGGCACTGTTCTGTATGCCCCGCTCAGATTCCAGGCCAGAGAGACAACGCCAAGTGGGGAAACAAAGCCATCGGCCGTTGATTTCAGGCTTCGTGTTAATAAACATGTGGAAGCTCGACTAATGTTATACAGCAGATGCTTTAGATGATCTGCCTAAAAACAGCCTTACTACTCTAGACTTCAATCATACATGCCGTATCATGGAATATGCACTTCTTTCACACTGAAATTTCCTCGATTTAATTACTTATGTGCATCCATTCCAAGACATGATGAGGACTTCGTCAATCCACAGTCGTATTTTTTATGCTTCACGTGACACCGGCGCTTCGAGGATGGCCTGGCCTTCTATGTGCTGCCATCATAAACCGTAGAATCTTGCACAAGTCTCTCCAATCAGTAATGTAGCGTGTGAATACAGGGACGGCATTGGCCCTGTGTGGGCTGTGGCAAGGCGGTTCCAACATGTGTGACTGGCGTCGACATAAAACGCAAAATCTTTGATGCTAAATTAAGCAATGAGTTGGATGTGAATAACAACGGTGAAGAGGGGTTGAAGCCATTTCAATAGAAGTTGGTTAAAACACAACTGTATTCTCTTACTTTGCGAGTAAAGGTTGAAACTCATTCACCCATTGATTCCTCGGCTTACTCAAAGTACTCTTACCACGTCGCAAGAAGTTACCATATCCCATGTCGGTAACGATCCCGCTGCCATCGCGATCCCATACGACGTTACCTCGCAGGATGGTATAACGCGGCCAGTTGGTAAACTTCATCCCCTCAAAAGGCGAGTAATCGATATCATGATGCAACATTGAGTTCTCCAAGACGAACGGCTCCATCTTGGCAGAACCCGTCCCACCATTTGCAGCAACTTGCTCAGCCGTCGGGTACCAAATAACAAAGTCGGCATCATACCCCGCGGCGATCGCACCCTTCGTGTCCCCCAGCCCATAAAGCTTTGCCGGGTTCGTCGCCGTCACTTCGACAAACTTTTGCGGCGTCACTCTACCCGACAGCACGCCGCCCTCAAACAGCAGGGGCATCCGCGTCTCGACGCCGGGCAGCCCGTTGGGCACCTTGTCATACCGCATCGAGCCGTCCTCTTTGCCCAAGCCCGCCTTCTTGCCGCAAGGGTGGTCGTACTTACTCGGCGCGTGATCCGAACTAAACGTCGTAAACGTCCCGTTGGCGATGCCGGCCCACATGGCGTCCAAATCCATGCGGTCCTCGCGCAGCGGCGGGCTGCAAATATGCTTCGCGCCGGAAAAGCCGTCCGTCGCGGGATGAGACGGACGCAGGGCGTCGGCCGTGAGGTAGAGGTAGTGGGGGCAGGTCTCTGCGTGGATGGGCAGCAGCCGCGTCTGCGCGTTCCTGACGTGGACGGCGGCGGTCTTGGAGGACATGTGGACGATGAGGATGGGTATGTCGGAGAGCTCGGCGAGGGCGATGATGCGGTACGTCGCCTCGTCTTCGGCGATGTTGGGCCGGCTGATGGCGTGGTAGTACGGCGCCGTGAGGTTTTGCTCTGCCAGGCGGGCCGTGATCCAGGTAATCATGTCGCTGTTCTCGGCGTGGACCATGGTTGTCATGCCCAGGTTTCGCGTGGCCATCATCACGTCTAGGATTTCTCCGTCTTTGAGCTGTAGCGGCTCGTACGTCATGTAGAGCTTGACGGATGTGATGCCCTCGCTTACGAAGAAGGGAAGCTCGTCACGGAGGATGGTTGGTGTTGGGTTCGTGAGAATGATGTGGAAGCCATAGTCGCAGTATGATTTGCCCCTGGAACGTGAGTGGTAATCATCAACGACAGGGTGAAGAGACTGGTGAGTGCGTTCCTGGGTTGCGAAGGCGATGATGGTTGTTGTGCCACCTGCAATAGCTGATCTAGTGCCGGTTTCAAAGTTGTCTCCCGTGGGAGAGTTGTCCTGATGCTGGGTCAGACATGGGAACTTCGTCTGGCGGATCCAAGTCCACCACTTTCTTACCTGGTCAAGGTGTACGTGGGAATCCACGCCTCCCGGCATTACGAATCCATGTTGCGAATCTATTACTGTCTTGGCTGAAAAGAGAGTCTTCATGTCTTGCCCTACAGCTAGGATCTTGCCGTCGCGGACGACGATATCTTGTCGGGCATGAACATCAGATGCTGTTACCTAGTATGATCAATGACATCAGTTGTCTGTCCGAGAGGTTTACAGGCACTGCGTGATCAATGCACTCACCACAGTAGCATTCTCAATGATGAGATCAACCTCCATTTTACAGAGTGCACGTGTGCTGTGAAAGCAGGCTAGCTAGTTCTGAATCAAATTTCACAACACTCCGGGGAGGACATCCTGCGATTCGAAAAGCATCGTATAGTTTTCCTAACCTCATGTTATGGAGCTTCCACAAAATCATTGACAACATCCATATCAACCTTGGGTTTGATAACGCTGCTCCTGCGCAGAAAAGATAGGCCAATCTAAGATAAAGATAGGCAGACCAGCCAGCAGGCAATTGGAGACCGCCCCTATCGCCGCTTATCGCCCAGGACTTGAGCCAGGGGCTGCAGGGCATACAACGGACGATATGTGATGATCTCCCGCTGCATGAGGGGTAGACCCAGTACCAACAACTCAGTGATTTGGAGAAGAGTTCAGCAAGATCTTATCCGATTTAATGAAAAGAATAAGATCATGCTGAAGTCAGAGCGGTGGCGCAAGGTAAGGTCGACGAAAACAAGCAACTCTACCACTGAGGATACCAAAAGCCATGCCATCACGAAAGCTTCGCGTGGCTGCAGCCCAGATGGGTGCCACACATTACAACGACCCCCGGCCCAAGACACTTAACCGCATGATATCACTTCTCGACGCCGCAGCCGCAAAGGGAGCACAGCTGGTACTCTTCCCCGAAGCCGCCTTCACGACCTTCTTCCCCCGGCACCTCATCAACGACCCCTCCGAGCTCGATTCCTTCTTCGAGCACGGCGACGTGGCAACGCAGCCCCAGACAAAGCCACTATTTGACAGGGCCAACCAGCTCGGCGTCGACATCTCCGTCGGCTTCGCTGAAAAGGCCGACAACGGCGAAACATTCAACTCCTGCATCTACTACCACGCAAAGAACGGCTCTATCCTGTCAAAGTACCGCAAAATCCATCTCCCGGGCGACTTTGAGCCCTTTGCGGATCCGAATGCCACCAACCAACTGGAGAAGCGATACTTCAAGCCCGGAGACCTCGGCTTCAACGCATTCCGGGTACCTGACCTGACGGAGTCGGTGCCGGCGCGCGGGGACCCCATCTTCGGCATGATGATCTGCAACGACCGGAGATGGGCCGAGAGCTGGCGCGTCCTAGGCCTGCAGGGCGTCGAAGTCGTCCTCTGCGGCTACAACACGGCGGGCTTCGCGCCGGATCTGTGGGGATCGAGCGCCAGCATGGACCCGGACGAGGCGCGGCGCAAGGCCCTGTTCCATCACAAGCTGGTGATGCAGGCTCACAGCTATACAAATGCTTGCTTCAGCATCAGCGCCGCGCGGTGCGGTCTCGATGATGGCAAGTACGACCTCATTGGCGGGAGCTGCATCACAGGACCAGAGGGGGAGATTCTCGCTGAGGCGTCCACGACGGAGGACGAGGTTGTCTACGCGGAAATCGACCGGGACGAGTGCCGGCCGGGCAAGGAACGTACCTTTGACTTTGCTAGACATCGTCGCGTCGAGCATTACGGCCGCATCACAGAACAGACCGGCGTCGTGGAGCCTCCTCCCAAGATTACATCTCACATCCAGAATCACGGCGAAGCAACAGCAAGCAACGGTGTCTCACCACCAAAGACCCAGAAGAAGATCCGCATCCTCCTCATCAACCCAAACAGCACCCGCGCTATGACCGACGCCTGCGTCGCCATGGTCGAGAGCCAACTACCCCCGGACGTCGTCGTCACAGGCTTCACGGCGCCCCGACCGGCCCCCTCGGCCATCGAAGGCAGCTTCGACAACGTCATGTCCGCCGCAGCCGCCGCCCGCGCCGTCCTGCCCCTCGCGGCGACGCACGACGCCGTCCTGGTGGCCTGCTACTCCGACCACGCCCTCATCCGTATGCTCCGCGAAGAGCTGCCTCGCCAGCCCGTCATCGGCATCATGGAGGCCTCGCTGTTCGCAGCGCGGACGCTGGGCGGACGGTTCGGTCTCATTGCCGTGAGCGAGCGGTCGAGGGTGTTACACGAGGACAGTATTCACCACTACGGCTTCGCGACGTCCTGCGCCGGCGTGGTCTCGTGTAAGCTTGGCGTGCTAGATCTGCACGAGAAGAGCCAGCAGGAGGTCATGGGGATTATGGCGGCCGTGGGCAAGCGGTTGGTTGAGGACAAGGGGGCCGATGTGCTGCTTTTGGGGTGCGCGGGTATGACGCCGCTCAAGGGGGCCGTGGAGGCGGCTGTCGGTGACGGGGTGCAGGTTGTTGACGGCGTTTTGGCCGGGGTGCACCATCTAGTGGGCTTGGTCAGGATGGGCGGTGCCACGGCAAAGCGCGGCGTGTACAAGAGCTCCGGTGACGGACGAAGAGCGAGGGGTCAGGATTGGATCTGAGTTGGCCGCGGGAATAACCTTGGTTGAAAAGGAACATAATTCGGCCGAAGCTTTTTATCCACCCACCTCCTCCTCCATGGAGTATCGATGCAGGGTTGTTTTGCTCGTGATCCAATCGGCCAACGTCCCGTTATCAGAGTAGATAGTTGCTTAGGTTGGAGATCAGCTCAGACAACATGGAATCCCGGGGACGCGGGGAATGAAGCTCAGCATACCATCATCGTGTTTTCCTAACGTGCCTATTTTTGTGAGGACCAAATCATGGAGACCAACTTGAACGACCAGACTAAAAAGAGTAGTCGGAACAGTCATCCATGCGACTTTTGCCGTTATAAGCGCGCAGCTTGCCTGTTGCACAATGAGACGCCGCCGTGTGAGCTGTGCCGACGGCTAGGCAAAGATTGCACATTTATTGGGGGGGCAAACAAGAGGAGACGATTATCCGAGCGGCGGCAAAGCGGCTCCAGTGATGGGATCAGGAGTCCTCGCCAACAGGATCGAGCTACCTTGAGTGCCGACGTCAGGTTCTCGTCCGCAGAAACCTCGCCCATTGCCGAGTTGAGCTTCGTCAGAGAAGAGACGGGCTCTGCAAGCCCGGTGTCACCCCACACAATACCGGCACCTGATGGTTCACGCCGGGAGGATCTGTTCATGCCGTCGTCGCTGGATGCGACACCTGGTCACAATGCCCAGGTAATTGGGCTTAGTGGTGAATCAGATCCGTATCTGCTGAACCTCTATCACTTTGATGAGAGAGACGAGTGTACCTTCCAGCAACTCCGCATCCGGAACATGGGACCTGATGATGGAGTTCCCACTCAATTTATGCTGCAACGCAACTCGCAAGCCAGCAAAGCACAGCCAGGCGGACTAGGCGCCACCGAGTCCGACCTCAGATGTGAGGTCGCGAACATGGTTCCCGAGAACGTCGGTCAAAGGCTCATCACCCTGTAAGACACCCTTTCATACATGTACTCACTCAAATGTGCCCAAGTTCAGAAAGATCCTCTCATTTGACACAACGCAGGTTTTGGAAATACATACAGCCTTACTTTCCGGTCGTATCCAAAGAACACACCATCCGCGGCCTGAGCAGCAGCCCCTCGGCAATGCCAACGTGTCTCCTAGCCGCAATCTACGGCCACGCCCTGCCCTTCTGCGTCTTCGACGACGTTCTCTGCGTGGACGTCGACACCCTCCCCTCGGCAGACCACCTCTTCAAACTAGCCTGGATGGCCGCGCTCTCGGAGTTCCACACCCCGTCGCTTGCTACAGTACAGACGATGCTCCTCATGATCCAGCGGCGTCCAACCAACAGGCACGTCGCCGACACGCCGTTCAAGTGGACCATGCTCGCGGACACCGTGGCGCTCGCTCAGTGTTTGGGGCTCAACCTCGACCCGTCAGAGTGGGCGATCCCGCCGTGGGAGAGAAGATTGCGGAGGAGGCTTGCTTGGGCGGTGTATGTGCAGGACAGGTGGCTAAGTCTCAACTTTGGGAGGAGCTCGCATATTCAAGAATGTGATTGGGATGTGTTACCGCTGGGCCCGGATGATTTTGGCGATCTTGTTGGTGGTGAGGGCGAAGGACCGCAGGTGTGCAGGCATTTTCTGCACCTGGCATCCCTGACTGAGATTGTGTCCAAGATTCAACAAAACATGTTGTAAGTTCCTCTGAGAACAGAGCATTCGTGAATTGATGTCCGCAAAATCTGACTACAGCAGCTCGATCAAAGCAACTAGAGCTCTCTCCAAGTCTTTGGAAGCAAGTTTCGAAGTCGCTCGGCCGTTGAGGATCGAACTCGCAGAGTGGTTGCAAAACCGGCCTGACGTGGGAGAGCAACCCTCGGCATCGTTACCAGAAAGTGGTCTAGACGGTAACGGCAGTCTCAAACTCGCCTACATCACCGCGAAAATCGCCATGTTCAAGGCACTTTTGCGACCGAAAAGCATCGAGGTCCCAACCGAGGCCCGCACCGCCTTACGCACTGGCGCCATGACCGTTGCGCGAGAGATGCATGACTTTCTTGCGAAACTAGAGGCTCGCCATCTCGAAGCATTTTGGCATTCATGTGAGCGGATTCTCTCTCCCTTTGGTGCTTTCTACTGGGCACTCTTGCTTAGTTATGACGCCTAGATTCTCGAGTCAACTTTGCCATCGCTAGTAACTTTATCGTCTTGCTCTTTGCCCTCTCCCCGACATTGGCGGAAGCCGAAGACGCACTTGCGCTCCTGGTGCAATGGAGGGGCTTACTGCGCATCAAGTCCAGAAGCTGTGACTTGCTGAACTTGAGTCTGTTGAGACTCGACGCCATATTCGTGGCTGGGCTGGGCAAGCTGATTGAGTTGACACCGTCGGCAGCCGAGGCAGCTTCCTCTCGGGGCTTGTAACCATGAGCTCGAATTATGGTATCAACTGTCATACCACAATAATAAATGGGCCGTTTCTTTGAATCCAAGCCTCCGTTCTTACAAAATTATAGCCTACTAAGTATCTACTAGTACCTAAGGTAATGGAACAGAATCCAGGGTTTTCTTCATCCCATCTTCACAATTTGTTCTTTGCCTTCCATGCCTTTCTCCGACCCGATTGACTCTTCTCCCGCAGGATATCCGTCAACGTACAACTGTTCACGGCCATCGTCCACAGGAAACGGTCTGATTATCCAGCATAGCCAATACGTGAAACTCGCCACCAGCGTACTGACAAGCCAACTCAAGCTGTACAGGTAAATGGCCCCTTTAGGAACTCCTTTGGCGCCGCAAGCAGCAGCAAGACCGGGCATGTTTGGCACAATAGCAAAGATGAAGGCAATGACCGCTCTCGGGTTAACGCCGAACGTGTAGTAGTGTATGCCCCGCGGGTCGAATAGGGATGAGACTGCCATCGTTCGCTTGCGGCAGATCCAGAAATCGGTGACGATAATGCCCGCGATGGCGCCGAGGAAGAGGGAGTAGCCACCAAGAAAGGAAGAGAATGATTTGGCACTGCAATGCGAAGCAAAAGTCAGCACAGATTTTTGAATCTTTGGGTAACCTACATAACTTACCTGTACTGGATATACCAAGGCACGGCACAAACACCAAACACAGCACAGATATACGCTCCGCGCCTGTTGTTGATGTACTTTGGAAACCACAATGCCAAGTCATTGCTAAAGGAGACGCTGTTGGCGCTAATGTTCGTGCCAATCACCGCAAAGGCCCAACAGAGGCCGGCGAAAAACTGCGCGGCGCGGTTGTCCCAAAGCCGCGCGACCTCCAGGGGGTTCCAAGTCACCTTGCCGTAAATGACCTCGGAGGCACTGCTCACGGTGGCGCCCAGCACACCGCACATGGTGACGAGGACGCAGAGCCCGACGGCTTGCGTCCAGAAGACTTGTCTGGGCTCCTTGGCGTAGCGCGTGAAGTCGGGCATATTGAGGGCGAGGGTTGCTTTTGGGCCGATGGCGCTTGTGATGCATTGAAAGAAGACGACGATGGCGGGGGTGCCGTCTTTGATGCGGGTTGGCTTGGAGAACGTCGGGCCGAAGCCCTTGCCTGGGGAACAGTCAGGATATGCCCACCCTCTCTTCATCTTTTCAAAAATTTAGGAGACTTACCAGCGACGATGGCCCAGATAAATAAAGTCAACCCAAATATTGGCATAATCACAGTCTTGACCATGAACATGTACCTCAAACTGCTCACGTGCAGCCAAAGCAGCGGCAGCTGGACAATGATGAACAAGAAGAAGCACAATAGCTCGGAGCTGGTGACGTGGGCGCTCTCGGCGAGGTGGTTCGGGAAGTTGTTAAACGAAGGCCAGATAGCGGCGATCATGACTTGGAGGCACTGGCCGCCCTGGAAAGACTGTGTGCCGAACCAGATGCAGGCGACGACACCGCGGACGAATACGGCGCCGTAGGAGCCTCGAAGGCCAAAAGAGGCTCTGGTGAAGACTGGGAAGTTGATGCCAAAGATGCAGCCGACGTAGCCGTCCAGTATCGCGGGAATGCAGACGAGGACGTGCCCGATGAAGACTGCGAGGATTGCGAGACCTGGATTCAGGCCCTTGGTGACGGATGTTGAGGAGACTGTTGGGCAAGAGAGAACATGTTAACCTCCATCCTAGAGATCAAGCAAACTTGCAGACATGTAGATCCTTGGTTGGCATTGACTATGCTGCGTCTTTGTGCACTCACCTTGATACATTGAAATGGAAAAGGCTTCGGCGATCCAGAAGCCTAGCAAACTCGGCCAACCCCAGGTGCGCTCCGGAGAGCCCATCGGAATAGGGTCCATATCCTTGTTAGACAGCCGGCTTCCCTCCGTGCCGAGGTCGGCGCTCTCGGAGCGGAGCTCCAAACGCTTTCGGAGACCCATGATTGCCGCACAGTACGTTTGCTCTCGACTAGACGTGGACTGTTCTCCAATTGCAAGAAAGCGCAAAGTCAGAGCGATGGCATAATTGAAGTTTCTGGTTGTGCGGGGGCGGCTTTAGAAAGCAATGTCTAATTCTTTTTACGTTCCCACGTGCGTGCCGTGCTCATTTCTACCACGACCAGACGCTTATCAGATTCCTTTCACATTTACCGTTGCCGAGCGCCACGGTCGTGCCACATCAAATTGTTGTGATAGGCACGATAGGCGCGGTCTGTTATCAGCCCGATTATCGGTCATATCATTGGCCTATCCTGGCTCGAGGCTGTCTCAGTTGGACAAAGACTTTGATAGGCGATGCTCAATCTAATCAATTGGCCGACGTCAGGTTGTAGGATGATGGCAGATAGCTGCAATCAATGGGTACATGTATGTCTGATCTTAGCCAGGGGCTCATTGCGGGATGGTCATTGATATTTCTGAGGCTCAAGAGACAAGCTCATCAAAGGTTTTGAACAAGCCGAAACACAGTCTTCAAGCATTAAGACCTAGCTTATCTTCGTTTGCATCTTGGCGATCTTACAGTATGGCACCGATCGCAATGTCAGACTTGCAGTCATCACCATCCACTCTCACTGTCGACCCCACCGTGTTTCCTGCGCCAGATGCAGATGAGAAACTGAAGAAGCTATGGCAACTGCACGGGCATCCCCATAGCCCAACGTACGAACTACCCTCCTGTGTCTCCAACCTTGACCACTCAATGACTCTAATGTGAGACTCGTAGATTCACTGATCCAACGCTGACAAGCATTGCGACCCTGATTGAGCATAATGCCAGGACTCAGCCATCAAAGCCAGCTTTCATCCACCCCGTAGGCGGCTCGTTCAAAGTGCTGGACTGGGCCCAGCTCAATCAACTCTGCCACGCAGCATCCAGGTTCTACTCCGAGCAGTTCCGAGAGGCTATCATTGCTGCCAATCAGACGGTTCAGCAGCCCACAGTTGCCCTCCTAGGCGTCGGAAATTCAATCTCATATCTGATTACTCAATTTGCACTGAATCGTCTGCGTCTGCGGGTTCTCCTACTCAGCAACAAGAACTCTCCTGCGACAAGAGATCATCTTCTCCGGGTATGCAACGTTGCTGCCATAATTACTGATGAGGCAAATGAACCTTCTCTCCGTGGGCAAAGCCCCTGTCAACTGCCGGCAACCAAACTCATCAGCCTAGATGAGTTGAGACGGGCCGGCCAAGATTTCCGAGAAGCTAAGCTGGCATTTGAGACTGATGACGAGTGGAATCTTCAATCGATGATCATTCACTCCTCTGGTTCTACCGGTGTGCCGAAACCAATCATCCATTCCAACAGGAGTTTGTGTCAGATCGCACGAATGTACAGACTACTTCCGGAGTTCTTTATTGAGAATTGGTATCTTTGTTTCCCACTGTAGGACCCCTCCTCTTTGCAACGACCTGATCATGTACTGATGCAAAATTTCCAGATTCCATGTCGCTGGATTATCGATCGCCCTGTCGGGACTCCCGACCGGCTTACCTACCTCCATGCCTCCAGCGCAATGGCCCCCAGCCCCAAGTTCCATCCTCGCAGCTTGGAAGTCTTTGACTGGCCTCGGATACCCGCCCGACTGCCTCCACTGCGCACCATCAGTCATCGAGGACATACACGAATACATCACCCTTACCACAAAAGACTATAGTCCCCTCACAAATTTGAAGGTCCTGCAGCCCGGAGGAGCTCCATTATCGTCTCTGATGCTGTCCAAACTCCAGTGCATCGGCGTCAACGTGAAGACCACCTACGGAACAACCGAAACCGGCCCGCCTCTCCGAACGATACCGCATACGAGAGACAATCCAGACGTGTACCGCTTCCGGAACTTGTACCCCGACTCGGAGTTCGTTCGCATGGAGGCTATTGCGGATGGCCTGTTTGAGTGCGTCGTGTACCGCGGGTTCCCCCTGGCCGCAGAACTCTGGCTTGAGAAGACGGCGCCGAACCCGTATCGCACGGGCGACTTATTCCTTGAGGATCCTCCGAGGAGCGGGTATTTTGTCCTCCAAGGGCGGCGTGATGATATTCTCGTGCATAGTAACGGGGAGAAGACGCATGCAGCGGCGCTCGCTATGGCACTCGAGGAAGATAAGGCTGGTGTCATTGCGAAGACTGCGGTCTTTGGGACGGGAAAGCCCTGTCCCTCTGTTGTTGTCGAAATCAACTGGTCTGAGGTGGAAAAGAGGTCAATGTCCGCCGTTGGCCTTGCCGACGAGGTGTGGAAGGTTGTGCAGGCGTGCAATGAGAAGTCACCAGCGTATTCAAGAATACCTCGAAAAACAGTCCTCATTCTTGAGAAGAGGAAGACATTACCAGTCACTCCAAAAGGGAACGTGCGACGGACCGTCGCCTGGGAACTCTACGGAGACAAAGTGGAGGAACTTTACAACTCGTTTCTGGGACATCAGCTTGACACGGAAGAAGCTGCCGAATTGAAGGGCCCCAGTGTTTCTGGTATAGAAATCATTCAAACAGTCGTTGCCGACGTTTTTGATCTTTCCGTGCGAGACTTGGGAGAAGATCAAAACTGGTACGAACTTGGGCTTGATTCTCTACATGCTGTTGAGGTGCGATCGAAGCTCGTCAAGTTCTTCGGAACATTCCCTCTTATGTTTGTCTTCGAATACCCCACGGCAAGGAAGCTACTCGGATTCCTTCAGCAGCTCAAAAAAGACGGTCTCGACAGCAAGGCCTTGGTGAACAGCGACCATCATGAATGGATTCGGTCGAAAATCCACCGCATGAATAGGAAAGTTGACAGCTGGAAGACAACTCAACGTCAAAAGGGAGACAGTAGAACATCTGGTCAAGTCATCTATCTGACAGGAGCTAGCGGCGCTTTGGGTAATGCTTTGTTGGAAGTTTTTATCGAAACACCAACGGTCAGAACAGTTTACTGCGCCGTACGAGGGGCAGATCCTCAAGCCCGCGTTTTGGACTCATTGAAAAACAGGGGCTACGCGCCTAGCGTTTACCAAAGCGAGAAAATTGTGCCCGTCAGCTATGATGTGAAAAACGAAAAGCTAGGACTTGACGAGGAGACGTATCAACGTCTGGCAACTGAGGTGACGATCGTGATCCATAACGCTTGGAAGTTGGACTTCAACCAACCCATCCAGCAGTTTGAAGACGACTGTCTGAGAGGTGGGTTCTTTCCAGCATCATCTTGAACAGACTTTGAGCTAATCTGATTGCCTCCAGGAGCCATGCACCTCATGTCGTTTTGCCTCAAAGGCGTGGAGAAGACATTCAACTTCATGAGCAGCGTCGCCGCAGCAATGGGAAATCCCGCCGGCACCAGAGTGCCAGAACTTCCTCTCCCACCGGATTCTGACAACGCGCTGCCTACCGGGTACGCGCAGTCCAAGTTCATCGTTGAGCAAGTCGCGCAGCACTACGCCTCGTCTCGTAATATACCTGTCCGTATTCTCCGAGTCGGCCAGCTTTGCGGACATTCGAGACTAGGGGCATGGAACCACACCGAAATGTGGCCTACGATGATGATGGCGGGGATAGACTACCTAGAGGCAATGCCGGCCTTGCAAACCAGAGTCGACTGGCTCCCGGTTGATATTTGTGCGGAAGCCATCGCTGGAGCGGTGATTCCTACCGCTTCTAAGCCGTCATTTGCTGTGACTAACCTGGTTAACCCGAGCGTCATCCCATGGGACACGCTGCTTTCTCTACTGGAGAAGGCTTGTGGACGAACGTTTGAGCACATTGATATGAGACAATGGGTATCCAGGTTGGAGGAAACTGCCGAATCGCGGGGCTTGAGTGTGCAGGAATTGCCAGCATTGAAACTACTGGGCTTTTTCCAGTCCATGGCTGAAGAGGGTGGTAATGGCGAGGGCGTGATTTTCGAGTCTGGGAGTGTAGAGGAAGGACGACTTATTGACGTGGATAAGGTGAAGAGGTGGTTGGAAGTATGGCGTCAAACAGGTCACTTGAGAGGGTAGTGAGCTACTTGTAACTCTAAACTCCCAAGGGTTCCAACAATAGGCTATCATTTCGGCTTCCGTAATGAGGGTTACATTGCCACCTCGAACCCGAATAAAAGAAAGTCGGACCCTGGGTCTCTCCGACTCACTTGGAATGATCTCGCATTCTCACCGGGGAACGCCCGCGTTCCGTAGCCAGTCGGGCCGTTAAGCGGCGTCCGCGGCGAGACTTCAGACAACACACGACTCGCCAGAAGCATTTACTTCAATATGAAAAAACACGCTGGGAACGGTATTGACGCGTTTAGCTATTCGTGTCTCACGTCGAGCTGGAGTAAGGTAGCATATAGATTACATGTTAATTACATGCCGGTCAACGCCATCAGTCTGACAAACCTTTGTAAGCACAACCAAGAAGCAAACAATTGTTAAGCAAACACGGCACGTAATGCAATCCATGTAAGTCTATAGTGTCTCGGTCTCTCTCAGCAATCCCAGTGATCTTGTTGGTCTTGTCTCCAAGGTCAAAATTCTTTGCAATGCTCACATGACCTCAGACGCAACCTCCTTCTTGATCCGCCTGCGCTCGACGCCTACCAGGATTACTCTTGCGTGCCGTCTTAAAACACGCCTCTTCCACGCCACTCATTCCTTAAGATACAGCCATATGCATGACCTAATAGCTGTCGGAGCCGGGATGGCCGGCGTCTGCACAAGAATTGGAGCCGCAGGAAAAGGCGCAAAAGTCCTCCTAGACGACGCCTACGGCGGCAGCGCGTCTGCGCTCTCGGGGGTCGTGGTCTACGCCGGTAGAGAATCGAGGCAATAAAAAGAAGCCGGTTACAGCCATCACAAGCCGGAGAACATGCTCGCCTACGTCATGGAAGAGACAAGAGATGCAGTCGATGGAGAGACTCTCCGCTGTTCTTATGACGAGAGAGTGAGCGGCTCGGGGGGCTCCAGAAGCGCGGCGCACGGCTTGAGGCGTCGTTGTGTAGGTACTTACAAGACCAGCTACCCGACGAATAAAGCATTATCTCTACTTCTCCGGCAACGTCAAGTCATATCTGATTAAAAAAGTGTGCTACCGGCGCCAAGGGAACATCGAATGGTGCAGCCGGGATTCTCTGGCTCTGCGCTGTGACAAGCTCTGTTGCACTCGGCGAGACACCAAGGAGTCGACTTGAAGCCGGATTTCAAAGTCCAGCACGTTGTATTCAATGAGCGCAGGAACAGAGTTAGCGGGATTGAGATCAAAACGTTGCCGGATATCAACTCATTGCTCCAGAATCACAAGGGCCTAACGCAAAACACGAAACGCTTCCAGCTCATGGCTTCCCAACTCGCCGATATCTATTTTAGGAAAGCAGATAGCGAGTGAGCATGCTGCTCGACACCCATAGAGCCTAACAGTTCTCAGCGGCGCGCTAGCCCAACTGATAAAATAAAAAGGGGGGTGGTGACGTATCATTTGACGTCATTTTGAAGGTATGTTTAATTATTTAACATGTTTGACTTTAGGTTAAGATAAAACAAAGCCCATAGATATTTAACGCACTACCTAAAATGCTAAGAATACTGAAAATTTTGAATGTCTGTATTTTATTTTAAAGGACGGGTTTAAAATTTTGAGTTGACACATGCCTTTACTTTTATATATTAATATAGTTTAGCTCTAATTGATCCGAGCGTATTTCATTAAACATATCAGATAAACGGCGTTAAGCTTTTGATTTTTTGATTCGCTGAATTGCCTCTATTTGATTGATTGTTTCGTTGTTGGTTTGGTTGCAGTAGATTTGAATGGGCTGACCCGCTGGTTCTCGGGGCATTGTGGCCGACGATGCAAACTGTGTCAGGTTTCAATCACAAGATCGATCTGAGAAAAAGTCACACTGCCGATATAGTGTACCAAAACGCCGGGTTGAATCAATTGAATCAACCAAGCATGTGAAAACCCTTCATGACCAAGGACTGTTTACTGACCTGAAGGTTCGAGGCGACATCGGCATGGGATCCTGGCGAGGGTGCGGAGGTAGTACCAACGAGAGACGGAAGTGTAAAGGTTTGCTGGCAGCCGGCGAGCAATCCGGTTGGACCGATCACGAGTGAAGTCTTTGACAGGGTGATTCTCGCCGTGTCGCCCGATGTGGCTGGCAAGATCTTTAGCCCCTTGCGCAATATTCTTAAGCCAGGACCAACGATTCGCATAGAAAATCCGGTGCTGCGGACGGCGGGGTTCACAAGGATCTTGAGGACGGCCAAGAGCAAAGCGATCATTCAGAAGATTATGGGGGAAAGCGAAACCGATAGGGAAAAGGACTCGCCTACCACTGTACAGGATTGGACTAATGGGCAGGATAATGTCTGGCTAGCTGGGGCATGGTGTTGGGATGGAATGGTCCCCCTGGAGGGATGTCTTGTTTCGGCTATGAGGATCGCAGATGACTTTGGTGTAAAGATCCCATGGCAGAGAGACAGCACGAGGGTTCAATGAATCAAGTACGGCATGGAGAATACATGGATGTAAGATGAGCGAAAGGACTGAAGTCAAATTGAGAGTATTATTTGCCAACTGTAAGGGGACAACCCCGAGATGGACATTCATTGGAAGTGAGTGACATCGAAACTCCGCGGACCTCCGAACCTTGCCGCCTCTTTCGCTACATGTCATCAAGAGCCAGGTCCAGGCGTTGCGGCCGTTGGGCATTTCAGTGGGGAGGTTTCAAATAGCAGGAAACGCGTTTGGCTGGCTTGCTTGAGTCGAAAGCATGGAGAGGAACCATTGTGATCGCGCGCAAGAGGCTCGAGACTCATTAATACTGGAGGCATCGACCATGCATGAAAGCGCACATAGCATCTCCATCTGAGCACGTCTTAAATATAGATGTGAGAATACCATTGAGTTTCTTTAAGCCTGCAGTCGAAATGCGCCTACTGACAGTTATGGTATCCCTTGACTCACAGGCACATTTTCCACGCTGGAAACCCATATTCAACTGAGATTATACTCCGGAAGAGTACGCTGTGCTAGTGATGCCGTTCCATTTATCATATGAAGTAGTGCCAAATTTCTATCTCATCGTCGTACTTGTACCAGTGGCATTAATCAGGTGGCGAATCGGAAGTCGAGCCTTTTGTGACGTTAGTAAGATGCAATGAATGTGACAGGTGTCGATACAACTCACCGTTTGTTGCCTTTATCCGTCGTGTTTGCGAGGTAGTCGTGCTGCTGTTCTGGTGTCATGGCATCCCACTTCTTGGCCTTGCTGTTGTTTCTCCACCGATAGTAGAAGTAGGTAAAAGGGTATTGCACCACCTATCGATAGTGTGAGCTATGAGATCAAGGTAATAGATGATCGAGACTTGTACTTACACACATCCAAATGCAAATAACCAAAAGGCCCTTGTTGGCCTTGAAATATCGTGGGGCGTCACTTGGTTGGTAGACTTGGCAGGTCAGCATCCTGTAGTAATGCGTGAGTGATGTGAATATGAGCCACTCACTGTTTGCGCCAATCATGCCACTGACTTGAACCCACATGTTGTACAGACTAGAGGCAAGGCGTTAGTGAAATCTAATCCGAGAGGAGTGCGGAAACTCACGATGCAGAAACCGTTCTGTTCTGGACTGATCCAGCATTCCTGCTAGTCCAGGCAACTTGAATAGGGTGCGTACTGGCCAGAGTCAGCATTCAAAATAAGATTAAAGCAGATTGCTTTGCACTCACTAAGGGAAAGACAGCAACACTGTCGAAATCGCAAAGTAAGCCCACGGGCCCGGATTCGCCAGTACAATCAAGGCGATGAAGCAAGGCAGCAGCCAAGCATCCTCAGCCATGGCCACGAAACTGCGGTTGTTGCATAACTCGCTCGCAGCCGTGATCATCAGCATGGTGATGCTAGATCCAATAATCCAGGGAATCGAAAGAAGGTTTGTTTGGATGACGTTAAATTTCAGGTCTCGGAGCGACAAGCTGAGGTATTGGTTGACGGGATACTTTGGCAAACCGAAGAGCAAGCCAAGGGCGTACAGAGGCCACATGTCGTAGTCCTTGGAGCACTGCCAGATCTGTTTGATGGAGAGACCTTGCCTGTTGTACATGCCGCCCTTTTGGGGATCATCTCGGATGACTGGCAGAGTTAATTAGTCACTGAGGTGAATACTGGGTCTCGGACAGACTCACCAGAGTTGACGATAATCTTCTCTTCCTTCTCATTGAAGTAGCCCTTTGGATTCCACCAGCTCTTTGTCTTGGCAGGACATTGAGGCATGAGGAAGAATGAGCATAATCCAACGCAGACTAGGTAACGGTTAGCGTTGAAGCTGAAAGATCATACACTTGGTCGTCTTACAAGTGAATGCACCTCTATTTTCGTTAGGTTAGCGAATTTGACACCGCGTAAGATCTACTGTGAGGAAACTTACTCGATGAGGAATAACCATCGCCAGCCCTCGTACCCCAAAATACCGCGCATCGAAATTAGACCAACAGCGGCGAATCCAACCCCAATATCGACTAAAATAACAATTAGAGACGCGACTTTTGGGGATGGTGTATGAAGCTACTCGCCCAGTTGTGAAGACATCCAGAACCAGGCCAACCTAATCGGGAGCTAGAGAAACATGTCAGAAAGTTGTATGAGTGTGAAAGGCTGCGGTGGAGTTGCTGACCGAGGTACCGGTGTACCAGTAACTGAGGTACAAAATTGTGTCCCTGCCAAGAAGTTAGTTGAAAGCTTGGGCTGCAGGCTTGATAAGGGCCAAAACTTACGGGATGAAACCTCCTTGGAAAGTCGCGCTGGATCAAGAGTCGTAAGTAATGATCTCCAATCTCTGGGGGGTTGGTGCACTCACATCAAGTATCTTGTCGCAAGGAAAGATGCCCGGCCCTTGAGGAAGAACTGAGCGCCAGATATGATGGAGAAGAGGCAGAGCTGGATCGGTATCCATAGATCAGGCCCAATGCTACATGATCGAATCAGTAGGAGCCTCCAAACTGGCGAGCGAGTAGGACCAACCGCTTGGAAATCAGCTGAGATGGAAGTTCGGCAACGAGGAAGCCAACTCGAGATATTGTTTGGCCAAGGTTCTTAGTCCCGTCAGCATCTTTCGAAAAACACAAGGTTTTCTTGACCGCAACCCACGTAGTCGCCCCGGGTCAACCCAAGATCGTCGAGCATGTTGTCGGACACGGCGTTGGAGATGTTATTTCGATCAATGTTGAGAGATGCAAACATCACACAAGCCCAAACCTGTAATCATTAGCTCAAGTCCTCTGTCGAATTGCGCAGGTCCTGACCATAATCTTCCAATCCACCTTGCGCCTGACTGCGCGCTCTTCCCTCCACGTCCACCGAAAACTGGGATCGAAAGCAGCCCAGTTCTCCCATTGCGGGTGGATGTAGAGGCTCTTGTATTCTTCGACCTTCTCTGAGTCCCAGATACTAGGCTGCGTGGCAATCTTTTTGGTCCTGTCAGATGCTTTCTCCGGCTACCACGAAATTGAGGTCGGTATACGCACCGCATCGAGGTCGTACTCTTCCGCTCTTGGGCCCTTTCGAATTTTGAAGAATCGGAGAATGGCATCTCCCATCGTCGCCTCCATGCGCTGAGTCTGCTGCGTCGCAAGCGGAGGCGCTGTCGGAGACGCCGCATCGACAGTGACCTTGTCATCGGCCGGCGACTTGGGATCAGGACCGCCACGGTCAGACGACGTGATGGACCCGGCGGGGGACGGCTTCACGACCGGCTGATGCGAAGACATCGTGTCTCGTCGTTCAAAGAAGAAACAATGACGTAAGGTGTCTACACGACGCGAGAGAGTTCACGGACACACCATGAGTCCGCCGGCATGCAGGAGGACGAACTATTCTATATAAGGTTGTTGTGATAAAAAAATCTTCAAGCCGGGGGTTCGCTGTTACCATGTGGCCGATAGGCCATGCTTAGGTATTTCTCCAGCCAAGATCAAATGTCTTAGGGAGTGCTAATAGGTAGGAAAGGGGCATGTATTCTCCAATTCTCGGTCTGAAGCCGAAGGACGATCCACAACGAGATGACGACAGGCTCCCTATTCAGTAATGCTGACCCTCCAACTGGAGGTTCAACGGTTGTATTCCCAAAAGAGCCAAAAAGTGTACGGGGTGCGCATGTACTACGTACTACCCATGCTGTTAGTTGCGGCAGTTGGTTATGCTTGACCAAACTTTGTTGCACTTGCAGGTTTAGTTCTGGTATTGAGGATTCGGTTCAAAGCTAAGCCCTACGCGATCACTTGTCCAACGTACATGTAGTCACAAATCTCAATGTCTCTCTCACCAGGGAATTTTTCTGCCCAAGGATAATCTCCATTGACATTGAATTCTTAACCGTACACTTCAACGCATCGCGCTGCGGAAGAGCCCTAGAGGCAAGGAACATGTATAAACTGGGGCCGATGCAACTCTGCTGGCGTTTAGTGTGTCGCGTCAGCTTGCTTGCAGCTCACGTCATCAATTCACCATCATCCGAGTCGATGGCGTGCTACACACAAACCGTCCCGTTGGAGAGACCACGAATTGTCCAATCACGTTGGAGTTGACAGGCATCCGGAGAATTCTAGGATCTTTGCATGCTATTCTTCGCGAAGATTGGGACACATTGATTACATTGTCAGATTCAATCTTCGCGTATTGATCCATGTTGCAAGGCAATGGCCTGTTGTTTCTTTGTGTTTACAGCATTGAAAGGCTTAAATGGAAGCTTTTCAGCTCGTGTTCCCGCAGGACCAGTTTAAAGTCCTCAAGTTCGACTACAGAGGAGATCACTATGACGGCCAGCTTATCGGCAATAAGGGTTTGTATTAATAAAATCAAAGCTATAAGACTTATTATAATAATATTTTTTATTAAAACAACTCAAAAAAATGTAATAATAAATCGTAATACGGCAGCTGAACAAAATTTTCGTGAAGGGCAGAGCTGGATTCATGCACTTGCTAATCAACTTGATCAGGAAGGCTTCTGTAATCGAATGCAGTTTGCACCAGATAGTCGAGTTTCAGCAGTCGTGTCCGCCCATCTAGATTCCTAAGCCCTTCTTCAACCTTTCAAGCCATTATGTCGTCAACCACGCAGGACACCCGCCCAGCTAGCTCTTCCAGCTCGAAGAATACAAACGATGTTAGACGTAGATGCTCCCAATACTCTCACTCCCATACCCCCAATACCACTGCCTAGGTCCCTCCTTATTCGAATTATCTGCCCTTGCGCGCTGAGGTGATTGTATTCAACTGTTCAATGAATCCATAACTAATAAACTGAGTTCAGTATTGGTTTTTTCAAGACAGGAACACCATTCTTACGAACCTTAAGCTTTGAGTGACATCACTTATAAAGGCGGATTTCCACCGGAGTCTTACCGAATTTAAGGAAGTTCCACGCCTCATACGAGGCAACACCCTTTTTGCGACTTGGGTATACAATCCTGGTTCCGTTGTTCCTAGGGAAAAATGCTGAGCCCGTTTTGTAGCCAACCTCGACTTTCGTGGAACGCTTGCCGATGTTTCGCACACCAACAAAACACCTCTCGGTTTCGGCGTTGTCAGCTTCGATAAACGTATAAGTCCACGCAAACACCTGCACTGTTTTGGTGACATCCTCGTGGAGTTGATGGTTCCAGTTCGGAGAGACTGGCTCTTCCTCGCGGTAAATATTCTCAGGGTCTCGCTGGAGAGATTCCAGTGTGTGGATCGTAGTTGGCTTAGCATTGTCGGAGGTGTGACCACGAGTTGGCCACCACCAATGATTCAGTCCTCGCGAAACGAGAGATGGGGGGGAGAGGGCAAGTCCGGTGTGAAACACGGCAAAAAGCACGAGAAGGGAGATATCGATAGAACGCATGTTGACAGAATAGAACGGGGAGTTGGAGGAGTGTAAACAGTAGTCCCTCGAGCGGGTTGATGTTGGAAACTGTAAATGCTTCGAAAGAAGCAAGTTCTTGGACCCTTTCGAGACAGAGGCCCCTATACTTAAACTCCCAATGGGACACCTTATCTATGCCAGTATGATGAGCGGCCTAAACAAATGTACGGTGAGCCTACTGATGTCGTATTATTTATTAAGGTTTAAACTCATGTCTTATTTACTAGCATATATATATATTTGATATTATCTCTATTTAAACTTTAATGCGCATTCTAAAAAAGGAATCTTGGAAAGACTTGAATTGATTCCTTGTTCCCTGGCCGTTTTAATCGCTTACTGCTCACAGTGAGTACCATGTTGGCGAAGGCACGCAGCTGGGCGTGGGTGGTATGGAGGCTAAATGAGCTCTGCGCCAGTGCCCAGCTGACTAGGTGCCTGTGTTGCAAATGGACCGCCAACGTCCTTCTGGCTAAATCGCCGTTCTAACTGCGATGAAGGGTCGTCAAAGGGATACGCCAAGCCCGAGACACTTAACTCACGGGCTGACCGGCGTGCACATCGTTGAGGGCCGACGTAATGCCGAGTTCGGTGTAATCATTTATTGCTAATGCACTGGTATTCTCGAAAGAATGAAAAACCCATGTTATGGTGGTCTAATTGATAGTGGTGGTGTCGCGGCACTGGGATGTAGGATGGAGGAATCGTGTTCCAAAATGGGGGAGGGGAGTGTCCCATATCCAGGGATGGGGACTTGATCTCGTATCACTTGATTAATGGCCAATGTGTACGGAGGTGCCGTTCGAAAGTTTTGGCTGAGGCTGCTTTGATATACCCCGTCTTTTCTTAGCACGCTAGCCAAAACTTTTGAACGGCACCTCCGTAGTAGAAAAAGGCTTTGACCACAGTCAATTATATGGGTTTCGGAGCGTGTGACTCGTGAGGAAGCTATGATGACTCAAGTCAAAAGGACTTACTAGTACAGCCCTTGAATAATATTCTTCTGGCCGACGTCGTTACTTACCTTCAAGATGTGTCGCATTCCAATCAGTGTCTGTATAACTAGCAATTAAATATTTAGTCACCTAGACGCGCCTTGATGCTGGTCGTCTCCGCGCAAGAGATTTACGATTCTAGAAGTAGCAGGCCCGCAAAGGAGCTGCTTACTGAGCAAAAACCGTTTGATCCCGGCCGAGCCGGGGCCTCGCTCGCGTGGCTGCAGTATATGAGCAAGGTGAACACCACATTTGTTCATTTGCTTACGTCAAAATCACCTAATAAGCTCCTGTAAGATACTGGCCTTAATAAGCAGTTTTAGTTGCGTTACCTTCTCCAGCACCGCGAACCGTTTTCTGCGTTATAGTATGTGTGAGTCAAAGTAAACGTCGTGATTGACTTAGTGGTTACTGTGCTACTAGGAGCGGTTTTACTTGATTAGCGTAGAGTTCGATATGGATTCTAGTTTGTAGCTTATTATTGTCTGCGTCGTTGTACCTGGGCGCCGCGACGATGTATCAGGCACCCGCTGAATATGGCTGGTCCGTGCGGAAAGCCAGCGTCGTTCTTAATGGGATGCGCTTCATTGCGAGACGCACTAACAAGTTTTCAGGCTTCGCCACATCATCTTATTATTCGTGTGTTTTGTTGATAGCTTACGTTAAAATCCGAGCTTTTATATTTATCCTCAAAACGTAAGATCATTATCACGACCTTTATAATAGCGCTAATTTCTCTAGCTGCCTTGTCATACACTGAATGGCTAAACCACTATACGTGCGCTCACCGAACTTTGCCTGTCGGATTAGAAGGCCAATTCGACCTCGAGTCAGCGCTAGCGCAGGGGCCACCTAAAGGCCTCTATATTAAGGTTTAATGAACAATCTAACTTACTATTAAAACCTTTATTTTCTATTTTCTACGAAGATTAATGTATAGTTAATTAACCCTTCTTACTACAGTTCGATTTGAATAATTATACTTATAACATATACTTTAATACGTATATTTAATCCCCTTGCTAAGAATCCGGCTCACGTGCTATAACACGTGATCTATATTACGTGACACATGACGTGGACTTTTTCATATATAAGGTCTAATACCTGCACTAAAAAGTGTCGGGCCCGCATTTTGTAGGGTGCACATAGCCAAACGGTCACAATACGTTCTTTCATAATTATTAATATTATTATATATTAATATTAATTAATTTCTTAGTTATTTATAAAGTAATTGTTTTTATTATTTATTTCATATTTATAAGAAAACTCTTTAGTTAATGCATTTTAATTCAAATTTTTTAATTAAATTATTTTATTAAAGGGAAGGTAGGTCTAGTCCGCTGGTTTTATCCTAAGCCTATTGGCCATATCCCCTTCAACACTCGCGGTTTCTTGAAAAAGAAACACCCCAGATTGTGGGCCTCGAGTCACCGGGCTTAGCAGGTCTCAAATGCAGTCATTTGCTGGCAGCCCTCAGAGAGCCCGTTACGCGGTGCCAGATGTGCAAGCTCCTCCCAGGCTCGTGCCACCGACAGGTCCACACAGCTGAGGCGGTCAGCGAGAATTCTAACCCAACCAGTAAGCCGGGACGAACGGGTTGATGTGACACTGCCTCGGAAGAATCTGAGAACCCAATGACGATGGCTTCGAACATCTGTTTTGGTGCTGATGGTGATCGAGATAAGAGAGCGGAAGCAACGTGGGGATCAGCGAGTGAAACAATGTTGCCGAACTGTGCGGAGTTTGACGGAGATTTAAAAGTATAGTGGTGGACAAAGTCGCGTGTAAAGTTTAGACGGCTGAGTCTTCGGAGCTGATATTGGCCCGCATCACATTGCTCAGTTGCAAAAGTCACCCAGAGGCCAATTTCGGCTCATCTTTCTGTCTTTCCGCCCACCTCTTCTAGTTTGCTTTCCTAGTCTCTATGGAGCTCGAGTCTGACAAGATGGTGTCTCCACATCCATCCCGTGAAGGTCTGTCTGACGCAGGAGAACCTGCAAGAGACCATGGAATAAAGTAAAAAAACCCTCAAAGAAAGCCAAACACGTCCCCCAGGTCTTTGTCCTGTGCCTGAGCCGCCGTCGGCGTCCTCCGCTCCGCCACTTCCAGATTTCCTCGAACTGCAATTGGTGCACGTCATCAATCGCGACGGGGCGTTCCACATGAACAAGCCCGCCCTTTCGGCCCACGCTAAGATCCCCTCTTCAGGCTCTCCCTCTCTCTCTCGCGCACGCTCTAACGCGGGCCAGACGGAATCTGCGTCCAATGGACTAATCCTCCCGAGGGCGATGAGCAATCTGATACAGTTCATAAACCGTCCCTTCCTTGCTTTCTCGTGCGTCCCGACCTACTCTTGAGACTCTAGGAACCCCCATGTCCTCTGCGTAAACCGCAGACCCAGCAGCAAGATGGCTTCGACAGACGCTAACCTCGCTTTTATACTGAGGGAGTCTCTCAAGGACCCCAACGTGCGAGGCTTTCACCGCGATGAGGAGGACACGTCCCTGCACACCCTCCCCAACGACGAGGAGTCTGTGACGGCAGCCGAGTCCGGCGATGACGCCGACACGCTCGAGCAGAGCACATCGTTCAACGGCTTCACGTACAGCACCTCCCAGCTGTCACCAACAGCGACTCCAAAGGCCACCGACTCCCTGCGGACACTAGCAAACAGACGTCGAGAGACCATTTTGCCAGAAGAGACAACAGTCGACGATGATGCCGCCTCGCCACCGCCGCCGCCGACCCGCGCCCTGGCGCCGGACCTCCTCCGCGGCCTCTTGATGATGTTCATGGCAATGGACCACAACGTCATTGGCCTCAACCCCTGGCCGCACAGCACCGGCGCGAACCACCAGGAATCCGACTCGGCTGTCGTCGAGCGCTGGAACAGCCCCATGGGCTACGCTGTCCGCATGCTCTCGCACCTCTGCGCCCCAGGCTTCACCTTCCTGCTTGGCATGGGCGTCGCGTATTTTGGTCGCTCGCGGGCCAAGATGGGGTGGTCATCTGCCCGGATGGCGAGGCACTTTGCCACGCGCGCCGTCATCTTGACCGTCGTCTCGACGGCGATGGGGTTCGTCCTCTCGCAGGGCCAGCTTTGGTTTCTCAACATGGTCCTCGTGGCGCTGGCCGTCGATTACCTCCTCGCCGGTCTGCTGTGGCTCGGCATCACCGCAACGGAGCCGTTGCTGGCTTCCCTGCTGGATCGTTTCTTCCACATCATCGGCGGCGACGGCGCTGAGAGGACGCCTCTCCTCGTACACACCGGCCACATCAACCCGTCCGGGTCCCAGACAAAGGCCTCTGTCCGCGCCCAGACAATGTCATGGCACATCCACAACGCCGTCCTCCTCGTCCTGGGCTTCGTGACAATCTGCTGGAACCACTGGGTCTCGCCAACCCACGGCGTCTGCGCCGCCGCCTCGTCCTCCCCCGTCGCCCCCACGGCAACAAACGACTTTTGGCGCTTCTGGTTCTTTGAAATCACCCGACCGCGCGTCATATCCGGGTTCCCGCCGCTAGCGTGGCTCTCCTTTGCCATCCTGGGCCTCCTCTACGCCCGCATTCTCCTCGCCCGTCCCGTGTCACCCGCGAAACTGGCGTGCGGCAACGTCGCCGCGGGCCTCGCCTTCAGCGTCCTCTTCGTCCTCACGCGCGTGCTCCGCATCGGGAACTTGTCCGAGGGATGTCTGCGCACCCCGGATCAGGCGGCGGAGAGCCCGGACGCGAACCCGTACCTCGTCTCCGCTGCGTCCTTCTTCTACGTCGTAAAGTACCCGCCCGACTTTGCCTTCTTTGCCTACACGCTCGCGGCGACGTTTTTCCTGCTCGCCCTATTTGGTGCGGTCCCGCCACGCTTCGCGTCAAAATGGCTCGGCGTGCTCCTCGTCTTTGGCACGTCGGCGCTCTTCTTTTACCTCACGCACCTAGTCATCCTCTTTAGCCTGTGTGTGCTGCTCGTCAGGCTCTTTGGGCGCGAGAACGGACGGCCTCCGCCGATGGACGGCTGGCCGGCGGTTGGGGTCAGTAATGTTTGGGTTTGGTGGGCGAATTGGTTGCTTGTCATGGCGATTATGTATCCGCTGTGTCGATGGTACAGCGCTTTCAAGAAGACGAAGAGTGCAGATTCTATGTGGAGGTTCTTTTAGGGTTGATGTTCGGTCATGTCGTGCTTAGAGGTTGCGATGGCGACATTTTTCTGGTGATCTAATCAGATGTCCACTCGCTCTCATCTTCCTTACCAAATATCACGGCCTGGTTCCCCCATCTTTTTTTTTGGAAAACATTTAGTAAGCATTGACACTCAGTGAGGGTTGGCACAATCAGGAATACGTCAGTCGACAAATGAAAACGCTGTCAATTGAGACTATTCAATCTAGGGGTATGGACGAGAAGGGCACCGGCCCCCTCCTCACGGCCTTCATCACTTACACGTAGACTGCTGCATCCTCCAACCATGGCAAGTCACTCTCATCACTTCCATCTCGGCTGGGCCCCCGGCTGAGGATACGGCTGAACCCTCACCGACCTCCTCCTCGTGGCCCTCTGAGGCCGTGTTGCTGCCGCCGGCGTATCTGCCGCCGCCGCAGTCGCAGCCGCATCCGGGATCTTCCCAGTCCGAGCCCGCGTCCTCGCGGCCGGCCGGCCGGCGACAGCGGCGGCGCCATCTGAGCCAGCAGTAGTAGTAGTAGCTCCCGTCATTCCCGTCAGGACCGCGGACGATGCGACACCTCCCGACGTCGTCGTTTTTGGCTCCCTCTTCACTCTCTTCGCGCTGGTGGTAGTTGCCGTTGTCGGCCGCGTCGGTTCCGAGCGAGTCTGGCTCTCGACCCGCCGCGCTGTCCGCAGATTACGTCCTTTTACCGGACTCGATGGCACGGTCTGCGCTGGCTGTGTCGCCGCTGTCGCCGTCACTGTCGTCGCCGCTCTGCCAGTCTTTGCCCTCGTCCTCAGCGCCGGCGCTCTTCGCGCCACGCCCGTCTTGTGAGCAGCCGGAGCCGGAGCCGGAACAGACACCGGCGCCGGCGCCGGCACCAAAAGCTCAGAAGACTCCGCTGTCTCTTCGGAATCATTCGGCTCTGATTCGAGATACTCTGTCTCCATGGTGGGATCCTCCTCCGGCGGAAGCTGATCAGTCAGCCGCCGCGCCGCCGTCCACTCTTGGACCCTATTCCGGCGGGCCGTCTCCTCGTCATCATCGTCGGCGACATCGACGTTGACGTTCTCGCCCGCCAGCCGCTCCGCGACCCTAAGCTTAGTCCACGACGACTTCATAATCTGCCGTTGCGCCTCAGACTGCCTCAACCATTTGCAGAACCGCTCATTCGACCTCTTCCACCTCCGGTCCTCCGCCTCCCTCGCCGCCTCCGCCTCCTCCTCAGCATCGTCGTCGTCCTCCTCCATAGGCACCGTCGGCGGTAGCGGCGGCGGCGCCTCCTCAATCTGAATCCTCGGCGACTGCTTCTGCAGCTGCTCCCGATCCTCCAAAGCAGTGACAGCCCGCCCAGCCTCAAAGTACCGCCCGGCCGCCGAGATGGCCATCTCCTCCGCCGCCTCGAGATTCGACCGCGCGAGCAGGCAGACGTCGCCGTGGGTACCGAGATCGCGCCGGACGCGCTCCCTCCGGTCCTCGGCGGCCGTCAGCGCGGCGCGCAGCGCGTCAATGGCCTCGTTGGCGTCCTCGAGCTCCTGCATCTGCCGCTTCATGAGCGAGAGCGACGTCTCGCAGATGCCGCGCGCCCGGTCCAGGGCAGCGTCGGCCTGGAGCTTGTCGCGCTCGGCGTCATCGCGCTCCGTGATGGCGCACCGCGCGTCCAGGAAGTCGATGTGCTTGCCGCTGTGGCCGCAGTTCCGGCAGACGTCCGGGTCCATCTGACTGGACTCTGGATAAGGAGAGTGAAAAACACTCTCTTTCCGAGTTTTACGGGGACACGCGCGCACGACTCAACTCCATGTCAGTCCATCATTCAGCCTTACGAATACTCGCGGGTCGACTAGGAAATTCGCAAATGAAGGCATTTTAAAGTACCACATGGGTAAACTCTAGTAGCAAGCAAGCACTGGGTTTGTCTCACCTTTCTTGGTGGTTCGAAAATCTTGTTTCCCGTCGGTGGGGGTATCAAAAGGAGGTTGTAGATGATGTAGGTAGGGGTATAAAGGTGGACATTGACGGACGGGAAAGGGTCCAAAGGTAAAACGGGAACGAGAAAAGCAATTACCTTCTGTCTCCTCTGCTTAATTGGAAGCAGCTGGGCGGCGGGGGGGGAAACGAGCCTCTTCATAATCGCAGAGACCCCATTTTCTCGAGGCCCCAGGTCCTGGGGACGGGGTGTGGATCTTTTGGTTGAGTTAGCGATATTGAGTCGGCGATATTGAGTCGACTCCATTTGTGCCCAGGAGAACGCCCAAAGGTCCGTACGAGGATACATATGCACATGTACAGACACGTGTGCGTCATTGGGTGCTGGATAAAGTGTTGGTTGGCCGGCAGACGCAGGTTTGGCTGCTGCTTGAACACTGATTTATGCTGAAGATTTGTTTTCACAACGGTCAGGTGATGGCATCATGACAGGTGCACGAAAACTCTCTGGCAAACTCTCAACCCCCAGAAACGACTCGTTTCCAACAGCCTGGTGCTGGTATCCTGCCTGCCGGCAGCAGAGAAACGCCCTGACTGCAGCAGTCTCTAGAGGTTCCCACACCCGTCTCATGGAATCGCTACCGATTCGTTCATCCTGTCCCAGTCTCATGAATCCAAGTTTCGGGGAGTAGTTCGTTTCGAACCGTTGCTCAGCCAAAGAATAGGAGAATGGGGCATCTTACGGGTATGTCTTCATAAAGAAAAAGCAAGAAAACATGGGTTGAAAAAAAAAACCCCCGTCTTTGGACATTGGGTTTTCTCTTTGCAGTTCTCCACCGAAATTGCTACCAAAAGGGGCAAAGCGGCTCAGGTGGCCCGTCACGGTCACGGATACGGCGGGTTTTTCATGACTCTCACTCTCGGTTACATTGTGCCCTCCCTGGTCAGGAGCTCCAGTGAGCTCCAGTCAACTAGTCTCCCGATGGGACCGCCCCTCTGAGGGTCTTGGGAGCGTCAGGGGGGAGCTGAGGCGATCCCCAACCGTTTTGTCAATCCAAAGTCCCGGGGTCGGGCTGCTCTTCGTTTCATAAAGTTGTTCATGGCTATAATACAAGGTCATAAGTGTGCAAACCTCATTCCAGAAACTTTCCATGCACGCACCCGGGGTCCCCGTCTCATCTACACTACACTAGTATGGCTTGGTCCGTCGCTTCTGCCGAGGCGCGGTTCGTCGGGCTCGGCCCGTTGCCGTGGTAGCCCCAGCACCGCCGGGTCTCTTTATGTTTCTGAATGCGCGGCCCAACGCCTCCTCTATCGAATCATCAGAGGCCGGAAGGATACCCTCCTCGCGCTTCACGGTGCCTCGTGTCGCCCAGTCATTGGTATGACCCCACAGCAGCCTGCGGGGACTTGACATCGTCTCGGGCGGTGACGACGCAGGCGTAGGAGCATTGTCAGAGTCCACCTCTTCCACCTTGATCGAGTGAACGGGCGTCAGGGAGTCGGTCGGAGTGGACGTCTGCGTAGCGGCGGCCCATCGCGCCGCCTCGTCGTCGTCGTCGCCGTCGTCGTGGGTCCTCCGCATGCTGTACTCCCACCCTCGCCGGCGCATCGTCCAGTCATCCAAGAAGTACTGGTATCGTTCCTCTTGTTCCTCTCCGAGCACATCCGGGTCGGCGAACTCGGCCTGTTCCCACCACCTCGCCCGTTCCTCAACTCTTTGACTCGTGCTCCCCGGCTGTCTCAATCGGGCGTCTCGGCTGATGTCTCGACTAGTCGGGTTGATGTCATCACACGCTTTTGTGGCCAACCCTACGCGAACTTCGGCCACATTCAACAAGTCGCACATTGCCATCCTCTGTCGATACAACGAGGCCATCACTCTCGTCCGCTCCGTGCGCGTTTCGACGACGTTGTCGCGGGTGGTCTCCGCCGCGCGCAACGCCCTTCTCAACGGACCGAGGATGGTGGGGGAGATTGCCCTGTGCTCGCTCTTGGCAATAGCACTGAGCAACTCGTTCACGACATTGTCTGCGACTCTGCATTCTTCGTCCGACTTTTCAATATTCTCTTCCGCGTCTTTGATGATGCGCCGTAGGCGTCCCCACGCGCGATCCGTCAGGACTCGCGCACCAGTGGCGGATTCGAGTTCCATCTCTGCACAGCCTCTGTGGCCGAGGATGATGTGCTTCCCGACTCGTCCGCAGCATCTGCAGGGCGTTGGGTCCCAGGGCCCGAAGCCACCGGTGTATTCAGACTTCCATATAGGCTGCATCTGGCGCGGGTGCGTGAGCACATTGTAGGCCTCTGCAAGAACGGGTCTTCTCACCGTGGTCTGTATAGCGAATCACCTAGGTATTGGATTATGACTCTGCACAGAACAAATACTATTGTTCAAGAATATCGGATTGAAAAAATAAACGTAAGTGTACGGGTGTGGACGCGGGTGTTTAAAGGCTTGGTTCTCAGAGACGCGGACGCGTCAAGCGGCGACGCGTCTTTGCTATAACACGGTTCCCTTACCAGAGTTTCACATGGGTACCCATAATATCTGGCACTGGCTTGGACTCAGACACCTCATCCAGAGTCACATCCCTGTGCTAGGCTGGGCTAAGAGACATATGAACATCATGTAAGACAACTCGCAGATTTCGCGGATTTCACATGTCACACATATGATGATGTCTATCGCCTTCTCTCCTCCCGAAGACTCTCCGCTCCTCCGTGTTTGCCGGAAGTTCGGTGGGGCCCGCCCTGAAGGACCGGGCTTCTCGGCTCCAGTAGCATTGCATCGGTGGGAACACTGGCCCCGCGGTTTCGGTCGCTATTCTTGGCCCCTCTACAGCCGGTGATGGAGTTGTTTGAAACGACATGGAATTATCGATTTGTTTTTATACTCTGGCGCTGTGCTGCTATCACAGCATGGTCCTTTACTGGCCTGGCGTTTTCAACACCATGGCTTGGTGGTCCCTAACTCACTTCATTGAAGCTCTTATCCACAAACCAACTACCTGCCTGCTTCTGATCATCTCCCTATCAATTATCAATTGTTCATACTGAGCGTTATATACAGGTAACTTTCGGAACAGTAACATACGTCTCAGCGTCTACGACTGCGAAGCAATTTATTCAGTGACACAATTCGCATTACAACTGTTCCGCTTTCTGGAGTGACAATGCACATTTATCTTATGAATGTAAGAACCGGTCTGATGGTTACAGTGTTACTATTACACGTACTATTGGGATGCGAATCCCAACTACACACCTTTTCCACTAAACTTTTCTACCCGGAGCTTGATACGGCCGGTACCGATGCCGTTGGCTTCGCACCTTTCGTTCCCGCTGTCTCCCCGGCGCAGCCAATGCGCAATCTCCAGCACCAACTCCAGCATCAACTCCAGACTGTGCGTCAAGGGTGGCAGCAATCCAGCTTTCGACGCCCTCGTTCTTTGAAGTTCCTCCTTCGGCCCGGTGAGCCCGTCGACCTCCACCCAGCCGAGGGTCTACACCTCCATACCCGGGCGGAGCACTGCAACTCTGTCGTACAGGTCTCTCGTTCTCCTTGTCCTCCTCAGATCCGCCCCACTGCTCCGAGCCCTCATTCAGGACCGGATGCCCCGCGAGTGCATGCTGCATACCCAAAAGACTCTCACGCAATCGAGAAGTCGACTCAGCCGCGTTCTGAATCGCGGCCTCGCGATCGGTGCGGAGCTTCCTCGCGTCGCTCCAGCGCGCAGCATGCGCCTCTTTCGCTGCTGCGCGGCGGCTGTATGCCTCCTCGAGCGCGGCATGGATTGAAGCGATGTAGGCGTCTTCGCGGGCGAACGTCTGGCGCAGGCGTTCTTCTTCTTTCAAGAGGGCCGAGAGGGCATTGTTCAGCTGGCTGACTTCGTGCACAGCCGACTTGAGATCTGCCGCCGCGGCCCGCGTCTTCTCGCGGGCAGCGCAGCGGTTGTCTTTGATAAAGATGCATGTATCGTAGCAGGCACTGCCGCAGCCGGGGCAGGGCCCAAGTTGCCCCCAGAAGGCGTTCCAGCTCGCGTCCATGCTCATCTATGACGGCCGTGTCAGTTGCTCTATGTATCAGAAGTAAAGAAGTTTCCAGCACACCTTTCGCTAATTCAGGGTCTAATTGCCCAGTTAGGTTGCAAGTTGAGATGAAGTTGCAAAGGGTTCAACCATGTTCGAGGTGATAGGAACGCGTCCATGCGACTCGGTAAGACGCGGTCTAGCTGCGCGATGCGGAGGATTACTGTTTCGGGCCAATTTAGCGGTCTGGGGGCTCTTGTCTTTCGTGCTTGGGCGGTGAAATGACCACAAACAAGCTCAAAAGTCAATACTACAAAGCACTATGACCACGAGAATCCGTTAGGCTATGGACCAAGTTTTACATTTCTATATTGATGGGATTCTTGGGACCTGTACGTGGCTTAAGAAAGTCCAATGTGTACAACGAGCGGGACCGAAGGGGCACGGTGTCTTTACCTCATCCATACAGGGAGTGTAAAAGTATGTATGATGTGTTTTCTATATTTTCAAACCGGTCTTGCTGTAATTCGGCGTTTTAATACGGAGCCATTCTCGCCAGTCCGAAAGCCTTTTGTCTATGTCAAGTGATATCAAATGAATGCGAGTCTTAGGACTGTAGATGTGTTGGTGTTTTGATGTCATATAACGAAAGTGGCTTGGTGTGTAGGAACATGGGTTCAGGTCAACTTACATTCGTGAGCGCAGATCCGAGTAATGTACTCAAGCGCTACGTCAAACTTCGAGTATACACCGCTGGCGGTAGAATTTTGGGGAGCCGTCGTCTTTACTTTTTGTGAAATCTTGTTTTACCTTTGGTACGGATTTCTCTTGACTTCATGGTCGCAAAAGGCGCGTTCACCGTCAGCCCAATTCACTGACTGATGGCCTTGGGACAGCGCTGTCGCTTTAGCGGCTCAATGGCTCTCAACGCAATACCAACATGGTATGGCGATGCGCGCAACCAAAGCAGGCGAATTTCTCGTTCCATGTTCTTACAGCGATGTTTTTGAGTATCTGGGCACAACGCAGTTTCAAGAAGCCGGAATTAAGCCAGAGTCTCTAGTATCATAACTCCAGGACGGCCCGCACCAAGGTTGTCGCCGGACCTGAGCCGTGAATTACTCCGGCCCAGCGCCCCGGCCGTCTTCCGCTTTGGAGTGACCCTACTTGGGCGAAGCTGTCCGTCTCAATCGAGCAGTTCGAAACGCTTCGAGTCTTCCGAGGGCGTGTTCGTGGTGTATAGGCTCTATGACCGCATTAGCAAGGACGTTTTGAGCTTCTCCTCTTGGTACGCCCTCTCGTACACGACATTTGGGTACGCGAGCTTCTAAATTACTAAGAGTATTGGCGCCGGAGATGATTTTGAGGTCTTGATGGAAGTTTCCAACACAGGTGCCGTCGCCGGCGGTGCCGTGGTGCAGGTTTACGCCGGGAGAACGGGGAGGTCGGCGAACACGGTGGTCAGGGTGCTCGTGGCATTCGACAAGGTCCGGCTGCAGCCCGGAGAAAATACTGTAGTCAAGTTGACGGTCTCGGTCAAGGATTTTGCTTCGTTTGATGAGGCGGTGAGAGAGTGGGTTGTTGAGGCTGGAGACTACAGCTTGTACCTGGTGGCATATGAGGCCGAGACTCTGTAGACGGTTTCACTGGCTTCGGATAGAGTCAACCAACACAGATGATAGTATGAAGTACACTGGGTGGCTCATTCAATGTAAACAGATATCTGATGATTGCGGCTTCAGGAAAAGTAAATGCAATGAGATTTCCAGTGAAAACAAGTGAGACGAGGTGAAAAGAAGTGAGTGAGATAAGTAGTGAGGCCCCCGTATGCTATTTGCTAGTTAACATTCTCCGCACTTCACTTGAGGCTGTACAGCTTCTTCCTCTCGCGTGCGTGCCTCAAAGCAGTCCCATGGGAATATGTCGTGGTGTTGAAATATGGGCTCCCGGAACCCTCTCCAGTCGGTCCAATACTTTTTTGAGTTGTCGATGATGTCCGTGTCGATATAATTGTCAAATTGACGGAAGCGGAGCAGGGTTCCTCCATATGGCCACTTTTAGCTATTTTTCTCTAAGATGGAGTCACCTTCTTGGGAAATCCATCATGGCAGCCAATTCGGGTTATATAGCTTATTAAATAGATGCTCCGCGATGCGGTATGCTTCTCCTGCTTACATTCCTGGCCATAGACCACCAAGCTGCCAGAGGCATTGCTGGCGATGAGAGCGTTGCAGAACTTTTGGCAGTTGTTGCTCCCGACGTTAACACTCTACAATGGATTTCCCTTTCAGCTGTGCGTCCCGCATCTCACGACATATGAGTCCGAAAGATATGGGCTTTGGGAGGAAGTTGCATAGAGCAGAAGACGAATCTAATGGCAGACTTTCGCCGAAGAGTTTATCAACGATGGCGTGAATCTAGTTCCTGATATGCAGATGAAGAAGCACATGAAGCTTCCTGAGTATGCTCTCCCTTGACTTGCGCATTTTCCTGGAGTGGACAACTCTCCTTGGAAACGGAAATTTCAAAGGCTAGATTGACTGGGCGGCTGCTACGGACCAAGGAAATTGTATTTCCATCTAGCTACGGTGAGCAAGACGAGTGTATGTATATATACCAGTACTTTTACTTGAATAATACTAGTGTAAGGTAATTGAGAATAAGAAGGCACATATCACATGCATTAGAGGCCCCTAGCTCTCTGAGGTTCTTAATAAAGCAGACCAATGCAATTTTGATATTTCTAGGGTAATAAAAGGCATTGAGGGAAGGAAAAGTTGATCTCGATCGTCGATTGGTCTCTATAAACGAGGACAGACGGCTACTGCTGTACGTAAGGCAAGTCATAGCAAAGAGTGTATTTCGCGCATAGCCAAAATATATCTGTCGCATAGCAAATATCGAAAGAATAAACGAAACACCGAGTCAAAAAGAATCTGACGTGCAGTTTTGCAGATGAGTGCAGATTTGCATCCAGTAAAGACGGGGAGATGGGAAGAAACGAAGTAGGGGATGACGAGGTGGGAGTCATGACCAAACGACAAGTGAGATAATGAGGTATGCGGCCGCAGAGTCGCGCTCATAATTCATTTAACGCCGCTAAATGCGAAAAGGATTGGATTCAGTGATTTATCAGTGGAAGGCTGTGAGACGGGATGCAAAGAGTAGGATGAGGGGAGTTGACGGACTCCCACTGTGAAGTGGTGTTACTCAGCCACGGCTGCTCCCATGTATGCGTAGCACTAGCGCAAAGATCGCCCATAAGTGCTTACTCTACCGCAGACAGTGACATGGATTTTCTGGGTCAACAGGTCTTGGTAGTCATTGTACTTTTGATCTGGTGATGTTTGCAACGCCCCGACCTTTGACCTTTCCTCACCATTCACTTGAATTCTCGTAGTTGGATAACACTGTTGATTCAAACCATGCCTCCCGCCGAAAGGAAAAACAACCTCGACCTGTCGATCCAGCTCCTCCACCCGGATACGCCCCTCCATGGAGGCAGCGTCATCCTCGGCCACGTCGTCCGCAAATCCCACATCGTCGCCGCCTCCGCCACAGTCCGCGTCCGCCTCCTCGGTCGCGCAAAAGCAAAACTCGTCATCTCCCGCGGCAACAACTCATCGACCTACTACAGCCGCTTCACCTTCTGGCCCGACAACGCCGTCGCCGATGTAGTCCACCACGGGCCCGTCCACGTCGCGCCGCCCGGCGCCGGCGGACAGCCCGTGTCCTGGCCTTTTGCGCTCGCGCTGCCGACACACACGGATGCGCGGGCCGTCAATGCCTGCGGGGGAGACAGTGCCAGGGAGGCGTGCTTCTTACGCCCGGGATTAGGTGTTGGCGCCGGCGTGGGTCTGCCCGAGCAGCCGTTGCCGGGAACGTTCTACTTTGATGGCTCTGGGTTCAACAAGAGCTGGCATGGCTTCGTGGAGTACTGGATCGAGGCCGAGTTGACGGTGCAGGGCAAGAGCTCCATTGTGAAGGCGTCGATGCCCGTCCGCGTCTTGTCGCCGCCTGTGCCGTCGCCGCCAATCAGCGACTTCAGGCTAGAGAGGCAGAACAAGGCCGGCTGCGTAAGCAGTCAGCGTCTGTTACCGGGTATGATGGACGCGGAACTGTCCTTTAAACAAAAGACGCAAAAGTTTTTTGGCTCGTCCAAGGTCCCCACGTTCCACTACGTCCTCGACGTGCAGTACCCCACGGTCATCCAGCTGGGAAACGAGTCGAGTATCCCGTTCCTGCTACATGTCACACCGAACAGGGATCGGACATCGGACGTTATCGGGGATGTGCCGCAGACGGTAACGATCGAGCAGATGGAGTTGGAGCTGCTGACGACGACGAGCATCATCTGCCCGGGCACGCTGGACCCCCACGGCGCCAGCAAGACGCGCAAAATCTGCCTGGCACGTCTGAATCAGCTCTTCAAGGCCGTCGAGGGCAACATTGTCGTCCCCTCGGGCGCCAAGGAGGTCCCGCTGGACCTCGGCGCCGCCTTGGATCTGCGGGTGGACGCGCTGGGACGGCTGGTCCACGGACAGAGGAATGGGGCGGGCGCGTTTGGTCAGACGGTTGTGCCGACGTTTGTGACGTATTGTGTCAAGGTTGAGCACGTGCTGCACTGGCAAGTGAGGTTGTCTGTGGCGGGAGAGAGTTGGAAATGGGAGGGGAATCAGAAGCTGCTTGTTTTGGCGCCGGATGAGGGTACGGCGAGGGGGAGCACAAGGGCGACAGCAACGGCTTCGGCGGCGGTGGCTTCGTCGTCTGTTGCACCGCCGCCTGCTCTTGAGGAGGCCCCGGCTTATGATGGACCTAGTGAAGCGGCGCCGGCGTATGAGAAGATTCCGGGAGGGGCGGGGGAGGAAGCATCGGCGGCAGGGGGCAAGTCATGAGGTTGGATTTTTGAGGACATGGAGAGACCAGGAGGATCTAATGACGGAGTTAAGGACGTAAGAATACGGAAGAGATGACACCCAGGCAATATCAGATTCAGTCGAAACAGTCGGGGGCATGAAGTAATGATAGCATTGAGTTCTGCGTGGAAAATTGATGTAACTCTTTTGCTATTGGGTATCTGAAGAGACCAAAAGCAACCTCGAGCCCTTCAGTGATTATGTTAATACAAGTCAGAAATCTCATGAAGCAGCATCTGGAAGAGAAGTTTCGTGCTGTCATGTCGAGATTCTCAGAAAGGCCACGAAGTTGGGGGGAAGCCAACCAGCTGCCCAATCGAGCAATTGAAACCCGAGCATGGGAATTCCAGCTTCATTCGATCCCAGTCTGGAACATGGTGGAGCATGTATTCGTCCCCCTACTTTGGCATCTAGGCCCCAGTTCCACTTCGCAGCTACCTACACCGCGATCGACGTGGAATAAGGAGTCATTGAAGTCTATGCTGTTCTCTCGGAGGGACAATTGCGGGCTCAAAGGCAGCTTCATTCTCGGCTTCCAGAACTCCAGTTAACCTGCAACTACAGTCAAACGGGGAGGTAAAGTCCCGGATTTGAGCTCCATCTCAGCCTTTGTAGCGTTGTAGAACCAAATTTCAATTTCCGAAATGTGCAGCTTGCCGAGCAGACAAGAAGTGGTGCTCCCTCCAAAGTATTTCCCCCCTTTGCTTATCTGACCCTCTCTGACTCGAATTGTCTCAGTTTTCTTCTTGTCAATCTTTTCTCTTCAAGTGCCTGCTCAGGGTAGCCATACATCTCATTCTCAGCACTGGAACTTAACGGTGGTGGGAGATTCTACACTAATGGGGGCCGAAGCTCGTCAGGTCCTTATGGTCCTGTTGATTTTGTAGCAGTTTGCTGCCGCGTGGCCCATGTCAAGAATAAAAATAGGTGATAAGAAGCCTCTAGATTTGACTGTTTCTGCAGCGGACTGCATCGCTTTCGAGGTATTGTGCTGACAATATTCGTGTAATAAGAAGTAGTGCCCAGGGGCAAACAGCCACAAAGCCACAAAGCCACAAAGCCACATGACCTTACATAAGCAGTGGCGACAGATGGCAGAATCTTGCTTTAGCAGGCGGTATACCGAAGACGATAGATAGATCAACCAATCAATTCACGCTAAAGACGTATCATCAACGTTCATTTTCTACGAGAGGGGCTAATATCTCTGTGTTTCCCCCCAAACGCAGACACCTCGTACTGACGATATCATCAATCCTTGACCTCCTGTGAATGTCCATTTAAATTGCTATTGATTTGGATGGCAACATCGAAACGTTTGAATTTATTTCCAATCTAGTACTCACATTATTCGGCGTCGTGCTCCCCATCCACTGCCAACCACACATCCCCACAAGATGAGCGACCTTGAACCAAACGCCAAGCCGGCTACAACAGCCCAGATGTCTGCAACAGTCGTTCAGTCGACTACGAGTTTTGCCGAAGTTTTAAATCCCATAGCAATTGACGAAGATGGGGACCTGGAGATTGCAGTCGGCTCGGGCGACGATACACAGTCCTTCATCGTCTGCGCAAAGACACTTGCCCGCCATTCACCAGTGTTCAAGCGAATGCTGTTTGGTGGCTTCAAGGAGTCCAAGCCCACGAGGAATGAAACCGTCGACTGGGTGGTGGAGCTTCCTGACGACAACCCAAAGCCTTTTAAAATTCTTCTAGACATCATCCATGGGTGGTTCGAGCAGGTCCCGGAGCTGCCGACTCTCAATGAGCTGACTGCACTTCTCGTTTTGACCGACAAATACGACGTCACCTCTCTCACGCGGCCCTGGGCCGTGAGATGGATGAAGGGCGTTCAATTCGAAACTCAACACCTCAACCTGCTGCCCGTCGCCTGGGAGCTTGGCAAAGAGGACGTATTCGACGCAATGGTAACAAAGATTGCAAACGAGTCAGCTCGGTCACCCGACGGGAGTGAGCGGCTGCAGTACGGAGGCCTCTATCTCGATGAAGTGACTGCCTTGGAGCCTCCAGGGCTATTCGGTAGGTCAAAGCAACTTTCATCTTCACCCCTGCTGCTCAAGTAACGCAAGGGACTTCTCTTCTGACAGCTCATCCAACAGAGGCTATCCGACAACATCGCGCGGCGGGAGTCGCCGCAGAGCTCAGCCCCTACATGGAGCTCTATACCAAGTTGACCACTGCCACCGGGAGCGACTTTTGGTGTACTCGTAGTGCGGAATTGGCCGACCGTCACATCTGCGACAGCATGCTTCTTGGGTCCCTGGTTATGGGCCTCCTGAGAAAAGGCATTCCCATCACTGCGGCGCAGCCTGCGGAACAATATCTCGGGAGTTTGTCTTTCCTGAGAGCTACCCTCAGAGACTTGCAGCTCTTTGTGAATCACGAAGTTGAAATAAGCCCAGTGGTTTTGACATGCAGGGAAAAACTGGTCGATTGGATGGAGCAAAGGTCTGGTCCGGCGAAGAGGTTGAAGGATGAGGCTGTTCTGGTACAACACAGCCACAAGATTCGTCTCCTTCAACAGGCGCAAAAGACTGGGATAGATAGACTCCCTGCGAGCGCGAACACATCGGCATCAAGACTGCATACCTCTATTTGATAGGAGGATTAGATAGCCTTTGCCATTCGACATCACGGATTCAGATTGATGTGACCGTTGCTGACAGCATCTGTAATTATGTACCTAAGCTGTCTGTGACGCTATAGCTTGTGAAACATCTGGAACGATTTGTGACTACTTCGTCGACGCAGGCTCTTTTGGATTCCGCGCCATCAGTATTCCTGACTTGAGACCATTTTTGATTTCTCATCCATTCATGTTGGCATCAACTTCCGCCAAAGACTTGAAATCAGCATGGCCGTGCTTGATCTGGTTCTCCTTGAGCAGGTTCTCCCAAAGACTTTTGCGAGCCCCAATAGTTAAATCAGGAAGCCTGATACTGAGGAGCGTGCATCTTATTGGTTACTGCACGTGGTAAATTAATGAGATCATGTATTATCAAGCGAGTAACTGGCTGCTGAGCAGACAGGCGCCATGGGTCTCACCCAATTCGGCTGCTAAGAGTCTTTCCGTTACCCAACTCGCCACTGAGAAGGAGAATCAATCCATGACCTAGGCACCATCAGCTCGCTATTCTACATGCTACGCCTAATTTTAACCAAAAGCTCTTTATGCCCCTTTACTCGATGAAGCCAGTAAAGCCACCTTCTGCCAGCATCTACTCCGCGACCAGAGATAGTGATAGGTCCTTGTGTCTATTTGGGACGAGGAGGTTCTATGCGCAAGTGTTGTTTCATTCGATTCCGCTGACATTGTTGACACTGGACTTGATTTGAACGTTTCATTGGCATGGGAGTGCCTTGAAACCAGCCTTTCCGGATGACCAGCGAGGGCATTTGCCCCAGGCCCTGATTCAAGGAATACCCCCGAACTACACTCCCTCCCGCACAACAGAAACTTGCTATCCCTGACCAATTGGCGAGACCTTTCAAACACGGCCACGTCGTCTCGGTCTGAGCTCAAGGGCCTCAAGGGTACGGCTTCGGCAGGGTTGTCATTGTTGAATGTTGAGGCGTCGACTAAGATGCGCCCGGTTGACTGTCAAGATATTCGATTTTAGTGGTGAGTACCTGGGAAAAAGATTAAGTGACATACAAATCTCGGCTGCCAAGAGGCTTTGTGGCCTACAAACCACTCCGACCTGTTACACTTCTTAAGATGGAAGCCAGAGAGCTCGTCAAAGCACCGTCCCCGCCAGACTAGAATGTCTTTGATTGTATCTGCCCCAGGCTGGTACTTTATAAGGAACTGACAGGTAGGCTTGCAATTAGTGCCGTATTCTTGAAGCGAGTTATCGTCGGACGTGCGTTCTTCAGGCCGAAGTTCTTGTCATTCGTGTCGATGTGGTCGCATTGGAGCGAGCAACCGTCCTTCCTGTAATCACTCTTCATAGCTCTTACGGCAGCAGCCTCGCCCATTGCGTTTGAAGGAAAGAAGATCTCGCCACAGGGGAAAATTTTCCAGACGAGGATAAGTGATCAACCAATTGGCCAAGAGATTATTTACCTCTTGGAGGAATTCGCCCTGTTCTCTGGAGAAGACGTCGTAAATCGACTCAAAATGCTGCAAATCGTCCTTTTCTTCAGCCTCTTGGACATGTATATCATTGCCGTTCATCAATGGGAAATCTTCTTAAAGGGTCGCAACCTCTTCGTTTCTGGGTTCTTCGTCGACCCTGTTTATGCAACACTCGCATTTCCTCTTGCCCTCCATGTTCGTAGAGGTTCTGGACAGCTTTCTTCACGGACTCGTCGTCACCTTTGCCTTTGATAGAGTCACCATCGGAGTCATCGTCTGTGTCTTGCTTGGTAGAAGATTCGGATTCTGGAGTTTCCTCAGAGTTGGTAGATGTGCCAGATACGGGCTTTGGATCTTTCACTGCGGACCCAAGCTTGGCGCTAGAGACTGAATCATCGTCCAGTAGCTTGGGCTCTGCCATGATAACTTCCGAGACAGTTAAAGGGGTTGTCTTGTGCCTTTTTTTGTCATTTTGCCCATTTTCTATTTCGCCCAGCATGTCATTATTCCATGTCTCAAAACCTGCTTACAACCTTCCCTTCTTACAGTACACGCTGCTCAACTCCGCCAGATCAATCAGCGTCGTGACCGTGAGCCCGCCCTCTGAACTGGACGATCCACTCAAATGCGAGTTGAGAAGCATGCAAATGGGCACCTCGTCGGAGGATACAGGATCATGCGAGGCGGTCTCATATGTTTGGGGCGTGAGACATAGCGAACACCCGATAGAATATAATGGCTGCCAAGTTGACGTTAGGGAGAATCACTTGAAGGCTTTGCGTCTTCTAGGTTATCTTAATCGTGAGCATCTGCTCTGGATAGATGCTATCTGTATCAACCAGGCCAGCGTTCCGGGTAAAAGCGCCCAGGTAGCACTGATGGAAGATGTCTACAGACTCCACTATCGTAGAAGCGTTTGTACAGGTACGAGTAAGTCTTCCTATGAGATACTCCACTCGTTGTTTCGACGAAAAGGATGGGCCGCGTTTTTGCTCAGAGCTTCGCCTAACGCAAAGCTCTCAACACCACGACAATGGCTTACGCCTTTTGCATACAACCTTGCACAAGGAAAAGCGAATGCCGCATAAAGCGGGATTGATTGTAAACCTAATAGTTGTGTCGGTCCCGAGCAGAAGCGCCTTGGAGGCCCTTTCAGACTCTGACGAAGGTTCCTTGGTTCACAGGGACCTAGACGCTACAAAAGTTGTGCTTATACAGGCGCGTGTTCTTCACTTTGGGACGTCATCTACTTTCTTGGGAATCTCTGAAAGCCTGTCTGAAGCACTGGAGCACTCTCGCGAGTCGAAAATTCGGACACCGAACAGACGAGTTCGATTTCGTCACTCTCGTAGACAGCTTCGGCATGAAGGAAAAGTATGAACTCGCCTTATTCGGAGAGAAACACGAAAACCCAGGGATTGCAAAGCTGAACTCGGTATCTCGTCACCAGTATGATTGTAACAGTTAGGAGGAGAAACGCGACCAGGGCTTTTTGCTCCATAACCTTCTCGGAAGGCTCGGTACCAGTCTGCCGAATCCGAATTACACGAACCCCGTCATCAGAGTCCATGAGAACCTCGCATGGGCCCTCTGCCTGTATTCGGGTTCATTTTGGATTTTGGGTTTGGCATATTATAGCATCGACAAACTCGACGATCTCCCGTCGTCGTTTCCAAATCTAATCCAAATCAGCTCTGGTTGGATCAAAGATTAGTGGCTGTTGCTTTAGGACCCTCCACCGATTATTGGCGAGGAACATGCACAACATCCAGGACAGTTATCAATCAAGGCTCAGCGGTTGCCGCCAGTCCCGACAACAAGCGGGACCCGGTCACCGAATGCAGGGTACATTTCAACGGCAGTAGACTCTGCCAAATGTATCAAAAAGCTGGGGGTATCTTTTGCAGCAGAGCTGTTTCTTTTTGCTGAAAGGTTAGAGTTCTTCCCATCTCGAAGACACGGGCCGAAGCTCTACCTGCTCTCATTGTGAGTTAGGTGTACAAGAATACAAGCGGCTATGATTTTAAGGCCAAGGTGGATGTTTCAACAAGCCGGTGGGCAGGTTTTCATCGGGAACTCATGATGGCTTTCATTCCCGACGGACAACTGTCGACGAGGAAAATTATGAAATCCGCTTCCCGCCGTGGACGAGGTGCGAGCGCCGACTGCGAGAGACCCGATGCACACAGTTTACCGGCTGGCCAATGATGACCGCGAATATGATAGACAATCGTACGACAGGTAGCGTGCTGTTGACTTGCCAGGACTTGAGTCTTTGGCTCGGGGGCCAAGGCATGCTGGCGGAATGCGACGGCCAAGCCCAGCCCGGTGACGTGCCAGTGGTCGGGGTCGGGGTCGGGGTCGGGTTAATGGAAGAAAGAGCTGATCCTCTGACCACCAGGCGGGGATTTCGAGGTGGTCGGAACTAGTCATATCCTGAACTTTGAGGATGACGGAATCCCAAAGCCGTTTTCTGGCTTGGACGATGACAGGTTGGAGACGTTGACTCTAGTCTAGGGGACCGCTGTCAACCAAGCCCTGTATTTCCCCGCCTCCCTTCCTCCACACCGGGCCGATCATTTCACGGATCGGAGTTATACCATAGAAAATTTCTGTTTGAGGAAACAAAGCCTGTACGAGTTGTGAAACGAAAACGAGAAAAAGTTGAGACGGCCTGGGTACAGTCAAGGTTGTATCAACGTTGAATCGGGAAATTCATTCGATGACACGACTTGGGGAGGTCCGAGCTGGTACAGCATATTCATGCCTGACTCAACGACATTCCCTCACGTCAAAGCCGTGTTTTTGTGTCGTCTCTGTGTATTTAGATAAGGTATTTCCATTTGATCGAATCCACGTTCAACACTGCACGAACACACGAAAAGTCAATAGCATCCCATGCCGCCAAGAATTCGAAATAATGGCTGCCGTGACATCCATTCTGCATAGACAAATTCTTTCTCGGAAAACGAGCCGGTGGGAGTAGCAACATGAAGATAGCATGTCCAACGTCTCCAACTTGAGTGGTCTGAATCGTCTGGACTTTCAGTACCTGAAACTGGACCTCGAACTAAGTTGCTTCTTTAGGGACCCAGTATGAAATTCATGTGGCTCGCATTACCAAATCACGCAGCTCGCCGGCCATCAAATGGCCGTAGCCGTGGCTTCATCTTGCACAACCTGCTGCAACCCTGGCCCTGTTCGTAGGAGATAGCCTGCAGGAATGCTCCGCTCACATTGCGGATGGCGCTGCTCCCACACAAAAGCCAAGACCGTCTCAACTTTGCCTCATGGGAAGGCCGGCAGTCCCAAAATTCAGGCTAGGATCATTGGCGAAATTGAGACCTGCGGCAGCCAAGTCCTGTAGAGATGGGCCAGGCCCAGCCATCCTCTGTTCCCCTCGATTCGCGTTATATGGACATCGTAGTCGTGTCCGAACCACACACTCACACTGCTTGCCACTCTCCTATCCGTCACCTCATAATCCAACCCACCGAGCTGGAACAATCTGAAGTTCCTCCTCGTCTGTCCCTTTCTCTCCCTCCCCCACCACACTCTCTTTAATCTTAAAGGAAGCAGAACTTCAATCCTTTATCGTCCAAGGAGACGAGCTTCCGGCAGGCTCACAATGTTGCTTCGTTTTCTGTTGTCATTTATCTTTGCTGCGGTCACAGTCCTCGCCGCTCCTGTCTCTATACAACAGTCCAAGTACAAACGCGATCTGGCCACGATTCAAGCTGCCCTCAACACCATCAACTCTGCGCTTCAAGGCCTCGACAACTCTGTGAAAGCCACCAACACAATCTCCCTCGGAGGCGGCATCCAGCTCCTGAACGCCGTTGGCAACGTAAAGAGCTCCATTGAAGATGCAACCACCCAGGTCCGAGGCTCCGATGTTCTCAACAAACAAGACGCGCAGAACCTCAAGGCCGCGACGGACGCCCTCACGAACAACGTCAGGGTCACCATCAACGACGTCGTAGCCAAGAAGTCCCTGGTTGATTCCCTCGGCGCAACGCCGCTGGTAGCGGTCGCGCTCCAGGATCAAAAGTCCGCCAGTGTCGCCCTCGCCCAGGCTCTCGTCAGCAAAGTGCCTCCCGAGCTCACCGCTGACGCACAAAAGAGTGCATCGGCTCTCAGCACCGTGCTGGATCAAGGCATCAGCGTCTTTGGCGGCACCTCTGTCCCGTCTCTTCCCGCCGCCCCGCCACCAGGTCCACCGGCGGCGCCTCCCGGCGCCAAGATGGTTTGCCAAGCTGTTATGCCGGACGGAACTGCCGTTGGGATCGCAACTGTTCTCGACGACCCCCCTGCCCCTCCTCCCGCTGCTGCCCCGGAGGCTTCAGCAGAGGCTTCGGCGGCGGGAGGAGGTGGAGGACTTTTGGGTGGATTAATGGGACTCCTCGGCCTTGGTAAGCATTAAGTTAAGGATGATAAGCGTGTACGATCAAGCAGGAGTTTGGGCATAGGCGCGAGGGTGTAGTACGGCAGGGTCCGTTACGAATATGCTTAGCGGTCGTACGTTATAAAAACTGGCAACTCTCCCTCCCTTTTATTTTTCTTAGTCTCCACAGTTAGTACACACTAATACATATACATACGTTACTAGCAACCACTCTTTTTTTATTTTAATGCCTGTCTAGACTACGATCGCAGGCCCTCTAAGTTCGTTGTTTTCGTTCATCTTGTCAAACTGTGACTTATGTCCTTGTCGTCAGAGACATTGAAACCAAGACCGAAAACTTCTCGCATATGCGCTATTCCTTAGGAACTAACATGGAAATTAAAGTCATCCGCGAGGGTAGGGCAGACGATATAATTGAGTCCCTCCTGATGACCTGCTATCTTCTCTAGTACAGGAAAGTGGTGTTCTGAATATAAAGGCGTGGACAAATTTGGTGAGTACCATCGGGTAGCAATCCAGAAAGGGCTCGTGAGTTTCGTACGGGTTGTAAACTTTAGGACATTGAGGAAACTCAAAACTCGGCTGCAAATTGGACCTATGTTTATGTCAAAAGACTAAGTCCGTTCTCGCTACTCAAATAGATACAAAACAACACTGAGGAAGAATAACTGTTGCAAGTCGGATGGACTGTGAACAAAGGAATAGTGTTCAAAAGACTGACAAGATTCCCGACAAAACTGTTTCTCTCCTCCGCTTTTTGTCGACGAAGCCGTTTTCCCCGTTCTTCAGAGGTCTCGTGCTTGATCAATATTGTGGTCACGTCATGGTCATGCCCTATCGCGAAGATTTTATTTTCCGTTTCTAGCTAAGTAGCCGGCGTTGGGCAACCTGAGACCAATTAATTCTTGTAATATGATTTCCATGTGCAACAAATGCCTCGCGGCAAGTTGCCGTTTTCAGCTACTCAGTACGTTTTCTTCATGAAAATCTCCGCCTTGGTCCTAGGCTAGTTTACCTAAACGGGAGGCAACTTTGACAATCAGCAAGATTTCGTAGGCCCATCACAAATCTTGTCGTTCAAAATTGCTATCAAGCAACACTAAAAGTCCTGTCCCGCAAACTTCGGGTCTATGAGTAGATCTTCTTGGACGCACTTGCGATTGGTTGCGCCTGTACCTTCTGGTGGCGGCCTAGTCGTCGAAAGCTGTTAATTTACATTCGTTAAAGAAAAAATAAAGTAATAACATTCGTCGCATCCCCGAAATGGCAGCGTCGTAGGAGAAGCCTACTCGCCCGCAAGTTCCCCGCCCCGGTCCGTTGGTCGGCCTGCCTGAAACTTTGCAAAGGTACTCGATACCCTTGTAGATATGTCGTCCACTCGCAGGCTGCCAGCGACCAAAGCATGAGACACTGCTCTCGGTCCAATCCGCCTCTCGCTTGGTAATGGCCCAGTCAGCGTCCCTACGCAATAGTCTTGCACTGATTTAGCGGCATCCTCCGGCGCAGCCAAGGTCTTGAAGTCTGCCTTCCAGTTTGGGTTGACCTGTTCTATAGCTTCGGCAGGTTCTTCGATCGTGTCCTCGAAGGTCCTATTGCGGCCGTCGAAGACGATGTGGACTTCCTATTCATAGTCTATGACTCTGTGATCTTCGAGGGGCCCTTCCTGGGCGGCGTCCTTGTCATCATCTGGTCAGCTTTTCGAACGACAGAAGGACAATTGAAGCCTGTGCAGTGAAAACTTTTTCACAAGGCCGTTGGAAAGAATCTCCATGGTGGGTGCCAATGACGATTCTTCAGCCGGAAATGGAAAGTAACTTGTTCGCATTTGAGTTGTGAATGTCAGGGAGGATGTAGGATATCTTGTCCGAGTTTGAGAGCTTGACATGCCCCTCTTATCTACAGATTCAACACCTGTCCCACCGATGGCGACTGGCCGGAACAATGTCTTGTGGCGCCTCGGATAAACCCACATGCCCTCTTGCGTAGATGCCACGGATATCAAGACATCGAAGAAGTGTTGGAGTTCCTTTCAATTGGAGTCTCTGGCGATGACTCCGGGTCAAGCTCTATTAGGTGTTACCGTCATCGTATCAACTCATGTGACTCGCACATTTTTGGTGCCGAGTATTTTAGATTGCTGGAGAATTGTCTACTATATAACATGTCTCTAAGAGGCTGTCGGAACATAATGCAAGTCCAATTCGATCGCCGAGTGCCCAAGTCCAACAGATCCACCACTCTGACCTATGCAAGCTGGCAGACAATTTCTAACCAGCGGCGCTAACCTCAAAGGTTTGTACACTAGCCTGGATTACTATATACAATAATTTGCAAGTATGTATTGGAATTTGATCATACTCCTGCCATTCCAGCATCCAAGCTGACCCCGACTTAGCATCCGATATCCCCATACATACACCTTCTAACTTCAACGCTCAGAACCCCCTCTCTATTTCAAGGGATTTCCCTCTCGCTCCTGTGCTGTAAACTTTTGTACGGACGACCTTCGAGCAAGAGGCCGTCCCTCATAAGGGCCGAGGACTTCCCGATCAAGACTCAACGGAATCTCGCCAGACGTCGCCTCGCTGTCTGGCCGCAAGGGTGTTCTCGCGTCCTCGGGATCCGTGTACCGGCTGAATCGCGACTGGATAAAGAGTGGCTGTGCTACGCCGTAGTGACTGACCGGCGGCGTCTGAAAAGGATTGTCCCGAAACTCTGGCTGACCAACGTCCACCTCTTGGAGATACGGGGCGGCCGACCGGCGCACTGACATCATCCGCGAGATGCCACCGCCGGCTGACCGCATGGAGCCACGCATGGACCGGACAGACCCGCGAATCGATCGGACACGGCTGTAGGCTTCTGGTCGGGGTGGTAGCACCACGGGCTTTTCGCCATTCATGCGTCTTGTGCTGAAGGCGACAATGGTGCGGCCGGACCCATCGCGGCCTAGGCCGGAGGAGTCGACGATTTCGTATGGGTGGCCCAGGCCGGCCAGCTCGTCTTCAATCTCTTCCCTGGTGAGGAGGGCAGCCTCGTAGTCTTCTTCGCCGGGCTTCGGCTTCCTGGAGTAGTCGCCCGGGGCTTTGGATCCGTTGGGGACGTGGAACAAGAGATCGACGCGGACCACGGCGTAGAAGACCACGACAAAGATTTCCAACATGAAGCCAGTGGTGTAGAATACCTCTCTGCTGAAAAGCTTATTTGGTGTGTTGGGTACTTCGTCCATGATCGTTGCGGCGAGACGCACCGCATGACCACCAATCAACAGTATGGCGCCGATGAAGAGAACGGCAATCTTTTGGTGCGTATCACCCTGACCGAATCTCTCGGGTCTGGGTCCCGGGATGACGGAGGCCAAGGTAACGATTACGATTGGTAGGATCGCAAGAAGCATGATCCAAGAGATGCCGGCTTTGAGAACGTTGAGTGCCGTTTGGACGCGGTCTTGGTCCTCAATCTTGAAGAATGAAACACCAATCGACGTGCTGTTTGAGAGTACCACGGCCGGTACAGAGAAGAGGAAGAAGAGAATAAAGACGCGGAAGGCGGGATGCCATCCAAAGTGAGGATGGATTGACCGAACGATTCTTTGAGCAAAGATGATGTTGACCACCATCACCACCACAGCTCTGTAATTTTATTAGCAAGAGAGTCAGAAATGATGGGATATGTACGCCAATACGTACCCTCCGAATTGGACAATAAGTGCAATAAGAATGACCACTCGACCCTTTTCAAACGCCCAGACGATTCTCATGATACAGGTGACGGTTCTGACCATGCAGAAATCAAACATGAGATCCGAGAGCAGGAACTTGTGACCTCTTTTGGCATTGGCCCGGTAGATTCTAATGTGCGTGTACGCGCCAGCCGCGAAGAGCAGCAAGAACAGGAACGTGACCGGCACATCAATGTTAGTCGTTGGGTCGCCGCCGATGAAAGCACCTTGAGAGGGATCAACGAGTCTCTCGGCCGGGGGCTGTTGGGGCACTGATCCTTGCGGGGGAGCTGCACCATTCGTGCTAGCCGGCAGAGCGATTGGCATTGATTTCGATGTCGTCCTTGACTGGCTGTTCGTTGTAGTAGGTGCTGGAGGCGGAGAGAATACCGGTGGAGCTGGCGTAGTAGACGGAGCTTGCTTCGTTGTTGATGTTGTTGTTGGAGGAGGCGGCGGTGACGAGGGAGGTGCTATGGAAGTAGAGATTCCCAAAGTGGTGGTTGGAGGAATTGATATCGATGTAGTCGACATCGTTTTGGGGGCCGGTGGAGGCGGCGGCGACGTTGTAGTTGATGTCGTCGATGTCGAGGTTGGCGGGGGAGGCGGCGGGGGAGGTGGTGGTGGTGGAGGAGTTGTGGGAGCGGCCGCTGTTGCTGATGTTGTCGTCGTCGACGTTGCGTCAGCTTGTTGCTGTCCCGTTGGCAAGTCGGCAATGAAAGACGTTGCATCGGCAAGCTGCCTCTCTTCCAGTTGAACTGGCTGCAGGAGAGGCTCGAGTTGGAGCCCTCCTGCTGCTGCTGCTGCCGCCGCCGCTATCGTGGTGAGTTTGAGGAGCCACATGTTGGGGACGTGAACGTGAGATGAAAATGAGGGCTTTGTATGCCTCTCAAGGGGCTTTCTCTCAATTGCGATGAGAAATTAGTTTCAAGCCATGCCAGCATGTGGTAATCGTGCAAAGAACAGGTCAAATGCCTCGACGGCCGATCTCGAAGAAGATTAAAGAAGCAGAAGAACGCAAGTACATAAAAAAAACAAAAGATCGACTTGTCACCTTACACGACCTCGACATATGAAGTTGACCCAACCCGCCGTTGAAGAGGAGGGGCGGGGCGGAGGGTTAAACAGAGCAAGGATGTCGTGCAACCCAGGCCCTGGTCGGAAATGTCGGCTGGGAACACTGACGACGCGATTACCGATACACCTGAAAGAAAGATGGCGTGTGGTCCTTGCAAGGAGTCTTACTGTCTGGTCATCCCGGGGAACAGAACACAGCCGTGTCAAGTTGCTCTTCGTGGCGGGCGCCACTCGGATCTGTGTGTAAGTTGATAGAGTTAGAGAAGGAGTTTCAGCGACAGGGTCTGCCCGCCACGCATCCGCGCGGATACATGCACCATCCCTTGTTTCTACTCCTCCACCCGCTATGATTTTCCTACAGTCCCCACCTGGACAGGGGGGGGGGGGGGGGGGGGGGGGGGGGCTCCTCGCACGGGCGCTCCCCCCCCCCCCCCCCCGGCGCTCCACCCCCCTCCCTTTTGTCTTCTCCCCCCCCCCCTTTTTTTTTTTTTTACTCCTTATGTGGGGTGGGGGGGGGGGGGGGGGGGGTGTTGTTTGGTTGAAAAAAATATGGCGAGCAAGCCCCCCAATTGAGCCACTTCCTATGGGATGCGGCCTATCACGCACCAGACGGTCAAAGAGGTTTTGACGTTCTGAGGCAGCTCCGTGACAGCCTGTGGAAGATGGGATGACCGTCCGACATACCCGGTCTGCTTGTGCCATCATCGTCAATCGAAATGGGGGGATTATGGCACCCAATGAAACATGCAGAGCGTAGAAAACGGACTAGGAGGAAGAGCGCTAGGAAGCCGGTAAGCAGCAGGCACATAGTGAGGCGCACATGGACCATAACGGCGATCGACCGACACTCTGCATCCCGCGTACGTACCGGCTGTAACGCACCACCGTGAGTCGCGGGTTGAAGTCATCGTCCGAAAAAAAAAAATTTCGTACGCTAGGAGTAGGATCGCAAGGCTCGGATTGTGTGCCTGGAGCCGGTCAGCTGGTCTGCTGCCAATCACAACAGATACGGATACGGGGTTCGTCTCTTGGGTTCCAGGATTGCATAGGGAAAGTCTACCGACCACCCTCAACGGAAACCGTCTCGTAGGCTTCAAACTGCATCATAACTCCATGCAACCCTCCATCACGGCAAAGGGGGGCCAGAAGAAGGATTAGCCTGGGAGCCATAGTCAACGAAACACGACTTGAGGCTATTCATCATCGCTAATACTCTCTCACTTCAGAGCGTCTATTGATGCTTAAAGTATCTAGGTTCAGATGGCAATTCACGGCATGTGAGTATAGAGGCCTTGTACCATTTCCAGGCATTTCATGATATCCTTCACGCCTCCGGTCCTCAACATTGCATGGAATTAATCCCATTATGTCCAGGCAGAGAGGTAGTGCCAGGATTGGGATCGGGCGTCCATGATGTCCCTTCCATTTTCGGTGGTGGAGTTGGGCCCTATGGCCCTACAGGAAGGCTGATGTCAACTAGTCATCTAATATCGCCCTGGTCAGGATTATCCCTGGTTCTGGCCTGGTCCATGAGCCCCCATATTTGAGATCATGAGTCTCTCCTCGATCGATGTTTGTATGAAGCGGCTCAAATGGGCATTGGAGGGTGACATGTCGGCATCGAGCGCATGCAATAAGCGGTACGCTCTGCTACTGGTTGAGTGGCTCAGTCTTTTGACATACCGCATGCGTTTCTACATTAAGAACTGCGTACATGTATGCTTGCCCCCCACCCTACCTATATTGGTTGCTATTTATACAAATATTTACTCCCTTAGTGCTTACGGGAGCCATTTAAGCTTGATGATGACCCTGTTTTACGGAGTACATGCCGCGATACATGTCATCTCATCAGCCGCGATCCTTCAGAACAATATACAGGATTGGGGTTCTCGAGGTGCTGACGGGGCTTAGATCTCGGTCAGCGATCATTTACAGAATCTCATAGCTGAAGAAAACACCGCCGGTGAGCCCTCGTGGCTGATGGCGATTGGGCATCGCCGATCACCAGGCCGCGGATTCCACAACACAGACGGGGCCGCTGTATTGGGCAACTGGTTTCTGAATTTCATGCTCGATAGCCTTTACTTCTACAGCGGTGGTGTGGCACGGCAGCGCTCGTCATTGGCGGGATGCATAACCTATGCGAAATCCGGACTTATTTGATTCGATGATATAGGGCCATGACAAAAAGACCGAATGATCGATCCGCCCCTACTTCCTCAACCAGTCTACAGTCCCACGTGAGCCCGTAGAAAGTGGTAAGCACCTCGTAAAATCTATGAACAGCCTGATAATTCATATCCAAGATTGTCACGGTCGAAATATGGTATGAGATCCGAAGAAACAGTCTCATTGATGGAAGTCTAATCATTGACAATTGGCATGGCCTCGGGGAACGGACATTGTCAGATCGCGACTTTTGCACTGACGGCCGGTTGGCCCGCTGGATATCAGGTGTTCTTTGACGGGCGTGCGCCGAACCTAGACCTAAAAGCACACTACTACAATGACTCTGCGCAGTAAAGATGTCAATGTTCTTCAAATCGATAGAGCATCGCTCTCATAGACCAAGCAAGTTGACGCCGCAGGCCAGATCGAGCCCGAGTTTGAAAGTCTGCGTGTCGAGGTGAGCCGATTGGCCAACCCGCCAACTTGCCTTTCTAAAGAGGTTATGAGTCCGTTTCACTAAACAAAAGGCGTCTTGGTACCACGGTTGGCTATACCTCTTTGAATAAGAAAACAAGGTTGTTCAACCTCCATTGCTTCATCGCAACAAAATCATAACGCACTGGGTCTTCCGATCTCTCCCGTCCGTGCCGTCTTCGGGAGGCTGAGGCATTGCGTACCTGACAGCGAAGGCTAAAAACTTTGACAAGCCTACTCGATAAACGGATTTGCCTCCAACCGCCCTCCAAAACCTGCTCACGGACGTTCGCATAATCTTACCTGGCATCAGGTCAGGGGGAACTGAGCCGTCAAGGTGCTGGAAGTTGACTCTCCCCCGTCTCCGTCTCCCAAAAGTCCCATTAGGTCTAGAACTTTGGTCATTCTCGGCCCGGTCTCTTGCTTTGCGATCACTTGTCATCCATCTTATGTTTATACCTTGCCTGATCATCAATGTTGTTGATTTTCGGAGACTCGGGCCTAACATCGCTCCAGAGACCGCGATCCCGAATGAAAATGATCCCAGCCGAGTGCAAAGTGCATAATCTTGCCCTGAATGGCAACAAAAAGGCAAGGTGGCAAGGTGGCAAGGAGGCAAGCTGATGTCGCTGCAGGAAGAATGGGGGGGCATGTATCTGCGGACTAATAGTGAGGCTGAATTTCAGATATCACCAACCGCGAACCAGCCTAGACTGTAGATGGTCTTGCTATCTAAGGACTCTCGGTCCCAGGTTGTGCAGCCCAGCTTATGTTTGGAAAAGTGTGTATCCCACGACCGGATGATCAAACTCACCCTAGAGGACTGGCCGCACCGCCCAGCTTGTGTCCTTTGCTGAGGCCATGGAATCCTCCTAGAGATCCTTCTAGAGATCCTTCGAGAAAAGATCACTCATAAGGCTGCAAATATATCGTACTCAGAATATCTATATAATCTCACGTCAGACGGAGCCAACAAGAATTCTGCACTCCTTGTCCTCAACACCAAAAGAATACGATTGCCGAACAATGCAGCACTAGCGTGTTCCTGATGTGTGCTTACTCACGGTGACACGAGGGTGTCCCTGTGCTCAGGCTTGAGAATGAGTAAGAAAGTTCGTGTGCAAGTTGAGCTTTTGCGGCCAGTGCCTCACACTAGAGCCGTCACAAAGCAACTAAGTTCAGCTCATCTTCGGGTCGCTCTCTAGAATAAACGCAGAACTGGAACGTCGATCTCACAGCCCATTACATTCTGCAGTCTTTAACAGAATCATGACGCTTCTGAGTACTAAATAAAGCCAGTGCCATTGCGATAACTCATATTGATTCGAAAAATTGTTGATTGGGTTGTTCAAGACCGCCTATATTAACCCATTTAGACCTGACCCGGGGTCTCGGGGCAAAACACTTCGTAGGACAGGTACACCCCGAATCCCCGAAAGCGATCCCTTTTCCAACACGAGCGGGGGATGTCAATGACAAAGTCTTGGGGTCAAACACGAATGAAGCGCCACCATACGCTGTTGTTCGAATACTCGCCCTCTAGCTTGGCTCACTCACTCTGTTGGCGTCGTACTAATTAGGCTCTGGCAGATCACCCGCAAGGGTTCCGGCAAGCCTCTGAAAACTGCTGCGGGGTAGTAGTAGATTTGCCATCCTCGTGGAATTGACGGAGGAACCTAGAGTCCATTGTGCCGAGGGCCCTCTCCACAAACTGCTGAGGAATTCCGCGGTTGATGAGACAATTTGGCGTAATTTTGACAAAGTCGGACTTAGCGCCCGGCTATAGCAAGCCGGTGGTTGCTGGTCTGAAGAAGCGAACCAGTGTCTACGAAGGATTCAGCGCGAAGTCATGGGCCTCGGCAAGGATTTGACACCCAACATTCCATACCTTCATTGACGGAGATAAAAATCACGTCTCGTTGACCTCCAAGACCAAGACACTCATAACACGAGACGTCCAATAGCACAAAAGGTCTTACGACGAAGCTTTACGCAGCGACCAAGTACGACCTACCGTCATTGCTCACGAGTAGCAGAGCGAGTTCAAAACACATCAAGCACAAATGGCCTCGGAAAACCTGTTTCCCAGGCCGCCCTATGACGCCCAGCTGATCCCGGCCCTGAGCCGCACGACGGCCTATCCGCGATCACGGGATGACATAGTTCACGGGCGGCAAATACGGGCGACCGCAATGGCACCGATGCAAGCGGCCGTACGAAACGACAAGGAGTTACTAGTAGAGGACCGTACCATCCCCGGACCCGGCGGCGAGATCCCCATCGTCATCCTGCAATCCCGGAACCCCAAGATGGCCAGCGGCCCACGTCCAGGCATCGTCTTCTACCATGGCGGCGGCATGGTCCTCGGCGACGCGTTCCTGGGCATCCAGCCATTTGCGCGCATGGCAAAGGACTTTGACGCCGTTGTCGTCAGCGTAGAATACCGCCTGGCCCCGGAGCACCCGGCCCCCGCGCCGCAGGACGACTGCTACGCCGGCCTCCTCTGGACGAGCGAGCATGCACAGGAGCTTGGCATCGATCCCGCGCGCCTCATGATCGCGGGCGCCTCGGCGGGCGGCGGGCTCGCGGCGGGCGTGGCGCTGAGGGCGAGGGACACGGGCGGACCGAAGCTCTGCGCGCAGCTGCTCGTGTACCCGATGCTCGACGACCGGGACACGGGCGTCGCCAAGAGGCAGTTTCGGGACGACACGGCGTTTGACGCGCTGGATAACAACGCCGCGTGGGCTTGCGTCCTGGGAGACAACGCGGGCGTGGAGGACGCGGACGTGAGCCCCTATGTTGCGCCGGGGCGGGCTACGGAGCTCTCTGGGCTGCCGCCGGCGTATATCGATGTCGGGACTGCGGAGCCCTTTCGGGAGGAAAACGTGGCGTATGCGACGAAGCTGTGGGAGAGCGGCGTGCAGGCGGATTTGCACGTCTGGAGCGGCGGGTTCCACGGGTTCGATCTACTGGGCATGGCTGTCGGGTCGGATGTCGCCAAGGCTGCTCTCGAGACGAGAATGGGATGGGTCAGCAGGATATTTGCTGCTAGTTGACGATCAGATTGAATAAGAAGATGAGGGGCTTGCATGAGACTACGCTGGTCGTTCAACCATTAGTCGCCAAGCCTCTCGATCGTCGTCGTCCTAAACCTTAGCCGTCTCCCATCTACCAAGAACGCAACTTAAGAGAAGCTCCTAATTCCATCCGGACCACCGGTTGAGTTCCAGGAGGCATAGGGGAAGCCCACTTGTGAATGCTTGCTTCTCTAGTGAAACAAACACCAAGAGCCCGCAATCAGCAAGACTAGGAGATCTTGCAGAAACGCGGCCACGACTTTCACGATTGAAATCGACTCAGCCACCTATCTGATAGCCATTGAAACAGTCTGATCCTTCTTCCTTTTTTTCGAATACGGTTAAAGCGGAAATTACATGTATGCTGCAAGCGGTCAGATATCAATGTCTAGTGGCTTGCCAAGGTCTGCACGTCAACGTCAGACGAACAGATTCAGAGAAACGACAGGTGTGCTGCCGCAAATCAACCAAAAACATGCGAGCGCGGCAGCCGCCGGTCCACGTCAAACTCGCCTTAGTGACTGACGGCGCGCGGCTGGCTGGCGAACAGATCCTCTTGATAGCCCTCCTCAACAAATACCCGGGTGGCAGGTTAGCAGGCAGGTAGGTACACCTGACTCTGTCGTCTAAGCGCCAAACAAAGACAGGTAGGTCAAAGTGCTCAGTCCACGGCTTCTTTGCCTGAACTCGGATGACGGGACCGACTAACGGCGTTGACACGAGCAGAGATCCAAACAGTCGAGCAGAAAATACTCCACAGAGAATGGGGGAGGGGGAGGCGGGGACAAATACGAGGCAGAAAAGAAGGTAACAGAACAAATGCTGTCCACCCCCGGCTGGGAAGATGCCGGTGAGCCCGTCAAGAGGTGTGTGCCTCCGTTTCAGGGGTTGTAACGTGGTTGACCATGGTTATTCGGCTGCCGTCAATGCGGGGATAGGTCGACATCGAGGAGGAAAAAAGATGAGAGGAAGTTTGGAAACACAATGTGCAGACTGCAAGGGGAAGGAAAACAAGGCCACCACACTGGTAGCTGAGTGGGGAAAAAAGCCGTGACTAGGAGGACACTTCGAGACGCGTTTCGCGCCTTGGCCATCCGGGGCCACGGGCTCCCGTCATTAGTCCAGACGGCACAGCCCGTTGTGCGGTCTGCGTCGATCATGGCGATCGATCCATGTCCTCGTTGTGCCTTGTTAGTGAAGATGGATGTTTGAGACTTACATATCCGTGGTGAAAGTGCCCCGAACCCCGTGTCGACTTGGTGGAGAAGCGGGTCGAGATTCAAACGTCGAAGTGATTACGTTGCCTTTCTTGGACCTCTGAATCGTCGACGGTATTTCGTAATGTCGCATGGAGATGTTACCTCGCACTATTCAAGGCCTCGACTGTCTACGGAGCAATACCTGCGCAGATGGAATGGATATAATACAACTCTCATTCAGCGTGACGAGGACCAGGGCCAGATCCCGCGTAGCTTCAGTGTAGACTCACAGAGCAATGCTCATACCGTCAGCCTCGGGGAACTGATGTTGGCTTCAAGTCTTCATGAGGAGTAAATAGCGAATAGAGCAAAGCAACTTGATTTGGTATGCAGGATCTCCCGGAAAAGTATGAAGATATGCCGGCGTCTGGATATGTGGCATCAAAGGCCAACAGGACTGAGACCGATGCCGCTGCTCGTGCGGCACCACCGGCTATCCGGCGTCGGTCCAAACCGTTCGAGTCAGAGAACCATTGGAAGAACTCGACGCCATCCTTCCAGGTCTGTCAGGTCACATCAAATACGACAAAACATCAGACGTTCTTGGCGGGTTGAACTGATGCTGTTCTTTGCCCCCCTCCCCCTCCCTTCCTTCACGAGTGCGATAAACTCGCTAAAACTCTCACATGTACAGAAGCTCTCAATATCTAAAACGATGGAAAAGATATCCGATAGTCGAACGGATTGTTTGAATTATCCGTGGAGACGTCATTAGGAGGATCGGTCCGGTTGGGAGGCGAACCGGCGGCCGACTCGGGTTACACGGGGAATCGGCCTCGTTGCCGGCGACCGTTCCGGGCCCAAGACAGAGAGGTTTTGGGGAGTGGGGCTCCCTATCTGGACATCTGAATCTGGGACTTCAAACGTAAACTCAATCTTGATTTCATCCGCTCCCTTCTTGATTGTCAAGCGAACCGGGGTCCCGGATCGGGATCCGAATGGAAGGCTCGGAACGAGTCCAAAGTTGCTGGGCGCCTATTCTACCCCACTCCGTACAACTCTCTAGTAAGCATAAGTGCAGATGGGGTCGCTTTCTCGGGCACGGGGAAGGCACCGGTGGGCAAGGTGTCTTTATCCCAAGAAACAATGTGTGTTTACATTGGCCACCGTGAGTAACATCAACCGTCCATGCCGCTAGAAACGATGTCATCAGATCTTCTGGACATGAAAGGATATTATCATTTCGGGCATCTCGGGCATCCCCAAACAATTTGAATCGTCTTGTCCTCGTTTATGAGAACCATCCCACCGGCTCGGCAATGGCTGCGGAGGGCAACTTGGACAAGAGCAAATCCGTATGAAGGATGCCTCGTCGGCAGTGAACCGAACCTGTGCCTGTATTGCCTAGATTGAGTCTAGCCACCTTGGTGCCGTTTGGCACGGAGCAGTGCCGGGCTGACTACCAAGCTGCGTTCCAAAGATACGGATGCGGACTCGGACCAGAATCAGGGTTCTCGACATCTTTACTCATTATGGAAGTGCCGGAAAATCCAAATGTTCGGCAAGGCGGGCGTGATGACGACCAATGCGCCCCAATCGCGCCCCCAAAGTCTAGATCGACCATGCCGTCGGAGAGGCACGCTCCTCCGGTTCACCACAAAGAAGGGGGGCCAATTCCTCCGCCCGTCGCTGTGGAACAAGAACTGGCAAACTCAACCAGCTAGCAAGGCTAGCGTAACAACTGAAAATGCGAGCCTGATTCAGTCGTCCTCCTTTTTTCCCCTCCTTTTTCGCCCCTGATTGGTCGAGGAGAACACCATCTACGCGAGAGTAGCGGAAATACGCCCATCTAGTCCGGTCTAGCATCGCCGCATCCGGCGTCCGCGCGCCACCGCCCGTCCCGACTTCCCCATTTTCTAGAGCTAGATGGGGCTGGATGAGGGGAGGCTTAAGTAGATCTCGAACCTTTATCAACATTCCAACGAAGCCCAGCCGGCAAATCCAGTCGGCCGGGGCGCGCCAGGAGATTAGCAAAGTTGGCTTTTTCGCAAGACCCTCGCGCTCTCGAGTCGCTGGCTCTGCTTATGGTCGAGCCAGCCATGCCAAAGGGGGAGGGGGGGGGAGGCTTGAATCTCAAACCGCGCCATCATAGCCTTCGAACTGTCAGAGATCAGCCCATCGGCTTTGTTGAAGTCAATTGAAGCCAATTGAGCGGACGGACGCTAGATACCTTCAAAGTCCGCGTCAGTATCCCGCCGGACATTGATCAACACCTTTGCGCTGCGAATGCTCCATATCGCTGTGCCATATCCCCCCCTTGCGTTGTGAAGCACATTCGTCCTCATCATCCTCATATCCTCGGCTCGAAAAAGCTTCGTGATTACTTTTTCGCAGAGTCAGTGATTGTTGTGGAGGACAATGTCATGAGACTCTGAATCGAGCCTCATCAGCCATTCTTACCCGGGATTGTCGGCGCCCTACATCTTTCCCCCTGGGACAAGCCTGCCGGGGCCTCTCGAAATCAGTCATTCAGTCACGATGGCAGCCGGCAACGAGAGCTTCGCCGCCAGCCTTCAGCGTCAAAGCTGGATACACTACTCCATAGGGATGACCTTCATCCTGCTGAGAATGTTGGTCGAACGTGCCTCGTCAGTAACAGCAGAGCAGTCGGGCTAACATATCTCGTGGTACCTTAGGTATGGAAGAGCAAAAAGGTTAGGAGGAGTCTCCCACTTCCAGGTCGATGACTATCTCCAGATCCTCGCCGCGGTATGTTCTGCCGCCAAACGATTCCCCCCGTGACAAAACAACCACAGAGAACTAATCCCCAGTTCCGTGCCAGATCCTCTTCACCATCCTCGTAGCTCTCCTCAACGTCATCACCGAAGGCGGCGGCTCCAATCTCTACCCCCCCGAACTAGCAGGAACATTTACCCCGGACGAGATCCAAGACCGCATAACCGGCTCCAAGATCGTCCTCGTGTCAGAGCAGGCGATGCTCAACCTCATCTACGTCCTCAAGGCCTGCGTGCTGATCCTCTACACCCGCCTCACCCTCAACCTCGCCGCCCAGCGCCTCGTCCGCTGGCTGGCAATGTACGTCGCCGTCGGCTGGACCGCGACGCAAATCACAATGTTCACCGCCTGCCGGCCCTTTAGCGGCTACTGGGCCATGCCCCCGCCAGACCCCCAATGCACGACGTACCAGCACTACGCCATCCTCCAGGGCTGGTTCAACATCTCCTCCGACACGCTCATGCTCATGATCCCGCTGCCCCTCGTCTTCCGCATGAAGGTGCCCCGGAAGCAAAAGGTCGTCCTCCTCTTCGTCTTCAGCCTCGGCGTCTGCGTCATCGTCGCAGCGCTCTTGACAAAGATCTTCAACCTCAGCGACCCCTATAGCCCCAACTACATGCTGTGGTACATCCGCGAGGCGAGCGTCGCCGTGTACGTCTCGAACCTGCCGCTCCTCTGGCCGCTGCTGAGGGAGTGGTTCCCCTGGCTGCGCAACCTCAAGACGGCGGGCATGCTGCCGACGCCCTACAGACAGACGACGAACCCGCGGACCAAGCAGGACGCGAACCTGTCGTCGGGCGTCACCGTCCAAAGTGGGCACCGGGCGGCGCCGGCGGGGGTACCGGTCTCGAGTCGGCATTCCTTTGATGAATTTGGAACGTGGCTCGGCGCGAACGACCTCGAGTTACAGAAGCCGCCGCGCGCGTTGAGGTCGACGGCGAGCAGGCGGTACATCTTGGAGCACGAGGACGACGAGCCCGAGAGCTCGGCGGTCCGGGAGGAGAAGAACGAAAAGAGGATGTCGTCGATTGCGGAGTATAGCGTAGGGGACGGGGGAAGCAGCATGGGATCAAGTCCCGCGCCCCAACTGTCGCCTTTGGATGTTGATCAAGGCCGGTTTGACTGGGAGTACCAGCGCCGGAGCCGTATCAGGTCCGGGGCGACAGGCTTTACCGTAGGGCATTATCAGCTGGCGTGGGAAGATCGAGACCGGAGTCATGATAAGGCGGATGGGACAAGTGCGAGCTCGACGTAGATGATTCTTCTACAAGCTAGGGCGATTGGTTGGTTTGGCTTACCGGCGTGTACGTGTTGAGCGTTTGGGAATACCCTGGGACTGCTTTCACGGCGTTACATTGTACATACAGACATGGTAGCAGGGTCGGCACCCATAAAGGCCAGGCATCTGTGCTCAATAGATATTATTGAGATAACATACTGTAGCCAAGATCGTTGCGCAGTCGCCGTGCGTCGCAGCTGGATGTCAGTGGACGGAACGATGTCCACCGATTCGTTGCGCAGTACCAGGGGCTCGCGACGCTTGTGAGAAGTATTCGTATTCGTGTGCCTCACGGGCATTGGTATCTATACCAGGCATGAATAACAGAAAAAACAGGGTATCGAAGCAATTCCAAACAACGCGTAACATCTTTCCATCTTCGGCTCGTAGTCGTGGTATTCGCATATCTCGTCACGTTCCCGGCCGGCGGGATGGGATGCCCCCCTGCGCAGTATTCCATGGCTACCTAGCTCCCATCGTGATTCAGTCACCCGACCAACTCTGCTTAGTCCAGCCAACTCCATGTGCCCGTGACTCTGCCCTCGTCTTTATTGGCCAATCGATTGAACACGGCGGGACTCAAATCAAGGTCGGTCGGCTCGCAGCCGGTACAGCGATCTACAACAGTGACATCCACCGAACCCTCGCCGTCGCGCCTCACACGAATTTTCTTGCCGCAGAGAGGGTTGCTGTTTGGATTGCCGCCGCTCTGTACATCGTCCCACACGTAATGTGAGACCGCAACGATCATGTCGCTGTCGCTGCTCGTCTTTCCGCAGGCGCCCAGACCGGGGTCGTAGTATGTGAGGTCACCGGTGTGAACCTCTTGGTTGGTCGGAAGGGGCAGGTCTTGCTTTCCACCGCCCCGTTTGGAGAGACCCAGGCCGAGGGCGAGGGGGAGGATGAGCAGGAATAGGACTGCCAGCGGCAAGACGACGAAGAGGAGGAAACGCTTTCGGGAGAGGCCAAAGTAGGTCCTTTGCGGCGGGAGTAGAGCGTCAAAACGGGCTGCCAGGGAGGGACGGGTCTTTGGCGCAGTCGTTGCCGTAGCGGCCGCTGCGCCAGCCGCTGCGCCGGCAACTGGTGCTGCTGTATGGGTTTGATTATCCGAGAGTTGGGCGGTGTCCTCTTTTGCGAATTCGTAGTCAGTTGCGGCTGTGGTGGTGCCATCGTTGCGCTGGTGGCTAGCTGTCGCTGGAGCGAAGCGATCAAAGAATGAGCGACGCTTGTTGGCCGTGGGAGTCTCCCAGTCGGGAGTCTGGTATGTTTGCGCTGGGCGCGGGATGCCATGTTCCTCGTCGGCCATTGTGTGAGTGAGTGGTTGTCGCAAGATGATTCAATTCCGCAGTAGATATTGTACAAGCGTCAAAGCCGGTTCGAAGGCATTGTTCGCGATCAAAGACGGAGCGATGCGGTGTTTTGGTAATTGTCGCGGGAGGACGTGGTTGAAGCTGTCTCGCATGTGCAATAGGAGAGGAATAACGACAGACGCACGCCGGGTATGCGTAGACCTGGGAGACAAAAACAAGAAAGACCGAATGACGCTGGTGGTGGCAGTGACTCGTTTTCCAATCTGCAAGGTCGTCAAGTCCTTCGGGGACCCTGATGACGAGGGGGAGCCAACGAATGGCGACTGGTTGGTGCTGGCGACGATCTCCGTCCCAGCCGCCTGCCGGGGATGGGAAACTTGATTTCGCGATGGGTGTGGCAATGTGGCTGGTGAGGACGGGGGGCACGTTGCAATGCAGGGGCCGTCAAGGTGCAGCTCAACGCGCGTTGGGCTATGGTGGCTGTTGTCTCTAGCCGTTTTGGGGGTAGTCGTAGATACGTACCGATGTGGACCTGCAGCAGCGTGGCTGGCGGGGCAAACACCCTTTCCCTGATTTTGGCCCCTCTGATTCACGTGCCTTAAGGTACGTGCCTCGAGATTGATTCTCTCCCCAATCACCACCACGGCCTCAACACAAGCTTCATCCAACATGCGGATGCTCCATGAGACCAGCTGCCGCCCAAGCTTCTACTTCATTATGAAAGTGGACTCATACTCTTCTTGCTCAGTAGGAGCCGATGTCTTTGCGACTCTCAGAGATCACTCACGGATCTCCGGTCCGGATGCCTGCATCAGGCTCCTAGACCCGATGTTCCCAGTAGAATTCTCTTGTCCGTCACGGACAGTCTAACAATGCAAGAATCGGTAATTTCAGATCGCATTCTTTGATGTGTACATCTCGATGAATCATGGCTGAGGGATGCCCTCTTGGTGTGGCAGCGGGCCTGCGATCTCTTCATTACCTGTCAAGGGTCATCTCAAGTACTGCCCGGCTGTCTGACAAGAGCGGCAATAATACCCATTGAGAAGAAGTGTCTTGCCCTCTTTTGGCCCTTTAGAGGACCTACCTATCTCATTGCAGTCTAATGCTTTCCTTCTGTCAGTCTCTCTTGAAAGATGCCACCCCTCCACCTTTACAAGGTGTGTCTTGTATCAGTCTCTCACGAACCATGGTCTCGGACATCATCCAGATCGAACAATGATTCCCCAATCACAGTACCAGACATCTTGAAAAATGGAATGTTCTCTTGAATGCAGAAGGTACTCATCCTAGCAACTCAGGAAGCAACGGCTATTCCAACGATGCGGTCGCCAGCCTGATGTCTATCTGTCCCATCCTCTCCTAAGCCTTCCTATTTCAAGCCACCGGGAATGCCCAAGCAGTGTCAATCATGGTAGAAACCCATTCTTGAGCGCGGCCAAAACCCTTCCGACTATCTCTCGTGATCAAAATCGCAACCTGTCCTACAATCATCATTACAATTACACAGTTGCAAATCACAATGTTCTTCAGCTGCCGCGCCAAACAGCCTACGCCTCCGCCGCCCCGGCCGCATTGCGCCTATTCCGGCTGTGTACACAAGGTCTTGAGATGCGAGGGCCCGGTCAAAACCAGGCGCGTCCTCTCCATATTCTGTAAAACCCGTTAGCTCTGACCCATCACAGCCCAACGCGAGAAATCAGTCTGACATTGTGCTCTAGATGCCTGCCGGTCTCGCACAGGCGAGAAGATGTGCACGAACCCCAAACAGTCCGGTCCATCCAAGTACTGCGAAGATCGTACGTCGTATCTTGTCTTGTTTTTATTTTTGCATCTCCATATCCATCCCGTATTGAGACTCACCCTCTCCGTCTGCAAACCAGACAGCCGATGTCATACCCAGGGCTGTTCCCACCAACGCATCTTTGCCGACGCAAACCAGGACTGGCCATACTGCCAAAGCCGTAAGTCCCGCCTCCCTACACGACACACGCAAACATGCGCCGCCATGCTGATACCGCCTTCTCTTGGCGGACTAACCAGACACATGCTCATCCTATGGCTGCCATAACAAGCGCGCCGCCAGCTCCCAAATGTGCGTCTTCCACACGCCGCTCTGCCTCATCCCCGCCTGCGGCCACCCCCGCGTCGCCAACGGCCTCTACTGCCCAGGCCACAGCTGCATCGAAACGGACTGCAACAGCGTCATCGATGGCGGTAACTGGTGCCGAGACCACCGGCTCTGCAAGACCGAAGGCTGCAAGTCCCCGAGGGTCGTCTCGCCCGGCGGAACACACGAGGATGCTTGCTGGTTCCGTCAGTTCCCTCTGGAGAGACCTACAGTACCGATGACATGCTGACATGGCCGCGTCCCAGACTTACCGACATCCTGCAAGGCACCAGGCTGCGTGGCCGTCGTCAGCGGCGGCGTCCCCTTTTGCCCCCAGCACGAGTGCACATATCCGCCCTGCCGCGCGCAAAAAGACAACGCAAACGACGCATTGCGCCTCTACTGCTCCAGCCGTAAGTAAGATCAACTATTCCCATCTCTCCAAAAGCCTTCAGACCTGCTTTTGTCAATGGAAAACAAAACCCCGCTAACAAATAACCTCTCTGCTCCGGGGGGGGGTTGTAGACACCTGCCACCTCCAAACCTGCCCCCAACCAGCTGCCGACCTCGCGAACCCCTCCAAACCGTCCTCCGCACAGCAACCGCGCTTCTGCGTGGCGCACAAGTGCGCAAGCAGCCCAGACTGCGCCCATCCCTCGAAACCCGCCAGCCGCCGCTGCGCCCTCCACGCGTGCCTGTACCCTTCATGCCCGTCCCCGCGCGCCGAGGACCCGCTCCTTGTCTCGGCGAGCCAATTCTGCGCTGGCCATGCCTGTCGGGCTCCTGAGTGCCACGGTGCGGCGAGGTCGACGGGGACGTTTTGCGATGCCGAGCACGCGTGTGTGGTGCCCGGATGTCCCTCCCCGCGGCGCGGAGTTGGGACCGGTGGAGTGGAAGAAGAAGAAAAAGAAGGAGAAGAAGGAGGAGGAGGCAGAGTCCGAGTCGGAGCGGGGCCGGGATCGGTATGCTGCGCCGCACACACGGCCATGATTATGGCCCGCGATACCGCGACGGGATGGACCGGCTTCGAGCCAAAGTCCATGCCCATTACGCCGCCGCCGCCGCCGCCGCCGCCACACAAGCAGAGGTTTCCCTATCTCAGCCCGACGGAGGAGGCGTTGGGCCTGCGGTTCCAGGAGGAGAGGGAACGGCATGAGCAGGAGGCTCGACTTGCGGAGGAGACGCGGGCGTGGCACGCTGTCACTACGGCTACTGATGCTGCTGCTGCTGCTTCCCGTGGTGGTGGCGGTGGGGTGGACGTTGTGGGAGGCGTGCCGTTGCCGGCTGGGTTCGAGACGAGGGGGAAGAGGGCGCGGAGGCAGAGGAGCTATGATAGTGGGGTTGCGCCGAGTCCGACGGTGAGCGAGTCGACTTTATCGAGCAATTGTACGGTTGTCAGTTGAGAGGGACATTGGAGGGTGCAATGAATGGGGGGTTGGTGATGGACGCGATGGCATTCTAGTGAGAGTGTTGGAGGGCGATCATAGAGACTCGAAATAGACGGCGCTGGAGGATCATTTGCTTTCATCACGCGGGGGGAAGGGAAGTGTTTAATACCCAACTTTCTTTTCTAAATTTTCTCTGATCGGATTCCTCGCACTAATACTACCTTACTGTGAACGAATGGACAGCTTCATGTGTGCCAAGCATAACCCAAAACAACGCACTCTGGCCAGTAGCTTCTTCAAACTATGGCTCTTTCAACGAACGAAACCGCCTGATATCAAACAACGACTCGAGCCAGCGACAGAGGTCGGCAAATGCGCAGACACCCCGGCCTGGTGAATGAGAGGTTGATATCCAACGCAACAAGGTGAGAGATCAGCTCACACGACCCTCTCACACACAGCATCGCCATTCAAAATGCCAATAAGACACCTCACCGCGTCTTTCCAGGCGTAAAGGGGGCCTAAGCCCACGCTCCGACAAGACTCATGCCAAAAGCGCCAAAGAAGACGAGCACGCAAGCCCAAACGCGCTTCGAGCCCCGCAGGACGCGCCAGCTCTCATCCGACAAGAAGTCCTCCGCCAAAAGCTCAATCAGCGCAGCAAAGACGAGCAGACCCGACGAGAGGGCGTTCATGGTGCCGACGAGGATGAGCCCAAACTCCGAGTTCGGGCTGTAGAGGCGGTGGGTCGCGAGGCCGATGGCCTGGCCGATGGGCGTGGTGCAGCCGTAGGCCAGAGCCATCATCCACGGCTGGAGACTGCCGCGGGGCCAGTCAATGTTTGCGATGCGGGAGCCGAGGGCAAGGCCTTCAAAGGTCTGGTGGAAGGCGATGGCGATGAGGAGGATGACGAACTCGTGGCCGACGGAGACGCTGAGGGTCATGCCGATGAAGACGGAGTGGAAGAGGATGCCGACCTCGAGCATCATGCATTGGAGGATGTCCTTTTGGTGCTGTTGCGCCGGGGTGAGGATCACGGCGCCGCTCGGGTTGACCTGCATGGTGCGGCTCTCCTCGTCTATGATGACGCGCTTCTCGCCGGCCTGCGTGCGCCACTGCTGCTCGTTTTCGTCGCCGTTCTCCCGTGCGATGAGCGAGAGTGTCCGGCCGAGGTTACCAGTCGAGCCGCGGCTCGGGGCCATCTCCTGCGCGAAGCTACCCCGGTCACGGCGGTCGTCTTCGTTGGCGGAGCCGGGCCGGTGCGGGGAGAGGACGGCGTCGTCGGGGATGCAGCTCATCTGGCGGGCGGGGGAGAAGACCATCTCGATCATGGTGACGAGGAAGATGCCAGCCAGGGCGATGGCGCCCGGCATGGCGGGGTAGTCCTCGACCCAGAAGGAGCTGAGGCATGGGTTCCCGAGGAGATTGAAGGCGGTGGGTAAGAGGTGGACGAAGGCGGTGGCGAGGAGGACACCGGTGCCAAAGTGGCGGACGGCGAAGAAGAAGGGGCGGGGGATGCGGACGCCGGGAACGCTCTTTGCGATGAGCGGGAAGGCGCAGGCGAGGAAGGAGGTTGCGAGGATGATGAATAGGGCGCCGACGTGGAGGGGGGTGTTGTAAGCTGCTTCGTCGCCGAGGCCGCCAGTCGGGCAGGTTGAGCTGCGGGTGACGCGGGCGGGGCGTTTAGTGATGGCTTTGTGGTGTTGATGTCAGCTTATAATGTGTTGCGATGGGCGCGTAGGAAATCAAAGAGGCGCAGCAATGGTCATGAATAAGACGGGGTGAGGTGAGCCGTGGTAGGACGAGGCAGTGTGGGATGAGATGGGATGTGTGGTGTTGATACAGTTGGTTGCATATTCTGCGAGAGCTGATGAGCGAGATTGTGCTTGAAATAACTTACAATTAGCGGTTTCTTTGGATGCGACGAGGAACGACGCGGCAGCCTCGGGACTCTTGAGGGCAGAGATGATGGCCGCGCAGCCGAAGACGGACATGATCCAGCTCACCCAGCCCCAGAGGGCGGAGCGGGCGGGCGCAGAGGCCCGGAGGAGAGGCGTATGGTCATCACCACCATGCACCTTTTTGTTTCGGGGATGGAAACCTGGGGTGCGTTAGCGGGTGCTGGTCAGTGTTATATGAGATGGTGGTGGTGGTTGACTGTCATTGGTGATGCCAGCGGATGCCGCATGCACACCGAGAGCGGTGAGTCAGGTGAGAGGTGGGAGGTAAGAGGTGGGAGATGGGAAGTGGGAGAGAGGACCTTGAAGTCGTCGGTCCCGGTGATATCGACCTCCTCTGCACAACAATCACCACAGCTACCACAGACTGACGATTTCTACAGCAATAAAAAGAAACTCACCGTGTTTCCACCCTCCCGAAACGCGGAGCCTTCGATCAGGCTGCAGACGCGGCAACGTCTGGTAATTCATGTCGTCACCCCGGCCGTCGAATCCATCGCCGGCGCCGCCCCGGGCTCTGCGCTGCTCGCGTGCGTTGGCGATGCCGTTCAGGTCTTCGCAGGTGGTGAGATCGGCGGCGAGGAAGGGCGGGTTCTGGTTCCAGTCCGGGTGCTCCAGCGTGATGTCGTCGTTGCGCGAAGGGCAGTTCATCGTGGGCCCCTTTTGCCTTTTGACGTTTTGGTTTCCTACTGTAATGTGTCGATACGGTTAAATTACGGGTCCCTTTGTGATTGTCTATTGTGTCGGTATGATTTGATGTGGTGTCTTGTTTGATTGGAATCGTAAGAGGATGGAGTTATGAGAATAAGACAATGGAGATGGAATCACACGAGCTCAATCTTGCACGGGTAGGTACCGATGTAAGTACTTTCGCAGGTACAAGTTGCAAGGCACATCCGCTGAAAAGGCAATGGGGGACACAATGATGCAAGGTATCATCACACCTAAATCACGCATGCAGTTACATTCAGCCGCTGTTGTCTACATCCTTGAGGGAGACCGGGTGCGGCAGGGACCCAAAGCCTCAGGGGGCGGAACAAGACCTGGCCCAGCTGGCCGTCTTCGGGATCTAGAAATTTTTAGGGGAGCGGGGCGGGACCTTGCTTCGGCCAAATGCGGAAGCAAGTCACACAGCCAGAACTCAGCATCACCATCACCGTCCATGGCATTCACCCAGCCCAGTGTTCTTGACCGGGTGGTTTCGAATAGGCCTGCCGGGGCCGAGGAGTGGCTCCTGGGTGGACAGAGGACTCTGCCGGTGGGGGAACTTTGTAGGTACTCAATGCTCGTAAACCCAATCTTCAATGTTTGTACCGCAAACCTCGGACGCCGATGTCGAGGCTCCCGGAAGACGGCACAAGTCAGATACTTCAGACGATGCCGACTTTTACAAGTGCTCATGTTCTTCGCAGCCAACTCATCATGACTCTCTTCCCCTCTGTCAGTCACGCCCATATGCTGGACTTGGCTGACGACGATAACTTTGGTGTGCATCACCGCTAACAACCCCTCCGTTCCCTCTTCGCGCCGAGGATAAACACCAATCGCCAACACAAAGTACCGGCAATGAACACATTCCCCCCTGGCCCCAATATTAAACCGTTTTCCCGCATTACAGACACTGAACACCGCCAAACGAACGTCACTGCATATCCAGTACCCGGTTCTTCCCATTGTCGCATCGTACACCACCCAGTGATGGGCACTCCCGCTTACCCCATGGGGGCTCACTACTCCCGCTCTATTCCGAGACCTAGGCCGCGCTAGACAGAGATAGCCGACAGCACCAGATAACGGATAAGTCAGATTCAACCACGCCTCCTGCTCAGCTGCGTTGCCCTTGTGTCTTTGTCTGCTTGTCTAGGCTGCAATCTCTGCGTCTCTCTCGCTGTGACGAGGCCAGGTGTCATGCCCTGAACGGCGCCCAGACCCCAGACCGCCCGGTGCGAGTTTAGGGATGCGTCACTTGACGTGGCCCTGGCTCCTTGGCTTTGCACCGCACCTTGGCTGCTTAGGTCTTGGGAACCGCCTGTATGAAGTAGTGCGATTTCATCCCTTTGGTATGTCTTTTTCTGTCGGACGACCCAATGGAATAGTTACTATGACTGTGGAGGTAGACAGGCAGTGCGTGTGTGTATCAGCTGTTTCGAAAAGGTATTCTTGCGTCCAAAATAGCTCTTTTGCTCGATCATTTAAACATTGAACGCAGCATTGTAATTGGGACGAATTGCACCAAAAAGCAGATCTGGCCGCTGGGTACCAAGATTAGGTATGTGCAGATACACCACTCCCGATGGGGACTAGCTGGGCACCAGGGAACTGTTTACCTAAGAACCCCCCGCAGTCCGTTAAAGACCTGCCAATCAGTGCCATTCTGTTGGTCATGGTCTTTTGATCGCGAGAGCATGACCCGAAGCCATTGTGATTGTAGCAACGACTGAGCTGAACCTATGAGGTATGAGATGTGAGATGTGGAATCGCAGATTATCTCTAGAGCTGTGCACTAACAGAGGAGTGGCACAGATGAAAATAGTCTTCTTTTCTCGCTTCATCGTGGTGGTCTCGTTCTTACACTGATAAGCAGGGTCTGCTTAGAGAATACTCCCAAGAGTCAATAGTTAGTCGACACTGGACAGCGACAATCTGTTGATACTCGAAGTATTAAAGACCGCTAGCAGTCAGATTTGAAGGGTGATTGGGCCTCATTACCGGCTGTTGGAAGTTGGCGCTGTATTCGTCGAATTCCGCTCAGGAAGAAAACGGGGGTCGAGTTGATGAATGTCTCACGCAGGCGACGAGAATGAATTAAAAGCAGAGGTTTGGTGGGCTTTCCGCTGCATCACATATATGCACTATAGCTTCAAGACTAGAAACAAGTTAGCCATCCATCCTGTCCGGTTACAAAAATTTCGAATCTAGCGCAATGCATATTACTTTCAGGCGAAGTAACCTTTCTATGAATTATCTCGCAGTGAACTCACAATCGATGGGATATCTGCACCCAAATAACTTCCGTCACTAGACTTGGACTTACTCACCAACTTCCTATAGTCACCATGATCTACTATCGTATTTTCCGTTTACAATGTTCAAGACATTACATCTCAATATCTAGACGCATGCAGCGATGTATTCACTTGACTGAATCGACTGGAGTGATCTTGAAGTTGCCTTGCCCTCCAAGTCTGAAGGTTTTGAATTCTGTTGGCTTCGGAGGAGATTATATTGAATGAGTTGAACAAACAAAGAATGCTAGAGCATGTGTCTCGTGGTTGGTATGCTGACGAATCGCAGTCTTCTTCGGTTTGATTGAGGCAAGCAGTTGAAGAGGCCCTTTCTGCCTTCGCGGATGGGGCTCTCTTCATCTCTATTCGTCATTTTGTTACCAATGAACTTTTGCTGTCTGCGATACTGCGTGCACAGGGGCAATAATTCGAAAGGCGTGAGAGACGTGGGGTCTCAACATATTGTTTGCCAACCTGAGGGTCATTTTAACGACCAAAACTTCGTTATCAGTTTTTATGTCTCAACTCGTCTTATTGCTCGCTGTAGATACCCAATAAGATGCAGAAGCCGAAAAGCAACATTGTCAATAAGATTGTGTAAAAGTCGTGGCCCGAGAAATCGAAGCCCGGAAAACCGAATCGTCTGCCACTGCTTTGCAGATATCCCGTACCATTGATGAAAATGATTGAGGTAAATGGAAAATGTATCCTGTCAAGTTCCAGGCTAAAGACAACGCTAGGAGCATATTGTGTCACTCACGTCTCCAAAGCTAATGATGCTACTTTTCTCCTTGTTTATGCAGATGCTGTTGCAATTTACTAATCTGCCCTGAGCCCTGATAATTATAGGTGGTTTTGCACAATGCACACTTATAAAATTCCGTCCTTAATTTTGAGAGAAGACTAAGTGGCACTGTGTTCGTATAAAGAGTGTCTATTTGGTTTGATGAATCCTCTTGCGTTTTTGCTTTTCCATACTACTTACCTAGGTAACCAGACAAAAGGAGAAAGCAACTTCTAGTAGATATACACGCAAGGCGAAAACTTCTCGACACATTTCCAACAGACCTTCTGGGGGCAGACAATAATACTTTCAAACCTGAAGTCACCCCGCTGGATACCCCAGGAGAGGAAAGCGATGCAGGCGACCCTCGCTACCCAGTTACCGTGTGCCCTGATTACCACGTTCCCCGAGTTGTAATTCCTTAGCTCGTCCTAGGACTTGATCGAAGTAAGGTGCGCCCCGTAGAGCCCGTTGAGCCCGTCCGTTTCGTGGTTGCAGGAGTGCTGCGCGCGGAACTTGTCGACGTACTCGTTGCGGAGCGTGCGGACGACTTGGACATAACGGTCCAGTACCCGGCCTTGCGGATGGAAACGACGGACTCTATTTTCACAAATTGCATGTCCTGAAGGCCCCTTGATGTCGGCTCTGCGATGGGCTTCTCCTAGTTGGTGAAGCATAGGTGCATTGATGTTGAGCCGAATGCGTTCTTGGGCCGGCCGTTGAAGAGGTTCCTGTTGATTACTTTCCAGAACGACTCGCCGACCTCCGACACCATCGTTTCCATGACGGAAGAGAACATGACGAAGCCCGCAAGGCCTATATTTCCCAGAACCCGCACGATGGCCTATTCGTCGGAAGCCTTAAGCGGGTCGCGGATTAACTAAGATATTGACGTCAGCACAGTAGATGTAGAAACATAACCCCACGTTGACAGACGTGGATATTTATGATGCCGAAGGGGTTTGGTGACGACTCATAGAAATGAGAGAGGATTGTCTAACGTTTTCCGGGACAACTATGAAGTCCCCAAAAGAGATGCCACAACACCCACACCGTCATGGACGTCGGCTCGCCATACCGCCTGAAGGACTGGTCGTAGTGCACGCCAATGGCATTGTTGTCCGTTGTGTTGTTTCGGAGGGGCTTACACTTCACCTTCAGGGTGGCTTCGTCGCCCCAGCCGGTGGCCTCGGCGACGAAGTTGCGGAGGAACAGGTGGTTGCCGCAGCCCTGGGCCGCGCCGTCCTTAGAGCTGGCCTACCAGTCTTCCGTGTGTGCTTTGACGGTTGCTTCTGTGAAGATCTCGGAGCGTTCCGCACGCCCAATGGCGCGAGGGATTTGAAGTAGGATTTGCGTACGGAGAGGACGTCTTCAGGGGGGATGAGGCTCTTGATCAGGAGATAGCCGTGTTGGCGTTATCGTTGGCGGAGGTCCAAGTCTTCTTTGAGGTGGGATCGAATGAGGTGCTCGACTTCGTTGGCGGAGAGGGGGTCATCGTTGACGTGTAGCTGGACACCGTTGATGGTGGGAGGGGCGTCGGACACAGGTGGTTCTACGAGAGGCATCGTAATACTTTGGGGGGTGTTTCAAAGCGAGTCTCTTCTACTTGCCTTGTGTCGTATAGGTTGCGGAGGATTTCAGATCCGAAACATTTTACAAGCAATGAGAGAGAAGAGCTTTGTAGCAGCAATAACACATGAAATCAAGTCTGAAAGAGCGTGGTCATCGCTCAAGACTTCTGAATCACTTTATAGACCCTCCGTCATCCACATCTCGAGACCAGTCGTAGAGAAGTCGTCACCTAACAGTGGCGTCCTTGCACACATCCACAACGCGTGAACAGGAACATCACCCGCGGGATGGGGCAGCTAGCCGGCGAAAAGTTAACCAGTCGGGCACACCCGGCGGGACGCTGACCATCCTCAACCCTTTCCTCACAGACATATTTCAGACATGGTGTAGATTTTTACAAAGGATTGTTATTCATGTGATTAAGATTGCGTGTTTCTGATCAATGTATGTGTCAGGCTGTCTTAACACGCTCGGGATATTTAGTTATTGGTACACGTGCTCGAAATCATAGCGTCCCCCAGGAACGCATGATGAAAACTGACTGTTTCTAGGGGGCATCGTCGCAACCCTGCTCATCAGTCAAGGAGCCGAAAATGCCCTCCTCATACGCAGCATCAAGGCTGTTCTGGAAGTTGGCGTCGATGAACGGCACCTGAGTATGCTCGTAATGGACAACCGACAGCGCATACGCGGCCTCGGGGGTAAGCTCATCCCAGGCGACGAGTTTGCGCTCAAAGGCGTCGTCGGCGTTGTTGCCCGTGATGTATCCCATGGCATTGTCCCGAATCTGCATTTGGGGGTGCGTGGAGTTCACGTAAGAGATGGTGCCCGGTGGCGCCGCGTCCCATTCCAAGTGGTCTTTAGTGAAGGACACGCCAACGGGGAAGACGCGCGAAACGTCCCCATCGTCCATGCAGCCCCATCGGTTGACCCAGACGACGATGCTGGCCCAGTAGTCACGCTGGCCCTCGTCGTTATCCCCTCCCCAGCGGGCCTTGGGGAAGTAGTAGCTAAACATGACACCGACATGGCCTTGAGTCTTTCCGCGTCGGACATAGACCTGTCCTGTTCCGCCATTGCCACATCCGCTTCTTCTGTGACCCGTTGGCTTCAAACCAGCTCTGTGAATAGCAGTTAGTCTATGATAACTTGCGACGGTCTTTCTCATAAGGTTAACTGCTCACCCGAGGTTTCCGAGGGCATCGACGGCCGGGTAGGGATCACAGCCTCCCGCGACGGCGAGTTCAGGGTTGAATCGGAGCTGAATTTGTCCTTCCAAGCCCGGAGACGCTGTCTGGTTCAAGGCAATCACTTTATCATGGTCGATCCAGTTGAGAGCAGTGTGGGTCGGGGCAGCCGACGACGTACGTGTGGTAGTGGTAGTGCTCCTCCTGGATGAGGTGGTCACACGGGAGGAGGAAGACGCCGAAGAGGTCCGGGAGAAGGATGCGCTTGTGGAGGAGGAGGAAGACGCTGAAGAGGTCCGGGAGAAGGATTCGCTCGTCGAGGAGAAGGAGAATGTCGATGACGCAGCCGAAGAGGTCCCCGAGGCAGTAGAGGAAGTCCCCCGGGCAGTAGAGGAAGTCCCCCGGGCAGTAGAGGAAGTCCTCCGGGCAGTAGAAGAAGTCCTCGGGGTGAAAGTCTCGGAGGCACTCTCCGGCTCATGGGACTGGGAGGGGGTTGGGACCTGCGTTGGCGTCGCAGGGTTCTCGGTGGGCTTCTCGGTGGGCTTTTGCTGAGTTGGCTTGGCTTCCGGGACCGACTCGGGCAGATCAGGTTTATCGTCGATGGGATCCAGTTCAAACTCGCGTGCGGCAGCTCCGGCCCCAGAGCCGGCGGCCGCTGATAATACGGCGGCTTCTCCCGCCGCGATGGGAAGAAGAGCGCCAGAGGGCGCCAGGACGAAGCCACCCAAAGCACCTCCAATAATCATCGCGCCGAGGCCAGCGGCAACTGTCTCTCCGTTGCTCACAACGATCGGAGCCGGCGTGGACGACGGTTTTATGGAACTGCTATGCGAGGTTGACGAAGGACGCTGACTGGGCTTCCTGGTAGAAGAAGAACTATGGCTGCTACTCTGTGAGGATGAGGTAACTCGGATCGACGTTATTATGGAAGAGAACGTCCTGGGGTTGTGGTAGAATGTTTGGTTTCGGAAAGGCGCAACGCTTGGGGCCGGCTTCGCGCTTGGGGCCGGCCTCAATTTTGGGACCGCGGACGGCTTCAAGTTTGTGATGGGCTTGAAATCAGGGCTTACAGCGTTTGGGGCCAGGACGTCGCCGTCATCAAATGAATTGGGGGTATAAGGACCGTCGGGGGAAGTCACCTGACCAGTGATGGCCGTGGAAAGCAGAAGCAAATTCAATGCGTGGCGAATCATTGTGGACTGCAAAGGAGTGACTAGGAGATTGAAAGAGAGAGCAGTGCCGCTCCGGAGCGCAGCCAGGGACAAGGCGCGATTGGCGGGGAAGAATCTTTATATTCAGTCCCGGCTTTCACGTCGATTGTGGAGTCCCGTATTGGCGCTTGCTTGCCTCACCGGTAATTAAATTAGGCTCCTTGCGCCTTTGACATTGAAAATTAGCCTCTCATAAGGTTGAAGGCACGATCAACTCAAATACAGTGTGAGATGGGAAAGTCGTCCCAACTCGCGGTATAATATAAAAAGTTCAGTCTACTAAGCCTGTCATGAACACCGTGCTAGCATAGTTTCTTGGCAAGGTCTCCACATGGCCTTGGGGTAGGTGACGTAGTAACAGCACGTGGTCACTGTACAAAGGACAGAGTCATAGTATGGTGAACGGCATTGCCGACTTGCCAAAGCATAGGTCCAGATTATATCCTGGTCTTGTGTGTGTCGGTATAGCGACGTACATGATTTGACGAGAAGCTGATATGTCATCAAACGCCAGCAGAGCTATATATAGTAAGCGGAGTTCTTTTGAGCTATCCATCATGTTTAACAAGGATTAGTGGAATCGAAATAATTTAGTGACAGAACCTTTTGCGACCGCACATTACGGCATTGGACTAAGAACATCATCCACAGAGGCACCGGCCGCCAAAAATCGGTGACTCCGACTGCGGAACATGGATCAAGTCTTAGACGTAGAGGGGCGGGACTGACCGAGGATACCGAATCAATCAGCCTCATAGACGGTTTAATTGAAGCTACCTAGGTAAAATGAGCTAGTTCATGCGCAGGTCAAGCATATATTAATTGTTACTCAGTGAGAGTTTGGCTAGTCAAGGCGTGTCTCCACTCTTTCGGGACGCAGCGATCCTTCATTGAGTTGCATCTCTCGAGCTTCACGCTCACATTTGGGGCGAGAAATTTTGCAACGGAAGTCCGCCTAACTTATCAAAAGGACTCAATGTCCAACTGAAATATCATCTGTCGGCTTGGCGCTCCGCGCGATCTCACCATGTGGGCATAACTGAATATTGAAACAGCACGGAGTTGGAGGACATGACTCACGGTACAGTTAATTGGGATTGAGACCTGGAGAAATTACTCCAAAACTTACTATTGAATCTCAAGTAGCTCGTAGGAGCTTCGTACTCATATGAACCTGAATAGACATATGTCCACGTAGCGGCCCGTAATAAATACTAGGAGAACCCAGCAGCTAGGACAATGACCCAGCCATGCAGCTCAACATCACGTGGGCAGTCACTCATGGTAAGCGTATATATTAAGACTAAGGAGCAGCAAAACAAAAGCACGATGTAAATTCTCTGAGTCGTCTCATCACGTGATCTCACAAGGCCATGACTCTCGGTCTCCGGATACACAGTAGAGATGCGGGTAGTGCCTTGCATGTATGTACATATATGGAACCTAGCGCTGATAGCAGAAAGGTTTCAGCAAACGTTTCATTGCTTGAACTGTAGACGATGTAGTCAGAAATGGAAGATTCAACACGAAAATGGCAGCGCTTTCGCAAGGACTGCTGAGGTTCTCAAGCTCTCTCCGTGTTTTTCTTTTTTGGCTGCTCAGTAGACGCCTACTCAGTAAACGCCTAATAGTGTCCGTCATCTATGAAGAAAGATTCTATATGTAATCAGCTATAATCCCAACTTACAGGTAAATTTTAAAGAAGATTGAAACTCACGTTATTCAATCATCCGGTCCAAGGATACGCACAGGTTCGACCGCCGTCCCTCCTGAAAATGATTTGGCAATGCTCTTGTGAGAAACCATGCAGCACATGGCTGGGTAGAAACGCGTTTCGTTCAAAGTGGCCGACTCTTTCTGCCCGCGCTCGACTCTGATCGCGTCTTTGAACCCGGTGAGATATTGCAGCGGTATGTAATCATGGCTTCCATCGTGGTCTCATTTTCGACGTCGTCTATATGACCCAACACAAATTGCCGGGAATGATGCCATTCTTGAAGCAAAAAGCGGCGAGAATTGGGATAAGTATAATTTGTTCTTATGAACATCCTCCTGGCCGCTGTAGGCTATGTAGACGGTCATGATCCTTTCCTTTGTGTCGATTTTGACTATGCCCGATGGAGCGTTACCCCCTGAGGAGTGTGGTGCGGTGACACAATAAAATCCGTAAGGCGTCTGACGGGGCTTCTATGCTGATCTTCCGGGTAGGGACGGCGACGAGGATGGAGGTGACCCGGAGCCGGCAGGCCCGATAATCGGCAAAGTCCCGCCCCCGCCCACTGCTCCGCACCACAAGCCTCAGTGGTCGGTGATCTGGTGAAACTCAATTCCGTAGCGCGGATACAGACAGGTTCTTGAATTATTCCATTTTGTATGTTTGTGGATGGAAAATGACCAATGCCATTGCTTGGCCCCGTGTTTCGATTTGGGTTGGGCCTCAACAGACCGAAATAGTGAAGATATCGGCCCTGCTTCGAAGAAGCAAAAAGTACTAATTGTAAATACACTGTCATTCAATCGCTAAAATTGAATTCAATTCCTGCAGAATGAGTCCGACTCTGTGGTTTCTTTTTTGAAGTGTTTTTCCCCCGCAGTAAGAAGAAAGTCTCTCAGATGCTGAGAGTTGCGTACTGTTATCGAGGATAGGGGTTGTGCTACTTACTAGTAGTTACCACACCCGGAAACAAGCATCAATCTCTCCAGAGCCACGGAGTCACAGCACACATCAAGTGAAGGGAACGCAGTCACCATTTCCGAGCATTTGCTAAATTAAGGCTTATGTATTGCAGTTATAACTTCGATTATTGTCTTACGGGCCATGAGCATGACCGGAGTGATGAAGAGCAAATCAGTAGCTCAACTTCGTCCATGTAACTGCCACAGAAGCGTCACCTCAGCTCAACGGCTATCGATAATACTTGACCAGACTCTATTTCGCCTCTTCATTCGTACCCGGAACGTCAGGATCAACAACCACTGGTGGATCGTCGTCTTTATGCTCATCACTCGGATCGACGTCGGAAGGCAGCGTAGTGCCATCGAAGGGCTGCTCATCCGAAGTGTTATTGGATGGCGAGTCAGTCTCATCCGAAGTGTTATCGGATGGCGAGTCAGTCTCATCCGAAGTGTTATTGGATGGCGAGTCAGTCTCATCCTCATCAAAGGGCAGCTCATCTGGAGTGTTATCGGACGGCGGGTCAATCGGAGTGTTCTTGGATGGCGAGTCAATCCAATCGTCACCCGGCGGCACATCTGATGTTGGGCATTCAGGCTCCGCGGACGAACCAGCATAGAAGCCAACTTGAAACGCGGCCTCAAGCGAGTTCTGTATGTTGGCATTGTTGAAGGGAACCTCAGTTTTGTCGTAGTGGACGTCCTCCAGTGCTTTCCGTGCCTCATCGCTGAGGGAACTCCAGCTGATGAGGGTGCGCTCGTAAACCAAGTCGCCATCGGCGCCGTCAAAGGGGGAGATGGCCCCATCGTGGACTTGGAGCTTGGGGTGCGTGGGCGCCTCGAGGCCTACAGGCGAGGATTTGAACGAGACTTTTCCGGAGGTGGCACCCCATTCCAGATGGTCGGTTGTGTAGGAGATGCCAACGGGCCAGACAGACGAGGGGTCGTTATCGTCGCAGCCGTAGCGGTGGGTCCAGACAACGATACTGACCCAGCTGTGACGCTGTTCACGGCCAAGCTTGGGCATATAATAACTGTACATAATCGCATTGTGGCCTTGACTCTTCCCGCGACGGACGTAAACTTGGCCCTTGCCACCCTTATCGCAGCCGCTCCGGCCACCCTTAGTAGGCTTCAGACCAGAGCTGTTTGATATCGTATTAGCCATCGACGTCATTGAAAAAGCAAGCTACGCCGGAAAAGTAGGTGACAAGCAAGCTTATTTACGTACCCAAGTTCGCCCTTTTCATCAACTGCAGGGTAAGGGTCGCAGCCTCCTTCGACGTAGAGGAGAGGGTTGAAGCGAAGCTCCAGAGCTCCTCCTACCTCCGAGGCTTTCTGCGGGAATGGAACAACGGCGTCGTGGTTGATCCAGGTGAGGTTGTCAGCGGCATTGTCGTCGCGCGGCAATACCTCGCGCGGCAACACCATCGAGACAACGCCATGGGAGAAGACGAGGCAGCTCAGTAGAGGGCTGAGAGTTTTCAACAACATGATTATAGCAAAAGAGTGTCGTATCGCGAGAATCAAAAGAATGTGGGTAGACAGTGAAAGGAGTGTGCGAGAGAGAGTAAGGCACAGAAGCAGAGAGTAAGAGCCGCGCAACCTAGACTTTATTTGCAGTTATCCTTCGGGGACGCATTGCAAATCTTCATAAGCCCCGCGGTTATGTCGATGTGCCGCCGCGGAATGAGATGAAAACTGTAAATATATTGATGCCTAGGAAAAACGAGGCGGTGTCTTACGGTCTCTAGAGTAAATTGCAGTAGGTGACTGTCACTCAGCAAGGAACCTATCTGACTCAATATCGGAATTGTCGATTGACTACATTGCATGAAGTCGTGCACCCCGAGATTAGTTCCCGGTCTAATTCAGTAGTTCTTTTCGACTATTGGCCATTGCTGTGAATTGCAGCTGCAGTCGTTACGAGAGAAGCCCAGGCGACATCATTGTTGCGTGTGCTCTTTCACTGTTTATTCTGCATCCGTTATCCACTTGGTTCATGTCAAATATAGTATCAGGAGTATAAACTCAATCGGCCATCCTAGCGCGGCGTAAGGCGACGGACACGGTGTCTCCGGAGATCCTTCAGCTACACTCAGCTCCATTCAGCTCTTGTAGCCTGTCAAAATAAACTCCTCGACTAGTACCGGTGAAAATACCAATGATCCTTGACTAGTAGCAATCAACCAAGATCAAAAACATTATATTAAGCTTCAGCACTGTCTGAGCCGCTGAACGCATCAAAACGTTCCTCGACTCGGATATTGCCGTTTGATTGAGGAGCTCTCTGCGCACTGGGTGGCTCGCCTCTAATTTTAACGTAGCCCGTACCGCAGGCTAGAATCTACGAGGGAATCCCCGTCATTCGGCCGACCGTGCGTAGCGTCAACCCTGTTGCGTCCACCCGAGTGTTACTAGTCGCAGGCATCACGTGCCAGCTTTTGCGGCCCACTACGATGGATGGCAGTTTTCAAGCAATGGCGACACCGGCCTGGTGATTGCACCAAGTCCGGATGTGCCGGTGGAAGCATTGTACAAGTACCCTAATTAGCGTTTGTATATCAGAGCAAGGCAAGAGGAAAAAGGCCATCCTTGCTGAAGGCTCCTGCCAGGCTCTCAGTTGGACAAGTCCTCAGTTCGGCTACTTCAACGGCATTCTACGCAACATGTGCACTTCCTCGGTCTCGTAACCATGCACCTTAGCGATGCCACTGGGTGCGGGTAGTGTGTAGATTCTACAGCGGTTGGAAGGCACTTCTGCTTGGTCCCGAGACTTGATTGTTTCGCATCCGAAGACTGGGAAGCTAAGAGCGTCATCTTAAGCACTGTGCCACAAGCTTTTTGCGCCCTTTTCGCGGCTAAGCGTAACTTCCGACCAAAATGACCCGGCCTCACTATTGCTTTTTTGACTAGCATACTTAGCAAGCTGGGAGGTAGAGACGGCCTGCTCAAAGGCTTGTCAATTGGCATCACTACTACCCTAAATGCAGTGGCTGGAATTAAGCCCAGGTCTACATTTGCCAGATTTTCCACCAGGAACAGGTATCCTCAGAAATGAATCCTTGCTCTTGGGCTGTAGACTTAAGACGCCTTTCTTGTTTTTAAAATGGTTGCAGTTGTAGTACTTCTGTTTGTAGTTCTATTTGGTTTCCACCTCGCGGAACACGTGTACGTTTGTTTCCAAAACTGGGACTTGTTTTTTTTTTATTCGCGGAAACGTGCTATCATGTTGCAGATGCTCTAGTGCCGATTACAACCTCAAGTATTTAAGTGCAAATACGGCTGTTACTATACTCAAGCGGACGAGTCCCAGGCAAATTCCCAGACAAGACTGACGCCATGTCGTCATCTCTCTTCATAAACCCAGTCACCCTTAGGTTTACTCTCATGCTGAGTAACAAGAAGAGTACATTTGTCAGTCTTCGGGCGAAAATAATTGCAGATATTTTACTTGCTGTCTCAACGCAGAACCAACCGTCATTCATCCACAGGCATGTTGTTCTATGTACATTGAGAGTTAAGAGTTTCCCGTCATTTCGTCTTACACGTTTCTAAACATATAAATTGAAAGCTTTCAAATAGATGGAGCCTCTCAATAGTAAAAGTCGAAGCGTGAAACCACTAAGGAATGAGGAGTAGATCATAAGTATTTCGTCCATAACACTAAGATCACCTGTGCGTCAACGTCTGAAACTCTTGATCGGGTCAACAATTTCTATAGAGGCTTTTTCTCAACAATCACAGTAAGCTGTTAAAAGGTATGAAGTCACAATGGGTCTCGTCTATACCAAATACATGTAGCCAATTTTATCAAGAGGTATCTCCACAAATTGTATTAAAAGCCTTGTTGTTAAGATTACCTCCGTATGTGTGTCGAATTTTTGCTCTCAGAGTAGGTGATACAGACAACAAGTAAAGAATTCAGGCTGGCGCTGCAGCGGTCATCGGCGTTGGCGTCGGTGTCGGTGTGTCTCTGGCTGTTGTGCTGGGGCATTGGCTATGATGCTACGGCGTGAAAGAAGAAAGGAAACTCAGGCACCTCCCGCGGCAGCTGCAACGTCGTTTGAGAATGAAGGCCCAGAGCCTGGCGGTTCAGCTTTGCGGTCCAGCTGGGTTCATGCTCATATGATTCCTCTCGAGCTCTCCGACCATCAACAAGATCGGCATGAAGTGCCGCACTGAAATGCGGTCGGTGATTGCAACGTGGAAGTGATGAAACTCAAAGCTATGTTTAGTGAGTAAGTACTTATATCTTCATTGTATGTTTCTAGTCTTTTGTATGCAGAATTCAATAAAAGAGGTATCAATCTCGCTGTTTCGGATGATTGTGTGACCGGCACACTCAACCGTACGTAGATGCAAAAAGGAAATCGTAAACATGTACTCGTAAACTCCATCTTCAAGTAGAATGTGCTGTTCGACATTCACTCGGCCTCGAAAATTGTCTACCACATTGTCGCGATCACAGCCAGGATAGTCGTCCAAAGCAGGGCTTTGGCAGGCGAAAGTGAAGCGGCAAAATTGCCTTCTCCCTTCTGGCCCTTTTTGAAGCCCTGCTTCTCGCCGCCGAGATACAAAGCACCGAGGTCTGTCAGGCCGCCGTCGCCGTCAAATAGGGAGACGGAGTTGCCGGTCCAGGCATTGGCCTCGTCCTTGCGGAAGGCTCCGAACCAGGCATAGCCCTCGACATAGTCCAGGCCATCCAGGTAGGTCAGACTCTCATTCATCATGGCCAGAGTGGCCTCGGTGTTTTGCTTGGGAAGCGCCATCTCCGTGATCCAGTATTTGAGATCCGGCGACGTTGAGTCGTAGAAATCTCGCAGCCCATTGAGGTGGTTCTTGAGGCCCATCGCGTCGCCGTACCAGTGCACGGCGACAAAGTCGGTCGGGCACCCGTTGTCGTCAATAGCGTAGCATGACTTGTTGAACTTTTGCAGCCACTCGATGCCCTGCGGAGAGCCGGTGACTACCGGGTGGCTAATGTTCCACTTACGGGAGCCGGAGTCGCGGAAGGGCACAATGTGGTCAATGTAGGCTTTCGCGGCATCTTCTGGATCAATGCTGCTGCCGCCAGATGAGGTGGTTCCGTCGGGCTCGTTAAACGTGAGCAGATGGGTGGACGATTCAGGTAGTTGGTTCAAGCGTGAGCTAAGGCCGGAATCGGAAGCATCATTGACGCCGTGGATGAGCGGGACAAAGGCGATGGAGCTGTTCAAGGCCTGGGCGGGCCATGTTGACCATGTGTAATACCAGCTGATTAACGATTTTGCGGATGTGAGCAGTTGGCTGTCGGCTTTGTGGTCGTCGCCCTGGAACGCCAACCCACGTTTTGAAGACAAGTCGGACTGTGCGATGGTTGTGGAGTGGAGGGCCAGCGAAGCTAGCAATAGGCAACCGGTTCGTCTCATAGTGCCGCAGGTACAACAACGGTCCTTGTCTAACGTGAAAGAGAGTAGTGATTTGTGGAGGATGATCCTTGTGTAGTTTGATGCACAGAAATCTGGTTCGGATGCAGCCGATGGAGGTGGCCGACGTTGCAGATTTATTTGGCAGTTTGCTGTGACCTGGCTGTCCGTCCGATAATATAATTAGTCTAGCAAACAGCAGGAGAACCTGTTCGTCCGCCAGAGTAGCTCAGCAGGATTTCCTCTTGCTGACGGCTTTCACGCCCGTTTCAGTCATTGACCTCATTCGATGCCATCACAATCTTGGCGAGGGGCGAGAATCCCATGACGTCATGTTTCTTTGGGCTTTCCAGGTTCTGGGTTGCCAGTTGGACTGACCAAGGCAAGCCCCCTTGCAAGCCACGCCGCAACGGTTGTTAACGCCGACAAGGTGGGATTGGGGAGCTGGCCTGGCAAGGGTCCTTGTCGAGGCCCGTCATTGGCCTCTGGGAAACTGGGACTAAACATGTGTTTAACAAGCAGTGGCGCCATGGATAGAAGACACAAGCTGTCGGCCTTGCTTTATCCTCCAGCCCCGGTATGATGCAGCGGCTGTATCCGCAGTACCTGGGGTTTTCAAGCCTGTTATTGGGGGCTGCGCCTCGCATTGCAAAATAGAACCTGCTTAACATGACAAAGTCAAGTCTATGGAAACAGCATCCTCACGAGTATCCACAGTCGCAAGGCCAGAATATCGCAACGCGACCGTAGTCTACCACTCAATGAGACTGATCATGAAAGGATCTGGAGGAAATTAACGCAGACGGCGAGTCATCAACATCGCTAGAGATATGCAGCCGATGTGCACGAATGATGAGACTTGGAGCAGCAGCCTGCGCGGGAACGACTACCGCTTTCAAACCAGGACCTCTCCCACATCTCAAAAGTCTAGGATTCGTTGTCAGAAGCTAGGGTCACTAATCCGGGCTACTGAATATGCAGACGGAGCAAGGATAGCTCAGAAGACTGCACTCGCATGGCTTACGAGTGAGAGAAGTCTTCGCTGTCGAATCTCAAAGCTCTCGGTTCTATGCCTTCTCTCAATACAGACCCTCCCGGTCCTCCGAGTTGGGAGTGGCCCGAGGTCAACAGATCCCTGTGTTGTAAAGATCGTTGAAGCCAGCACTTCGCTGGAACCTTACCCTCGTGGCCTATCATGCACGTAGGTACGCAAGAGCTATTTAGAACCAACTATTACAAAAGCGGAACTCGTCACATGTCTATCGATCATGGACTCAATTACGTTGGCCCAGAGTTGTCCTCGAGTGAAGTAGGGAATATAGGACAACCTCCGCGCTGCGCCATTTGGGACGGCACTGGACCGTAAATGCACATGGGCTAATGTCGGCAAGGCCCAGTCGGTCACTCTATCCGTGACGAGCCATTGATGAATCTGCCGCGCTTTACATGGCCTAAGACGTTCTCCCTCAAGTTTAATTGTGCGATATGTACACCTCTTACGTCTGTACTCATTAGGTATGTCAACAGTCTGTCGTTGGTGAGACAACAGGATTTGTTGGTTTACGTAATCACAGGGTGATTTGTTCGATCGAACCGTGGTGACGAAGGGTCAATTACTCTTGTATTGATCTCTGCGTGAAGTGGAAAAGAGAGGTTCCAACCGTTGGTTGGATCGCCGGTCAAACGCGGATATAGAGACCCTCAGATGGCCCCTGCGCTGGCGCTGACTCGAGGTCGAATTGGGCTTCCAATCCGACAGGATTGAAACGACATTTGCAACTCGTAAATGGTCGCCGCTAGACAACTATTTGGTACCCACAAACTCGAACTAGAACGACTTCAGATCATCTTTCTTTCGAAATTACAGATTCATGAGGCATTTCAATCCACAACTCATTCCCTTTGCCGCCGCTGTCATTGCCTCGGCGCAATTTCGCATCGGTCTCCCCTCAGACTGCAACTTTGAAGACGTAAGATGGTTTTCCAACCGAAAAGACATAACGTAATGACGATTCAACTATGCGAATCCTTGGTCTACTTGCAAGTCAAAGGTGCGTGCCCACTCTGGAAGGGCCTCTCCAATGCAGAGAGTAACATCTTCTTAGTGAACTGACTCCTGTGACAGTGTACTCCCAACTCGGGGCGAGATGCCGCTGTTTCCTGCTGCTCCGGATCATGGTACTGCTCGGCATAAGTCTTTCGATTTTATGTTGCATAAAGTATACGAGACCAAAGGTGCGTGTGTGCATGAGCGAGTGCATGCTTGCAATTCCAATCAGACTTTTTGCTGAAAACCACCTCGCGTGCATTTAGCTTCTGTGGAACATGAGACTACCAAAATCATTAGATTCTGATTAGCGCGTGGTATTGATTACATGTACTCTGCACAACTTGTTGCGTTAATCGTTGATGGAATTGGTAAGTTTTCGTGTAGCCTTAGTTCGTTGCTGTGAGCACAGAGTTTGTTTATGAAACAACCCATTTACATGTTCGTCAATGTCATCCACTGCGCAACGCCACTCAATGAATAAATAACCAGCCACATACTTCCACGTCCTGTAAATGACCTAAGACTTTGCATAGTGAAAAAGAATAAAAGCAATGGTGCCTCGAGGGCGAATCGAACGCCCGATCTTCTCATGGCGGACAATAGTACGAGTGAGACGCTTTACCACTGAGCCACCGAGGCGAGCTAACCAGATCATGGTTGGTGGTCCACAGATGCTGGCGGAGAAGCGCAAGGCGACTAAGACGCACGCCGCAAAAGCGTGTCTCGCGAAGTTATTCATAGTGGTGGTCAAGATTTGTCGCGACTTGCCACGAGGGGGCAGATTGTTATTTGCTGAAAGCCGTTCCTACGCATGACTAACTTCCGCGCGGTTCGTCTTGCCTTGCCGATCTCCTTCGCCGCGCGGGACTCGTTTCGCCTTTCCCCAAGTTGGGACGAAAAAGAGCTTATGTGCCTGGGTGAGGTTGAGCCGTAAGCACCAAACGAATCCTACAAAAGCGGCACGACAAGACACCCTTCATAGCCCCTGATAAAGAGAGCCGCAGTGGTCCTTCTGTTGCATACCTGGCTGGCACCAGCACCTTTTCCGAAAAATGCGCGCGGGTCTGGCGTGCTCTTAACAACATGAAAGAAAGCCACCCAACGCCATAAACGTACGTCTCACATGGTTGAGCGCGATATCGAGAACGCCTGGCGAGATGATTATTGCAATAAAAAGACAGAATTACTAATGCTGCTAAGGTAGCTACCAGATGGCGAGCGTACGCCTTGGTTGGCTTTGATCCTTTCGATATTGGTATATAAGGCCCCTTGCTGCCTCTGTTTGAAACGAATAAGCTGTAATACATTTATTCAGTAAGTTGCAGTCCTGCCATATAGCTTTTGCAAAAGACCACCAGAGCGTAGCACAACTCCAGCGTACATCTGTCAGCCCTTCGATATGAGTACCCTCAAGAAAGTTGCCGTCATTGCGACGAGTACGCGAACCCCAAGCATCGGGACAAAAGTCGCAGAGCTCGTGAAAGACATCATCGCCGCCGACGCCGAGGGCAACGGAATCGACCTGTCTCTCGTCCAAGTCGCCAACTTAAAGCTCCCCGTATTTGATGAGCAGGTTATCCCCGCGCAGGTCCCGGCCGTCGGCAACTTTGCCCATGAGCACAGCAAAGCTTGGAGCAGCGAGATTGCCAAGTACGACGCCTACATCGCCGTCGTTGCCGAGTACAACTCGGGCCTCTCCGGCGCGGCGAAAAATGCCATTGACTACTTGTACCACGAGTGGATCGGGAAGCCGATCGCCGTTGTCAGCTACGGCATCATGGGCGGCAAGTCGGCGTCGGCGCAGGCCCAGAAGACGCTGGAGGGCATGAAGCTCCGGGTGGCGCCGACGCGACCGGCGCTGGCTTTTGCGGGCGGCCCCGGTCCGGATCTGGTGGCTGCGATGGGCGGCGAGATCGGCGAAGAGTCGCGCAAGAAGTGGGAGGGGGAATCGGAGACTCTCCTCCAAGCTTTTGGGGAGTTGAAGGAGCTTCTCAACACGCCGCCACCCAAGCCCAAGACGAAGCAATGAGATGTGCGCTTACTTGGCGTCTTTTCATGGAGGGAGTAGCTCAGGAAAAACAAGCTTGAATTTTAGCTAGAAAATCCCCATCAACTAACCCAATTCACGCGGTGGAACTCCACTTCGTCATATCGCTAAGCCCCTGTCGACAGCATCGTGTCCCATTGTGCTGGTCGAGCTGTTGCTCTGCTGCCTGTTGAAAAGCTGCTGTGCCGCTTCGCTTTGCATTAGCCTGAAATCCTCGTCGCCCGGGCCATGGATCCTTCATCGCCCTTTTCCCTCTCTTCTTGCTCTTTCTCCTTTCCCATCAAGCGTAATTGTTCGCCGTCATTCGTTTCTTGTCCTCCATCGTCATGAGGACGTCCGCTCTCTTCGCACTCGGTGGGTGCGCTGTCGCCGTCTCAGCGCAGGTCCATCTGCCCTTCTCCCACCAACCCCAGTTGAAGGCCATTAGCAATGCCAAAGCCAGGAGGGACACGGCCAATCGCCGTTCTGTTTCCGTCACTGATGTGTACGTGACGGATTGGAATTATCTGGTCAACGCTTCTATCGGTACACCGCCACAAGATGTCTCCTTGAGACTCTCCGTGCAGGCGGAGAAGACCTGGGTTCCCAATGCCGAATATTGCGACTATTACAACTACAGCGACTACTATGATTCCGACTCTTCCAGGAGCGCCTATTACCTCGACTCATACTCTTGCAGATACGGTGCTTTCCAGAGCAACAAGTCATCCACCTATGTCAATCCGGGGACCGAGGATTTCACCACAAAGTATTCAGACGGCCGTGCCCGGGGAGAATGGATGAGCGACACATTAGGCGTGGCTGGCATCCAGTTGCACAAAATGATCATGGGTTATGCTCAATCGGCCGATGTGTTGATCGGTATCCTGGGTCTAGGCTTCAACTCGAGTGGTGCTTCAAGCTCCGTGACCTCCAGCCCTAGTAGCTCTGATGGGCTTCCCACCGTTCCCGAGCGTCTGCTCCAAGACGGCCTGATCAACTCCCCTGCGTACAGCATATGGCTCGACGACGTGTCGGCTAAGTCTGGCAATCTCCTCCTGGGAGCAATCGATAGATCAAAATTTGAGGGCGCTCTCATTCGCTTTACGGTCAAAGCCAATTCAAGGATTTCAACCGTCAGGCGATTTGACACAGTTATTTCGTCCATCAATGGCAGCAAATCAGACACGGATGACTTACAGCCTCTCTGGTCACCTTCATCCGAAACATCAGGTCCCTACGACAGTTCAGACAGTGTTCTTCTCTCACCAGATGCTGCTATATCCGTGTTGCCCTCCGACATCGCCATAGATCTCTGGGCCCTCGCTGGTGCCACTTGGAATGATGACCTCGGCTACGCCGTCATTCCCTGCGCAGCAGCCGATACCACCACCGGCCGCCTAGCCGTGCAGCTCTACGGAGCGGATGGCCCTGTTTTGAATATTCCCATCGCCGATCTTGTGGTACCTCGCGAGGCCTGGTCACATTCGGAGTGGTCCTGGGACACTGAGTCGGCTGCCGAGTACTGCCTATTTGGGGTGCAGTCGGACAACTCGACCTCGACATACAGCTCTGCTTCCTACACCTACTCTCTGGGCAACGCATTCCTCAAGTATTCATACATGGTATTTGATCTTGCCAACGAAGAGGTCGCCATCGCACAGACAAAGTTTGGCAGCAGCAAGACGGAAGACCTGGTTATCTTCTCGACCTATGGAGCTGAGATCCCCGGGTCGACAAGCGCCACACCGAACTGGTGCTCCTCTTCATCGTACTCCTACTACGAGGCATGCGGAGGCGGTGACTCGGGCTCCGGTTCCGGGGGCAGATCATCGGGCGGTGATACGATCTACATGGACGGTGCTTATTACCCTGGAAACCTTCCCTTCGAGGCTAAACTAGGGATTGGTCTCGGTGCCGGTCTGTTCTGCGCTTTGGTCTTGGGCTTGTCTATTTGGGCCATTCGAAGAGGTCGTCGCATCAGAAAGGCACAGAGAGAGCTGGCTGAAAAGCAAGCCGACGTGGAACAAGGCGGCGAAACACGGGTCGGGACTGGCGAGGGTCATGGCGACAATGTGAGCCAGGAAGCATCACTTCCTCAGCGTCCGCCTGCTGCAGTGACTAGGAATCCTTCTACGACCGACGCACCTGCAGAGCAACGTGAAACTGAAGCTGTGGGAACCGCCAAGTAAGAGCGGGGTGTAGGATAGGTGATCTCACTGCAAAATTTAATTCCCCCGTGCCTTGTAGCATGGGGTGTAGTCATTGAAACAATTCATTGCGCTGATACTTAATCACTAATTCTTCAACGATACATATCACCGGAGTCAGGGGGTTCAACGTTAGTTGCAACTAACGTAACGTGCGGACCGGCCCGGCTTCTTTCCATGACTCGTCACGAGACATGGAGAGTCGGATGGTAGTTCAACCTTCACAACGTGGTAGTCGTCGCTGGATGCTTAGATCTCAACTATCATCCCGATGATGGACTATGGTTCGTTGCTTCTCGTGGATCCTAATTTGGGAAACCCGCCGCATCGCCTCCCGTTTGCAACGTTGCAGAACGGATAGCAGTGCGGGAGAGCCTCATGGACATTCCAGGTGGCCTAGGAAACCTCAGGGTCAACCGCCAATACCACTTTGCAATATGCAAGAAATCAGATGGCAGCTGCTCAGATGGTGCCAGAAGCTAGAACGAGCCCCTGAGGTAGCCGCTCTTGGCGGAAGGGCAGAGCGGGTGATGTGCCGCTGCCGTCTTATCACATATTCACCTTCCAGAAGGGAAAAGCGAGTTGCGTAGGATTGTCTCAATGTGGTGTAGGGTACGGGGTCAAGTCTACACCGAAACGTTCAGGTTCGGTTGGGAGTTGGTCTCTGTTTGACACTTTGCCTTATCTAGCATGTCTCGGAAGCGCAAATTGGCTCGAGTTATCAGACACAACACTCACTTAATGGGATTGGTGATTAGCAGAAACACGTCACAAGTCTCTCCTATAATTCTCCCAACGCGATAAGAAAGAGAAAGCCTTTGAGGGATTCGCTGGAATGGAAGCATGTGTTCACATTGAGCCTGTCCCAAACGGGCGATAAGCCCTCGCAGTGGAGGGTCGCATTCGGCCCCGACTCGGTCATTCGCCCTACATTGGCCAGAATGTAGGCACATGGCCATTCAAGGGTGGCTCTTGAAGAATATCATAACTCGACCAATCTCAACGACTCTTCTCGTTGTGCGAACTGAGGAAAGTCGGCTACCACCTGCATTAGCCCCGGCCCCTTCACCTCGTCCCCAGCCACTCACCGGACACCATCCCCAAATTCTCACCTTTGGTGTTGGCGCTCCCTTGACAAACAAAATTCACAGCGAATCTCCGGCTGATTGCTTGCAGCCAGTCCTCTGGGTGGGGAGCCTTGGCTATGGTGTGCCAATGGTACGTTGAGCGGCCAGATTCGCAGGTCATCGTCAACTTCACTGTCACCATTCGAACGTGACAAGCGGACGGCACACTCGAGTTCCTTCACATGAACAGATCAACATCCCAGCATTTCCTTTTTTTCTTCCCACAGAAATAGGCCCAAAGGGCTTGCATGCCCAGAAGATTTTGGCAACCTCATTAGAAGACGCGCAACGTTTCGGCGGGAATGGGCCACCTTGGCAAATGACATGCAGATGACTGGACGTCAGGGCATGAACAATGACATTGTTGCTTGACGGCTGACTACTGTAGATAGCGTCTTGTCTAAGCTTGACGGAATCTACTAGTATAATATGATCAGTTGATCGCTTCATGTCCAGTGACGTGTACTTGACTGGCAGAACCATTCTCGTATTCACTCCTTTAACAAGCTATTTAACGGATCAATTCATACTGCTTTCAATATGAAGCTGCTTCAATCATTAATTACCATGGGTGGGATCCTCTCGACAGCTGTGCGCCCCTCGATGGCAGCGCCAACGAACATCACGGAGCGAGGTCTCCAGGGCTACACGAATGCAGTCTACTTTACCAACTGGCAAGTTGTTAGCCTGTGGGTTGACCAAAGGTAACAGAGCTCAGCTAACCTCATCCAAGGGCTATTTATGGTCGCAATTATCAGCCCCAGAATCTTCCAGCATCCCAGATCACCAACGTCCTTTACGCGTTTATGAATCTTCGCTCGACCGGTGAAGTGTAAGTCAATCAAAAATTCACACTGAACTACTAGCGCAGGACAAGGCAAGCTAACAATCAACCCCAACCAAAGCTACACCGCCGACACCTATGCCGATTTGGAGAAACACTATCCCACTGATTGTAAGATCCTTTTTGATACTCGATTTGGCTTGGACTTGTACTGAATCGATGTGCTTGCAGCATGGAATGACGTCGGCACCAACGCCTACGGCTGCGTCAAGCAGCTCTACCTCTTGAAGAAGGCCAACCGCCGCATGAAGGTCATACTGAGCATCGGAGGATGGACATGGTCAACCAACTTCCCCGCTGCGGCCAGCACGCCCGAAGGCAGAACCCTATTTGCCCAATCCTCGGTCAAGCTGATGAAAGATTGGGCGTTTGACGGCATCGACATTGACTGGGAGTACCCCGCCGACACCACCGAAGCCGCCAACTTTGTTCTTCTGCTCCAAGCAGTCCGAAGCGAGCTGGACTCCTACGCCGCCCAGTACACTCCCGGCTACCACTACCTCTTGACCATCGCGTCCCCCGCCGGCCCGAGTCACTACAACGTCTTGAACCTCAAAGCCATGTCAGATATCATTGACGCATTCAACCTCATGGCGTACGACTATGCCGGTTCCTGGGATGCCAACAGCGGCCACCAGGCGAACCTATACCCGAACCCCGGAAACCCAGCTTCCACGCCCTTTTCAACCGATGCCGCTGTCAACGACTACCTCGCAGCGGGCGTCCCAGCCTCGAAGATTGTGCTCGGCATGCCCATCTACGGCCGCTCTTTCGAGCAAACCAACGATATCGGACAGCCGTTTTCCGGCATCGGTAGCGGATCCTGGGAGAACGGAGTGTGGGACTACAAGGCTCTTCCTCGAGCGGGCGCCACCGAGCTTTACGATGCCACGGCGGTTGCTTCCTACAGCTACGACGCGGCTGCCAGGGAGCTCATCTCGTACGACACTCCTGCAGTTGTGAGGACCAAGGTCTCATATCTTACTGGCAAGGGTCTTGGTGGCTCAATGTTCTGGGAGGCGAGCGGTGACAGGACTGACAGCGGGAGTCTTCTTGCAACCAGTTTTGACGCGCTCGGGGGCGCGAACAGCCAGGACCAGAGCCTTAACCAGTTGAGCTACCCGAACAGTCAGTACGACAACATCCGCGCGGGCGTACCAGGTGGTTGAGATTCCGGAGTCTATGTTGGTTCATCTTTTTGGGCGTATGGTGTTTGGCGTAGCTCATTTCTGAGTTCTGACCAATTCTCTATTCGAGTGGCTAACTCTGTACTTGGACTCACACAAGAATTTTCAATTTCTTTCTGTCTCTTCTAATCACTATATTGTATGACAATTTAATTCTCTTCTGTACTTTGTGGATCCTTTCAATAAAGATGAATTCAATACATGTATTTACTGCGCCTCAGTTGAGTTCTCCTCATCGTCAACCCTCTGCCCGTAGACAACGTGACTAAAAAGTCGTCAGCAAAGTCCGATACAAGCATCATTCAGAAGTAGGTTTCGCGTGGCTTACTAGTTCAGATATGCGTGGAAGGCCCCAGTCTTCAACTCCTGGCGAACTTGGGCAAGCAAAACAACCACTTCCTCTCTGGTCCACCCCAGAACGCCGATGAACAGCTTCAAGGTAAAGGCATCGAGACCCTCCAGGGTTTGAGCAAGGTTGCACATCCCGATATCCTTGTTGTGTTCGTCCTTGGCCCATGGGCCCAGAGGGATCTTGAAGTGATGATGAACGACATTTTTGAAGGGAGCCTCGCGGACCCAGCCCTCGAGTTTCGGGCCCGGGGAGTCTTCGCGGCCCAGCTTCTTGCAAGCTTCGATGAACAGACGGTCCCACTTCATGATCGCATGCTCCTCAGTGAGAGTCCCGTCATCACATGCGTAGAGCACACTCATGTCTTGAAACTCTGCCCATCCATTCGGCGCTAGGTTTCTAACGCAAAGACACGTCAGTCGTCTTTGACTCAATTGCACATGGAGGATGCAATCCATCGCATGACTTGTAGAAATGTGTTCATAAGAAAGATGCAAACAAAGTTCAAAAACTCACTTGTAAACTCTGCCAACGAGTTTCGGCCAGTTTGCTATGGAGGCTGCCATGTATCGCGTGAAAATAAAATTGTATTTCTCGTTGACAACCCATGCGCTTTCGACGTCGTCAATCTCAAACTTGACGTTAGGCGGCACCCTAGCCACCAAGTTAGTCAATAATCACTGTCGCTGTTCAAGATTAATATGCTTACCATGCTGGTTGGATTGGGCTCAAGTCGTTTCCAATGATCTGCCAATTCCTTTCTGTCAGCTTCTATCTCGCCACGGCGCTTGGGGTTCAATCTGTGTGTACTTCGGCATTGGGAAACACATCGGCAATCTCGATAGCCCCTTTTTGGAAAAGTTAGTGCGAACCATGATAGCAAGACCGTATTCTAACACGGCCAACTTACAGACTCCAGTGCCGGTTCCGACGTCCAGAATGCGATGCGTCGTCTCAGAGTCAATGGGGGCTAGAAAGAGTTTGTTGCCGATGGTCTTAACAACCATTGTATGCGTCAAGTCTAGACGATCCATCTCTCTCTGAGGCAAACTCAGCGTCAGCAGTGACTAAAATTAAAGTTCTCATGACCATGCGGCGCGGTTACCTCATCATTTGGGAAGTTGTATGCTATTCATGATGAGACGTCATGTGAGTCAAGTTGAATTGAATGTGAGCTGTGATTGCCTACTTACATCCTGCCCGGAAAGCATGATATGTACGTCCATATTCTTCTGGGTAGTCTAAAACGCTTGATGTCAAAGATGCTGTGTACGAAGAGCTAGGGATTAGGTCTTCATTAGCGAAATGGCCGAAGCAGGTTGTTCGGGAGAGGGCTAGCCTCTTCTTACATTCGGTCGTCAATAGTAGACGCATCGTCGGCAATCTTCTAATAGTCAGATTGATGTGTCGGCACTCTGGGAAACATGCTTGGCAAACCGACGCTAGAATTATCGTCGACTTCCAACGGTGCTGCCGCGATTGACACTCCCAGACCTTGTCCTGGCGATGTAACCGGGTCCGAATTTTGCTCGGCCGAGTTGTTTTCTGGGGTTGATTCCGATTCAGCCATGTTGAAACTGCTTTCAAAGGCAATTGGAGAATAGTGAGGCTACTGAGATCCTCCTTTTCGCGTGTTCCAAAGGCAAATTCAAGCTGAAGAATGGGGTTTTAAGAGGTGATGTGTCCCTCGAATGATCGATTTTGAAGAGCGAACCCCGCAGCTTGGCAGCAGGAACGATTGTTGGTTGTCAGTCGGATATGAGGCCACGTGAATGGTCGCTCGTCGTCCTGACCAGGGTTCGTGTGGGTTTGGGAGCCAACATTGCTCCATATGATAACAAATATTGTATACTAACAATGTGGCATCCTGTTGGTCGTCAGATAGTGGGAGAGAACCTTGATTGGGCAGATACAAGGGTTTTCCGGACCGCAATTCCCATTGCAAGCCTGAGGCCTGGCTGCTCTCCGGCAGCATGTCAAAAATAACAAAATATTGCCTTAAACTCTTAATGGAGCCACTGATCTCAAAACGGCCCACAACCTTCGAGGGAGACCCTAGCAGAATTTTTTAGGTGAGATCTTGGTGGTTCTTGGATAGTACGACTCGGGCAATGAAATTGTATCCCTAAACGAAGACATCAATGCTCAGTTTCATGAAAAAAGAAAAGGGACGAAGAGTTTCTTTCGCTATTGTGTCGTTCCTGCTTCACTAAACCTAAGAAACCAAACGTTCTTCCGGCATTCAGAGGTACCTTCAGTACATAAAGTAAAGTATAGAATTTCTAGATGCTCTGTTCCTAGACTCTACTCTTTGATTATTAAATTGCAGTTTTGTTGAAGCTTTTGGCATGTGCATGACCCCAAATCGTTCGTCACACTCCCAGTTGGGCTTCTCTAGTCATCTTCACTAACTCCATCATCAAGGCGCAAGCTCACACTATCTCGGAATGTCGACGGCTCTCCAGCGACTTGATCAAGTCTTACCTCGTTACCAGCACTTTGCTCAACAAGATTGTATGCAATTGTTATCTCCTAGATGAGTTTCATCTCTGGATTCAATGCCACCCTCGCTCGACTCAACACTTTCGGCAGTGGACCTTGACCTGTGATACCTGGCTCAACGATCTCTGTCTTGAGCTGCGCCTTTCTCCTCGCCCGCAGTATTGTTGACAAGTTAGACGTGAAGAGGCTCCTAGGTTAAAGTGGACCACAGTCCTGTCATTACTGCAAGAGCCATGGCACCAATGGCAAGCCCACGTGGCAGCCAGAGCTTCTCGGGCGCGTAAACTTGGACGTTTCTGCACTAGATATTGCGAATACACCTACAGGCCTGCTAGGGTTGGAAGAATTGCACTTAATGTAAGGCCAATACCCAGAGTGATAAGTGCTGAGCAAGCGCGATTTGAAGAGGCTTCTAATGGAAGAAGGCACGCTTGCCATGGAGATGGTGACATTCAGGAACAGCTCTGGTAGTGTTTGGAGCACATCCTTGCGAAATTCCATGGGTTTGCCTTTAGCGGGCTCCGACAGCGCAAATACTTCGTTATAAGTTTTGCCTTGTGTTGAGTAAGCAACTTATCGAGCCGCATTTGACCGGTTGCGAAGCCTGTAGAATTCTCGCGTCTCGGCGAGCGTTGTCGACAAGATGAGAGGCTGGTTCAATCCTCCACCAGTAGGCTATGCCTGATTATCCCCTACGTAGTTCCTGGACCCTTTAACAAGTTTTTTGAAGGAAAAGAAAATAGCGAGATAAGACTGAATTTGTGGGACGTTGCCCTGAATCCAATTGGAAGTATACGTCTCTAACTATTCAATATCGTCAGAGAGGAGAGCCAATTCGTCGGTCTTGATTCTAGTTATCTTGGAAGGTGTCTCGACGATGGGATTGATCTTGAGATAAGGAAGTGGCCAAGTTGACAAAACCCTCTCTTTCTCAAAGCACATGCATGCTTTGATTGAGACTCTACTATGAGGCAGGTCAGCCTCATTCTAAAATCGAGGTAGCGGATGGCTTTCCGTCTCACATCAAAATGAGCTACACCACAGAGCCAAGACGTTCTCAAATGAGTTTTTGGTTGCGGCTTAGGGCAGCCATTATGACGGCATCGAGGGCCTCCTGATTGATATTTACGCAACTCATGAGCTCAAACAAGTACACAACACCTGACGACGCTGGTCTTGAGGGCCTCTGGGCGCGCCCAAGAGCCGAAATTCTCACGTCGCCCTCTGCTCCCCTCTGCTTACTTGTGATGAAGTGATGGAAAAGCAAACGAATACCCTTTTATCCAAATCAAGTACCGGGTAATCTAGATAACTCACAGCTCGCAACGTAATACATCATGAAATTCGTGCAAGGTATGGGCAGAAAGAATCCTCCTGAAATCAATTAGAGTCCTCCAGCGTGCAACATCTGCGCCGCTTCGGTCGATTTCCGCCGTCGACCTTCCAGATTGCGACTAGATTGACAATATTGCACTCGAATTACACCAGATTATCGAAACTTTACAAGCCACCGGCTTCACGAAGATCCGGCATGTGGGCGCGCAATTCCCAGTCGAAAGTCTGTTGATCAATATCAACAGGCTTTTAAGCTTACATCGCGAGATGAAGTGGCCGGCCGGCCATGCTAGGAATTGCATCACTCTGGAGCACTAACCATTCCCCTACAAGCCTAGTGCAGGGACCCATTGTTACGAGAGACCCCCGGCCGGATTGACTCGCGGCAGGCATTCAAGGTTGCCTCACCTGTAAATTAAACAGAGTCCACTCTACTATGCCGGGCCCCTTTCGAGCAGTGCACTGTCATGAAGGCCAAGCTTTGGAGCCCGACGATTCGTTTTTGCCCACCAGCGTCTCAAGTTCATGAAAACACATCTTTCTCCCCGCGTGGAAGGCCGTCGCGGGCAAAGTCAAGCAATGTTGGAGAATCGAGTAGATGAATCCAGTGCAGCGCGTAAAGTGACCGGGAGGAATTTCAAACAGGGGCGAGAGCCTTATAATTATTGATCCTCCGACCCGTGTCTTTCAATCACGCAACACGGCCGCCAGCATGAAGGGGTGATCGCTCGGAGTCCAAACTGTAGATCGCCGGCCCGGCTGATGCGCGCTTGTGCTATGCAGCAAAACCCCACGAATCGCATGGCGGGTGGTGCAGGTTGAGAGAGAGAGACGCGCAAACGAACCGGATCGACAAACGGCAAAAGGGAAGATTTGCTTTCTCCACTTCGACAATTGGAGTTCGGTCCCGAGCTGTTCCAGAAAAGCAAGCAGATATCGGAAGGTTGGACAGAAGCAGAGCTAAGTTCTAGGGGGCGGTTCGTTCGAACTAAATTAAACGGGGGTTCATGGCTGCATCTGGTTTGAGCCTCCGCCCCAGCTTCGAGGGTAGCTTTTCCCTTCAGATTTTCACACTCGCGCATCAATCTTGTCAAAACAAACTTGGCGTTTGGCAGGTTTGCTCTCTTGGCTTGAATAGTTCGACCTTTCCATCCCCCCTCCCTGGGCAGACAGCAGTACGGGTTCCCGATTTGGCCTATGCTTTCTCGCCAATTCCAACCGGCACACCTTGGAAACGTGACGCGTAGACGATGGAAATGCGGAGGGGTTTCTTCGAATCTTCAAGTCTTCGTATCTGCAAAAAAGAGCGGAGCGGCAAGATTCATTGATTGGCGGATCTCGAATGTGAAAGGGGCCGTTTGATGTGCGCTTCCCCGTCGCCAAAAAAAGCTCAATCTGGGACGGCCGATCTGATCTTTCAGTCGCTGGCGGCCGCGGCGTAGGCGGGGGGAGAAGGCATTCTGAAACGACGCGCTTCTCATATTCGGCGAAGGACCCATGTCAATATCTATTCAACCCCCTTGATCACTTCGAAGCCTTCAGCCTCTGAGAGCCAGAGAGACTAAGCCTCAGTCCAGCCTCAATGGGGGGGTTTAGAGGAGGAGAAGACTGAAGAGGATGTGGTTCCGGCCGGGCCCCCCACATCAGCTTCGAAGCCGTTGGAGACTTTGGAGAGGCTGAGAGGAAAGTTTGCGAGTCGGGGGCCACAAAAGACGGCACCCAGCGGGACGTCTTGGGCGGGAGAGACGGGGACAGGGCCCCCTTGAACCCTGAACCCTTGGTTAAGGAATGCCAGGAACGGTAGGGTAGCGGAGCTGCGTGGCACGCAGGTGGTCAGGGGAGCAGGGGGAGGACGGAGGGGTTGTCGCACCAAGTCGTTTTCGGACCTCTTGGGCCTTGGCAGGCGACTCTGAAACTGAGAAACATCGGCGCCAGCGTTCCATCACTCGCCTCTTCTTTCCTCGTGTTGCCAGGGCCGCCGTGGAGGCTCCTCGGTTACACCTGTCGCATTGTTCATCTCTTGGCGACGGGCAAGGTTTGGGCTACTCCTCCAGTCTCCTCCACCAAGTAACCCAAGCCCACAAGGTAGAGCAAATAATCCCAAGTTCTCTCTTCCAATGCCACAGGGATGGCACAGCGGATGCGTGGTGTGGGTGTTCGCAGCAATAGCGCTTCCTGACGCAATGACATAGACAAGACAGCGGCTGCACGGGCTCTAGACAGGCCCAGAAGAGCTGGTAATCTGGCAAGGGTGGACGAAAAGACGAGACCAAAAAGTAAAGACGTCCCTGTTTCTTCTCTCGAAGCCCTCTTGGAAGAGGTTCTACCCCTACGTCTACCCTTCGCGTTCGTTCGGCATCTCGCTCTGGGAACGTCACTCTTCCCCCCTCTTCTCGACACAAGGCCGAGCAAGATGACTTGAAGCTTCTCTTTCGAATTCGCAACTTTTCGTCCCTTCTTCGCCCTTTTTCCCTTCTCCTCGCGGGCAGAGCCCTTTCCTTTTCCATTCGACTATCCTTCAGCTGTGCTGCTTCATCAAACCTGCGTCTCGACGACCTAAGTTCATATCTTTGTCACTTTTTTTTCACCTCAACCGTAGACTCGGACTCATATTGCTTTGAAGCAACTCATCTTGCTGGAAACCAGTCACCGAATTCAAGATGGTTTCTCCAATGGGCACTCTGAGGAGGTAGGCTATTTACCTTTGAAGCAAAGGAAACTGCAAGACTAAGTAAACGCATAGGCGTGCCACTCGCCGCCCGAATTACCGTAGAGACGACTTGAAAATCGACATACGCGACGACAAGGGCGAAATCTCATCCGACGACGAAGATTCCCCTTCGCCAAAGAGTACCAAGTTCCCACCCGGCGCGAGACCAACGGCGCCCCCTCCGCCACCGCCACCGCCGGGGGTGGTATCTCCGCCCGCCGTCCTCAACCCCGCCAACCCTACGGATTCGGAGAGCAGCACATCAAGCGATTCTCCGTCTCCCACGTCGTCCGACTTCCCGAGACCGACTGGGCCTCCGCGCGGCCCGCAACATGGAGAGACGGGACCTGCCCCCTTTTCGTCCACCATCAGCACTACCACCGGGGCATCGAGCTCGACTAGGACTCTTCCTACTGCTGTGCCGAACAGTCGCAGCACCACCAGCTTCGATTCGCAACCGACAGGGGGTACGACCGGGGGAAGCAGGGGAGGCAACGAGATGGGCCTGGGGAACGACAGATCTTATGACATAGGATGGACGCCGACTGCGATTGCATTTGGAACAATTGGTATGTCTACATTTGTCACTCCCTATGAGTACCATCTATGGTTAAAGTGTGAACAACCCATCTAACAAGGACCCCTAGCCATCGCCGCACTCTTCCTCGTCATCGGCGTCGGCATCTGGTGGTGCCTCCGCTACCAGAAACGCCGTAAAGCCCGCCACCTCGACGAACGCAGCATCTCGCCCGACGGCCAGCACTACTGGGACCCGTCCTCCACCTTCTCACCGCCCACCATGCCCGCCGCCCGCCCGTCCCGCCGCTCACCCTCCAGCATCTTTGCCGAACTCATGGGCCACGCCTACGCCGCCGAGAACGGCACCGCAGGACCAGGAACCTACGCCACCAACGACCGCAACTCGCTCACGCCCCAGGGCTACCTCGACGAGAAGACGTACGACCCGGCCCGCCAGCTCCCCGTCCTCGAGCCCGCGCCCGTCGCCCAACCCAACGTCCGCAACTCCATCGCCAGCTGGATCCGCCGCCACCACCCGCTCAAGCTGAACCCCATGTCCGGCCGGAGCAGCGTCTACTCCACCCGCAGCGCCGTCCGCGCCAGTACCAACACCGTCAACGTCAATGCCCCGCCGGTCCCGGTCCTCTCCGATGCGTACCGAGGCACCGACCCCGTAGAGCAGTCCGGGTTGGCGCCGCCGTCTCAGCAGCGGTACGCACCGTCCAGCCAAGATGACACTGAAAGCCCTCTGACAGAGTACAACACCGATTCCTTCCTGTCTCTGTACCAAACCCAACAAGTACCCCAGCAGCAACCCGGCCAGCACCAGCAGGAACCCGGCCAGCTCCAGCAGCACCAGCAGCTCCCGGCAGCCCCGTGGCTCCAAGACCCGCCGCCGGTCGTCTTCGGCGAGCGCGGCGTCTCCATGACGCCGACCGAAGCGACCGAAAGTACCTGGCAGAGCTGGGGCGGCGGCGTCAACCAGCCTCAGCATCATGACCAGCACCAAACGCCGCCCGACACGCCTCGCAAGGGCTGGATTGAAAAGTGTATCAAATTTGGGGGTCTGAAATAATGACGCTGGTACCAAAAGAAAAGGGGGGGTGGGGAAAGAACATGGGTTGCTGCGACGAGTTACATAGACCACCACGCATGCGATACCGCAAGGCGGACACCACGGTGTTCAATGCCTGTTTCGAGTGTGCATATTATTGAGCAAACATATCAAACGTACATACAAATTCAACTGGGGATAGCCGAGATCTGATAGGCCTCGTTGACCACGATTTCATGCACCTTTGTTCACCACATACTGCCTGACCTGGAGTGATACACGGCATGCATGTTGGATGGCATGAGACCCAAGTCCTGCAGCCTTCATCTGTGCGCCTCTGCTGATCATTGACCAGGCGACCAATCACCACAGATATTTGATTCATGTCAGACGATATCCCGTAGAAAGTGGTGTCATGCTCTCACCGAAGATAAGGCTTGTGAGTTGCTTTTTGAGAACATGCCCTCCGCACTCCCGTCGTGATCACACCTTTACCTCCAGCATAGTCATAACCAAGTCCGCAAGCATCTGCTGCTTCGTTTCGTTGTCTACGTGTTAGTAACAGGCAACAAGCACTGAGAACGACTGGAAAAGTAGCCCGAGCTGATGCTCTTCATCTTTAAAGCCAATAAAGATTCCAGAAATGTGTAAATAGCGGTGGCAAATACATTACTCTTGCGGGTGTGGCTTCAGTGCGACGGAATGGCAAACCATTGACTACTTCTAGACACGCCTTCACATCAAGACCACCTACAAGGGCGACGCCGGAATCTGCGTAGCATATGATGAAGACCCAACGTAGCCACATGCAGCCATATCAAAGTCGTAGGCAACTTCCGCTGACGTTATCCATACCTGATTTGGGTCTATTTTCTACATGTAGCGACATGGGCTAAATCAAGTTCACGGATAGTCAATCCTCCTAGGAAATTCCAACACAGTGTCACTTGCTGCCAGCGATACAATTCGCCATCGTAAGCGGCCTCTGCCCATTCAAAGCAGCCCTCAACTCCGTCTCAAAGTCTCTCCTCCAAGCCTCTTCCCCATGAACCGGCCTCCACCCCAGCTTCTCCCTGGCCACAGTCCCCTTTGTCTTGCGGTGCCCAGCATACCCAGTCTCCGCAACATCCAAATTCCCCGCACACGTCTCCGCTGCCTCCTCGAGGCTGACGTTGCGCACAATCTTCTCCCGCGGCCCGCCCTCCTTGGGGAGATTTCCCGTGGCAAACGCGATATCGAGACACTTTCGGGGGATGTTAATCGTCAACGTCCTCCCCACGGTCGGGAACATGATACCCTTCTTGCCCCGAGGGACGTTGGCGCCCCCGCGCTCGACAATGTCCAGTACGCAGAGGACGTAGAGGTCGGCGAGGTCTAAAATGTGGACGTAGTCGATGCAGCCCGTCTCATCACCAAGCGTCAACCCGCAGCCATTTTGGAGCACGTAGCCCATCATGATGGGGATCATCAAGCCAGCCTTATTAAAGAGTCCCGAGCCGGGTCCGAATATGCAGGGCGACTGGATGCTCGTCGCATTGACGCCGAGCTGATCTCCAATCCGGAGCACGGCCAACTCTGCAGTCCGTTGAGGGTATGGATCTTTTGCGTCCTCGGCCTCTTCAAACTCGTACATCTTTTCCGCTAACGCGTCTTCATACTCGGCATCCGGCCTATTTGTTCCAGTCAAAGGCTTATCCGCAATATTAAACGCTCCCGACGTGTGGATCATCCAGATTGGTCGGCCTCCATTACGATCCTTGCGCTTCGCGAGACCGTGGACAAAGGCCTCTGCCGAGGGAGGATGGAACCCAGAGCCCGCGTTGATTACGACATCATACTGAGAAGCGAGAGCTTCCAGAGCTAACGTGTCGTCGTAGGATATGATTGAGACGGGCTTCACGCGCGAGCCATATGCTTCTTTTATCCTTGCGACTCGTTCTGGACCGCCACGAATTGGGACCGTGATTGGCGAAGAAGGGGAGGTCGTGGAAGTGAGTGAAGGGTGCTTGAGGAGGAGGTGGAGGACGGACCCGCCTACGTATCCGGTTGCGCCGTTGAGGAGAATCTTTGGATGCGAGTTTGGAGAAGGCATGGTTGTTAGATAGATGAACGGGCGAACATATGTTTCCTCGCAAAGATCAAGGAGCCTCTCAGGTATTTCATCCCAGGGTCTCAGTTTCTATTTATTGCGCAACTCCAGAAGCGATGGAGATGAGAGTCTGGAGGAGGGGTCTGGTCTCAACCCCGAATACTGCAGACCGCCAGAGACACTCCCCGAAACTCAAAATAACTGAATCAACAGACCCTCGATTCTGGGCGCCCGCTGAAGAATCCATGACCCCGGAGCACATTGATCAATCACCGTTGAGGGACCGCCGGGCCGCACTCCAGATCCGCTCTCGTGAACCAGTTTTACAAGCTTCCGTGTCATTTCAAAAAGGCAATCCCCACTCTCAAGGGCCAGGACATGCTGTTTCGAGAATGGTGCGATGCAAGAACGTTGTTGGTGAACCAACAGGTTGCAGCGCACCAACAGCGAACCATCAGACTTTCACAGGGGCCGTATTCGATTTCGTGAATAGTTGACTCTACGTCCGACTATGGATTGACGCAGCTGTCCACAGACTTCCGTTTACCATTCCCCAGATCCTGCGTCGAAAGTTCAATGAGAGCTGGCATCTGAAATAATTCGTTGAAGCTGCGTCTGAGTTTGACATTTCCAGTGTTAGAACATCATTCGGGCTGTTTACTTGGCTCCGGTCGATTCAATAGGGCCATAAGAACTTGTTGAACAATTGAATTTCTCTCCATGAATTCAGTAAATTGGACTTCCCAAGGTACCATCTTATAGATCAATGTTGGGGGCGAGATGTTACCCACCATGGGGATGACTGTTAGTCAGATGTTTATGATCATGGGATCCTGGTGCCTGCCACGCATGCTAGGCATCTAGACACGGAAACGACGCTGTGAAGAGAGCCAGGGACAAAGGAGTGACGCGCATCTCGACTTTAAAACTTGACGACACGAGTAAACGAACGACTGGTAGTTGGATGCGATGCAAAGGAGCGGAATGGCCAAAGTGATCTGCGAGATACAACAACCAACTGGCGCCTGAAATCGAGATATGCTTTTCCTGTGATCGGCGGAAAGACCGATGTTGACCGGAGGACATGCTCAGGTCCGGAAAGAGACACGGGCCACCCCGGGCTCCCCGGTGGCCGGCTCCGCGGCCGAGGACCGAATTCCGATGCGGGTGGATCGGGACCCGTATTCTGGAAATCACTTCATCAGCCACACACCAAGTCCAGATTATTCATCTTGTTGCCTCGGAAGAGTCCACCAACTGCTGATTTGACTTTATACATGCACTTTTATGGACGCGTCCTTTTGGGGCAGCAGGCGGTGTTGGATCTTCGAAGACCAGGGTTTGCGTCGGCGTTGTGGGGAAAGCTTCGTCTTGCGGAGGAGTGACGACCGGAAATGCCAACTGCGAGGGAATTTTCTGAGCTTCGAATGTGAAATCTGCCTTGGCTTCTTCAGTAGAGGGCGGTCTGTACGATAATGCAGAATGTTGTCTTCAGTTGACGCCCCTGGGCAACGCCAACCAATGAGTGTGCGAAACAAGACACGTTGAATCTCCCGCCCATAGCCATCTTCAGCCACCGGAAACGGTCGAATTGGAAACACGAGGAAAGTGGTTGCTATGCAGGCTGACCGATTCGGGTTGCATGCACGCATAATGTTCTGCCCATCAATCTGCCTGTGGCTGCGCCGCAGAGCCTTACCGTTGCCAAAGGGCGGCACTCATGGGAAGGGTGCGCTTCCCCTCATTCTCTCGATCCTTTCCCTCTTGATTCATTTTCTTATACCAGGAGCCTCTATTCAGATCATCACCGAAAATTGTGAGCACACATCCAGTTTCAGTCACACAATTGCAGCTCGTCCAACCTTACGACAAGATCATCATGTCGGATCCTCTCTCAATCGCCGGCAGCATCGCCGGCATAGTCCAACTATCTGCAGCTGTCTTTCAGCAGGTCTCAAAGTTCGTAAGAGATGCCAAGGGTGCCGAGAAGACCGTAAAAGACCTCGCAGACCAGACAAGAAACCTCTCTGGCGTCTTGCAGAATCTCGCCCTTCTCGCGTCATCGCTAGAGCAGGAGACCACGACTTCGGCATTCAAAGCACATCATCTCCACGCATGCAGACAAACTCTCCTCGACATTGAGAAACGTCTGAAGAAGCCTTTATCCGGCTTCGACGACGGAAGTAGACGACAGGTGATGTACCGCAGCTTGAAGTGGCCCTTCTCCGCCGATGACACCAAGGGATTGCTCAAGCAAATCGAAGGCCATCGAGACACCATCTCTTTGGCTCTATCCACAGACACCCTCGAGGGTATGTTGAAGTGTCTGGAGAGACAAGACACCATCATCGGAAGCCTAGGGTCGCTGAGCCAGAAAGTGGAGCGCCTGACCGAAATCCAAACTAGGATCGGAGACACCAGCAAGCGACGTGAGATCATCGACTATTTCTTGAAGGTGAACCCCCAAAGCAACTTGCAGACCTCGAATCGATTGCGCCAGCCCTTGACTGGGCTGTGGCTTACAGAGAGTGATCCCTCCTTCTTGAAGTGGCTTGCGCTCCCGCACTCTGGTCTGTGGTTGAGCGGAATTCCTGGGGCTGGAAAGACTATCCTATCTGGAGTGGTTATCAACGAAATTCTGCAAAAGAGCAGTGACTCGACCGCTGTAGCGTTCTTCTATTGCGATTACAAGAGCAGTGCCAGCCAGCAACTTGTCAATATACTCTGCGCGTTGGCTGCCCAATTAGGTCAGCAGAACAACAGGGCATTTGGTTTCCTGGAGTCGTATCATGGAAGACTAAAATCGGCAAACGGTCTTGGCAGAGAGCCTGAAACACAAGAACTCCAAGATTTGATTTCCGACATTAGCTCAACGTACGAAAGGGTCTTCATTGTTATTGACGGGCTTGACGAGTGTGGTGATAACGCAGCAGAAGCAGCTGAGGCCATCAGACTTCTTTTTGAGGCGTCGTCGTCCGTCAGCATTGCAGTGTTCAGTCGAGACGAGCAGGAGATTCGAGCCGAGCTTGTTGACGAGTTTGCCCATATTGAGATTGCAGCTCATACGGAAGACCTTGAAATCTACATTGGTGCTGAAATGGCGAAAAGAAGGCGACTGCAGAAACTGACTTCCCGGGATCCGGAGTTTGCCGACGAGATCCGGCACAAGCTCGTCAGTGGAGCTCAAGGAATGTAAGTTACCACTCCTCCCTCTCTTTCTTGGCGTTTCTCGGCCGTTTACTTTTTGTCATCACTCAGGTTTCGATGGGTATCATGTCAGCTCGACTACCTTTGCGATGTGGATACAAATCGTGAACGCCGGGAGGCTCTGGAATCTTTACCTCCAACGCTTGAGGAGACATATCATAGGCTACTATTGAGAGTCTCTGAGTCGGGCGCAGGCGCCAAAAACCTTGTTCGAAGAGTACTGCATTGGACAATGTCAAGAAGCGAAATGAGTTTTGCCGAGATGCGAGAGGCAGTCTCGTTTGTCTCTTCGCCCACCAATGACTTCGGACCCGATGACCTCATTGACGAGGATACAATTCTTAGGAGATGCAGTAGTCTGATACGAAAATCGAGACACATGAGATGCCCTTCGGTAGCTCTGATAGAGCTGGCTCATTTCACTGTCGAAGAATATCTGTTGGGCATCGGCGATGATTCCGATGTAAGCTTCTTCAAGTTTGACAGATTCAAGGCAAATGAGGAGCTTTCGACCGCTTCTTTGAAGCTGTTCGTCTCCAGAGCAGTGGAGACCAAGCTTGATCCATCCGCGGATCTTAGCCTGAACATGAATCATATTCTAGAGCGCTTCATCGGAAACTATTTCTACTTATATTCGACCGCCCGGTTGTGCGAAGTCGATGCAGTTGGTGTAGGCACTTTCGACGACGCCGAAATTTGGTCACGTATGCGGGACTCCGCCGACTTCGACAAATTCACATCCATTTTTCAATCCTCGAATGGAATGTCTCTTCTCGAACTAGCCATCGGAGCGGGGCTTAGAGAGGTCATTCCCGACAGCAGCCTTCTGAGACATTGTTGGCAGAACCCTGAAAAAGTTGCCTTAGTAAAATATGCCAAAATCAATGCCAAGGCACAGCTATTAGCTCTTCTTTCGCCAGAGTTTACACCATTGCAGCTCGCGGCAGCTATTGGTGTTCCCAGATTATGTATTTCTCTCGTCGAGAACATGGTGGATATCAGATCCCTAGATCTTCAAGAATGTTTATACTACGCATTCGGCGGCATTGGCCTCTTTTTTTTTAATAAACAAAGACGGTACGATTTTGAACCATTCGGATATGTAGGCTCATTCCGTTTCTGTAATTCAGCAAGAACCAGAGCTATCGAAGTTCTGCTGCGTCTTGGCCTTGCGGAGAATATCTCAGGCGAAGAAACCCCCTTTCTCAGCAATTTAACACGACCAAGAAGAGAATTCGGGGGCGATACGCTTCTCCATGTCGCCGTTATCTATGGAGCTCTAGAGCCTGTCAAGACTCTTCTTGCAGCCGGATTTGACACAAACACTAAGAACTCGAAGTCAACAACCCCGTTAGACTTGGCGCTTTCACAATCGTCTCCGGAAATGGCAGATCTCTTCCTTCAATTCAACCCATTGCATTCGCAGGCTGACTCGGCTTTGAGAAGTCTCGGCAGCCAGAAGGCAGATGTCGCCACCTCTATCACTGTTGACCGGAACTGCTTGCCACCGCCATCTGCAGCTGCGGTCAAGGCCGCGGTCGAGCTTGACGATCTCGAGTTTTTGAAAGCCGTCATGGACCAGGGGTTGTCTCTGGACATAGAACTACCTGGATGCGCTTCCTGCCCTCAAAGTCCGCTAGCTCTTGCTGCCCTTCCAGGCCGAGAACGGACTCTTGTGTGGCTCCTCTCACAGGGTGCAAGCTTAGAGAGTTCTGGTTGCTGTAAACTACCGTTCAAAATACGCAATGTGGTTTCATTGATAGTATATCACAAAATGGATATTGATATCCTAGAGCTGGCACTAGAACAGTGTCTTTGTCAAGGGGTCACGTTTGCGGAAGAAGACCTCAATCCTTTTCACATTGCAGCTCTGGTGTCAAATTCGGCGGCGATTGGGTGCTTGCTTGAGAAGTTGAAAGACAACACACAGCAGTTCCGGTAAGAACCACCAATACAGCATTCAATTCTCAAGTCTCTGCCGATGTGACTTTACGCAATGGGTACATATACACTGACGAAGCTTGTAGGTCATTGATCCGCACCAAATCTTTGGGTTTGGAACTTGCACCACCAATACTCGGTCTGCAACCCAAGGCGATCGACAGCATAAGCTCCGTTTCTGTTAGGATCAAAAAAACCTGGCCTAAAGGATTTAGATTCCGAGGCGCTCCCCTCCATTACGCCGTTATCATAGGTTCTGAGGCATCGGTTTTACTACTTCTTTCACACAATGCTGATGTGAATGTCGTGGACGACCACCAAAGATCCCCATTGCATCTGGCGGTCTCTTGCAACCTTAAAAGCATAGCCCAGGTCTTGGTGAACGCTGGTGCGGACCTGGCAAGTTGTGACATGAAGGGTCGCACAGCTCTCATGCTAGCAGCACAAAAAGGAGACATGGGTTTGATCAAAACTTTGGACAAAAGTAACGAGGTCATCCACATGACAGACCACTTTGGGAGAACAGCTCTTCATTATGCTTCGAGTTCTCAGAACACTGCAGTCGATGTTTTCAAATACTTTTTGGAAAGGGGACTGAACCCAGTTTCTGAATACCCCAAGTTACCGAGCCCGACTTCGTGGTTGTTTGGAAATGGTATGAAGAACAAAGCTTTGGTCGCATACTTTCTCAATTCCGGCCTCCTTCAGTGCGACAACAGTCACAACAATTGCAATCCTCTAATTAATGCTGTCTTCAACAACGACCAAGGCCTTGTTCAAAGAATTTGTCGAATTTTTCAGAGACATCCTCGAGCTCAGCGATTTCTCAACGCAGAAGATGAAAATGGCTTCACTGCAATATGCCATGCGGCTATGGGAGGTATGAATACCTGTCTTCAACAGCTTCTGGACCATCAAGTCGACCGGCACAAAGAAGGCTGTCTCCAAGGAAGCCCTCTGATGGCAGCTTGTGCATTTGGCAGACTAGAGGCAGTCAAGATGCTTGTCCGCAGCGGCGCCTTATTATCTTATACCAACAAGGAAGGTGTTTATCGTAATGCCTTCGAGGCATCGATGCCACACCGTCGGATCCAAGCGTGGTTGCTCGTTGGGCGATTTCAGGATCAAACAAAATTATGCTCTGAGCCGTACTGGAAAGACTGGCATGGAAATCATAGACATTGGAGCGGTTTTCTAAAAGCAAAATGGAAGCTGACAGGAGAGAAGAAGCCGTTTAGAGATGACTCCATGCTGGACTATCTTGGCTACACTCATTCTTTGAGGGACTGGGCTAAGGGTAGAGTGCTGGCTGCGTCACTTATGTACGAATAAATAGCTGGAAGACAATCCTGCTGACTCTCCTATTCTCTCAAATATCAGATTTCAGTTCGTGGTTTGCGCTTTTTAAATGAATGACTGTTGAAAACTTTGCAATGCCTCGTAGTTGGTTCACGTTATTTGTTACTTAACGGACTCGGCGCGAAGGTTGAAATCCAAAAGAAGTTGGCTTGATCTGGCCACGACATGATCCTAGACAATACAAACACGCCGACGTCAGAAATCGAAGAGCGTGATTCAAAGTGGCTTTTGACTGTATAGGAGACGGAACTGGGTAGCTGTCTGTCAGACTGTCTCTTTACGGAAGAACCGGATCAGCCGTGTCTATTGTGACAGTAGTGACGAAGCATTGCGCCTCATTATCAAAGCTATTATTTCTCTAACAAAAGAGGTATCTCCCGATGGCCTTTCAAGATAAGTCATAAGCAGCATGAATCGCATTTTCCCCGATAAGTGGCCACCCATGATTGACCTCCAATCGAAAATGATCACAACGTCATCACTTACAAGACATGAAGAGTTGATGTCGGGCTGTACTGAACCAAGTATTGCATGGACAAGCAACGCCACGGAGTATCCTGGAAGGCTTGAGGTAAAATGTAATCTGCAGACGGTCGCGGACGGCTGCTGAATAAACCGAAAGTCCGAGGCAAGGGTGACCTTTCCCTGCTCTCCGCGTGGTCATCCACAGTCAAAGTAAAGTCGCAGCGCTCACGTCCTGAAGCAGATATCTTTGCAATGCAAGACACCGCAGCAGCTCTGGTCTCTGTACCTGTTGGTGAAATTTGGGTCATCTGATGTTCCGAGTTCCATCTTTCAGTCAGCCGGGCAGCTCCACGACTTGACGAGTGACGTCCGCTGAAGATGGTCCGAAATCCGTTGGCACACTCCCCCCGGCCGATTGATGGATGACCGTCATAAATTACGTAGAAAGTCTCGATCGGTTTACTTCTTCATGCCGAGATGTTCAATCTTGCCTCCATGACCGAATAATCCAGCCAAACCTCCAAACCGGTTATTGGGAATGCGAGCCTGAATTCAGATATAAATCCTGGGAAAGCTGCGGATTTCTCTTTGGCAAGCATTATTATCCCATAGCACTCAACTTACTGGCTTGCATCGATCCCTCCATAAATTTGGAACCGGCTTGAAACAAATCAATCAAACAAACCCACAATCTTAAATCTCACCTCTTCCAACGTTATTCGAAGATGAAGACTGCCACCGTTTTAGCCATTACTGCCACCGCACTGTGTAGTCCTGTTCTCCTCAAAGACCGCGCCCAAACCGGAGCCACAGTTCAACTCGAAAGCCGCGAGACTGGAACCATAGAAAAGGAATACACCGAAGGTGGCTGCCGTGATGTAATCTTTATTTTCGCCCGGGGTTCCACGGAAATCGGAAACATGGTAAGTCCCCGCCCCGCTTCGGAGTCTCACGTCCGGACCAGTCCGGACTAGATTCGTGACGTGAGTGTGGGGGGAGGCACCATCAGATGACTGACGTCAAAGCTTCCAGGGCTCCAGCGTTGGACCCCCGACTTCAGACGGTCTGAAGAAGAAGTACGGCGATAACAAGGTGGCGACAGAAGGAGTCGATTACGCAGCTGGCCTATCCACCAACTTCCTCCCCGGCGGAGCCGATCCCGTTGGCGTGGATGAGATGAAGCGGCTCCTAACTGATGCCACCAATAAGTGTGGCAGCTCCAAGATCGTGGCTGGAGGTTATAGGTATGCATAATATCCGGTGATGGCATCAATGAAACGTCGATAACATGAGACTGACAAAATCTGTATTATAGCCAAGGAGCTGCTGCCGCTCATCGTGCGATTGAGAATCTCCCCGATTCAGCCAAGAGCAAGATTCTAGGAGTCGTTACCTATGGCGACACTCAAAACCAGCAGGATAAGGGGCAAATCCCCAATTTCCCCACGGACAAGCTGAAGCTTATTTGTAACGAAGGCGACATGGTGTGCAATGGTACCCTCGAGATCACGCCTGCTCATCTCGACTATGAACGACATGTCCCTGAGGCAGTCGATTTCTTGACTGGAAAGATTGGTAATCTCTGATATCGCATGCTGCGCCCACATTGTTTGGCTCGATGAGACCTTTCCCAGTATTGATTGGGACCCCTGTCCAGAAAAACGGAGCAATTGACATTGGCGCTGGAACAGTTGGAGTTGCGGACACGGAATTGTCTTCCAGCCACACAGTCTTGCTCAGGTCTGATCTTGATTGATTAGCGCTCCTTCTTCATACCACTTCGTCTTAGACGATTTCCTATCAATTCTAGATTACATTTGAGGCAGTTGACGATGGTATTATCAATGTTTCGAATCTTGCTACTTAGGGGCCATAATGTTCGCGTCTGATCTGATATTCCCCAGTGACAATACCTACGTCTGAAGCAATCCAAGGCAGTCTTCCACGCGAGAACTCACTGACATAACCCGGTACTGTAGTATGAAGTATCCTAGGTTTTTTGTTGAGCCTCCGATGGCAAGATTACAATGACGTGTGATCCTAGCTTGTCCCAGTTCCCTCCGTCTGAAGCCTTTCTGAAGCCTTTCTAGGCTTCAGCAGCCAGTCTGTCTTCTTTGATGATGTCAGCTGCCCGTTCGGCAACCGCATAAACTGTACTTTGGATGTTGCCCAAAGGCTCAATCGGGAAGATGCTAGCATCGACAATGCGAAGCTTCTTCGCCCCGTAGACCCGAAGTCGCTCGTCAACGACACCCCCATCCGCGCGCGGCATCATGGCACAGCTGCCCGAAACATGGAACACGGAGATCTGTCTCTGACGCACAATCTCTTTGGCGTCCTCCAGGTCGTCCGCCTTCAACTCGGGCAACCGCTTGCCTCCGGGCTTGAGCAGCGCGCTAAAGGGCTCCGTGCCCACGATCCGCTCGACAAACTGCACGTTGCGGGCCAAAAGCTCCAGGTCGAGGGGGTTCGAGTTGTATTTCGGATCCCACGTCGGCAATACCTTGTAGTCGGGACTGGTTATATGCACCGTTCCCCGCGAAAACGGATGGTTGAGTACTGTCATGACAGTGATGTAATTTTCCGGTCGGGAAGGCAAAATGTACTCGGCCATGCTAGCCGGATGATCGTTAATTGTGATTTGAGACGGGAAAAGAAGGTACTCGCTGCTCGGCTCGTCCGAGGTTTCGATCAGAGAGCGCACGAGCTTCCCGGCGGGCGAGTTTGCGTTCTTTTCGTGTGTGGCGAGGAGAGATTTCTTTGCGTCTTCTGGCAACAGTCCGTTGTTGTCAGCGAGCGGTGCGTAAGCAGAACTGATAGTGCTTTGGCCTAGGGGACCTTCGCGTGTCGCTTGATATTGACCGACAACAGCATTGAGAATGTTGCCATCTCTGAGGATATCAGCCGATGGAACTCCGTCGTTGACCTCAAAGCTCTGGCAGACGATAGGGTGATCCTGTAGATTCTCTCCGACGTTGGCATTGTCAACCAGAACAGGAATGCCGTGGCTCTTGAGCAAGTCTTCCCCCCCAATGCCGGACAACTCCAACAGCTGGGGTGTTTGAAGAGTGCCTGCAGCAAGGATGACTTCCGCCTTGGCCTTGATAGTCCTCTCCTCGCCATCTTTTGTGACAATCTGCACGCCAGTCGCAGAGACGTCGCCATTGGTGGTGTCAAAGATCATCTTCTTCACCTGAGTCTCAGTCAAGACCACCAGGTTGGTTCGTTTAGCAACTTCCGGCGTGTAGTAGGCGCTAGCCGCGAAGCTCCGCGTCTTGGTCTCCGGATCGATACTACACGGGTTCTGAAAAGCGCCGTAGGCCTTTCCGCTGCGAGGGTCCCCAGTCACGCCGAGACCGAGCTTGTCGAACGTGCTCATCCAAGCAGCGTTCATGGGGCTGTAGCCTTCGCCAAATGACACTTGGAGCGGCCCTTTCCCACTGAGAGTCTCATCGTGGTAGTCCAGCCCTACGATGTCCTTTGCGGACTGGGGCGGTGGGTGGTCGGTGCCGAACTTGCGGAAGTAGGGGGTGAGGTCGTCGAAGCTCCAGCCAGCGTTACCAAGAGCGCCCCAGGCATCCAGAATTCCCCTCGACGGATACAACATCAACATGAAGTTCAAAGCAGAGCTGCCGCCCAGCATCTTTCCTCGGGCTTGGTTGATTCTTCTGTTGTTCAAGCCAGGCTATTTTCCGTAAGGTTACCGTTTGAGCTTGCTCATCTGGTTAGGCTCCTTACCTGCGGAACTGAGGTGAAGTTCCAGTCATATTCGTCTTTTCCATACACACCAGCTACCAAGCCGGGTGTCAAGACCAGAGGATCAGCGCTCTTGTCGGCGCCGGCCTCCACAACAAGAACACGCGTGTCGACATCCTCGCTGAGGCGAGAGGCAACCACCAAGCCGGCTGTTCCACCGCCCACGACAATGTAGTCGAAGGAAGAATCGAGATCTTTAGAAGACGACATGGTGCCACTGGTCATTTCTGAGTTTGCTGCGAAATATTTCAGATTGACGAAGGAAAAGAGTTGTGAAACTCAGTTTTCAAACCAGGGGATCTGGTCATTGCAACCTACGCGAGTAAGCCTGCTGTCCGATGCCAGGGTCAAAATCCATTAACATTCTACAGTCAGCGTATGCATAATATACCTGCATTAGTCTAACCTCTACAAGCAGAGCAGCCCGCCGTGCCCTGGTCGGAATCCACTGTTCTGTTCTTTGGTTGCATTCGTTGGTTTTGGTCAGGAGGGAAGACCAACACGACAGGACAAGATTCCCAACCCGTCTCTCTTTTTTCCGGCTGAGCAGCTTATGCCTCACGGGTTTCGAGCGCTTCTGTTCCAACATGAAGAACGCGAGGTATTTTGGCATTTTTTTCGTCCGCAGATGCAAAGCTATTGGTAGTCAGCGACGAGCTTACTTATGTGTAGGACTCTCCATTCTTCTAATACATTTGTCACTTGCAGAACAACATCGTACCCGACGTTGTGCTTATTCACACACATGAAATTTCACAATTCCAGACACCTTACATATATGTCCATTTCAATACCGGTACTGAATCCGAATGCGCGGTCCTGGTGCCCCCTGTCCACTTTGCCCTCAATCAGGCTCTCAGTGAAGCCGGAAAAGGATGAAGTTCCGCGAAATCCCGGTTAATTTGGTTCAACGGTTGGGACTAGACTAGGGACGGCAACTCGGATTTCGTCCCGCGGCAAAACTCCCCGCGCCGCACACTCACTTGACAGATATGGATCGGCGCAGAACTTTTGTCTGGACGGCGCATGCTGGTGGATCGCTGCAAGGGTTTTGCTGCAGACTTCCAACCGCTGCAACGCAGGGAACATTATATCGTACCATGCCACTGTTTTACGGTTCCAACCGAACCATCACAGGACAAATTTTGGATATTGGCGGGACCGGTCTGGCAGCACTCTGCCATCACTACTGTGTGGAAAGGGAAATGAGTTGCCGCCAAATTGGTTGGCTATCCTCTATCTTGTTAGTGAAAAGTTTTCTCATGACACTAAACATAATACCAAGCGGTAAGGATAAGGCAAGTCTCATTTCTCTGCGATTGATCATGGATAATATGTTAACAGCGAGTCAGCCTCTTCGAAAGACTAACATTAGCGGTGTGCTGCTTCAATTTGGCAGCAACCCAACGGTCAAAGTCTTGACCCAGAGTTCCAGACACTCTTGGGCAGCAGTGACAGAGTTCAGTCCGCTCGATTTAGCACTATTCTCTACCGTGCATCATCTCGGGCGTCTTGGCATAGTCGTTGAAGATTCTGGCTTATCTTAGCGTAGCGTAAACGTAAGATCAGCGGATGCCGAGCGACTGCGTCGCACATGACATGTCAATTTCCGCGGTCTTGTTAGGTGTAGGTTTCTTTCCCGTGCTAGCCTCATACCAGCAAGTTTAGGGATCGGCTGGCACAAGGAAACCACGCAGGGGTGGTATTAGCGAGGTCCGATTCCCTGTGACGGGCACAACAGTCAAATGACTCCGGAATCAAACATGGATAATGACTTTGTCTTTTTTTTCCTGCTAAAGTTTCTTCGAGTTCAAGTAATCGGGTTCAAATATCTTCAATTCTTTTCTTCTTTTCTCTTTTTTGATGCGAGATGTGGAACACGTTGTATGGGTAGTTCTCGCTGCTGCCCACCAGCATGACGCTCCACGCTGTCAGCTTCCCACCGTTACCGATAGTCAAAGCCCACCTCCTCGTGAACTGCGTATTGGTTCTCTTTGCGGTTGTCGTAGTCGCACTTCGCTTCTTTGCACGCTTCTCGTCGGGGGCAAAGCTGTGGTGGGATGACTTCCTCATTTTCTTAGCTGTGCCTCAGGGCATCGGGATGCTTGTCATCCAAGGCTTATGTGAGTATTCCGCGCGATTGGGTTTTCTTTGCCGAGTCTGACAATTTCGCCTCCAGGGTCGCCTATGGGCATCGGATACCCAATCACCAAAACCCTCCCAAACATTGTCGTCGTTCTCAAACTTCTGGTCGCATACGAGTTCATATTCGCGACCTGTATCAGCACCATCAAGCTCAGCGTCATGTTCTTCTACCTCCGCGTCTTTGTCAATCCAGGACTTCGGACCGCGACGAAGCTTGCAATGGGTTTTGTCATGGTCTGGACAACAGCAAACATTCTCCAAGTCTTCTTGATTTGCCACCCTTTCGAAGCAACATACAATCCGGCCGTCAAAGGAAAATGTGGAAACCAAATAGCGTCCTTCATCGCCATTGGAGCATTCAATGTCATCACGGATATCCTGATCTTGACATTGCCAATCTCGACAGTTTGGGCGCTCAAGATGAGCACGCCAGCCAAACTTGGCGTCATATCCGTCTTCTCAATAGGCTTGATGTATGGCCCGCCCAGTTGTCCCCCGTCCCCACTGCTGCGATTGATTGACTGACAATGAAATCAACAGAGTCAGCGTAGTTGCAATCATCCGCATCGTCAGCCTTACCAATCTCGACCTCCAAAACTTGACCGAGACAATGATTTGGGCTGACTTTTGGTCGACCGTGGAGCCGAACTTGGGTATCATCTGTGTCAGCATGCCGATGCTGGGATCCCTCTACTCGCGGTGCACGGCTCGGCGAGGTGCATCGAAGCTCGACGGACCTTCAGACGCCAGTGGCTATAACAACTCAAAGAGGTTTGAAAGATCGCAGCCGAGCGCGTCTGACGCCGTTGCCCTGGATACCATATATTCCCCAGAACAGGAAATACAATACAGGTCGGAGGTCGCTTCGTTTGGACGCAATGGGAAGAATGAAGATAGTGGGGACGACTTCGAGTCACGCCTGACCCCTGAGCAAGAGCTTCTGGGTAGAGACAAAGTCATCCAGGTGCAAAAGCAGTGGACCGTATCACGCCAGACGACCTCATAGTCTTTGAGAGCTCCAGAATATTCGCCTTTGATCAAAGCAGCCAATCAATCAAGTTACCCAGTCGCGGGGTCCTGACCAGCCATGCGGTACGAGAAACTTGTCAAAGCGTGTTCATTGTTATAGGTTGAAATCAATACTATACTCATGGAGAATCGATCGTACTTGACAGATTGTGTGGGGTGAAATAGACTATGGCGAACTGACAATTAAACTCTCAGTTTAAATGCTCTCTTTCAGACAGAGTTCATTATGCAATCAGATTTGAAGTACACATACCTAGGTAAGGTGGCGTCACTCGGCGCCGCCATTTACAAGACCCCGACCCTCGGTAACAGTTACCCAATTGGGAAATCCGGACCCGACGCCGATTACGCCCGGGCCGCGTTTGCGTAGCCGCACGAGTCGTCTTTGCCTTGTCAATGCCTCGCTGCGGCCCCGAATGTTTCTGATTCTTCGGCATCCCTCTTTCTGCCTTTCGTCTGCCTCGGGAACTCGTCCCATACTGGACGTCGACTTTCCCGAACGATGCCCAGTACCGCCACAGCTTCCAGAACCCACAAGTCGTGCGATGCATGCACCTCGCGCAAAGTCCGATGTCCCGGTAGGCTTGATGCTGCGTCGCTATGGGCAGTGGTGGTTCATTCTCGTTGGATCAATGTTGACTAATGCTCATATCAGGCCCGGGGCCATCAGGCACCTGTAGTAACTGCACGGTGAGAAAGATTCAGCTGCAATTATTGCACGCCAATTGCCACTGACGGTTGAGAACTTTCGCAGAGACGAAAAAGTGAATGCGTTTTCGGCATAAGAAAACTGGCTCGCAGGCCTAATAGTACGTCCTCTTTCCATTCTCTGCCAATGTTCTTTCAAGTCGATTAATTCGTGTAATATTGAGGATAGTCCAGAGAAAATTCATTTCTACCAGCCGCTCTTCCGGCACGCCTGATGCAATACAGCAAGGTTGTACCGTATCGGTTTTAGACTTCGCAACACTGCCAACACCGGCCGCCAAATCGCCGGAGCCGACAATCTCGGAGAAACCTTCCACTCCCGGTTCACATGCCCGACGGGCCGGTCCGCACCGGATACCGGACCTCTACGTGGATCGCGTGCTCGATAGAGCTCGTAAAGCTCCAAGGTCAACTCGACCCCTAGAGGCTTCTAATTACGTCAAAGTCAGTACAAATTCCAGAATCACATGTTTGTCCAACTTTTGCTCACCATGAAAAGGGATATGGCATTTTTGGTAAGTTCATCCCACCTCACTTTACCGCTTGCGCACGACTCCCACCTTGCAGCACCATTTCTGAGATCCGGCAATGTCCTAATAAGAAAGTGACAGGCGGTACGAAGAATTTAACCTTCTTTTCAGAAGGCAGATTGAAATCTCTTGCACAGTGCCTTGGTCATGAAAAGGTTCACGACTTGGTTGCACGAATTGCAAGTGCTGTTGAGGAACGGGGCAGATCTGTCAAACTTCGCACTTGTAGTTTGACTCGTCAAGCCGACCGCCCGGCTTGTCTGGACGATAAACTCCTGCTAGCAAAGTACATCAGACGTGCGTCATTACGTTCTCTCCCTCTCCCTCTCCCTCTCCCTCTCTCGCATCAGAGGCTCACTATGACGGTGCAGTGTATTTCGAGCGAGTACACCCTCGGTTCCCCTTTCTTGATCGCGATGCATTTGAGAGGACTGCTTTCAGCCAAGGTCAAACTCTTTCCGCACCCAAGAGCAAGTCATGGATATGTCTCTATCATTCTGTCCTCGCTCTTGGCTGTCAATACGATGGGGGAGGATCCTTCGAGTCTGGCAAAGGTGATGCTTGGAAGTTCTTCTCCATCGCTCTGGCCAACTTCACAGATTTGATGATGCTGCCCGATACTCTCACGACTTTCCAAGCCGTGGTGGCTATGGTCATATACTCACACGGTATGGCTGGAATCGCACTGGAGCACGTCCTCGTGTCAGAGGCGGCAAGGCGAGCACAAAATCTAGCCGATGCCAAGTTTGTCGGGGCGGCAGCAGATGCATACCGAAGAACCTTTTGGGTATTTTACTCTTTGGAGAAGATCAGTAGCTTCCACCACGGTAGATCATCAGTGAGTCCAGCACCTAGATGACGCGTATCATCTCCCAAGACTGACCTTCTGTTTTTCCTTTTTTCTTCTTGGGACAGACCATCGTGGACTGCGACATATCCTGCTCCGTTCCATCCACGCCTGACTCTTTCCTTTCTGGCGGATTCGACATGTTCCTCTGTTTCATCAGCCACTCTCGTCTGCTATCCCGAGCCAATACCTCACTCTTCTCCGTTGGCGTATCTGACAATCCTAAAGAGTACCACTTGGCCATAATCGACCAGCTCCTGGACGAACTTGAAGAATGGAGAAATTCACTGCCAGATACCGGTTTCAGGCCTGGTGGCTGGGTCAAACCTCACTCAATTGTTGACGATCAAGAGCGGACAGTGGCTTTAGTCACCCACTTCCTCTACTACAGCTTTCTACTGACGATCTCGCGAATGGCTCTTGGTTACTTGCCAGCATCAGAAGGGCCTCCAGACTGCTCTCGTCGAGATGAAACTATGGAGACCGTGGGGCGCAGTGCTCGCTCACTACTCGAGTTGACCTCAATAATAGACATGTCGCCATACACCCCCATGTGGTAAGCCGAGCCCCTGGATATTACGAGCCTTGGCTGACGTCGGTCAATGTAGGATGATGGCAACAATTCCCATCATGGCCTTTTTCGTCCTATTCGACCTCGTCATTCACAACCCTCGGCAAATACACACAACGACTAACTTAGCACTACTTGACGTCGTGAAAGGCCACTGCAGCCGTATACAGGCCATGTCCAACGGGGCAGTACCTGGTACCATGGTCGGCGAGTTTGCACAAATCGCCCGAAACTACGTAAACGAAGTCAACGGCCGTAGCCCTACCGGCATGACACCACATGCGCCATCCGAAGCATTCCAAGCGCTCCCTACGCAGCCTCAGTGGTCTCTGCCTCAGCAAACTGATTATGACGTCGCATCAACGGAAATCCGTACCGACTTGTCGACTGTAAGTAGACCTATCACTGACCGCCGACAGCGAGCGGCAGTCGCATGGGTAGTACTGACTGAGAATTTACAGATGAACTTGGCGTCCGACCCGACTATGACAGGGCATATAGACATTGAAGGGACCACGGGTGCCTCGAGTCCGCTCATCGGAACTGACGTGATGAATCTCTTTGAAGGCTGGATGCCCGACCTGGATCCCCTGTTCTTTCATGGTATGAGCGCGCAAAACAACATGGACCAAACGGTCGCTCAGGATGATTTCGAGCTTTACCCAGATCCGTTGTATGGAAATTACGCATGACCTGTCCGATTTGTTACACCCAATATACACGCTCGTATTGATAGCACATTCTAAAGACATGGGTGTATGGTTGCGACATCCAGTCATGGTACTCAACCCATTATGCATAACATTGTGAGGTCAGTCAGTTCCCGGGTTTCTCCCCTCCAAGAACTTGAAGAATACATGTATCAGGCGATTTCCGTCAACATCCTCAATGATGAACTAGCGATATCCCCAGAGCATGCCGCGAATCTTTTCGACAACCTTCGCATTTCTCCTGGCGATTAAAGTTTTGTTAAAATTCATCCAGGCCTTCCGTACCCAAGGCGATCAAGACACGCCCAGGAGAAAACTCGGCCGGGTCGTAATGAAAGAAGAAGATGTTGGCGGCGGCCTTGTTGCCCGTGTAGACGTAGCAAAAGTTGAGCTGAGAATCGTCATCGTTCTCGGACTACGTTCCGCCCCGGGTAAACCCTAGCTCGCTCGTATAGAACTCGACCGTGGCAACGATATCCCGCGAGCTAAGCGACGGGATGATCTTCCACGCCGACCCGATTGCCTCGCCCTCGGCCATTTACGCGGCCGTGGTGCTGGTTAGCTAACGTTTTGCCCATTCCTTGGCGAGGATAATTACATACTTTGTTAGGAGGGCCACGGTCTGCATGATCGCACGGATCAACGCGGCTTCTCCCTCCTCCTTTGATGCATTCCGCTTTGGGGCGTCGTACACCAGACGGGTTGAGTGAACGGACACCGAAAGCCGATCGATGACTGATGTGTATGTCCTGTATAGAAACACGGTATGTGAGCAGTGAAGAAAAGTCTAAACCAGACCACTGGCACTACATGCTCAGGTTTCAGATGAAATCGGTTGCGGTGGGTGTGATGGCAACGTCATGATCTCATTCCAGTCCACAGCCTTCGCGTGAGGGGTCTCTTAATTTCTCCTTTTGGCTCAAGTATTTCAGCTTCTTCTTTGGCTGTGTCCCCTCTCTTTCATCCGAGATCTCGTCCATCAGCACCGTCAGCAAGCCAAGATGGCAACCTTAATTACTTGTCTAAACATGGTCTAGCTCGGCTTCCTTCCGTGTGCTCGTAGACCAGTTGCAAGGGAAAAGAGTCAGGTGAACAAAACACAAAAATGCACAAGTCGCCCGGCATTGCTGACTGGTTCATCATCGGAAGTGCCCTGTGTGAGGGGCAGGTCTAGCTAGCATCGTTTGTTCCTGGATTAGCAAACTCTCATGCCGTCCGAGTCAAACACCAGCTCGGCGCCGGAGCGCGCGCGCGCGCGCGCGCAGGGCTTCCAAGAGTTCGAACATGGCGTATCCCTGCCAAGAGTCGTAGATCAATCAGACTCATGACCTTGGCGGTGAACAAGATTAGCCTATTTTCAAGCTTTCAAAGCCTCATTGTTCACACAATAAGTGGTCAACCAGGATGTTCGTAAGCAGCCAGTTCTCCCAACTTAGCACAACCGGATTACGCCTGCAGCGGATCAGAATATTTGATTAATAGCTAGCCATCGATCTTAGGGATTCAACCTGTGTATTCTTCGTAGGGTATTAGCTAAGAACTAGGAGATTCGTCGATTCATTACTGCATTCGTCATGTCCCAGCTGAGAACTGTAGTCATCGCAAAATTGTAGCTTAAGCAGCCAAGAAAAAACACCTTCGCTTCCAAACATCCAAATCACCTCTTTAGATAACTTCATATCTGCGCAGGACAGCAATAACCAATGGCGGGATGCCACGGAGATCATTCTCATCCGGGCCAAGTCTGGAAAAGTCGTCATTTCCCCTGAGCGCCTCCTGGGCGGCAATGTTCGCCTCGGGTGTATCAGCGGCGTTGATATCCGCAAAAGCAGCTTCGGCATTGGGGAAATTGGTCATCGGAATAGCGGCAGCTTCAGCCTCGGTGACAGGCCCCGCCAGGACCATTCTCTCGTTGCCGATGCCAAGGGCTCTGGCCACACCGGCAAGTAGGTCCGTAAGCACAGGCACGGCCTTGGAGGGGATCTTGATCTTCCCAGCGCGACCATCATACTCATCGATGGCGGCGGAGAAGTTGTTCTGAATTTGGTCGCTGATCTGCGTTGCAATAGGCTGGAAAGTAGGATCGAGAGCTTTGGTGAACTGTGCAAATTTTTAGCTTTGCAGACCACAAGACACGAACTACGACTTTGACTTACAGCGCTACCCAAGTCACCAGCCTTGTCCTTTTGGAGAACTACAGAGTCACGAATGAGACTCCTCACGTCCAAGATTTTGAAGCCAGCCTTGTCGAACTCCCTGCGCTTGCCCTGAACCTCGGTCAACAAGTTGTTGATTTCAGGCTGGAGGCCAAGGAACTGTGTGCCGATCTGGGTTCTAATTGTGACAGGGTCAGCACGGGCACTCGGATCTCCCGTCGGAGAATTTTTAAGAAACGGTGACTTACGATTCATTTGCCGGCAGGGTGTTGGTGGCCTCCGCGGCCTTCGTGCTGACATCGATGGTGGTTCCCAGTGTGACAATAGCCTCGTTTACTTTCAGCAGCCCCACCAAGCCTTTGAGAGTGCCTCCTTTGAAGGGGACGACGGTGTCATTGGCTTCAGCAACCCTCTTTCGAAGATCTGCGATGCGGTTTTGGAGCGCTGCGGATCCCCCCCTGACGGGTCCCTTGTCTCCCTTTCCTCCCTTTCCTCCCCTTCCTTTATCTTTGTCTCTGCCGCCGCGGCCCCTTGCGTCTGTTATCGGCATGGCCATTTGCGCACTGACAAGCGCGAGGCAGAGAAGGAACGAGAGAAGAATGAAGAGCCTCATCTTGAAGGGCAGTATAGGATATCTCGAAAAGTAAACAAAGGGGGCAAACTTGCTTAGATGTTGTGGTTTACAACCGTGATAGGTAATCTTGTGCTATGGGATCTTTGGTCCAGACATGCCGGGAAAGATCGTGGGATGGGCCGTCACGTAAATACTCAACATGAGACTTTCACGAGCCGTGAGGCCGAGGCAAATTCAGCTACAATGCAAACGGCTCTGGATAGTCGAGCAGGGCTAAGGGTAGAATGAGGTAACGGCCTGGCTGGCCCCGAATTGACGAAAGAACCGAAGTCCATAGAATCGGCGACTTTGTCACGGGTCATCGCGCCGGCGGGAATCCCAAATTTCTGGACAGCAACAAGGGTCGGGCATGATACCACGCGGGGTTCAGTCTGTAACCACAAACTTTCTCATCGAACCCATACCCTTGAATACATACAAGCATGCAAATTGGGGGCCCCATGGGGAACTAAGGGCTCCCCGCAAACTGGTGCTGAGGCCGCCCTCATGAAACACGGCTGGGTGGGAGGCTCTCGACACCATCTACCAATCAGACACTTGGTAATTCGCAAGTTATCCTTTTAAAGTCGTCACCTACGGAAGCAAACTCTGTCAACATACCAGCTGACCCTGTGGTCCAGATATCATCCGGATGCCTTGGGAACAAGAGCAGCGAATAAATACCCTGTATCTTCCTCGGGGTATACGGGGGGTTTACCTGCTGTCCCACCCTCCATATTTGTGCGAAGAGGGTGGCCGCCTGGAGGATGTGATGAAATAGCGATGTCGCTTTCGCTTTGCAACGTTCGTGAAGTCCTGGGTGCACCCTCCAACTCCCCTTTCAACTCGACGTCACTATAGGGGAAGGCTACCACCAGACGATGAGTAGCTTCTGCCACGCATCGGCTGAAAGAGGGGAATCGAATAGTCTTTCTGCGTCTAGACCACCGTCAAGGTTCCTGCCGGCGATTGGAGTGGTAAAGGAGTTCATAGGCTTACTCGAATAAGGGATCAGTCGGAGAAAGGCTTTTTCGTCGGGCATTATTGACTGCCCATCACATCCACCTCCTCGGGTTCGGTGAAGTCATTGAGCCTCCGCTTGGAGGCCGTTGGACCCTTGGCCCAAGCTGGCCATCCACTGCAATGACTGTAAGAACAGATGATGATCGTGGGATCTGAAATCACGTTCGCCTATCGCATCTCGCGTTCCTTCTTCTTTTCCAAAACCATGAGACACCGCTACCGGAGTTCATCTACTGGCCGTGGGTGGTGTCTTAGCAGACCCTTCGAGGGCTCGGGTTTAGAAACCGCATGGGTATTGTGGTCTTGGTCGGAGCTCTGCATCTGCGTCACCTGTTGCCATGCCATGCACCCTCAAAGAGTCTTGCCAACCAATACGATACTGACGTCGGCAAGCAACCTCGTTTACGTACATGTGGTGCTTGATCAACAATGGTGTTGATAATATCTGTCGTGTTTTTCATCTTCAAAGCTGACAGGTTGACATGTAATATTCACGATGTCCAAATGAGGCATCTGCGGGAGATTTTACTGACTCTTCTATCCTTTTGAGTTTAGTCGGGAAACCAAGGCTTCCCTAGTCCGATCACACGGTTCATGCCCCGCATCATGGTTTGACTGAGGGACGAAAGACAGCGGGAGGGAATTACACTAGGAGAGAGCGAGGGGAGAGAAAACAACTAGCCGCTGCAAAAGTCTAGAACCGACCGGAAGCGGCTCTTGGAGGTGGAGAACCATCCATCTTGAGATTCGAGGGACCAAATGTGTGGAAGCGGAACCCCAGTGGTTGAAGGGGAACCCTGAGCGTTCTGATGGTGAGCACCAAGACGGCATCCGAGAAACGCGAAGGAGGCCGGGCCAGGTCAGAACCTTCTAGCTGGGCAAGCGATAAGCTCAGAAATGTGCTCAGACCAAACCTTACATCCGGGAGGAATCAGGAACTAGACCATGGACTAATGTAAGGGCAAGCAAATCATCCCTGCCTTCTCATCAGTCTACAAAGTCCAAACGTTTCTTTCGTCGATCAATCTAACTTGAGGCTCTGTGATGGATCCGGTAGAGAGGAAAGGTTTTCTGTGCTTCCGCCCAACTCCGAGCTCGCTCGGACTTGGCACCCGTTTCGGACAATGCCATCCCGCTGAGGCGGGTTATGTCAGAAATGAAGCAAGCTGACACGCTCCAGTAAAAGTCGGCCTGACATCACTGCGAGAGAGGATGAGATCATTTGACGACGCGAGGAGGTTGCGTTATTCCAACTCCTAAATATTCCGTTGACGTTTGGAGAGAAACAGTGCGTTCTCCTCGGATTTTCGTCCAGTTATTGGGATGGAGTGATGCAATCAACCTTATGGGGGCTGGAAGATAACTTAAATAATCATCCGACTTCTTTAGTAGCGAGCTGATTGCTTAATACTTGTTATTTAATGAAAGATTGATGTCCCACTGAATCATCTGAATTTCCACGCTTTTCACCGCATCAGTAGTAAGGATTGAATTCATGAGGCAAAGCTGTCAAGCTGCAACAATGGCATAGATGGCTCACCGAACATACTAGCAATTCCATTGAGATACACTCGACCACTTGGTGTACAATAGTTTCTCGCACAGACAAGAACTTTATCAAGATTGTGTCCTGTTTGGGTTGTATGCAGTGTTCCATGGCGATTTCCCCGGTTCTTAGCACTTTTCATTGTGTAGAAAACGGCAGGTTCGTGGAAGCAGGCTCAACGCGCTAGATATACCCGACTTATTCGGACAAAGCAGTCATTTTTGCTCCACATAGGAAAGAGCGGCCCGCAGATGAAGTAGTCATGCCAATAGTCTTGCATAAAATTTGTGACAGATCTCGTAACGGACAGGAGATTTAGATATCAAAGTTAGATCAATAACCATAGCATAAGGTATGGTAGCTTGTTTTCCTAGCGGTCATCATTTACCCGTAGAGAATCCTCAAAGTGATAGACCAAGCCAATTTTGAAATCCCATTCCTATGTGTGCAAGAGTTACAAAAGTTCTTCGAGGTCCAACGGCGCACCACAGGCTAAGCAACAAGGTAAGCAGACATACACATGGAGGAAGCATCAAATCCGAGAGAGCCGTATTGAGCAAACTTTCCTCGTCAGATCTATTACCAATCCAGGAAGGATTTTAAAACCCCCAAAATTCCTATGTAGTGAGACAAGAATTATAATCTCGGCGTTTCCTGAGTTGCCACCCAATAAATCGCTCATCACCAACCCCAGAGTTCCCCCCGCCTTTCAACCCAAATTCTAGTCAACTGACCCAACTACTCGGTCTTGTCAGAGTCTCAATATCACGCACCTGCCTATCGACGTAATTAGCCAAGGCTATACTGACCTTCCAGAAGCAGACAGCTCGAGAATCTAGGTGCTCGGCGAAGTACCTTGACCGTCGTTGCACAGCTAGGCGACTGGGGTCGCCAAGACCGCCAAGGTCAGCTTGGTCCCTATCGTATGGAACCAAGCTCTGCTTATCATATACTCTCATAGTGGCCAAGCACGTACAGTAGTATCGGTCAACATTAGGTGCTTCCCTCCGCTCGGGTTCGATGGGCGAGATGGTAGGCCTTGTGCCTGGATTTCGCCAGCCTCCCCTAATATTACGACTGCCATGGCATTCTCCACATCAACGTCTGCCATGCGGGGGACAAGAGAGACAGTCTTATTAGCTGGTCTTGGAAGATGACGAACGCGATCTGAGATGGCGAGTATTTATAGATCGAGTGATTGCTCTGCCGTGGAACACTCGAGGCACCCCTAGTTTCGTCATCAAGTCTGTGTCAAGCAGTGGTACTCTTCACTTGAGTCACTTCCAATCGACATCGTCAACATGGTCCGCATCAACTCTGCAGCCATTCTGGGCTCTGCTGTTGTTGGCTTGACCAGCGCAGCCGGCGCCGGCACCAAAGCTGAGTACGCGTCCGGTGCGGTTCACCACCGCATCATGGGCATCAAGATGGCAAGTACCTCCTCATGAGATGCCATTTATGCTCAATTGACTGATGCTGATGACTCGACTAGGCCCAATGGGAAGAGGAAGCAGCTGCCGGTCTCATGGATAGTGCCAAGTACCCAGAGCTCGGCTACACCCCCTGCGTTGATGGCTTCGCTGCGGCAGTTCCCGGAGACTTTAACAACACCTTCCGGTGCAGAAACGTGTGTCTAGTGAGCTTCTTCCTGAGAATCAACTGACAATTTCCAGATCGATCTGTACCACTTCTTGTCCCACGAACAGCTTGGCAGCTGGGGCGGAAGAGGTTCTTCTTCCTGGGGTTGGACTTCGGCCGACGGAAGAGAATTTGTAGCTATTGGCCAATACGACGGTACCGCCTTTGCCGAAATCAGCAAAGAGGGCAAGCTGGTATACTTGGGTCGTCTCCCCCAATACGACTCCATCGGGTCAAACTGGAGAGAAATCCGGATTGTCGGCGACATTGCAGTTATTGGCTCCGAGGCTATCAAGCACGGTGTTCAGTTCTTCGACATGAAGAAGATTTTGGATCTCGACCCAGCCAACCCAAAGAACTTCACCCAGGCTGAGCTCACCGGCCATTGGGATGAGCTTCCCGTCGGCCGCACCCACAACATCGTCGTCAACCACGAGCTCAACTACGCCATTGCCAGCGGCTCTGTCGGCGGGAACGCGACGATTCGCGTCAGAGACAACCTGCCCTGCCGCGGCGGGTTGATCTTCCTCGACATCAGCGATCCCACCAACGTCACCAGCCCCGGCTGCGCCGCCGGCGACGGCTACGTTCACGACGCCGAGTGCCTCGTCTACCGCGGTCCCGATACCCGCTACTACGGTAGAGACATCTGCTATGGGTACAACGAGGACACTCTGACCATTTACGACGTCACGGACAAGACCGGCAACGTCACAAACATCATCTCCATCAGCGACTACCCCGGCGCCGAGTACGTCCACCAGGGTGTCGTCAACAACGAGACGTGGCAAGAGTACCTCTTCCTCGACGACGAATTCGACGAGCGCGACGCCAAGGTCGGCCCAATGACCCAGGGCCTCCCCACCACCCACATCATTGACATCCGCGACCTCGAAAAGCCCGTATACACCGGCCACTACGCCGGCAAGACTCGTTCCATCGACCACAACCAGTACATTGTCGGCGGCTACCTCTACCAGTCCAACTACGGCAACGGCCTCAACGTCATCGACGTCAGCAGCGTCACCAAAGACCCCACGGGCGCCAGCGTCTGCGAAGCCGGCTTCTTCGACATCTACCCCGAAGACGACGAGGAGGTCGGGGGTGGCAAGGTCCAGTTTGCCGGTTCCTGGTCATCCTACGCCAACTTCAAGTCCGGCTTCATCCTTGTCCACACGATTGAGCGCGGCAGCTTCGTCGTCAAGATGACCTCCAAGGCGTGCCCCCAGGCGCCCGTCTGCCACGCCGATAACTGCCTCCGCGCGCTGCGGGCCTCGTCCATTCCGGATCGCTTGGAGGAGTCCGTCGCGTTCTGCGGCAACTTCACCCAGCGACGGAACACGGACGAGGCGCGTTTGCCAGAGTATGCCACGAGCGCTTGTGTCGAGAACAAGGACAGCGGCCCCGTCGAAAGGGTCAGCAGCGCGTGCGCTTGCATTCCTACCCCTGTCGTGCCTGAGCTGCCCAGAACAACGACCCGGCCTCCTGTACCGACGGTGCTGCCTCCCAAAGCGTGAGAGTACGCTGGAGTGAAGAACTCTAGAGTAGCGTTTAGTACTAGACAGGAAGTATTGACACAAATAAGCAGCGATTGAAATTGCAATCGTTCACTGCCTGCTCAGGCGGGGACAAAGTGGTGTAACGAGACTTGGCAGCATCGTCGAGTGTCCCAACAAGGTGACGCACATTCGAGATGACGAGTATTTTCCGAAGTTGTAATCACAGTAGTGAAGCTCCTACTATGAAAATTGAGTCGTATTCCAAAGAGTGGTCTCCGTCCTGTGCGCCATTCTCAGCCCTTGACTCATCAATGTACCGGACGCATTCCCTCTGGCCACGGCTCTTTGTACTCGGGACAAATGAGATCCAGCTCACAAAAGAAGTACTCCAATTCGCACACATGATATAGACTCCTGGCCACGCTCTCAGTTGGTCCGCGCCATACAACGCCGATTTCCTCTGCGCCTCGTCTTTCTGCATCGGTCAATTCTTCGCCGTCAAGCACTTCCAACTCTTCTGTAATGCGCTCGGTCCAGTATGATTTCCAAAACTGAGGGAACAATGGAAGATTGTCTGGTCCGTCCCCTAGATACGCGCCAGCTTCCTCCGTGAATTCCACAACCAACTCTTCGTGCAACTGCACTAGAAAATCTTGCTCTTCGATGATCTCCGTATCATCCATGTCAATCCATTCCACACCCTCCTCGACGAGAGGATACGGCTTACAACAGCGGTGATCGAGACCCAGAGCTTCAAATGTCATAAACCTAATTGCCTCCACATACGTTAAGCGCGTCACTTCAGTACCGCATGAGCTGTAGTAATCTGCCACAATGTTTACGTAGTCTGGACTTACCTCCTTCCGGCTTCTCAGAATAACTTTAACAAACCCTTTCAGCATCCATGTAAGTGGGCTGCAGCCCCTGGTCGAGCAAGGACAGCGACAGCCGTCTGTGAGATTGCGGCGACTTACAGATGCGACGAGTGCTTTGAAGGTAACCGACGTCCGCCAGTCATTGCCCCAGAACCGTTTATTTTCACCCAAACAGTAAAAGACGTAATGTGCACCGAACAAACCCTCATCGGTGGTCCTGTTGGAAGGGCCGGCGGACGATCGCAAGAACAAATCTCCTCCGTGTTCCACCAGCCAGCAAACAAAGATCGGGTCCAGGTAGTCTCGCATTGCATTCTCAGGCGACGGAAACTGAATAAAGACAGATGGGGGAGGTCTGAATCCGTGACGACAGAACAGCTGAGCGACATGCAGAGAAATGATTTCTTCGAAGATCCAGCTCATCGTATTTGTCGCCCCGGTCTTTCGCTTCGCACATGGTCTTTGATTTGTGGAGATTCGTCCTGGCGTTCGTGGAATTCGGGCTTCTTTCATATGAAAGACATAATGGCGCCGAGCGAGCTCTGATGCATTCCGGAGGATGTCATTCAAAGTCGGAAACACACCGACCACGTCCCTCAACCCATGCATCCGTATATCGCAACCGACGTCGAGGAGGCATTTCGTGCAAACATAACAGGAACACTGTTTACAACGTACATCGCCTCTGCCGTTGACGCAATGCCTAGAGCTAAGCGCCATCGCCGTTTCGAGTGCGGTGGCGCCCGCCTTGTCGCGCTGATTCAGGATGCTAAGGTCCGCAGCTTTCACTAAAATGTCAAGAATCTCTGGTTTTACTGCTGCAAGGTGAAGGGGGCTTCGCCCGTAGATGTCTACTTCTGCTATCGAATCGGGGAACCGACTCAAAACACGAACTACTCCATGGACATCGCTATTAGCAACCGCCAGGCTCAAAGGGCCGCATTCGAAGGCTATTTCTTATTCAGCATCTTATTCAGCAAGGTGCAAGTAAGATATTTCCTGAAATGATCGTACCTGTTGCAGCCTCAGGGAACTTGTCATAGGATAGTATGCTAGTATCCATCCCAACCGGGATGTTGATGATGTCAGTGGAAGAGCCGTTCAAGACGGAAGGCTGGCTTTCAAAATTGGCCCGTGTTAAGGCATCGACGGCTTCCCAAGTCCAATCTTCAACTTGGAAGGTCAAGTGATGTAAGGCCGATGTCCCTGCAATGATTTAAAAATTTCTTCATCTCATGTGTATGAACAAGTTCAACAACCTACCTTCGATGTCATAAGAATAGGCCGGAATACCGTACGAGAGTAGCATCGGGAAAATTGCGGCAAACATTGTCACCTCGGGCGATGAGTCTCCCCAGTCATAGTAAATCTCTCTGATCTGCCCGACGTCTGATTAGCCACATACCGTAACTTCGGAGTAACAAAGGCTCACTGAAATAGCAGCATGGTGCATCAAGGTCCTGTTTTGCTGGTCCACAACAGTTGGGTATGTTCGTTTTTCTTCAAGAAGCCTTGCCAGCTTTTTCAAGCAAGCGATGATGAAGGGCTCTCTATTCGTCCCATCATGGAATGGCCGAACACAGCACTGCTCCACCATCCGGATTATGCGAAAAGCAGGATCCGAGTCGGCGTCGACAGTTGGATAGTAGGTAAATCTTGGACTGATACTGCGACCCCCAGCTCCTGAAGTCAACTCGAGGGAAATACCAATGACGGATTTCAGCAGACGAGCGAGGCCGGTGTACGTCAAGCTTGCCTTCAGCCGTTGCTTTCTCCCTGTTTTTGAGAGTGGACAGCTCGGCCAGTGACCTTGGGATTCCCACTCGCCAGACAAAATTGTGTGGCCCCGTTGCATCTGTTTTTTGATGGTTGATCTTGCAGGGCGCGGACAGATGCACAGCATGTCAGATATTGCTGCTGGCCAGGAGTTCTGTAATGGGTCTGATGACATTCTTTTCGAATGAACGATTGGTAGGTTTGAGGCAATGCCTTGGTTGCGGTCCTTCACTGGCGATTGCATGTCATCGCATAAACTCCTGAGTATTGCTGGTTTGGAAGCCACTCTGAGAGCTATAGTCTGTAGAGACTGGTTCTGTTCTCTTTGAAGCTGAAGTTCACTTTCGATTCTTTCGAGTCGCTCTTCAATCGAGTCATGTGACTGCAGGATGTCCTGACGGACGACCTGGCTGCTCTCGTGAATGCTGGCTGTCATAGCTCCGGAGTGAGCGACGAAGAGTTGAGCAGTTTGTTCAACACTGCTCTGTAGACTCGGCAGCCGATCATTGATGTTGGCCACGGGCGTAGCCAGTGCTATTACATCTGATCGGATCAGGAGCAAGTCTGAAGCTTGATCCCGAGAAACCGACTCGATTGCCGCCAACTTGTTTGTATTCAATTTCGAGGATTCCCTGCTAACATGTCAAAAGTCATGCATCAAGGGAACGTGAGACAGAACTTACAGTCCTAAGTTGGCCATTGCGAGTTGAAGAATTCCATGAGCTTGCTGTAATCGCTGCGCCAGGTGTTGAAGTTTTGATTGATGGAACGCATAGGTCAACTTCTTTTTGTTGTTCATCAGTCGCTTCGGCCAAGTCTTGCCATCACCGTCAGAAAGGTTCTCGCACAGAGCTTCGACGGCGCTGAGCTCCTTCTCGCAACTTTGTATGTTCTGCGCTACTGCGGTGGTGACTTCGGGGTTTTGGTGCTGCAGACCAGACAATGTCGTCTGCATTGCTCGAAGAGTAACTGTCAGGTTATCATTCTGCTCCTTCACGCTTGTCAATTCATCGTGACGGCCTTCGAATGCGTCCAGGTATTTGACAATGCCGCCGGTGATCTGCAAGCCCAGCGACACCAGACCGGCAACTGAGGCGGCCAGACCTACACTCTCGGCCATGTTTGGTGATGGTCAGAAGTATGAGCGATGAGTTGCAAAGGTTGGTGAAAGAGGGAACCGAGGGGGGGCTCGAGAATCTGTCGAGCCGTTGGTTTTGAAGGAGACTGAGAAGGGGAGATCAGGCTCCCTGCTGACGGTGACGGGCGTTGGGAGGCGGGGTCGAGATCAGGCTGGCGTGGGCTTTCTTTTCGAGAGCTCTCGATGGCTATGGCCGGCTTTCCAGGAATGTGTTCCCATTCGCTGTTACCGTGGCTATGCGATTGGACGTCGGCCAAAGATGGTCGTGGGGGTTTCTAAAGCCATGGCTGTTGGATAGCTCTTTGGTTCTGTGTGGTTGTACACGAATGCACGTTTCGCCTCCGTAGCACACCAGTCGCCACTTCTCTATGAAAACTTATCGGACGCCTTGCCGAGGGACGGTTCATTGTATCGATGTTCAAGTGCCAAAAAAAATTGTGAAGGATGTATCGTGAGATCGATGCGACCTGAGTGGTACAAGAGCCCAGTTGGGATGAAGCAGAATCTAGTTCGGGTGTCTTTGTACACTACTCAGTTGCAGCTATAATGCGTCTACGGAGTCAAAAATTCACGTGATCCATCAGAAGTGGCTTGAGCAGAAACTTCATATAAAGAAGAAGAGAAGCGCCAGATTCGGGATTGAATTGAACCATGAGTCTATGCGTTTCGATGGAAAATTGATGCAAGCTAGAAGGCAATTCGTACGATACGTAGGCACGGGCTCTGCATAATGCAGGCTTGAAGTAAACGTCAGGGCCGTTCGTCCGTAGTGAAAGTCCACTTGGCACTTCCCTTAGTCCGGGGAAGAGAGACGAAAAGTAGGGTGCTAGAATCACTTGCAGACTTCGATGGTAGAACGATGTGAGAGACTCAACAGTTGACGGGGATGCTTGCTTCTTCTGGGGGCGCCATCATCATGATGTCGCTTGATAGGGTCTGCCGCCGAAGAGGTCTGAAGAGCGCTGCATCAGGCACGTGCCATTCAGGGGCATTTCCAGTTGTGTCAAAGACTCAAAGAGACGACAGACACTACGGAAGTATCCGTATGAGCAAAAAGAAACGAACTCTTGTTGAGGTCGTCTTGTTTGAAGCGAACGAATAAAAGTGGCCAGCGCGCGTTAGCTGGCAAAGGTAAAGAGAGACACACCGCCCGAAACACCACAATTCCAGTGGTCCCTGAATGGCGAAGCTCGTCTCGAGTGCACTGCGGGCGGAAGAAGTGAGCTGAGAACAGTCAATCGCGGCGACATCCGAAGCCGGAAGGACCAGGGACGGCTTCAGGCTTTCTGCGCTGCGCATGCGCTCCAGTCAAAAAACAGCGGGCCAGGGGGGAGGGGGGGCGTGCAGACGCGTCGGAATTCCTCCCCCGTGGGTTCCGCACAGACCAGAAACCGCGGGTAGCGGCAATACAGTAAGTCCGCTCCCCCGCGATTGCACGATGTAGGTGGGCCCTCTCATGACTCGGTCCACTTGCGATGCTCCTTAGGTTGTCTCCTTCTCCAGCTTCGGAGGCGCACCGCACCGGGAATACACCCCCCACCCTTCTACTAGGTACTCAGTGCCCAGCAGCCTCAGTGAAGTGGTCACCCGGGATGTGACCGGATCCAGGGCCAAGACCAGCACATGAGTGCCCCCAGAAAGCGGGCAAGGCGCACCTGGCAGAGTCACAAGTCAGCCCATTCCTTGGTTGGACCACCTGCCCTGCACCACCCCGTCTGCAGCAGCTCTTTCGGCACTTCGCTGTCTCGGAATCTTTGGACCTTACCTCACTGGGATCTCTTTTTTTTTTCTGCCAGCCAACAGAGGAGCTACGTCTTTTCTCCTTCTCTTTTTCCCCTCACAACCACATCTACCTTCTTCTCCTTCTTCCTCCTCCTCCTCCATTCACATCTCTTTTTACTCATCCCGAAAAGAGAAGACAATCAAGATGCTGTCCTCCGCCAGAATCGCAACCCGGCAAGCTGCCGCCCGCCGCATGGGCGCCCTGCCCGTGACGGCCGCGCGAGCCGGCTCTACCTGGGCCAACGTCCCTCAAGGTCCTCCTGTATGTCTCACACACTCCAGATGCCAATTGAATGCGCCACGATTGCTAACGAATTCCGCAGGATGTAAGTCCCAGATGCGCCGACTGACAAAGTTTCCAAAATCACCGCGAAAACTGTGTTGCTAACTGGCCACTTTTCGCAATGGACAGGCCATTCTCGGTATGACGCACCTGCTTGGGTGGAGCTCTCTGAAGCTTGCCGTTTGACTCAACACTGTGACTGACAAAAGACACACAGGCATCACGGAAGCCTTCAAGGCCGACAAGTTTGAGCAGAAGATCAACCTCGGTACGCATAACCCCCCCGGCAAGCCACTTCCGTTACCACGCTAGCTAGGAGCTGTCACAAGCTTGCTAGCCAGTCGGTTGTCAGCCGCCAGTTATACGCACAGCTTCTGCCACCCCGCAAAGGAACATGCCCATTGACGCGGACAAACAACAGGTGTCGGTGCCTACCGCGACGACCAGGGCAAGCCCTACGTCCTCCCCTCCGTCCGCGCCGCCGAGGAAAAGGTCATCGCCGCCAAGCTGAACAAGGAGTACGCCGGCATCACTGGTGTGCCCGAGTTCACAAAGTCCGCCGCCGTCCTCGCCTACGGCGCCGACTCCTCGGCCCTCGACCGCCTCGCCATCACACAGTCCATCTCCGGCACCGGCGCCCTGCGCATCGGAGGCGCCTTCCTCGCCCGCTTCTACCCCGGCGCCAAGAACATCTACATCCCCACCCCCTCGTGGGCCAACCACGGCGCCGTCTTCAACGACTCGGGCCTGACCGTCAACAAGTACCGCTACTACGACCCCAAGACCATCGGCCTCGACTTTGAGGGCATGATTGCCGACATCAAGGCCGCCCCCAAGGGCTCCATCTTCCTCTTCCACGCCTGCGCCCACAACCCCACGGGCGTCGACCCCACCCCCGAGCAGTGGCGCGAGATCTCCGACGTGGTCAAGGCCCAGGGCCACTACTCCTTCTTCGACATGGCCTACCAGGGCTTCGCCTCGGGCAACACCGACACGGACGCCTTCGCCGTCCGCCACTTTGTCAAGGAGGGCCACAACATCTGCCTCGCCCAGTCCTTTGCCAAGAACATGGGTCTCTACGGCGAGCGCGTCGGCGCCTTCTCCATCGTCGCAAAGGACGCCGAGGAGCGCAAGCGTCTCGACTCCCAGGTCAAGATCCTCGTCCGCCCTCTGTACTCCAACCCCCCCGTCCACGGCGCCCGCATCGCCTCCACCATCCTCAACGACGCCTCCCTGAACCAGCAGTGGCTCGGCGAGGTCAAGGGCATGGCCGACCGCATCATCACCATGCGCGCCCTCCTCAAGGAGAACCTCGAGAAGCTCGGCTCCGCCCACGACTGGTCCCACATCACCAGCCAGATCGGCATGTTTGCCTACACCGGCCTGACCAAGGAGCAGATGGACGCCCTCGCCAACGACCACTCCGTCTACGCCACCAAAGATGGCCGTATTTCCGTCGCCGGCATCACCAGCGGCAACGTCGGCCGCCTCGCCGAGTCCATCTACAAGGTCAAGGGTTAATTAAATCTTGCAATGTGGACGTTTGCGATTTTTCCAACGCGAGTCTCGTGCAGTCAGTCAGTCTGTCTGCTCCGAGCTAGCTTGCATTTCCCAAAGAGATATCATGAGTTTTGTTGAAAGGGTAGTTGGTTTCTAAAAAAGGGGGGTTTTTGTATAACCAAAGGGGAGAGAGGTCTTCTCTTTTGCGCAGCCAAGGTTAGAATGGCCGGTGGACATAGACGTTTGGCAACCCTTGGTAGACCACACACGCATTCCAGCTGTGTACAGTTATAGCGACACGTCTTTCAATGTAAACAATGTGCAATAGCTCGCTCGCTCGCTCGTTCGCTTTGCCAAGAGAAAAACTCCAACTTTTTCGCCTATTGTGCGTCGATTCTCCATCACGCCCTGTCCAACCTGGCCAGATCCCTCGTCGCATCCTCCAACTCCCTCTCCATCTGCCTCTTCTTCCTCGCCATCTCCTTCATCGTCCTCGCCTTGCCCTCCTCCCCCTCAACCCCGACCCCGTACCCTTCCAACTCGGCCCGCAGCGTGATAATCGTGCTCTCGAGCCTCATCCTCGCATCGCGCAGGTGCGCAGAGTAATTCGTCAACGCAGCCACCATCTCGGGCGAATACACCTCCCTCCGGACCCCCTCCCTCGCACTCACAGCATCCGCCTCGGCCCTCTGCGCCGCCAGCCCCGTCTCCGCGGCGCGGAACTCGAGACTCCGCGCCACGACGCCGTGTTTCGCCTCCAGGGCCCTAACCAGGAGCGTCAGCGCGGCGGCGTGCTCGTCTAGACACGTCGTGAGAGCGTCCGCGGCGCGCAGGCGGTCCCGCGCGAGCGCGCGCTTGGATTCTTGGACGTCGGTTTCGAGCTTGTGGTAGGTTGTTTGCAGGGCCGGGACGGCGCGGTGGAGAAAGGAAGGGTTCGTTGTCGGGTTTGCGATGCGGGCGAGGGAGACGGCCGAGGTGTGGAGGGTTGTTGAGACGAGGTCGCCGAGGTGGGGGACAAGGGATTGGAAGTCTGTGAAGGGGGGGTTGGAGAGGAGGATTGTGGCGGATTCGGGGGTGAGGGGCTCTGTTGCTGTTAGGAGGGGTGGGAGGAGGAGGAGGAGGTCGAGGAGGGGTTCGGGGAGGGGTGGTTGTTGTTGTGGTTGTTGTGGTTGTGTGCCGCCGCCGGCCCCTCCTGCTTGGTGCGAGGAGGAGGAGGTGTTTGTGCGTGAGATTGTTCTCGGTGGTGCGGATCTGGGTTCTGGTGGTGCGGTTGTGGCGATTGCGCTTATGAGGAGGTGTTCTTTTGCGGCGGTGAATCTGTGGTCTGCGAGTTCCTAATGTCTTTTGTATTAGCTACGGCTGATGGGGATGGTCTTGGTCCGAGGCAGCGTCAGTCTGCAGGCCCCGCACCCCTCCTGAGAGTGGAGGGGGAACCAACATTTTGTATCGCATCGTGCTCCTTGGTCGCCGGCTTCTTGGTCGAACCATCCGGGTTTAGAATCGCCGTTGTGAGGGTGTGATGCAGCGCCGCGAACTCGGGGTTGTTTTGTAGGACCGAGGCCTCGACCGGTGGTAACATGGCGAATCCGTCTCTGCGGTTTGTCGGGCAGGCTTGGCGTCTTGAAGAATTATCCGCGGGTCGAAGCCCGTGTCTGTGGGAAAGCAGAGTCTGTACACTTTGTGCCGGGGCGCAACGGGGAAACGTCAAGCTGCGCTGCCCAGCGTTCCTACTTGTCTCGGTGAGTCGGTGTGGAGGGGTCAAACCGTTCAACAGACCCCGGGACCCCCCCCCCCCCCCCCCCCCCCCCACACCCACCACCCCCCCCCCCCCCCCCCCCCCCCCCGGTCACGAAAGCAGCGCGCAGTCACCTGATTCAACTCAATTCACTCCCACGACGGAGTCTCCGCCTCTCTACCAGCCATCCAATCAAACCCATCAATCGCCGGAAGGCGGAACATCCACCGCCCGATATCGAAGCTCCCGACTCTGACCATTGGCCCAAAAAATCATCCACCCCCGAAGCTCTCACGACATCGACCTCGAACGGGCGCCGCCGACAACACCGACAAAACGATACCCGACCGGCCCCCCCCCTCCGGCGCGCCACTCACCCCGTCCGTCGACCCGACGAACCCTTCACAAAACGTTCACCATCCGCAGCTCCCGCTACACTCGGATACGACCGACCGCAAAGATGCGCTTCAACACCCTGAGGCCGGGATCCTCCCTCCTCCTCACCTCCCTCCAAAACCTCACCCTCACCACCACGTCCACCGCAGCCGCAGCCGCATCCCGCGCCTTTTCAACATCAACCCCCCTCGCCACAAAGACAATCGCCCTCCAAAAGATCCCAACCTCCGCCGTGCCCCCCTACCCCCACGGGCCCCGCCTCCTCTACAAACAATCAAACACCGGCCTCTACGGCACATCCCGCATCCGCCACGGCCACAACGTCTCCCCGAAACACCACCAAGTCACCCCCCGCACCTGGTGCCCCAACGTCCACCGCAAGCGCCTCTGGTCCGCCGCCCTCGGCGCCTGGGTCCGCACCCGCCTCACCACCCGCGTCCTCCGCACCGTCCGCAAGGAAGGCGGCATCGACGCCTACGTGACCAAGAACAAGGCCGCGCGCGTCAAGGAGCTCGGCCCGGGCGGCTGGAAGCTGCGCTGGCTCGTCATGCAGACGGCCTCGTTTCGCGAGCGCTACGTGGCGGAGAGGCGGGCGCTCGGCGTCGAGGGCCCCCCGGCGGAGGACCAGACGGATCTGGTGACCGTCATGGTGGATGCTGCTACGCCTGGGCCGTTGAGCGCCGTCAGCAGGGGGATTCTCGAGGCGCGGGCTGCGCAGATGATTGCCGAGGAGTTTGCGCTCGGCGACGAGGCTGAGTTGGGGGGAGCGGAGGATGATGGTGCGCTGTACGAGGCAGTTCACGTGCCTGGTCTCGAGGAGCCGGTTACTGAGACGCGGATATGATTTGCGCGTGGAGTGTTCACTTATTTGAGTGTGTTTCGGAAGGATAGAAAAAGTCATTGTATCATATGTACAAAAAATTTAACCATGTCATCAAACTACTTTTTGGGGGGATCTCGGCTCTAGAAGATGAGAACCAATCCCCCCCTTTCTTGTTTGTGTGTCTACAAAAACCGCTTTCCATAGCAAATCCCACAGCCCGTGAAAATAGAATTTCGCCTCGTACGCCGTGCAATGTTGTATTATGCCCCCATTCATGATTTCCCATTTCGTCCTCATTCGCGATCCACCACCCCGTTTAGAAACGCAGGTCCCAACCAATCTTGGGGCCCAGCTTGGGCAGCTCATCCGCGACGCTCTGCACGTCCTTGTCACCACGACCGCTCAGGCAAATGACGATATCCTCGCCCTTCTTCATCGTCTTGGCAAGCTCGATGGCGCCGTAGATACCGTGCGCCGACTCCAGCGCGGGGATGATACCCTCGAGCTGACTCATGAGACGGAAACCGATAAAGGCCTCGGCGTCGGTGGCGGCGACGTACTTGGCGCGCTCGCTGTCCTTCCAGGAGCTGAGCTCGGGGCCGACACCGGGGTAGTCCAGGCCGGCGGAGACGGAGTGCGTCTCGGCGACCTGGCCGTGCTTGTCCTGGAGGATGTACGTCTTCACACCGTGCAGGACGCCCTTGCTGCCGCCAGAGAGGGTGGCGCTGTGTCGGGCGGTATCGATGCCGTCACCGCCGGCCTCGACGCCGAGGAGCTTGACAGAGGGATCGTTGGCGAAGGGGTAGAACATGCCCACGGCGTTGCTGCCGCCGCCGACGCAGGCGACGACGGCGTCGGGGAGCTTGCCCCTCTTCTCGAGCATCTGCGCCTTTGTCTCGTTGCCGATGACGGACTGGAAAGTGCGGACGATGGTGGGGAAGGGGTGCGGGCCGATGGCCGAGCCGATAATGTAGTGGGTGGTGTCAAGCTCGACGACCCAGGCGCGCATGGCCTCGTTGACGGCGTCACGGAGGGTCTTGCTGCCGGCCTCGACGGCGATTACCTTGGCGCCGAGAAGCTTCATGCGGAAGACGTTGAGGGCCTGTCTGCGGACGTCCTCGGCGCCCATGTAGACTGTGCACTCCATGCCGAACTTGGCGCAGACGGTAGCCGTGGCGACGCCGTGCTGGCCTGCGCCCGTCTCGGCGATGATCTTGGTCTTGCCGAGGCGCTTGGCGAGGAGGAGCTGGCCGAGGGCGTTGTTGATCTTGTGAGAGCCCGTGTGGTTGAGATCCTCGCGCTTCAGCCAGATGTTGGCGCCGCCGGCATGCTCGGTGAGGCGCTCAGCGAGGTGGAGATGGCCTGGGCGGCCCATGTACTCGTAGTAGGAGCGGTACTCCTCCCAGAAGGAAGGATCGTCCTTGATCTTGTTGAAGCCCTCCTCAAGCTCAGAGAGGCAGTCCATGAGAGACTCGGGGACATACTGGCCGCCGAAATCGCCGAAGCGATCGGGAATCTTGCCGTGCATGGCGGCGAGCTCGGCAACGAGCTCGCTGTCCTGGTCGGCAGTAATGCGGTCGTCGACGGTAGGCTCATCGGTAGGCTCCTTGGCGGCAGCCACGGCCTCGGCCAAGCCAACCTCGCGAGTGGTTTCGTCGCCAGCGGCGGCGGCGTCGCGGCCGCACAGGTAGGCGCAGTACTTTGCGACGTCATTGAAGAGCTCGCCGGGGGCGGCCTTTTGGAGGGTGGTGATGATCTGGGAGCCGACAACGACGCCGTCGGCGAGCTTGGCGACGCTGAGGAAGTGGTCGCGGGTGCTGACGCCGAAGCCAACGGCGGCGGGCTTGTTGCCGCTGTACTTCTTGACGCGGTCGACGAGGGCGGGGAGGTTGGCGTTCATAGAGCCGAGGGCACCGGTGACGCCCTGGCGGGAGACGACGTAGATGAAGGAGTCAGCCAGCTTGCAGAGGATTCTCATGCGGGCGTCCGAGGTTGCGGGGGCGATCAGGGGAACGTATGAGAGTCTGTTGTGATTTCTTTCGTCAGTATCATGGTGAGGTGGTCGAAGGCGGTGTAGTAAACGTACCCTCCCTTGGTGCAGAGCTTGCGGAAAGAAATGGCCTCCTCAGGGGGAAGGTCGACAACGATGAAACCGTTGACGCCCGACGTCTTGCAGTCGTTCAGGAGTCTCTCCTCGCCGTAGCTGAGAAGGGGGTTGTAGTATCCCATCAACATCACAGGTGCCTTCAGACCCTGGTCGCGGGCATCCTTGACCATCTTGAGTGTTGACTCGATCGTGACACCATGTTGCAGCGCCACCTGTTTTTCCTCGTTAGTCCTCGCTGCATACCCAATTGGTCCTCTGCTAGCCACTACTCACAGTGTTTGATGTCTGAATAGTCGGGCCGTCGGCAATTGGGTCGGTGAAGGGGGCGCCAAGTTCAATCACATCTGTTGAAGTGTCAGTCAGGTGCCCCTTTACCAGCGCACAACGTGTGGGAGAGACTTACCAGCGCCACCCTTCTCCATGGCCAACAAGACATTGGGAGTGTCCTGGGGCGTGGGATAACCAGCAGTAACATAGGTAACAAGCGCAGACTACATCACAGCATCGTCAGTTTAGTCGAATTGTTTTCCTGTCTCGCCGTTGCTGCTGGATCTTGGCGGTGCCACAAAACCATCGTCGTTGGGCGGTGGGCGGTGGGCGGTGGGCAACGCTGCGGGGAGAGCCCCGCGATCGCAACGAGGGGCAACAACATGGGGGAAAAGACTCACCCTGCCTTGGGCCTTGCAGCGTGCAAACGTTTGCCGAATGCCTTCCATTGTGTAGTAGTAGCACGGAGTACAGAGTGGAAAGAAAGAAAGAAAAAGGGTCAATTGAAAGGGTATATGGTTAAAAAGACAACTTTGACTCGCTAGGATTTATCACGAGAAACTTGAGTTGCGAGGAAAGGTTGACGGTGGTGGTAGTTTTAAGTAGGAAGAAATTCCAATGGGAAAAAGTGCTTAATGATCTCAGACGTGGGGGAGAATGAATCTTGGTCGGGCACTTGCGGTCGGAGCAGCGGGATGCCAAGGGCTAGCGGCGGGATGGTGTGAAAAGGGAACCTCCCAACGGACGGGAGCTCCGACATGGGTGCCCTCGGGCCTGGGTCGCTTTAGCTGAGTGTCCACCCGATACAGCTGCCTGAAGCAAGCTGGGGGCTGCTGTAGCTACCTTAAGGTATTCGGGATCTTTGTTTTCCCACAAGCACGGGCAGCAAACGGCCATGCCTACCGCTGTATCGACTGCCCGCTCATCACCTCTCTACCTTAGCCTGGCGGCTGGCGGCCTGCAGTTGGCCACCCGCTCGCCCCGGAACGCTCCTTCAAGGGACATGACCTGAAAGGCATCAGTAACGGCGAACCTGGAAGGTTTCCCCAAAGAACCTCGAGCCGAGGCAGTGAGCCACTCATAGCGCTGGAAACTAGAACGAACAGGCCGCCATCCGGCATCGGTCCCATCGAGGAGGTGGCGGGTGTGGGGCCGGGTGTCCCTGACACTTGACGCCCCAGAAAGTCGGTCGGAGGGCGGGGCGGAGATGCCCAAAAGAGGTCATCTCACGCTCCGCTTTTGCCATCCGCCATAAGGTACCTATCCAACTGGCCCCCCACCGTCATCAATGTCGACCGCCCCGGCAGGCAAGCAAACATGGGAAATCAAACCCTCCGTCAATAACACACGTGGCACCACCATACAGCGGCATTGCATGACTTCATTCTTGAGGCTCTCTTGATGACATCCCGCCTTAGCATGGGCCCTGTTTTCAATCCAATTGCCCCAAAAGTCTGTCTCCATTGGTCGGATATCGCTCTCCCACGTCGTCTTCTTATCCCCGCACCTGAATTGCAAACTGGAGAGAGCATACCAGAACTGCCCCGAGGAATCTCGAGGCACAGAGGAGTTGATGTCGACAGCGGTTGAAGATGTAGCAAAACAAAACAAATTTCGGTGTCACGAGATTGACAAAGATGAGTCGCCCTCGTTTTCGATATCGCCGCCGCAGCCGATATCTTCAGGATTGCTTACTTTCGGCGACAAAATGGACGGCCGCAGACCGCCCGAAGCTGTGATAGTGCCTCTGCCCGGCATGAGCTGTTCACCTCTCTAAAGCGGCCACATCACTAGTGAACAAAACTTAGAGTTTTTGGTTGCAGCTGGCAGTATATTCAATCTTGAACTACCTAGGAGGTATATACTGAGTAGACATTCTGGTAGGTCGGTGACGCCGCTACAGAACCAAAACTTGATTCTAGAGAATGCAAAGTTTGATGACTGATGTCAATCAGAGCGCAAAAAATGAGATCCGTTGTAGAATCGAAAACAAACGATGCGGCGACTGAGCCGTTGGTATCTTTTTGAAGTATTTCCTCTCCATCCCTCTCCCTTTCCATAAGAAATTTCAAGTACCTGATCGTCATGGCCCAACGCCAGAATATCATGCTCTTCGTTTTATCTTTCAGACCTGTCGTAAATGAGGGGTATCTCTCGGCCTCGGTCCAGCCCAGGCCGGAGGTAGGTAGGTCTCCAACCTGATGTCTTTTTTTTTCCCCCTTTTCTGTTGCTGTGGTCGATACCTCGTAGACATGATTCTACAACTTGGTAGATGAGGCTGTGTCAAGGTGTCCGTACGAGCTTTGTCGTTGATGGCCCTCCGTGGGCTGTGCCCTGCCGCTCTGCACGCTCGTCTTCTTCAACGTTTTCTCATCTCGCATACTCGAGTAGTGGTCATCGTCCACAGCAGACGCATCGCTACCGAACTGTGGGAATCGGGAGTCATTGTCGTGATATCTGGGCGGGCTTCTCGGGCTCATTGCTGGGCGATCGTCTCCGGTGTAGCGCAACCCACCCTCGCCACGACCTTTGTCAGGCATAGCCATGCCAACCAAGGCGCGGATGATGCCGATGAGGACTACGATGACGTAGATGAGAAGGATGCCGGTAGAAATGAGCGCTTCCTTGATGATGCCTCGTCGGAGCATGTCGGTGACATGCGTCACGGCACCGGTGACTTCGTCGGTTGACACACTCGAGGGTGATGCCAGGAACGTCTTGAGGTCCGAGTCGCCCGAGATGGATTCTTGAGCGCCGAGGCTGAAGGTGTCGTTGGCGAAAAGAGGGAACGAGATCTGCGAGTGATCGTGGACCCAGGTAAGTCCCTTCTGGACAGCCTCGACCTTGAGGCCGATTGTGCAGCGGACGACATCCTTGATGGGGTTGATGAGGATGGTGCCGTTGAAGACCGTCTCCAGGCCAGTCGTCATGGTATTTGTGAATGTGTTCAATGTGTTGTTGACAGCCGATGTTGCATTCGTGACGTAGCCGAGCATGTCTTGGTTGATCTCGTTCTGTGTCGACAGCACAACACCGTTGGCATCGTCAGCCCACTGCTTGGAGACATCCTCGAGCGAGGTGACGACTTCGCCGGCGAATTCGCCAACCTGATTGGCAAGGGCGGGCACTTGTCTTTCAACAGCCTTGAGCAGCGTGTACTGGCACAGGCAGGAGAATAATCCAGCGATAGCAAGAGCCAGAACGAAGAGAGCGGGAAGCGATGTAGCATACGCAATGGCCCACCGCACCAGGATCTGGCGTCGGCCCTTGAACTTGGAAGCGATCTTGATCCCCCAGGTGGCGGTCATCGGGCGGGAAGCAATGTAAACCACGTCCATCGAGTCGTATTGGTGGCTAGCCATGATCTGAGCGTGCTTCCGCTCGCGTCTCCAGCGCCTAATCTCTAGCCAAGCCATGGGTGCGATGACCAGCACAGCCAGGATGGAGAGGACGACGATGAAAATGATGCGAGCTTTCTGGATCATGTCTCGCAAGTTGTTGAAGAAGTCGGCGATCTTGTTGTTTGTCGAACAGAACTTGAGCGCCTGCTTCTGGGCAACAGGGAAGACTGATCGATCGAACTTGTAGCCCTTGTAGGCATCGTTGACAGTCTGCCTAAGCAGGTTGAAAGGGAACGAGATGGCCTCGGCCGTCATGTTCTGGACTTCCTCAAATGTGGGCAGGTCACCATTGAGCTTGTTGAGGTCGCTGACGAAGCCGCTGGTATCGATCTTGAGGTCGCGCAGGTTGTTGACGGGTCCCGAGAAGTCGACCTTGGGGAAGTCGGGCAGGACACTACCAAGGACGGAGTTTTCGATTGCTTCGACGGCCTTGTTGATGCCGTTCGATAGACTCTTGGCTTCGTCATCGATGGTATTGCTGATGTTGTCAACCGCCTTATTCATGGCGTCAGTGATCTTCTTAGTAACGTCGGAGGCCACGTCGAGACCGCCATGGATGAAGGCAGTGATGAGGCAGGTGTACATCGAGGTCATCATATTTATGACGAAGATGATGAGGTTTTGAACGCCAGTGAGGACCAGTCCAAGCGCGGCAACCATGCCGTCGAGGGTCTTCTCGATGCCTTTCGCCGACAGTTCGTTGACGCCGACAGAAAGGTAGTGAGGCATGGAGGCCATGGCGCTGCCGATGTCTTCAACTTTTGTACAAGCAGAGAGGGCTTTTTGATTCGCGTCGTCGACATTATCGTTGAGACTGGCAATGAGCAGAATGACTCTGAGGAGGACGAGTAGTAGCAGGATCGTCCAGCGGTTCAGCCAGATCTGAGAGAGCCTGGCTTGGAGACTGAGGTATGGTGTTATGGTGGGAGAAGTATCGGCTCGCGCTTGTTGCGTCTTTCTAAGTTCCGCCATCTCGAGTGAGTCCGACCTGAGAGAGTCGGGGACGGCCGGGTAGGCCGCCTCCTCCTCCTTGCGATTCCGTGAGGAAAACATTTTGGTTCTATCGAATATTGTAAGAAGCTGAAGCGAATATTTCTGATCCGGCAGAAAAGAATAATGAGGAAATAAAAAAGGCGAATGCCAGAAATGAAGCGAATAGAACGGCGGTCGACGTCGAGGAGCAATTAATCGTTGAGAGTGGTGATAAAATTAGGTGAATCACTCGACACGCAGAGGAAAAGAGTCAAAGGAGAGGGAGGAAGGGGGAGTGACAAAGGAAACCCGTCAACAACTGATTTCTGAACAAGCTTCTATTCATCCATAGTGGGGTGCTTTTTCGGGAAGGGATAGGAATACACAGGACGAGGATGACTTGGAAGGACGACAGAGACAAGAGCGGACGGAAGTGACTGGGCAGCACACATAATAAAAAGGAAGCCGACTAACACGGCCAGGCCCGAGGAATCACCTAGCAATAGCCGCGCAACAAGGGAAACAATATCGAGAAAAGAAAAATAAAGGCGGCTTACCTGATTCACACCACAATGCCAAAGAAAGCCAGCAAGGGGCCCTTTGGCCGTGGCCTTGAAGGGAAATTACCTCGACTTGGCCCAAATCTTTGTTTCGTTTGGCGACACCCGGTGAGGGTGGATTTGGGCGATGGCCGTTTTCTAACCGCGCTCAGCGGCCGCTCTCAGCCAACCAAATCTGCCGTCCGGGGTCACGATGAGCGGCTGCCCAAACGCTGCTAAGGCAAGGCGATATTTTCGGAAGACAGAATGGGGCTCTCGAGATTTGACGTCGTGATGTCCGTAGTCAGATCGGATGATGTTGCGCCCTGTAACGATAGACTCGATCCGTCTTGTCGAGGCCAGGGCCCGATGTGAGGACAGCGAGAGAGAGACAGAGAGAGAGAGAGAGGGCTGCGAGTGGGTTTGCTTGGCGAGAATGGTAAGTTGTGAGTTGTTTTGGTTGCTCCTACAATGAGGTCTTATCGAACGATGAGACTCTTGCTTGAAACTTGCAGAGTGAGATTCGGTTGCTTTATCACAAGAGCTATAGCCCTACTCAAGTCAGGCCAACCGTTGGTGGCTTCATGAATGGGGGCGAACTCGAGAGTGATATACAATCCGAGATTTGAGTCACTGTACAAGGGGACACCACGGAGCAACGGTTGAATGGTGCCCATCTTTCCAAAAGTCGCCCTTCTGGGGGTGTAGCAGAGGATGGAAGGCATTTTAACACAACCCGGTCTTGCTCATAGGCTCGGGTTGATCCAGAGAGCTCACGACAAGAATGCGCTGCGACGTCATTGGCAAGGCCGGGGTATTATTGCGGAGAGCTGCCCACCTCGTATGTAGTGAGGATAAGATACCGTTTGGCGCGAGGGTGCAAGGTCGACGGCGCCGCTCCAGTAGCATCCCCGTCGCGAGTCACGCCTCACGCCAGCAGACCAGGTGGTTGCCGGTGGCTGTGCCCGGCGGAGGAGCCATGGACGGATTTGGTGCCGTTGCGGGCGGAGAAACAGTGAGTTGGCCTGGTTAGGCTGGTCTGGACGATTCTGCATTTGCTGGAGCATCCGGGGACATCGAGAGGTTTGTGTGGTTTGCCCTCGGAAACTGCACAAAGGGTCACGGTGACCGGGGAGGGTACGTGAGGTACCGCAGAGAGCTGTGAGGGCGAAGCAGGAACAGAGCAAAGATGGCCAGCCAGTGGAGGAAAAGAGGCGTCGGATGGCTGGCGCCTGCAGGGGACCCCTGAGGGTATTGCCAAACATTTTGTCCAATCGTCGCGGAGAAAAGGCAGTTCGGCTCTCGCCGCTAACGAATAATCCTTGTGAACAGATGGCAAGAATGGTGGGAATTGGGCAGGATAATGGCAAAAGAGTGGAGATGGACCCTTGATGATTTTGATGGTGTTGCGATTCCTGACTGGCTGCTCGTTCCTTGCGCTCCTTGGGTCCTTGCTAAGCATTCAACATCCAGCAATGATCGATGCCAAGCGTTTTGCCACTAACCACGGCGGAATGCTAAAAACCGGTTTGCGACAGGAACGGTCTTTGGGAGGCTGATCTTGGTCAGACGGTGGGAAAAGCTTGTTGAAATCCCACAAATCGTGGCATCCCAGGAATGTTTGTCTCATGACATTGGCCGGTCATCAGGCACAGACAGATAAGGGTGAGATGCCACGATGCCTTGTTTCTTTCCTGCCTTTCCCGACGGTGCCCTCCTCTTGCCGATGAGAGGCGCAGGCGCAGTCGGGGAAGGGCGAGGGCGAGGTCGCCATTGCAGCTGTATTTGTTCCGTCGTCCCTTCTTCGCAAGATCAGCCAGCCAGGTACCATCGGCGGTCGCAGCCAGCCTGGAAGCCCAAGGAACCTGGAATGATGCGGCAAATGGCAATGGCTCCACTAAACAAGAAGTTCGCACTTGCCCTGTGCACTACACTACCTACACTACAGCACCACCGCACCCACGCACCCACGCACCCACTTACCTTCCTTCTTTCTATGGGGTCGTCTCAAGTCTTGACGCTGGCAAAGATTGATTGGCCGGCGGTGGCCCGCGCTGTGCGCTCCAGGTACGACGATGGGCGCTTCGCTGCAGAACTCATCGCCGCCAGCCATGAGGTCGGCGCTTGCCATTTTGGTCCAGGAACTGATAGTTGAGCACCTGTCATTCAAAGACAGTCTTCGCGGTCAGTTGCGCCTATAAAATTCGTAGGCCTCCCGCTCCAAGTCTGCTTTGAGATTGATCGCATTGGATGTCGGTGCAGTCTCACCCCCCGATTCGCATCGTACCAGTGAAAGATTCTAGAGGCAATCGCTGAGTCCAACTGTGTCTCTCATTGCATTGACATGACTTGCCTTGAGCTGCGCCTTGAGCCCAGCCTGCATGGTTGCAAACTCACGTGAAAACCCTCCGTACGAGACCACCCAGTCATCCAGTCTCAGTCATTCTGGCTCAGTCAAGCTGGCTGCTGGCTAGGGCTGCACGTCATTCGGATGCCTCGAATCGTAGTCACCCATGACTTCAGACTGCCCATGGTGACGACATGGAGGCTATGAGAAGAAACGCTCGAGTGATGAATTGACCTGCCTGTGCCACGATTGCGGAATACCTTGCGAATATCCTTACAGTCCTGGCTTAGATGACCTTATCACGTGCCTGGCTTGTCTGATCCAGAGGGATGGGACCGTGCCTGAAGCGCGGTCGCCAAAGGAAGAATAATAGTCCGATCCATCCACAAACTTTTTTACTGGATGGCAGTGGATGCCACTTTCCAGCCTGCCAGCCTCCTCCTGCCCCTTGCCGCATCACAGCTCAACCCACGCTGCACGGGAAGGAGAAATCTGTTTTCGGCAGGCGGTATCGCCAAACTCCCAAACCTCGCCATCACATCTTGCACCTCAGCTTGTCTTACACACCTCGACAAGCTGACGCCATCCAAGATCATTCGCGATTCAACTTAATCAAGGCCGTGATTGTTTACAGACCAATTTAGCAACCTCATTTTGTGACTTTGTTGGCATTGACACGCATCCTTGTCACCTGATCAAACCCACTCTCGGAATCAATCCGAATCATTTCTGCGCCGCGCTGAAAATTCCACTTGCGCGCAAAAGTCTTCCACCCTCCGACAAGATCGTTGGCTTCTTCTTTGACAAGTCACAATCCCAACTTTGATCGCGCCCTGTCATCTTCATACGCGACAGCCACAATGGCCGAACCACCTCGCGACATTTCCTCCATCCTCGCTGCCCTAGGTAGGTACCCGAAACTCGACGCGAATATGCTTTTGCACCCTCGAACATCCTTGACTGATTGCATTTCTTTCTCCAGGCGCAGCACAAAGAGGCACGTCTTCGACGCCAACCCAAGGACAGCCCGGCATGCCACCCAGCTATCCTCCTCCTCCTGGCGGCCAGCCGCCACCATCCTACCCCCCGATGCCGCAACAGAGTGCGCCTCCCTATGGCGGCGGCGGTGGCTACCCCGGATTGCCCCAGCCTTCGTCCAGCGGCAGTCTGGATCTCAGCTCGATCCGTCCCGTCAACTCTGGCACCGTCAGCATCGCCGACGCCATAGCGCAGGCCAAGGCCTTCGCTGCCGAGAAAGGCGTGGCATCCTACGACCGACCCCTCGTCTACTCTAACGAAGCTCCCCGCGGCCAGGATCCTCGCTACGGCAGATCCTCACGGTCACGCTCTCCTTCCAATCGTCGCGACCAGTTCCGCGACAACTTCAACCCCTACAGAGACGAGCGCCGGGATGACCGCCCTGCCCCACGAGACTATGGCCACGGCCGCGAGCGATCTTTCAGCCCTGGCCCGCGTGGTCGCACCTTTTCTCCTCGCAACTCCAACGGCCGAGAGCGATCTCCCCTCAGAGGAACCGGCGGCGACGACAACGCAGAGACTATTCAGATCGAGTCGAGTCTCGTTGGCCTCATTATCGGTAGACAGGGGGAGAATCTGCGTAGGATCGAGTCAGAGTCCAGCTGCCGAGTGCAGTTCCTTCCTTCCAGCGATAACGGCCCTTTCCGTCAGTGTAAGATCACTGGTCCCAGGGCACAGCGCAGTGAGGTCAAGGAGGCCATCAACCGCATCATTGACGATAGCGGCATGGGCGCCATCAACCGTGGCGCTGCGAACCCCAAGGGACCCCCTCCCCGCGACCACCGCGCTGGACCACCTGGAACAAGCGCTGCCGCCGCTGCCGCCGGAGCTGGAGCGGCAGCTCTGCGCGACGGTGAGGACTGCATGCAGATTATGGTTCCCGATAGGACCGTGGGCCTGATCATCGGTCGTGGTGGCGAGACCATTCGCGATTTGCAAGAGCGGTCCGGTTGCCACATCAACATCGTTGGCGAATCTAAGAGTGTTAATGGACTTCGTCCTGTCAACTTGATCGGCTCCCGCGAATCAGCTGCTCAAGCCAAGGATCTGATAATGGAGATCGTTGACAGCGATAGCCGAAACGAGGGTCAACCCGCTGCCCCAGCGAAGAAGCCCCAAAGGCACGAAGGTGGTCATCAGAGAGACTCTGGACCCATGGGCGGGGCCGGTGGGGGCGGCGGCGGGGACAAGATTAACGATGCCATCTACGTCCCGTCCGAGGCCGTGGGTATGATCATTGGCAAGGGAGGCGAGACCATCCGTGACATGCAGAACGGCACTGGCTGCAAGATCAATGTTGCCCAGTCTTCCGGTCCAGGCGAGGTTCAACGAGAGATTGCCCTCATCGGCTCGCGCGACAGTATCGCCAGGGCCAAGCAAGCGATTGAAGAAAAGGTCGACGCAGTGGTAAGTGACAGGCGTCGGCTCTACACTTTACGAAGTAGACACTGACGGGATAACAGCGTCAGAAGAACTCTGGGGGCGGTGGCGGTGGTCGCGGTCGTCAAAACCAAGACTATGATAGAAGCTACTCTCAACAGGGATCTAACCCATCAGCATCAGGATCTGCTAACCCACCAGCTGCTCAAGCTCCCGCTGGAGCCGACGGGGCCGACCCGTATGCGCAATGTGAGTTTATGAAGGATAACGTGAGCACCTGAAATCGTGTACTAACATGCTGCAGACGGTGGATATCAGAATTACCTCGCCCTTTGGTACCAGTCCCTCGTATATCAGCAGCAACAAGGCGGCGGCGCGGCCGGTCAGCCGGGCGCTGCCCCCCCTGGAGCTTCATAGAGGCTTCCACATGCGCCCTTTCCAGTAGGGGACATGCTTGTGTGATGTGATTGATCACTTGCCTGCCTTGGACCCCGACTTGATGCCTCTTTTCGCATTACGTATACTGAAGCGCCGCACATGCACGTTGACTCTGGAGGCTCATGGCAGTGTGCATTTACGATTCATTCGACGACTGATACCTTCTTATTCCGCTGGACTTGCAACAGCACAGCGCCCACCTTGTTTTTCTTGGACAAAATCACGAAATGGGAGAAGGCCATATACGGATGAGGGAGACAGGCTGCCTCTGGTTTTCCTTCGCTGATATCTCGATGCACTGAACCTGGCATTTGACGATGATGATGGCACGTTCTCGCTTGCGCATGATCCTTGACTGTCATGACTGGGATTCGACTCTTGACATGGACATGGTGCGTAATGCTGCTCTGCGACATGGATTTACTCCCCATTCTCCATGATGCACGCTCTTGACGCCTATGTGACGGCGAGGATACCATTCTGCTGGGACTTGCGAGCGTCCCTGGATCTGACGCCTCTGGTATCCTCTACCTCGTGGAACATTTACAAGAGTGGCCATGATGTACTTTTGAGACACTCGCCTGCTATTATGATGCAGCTGCAGGGCGCCGCTTGGGCGCGGTTTTCTTGAGGACAAACTTTGCTCTCGGCAATGGCATCCGCCTACGCCTCAACTGCATGGTCTCGACTGAATCTTTCTGTGGTTTGCGCGGCAAAATCTTCCCCGGGTAAAGCTTGCTTCCAAGGGTTCTATCGTATAGTCCATTTTCCCTTTACAATCTCTGTGGGTGCAATGCCAGACCGGCATCTCTTCATGCGATATGCAAATTGATTCCCAACCTCCTTTCTCTCTGGTGGACGATGCAGACTAGGGGTGCAAACAGGAAAAAGGGGGGAAAACAAAACAAAAAGCGCACTCTGTATAATAGTTAATTCCGAGTCAAATCGAATTCTTCTGATCTCACATGTCCCACCCAAGGTAGAAATGGTGGAGGAAGTGGAACTCTAAGACAATGTATGTGTAGGTATGAGGGTTGCTTTCATCATGGCCCTTTTCTCCCCTATCCATTCTGTGTCGAGACCTTTGATATGAACGATGCGAACTATGAGAGGGACAACAGCAGCGACAACATGGACGACAACATGAACGACAAAGGCGCGAGGCAAAATGTGCATGGCACAAGTACACTGCAACTAACTCTTGTGTCAATCACATGCCAGCTCTGCCTTTCTTAGTCCTGTTCGTGGGGGTGGCATTGTTTACGCTTCTTTTCCCTTAACCACCAGACGATAACCAAAGCATGCTGATCACTCTTTATGACTGCGCGCAACAATTTGGAAACGCCTCTTTGATAGATAGGGCGTTTGTCGTCGAAACAGAGTGGGCGGGCGGGCGCGGGTGTTTACTTTTTACATGCAGTTTGGAAATAGGTTTAGGTCAGTAGATGGACAAACGTCCGTGGTGCCACGTGCGAAGCGGACGCTGTGATCCCCCATCCCCCTCCGGATGTGTAGGAAGCTGAGCCTCCCGAGACGTGACGGGATAGACGGCATGAGGAGGGAATTTTAACGTGAGGTGGGTGGTAAGGTGAGTGGTAAGGTGCGAGGGAATGAGCTGGGGCCATCTTCACATGGGAATTGGCGCAACATGAGTACCATTCGCGCGCCCAGGCGCGATGGTATCGCAATTATGAATTCTTCAAACAGTCTCCATCACCGACCACCGAGGACGGTTGGGCGGAGATGGGAATGATGTAGGATTGGGGAATCGCTTGACCGCTTGAATCTCTCGGATGAGAGTGAGAGTGTAGATTGTAGAGTGATGATGCTTCGATGTGCTGTACACCGATTTGCTTTGCTTTGCGGATTGGATGGCTTGTGAAGGGTGTTGGTGAAGGGTGTTGGAGAGGGGGGGAGGGGCAAAAAATGTGTGATTTTACGCCGTGATTATAGACATTCACCAATCTCATAGTGGCCGTTTTGTCAGACCCTTGGTTCTTTTCAAAACTTTTATTCTCATAGACAGCCCTGAGCCGATCTAGTTACGGCATAGTGGGTAGTGACGATGAAGATGGATAAGAAGGCGAGAGGCAAAAGTAGGCGGAGATGGGGCATGCTCATGAGACTCGACCAACCATTTTACATATCACCCTTCTACTGACAGCTTGCGCATGGAGAGGGCCACACTGCATCCGTGGTAAATGGTGGACGATGAACTGCCATATCTGGCCATGCCTAGACCGGGGCCGATCATCACGGCAGAGATTCTAGCATGCCCATCAATACCGGCACACAAGCGAGAGGTATGGTTCGAGGCGTGGAGACGACCGATCTGATTGACCATCGCCGTTTTGATGACACTGACAATTGCAAGAGAATAGAAGGATTTGTGAGGTAGAGAAAAGGGGTCCTTTGAGTCGTGGTGTCATCGAACAGACTGTTCTCTCTCGCTTATCGGCCCTCTGCGGCCTGCGCGACATCAGGCTTGAGATTTGCTTTTGCAATCCGCTGCAAGTTGACTATTGCAGTATCGGACTGAAGTCTTGGCTTCCATTTCGCAGGTTGTGGGCAATGAGGAAGTACAGTAGCAGTAGCGAGAGCCTTGCCTGTGCGGTTGCGTGTGCATATTGATGTACGTGAGGTTATCTCACATGTGAAAGTAGTCTCTGCAAGCTTCAAGTCCGTGCTGGGCTATGTGCTATGTCCTCTCTCTCTATCTCCCTAGGTATCTCTCTTTTCCTCTCCATGGCGATAAGATTCTATTGGTGTTGGCACGTAAGCTTTTCAAACGATTCATCTGATGATGAAGAAGAAGAGAGAGAAAAAAATGTGATGCTTGCGATTCCGCACTGTCAATGCGTGCGGAAGGACGAGCGAGTCGAGAGTTCTGCACGGCGGGAAATATCTCCGACACCACGCCAAGGAGCTGCCAGACGATTTGACAAAAAGTTTTTTTTATTTTACTTTTCTCTCTCTGCCTCTGTCTCTACACCGTAGGCGAGACACGGCGAGCGAGCGACAGATACAGTTTGGACTGCCGTTCAATGCAAATTCCATGCGAGACATTTGATGCACGGGCGGTCGACCGCCTACCGAACTCGACCTTGCACTCCACCCCTTCCCACCTGTCAACGTTTTACTGATGACGAGAGTGAGAAGTATAAAGTAAAGTTAAGGTTGGAGTGGGAACAGAGACGTGATGAACTGACATGCCGTGCAGGGGAGGAGGACAATGACTCGCAAAAAACTCCTCCCCCACATTGGTCATGTCCAAGCCTCCTTGCTTATCAGGAGCCGATTCGTTAACCTATCATACCTTATACGGTAGAAAAGCCGAGGATAGGTTAAGTAAGGTAGTCACTGGTGGTCTTCTCATCCCATCGGCTGGCCATAACAGGCGCGCAGAGATGGATGGCGGTGACTTTGCCCTAGGGTACGTAAACAACGGATTGAAAAGAGGCGCCACGCGCACGAGGTGCTCAGGTTGATGTTCCCGAGTCAACTTGAAAGTTTGTTGAACGGACAGCTTTTCGATGCACGAAAAGGAAGAAAAAAAGGCGCTGTGTTTAGATCAAGGGTCTAGGCTGTTGGAGCCAGCGAGCGAGCGAAGAGGGAAAACGGCTCTGAGTCAAAAGGCGTGCGGCCGCCGCCCACGCTCCCGTGCCGCGTGCGCTGGTGGTTGTGGAAGCGGGTTGTCTGACTGTGCGTCCACTCGACCGTCTGCCTCATCTGGCCTTGCATGTGCCGATCCAAGGTTGCAATGCAGGATGGCTTGTTGGGGGGGGTGTCGTGAGGGGGGAAGGGGAGCGTTTAGCATTGTGGTATGAGGCTGTGTTGATGTAACAGAATTTCGAAACCCTCATGATCTGCGGATGTATCCGAAGCCATCACAATAGAGGAATAGAGGAGGTGAGGGTTGCGGTCTCTGGGAGACTGACTGATGACTAGTGATTCTCGAGGAGAGAGACACATGCCGAAGCACTCAGAGATTCAGAGATGGAGGAATGCGGGAAGGGAAAAGGCTCGAGGTCTGCCGTTTGCAAGGGAGCTTGATCCCGGAGCTATCCTAAAAGGGGCACGTTGCATTGCTCGCTTCGCGATCCCTGCTTGCTTATTTCGCCCGGCCCCAAGACAATCCCATCTCAAAGCTTGTTTTTGCGCCGCGTGCCTCCCATGCCTCCCGTACCTCCCGCGCATCTCTCTCTGTCTCTGTCTCTGTCTCTCTGACTCTGACTCTCGACTTTCGTCTGCTCAAGTGTCAAGGTGGAAAGGGCTCTTTTCATGAATCAGTATGTGTGTATTGGCGAGATTGTGCTACGTACGCATAGGGCGTGCGTATGTGAAGCGAAGAGGAGGCTCGGCAAAATGTCTCAGCGCCGTTGGGGTGAAAAGCCATCTCCGTTCAAATCACCTCATCTCCACAGAGAAGAAAAGCTACACACATTGGCAGACCGGGTTGCCTGGAATGTCACTGCAAGAAATGTCTCGGGGGCAAGACGCCATCTTCCTCTCTCTCTTTCTCGCCTCGTTCAACCCCCATCCCGTCCGTCCCACCCCCTCTTTTCGTGATCCTAGGAGTGTGGCCGACGAAGACGTTCTTCCTACCTATTCGTACATTCACTCACTCCACAGACACAGGCTCGCACGACGGGAAACCTGTCTGTGTTCCCCGGCAGAGTGCCGCGGGCCGCGAGTGGATGTGCTGGGGCGTGCGAAAGTTGGAGCACATACGCGGATGGACGGGGGGAGGAGGGGGGGACATGGACGTGGGCATGGCATGGCATGCATGGCATGGACAGACAGACTGACTGACTTACAGCCAACGGCAATCGCAGCTCGCTTCTCATTTTCAGTTCTCGTCTCGCGTCTTGATGTGCAGCTGGGCGGCGGCGGCGCAAGGGCGAGGCTAAGCCGCATCCCGCATGATGGCCTACTGCAAGACGGTTGGCTGTTGGCGCTTCCTTCTCATCAGTGATTGTTGCTTTTTCTTCGTCTTCTCCTTGGTTTTCATTTTCTTTCCTCACAATTCACTTCCGAGAGAAGGCTTGGGCTTGGCTCTTCTCGCTTCTGACTCCAGTGTGTCTCTGATTCTCTCTCTCTCACCAGTCGGCCCCTCAAACACACACATACACACCCCCCTCCTCACCCCCTCCCCTTTTCTGATGCTGTCCTGTGTATCCGTACCTGTCAGTGTGTCAATCCACCCGTGAAGCTCGCTTTTTTCTATCGAGATGTGCTAGGGCCCCCCCCGTGTCGATCCTTTGAAAGCTTGTGGCTGCCCATCCGTCGACGATTGATTTTAGTTCATCCTTCTTCTGCCGTTCAACATTCTTCCTCTCCTCTACTAATTTTTCACCTGTTTACCCCTCGAAGGTCATTCCGAACTGGCTTCCAAACGGTCGATAAACAAGCATAAATCCTTCTTTGTCTATTTCCCTTGTCCTACCTACCTAATTGACCACCCGCGAAATAAGCTCTTCGTTAAACAATCACCTCCGGTGCTGGGGAGCTCGACAACACGCATTCCCCTCTCTCGATCTCGTGTTCCTCCTACTAAGTCCCCTCAAACAAACAACACCTCACAATTACCACCGCCTTGAGAGACACACACAAAAGCAATGTGCCGCCTCGTGCTCTTCGCGGGCACCTGCACCCGCTGCAACGAATCCCTCACCTGGGCCGACCTCTCCCAGCAGCTCTCGTGCCTCGAGGCCAAGAACGCCGACAAGTTCGGCTCGTGTCGGCGTGGCGTCGACGTCGAGACACACGCCTTTGATCAGGAATGCGACGCCTGCGCCGGCGAGGACGAAGGCGTTGCCGGTATGGACTTTGGTGAGCAGGATTTTCAGCAGTATCATCATCAACATCAGCAGTATCAGCCATACCAACAGTCGTCGTCAGCAGCAGCAGTAGGATCGTCATCATCAGCGTCAATACCGCAACCCGGCTCGAGTAAGAGGGGCCGGGACGAGGGGGATGGCAGGAAGAAGAAGAAGGCGAGGACGTGAGCTCGAGAACGCTCGCGGCTTCAGGGTGGTAGTCATGGGAATATGACACGGTTCGAACTTTGGGGAAGATTGTTGATTCATCTCTTCCTCTTCTCTCTCTACTCCTGGCAAGGCGTTTGGTGTTCGACAAGGACTACATGTAATGAGCATTGGGGCTTCGGGACTCGGTATACCACGGACGCGATGGTGTTGCGCATTGTGGGATTGGCATTGGCATCAATCGATTGGAAACCACATCAGCAACATCACAGGCACATGACGAATACAATGATCAGGACAAACAGGCAGGCAATAACGTTTTTTTCTGGGAAATTACTGGCTTCAAGGTCACTGGTGTGGCAGGACGGCGGCGGGCTCTCCGCAGCATTCTTGAGGGAGAGGGAAAATACCCTAGTCTACCTTTACCTAAGGACGTTAGTGGCGTGGCGATCGGGAGGGGAGCTCTTAGTGAGGGGATCCGCTTCTTTTGGCATGCGGGTAATGTACGACACATCTCGTATGTTCCCTCGCGGCATCGAGAGGTCACGATGGACCGCTCGTTTGCAAGAGAAGAGTCCCAGGTAATTGAAAAGCGTAATCGATTTCACAACTTGAGCCCCTTATTCCGTGCTCGCAACTCCGCTACCAAGATCCTGGTGTGTGAGCTACGACTTCTCTCGCCAGTGCGTGATGCCACAGCACGATGCGTCCTAATGTCGTTCTCGATGATTAGTCGAACGTGGGGCGGAGCCATGTGCCTAACCTGTGTAGTGAAGAGAGGCTATATGGTGTTGTATTTGACAGCTTCATCCCTCTCAAAGTTCGGTTCGTGCCCTTGTTATACACGACCTGAGTTCAAAGTCATCGTCCCATAGTGAAGGTTCCCAAGTTTATTCCCCTCCCACTCTCCCCTGATCCCGTGTCACCGCAGCACTTTCTTGAGGTCCGATGAATAATGAAGGGACACATGGCTGCTGTAGTGCGTGAAATTGAAAGTTCACCGCTGCAGAGTTGTCGTACACCCCAGCGTTCTCTCTTGGGGAAAAAGTCATTTGTCCCTCGCCCTTCCTGGGTGTCTGTGTGCCATGTGCATCGGAGCTTCATCACGGATCTGCAGCAGTTTCGTTGGAATGGTTTCTTGAGCCGAGTTTCAAGCTTTCTCTTGTCTGCTTTCGAAGTTTCGCCTCAGCGTGAGCTCCAGCTCGTGAACATTGCCTCGTAGCCTGGATGTGAGTTCCGGTGCTGCGCTCGCGAATCTTCTTCATCACCTCAGCTTCAATACGCTCTCGTAGGAGGATCACGATCTCGCGCCGAGCGTATTCTTTCCAGGTGTCTTCTCGATCGAGAGCCCCGATGTCGTGATCGTAGTCTGCAGAGGTTTTAGTCCTGTCTACCTTGCACCCTAATCGGAGTGTAACTCACAAGGTGTGGGCATCTCATCTTCTCTGACTTCGAAGACAATCCTGTATACCTGCTTCGGCTTTTCTGCCTGAGTTCGTATCGGGGATGGCCTGACCCTGAGGTGACGTTCAATGTCGGGCCCAAATTCGGACTCCCCACACAAATCTGATTCGGTGATGATCTCGCAAAGCTGAGCGACTCTGAGGTGCGAGTCCAACGCAGCTTGACATCTGATATGTTGTCGACATCTGCTGCATCTCCCATGCCGGCGAAAGAGATGCTCTCTAGGTTACCGGTCATTAGCCTAGAAGAGAACTATTTCAAGGGCAAGGTATCCAAAGATATACTGCAAGCAATGTACACAAGGCCGCCCCAGACTTGCACACAAGGTCTCCCTATGGTTTGCTAGAGGTTTACAATTAAGAAGGTTCATGCAAGTAGCATATCCTGAGGTTGCAGGTACAGTATCTTTCCGTACCTCTCGTCGCCATCATCCCCGTCGTCGCTGTCGTTGCCTTCATCTTTGCCGGTACGATTCTTACCTCTCTGTCCGCCACTGCCTTTTCCACCCACCGCACAGCCTTTGACCCAACAGCATCCTCAGTCGCCAGTACATCATGAATCTCTTCCGACGACTGGATGCGTACAAAAGCAGAAGTAATCAAGCAGAAGACCGGCCTTAAGTAGGGTACAATACTAACAAAGTTGCTAATAGAAGGCTCTTCATAGTTTGGACTGGCCCACCCGGTCATCGGTAAGCCTACCCCGGGACTGGCGGGAGAATGTAGTCTGAATTGCTGCCTGTTGTATTCGTCATTGCGTTGTTGCCGTCGTTTATCTGTGTAGTGTTCTTCCGAGTGACATAGAGCGTGCTCAACAGATGGGGTAACTCGTTCACCTGTCAATGAGTTCATCAACAGCTTTCAGCTGGTTTTGGAACGGCTGCGCTGTTGTAGTGTCGTAGCCAAATGAATCGACCTAGTATTCTAGAAAGCACATTATAAGTACTTGGGGTGGAAACCATGGCCTTCTTATGGGCCGCACGAGAGCCAAAGTTGATCGAGTGCGCAGTTGCGCAGGTCGGTTGCCACGACGATGTCTGAATTGCGGACCAGCCTGCTAGCCTCCCACCCTCCCTCGCCAGCTAAAAAATCAGCGGCAATGTCCAATACCTGCTAAGGGCGTTTCTGAATAGTATGAAACCATGATTGGTCAAATATCCCTCTGCTGCCGGCCTGACTCAAGACTAACCACTCAGCCTCAGTCCGGGAAGATCGCAGTTCAGAGACATTCTTGTAGTCATGGCGAGACCTGGCTATTTCTCGTCACTTCACTCAAAATTCTATATGCTGTGCTCCTAGCTTTACAGAAGGCACTGGTCATACGAAGACGTACCCGGAGAATGAATGAGTTGGCATTGTCCAGGACTCTTCTCAGGTCTCTTGAGGAATTTGAGGGATCCAAGTGCACAAGTGCGCACTTGACTATAGGCGAGAATGACACGGCCAAGCCCAGCTGATGCCCTTGTTAAACAACTGATGAAGCGCAATATCACGATTGGTAGAGCTGCCACAGTTCTACTACCAGGTGGCGTTAAAACCATATTGTATGGGACACTTGATATATCGAACATGCAGCTAGCGTTAAATGCCAGACCTAGATTTTGTTTCCAAATGTCAGCTTACCCCCTGACGTGTCTTGCAAGTCTCCACGATGCCGTGAGGAAGACAGCGATCAAGGTACGGGCAAAAGCAAACTTGTAGAAGGTCGAAAGTTGAGCAAGTCTGGCATCGAGGATTGAAAGCTGGCTATTATCTTCTACTAGTCATCTTCCACCCATCCTCCCGGAATACGCAAAGGCGGGTTCTCAACCAGGTACCAAAAATCGCCGGCATATTCTTCGGCCTCCAAACCCCATACAAGCTTCCAATCTTCAGGCTGGGGCCCATACGTGAAAGATACCAGCCGCATACCGGTCCAAGATATTTTTGGGAACGAGTAGTCAAACAAGACATCCAAGCGTCGATCCTGCAGCAATTTATCGCCCATGAAAATTTCCTTCTCTTGGCTGCCATATTTTGCAAGGTCTTTACCTGAGGACTGCACATCTTCCAGCCACATTGACAAGAACTCGGATGTGTCACGTTCGCACATCCGAGGACTCCTTTTGATCAAAAATAAAGCAGAAAAGAGTGCCGTGAGATGATTCCCCTCCCAGTTTTCAAAAGTTTTCATGCTTAGCCTTTCCAACGATACTCCCCGAAGTATCCACCGCGCAAGTTTCCTCCAGGGGAATTGCTCACTGACATCAAGGCGGGTTGAAGAAACGTACGAGTATCTTTTCGCGAAGTTTTCCAAAGAAGTCTCCCAGGATGAATCGAGTATCGCACAGAAGTCTGCAGGCTGCAGGCCTTTGACGTTCTGAATATCGTTCAGCAGTATCTGTGGATCAACTTGGGACCAGTCTAGATGAGCATAGCGTGCTTCTAGTGGGAGCTGGTGGTATGTTTTCGCTAGGCTTTTGGTCGCGTATTGGTGAACTAGTGGGACCCGCCATATGAAACTGGAGATGGCACTGAGATTGTCGCTGGTTTCTCCGGGAACGAAAAAGTCTTCCAAGTTGTCATCGAGAGCGACGTAGACCGAGATTTTGAAAAGCTCGAGTGCATCCTCCGGATTCTCGTTGTTATTCACGCCTTCATACGCCAGGAGCGAGGCTTTCTGATCACGCATATCGTCCAGATGTAAGCCCAAGCTGAGCAACTTCTGGATAATATTCAGTGATTCCCAATCGAATGCAATCTTTATTAGTGTCAGTTTCAACATTGTGGATTTAATAAACATAGAGACCCATACATGTAGCAGTGTTCGTCCGTTCTCATCACGATCGAACAAAGATGCCCGATGCTCGTCGAGTTCACGCAGAACGAGTTCCCAGCTACCTTCCTTTGTGTAACTGAATATAGAAGTATCATAAGGTCGAACAGTCCAAGCTCTCAGGGAGAACTTCCATCCAGCATACGCTCTGTATGTTTGGACGTCCCAGACTCTTGCCGACATCCACCACGGTAGCTGTAACCGTGCCTGATAAACTGTACAGTGTTAATGACATTCTTGCAATTCACAGACTTGCGTATATATCTACCCTGAACATTGGAGTATCTGGAGTGCGGGAGGCTCCGGCTGGTAAAACCACCGAAAAAAGAAGACTGCGTATGCGGGAGTGGCTTCACTCTAGATTCTCTCAAAAGGGGGCTGGAATTCTTGCCGTTAGGAATATTTTCCTCGACCGTTTTCAAGTGTCTGCTTGGGCCAGTCTCGATGGAATTTGTGTTCAATTCCGCTGTCTCAGATTGAACTGAGTGCGGTCGATTCATGGTCTTGATAGCGGCACTGCAGAATGAATCAGAAATTTCGTACCGCAAATTGCATTCTTGCTCTTACAATATTCTCGTGTTCTGTGTCAGGAGCATCATTGAAAAGGCATTCTGTAGCTTTTGCTGACAACTCTGTACCAAGTCCTTCTTAAGAGTGACTTTCAGCTTCACAATCTTCCTTCTAAACTTCTTGGCCGTAAGTAGTTGTTGCTGTAAGTCTGTCGCCAGAATTTCCAAATCATTCGCCAATTGTTGGCACAACATCAGACTACCATCTGATGTCCCAATGGACGGCCCGCCAGCCTGGCTGAACTCCCTATCTACCTCGGTCAGGATAGAATTGAGGATTTCAACCTGTTCGACGAGATGATTGATCTCGTTTGGTATTTCCTGAACTTCATTCCAAAGTTTCTTGAGCTTGATCGTGCAGGAGCCCAATTTACCCGCAATCTCGACGACTGTGAAGGCGCTGACGACGGCTCCGAAAACTCCTGCCATTGTAGATATGATGTCCTATTTTTCTTTTCGTTACTCGTTGCGTCTTGCGATCTAAAAAATTTGAGGCTCGTGTCGTGGGGCGGGGAGGAGCGATTGCGGGTAGCCAGAAAGCTAGGCGTCAGATACGGTCAGAAGAAGAGCGAGCCTGACGCGTGGGCACATCGGTGGGGTTGATCTGCTTTTGAAAGCCCGAGCAGGCTGCGTGGCAGCTTAGCCACAGCAGTGCCTCTCAAGCGTCAGGCTTACCTGCAGGCTGTGAGTGCCGCATGGGATAGAACCAATGAAGAGTTCCCCTGGTGTCACCCAGGCTGTCGGAGGAAGAATTTCCCGTCTCAATAAGAGTGTAAGTGAGGCGCCCTTATCAAGAAGAGTGGAAGTGAGGCGGGAGAAGCTATACTCGTGGACGAAATCGGGTTGGACAATACCTCTCAACCTACGCGCGTGCTCCAATCACTGCTTCTCTCATGATTATGAATAAAGATGCTGCGAGAGGATCGATGGCGAACTGTGGGTCAGATTCTGTTAAAGTGAACTTGTTGAACGTTGCCTTCATTCATGGCAAGGCCCTCTCATTCCGTCTTCGCGAGAGCATGTATTTCTCCAATTCGGACCAGTTCAATACCGCCCTTGATGGGACAGTGTTCCCAACCCTAATTTGGCATGATATGATTCTTCATGGAAGTCTACAGTAACGCGCATCCCCAATCTACCCATCTACAGCCAAAGAAAAGCTATCATCTATCAAGGTGATAAGTGCTTGAATCAGCAGAAGTTCGCGCATCGCCGGTTTATTGAATGGTTGGAGGTGGTGTTGGTTGCCGTTTCGGCCTCGCAGGCGCAATCTCCGGTGGCGGCGGTGCAGGTTTGGGCGGTTCAGGGGCCGCTTTGGTTGGCTCAGGTTGCGGAGCAGCCTTTGGCGATTCTGCATTGGGCTTGGGAGACTCCGGCGCAGCCTGCGGTGCTGCTGGTGTCGTCTTTACAGGTTCTGGAGTCGCGTTGGTAGGTTCAGATGTGGCCTTTGGCGTTGGTTCTGACGGGGCATCAGCAGACGTCGTCGTCGGCGGCGGCGGCTCAACCTTGGTCTTTGCCAAATCCTCATCCCAGACATCCCTCACCAGGCCCCAATACCGCGACGAATCTAGCTTAGCGTGCGCAACATGCTGACTCCCGTCGAACCTCTCCTTGCGGACCTTGAACCCGACCTCGGCAGACTCGTCCGCGTGCCTCTCGACGTCGGCCCAGTAAATCATCTCGTCCTCCTTGCTGTACAGGTACGCCCGCCGCCTCTCGCTGCCCAGCAGCGCCTTTTGCCGCAGCGCCGCCCACATTTTGCCAAAGAATCCGACCCGCCCGAGCGGCACGTGGAAGAGCCAGAACCAGCCGATGAAGACGTGGGCCAGCGGCGCCAGGATCCGCGGCATCGAGGCCGAGAGCGCCCGGTAGCTGCGCATCCAGTGGAACCCGCCGGGGCAGGAATCGTAGATCGTCACGTAGGACGGAAGCTCCAGACGGCCCGCGCGGTCGGCGTCGGCGTACAGCTCGAGGAACTTGGCGAGGTTGGTGGCGCCGCCGTTGGAGAAGACGTGGAAGAGCAGCTGTGGGGCCCGCCCCGTCTCTGAGGAGAACGGCGGGGTGGAGTCGGCCAGGGTCCGGATCACGGGCACCGCCGGCTTGATCTGGCGCTTGGAGATGCGCGTGGAGAGGGTGTGGATGAAAGGGCACTTTACGAGCAGGATGCTGGCCGACGGGTACATGGCCATGTACCGCGAGGTGTACTTTGCAATGTGGACGTCCTGGGCCGACATCCAGCTAAAGATGGCGACGAGCTTGGGTGAGTTCGGGTCCGGGACGGCCGAGGGCGGGTCGTAGAGGAACGTCGTCGGTGAGAGCTCTTGCATGGCTGGTAGGGGCCCGGCGGCGCCGGCGGGCTGGTTCGATGCCATGTTGGTTTGGGTTTGGGGTTATGCAAGGTAGACTTTCGAAAACAAGCGTTTTTATGGCCGGCGAGCTATCCGATGATGAAGCCTGGAGTCCTGGGGAGGGTTACAGTCAACGTTCGGGGTCAAGCGAAGGGAGGGAGAAGAGGTGAGGTCAGGTATAAGGTAGTCGGAATCCAATGGGATGGACGGGTCACTAAAAGACCGTTAGGCAGCGCATTCTCAGCCCTATTTTCGGGTCTTGTCGTCATCATCTTAAGGTTGGTAAGGTTACCATTTCCGGTAAGTGCCTCGGCTTCAATCCCTGCCGCACGGGACTCTGGTTGTCTCAACGGAATCCTAAGGGATTCACGTTGAGGTCTTGGCTACATTTCTGTGTCTATATCTGAGTCTTGATGGACACATACGGGGCCTTGGTCAGACCGGAGCGGCACGGGAATAATAAGTCCAGCGGCCCGCCGGCGAGACATTGACTCCGACTGTTACGGCCGATCGGTCCTGAGCTCCGGAGCAGTTGCCGGGACCGTCGGCAATTTATTTCGGCGGCACCAGTCAGATGGAACAACATGGTTCGCTGGCAATTGGATGCTGGACTGGCTGTGAGCCCTCGCGATACTTTGCCATGTATCACCGGCGTTGCTCAACGCGAACCGAATGTAAGACCCTGGGTGTCAGCCGCAGTAAACGGCAATTGCAGAAATTCAGGGGCTCATCTACCAGCGTCACTCCTCGTGTCAGTCTACTCGGCTGAGGCGAATTTCAATTGGTGGCGCCGTCAATGGGTACGTTGTATATCGACTGCGGTATGACAGCGTGCGCAGCACACGCGGATGGCGCGCCATCTCGCATTTGACGTGAGGGAACAAACAGATCTGGCAGACAGGGGTCGGTGGCTTCGAACGTAGATATGCAGGGGTCTGCATCTTGATGATCTTTTACAACACGTTGACCGCACGTCGAAAACATAGTGTTTGGGCGCGACTGAGAAGCTCAGACAAACGTGGGATTCACCTCGTGTTACTGAAGCTTGACCGTGCGGTAGCGAGGCAGACTTTTGGAAACTCGAGAAGCTCCCTGACCGAAAGCAGTCGATGCCCTCCAGAATCTTTGCGTTTGCTCGATGAGCGAGCCGACTTCTGACAGAATTTGTTTGGTCCTACCATTGCTTGAGATGGCATACGGGACGAGTGATGCAGGTATCCGATGAGTGTAATTGAAGCTGCCTGAGTAAGACGGAGTTCTGAGACCTCGCCAGGACTTGGTGAATAACCGCTGTTTCAATTATACACTGAATTGAGAATGTTTCAATACTTGTCCTCGACGGTGAGTTAAATATAATCTATGAGAACTGTCGGCCATGATTACAACGTCACTACTGCGATGAGTGAGGCGCGGTTTAAAGGCTCAAGTCTTTGAAGAGGGGGATCAATGAACCTGGACAAGATTGCTGCTAGAATATATATGACATTGGTAAACATCGGCTCCAATACGAGTTCGAGGCCGTTTGTGTCTATATGTAAGGGACACTCCCGAGGTAAATGTAAGGGATAGTATCTAAGATGTCGACGAGGTTCAACTCAAAGGCCCGAATAGCTTGATCAAGCAAAGCGCGACGGGACGAAATTGCGCATACGTTTCGAGCTCCGGAGAGGAGCCATGGGCCTCTCAGCATTGCCGTTGTTTGTGAGATTCCATGGTAATGAACGAGCCACGGCTAAGGGTCAGCCATGAAATCTTTCCGGGCTGATTGCAAACTCGGGCTGCCTCAACGGGAGGCCAGGAGTCAAAGGCAGGTACGCTGGCTCCGTGTATGTCTGGTCCTGCCAAGGTGGAAGTGGTGCCCCGAGCAAACGACCCAAGGCAAGCAGTGAGGTAGTTGCCCTACTCGTCGTCCACGATGGCAACTGCCTCCTTCCAGCTCCTGCTAGCCATCAGCATACACGCGCCTTCCCGAGGTTACAATTCCTCCAGATAGAAGTAACGTGGCAGGTCCCAGCCAAGCGGGATTACAACTTCCCACCTGCTGCGCCTTCTTGCTGGCATCGCCCATCCCAAACACACTTCTGCCCCCCTTTTCCTGGGCCTTCATCTTCCTCGCCTTTTCCAACCTTCCCGGCCTTTTCCCCCAACATTTCACCATCTTCCTCGTCCATCTTTCAAAAAAGAGACGCAAGCTGTAGCTCGACTGTCTCGTCCCTTCTCTTGTTCCATCCATCATTCGTTTCAACTCTTCTCCGCGCCCAACTCTTCCCGTGACCCAAACACGTCATGAAGGTCACCAGAGTTCTCTCTTCCCTCTTGGGAGTTGGCCTCCTTTCGGCCGACGTCGTCCTGGCCAAGGATAGACACCGTGTCGGTGTTGAGATTAAGAGCCCTCTCAAGGGTGTCAACTTCCAGCGCATCAAAGCCTTCCGCGAGGCTGCCCCTGACGAGGTCTCCGACCGCGTCCAGTTACTGAAGCCCTTCCGTGGCAGAATGACCGGCCACAACGCCGCCACTGCCTTGGGCGCGGCCCAGCCTCGTGATCTCTCGTCCAACTACCAGAACATCACGGCCTTGTCTCCTTGGGGTACTCAGTATGCCGTCGAAGTCACCTGGGATGGCAAGCTCATCAATATGATCTTCGACACTGGCAGCAGCGACACCTGGGCCACCAGTTCCAACTTGACCTGTACCAACCTATCCGGCACTGCTGTCTACTCCCCAGAAGCTTGCGGCTTTGGACCAGACAAGATTGACGACTTCAAGTACGGTACTGTCGAGGACGTCCACTTCTCCTTGAGCTACGGCTCAGGCGAGCGAGTATCTGGTCCGATGGGTTACAGTGACATCGAAGTGGCTGGCATCACCGTCAAACAACAGCAGGTCGGTCTAGCCAATAAGACATACTGGCTCGGCAACAACTACACCAACGGCGTTCTTGGTCTTGCCTATCCCTCCATCACAAGTGCTTTCACCGGCGATATGGATGAGGATCGCCCTGCCTTCCAGGTCCCATACTCGCCCTTCTTCACTAGCATGGTTCAGCAAGGACTCTCCTCGGACTCTTTCAGCGTTTCTCTTGTCCGTAATTCGTCTGGCGTAATTGCCTGGGGCGGTCGAACTGGTCTGCCAATCGACGGTCCTACGGCTTACACCGACCTCATCATCGTAAGTTTTGGCCAAAAACAAAGTCTCATCTCAATTTGACTGACCATTCCAAAGACCAGCATCAACTCACAGAGACCCGATGGCGGCTGGCAATACTCGTACTACACAATCATCGTCGATGGCTTGCGCTGGGGATCAACCACTGACAAGAAGAAGTACCCGTACATTGTCGATACCGGCACGACGCTTATGTACGTGCCTCCGCCCATTGCCGAGGCTATTGCCAGATCTTTCTCCCCCAGCGCCATTTACTTGTTCCAATACGGCGGATACTTTGCTCCCTGCGATGCCATCGCTCCCAAGGTAGCCGTCATTGTCGAGGGCGCGAGCTTCTTCGTCAACCCAGTGGACCTAATTTACCGCGGACTCGTAGACCCTCTTACGGGATACTGCCAGGTCGGAATCACCACTGGTGGCACGGGACCTTACATCCTAGGCTCTGTCTTTCTTCACAATGTCGAGGCCTACTTCGACGTTGGCGCAGGCCAGGTCCGCTTCTACGGCCGCGAAACCTACGGCCCCACTCCCCAGCTGCCTGGGAAGTTGACTGGCAACCGGCTGTCGATTTAATCTGAGGGTTTCCCTCTGCATCAGTTCGGAGATGGTTCAGATTAATGCGATTCAATTTTCATGTAGGCAATTCAACAAGATCGGGCATGGATTTGCCGGGGATTGTTTTGGGATCATTGCTTACACAGAGCTGTAATTGTACTTGTGAGATAGGGTTTAGTCTAATGAATGCCACTTGCCTCATACATTTTCTGGTTGTCTGCATACTTGGAATCGTTCGGGTTGAGCCTAGAACGCCCAGGGCAGCCCGGTGAAGTCGTCTCAGAGACAGTGGCTGTTCCAAAGCAGGTTGTGTTCCCACAGTGGACAAGACTGAAACCGGTGCTTGTGTCGGGACTTATCGGAGTGGCGATGATGGCTTATCAAGGCCTATAGTTCTTATCGATAAGGCAGTGAGGTCACTGCGATGGCGCTCTGATTTCTGCCACTTGACTCAATGGAACACTTCACGATCCAGGCCCTCGGCAACACTTACTCACACCTCACCGACTTCCCTCCAAGCGATACCGGCTTTGATCCTCCAGAGGCCAGTCCTCTTCTTCTTTTCCCTTCTGCAGATTCTTGCAGTCCTCTTCCGTCCTTTTGCACCACTTATTTTGCTGTCACGATCGTCTCAACCTCGTTTGCAGTGTGCGGCGGTTACTCGGCAGTCGCTGTACCGATCTCCCTCCCCTCTCCGATATCCCCCGTGGTCGGCAACACAGCCTGGGGAAAAAAAGGAAAATCCAGGAATAGCGTTCTTCCGACCTGACCTGGAAAGCGACGAAGGCATTCCCGAATTCCTCAGCGAACCACCAAAGTCTGGATTCAAAGCGACGTTTCCAGGTAGCCTGCCATCCATCATGGGTATTGGAGTGATCCCGGCAGGTAGTGCTTCGGAGGACAGTAAGCGACAGCCTCGACGACAGCATACCTGGAGCTTTAGCAAGGTACGATTATGTTGAAATTCCTCCGTCTTCATTTCTTTGGATCACTGAGAGCTCTGAGGTTTTTTATTTCATGAGCGCTGTTTGGTTTGTTTGTGCGGATTGCAGACGTCTGGCTGGCCGTGCGATGCCACGCAGCAGCTGTTTGGGTCGCATCTTTTACCACGGGCATCGTCAAGTGACTGTTTTTTTCCCCCTTTGCCCAGTCGGTCGTCTCCTGGCGGTGTGAATAATCACGCAGGGGTGTTGGTCAGCGACGGGACCACTCACTCCCATCCCTCTTGGAGTCTTGGATCATCGATACGATCTGGCAATCGTGCCGATTTGTTGGATCCGAAATCCCGGCCGGCTGGACCTGCGGGTTCGGAGCTGGGCTGGGGAGGGATAGTGAGAGGGGAGACCCCCCCCTGAACGTCAAGTGTCAAGATTCCCCCCAAGCAAGTGCGGCGGTGGAAATTTGCCATGTTGCGCGGTCAGGAGACTTGTGCCGGATGACCTTTCCCCTGGCGACTTGCGTGGGGGGTCAGGTGTTCGTGGCCATTGAAGCTCGTCAATTGAGGCTCGAGAGCTTCGGGGTAGCATGGAGGCCATGGGGGTCTTTTGGTTGCCGTCTCCTGTCGGGGCAGGCGAAGGCGAAGGCGAAGGCGAAGGGGGTGAAGTGAAGCAAAGTTGTGTCTTGGACCCTGATTCCCGTCTGGCGAATAGCCGCAGCCGGAAGTGGCCGAGCAGCAGATGGACAATTGGAGCGAAAACGATTGGCAAAGTTGTCCAGAAATGGTTGGAACCAGCACCGGCAAGGCCTCTAATGAACGAACATGCGTGCTTGGGAATGGGAGGTTCAAGTGGCTGGAATTTGGTTTCATTCTTGAGCACAAGAGCGGTTCATTGACGTTTCGTTTGCATCCTCGTCATGGCGAAAAAGGTAGTTCACCGAATCCCGATGTGCTTGATGAGGAGCCCGGCTATGTCTGGCAAGTCAAATCCAACTGTTCGGCGTGGTGTGATCTCCACCTCGGTTGTGCTCGGTGAGAGCTGTCCCTTGGAGGGGGAAGTGGTGTCGACCCAAGGAAGCCGAGTGGTAGACTGGGCGCGAGCAGGATGCGAGATGTCCCGGTGACTGATGCGGGGATGGCCACTGCGCTGGAGCTCCAAACCCTCGACTCAAGCTGGGCTAGGCCCCCCGACCATGGCACATGGGTACCGGGGAAAGGCGGGCAGAATGAGGGGCACCGAATGGAGGGGGGGGATTGGGGTTCGGGGCATGGGGTCATGGAGGGGCGGGCAGACCACGGGCGAGAAGCCGCGAGAGGGACGGCGGCCTATGCCGTTGCGCGCAATGGAACGAGTGACCTGCCCTGCATGCATACCCAGTAGGTACATGTAGGATAGGCAGCTAGGTACCTACCCTAACTCATACCTATGGGGAGGGATATGGACAGCTTGAGTCTGCTTCGTTGGTGAAGCTGGTGGACGGGCGAACGGGATGTCATGAAGACGGGACTCTTCTTTCCCATTCGTTTGACGTTCCTCGATCCACCGGCCTCAGGCGAGATGGCATACCCCGTTATGGAGCAACCTTGGTGTCCACTGCGTCGCCAGCGGTGGTCCAGTGCACATGTCGTTCCTGGGATTCCCGAGCAGCAGATGGGGTCACGGTGCAAGCGGTGCTCTGTCTGTGGATGAATACATGACCTCGCTGCACAAACAACGATCCATCCCCCCGGCCGAGCACATGTCGCATCAGTTCATCCAGTGGTGGACTGGATATCTGAAATGGGCAAACTGACCTGACGGATGAGCTGAGCCTGAGCCTGAGCCTGAGCCTGTTGTTTCTCCACGATTCCCCGTTGCCGTCCTTGCGCCCGCTGTTTGTTCTTTGGGGTCTGAGTCTGGTCCAAGGTACTGCCGAGTCCAGTCCAGTCCAGTCAGTGCCTCTCCATTTCCAGTTCCATTTCCATGCCGAACTACTTGCTGCACTCGGCTCTTTGCTGGCAGCCAGCTCGACTCGTAGCAATCTTGTCTTGTCTTGTTCCTCGGGATATCCTCTTGGCGCCCTTGTCATCTTCACCTCTTCCCCCCTCCTCGTTTACCTACGTTTTACGTACCTTTCTCTTAATCCCCTTCACACTTTCACATACTCACGCACGCCGCCCATCCACTCATTACTCTATGCCCTCCACCCTCGCCTTTCACCTCACCTAACATCAGGTCACTCTCCTCTCCTCACTACATCATCATCATCCCCCAAACCCTGTGCAACCTGAAAACTACCTCTGCATCTCCTTACACCTACACATACCCAGCATCCCTACCCATACTACTCTCAACTTTACCCGCAAACGGAATTCTTCAGCAAACAACGTTTTGAATCGCAAGCGTTGGCTCAGTCTTCTGTCAACCCCTGGCCAGCAGCCCTTTCAAACAAGTCTTGGAGACAAGGACTCCTCCACTCCTTTCAGCGGTTCCATGTTGTCCGGCTCAGAGTGACCCCAACTCCCGCCATCCCCGTCAACCCCCGTTCCCCAAATCACCGTACCCGCCCCGAAAGTCACACCCGAGGGGTCCCGCCTATTTGGGCGTAGAGCTACTGCCACAAGCTGGAAACATCACGCGAGCTGCCTTCCTCCATGCTCTCTCCTTCCACGCCACTCAATTGACCTCCAGCTTCCTCTCATGAACACGCGTTTTCAGCATCTTCAACACCACTTTCCTTCTGTCTCGTCATAACAACTGCCGCTCGGACAACACCAAAAAAAGAGAGAGAGAGAGAGAAGGACACAGCACACCGTCAAGATGCCAGGCAAGACTAACGGCATAGGCGTTCAGGTGGAGGATACCAAGATATGCGTCGTCATGGTTGGCCTGCCCGCTCGGGGCAAGAGCTTCATCGCCCAGAAAGGTGAGTAAATCGGCTGTGTAGTTCTGAGAGAATGCCCAGCAGACGACAGTTCTCCGGCACGTGTTCGGAGCGTCGATGCTTTGAGTATGTGGCACTGACTCGTTTGGCTCAGCGCAACGGTATCTGGGTTGGCTCTCCATCAAGGCAAAGACGTTCAACGTCGGCAGTTACCGCCGCCAGGAGGACGCGCACCCCTCGGCTGACTTCTTTGACTTCCACAACACCGAGGGCGAGCGCAGACGTCGCGCCGCCGCCGAGAAGGCCATCGAGGACATGCTGGCCTGGTTCCGCCAGGGCGGCGTCATTGGCATCCTCGATGCCACCAACTCCACCAAGGAGCGCCGCAAATGGGTTCTCGACATCTGCACAAAGGAGGGCGTCGAGGTCCTCTTCGTCGAGAGCAAGTGTGACAACGAGAATCTCATCATGGCCAACATCCGCGACGTCAAGACCACCTCCCCCGACTACCAGGGTCAGGACCCCGAGGAGGCCGCGGTCGACTTCCGCAACCGCATCCGCAACTACGAAAAGGTCTACAAGACGCTCGACGAGGATGGTGACGAGAACGAATACACCTATCTCAAGATCATGGACGTCGGCAAGCAGGTCATTATCAACCGCATCCAGGACTACCTTCAGAGTCGCGTTGTCTACTACCTTATGAACCTCCACATTCGCCCTCGCTCCATCTGGCTGTCCAGAGTATGTATTACCGACTTTGCCCTGTTGAGTCCTCGCTAACAAAATACAGCACGGAGAGTCCATGTTCAACCTGGATGGTCGCATTGGTGGAGACACTACGCTGTCTCCCCGCGGCCAGCAGTACGCGCGCAAGCTCCCTGAGCTCGTCCGCAAGTCAGTCGGTGTAGGTCAACCCACCAGCTATTTCTTTTTTGGCCAATTTTGCTGACCAGTTCAAAGGATGACCGCCCCCTGACCGTCTGGACCTCGACCCTCAAGCGAACCATCGCTACAGCTCGCTTCCTGCCCTCAGATTACAACCAGCTGCAGTGGAAGGCCCTCGACGAGCTCGACTCCGGCGTCTGTGACGGCCTCACCTACCAGGAAATCAAGGACCGTTTCCCGGAGGATTTCGCCGCCCGTGACGAGGACAAGTACAACTACCGCTACCGCGGCGGCGAGTCCTACCGCGACGTCGTCATCCGCCTCGAGCCCATCATCATGGAGCTCGAGCGCAGCGAGGATATCCTCATCGTCACCCACCAGGCCGTGCTGCGCTGCATCTACGCCTACTTCATGAACAAGAGTCAGGCCGACAGCCCCTGGATGAACGTGCCCCTGCACACCCTCATCAAGCTCACCCCGCGCGCCTACGGAACCGAAGAGGTGCGCTACGAGGCCAACATCCCGGCCGTCAGCACCTGGCGCGGCAAGGGTTCCACGGCCAAGCACGAGAACCCGGTAGCAGAGTGTATGTGAAATCCTTGGAAGAGGTTTATCGTGAGATGAGATTTTTTTTTACTGACGCATGGCAATAGGAACTTGAGGGAAACGAACGCGGTTGTATCGGCCACGCGGTCACACTTCGAGTGGCTGACACAGTTCAAGGCCGATTGGGGCCTCGCGCGAAGGATTTCCTTTTCTCTTGACGACGACGACGTTTTCAGACTCCGCTTTTCGGCATATTCATCCCGGTTCACGATGGCGTTTAGGGACAACAGAGAGAGAGAAAAGACGAGAGAGTCCAGGGACCACGGCGGCAAAAACGCGGAGAGTGGTGGCATATCAAGTCGGCGGTAAGGTCCGACAACCATTCACGATGGAACAAACTTGCTTTTTTTTTCTTTTTTTTCGGGTGGGGGGAGGCAAGACGTCAATACAAGAACGGCATTACTCTGTTTACACTTCTCATCCTGAAGTGGGCTCCGTGCCTTCAGAGTCTTGCAGTTGCTGTAGCGATGATCTTTTGGCCCGGTATTACGATACTTTGCTCTTGCTCAAGATCCTACGACAACTCTAGGACAATTTTTTCAAGGTTCGAAAATCATATCAAATCATGGGAACGAAAAGGGACAAAAATTGCATCGATCGATGGGTTTTCGCGGCGGTTTAGTGGTTGCGGACACTGGCATAGAGGTTCGGGTTGGACCAAGAACCGTTTGACACCCTTCTGGATGTGACGAGGGGCGGTGGACTTTGTCTCTTGCCGGTTCTCTTCATGTCCCTTTAGTTTCCGAATTTCATAGCTTCACGATGAATGTACCTACGTTAGGTACCAATGACTTTTCTCGGACGTTATGTGACACTAGGGCGCCTCTTCATATGATGGTTCTCTCTGAGCCTGAGAACCACTATCATTGAAGATTTCGGGCTCTCTAGGATGTTTTCATCACCACTTTTTCCAATTGAGTGTGGCAAGCTGCATGCGGGCCCAGCTTGATGGCGAGTGTGAAGCCGAAAGCTTGCTCGAGAATCGCTAGCTTTAGATTGCCCGGGGGTAGCGGCCGAGAAGCAGGCACTCTAGGGACCTTGCTTCCTTGCTTCCAATCCTCAGAAGCAGTAGCCCTTGGAAGTGCTTGGGGATTCAATGTGGCTCCTTCAACGACCATTCACAGACGGTAAAATCAAAGTTTAAGGAGAAGACCTCACTCGAAGTGATGGCCCGCAGCCCAGGAGAAGTGAAAGCTGCAAGCTTCCAGGTCGAAATCCTTACCGCTGTGGGTACGTACTTTCTGCCCCGCACTCAACGGGACCACCTACGTTCAACACGGGATGGATCAACCGCCTCCGTTATCAGCCCAGACTTTTTAGTCCGATAAGAAAAAAAAATTCCCAGGCGGGAGGGTCGATGCTTTGAGAGCAGATGGAGAGAAGTTCCCTCCAGCCGGCTTCACTGTACGGTTCTACAAAGCAACTTGCATTGCCAAAGCCGCCACAACAAGACACAATGGACTCCTCTACGAGCAAGAAGAGAAAGTCGCGCGACTCTAATGGCGTCAAGGTCTCCAGCAAAAAGCGAGCGGCCGAGGCCCCCGCCGCGGCGGCACCCCCCGCGCAAAAGTCGAAGAAGGTGAAGCGCAGCAAGCAGCCCGAACCCGAGCCGGAATCCGACGAGGACGATGAGCAGGAGGTTGAGGCCGGCAGCGACGCCGAAGACGTCGAGAATGAGGAGGAGACGGCCGCAAACTTTAAGAACGACAACGCACAAGACGACGAGGAGGAGGGCGACGGCTCCGATCTCGACGAGGACGTCAAGGCTCCCACGAAGAAGTCCGACGAGGACGGCGACATCCCCAACGCGCAGCAGCTCTCCCTCCCGCCCGTCGCCGGCGACGAGGCCCACGACTTCTCCGAGCTCAACCTCTCCGACAAGACGATGAAGGCGATTGGCGACATGGGCTTCACCAAGATGACCGAGATCCAGAGGCGGGGCATCCCGCCCCTGCTGAGCGGCAAGGACGTGCTAGGCGCGGCCAAGACGGGCTCCGGCAAGACGCTCGCGTTCTTGATCCCGGCCGTCGAGATGCTGAGCGCCCTGCGCTTTAAGCCGCGCAACGGCACGGGCGTCATCGTCGTCTCCCCCACGCGCGAGCTGGCGCTGCAGATTTTTGGCGTCGCGCGCGAGCTCATGGCGCACCACTCGCAGACGTACGGCATCGTCATTGGCGGCGCCAACCGCCGCGCCGAGGCCGACAAGCTGCAAAAGGGCGTCAACCTGCTCATCGCCACGCCCGGACGCCTGCTGGACCACCTGCAAAACACGCCCTTTGTCTTCAAGAACCTAAAGTCGCTCATCATTGACGAGGCGGACCGGATATTGGAAATCGGTTTCGAGGACGAGATGCGCCAGATTGTTAAGATCCTCCCCAAGAACGACAGGCAGACGATGCTCTTCTCGGCGACGCAGACGACAAAGGTCGAGGACCTGGCGCGCATCTCGCTGCGCCCCGGGCCGCTGTACGTCAACGTCGACGAGAAGCAGGAGCACAGCACGGTCGCGAACCTGGAGCAAGGGTACGTCCTCTGCGACGCGGACAAGCGGTTCCTGCTGCTCTTTTCGTTTTTGAAGCGCAACCTCAAGAAGAAGGTCATTGTCTTTTTCAGCAGTTGCAACTCGGTCAAATACCACGCCGAGCTGCTCAACTATATCGATTTGCCGGTGCTGGACCTGCACGGCAAGCAGAAGCAGCAGAAGCGGACGAATACGTTTTTCGAGTTTTGCAACGCCAAGCAGGGCACGCTCATCTGCACCGACGTTGCCGCTCGTGGTTTGGATGTATGTCACACACTCTCTCTCTCTCTCTCACTCTCTCCCGGGGGGTATAACTCAAAGATGAATCGTTGACTGATCAAATCTGCCAGATCCCCGCAGTAGACTGGATCGTCCAGGTCGACCCCCCAGACGACCCGCGCGACTACATCCACCGCGTCGGCCGAACCGCCCGCGGCTCCAACAGCAAGGGCCGCTCCCTCATGTTCCTCCAGCCCAGCGAGGTCGGCTTCCTGACGCACCTAAAGGAGGCCCGCGTCCCCGTCGTGGAGTTTGACTTCCCCGCCAACAAGGTGGCCAACATCCAGTCCCTGCTCGAGAAGCTCATCAACCAAAACTACTACCTCAACAAGAGCGCAAAGGACGGCTACCGGTCGTACCTGCACGCGTACGCGTCGCACTCGCTGCGTACCGTGTTTGACGTGAATAAGCTGGATCTGGCAAAGGTGGCCAAGAGTTTCGGCTTCTCGACGCCGCCCAGGGTGGATATTACCGTCGGGGCGAGCATGAGTCGGGATAAGAAGACGCAGGGGAGGAGGGCGTATGGGAGCCAGCCGAGGAACCAGCAGAGCGGTACTGGTGGGTTTTATAAGAAGCGGTGAAAAACTTGATGGGGGGTACCTTAGGGTGAGGGATTGGCGACGGGAGATGGAGAGGCTGTTGAAGCGGCATGGTCCTGTGAGAATAGATTTGGTTAGCACGGCGTCGCGTCATCAAAAATCATGATGGTCAAAAATGGTAATTGGGACTGGTTTTATTCAAGATAATGGTCTCCTTCAGAGATGTGATGGTGACACAAAGGACTCGATGATTTGAAGTAAGCGGAAGAAAGAGCCTGGCCCTCCGTTGCCAACACTCGGCCTATCACCCCTTCAATTGAAGAAGTTGGAAGATCTCAAAGTGTCCTTCAAGGTACTTGTCTACCGTATCGACGGACAGAAAGCACTCTTATCTTGTCATGTTGCGACCAAACTTGAGGCCAGGCTGGTCTACGTTACCGAGCCCGTAAGTCAGAGAGAGTTGGGCGTGGCTATAGAACCAGAGGTCACCCCATGTTGAATGTCAAGATGGAGAAAGGCATACTCGTCCGTGTTTATCATACAAATCGCTCAAGCTTGTCCTTCAAACACGGCCATGGATCCCAGAGTCGGGCTCCTGTCTTATTCACTCGGTTCTCAACCACATAGCCAACCCTTCTAGATTGAATATGAGCTCGCTCAATCAACCACACCACCAAACCCAACCCAACCAGCCCACCCTTTTCCCCGGCCAGCGCTCTTTCCCTTCCTGGATGGCAATCTTTCAAAATCCTATTCTTGACCCATTCGATCAGTTTCTTTCCCTCATCAGAGAAACCAACAAGAAATAGTATTTGAGATTTGGGGAGAAATCCCACGGCAGGTCGCATGCAAGCAGCAGTCTCGCCCCTTCAACCAGCAACAAACGAAGAACCAGCCTTGCCTGTTCTTGGTTTTTTATCAATACAATACCGACGAGAAGGCCAAATTTCGAGGCAAAGCCACGCATCAAATCAGAAGATTCAAAAGACTGCCAAGCACTTACTCGGTCACCCAGCAAACGAGGCCACACCAAGACTCACCCGACCACCGACTTACCGACACCCACGCCACCCAGGCTTCACTATTCTGAAAAAGATCAAAAAAGCAAAGAAGAGCACCAGAAAAGATGTGCACATACGTCTACACCCTGCACAAGGACTGCATGCACAAGCAGTACCAAAACATTTTCGAGTGCGTCTCGGCGCGCGACGGCAGCCGCAGCACGCTCTATTGCATCCCCCACGGCAACCTGACACTCGACCACACCATTCACCTGCCCGACATCCAGACCCAGGAGATTCCGAACCCGATGTGCGCCGGAGTGGGCAGGTACGCTACAAGGCCTGTGACGGGATGCTGCGGTGCGTGTAAGAGGAAGGAGAGGGAGGAGAGGGCTGTTGAAGCCAAGGGTGCGTTTATGATTTCATTTGCTGTTCCTCTCATTTGTGCCTAGTATACCGTGCTGCTGCTGCGTACTCTGAAAAGAAATGATGGCTGACGGGGATGATGATCTAGATGCCCAGCGAGCTCAGGGGGGTACGGATACGGCGGCGGGTGTTCGGACGAGCATTTTGGGATTGGAGACGCTGGTTGCTTCGACGAAGCGGATGGATTTGGAGGATTGAAGATTGGCGTATGGTCGCGTCAATTTCCTGTGTTTTCAAGATGCCTAGGTCTCAAGGTATCTGGGGTACTTTGTCATGAAGTTGGAAGGATGGAAAGTGCACCTCAGGCAAAACAGGAAAAGGGGTATTGGGGGTTGGTCTAGGAATGATACCCCAGATTGAAGGATGAATAACGACAGCAACTGGAATTCTATCGTCTCCTGAAGCTCTTGAAGAGAGTATCTTGTATAGATGTGCGTGTGCTTCGGATGAGTAAAGAACGGCACTTACCTCAGTGATGTTGACGATGGAGGTCGGCAAGATGACAGACCTGGACGCCGATGTGACACGGACGCGTGGGGCAGACGGGAGGTCAAGCGAATGACGCCGGGCAGGGACTGTGGGGGAAAGGGCACCGAGGAGGAGGGGGATCGGCGGTCCATGCGTTTTCGGGGTTGGCGGTTCAGGGTCGGGTGGCTTGACTTGGAGCCAGCCACTGGGGTTTCTTCTGGACTTGTCGTAAAATGGAAAGGTTGCTATGTACCTGTTGACCCAGGTACGTCATGTTTCATTGGCTGCCCGTGGTTTAATAGGCATTCTTCAGAGGGAGCTGGTACCGAAAGAGGGGTCTTCTGCCGCTGTCGTACCGGTATTGCACTTTTAGCCTTTAGGTAATGCAGACAGAGAGGCACATGATACTCTGGGCGCTAATTGGAGAGCCATGTGCTACTTGGTTCGTCTGGCGTCTGTCAGATTTGTTCTGGATCCCGGTCTCACCTCGTCGTGCACGCCTCAGTTCCCAGGTACCTGTGCCGGTACCTGGGTACGGGTGGTCTGTTTAATGGAGGCTACTCAGGCGAGATGCATAAGGCAGGATTCAGTCAGACTTTGGCTGAGAGGAACACCAATCACCAGACAAGTCGACGAGGTGTTCGTCCCGTTTGCTGAAGCATTCATGCCGCGCAGAGCAGAGCAATCATATCAAGAGTACAAAGAAGGGGAAGGGGTCCTAGGAACCGAGTGTGACGGTGCCAGTCAAACTCAATTACCTCAGTGCAACACACCCTCATGACGGAATATCCGCGATGTCTTCCTTACCTTGGTACGAATACAGGTACCCTGCCCCCCCTTATCCACCTGCCTCTGGCTCCTTGCCCTTGCACCTTGCACCTTGTACGAAGAGAAACTACCCCGGCCTCAGGTGACAGTGATGGATCCCAATCCTTCCAACATATTGGATTGCGCCAACACCAACAGGTGCAGGTGCAGGTGTGGTTGCAAATTACAAGGTGCAGACACCAACGACGCGCAATCCCACGTTCTACAGTACGACTGTACGAATGCGCCTTTAAGCCTTGTAACTGAGCCCATTCCCATCCCCATTCATCCCATCCCCATCTTCCTGCCTATGCCCCCCCCGCCTGGCCCCATCCCAATCCACCAATACATCATACCTGGGCAGGCACCTCGCAACCCACGTCTCTACCTATCTCCGTGCGCCCCCATACCTCCAGCCGCAGCCAATTACTACCACTTCCACCACCACAACCACCACCGTTACATCCTCACAGCATCACCACCCGGGCTCGCTGACGTACCCGATTGCTCGTATAGTCTTCCCTTCATAGCATCGCACCGTCGTTTCTCCATTGCATTGTTTCGTCTTTTTGCATGCGTAATCCCTAATCGAACCTCTCCGCGCTACTGCTCGAAATGGCCAAGAAGGCGCGCCAGAGGATCAGCTATGGTATGTCTGCCGTGTGTACCTATCTCTCTGCCTGTGCTGCTTTGCTTGCTGTTGGTGCTCGCGTGCCGCTGCGCTTCTGTCGCATGTTGGCTGAGGCCAACGACGTAACCCCGCACGTCCGCCGGGACGAGCACCTCGACCCTCGAGCTCCATCGCGAGAACCGGATCGTCCGCAGCGTCCCTCAGAATGCCATTGGGCCTCTGTTGCTAACCATACCTTGCCAAACAGTCCTCGAGCTACCAGCTGGTTCACAAGGCGGCGGCCACAGGCTAGGCGTCAATGGCCTCGCCGTCGACAAGGACAACGCCATCCTGTAAGATCCCGAGACCGCGATGCGAACTGTAGACCTCTCGCTACCCTTCCTGCTCCCTTCATGCGCCGCTACCCGCTGACATTGCTCCGTTCGCAAACAGATACTCGGGAGCCCGCGATGGCTACATCTGCGCATGGGACCTCAACCTCAACCTCCAGACCGGCGGCAGCGCGCAACCCTCCGAGACCAAGACCAAGACCGCCTTCCGCTCCCAGACCCAGGCGCACATGGCATGGATCAACGACATCGTCCTCGCCAACAACAACTCCGCCGTCGTCACCGCCTCCAACGACCTGACGGTCAAGGTCTGGCGTCCACACTCCGAGACGAACGATATCGCCGCGACGATTGGAGGACACGCCGACTATGTCAAGTGCGTTGCTACGCCCCCCGGCGGCTCCGTCAATTGGGTTGCTTCCGGCGGCTTCGATCGCAAGATATATCTGTGGGACTTGAACGGAGGAGGCAAGACTCTCGAGATTGACACCCAGGGCGACGAAGTTGCGGAGAAGGGCTCCATCTATGCCCTGAGCGTCGGTCATAGCATCATGGCCAACGGTGGTCCCGAGTCGGTTGTGCGCCTATGGGACCCTCGTTCCGGGAAGAGGGTGACCAAGTTCGTCGGTCACACGGACAACGTGCGCGGTGTCCTGCTCAATGAGGCCGGTGACAAGGTGCTCACGGCTAGCTCTGATCATACTGTCAAGCTGTGGAGCGTCACGGCTGGCCGTTGCATGTACACTTTCACCATGCACGAAGACAGCGTCTGGTCGCTCTTCTCGGACGACCCCGAGCTAGGCACCTTTTACAGCAGTGACAGGTCCGGATTCGTCGTAAAGACGGATGTCCGAGGAAACCTTGAAGATCTCGACGAGGGGATTTCTGTTGCAGTCGCCCATGAGTCTCATTCTATCAGCAAGGTTGTGGCGGCAGGCGACTACATCTGGACGGCAACCAACACTTCATCGATCAACCGGTGGTCCAATGTCGATACCGGGCCTGACCTACAGCTTCCTGAGGCCTTCCAGCGCCAACGTGCAGCATCCACGGCTTCGAGGCCTAGACAGCCCTCAAATCCTCCGCCTGCGAACTCGCCAAAGAAGGAAATCTCACCGAGATCGATCTTAAGAATCTCTAACACGGCGACATTCCCAGTTCAAGCCAATACCGGACCAGAATCTCCGCCGCCGGTTGGGAATCATGTACCGCAAGGGACCGAGCCCATCAACCAGAACCCGGAGGAGACGATTGAGGGCCAATTCGGGTTGGTCAAGCACAGGCTCTTGAACGATAGGAGGAGAGTCCTGACGCTTGACACGGCTGGTGACGTTCTCATGTGGGATCTCATCAAGGTACGTCGGCTCCTGGTCACTTGCTGAAAGACAAATCACTGATTTTCGCAGTGCAAACCGATTCAAAAGTTTGCGAAAAAGCACTTGGAAGACGTTGAGGTAGAAGTCAACACCACAGAAGCGGTAGCCCCGTGGTGCTCCATCGACATCAGCTCTGGAAGCCTTACCGTGGTTCTGGAACCGTTCAATTGCTTCGATGCCGAGATGTATGCGGACGATCTGGAGTTGGAGGAGCCGGTGGAGTTCCGGGAAGACCAAAGGAGTAAGATATCCGCGCAACTGAGAAAAGGCACAAGCTAACCAGAGTTCTAGTCAACCTTGGCAAATGGGTTCTTCGCTACCTGTTTGCTGGCTTGATCGACGAAGAAATCAAACGAGATGAGTCATATCGTGCGACACTCAACGAAGCTGTAGAGCGAAAACTACATGCAAGCCGGGCGAGCCCTCCATCGTCAATAACCATTCCTACCGACAATGCGTGGGATGAGAGTTCGGGAACAACACCACGTGCGAATGGCTCTCACTACCCCATGACGCCTGGCATGGCTATCGGCCTTGCCACGCCGGGGGCTTCTGGCCGGCTTTATGACGTGCCAGAAGGAGCGGCCACCCCATCCAGTCCCCTCGATAACAAATCGTCTCAGTTCAGCCGGCCGTCCAGTGAACGAGACGACTACTTTACAAGCGCCATTGGGCCGATTGAAGGCGCTTCGAAGCCCACTGCGGCACCAGCAACGCCTGCCGAGCAAACAGCGGCTCCCGATGCCAAGACTCCTGCAGATGCAGGCAAGGACAAGGACAAGGAAAAAGAAAAGGAAAAGGACGCCACAAATGGAAAGTCGCCTAGCACCCCGTTTGGCAAGAAGTTCCGTATGGGCATGGGCATGGGCATGGGCATGTCTTTTGGTAGCAAGAAGAGTGGACGATCCGCCTCAACCACTGCTCCGGAGAAGCCGGCCGTGGTGGATGAGAAGGCTGAAGAGTCTGAGACATCCTCGACGCACGAGAAGGAAGTCGATGACAGTTTCCTGGGCGCCATCCAGAAGATTCGCAATGATTACGATAAATCGCTGACCGAAAATCCTGACAAGCTCATTGAGACAAAGGTCACGCCGAGCTTGGCGAACGATACACCGGTGCTCAAGCTGCCTCCTGGCACAAAGGTGGTGCTTCAGGAAGAGACCACTGGCGGAAGCGCAAACATATACCAGGGCACCGTTGAGACCGTCGGCCAGGGTGCGGATATCATTGAGCAACGCGGTCCAATGTGGCTGGGCGAGGTGCTGCTCCAGAATCAGATCCCTACCAAAGAGCCTGTCAAGGTCTCTTTCGTGCTCCAGCCATGGCAGAACAGTTTGCCCGATATCGCAACAACAGATGGCAACAACCGTCTCAATGCCAATAGGATGCTTCGCGTCAAGAAAATCTTGGCCTATGTTGCAGAACGCATCGACCCGCAACCAGAGGATCCGGAACCGGATGCTCTTCTGCCTCACGAGTACTTGGAGCTGTACTGTAACGAACAGGTAAGTGTCCTATGCTTGCGCCTTGCTTAATCTCTACTGACTCAATTTAGTTACTACCCATCACAATGACTCTTGCAACTTTACGAGCTCACATCTGGAAAGGTGGCAACGACGTTCAGCTTTACTACAAGGCAAATGGGCGCAAGGAAATCAAGGAGATCAAGGAGGCTCCCAACCCGGGTCCCGAGCCTGCAGCGGCAGCATCGGCAGCAACGGAATCCGATCATGCACCATCGACAGGCACCGCAACGCCTCCAACAGCGACAGGATAGTCTCTGTCACGACTGGCGGGTTGGTGGCAGCAGAGACCACACCTGCAGGTGAGCTTTTCAGGGCCACAAACGCAGAGCTTCCAAACCATGGATGTGGCCAAGAAACCCGACCAACTAGAGTACATGAAACGTTGGCCATCTCAAGTCACTCCGCCACGGTCAGCGGCGGCATCTACAGCTGCCTCGTCTTCGCGATAGTCTCGAGTGATTGGCAGGGTGCGGCGCACCCGAGAGTGCCACTGGCATCGAGATGGCTCACGGACCACAAAGTACAAGTGGGCATTTTCCTCACGAGATTTGGAAAATTACCACACAATATGAGTCAAAGGGCCTGTGTATGACTTCTATCAGTACGGGTATTATGGCGTTCCTCAGTAATGTACATAGCGGAAAAGTTGTCAAGTGTAGCAGCCCATCTAGCTGCGTGCTCGAGCGTATGTTTATACAGCGGGAGGGCAAGTTGAGGCCCTCCAATACAGATCTTTTTCCCTCTCACATCGCCAGCTGCGGTTTATCCAGCGCGTTTCACGTATCGCGCCTCTTTGCATGTCTAGATGTAAAATCTCTCTCCCCCCCCTATCCCCAGCACCCAAGAAGTGAAGGAGTATTATTATTATATCACGGCACCGGTCAAGGTGTTTGACGCAAACTGATAGCTGCCGAGAAAGATGGAGCCGCCGATGCTGATCCACATGACCCTCGGCCCGATACCCGCAAAGAAGGGCCGGATGCCGTGCTCCTTGTAGATCGTCCTCAGTATGTCCCCAATCTTTTCTTTCTGCTGGCTCAGCATGACCCTCGTCTTGAGGACGTCGAGGGGCGTCGTGATGCCCGCCGCCGCGGCGCCGGCGACGCTACCGTACAGCGCGCTCTCGACGGCGCTGACCTCGTATTCGGTTTGTTTTTGGGTGTTTTTCCCGGTCGCGGGGTCGACGTTGAGTTTCCAATTCTTGTTTTGCTTGCGCTCGCGGCCCCAGCGCTTGAGGCGTTCCCAGAGGGGGAACTGGATGATGGTGAAGGGGACTTCGCGGAGGACGGTGATGGACCAGCCGCGGTAGAGCTCGCGCCAGACGGCGGCGAGTCCGCCGCCGGCCGCGGAGTACTGGGCGAGGATGGAGCGGAAGGCGAGGAGGGAGGAGCCGCCGTGCTGGCCGGCTTGGGCGCGCTGTTTGACGACTTCGGTGGGGACGCGGATGGCGCAGGCGGCGATTTCGCCGAGGGAGGCGGCGAGCATGTGGGAGACGGGGTCGACCCAGGCTGCTCTTGTTATCGTAGAAGAGGAAGAAGAAGAAGAAGAAGCAGAGAGAGCGGCGAGATGGGCGTTTATAAAGGATTTGGAGCCCTCGTAGGTGCAGAAGAAGAAGGCGGCGCCGGGGGCTGATCCGACGACGGCGGAGCCGATGCCGCGGTAGATGCCTGTGAAGCCGCCTGACGGGAAGAAGCCGGCGGAGGACTGGAGGCGGGTTTTGAGGGTGTCGAGGGGGAAGAGGGTCAGGTCGACTGTTGTCCCTGCTATGCCGCCGGCGAAGAGGGCTGTTGTGAAGGAGGGGTTGGAGGAGGAGGAGGTGGACATGGTTGCTGTTTTGGGGGGTTTGAGTCCCTTGTTTCTACGGTGTTTTTCTTCCTTCTTTTCCCTCTCTTTTTTTTCTCTTAATCCTTTGCTTAAATGCTCGGGAGGTAAGGCTTGGGTGGGGGAGGCGGTGGGTGACTGTCGTCTCGGTCGAGATGTTTTGTCGCGTGCTCGGGTTTGCGCCGGCGATTAGGTGGCTGACGGGATGTAGTTTCTGGATCCCGCAGGCAGTTGGACGAGGTCAATTGGGCGGTATCTGCAAGGCAGTGGAGGGCCGAAAGAGAGGGGGGAAGGGGACCGAATGCTATGACGACGGAGAGAGCATTTGCGCAAACAAGTGAGGGAGAGCACGTGAAAATCCAGACGGAGGTAGAGATTTGGTATCGTGAGGTATTAGCTATCGGAGCTCAGATCGGTTGCCGCACTCCTGTACGTAACGCTAAACCAAGAAGCAAAAAAAAAAAAAAAAAAAAAAAGGATGGCGCGCCAGGGGTCTTGCGCTAGAGCTCCGACTCTACGAGGTCTCTCTCGGTGGGTGATCAGCGACGGAACGAAGCGCGGGGGAGCTTTCGCTGCTTGGAGACGCTCCGTTTGGGAAATCTTTCCTCCGAAGGGCCCGAGCTCCTGTTCCGGTGGGGGATATGGTCGGATGAAAGCTCCATTGATTTTCTTCCTCCCATGTCGGCCCCGTCACTTTGGAGACCGTCAATCGTTGATTCGTCAATCGCACAGTTCACAACCGCGAGAGGCCCACGAGAGCTACATACAGCTCGTCGAACCCGAGACGATCACAACAGCCCACGACAGACAAAGCAGAATAGAAAGGGGTCACGGGTCCTCCCACACGATGGAATGGCCTTCACCAAACCCCCGCTCGCGACCGCGACCGCAGCAGCAGCGGCACACTTCCTCCACCCGGTCCCGAAGCCCATAGCCTTCCTCGAGTTCTTTGACGCCGTCCGCGCCGCCACCCCGCCGCGCTTCCCCCACGCCCGCACCGCCCAGCCGCGCCGCATCGGCCTCGCCGTCTCGGGCGGTGTCGACTCCATGGCCCTCGCCTTCCTCTTTAACCAGCTGCGCGAGATCAACCCCCTCATGCGCGTCGTCGACAACCCGCTGGCAAAGATCTCGGCCTATGTCATCGACCACGGGCTCAGGGAGGGCTCCCGCGAGGAGGCCATGGCCGTGGTCAAGGAGCTGAGGAACCTGAGGCACATTAGGCCGCAGTGGGACGCGGTGAATTGGAAGGCGGAGGGCGTGACGGGCGACCCGAACCTGCTCCCCAATGTCGAGAGCCTCGCGAGGAGGGTGCGGTACCGCCGCATCGGGACGCTGTGCCTCGCCATGCACGTCGAGAGCATCTTCCTCGCCCACCACCAGGACGACCAGTACGAGACCGTGCTGATGAGGCTGCTCGCGGGCCACGGGAGCCGCGGGCTCAGGGGCATGCCCAAGGCCGGCAATATACCAGAGTGCTACGACATGCACGGCGTCTACGAGAGCGGGCACATTGACGACCAGATGATGCGGATCCCGCAAATCAGCTTCCGTCCGCCCAAGCGGGATTGGAGGCTCATACGGCGCCAGCTCTCCTCGGAGCTCGACCTGGATTTGTACGGCGCCGAGCTGCGGGCGGGTCTGCAGACGGGGTGGCACGAAGGGCCCTACGTCGGCGATGAAGATAGCGGCGACTTGCTTTTTTCTGCCGCGAGTTCAGCTTCGGCCAAGGCGAGGGCGGCAAAGGCGGCGGCGGCGGCGAGGAACATGACGCGCGTACAAATCGAGGACGCGGGCGTCATGATTTACCGCCCGCTGCTGGAGTTCAGCAAGGACCGGCTCGTCGCGACGTGCGAGGCGAATAATATCCGCTGGTTCGAGGACGCGACGAACAAGGACGCATCGCTGACGACGCGCAACGCTGTGCGGCACATGGTGGGGAATCATAGCCTGCCGGCGGCGCTGCGCAAGGAGAATGTGTTGAGGATGTCGGCGCGGTGCGGTGCGAAGCTCAGGGGTCTGGAGCAGGAGGCCGATCGATGGATACGGAGGCAGGTCGTGGCCGAGTTTGAGCCCAACGTGGGCACGCTCGTCGTCCGGCTTCCCGATTTAGATGTTGTTGGCTCGGGCCGAGGGCGCGGGAGGAAGAATAGGAGGAGATCGTTGAGCGACGGTGCGCGACGAGAGCTGCGGCTCGCGCATCGGCGGGCCGTGGCGGGGTTCGTCGTCAAGAGGCTCGTCGCGTTTGTCTCGCCGGACCGGAACCCGCCGCAGCACGCGGCGCTGCAAAACATTGTCGGCAAACTCTTCCCCGCCCTCGTGGAAGGCTCTCTTGCCCTCCCGCCGTCGTCGTCGTCGTCACACTCCAGCCCCAGGACGGTAGGCAGGGGCAGCCCACCCAAAGCCTTCAACCAAGCCTCGATCCTGTTTTTGCCCCTCGCGCCCCAGAAATGGTACCTCGTCCGCGAGCCCTACCCTTCCTTGCACCCGCACCCGGAGACGACGTACACGACAACGTCCAACATTAACGAAAAGCAGCGCCACCCGACTTTCCCACCGACGCAGTGGTCCTGCGCCGAGGACGCAGAGTTCACCAGCCGCGAGAAGCTCGCGCAGCTGCACCGCCAACCTCTGCCGCAGCCGGCCTTTTCGAAATCGAGAAGGTGGTATGCCTGGCGGCGCTTCAAGCTCTGGGACGGGCGGTTCTGGATCCGGGTGCGGGGCCGGGTGAAGGCGTATTTTCGAATCGCGCCGTTTGCGCCGATTCACGGCAAGGCTTTCCGCGAGGGGCTTGGCGGGGCCGGCGCTGAGCCGGCTGCTGCTGCTGCTGCGGACGAGGAGGATCCGCAGGAGAGCAGCAACGTGGAGGCGGGGGGGTATCAAGTTGCTCCCGGGATCGGTGTCACGGGCGGCCGCGCTAGCAGTAGCATTAGCGTCAGCGGCGGCGACCGCAGGGCCGAGTTGGAGGGGATATTGAAGCGCTTCGCGCCGGGCAAGGTGCGGTATACGCTGCCGGCGCTGTATGCCGTCAACCGCGACGAGCAGACGGGGGAGGAGGTGCTGAGGATGCTCGCGCTGCCGACGCTCGGGGTCGGTCTGCCCGGGCTGGAGAGGTGGGTTCAGTACGAGGTGCGGTACCGCAAGGTCGACCTGGGACTGCTGGATCGTGAAGCGACGGGTGGCGGCGGCGGCGGCAGTCATCTGCAACGGCAGCGGGGTGGCGGCAGCGGTGGTGGTGGTGGTGTCGGTGGCGGCGGTAGGAGCAAGAACAAGAGCGGCTTTGTCGGGGCTGCCATGTTGCGCAGGCGCGTTCTCGCGGAGGGCACGGCGGAGGAGAGGGGGTGGAAGCGCATCAGCGGGATTCGGAGGAAGAGGATGATGATGGTGGTGATGCGGAGAAAGGAGGATAGACGAGTGAGTTTTGGCTTGAGGTCTGCTTGACGAGCATGAGATACCCCCCTGTTTACCTGCAGCCCAGTTGATAATCAGGCTTCGCAAAAAGAATGAACAGATATCAGTCACTATGGTATGTAGAAATTATATCGGAACAGAGAGAGAAAGGACGTTTTAAGTAAGGTGATGCTCTTGTGTATATTGCGTGTGTATTGCAGTAAAGAAAAAGGAAAAAGTCCGAGGTGTTGGTTTTGCCTCGCCGGTATTTGCTAAAGGGCCTGATCGGCTCGACTTTGAAAAGCATTTGAGAAAAGGCATGCATATATATGCATGCATTTGTAGTGAAGCCGCGCTCGTCGTTGTTGAGAGCTTCGTCCAAAACGCCGTGAAATCCATCCACCCATCCCACCCCTAAGCCAAAACCAGAGTCTAGTAGCGACAGATGTTATATATATGTCCTTTCCTTCCATCTCCTTGCTCCGATCAAGTGATACTAAGGTACCGTACCGACCGCACATTATCGCGCAATCGTCATCCACACATTTCCCGCATATGTAGACGCATCTATGTCAAATCAAACCCTCCCCCCTCCCCACATCCATCTCGAGGGGCCGCGTCTCTCCTCTCACCAGAATTCACATCCTCCCCTTTTTGCCATCTCATCCTCCTCCTTCTCCGCCTCCTCTCAGTGCTCCTCCCCAATAAGGAGGACCTCATCACCAGAAACGCTCCCCAACGAAATTTCGCAGTTCCACGACTGGCCTTTGTGCGCATGGACGGCATTGGGCCACTTTGTCCGGCTGTCAATCTTGACGTTCCGCCCGCGAATATCAATCTTGCCGCTGACGGTCTCGGCCTGGACGCTGCCCTCCCACGAGGCGGGGTACTTGAGCTCCATGGTCCCGCTCACAGCAGCGTGGGACGACTTGAGGTGGCGCATCGGCGGCTGGTCCTTTGTCAAGACGGCGGCGACGGCGGCGACGCCGTGGACGCCGTGCTCCTGGACCGTCCGCGCGGCATCGTCGGCCGAGGGGTGAGGACGACGACGCACGACGGGCCAGGCGTCGGCCCAGTGACGGCTGGGCAGCGGGATGCGCTTCCACGGCGTGGCATCAATGGGCATAAAGGGCATGCCCGGCATGCGCGGGATCTTGTCGGGAATCGGCAGCGGGTTGGTCGGTATGTCCACGGGCTCATCCGGGTTCGCGCGCGGCTTCTCGTCCTCCCAGGCGCCCTCGGTGGCGGCAATCTCCACCCAGATGGGCTCGAGAACCTTGACGGCGGTGTTGCCGCTCTTTGTCTTTGTGTGCAGCTCGGGCTCCCGCACGGACTGGAGGAGGCTGACGTTGTAGACGGGGAGGAACTCGGCGGCGATGTCGCCGCTCAAGCTCTCGGCGGCGGCGGCGGACGAGAAGGCCACCCAGGCGCGGATGTCGCCGGATTTGGTGTCGAGGGTGGTGATGTAGTCGCGCGGCGGGATGACCGTGTCGGGCTTGCTGCTCTTGGCAGCCGCGGCGACGGGTTCCTTGACGGTGATGTCGCCCGAGACGGTGGCGACTTGGAGGACGGCGGGGCGGGGTTTGCTGTCGAGGGCCTGTTGGGGCGCGACGTCGGTGGTGATGTCGCCTGATTGCGAATTGATCTTGAGGGAGTCGTAGAGGGGCCAGGAGCCGGTGATGTCGCCCGAGATGGTCTTTATGACAATGTCGCGCGAGTTGAGGTGGTATGCGGGCCGGGGTTCGACGGGCGAGTGGATGTCGCCGGACACTGTGCCGATTTCCAGACCGTTTTCGAGGTTGATGGAGAGGTCGTCGAGGACGCGGACGTTGAGGTTTACAGCGGCGAGGTAGAGGTGCGACAGCTCCGCGTTCTCGGGGACCCAGACGGTCGCGCGGACGGCCATGCAGGGCCGGCGTGACTGGGACCACTCGATGCGCTGCGGAGTCCGGATGAGGAGGTGCTGTTCCGAATTCCACTCGAGGGAGACGTCGAGGGCCGGGTCGTTGGAGACGACCTCGACCTGGACCGATGGACCCCGGGTGCCGGCCTGCTGGCGGCGGACGACAAAGTCACCCGAAATCTGGGGCTGGAAGCCGCGCGAGGGAGAGTCGGTCTCGACGGCCTGGATGACGCCTAGGTCCCTGTTCGGGGTAAAGGTTACGTCGAAGAACTTGGGCTCGAAGCGGTGCTCGGCCTGGAAGCATGTGTTTGATGGATGCCAAGGGACGGCATTAGGGGGGTCGCTGGGATGGCCTGGCTCAGCGGGTTTGGAGGGTTTACTTGGCACGGGGGAGTCGTCCTTGATGGGCTGGCCGGTGACGGGGTCAAACTCCTGGTGAGGCTCCTTGGCAGGAGACTTGTCAGATGGCTAAAGGTAGTTGTTAGCACCGGGTAGTGAGTGAATGTAGACAAAGTCGATACGCACCGAATGAATTACAGTAGTGGCCAGCATGCTGAGGAATCCCGACAGGGTGAAGAAGACCAAGGCAGCAAGCAGCGCCATCTTCAACGTCCGCCTCGAGGCCCAGGGGAACTTTTTGAGGGCTCTATCCCTCCACGACGGCGAGGGTCTCGGGTCGTCGTCATCATCATCATGGTAGGGCGTGTCGCCCATGCTCTCAGGGTCGCGGCCGAGCAGGCGCCTCTCTTCTTCGGGTGCCCCCATGTTCGTCGTCCTGGTGTTGAAGGTCTGGTAGTTTCTAAACTCTGTGGGTGATGACGAGAGCGGGGACGTGGGCGATGGCGTGTATGCGGGTGGTGCCTCGCTGGGGATGCGAAACAGAGATACCGAATTGTTCGAGTAGAGGGCCCTTCTCGAATGAGTCTGGGGCGTGCGCAGGGGAGCATCGGTGGAGGGCGAGTAGGGCGTATAAGACGACGAGCTCTGGACGGCGTGGGAGGTGTACGTCGTGTGCGACGGCGTCAACTGGCTGTCGGCGGCGGTAGAGGATGCCCCGTCGTCGTAGAAGCCGTCAACAGCCGAGACGGATGACGACGTCCTCCTAGGCGGTGGGGAGTAGTGACGTGCGGCGGCGGCAGCGGCGGCGTGGTCGAAGGAGGACGTGTTCAACTTTGTCTCTTCCCTGGCTTCACGGTCCTTGTTTGTCGACGAGGAGCCCTCTTGCTGCTGCAGCGACGGGTCTTGGACGAGGACGTTGGGCACATGCGGTACGGCGGCAGACGTGGGGAACGTCGTCGCGTCTGTAACGTCGTGCTCGTTGTGGAAATCAGAATGTTGCTGCTGCGGAGGGTATATTCCCCCGGCTGACGATGAAGTGCTACTTTGGAAGTAGCCGTCTGTTGGCGAGAGGTGGGCGTCGAGGTCGTCGTCCGGGACTTCATCAAAGTCGGAGTCGTCGACGGAGTACAGGTTATCAGAATACGGGGCCGGCATGGCGGCGGTTACTATTTCAGTCCTCCCTTCTGCTTATTCTTCTGTTTCCTAACAGGTTCCCCTTGAATCCCCGTCTGTGCTCTGGGAGAAACCGTTTGGAGTGTACCTTTGTTCCCTCGTTTGTGTTCCTTAATGCCGGGTCACTGAATGTTTGAGCTTTGCCCCTTGGACAGGCACTCGGCCGGGTAGACGATGGCAGTCTGACAGGCAAAACAGTGACAGCGACTGATTCGTGAGGGGACTTGGCTGATACGCGCAGTGTCGTGGGAACGGGTAGAACGGACGCCAAGAAACGGAGCCAAAAAGTTTCGGTGACAGGCTTCGTTGAACCCCTCGTAGGTATTGCTATCGCTGACTGACCAAAGAGGTTTGCGATGGGCGAGTTACGTGGTTGAGCAAAGTCTCTGTCGTGTCAAAGGAGATTCCACTTTGTCAACGTCAACACAACACGCGCTGTCGTAAGACTGAGGATAATAGGAAGGAGGAGACAGTCAGGCCACGAAGAAGTCTGCGCGTTCACTCTCGATTGGGGCAAGCCGGAGGGGTAAGAGGAGGAATAGAGGGGAGAGTACGGATTCCGCAGAAGAGGGATGGAGAGAATTGATGGGATTGACAGGAATGGCCTCACAGAAAGAGACTAGTAGAGTCGGAAGAAAAGACCATGGACACACAGAGAAAGAGGGAGCCACACGACTGCCATCAGAGAACCGAACCCGGTCGGGTCGCCGAAGACGCAAGACAAGCGTGACAAGGCAACGCCGCCCCGTCCCCCGGCGCCTGCACCCGATACGGTGGAAGGATTCATTCGATATCGCGAAGGAGAGGGGCAGACTCGTAAGCTTGCAGATCAGGGAGATATGAGACCCAGTACCGGCACCGCGGCCGACGGCGGCGTCGGGGACATGTTCTGCTACCAAGCGCAAGACGCACTATTTGTGGTGTGAACCATCTCAGTCTCCCCTCGCCTCCCACCCCCGGTACCCGGTACGGTGTACCTACCTACTACTATCTCTGTAGTCGATGGTCTCTTGCATCTTTTTCTGCTTGCGTGACACGCTTGTGCAACCAAACGAAACAGGAAGCTGGCTAAGGACCATTGGCAAGACGGTGGGGTACCAAAGTAAGAAGGATCCCGTACTGCGTCCCGCCGGCCAAAGAGTCCATTGGATAACTGGATGGTTGGATAACGACATGGAGTGGAGAAGAACGAAAAGTAAAAGTAAGACGAGCACCAGTTCATCGTCTAGCAAGAGTGAATGTGGGTGACTTGTAGACGTGTGGTGCAATCTTGCGTGAGCTGCAACTTGCGAGTGACTGAGTAAAGTTGGTGCGCAATCTGACAAGCTCCAAAAAGATGCAAGGTACCTTAGTGTAGAGTGAGAGTCATCCATCAGTCAACTGTCAACGTCTCCCAGTGGAGCAACTTCGACCCGATCTCACACCGACAAAAGTCCCCCAAATCTTCCCAGTGGGCCACGCACAATTGGCTCTGATGAGACAAGGTTCGCTCCAGTGCGTCCCACCCTACCAGCCTCGGCTATCGCTCCGGACTAGGATAATGTTGATGGGTTACGAATCACAGGCGTCTCTCTGCATATTGACTGGAGCCTGCCCATCCATCAAGCTTCTTCATGGTGGGAGTCGCCTCTGTACTCTGTACGGAGTACACTAGAGGTCCAGAGCGGACGCGGGGTGACGACGATCGCGACGTAAGCTTCTTTCGTGGGGCAGCCCACGACGTTCCATTCTGGGCTTGACGTCTACGTCAACCAATTTCCAAGCTTCTTCTTGTCGAAAAGTATTTTGAGCTGACTCGGTCGAGAATTCTGAGGTGTGGGGGTTTTTTGGTGCCAGAGTTGAAGGACTGACAGCACCATATAAGACGATCCCTCCATCATCACTGTCACGATGGCTTCAATCTGCCAAGCTTCGCACCCACGTGGCAACTGACCACCTATATGCAGGCATTCGTCTGTATTGAGCAAACATATCTGGGGCTTCCCGCTGCCGTAGTGCGGCTACCGGCCAGCGTAGTTCCATCCACCCTTGCAGCAAGCAAAGGTCTTCTCTGGTATCTCTCTCCACGTCTTCCAAACGCCATTGACGACGACGGCTATGTAACAAAACAGAATCTGCCGCTCTTCCTGAGCTGGCAGCAGGCAATTCTCTGTCGCCTTCCTATCCTTCCTCCAAATCTTCCTCCAATGCTTCCTCCACGATTCAAAAGAGGAACCCAAGGCCACACCTCTTGGCTTCTGTTGGTGCTTGACTTTTTCTAGTAAAATCCACTCCATCCCAAAGTCTTTGTCTTCACTCCAAACCGAGGAGTCTCTTTGAGTTCTCATATACAACCCACGTGATGCTCAATGCCGGAGCAACCTTGAGTAGGTTAGGCGTGAGTCCCTTGTACATGCCCCGCACACCCTCGTTCTTGAACGTCTGCTGTGCGACATCCACGATGCCGGTATAAGTTGCAGGGTGCATGATAGTCCCCTGGGTCTGGAGACGGGTTCGCAGGACGTTGAGTGGGTACACCACTGATGCTCCGAAAGCACCACTGGTGGCGCCAATAAGACCAGTCATGATATTGCCCGGCTTGGCATCCTCTTCATGAATGCCCTTGTACTTGGCCATGTACTTCTTGTATGAGGTTTTGAGGAACTCAAAAGTGCCCATGTCGATGGCACTGTAGGGGAACATGCCCATGAGGCCCATGGTGACGCCTCGGTAGGCGATACGCACACCTCCAGCCTGCCACATCTTCTTGGCGGTATCAAGAACAAGGGCGTTTCCAGTAAGGCCGCCCTGGACCGTCGATGTCTGGAGCCTGAACTTGAGCGTATCCAACGGGTACACACAAAATCTGAGGGGCGTTAGTAGCGGGCCAGGATGACAAAAGATAAAGGCAGCAGCCTAGGGACAATGGTAGAGGTGATGGCGACAATGGCAGACAAGAGGAGTCACGTGGAGTAGGGTCCAAGGGGATCAACTTACTGGGCAACCATGCCAGCTACACCGCCCGCCACGAACTTTGAGTAGCTGCTGATCTGTCTGGGGTCGTTGTGTCCCTCAAACTTAGAAAGGGTTCGCTTTGCGGCCTCATAGGATCCGAACTTGATGGCACTCTCAGGCATAATCTTGATGACATTGAGCCCATTGCCTTGGGATGGTCAGTAAGTAGTCCAAGGAGTTGCTCTGAGCTTGCCAATCATTTTCACACCCAGGGAGCACGAGACAGAATGATGGGCGAGAATAGATCAAGAACCCTGAGCGTACCTGCAAAAAGACTGCGCATGCCGCCTGCTTTCCAGAGATCCTTGACGGCATCGCTGAAGGGCCGCACAGCGTTGTTGAGAGCGACTAGCGGACGTCCCTGCTTGAGAGCAGAGGCCGCCGTCTCGGTGGTTGCTCGAGTGTTGACGAGCAGGTAGACCTTCAGACGGTCGAGAGGAGCGGTGGCGGTTCGCGACAGTCCTCCGGCGACAGCACCTGCGACAAAGTAACCTGGATCAGGAGCGAAGTCAGTCAGTCTCTTGGTCTTGGGTGCTACAGTTGCATCTGAGCTAGAGCCTTGCTCGGAGCTGCTGTCTGTGACCTGGTTCGCTTGAGAGGTGCCGACGCCGGGGAGTCTTCGAAGGATGCCTGCGCGCTTCTCGTTTCCGGCCTCGATGCACGCCTGCAGCACCGCTGCCTCCATGTTCATATTGTTCATTTCGGCGCTGGTACCTGAAAAGCCCGGCGGGGATATTGGTACCACGACCGATGTTGTCGCGGTTGTTGTTGGAGTTGTTCTTGGTGTTGTTGTTTTTGACGAAGAGGAGGTTTGCTGGGCGCTATCTGTGGCAGTAGTGAGGCTGTCTGGTGAAGTTTGTTGTTTTTGCAGCGATTTTGACAAGGTGGGAAGCTGCGCGGCTGTAGTGGGAAGGGGCGACGCAGCGCCTTCCTGGGAAGGCACCACCATCACCACAGGGCGGCCGTCGTCGTTGTCGTCGGCAAGGGCTTCGGGGGTGGTGTCGGGCTCACGATCCGAAGGGGATGCGATCCTCAAAATGGATCCAAAGAGGGTTTGCAGAAGGAAGCCGGTCGTACCTAAACCTTCAAGAGTCTCCTCCGATACCATCGAATCACCCTCAGCAGTGAGAGTGACGATGGAAGAATAAAAGTCCAACACGGCCTTCAGAGGTGCGTGGCCATTGTGTGTTGGCATAAACAAAAGAAAATCTCTGCAAGTGCCGGGTAGTGTCAGTCAATGAAGCGGCAAAGAGGTGGAAGATTATTCCGAGGAGAGAAAAGAGGAAGGAGCAGCTTCGGCGCCAGGGCATCCATCGCAAAGCCTCCAGCTCCACACCGAGCCACACCGAGAACATCACGGCCGCCGCGGCCCCTGAGCCGGAGCCGGAGCCGAATGCATCGGGTTATCGGTCGCCCTCTACTCTACACCTCGCTTTCCAGGTTTGCAGCATAGGCTTCCAGCACCTTCCGTAAACTCAAAACATGCTCTACTGAATGCTGAAAACTTACCGCCATTCTTCGAAGCTTATGTAGCCGTCGTTGTTCATGTCGATATCGCCAAAGAAGGAGCTGAGCTTGCGCATCGGCACAACCAGCCCAGCCCGCCGAAAGGCCTCTTGTAGTTCTGTCTTGTCAAGTCTTCCATCGTGGTCCTTATCAATGGACTGGAAAAGAAACATGAGCTGCTTCTCAGTCTGCTCTACGAAGTAACGGAACTCTGGTAGGGGTCATCGTCAGCAGCCGTCTTCAATCTTCGACATCCAATCCAAGACAGGGGAACCCGGCACGTAGCTTCAGCCTCAAACCAGACCCCAATCTGCAGCTTACCTTCATACTGAATCACACCGTCATCGTTCGTGTCGACGACGGTCATGATCCTCCGCAACATGTCGTCCGCATTTTTCATAGCTAAAGGGCAACGTCAGCGCCCAAGCACACGGGAGCCTCGGACAGAGTTTGATGCTGACGGTGATCAATCTTCTTCAACCCCTTCTGCAGCCCCTTAAAGTCCAAATGTCCCGTTCCCTGGGGGTCCAATTGCCTCCAGAGATCCTCGACCCGTTTGTCCCGCTGGTTCTGCGACTCGTCCACCTCCATTTGGCGCTCGGTAACCCAATTTGTTACCCCCATGGCGGCGGCGGCATCAGGACGCAGGGTCAGTAGAGTCGAGGGATCGGTCTCAACGCGGGATTCATAGGGCGGCGGTGGTAAAAAGGTGGAATCGCGGGGTATCTCGAAGGGGTCTGTCTCACGACGACATGGCGGGTATCATAGGAGGCGTTGTTGGTGTTGTCGCGACAGGCGTGCTTGCATGCTGCAAGTCACCAGGACTGACGTAGGAGGATCGCGAGGTGCATCGACCAAGAAAAAGTAGCACCGCCTGCCGCAAGTGGTTCGCGCCGGAGCCACAGCGTCAGAAGCTCGGCTACCCAGGGGAGGGTTCCACTGGCGGCACAAGCGAAGCAATCAGCTGCCACCAATTAGCAGTGCTGCCGGGAGCTTCTAGTGCTCCAGCAGAGAGCTCCAGGGAGGCAGTACCCCTGAGGCCGCCCGTGTTCCTTAGGTAAGGTATCACAACCCGCCTACCTAGGTACCCGGACGGTCATCTTCCGCCTTGCACAGTACATCAGAAGACACCAGCCACAACTCAGTTCATTTGCCCGTGTTGCACTAGCCTCAGCGCCAATACTCTTGCCGACTTCATCCATCAGCCTCGCTGTTCCTCAGCAGCATTTCTTCCAAACTCTCCGGGTCACTGCGGACACAAATCATGTCATAGACTTCATCAATCGCCCGGGAGAGGTCATCATGGCTGCCAACTACTGGGAGTCAACCCAGCGTCGCTTCTGGCTCTTCTCCAAAGACGAGCTTCAAGCCGTGCGCCAGAAACTCGAAGACGACAACGCCGACCTCGTTCAGATGTTTCCTCTCCCGCAACAGCGGCACCTGGGCATATACTTCAACCAGCGTCAGTGCACCGATTGTTCTCGAAAAGATGTTTTCTTGCTGACCCAATCGCTCTCGCAGAGGTCAATCGGCTCGGTAAACGCATGGTTGTCCGACAGCAGGCCATGGCCACAGCCCAGGTCTATATCAAACGCTTCTACACCAAGGTCGAAATCCGGCGAACCAACCCGTACCTGGTTATCGCTACCGCGCTATATCTGGCCTGCAAGATGGAAGAGTCCCCGCAGCATATTCGCCTGATCGTCAGTGAAGCTCGCTCCCTGTGGCCCGATTTCCTCGGTCTGGACACCTCCAAGCTCGGCGAGTGCGAGTTCTTCATGATCTCCGAGATGAGCTCTCAGCTTATAGTTCATCAACCGTACCGAACCCTGAACAACTACCAACAGGAGCTCAATTTGACCCAAGAGGACGTTGCTCTAGGCTGGTCCATCATCAACGATCACTACATGACAGATCTACCGCTGCTACACCCGCCACACACTATAGCACTTACAGCAATCTTGCTTGTGCTGGTTCTGCGGCCCTCACCCAGCATGTCAGGTTCGAATCCACCCTCCGCCGCCGGCATTGCTGCTGCAAGCGCAGTGCTTACTCAGGCTCATGGCCGAGTGCCCGGACTGCCTCCGACTCCTGGAACACCGAATCCTGCCGATAAAGAAAAGCAACCGGAAGCTAGGTTCAGCCGGGTCCAACGGTATGGCGCATGGCTGGCCGAGAGCAACGTTGATATTGCTGCAATGGTTGACTGCACTCAAGAGCTGATTTCATTTTACGACTGTCACGAGCAGTACAATGACAAGCTTTCTCGGGAGCAAATAAACCGCTTCGTCAAGGCGCGGGTTCTTGACAAGTGATGAATCGATAGAAAATGTGCAATTTCGTCACCTATGTTGATTCTGTAGAAGGAAGATGGAGTAGTGACGTGGTTGGAATTCCAAGGCTAGCGCTCTATATTCGAGTGGTGCCAGCGACGCTCAGTTGATGCCAGATCGTGGAAGAGCCCTGGTAGAGCAATCACCGACTGATCAGAAGTCGGCAAGAGAAACGGCTTCGATTTGATATACACATACCCGGGACAAGTCATAACGCAACAATGACACTCGAACAATCAGTCCGGCGAGACTGAGACGTTTAAAAGCTGAAATGCCTCTGGGTCGAATACGAAAAGACATGGATCCTTTCGTAGGGATTTTGACGTTGCAAGCAATTTCTAGACTATTCGGTGCAGCGGGTCATTCGGTCGGCACTAAGGCGACGATGTCCGCAACAGAAGCATTATGCTCTATTCAGTGAAACAATGGGTCCTGGCATCGTGAAGTCCACAGACCTACATATCTCTGCGCCTACTCCTATCCCTTATAAGGGTCAAATACTCCGCATTGCATATCCGTATGTAATATCCGTACATGGCGTATAATTGAAGTACGTCGCGTCATGTCTGTCTGTTCGGACTTCCCGGCACCAACGGCGGACTGTTGCTTACTTCCTGCAGGGGACTCGGCCATTTGACTCCAACAGGTAAGGTGACCAGGGTCAGAAAGGGATCCCAGCTGTGTCGGGCGTGGATTGAAGTGGTGAGTTTCAAGAAAGTAAACAGACCTCGTATACCTTGCGCATCTCGCCTACTTCGTACACAATACTATCGTATCCAATCTTGCCGAACGCGCCTCTCACATACTACCTCGTGAATGGAAACCAATTGGCCAACGGTTTCCCAAAGCACTCCTGTTGTCGTTGGGGCCTGGATCCAGACCCCTTGCTCATCAAATACGAACACAAGGCACGCGGCTGACAAAAGGCCGGCACAGCTCCAACAACAATCGTGTTCAGATCTAGCCGTTCAATTCTTTCTCTGCCACTCTTTTCCTCAATAACTGCTCTCGCTAAAACCCCAGGGGAGACGCAGAGAAAAGAGAAGCGAAAATCGACGCAGGGGAAATGAGAGGGTGAGAATGATCAACAGCGAAGCTCGTACGATCATGCTTTCAAAGCCTCTCCTCCTATCGACTGCGGCATCATCCTTATTCCTATTGCTGCTGCCATTCCGCCTATTGAAGCTTCGTCAAGAAACAGTCAAGGTCGTTCCGGAACATCGCGGCCATGGCAAAGTTGTACGTAGTAATGAGTGACGAAGTTCTCTGGAAACCAAACTAAATTAAAGCTAGATCGTTGCAATAATCTTAATCTTTGTTCAGTCAATTATTCTCGCCACGAGCGCATTCTCGACATCTCGACTGGGAATTGATCTAGCTTCTGCCATTGCGTCCTTGGTAGCATGCGTGGGCCTCTGCCCGCTGCTCTTCCTAGAGCACACCAGGTCTGTTAGACCATCGGATCTCGCCATCGTCTACCTGCTTGTAACTTTGGCTTGCGAGCTGGTCGAGTTAGGAGCCGGGGTCTTTGACAATGAATCCGCCGCGATTGTCGCCCCGGCCCTTGCAAATCTTTGCGTCAAGGGTGTGCTCCTTATTGTTGAACTTCGAGGGAAACAACCGATCCTGCAAGGTCCTCGTGACCAGTGGTCTCCTGAGGAATTGTCCAGCATTTTAGATCGAACCTTCTTCGGATGGATCAACCCGATTCTCGCCCGAGGGAACAAAAACATTCTGACTGGGGACTCGCTCCCCGTGATGGACAGTAAGCTATCATCACAACTTCGACGCCACCAGGCCCTGCATGCTTGGGATCAGAGAGGTACACTCATCTCTCCCCTCAAATAGCGCAATGTGTCGGGATGTCCTAACAGCATTATAGACAAACCCGAGAAGGTGTTGACGCTACCCAAGGCTCTGTTACGTAGTATACTGCCGCACTTTCTCGCGCCCATCATCCCTCGTTTTTTTCTCATCGCGTTCCGCTACGCTCAGCCAGTCCTCATCGGCATTGCCATCCGCTCTATAAACAGGTCATCCGAGGAATCTCCAGAGGGCGGGTACTCGGTTGTGTCAATGGCTGTCGTCGTCTATGTGGGCTTGGCTGTAAGTCTCATTCCTTGGGGTCTCATTCGGCTTGATACTAAGTTGAATTCTAGATCTCAAAGGCTGCATATCAGCACCGTCTCAACCGCCTAAAGATCATGATCAGAGGTGCTGTCGTCGGTCTCCTACATGACAAGTCGCTCAATCAGCAGTCTACCGACTACGACGATGCAAAAGCGGTGACTTTGATGAGTACAGATACAGACAACGTGGTTCAAACCGCCTCCATGTTCCACGAAACGTGGGCGCATATCATCGAGGTTGCGGTAGGTACGGTGATGCTGGCTCTACGAGTCGGGTGGGTATGCTGTGTTCCGTTTGTCATGATCTTTTGTGAGTCAATTACGAGCACTACTCCTCACAACGAGGACTAATAATCTCTGCAGTCTGCTCTCGTGTAAGTCGATACTTGGCAAACAATCTCCAGAGCAAACAGAAGGACTGGTCCGTGGCCACCCAGGACCGAATTGCCATGACTACTTCAATGCTTAGCTCGGTAAAGAGCCTGAAGATGCTTGGTATCCTAGCCTATGCAGAATCGCTGATCCAGTCTCTGCGCCTTCGAGAGCTGGGTATGGCTAAGAAGGTTCGGAAGATGATGGTCGCGTATAATGCGAGCGGTATGTTCTCTTGTCCGACATGAGGCTGCGGCTTCGAATTCTGACTGCTATAGCAAACGCTCTCGGTATCTTATCTCCCATCTTCACGCTCGTACTGTACGTTATTGTGGCGAGACTCTATGGTTCCGCACTCGATGCCGAGACCGCGTTCACGACCACTGCGTTACTCGGCTTGGTGACACACCCTGCAAATATGATCATGACGATTGTGCCGCAAGCCGTAGGCTCACTAGCGGCTTTCGATCGAATACAGCAATACCTCGCGCAGCCACCCCGGGAGGACCAGAGACTCCTATTCAACAAAACAGAAGACAGCCTCATCGACGTTTCACCCGCCATATCGTTGGAAGCTGTAACTGTGCAAGGATATACTCCGTCGAAACCTCCAGTCCTCATCAATATCAATCTGGCCATCAACAAGGGATCGATCGTCATGTGCTCTGGGCCGGTCGGGAGTGGCAAGACAACGCTTGCCAGAGCCCTCTTGGGTGAAGTTTCCACAGCTTCTGGGACGATATCGGTGTCAACGAAACGTATTGGGTACTGTGAGCAGTCGCCTTGGTTACCCAGCGGAACCCTCAAGCAAGCAGTCTGTGGTTTCCTTCCGGAGGAACCAAGCTGGTACCAAGAGGTCATTCAGCTATGCTGCCTCGATGAAGACCTCTTGGCACTTCCCAACGGAGATAATACCATGATAGGAAGCCGGGGCTTGAACCTTTCTGGAGGGCAGCGACAGCGAGTGGTAAGTTTGCAATCGCAATCTTCTTTCCATCCTATCTTTCGACGCAGTATGGCTTCCGGCCATTCCGTCCTTTGGCGTCTCGCCAGCTTTCAGACGCAAATGGTTCACTTCACTGACAGTGATCCAAGGCTCTTGCCCGAACTATATACGCCCGCTGTGAGATCGTGATTCTGGACGACAGTTTTAGTGCTCTCGATGGGAAAACGGAAAGTCGAATTGTTGAAAAGCTCCTCGGTTCCGGAGGTCATTTCAAGAAGACGGGCACTACTGTCTTCCTCGTTACCCACTCTAGTACGCCCTCTTCCAAAAGATCATCCTGACATGGAGACTATATCAAAGACTAATAAGACATAGCTGCGCATTTCAGCTCGGCAGACCAGCTGGTTGTTCTCGGCGGCGGCACAGTGGCGTACCAGGGAACGTGGACTGGCTTGAGGCAAGATCCCAAATATGCCGCACTCAAAGTTAACATCAGTGAGACACGGGATGATACTATTGAGGAGCAGCCCCGGGTGGACAAGACTGTGCAAAACCAGAACCTCAAGCTGGCCGAAGCTGCTTCCGATCTCAGCAGGGTAACGGGGGATATTTCTCTCTATAGTAAGTTCTTCTTCTGCTCGCCTCTTCGCATGCTAAGTTAGCCGTCTCTCCCCAGGTTACTACCTCCAGGCCGTGGGCCTCCGGAACTTCCTAATCCTTGTCGCTTGCACCTCGACTTATTCGTTCTTCGTAACGTTCCCCCAGTACTGGTTGCAAAAGTGGACAGATGCCCCATTATCCCAGACAACCTTTTACATCGGCGGCTATCTTTTCTCATCTCTGCTGGCATGGGTTGCTACCAGCGGGACGGTGTGGTGAGTACGCATACTCTCGATGGCTTATTACGATGTTGATGGCTTTTCAAAAGGTCCACAATGATGCTGATTGCGCCCGCTTCTGGCATCGAACTACATCGCCGCCTACTCTCGACCATCATCGGGTTCGTTCAATCCCACTCACTTTGTCCACCGCCGCCGCCTGTATGCCTTACTGACTAAAAAGTAGCGCCCCATTGTCGTATTTTTCAAAGACTGACACAGGAGTCACGTTGAATCGGTTTGTCATGACACCACTCGATCGGAGCTTGTGCTGAGTTGTTGCAGTTTCAGTCAAGACATGCAGTTAGTAGATAGGCAGTTGCCGCCGGCCATCATGTCCATGTCAACTCGTAAGCCCCCCCCCCCCCTTGAGTCATCACCAAAGGCTCCCTACTCATATTGGTCACAGAAATCTTTAAGCTGCTCGTACAGGTGGTTTTGCTAGTCACCGCGCAGAAGCTGCTGGCCCTAACGCTACCCCTCTGCGCCACGGTTGTGTACCTCGTGCAACGGGTGTACCTACGTACCTCGCGGCAATTGCGCCTGCTGGATCTCGAGTCGCAATCAGCAGTTTACTCGAGCTTCCTCGAATCAGTACCGTTTCCCCCTCTGGCTCTGATTGCATTACGCCTAACAATAGAATAGGTCGAGGGCGTCACGACCATCCGAGCCTTCGGCTGGGAGGGACAAGCCGAGCACGCCAACGTTGTCTGTCTCGATGAGTCCCAGAAGCCGGCCTATATCCTCTTCTGTCTTCAGCAGTGGTTGGGAATCGTTTTGGATCTCATGGTTGCTGCGATTGCGACCGGTCTCATCGCGATTGCAGTCTTTTTCAGGGGAACGACGACTGGCGGACAGATTGGCATGGCGCTGAATATCGTGTTAGTTGCAAACACGACCCTTCTTAGCCTCGTAACATCCTGGACGAATATGGAGATCTCTTTGGGTGCTATGTATATTTTCTCTTCCACCCCATCTCCCTGACAAATTTGCTAATGACTTGGTAGATCTCGCTTGAAGACGTTGGAGGCCGAGACGCCGAAAGAGGATCAGCCGCACGAGGACTTCGTGCCTACGGAGGCATGGCCGTCATCTGGAGCTGTCGAATTCGACAAGGTCACTGTGTCATACAAGTAAGGCAAACATCGATAGTGTGGTCGTCTCTATGGACTAAACTCTCCACAGTCCCGATGCAGTAGCTCTGCAAGACATCACCATGAAAGTCTCTCCGGGCCAGCAACTCGTCATTTGCGGTCGAACAGGCAGGTATGTTGCATTGAGGTGTATCGAATAGCCCAGCCTGACCTCTGCTGACATGTTGGAATAATAGCGGCAAAAGCACTATGCTACTCACCCTCCTGCGCCTCTTGGACACGGAGGCCGGGAGTATCAGGATTGACGGGGTCGACCTGCGTCTTGTCCCGCGTTCGTTGATCCGGCAGAAGTGCTTCATCACGGTTTCTCAGGATTCATTCGTCCTTGGGAATGCTAGTCTCCGCTTCAATCTCGATGCAAGATCCCCTTTGACAGAATTCTTAAAGACCAATGCTGACCTACCACCCAGCCCTCTACTTCTCTCCCGGACGAAACAATCGTCACGGCTCTTCAGAAAGTCAGCCTTGTGTCACACTTCCACCTGGGAGACACAATCTCTGAGGAAGAAATCCATCACGCCTTGGACAGCCCACTGTCTTCCCTACCGCAAATGTCCACCGGCCAAGCGCAGCTATTCGCGCTGGCTCGAGCGCTCGTCCAACTCCAATCTATCAACCACTCCTCTAACCCAGCAGAATACGAGCCGGAACGTCGACAAATCATGCCTATCCTGCTACTCGACGAAGCCACATCGTCGCTCGATGCCGAGACCGAATCGACCATACGCAACATCATCCACCAAGAGTTTACGGAGAAGGGGCACACGGTCATTGCCATCACGCATAGGCTGGGTGGCGTGACTGAAGGCATGCGGCCGGGGCGAGATGCCGTGGTCTTGTTGTCAAAGGGCAAGATTGAGAAACTTGGTGAGGCGGAGGATGTCTTGGACATGGCAGCTCCGCGGGAGTAGCCCTATGATTTTACTCCTTCACTACCTCGCTGATGGACCGTATAATTTCATCATTGGTGTGAACAAAAAGACGATTGAATCAAAATTAGCAGATACTGCTCTAGAGCAAAACCATTTGCGACTATAAGCCAATTGAGTCATCCCTACTGAACAATATAGCCTTCACTCTGGCGCACACCAGAGGCCTTGGGCCCTAACGACCTTGTCTTATGCGCTGGTATTCCTGCCTTTACCCGCATGTCTTGAGCGGCATTGTATCGTTCTCTGGGGAAAAGTCTTCACTGTGATACCTTCTCATCGCCTGGGCGCCGTTGTGATGCATTTTGCCACAATGGCCAACGATACCATATGGAGTGAGTTATGGTGCTGAACCAAAGACTCAAGGGGAGAAGAAGCGGTGTAATGGCGGCAAAGTCTGCAAAGCTGTTCCCGTCATCTCCCAGTGCCGCCGTTGTCACGCCCGCAGCAATAACGCTGATGGCAAAGAAGCCTGCAATGATCCGATTTTTCCACAGATCATTTCGTCTAAAAAAGTTGAAGGAGTAGGTCGAGATTGAATACACGTTGAGAAGAAGTAATGAGACGACGGCGGAGAGATGACGGCCGGACTCTGAATTCTGTTTCTTTTCTTGTTTTAGCAAGCCGACCGAACCCCTTCTTTTCCTTTCTGAGTGACGTACCCCTTTGTGACCGAAGGTTAATAGATCATAGGAGCCAAACCTCATCTCATGTTCTTCATCGAGGTAGAATAGTATGACGCGTCTGAGAATGAGTGAAGACATCACTGACACCCACCCCGCAATAACTGTCGGGAGGAGATGTCGTGTACCGCTCGGTCTGGCATCTTGAGCCTTGTTGCACATGGCCGAGTCGAAATTGTGCTCTGCTTTTCGTTAAGACACCAGCCGCACTCATCAAGGTCTTCTGTCTCGGATTTTTAACCATGTGTTGACACGGTTGTCGACTCCTCTGGTGTCGACTTATGCGTCTTCCAGGAACCTCCCCGGCTACAGTGGTCGAGAGATATGTCTTGCATGTAAACAAAGCGATGGAGGTTGCGTGGCGACAGGTTGGCAGGAAAAGTACACTTTCTAATCCCCGAGCTGGTGGTGGTCGCGGGTGGCCAGAGTTAGTCGGGCATTGGGCTTATGTGCATGGTCGGGCTGGGAATGTCGGTATCGCCCCCAAAACACACACACACGCATATATATATATATATATATACGAACTCGCCATAGCCCTGTCCAAAAGGGTTGGTTTGGGTTGGTTAAGCCAATCCTCACGCTGTTGCGCGACCACCATTTTCCTCGTTGACATGGTCCGAAGCTTTAAAGCGAATCGTTGGCCCCGCTACCAAGCCCGCCTCGATTTTCAGTGTGGCAGGCTTGTAAGTCGTGGGCATCCGCCTTGCTCAGGGCGCGTGGCTGGAGCAATTGAATGGTTGACGTTCATCCACGCGTCTGACAACTTGCTTCGTGAATGGGGCTGCAGGATTCTGGTAGCATAAACTTCTGGCTGCCTCAGTTGAAAGCCCTGCTGTTAAACTCATGCCCTACTTCATATCAATTCTTCTCAGTATTCCTCTCCTCGTTCCTTTTGTTTCACTCATTCGAGATTCGAAGGCAGTCTCAAGGGAACATCCTTCATTTCATATATAATATTGCTCCGTTGAAACCCTCACATCCCAGGCACAGTCATGAACGTAACCTTGTGAATGGTTAGGTACTTGGAAGACTTAGGAGCAGCTGGAGCAGCTGCTCACTGCACGCAAGGGAGCAGTACACCACCAAGGAAACCATCACCAGGACCAAGTGCAAGTGTGCACATTGAATCCAGAGCCATGGCCCAAACGACCCAGGACGACCTCCAAATCCAGAACAATGAACCAGGGGCCATCCCTAAGCCAGAGAATGACGAGGACCCAGTCATTACGCACCGTACGTGGAAGGACCGTTTTTATCCCACGCATATACTTTCTCTTTTGTGCTAGCATCTTGCAACACGTTACTGACATCCGAGTAACATCCAGTCGACCCTTCTTCGACTCAATCTCTTTGTGGAACCGAGGATGCCACTGTACTGCCGTTCACCTGCAAGGGAAGAAGAGAACCGGTCGAGCCCAACGGAGGGAACGGAATTCCGATACAATGGCGGGGGCCCCGAAGATCAAAACCACAGGAGGTGGCTCCGCCACGACTACCAGATGTCCAGTCCATGAGAGGCATGAAGAGGGATCTTCCCATGGTAGCAACTGGACCGACCGTTCCGTCCGTGGTTTTCTGTCTACTTGGACCCATGTTCCCCGGGGCGTTGGCGCACCCGGTCCCTTTCGAGAGCGGCGATACTACCGAGTCGCGCACTTTGGCAGCTAGGAGCATGCTAGATAAAGTTTTCGGCATGCTTAATATCAATCTTCTGATCCAGGTTCTCCTTTGCATAGTGCTAGGAGCGTGGCTAGTCGTCATACGTTGTACCCGGCAAGAGAACGCCGGCTTCTGGGCACTTTTGACTGCGTCTCTGACGCACGTCTTTTTCGTCCACGATCCAAAGGCCAACGGGGTGGTTTGTTTGCTGTAAGTGCTGAACGACGTGTCGATGCCCTGAAGGACCCGTCAAATCTGACCATGTAGAAGAACATCACTCATACTCCTTCGGATCAACCAGTCTTTTACTCTTTTTACAGTCGATAAGTATCATATCAAGTCACCATAGTAAGTCTTTTGCGAATGTACGCATCCTTGTACTGCACTTGGCTAATTGTTATGTGAAGCATGGTTGTACCTATCTTCATCCTCGCGGTGGTGCTCGCCTATCACGGAGTGGATGGATCTGCATCGTCAACTCAACCATTGGGGATTGTCATGTTACCATTTTACATAAGTATATCCAACCTGGTATGCTGCTGGATTGTGCAGGTTTCTTTCGACAGACCTGTGGTGCAACCAGATTCTGAATCATGATCTGAAATATTTGATGAGATGGATAAGAGCAATTCGTCCAAAGTTGTGAGCTCATGCTTCACCTTGGATGAGTGCAAAGAGCAAATTGGTAGAAACACATAATGCGAGTGACAAACCTTAAGATTTGTATAGTTACCCTCATGTCTAGGACAGTCAGATGTTTCGCGAACACACGAGTACCTGATCATTCCCTCCTGAGGCTCCTTGAAAGAAGCAACCGCCTTGATCTGCGGGTCAATGACAAAGTCTTCTGGTTCTTCTACTTCCAGACGAGTAAGTTTAGAGCCCCGAGTACTATTCCGTCTGCGTAAACATCAGTAGAGGCCTACCAGTTGGGGCGGTGTAGTACTCACCCTCGGCATCTTGGTCGTTGGTGACAGCGGCGGTTCGGAACTCCTCTGCATCCTCAGCCACGGCATTGGCTTATCTCCGTCTAAAATAGGGCGTTTAGCGTTGGTACCACTGAACAACTTTTACTTTGTAAAGAAGGGTCTCCGAATGTCTCCTTCAGGAGTCTCAGCGCCACCTCTTCCGCGTTGTCTTCCTCGACGCCGGCTTGCTTCTCCGTCTTGCCTTTGCCGATGCTATGTGTATGTTTTTTCAATACATCTAATGGTAAGCAACCTCGAGAAGAAAAGGCACAAGCTGGGAACGACGGCAGAATAACTAGGACACCTCTGTCCGGCGTTGTGTGCAGCTGCTCCAAGCGCATCAGCTGCTTCAGGATCAGGTTGGTCTGCTGCAAAATCAAGGCCCCGCCTGAAATAACCTGTTGTTTTGCCACCCAGCCATTCTTCATGCCCAGAATCCCGGCCACGATGCAACAGAGACTAGCAACCACATTGAATTGAATCCTAGAGAGCAATACATCGCATAGAGATGCAAAAATAACTCCTCGACGGGGAATTGAACCCCGGTCCCCTGCGAGCCCGAGCCCTGTAACGGACTGTTGACAAGCAGATATCCTCACCACTAGACTATCGGGGATGTGTGGATGTTATCATCCAGTGATAGTTGGTTGGGCACCGAAGCCCACTTGGTGTAAATGTAGCGAGTCTGGGGTGGGCGACGAGGTGCGACTTTGGCTGTGCGGGTCACGGAAAGAGTCAGTCTGAAAGTGGAACACGTTCTGGGATGGCATAGATACCTTAGTAAAGGCGATGTTGAGTGAAGACTCTTTTATTACTGTCTTTGCTATCCGAACTGTCTACACTATTCCAACTTTCCCCGCCTTCATCTCCAACCAACGCGGTTGCAAGCTCGCTGGCAACTCTGGCTTTCATCTCAACAGTCCGTCGGATCCGAAGGTTTCCAGCTGGGTCTTGTGTTCGAATTCTGTACCCGTGTACCGCCTTGCTCTGCACTTGTCGATAGCAGCGCGACAAGGTTTACAGCTCTACGGACCGCGTGTACCAATATTTGCAGAGTATGATATGATTGGCTGCGATCAAGGTCAGACCTATACCGCCAGCGCCGGTTGTACTTGAATTGACAGCCGGACCGGGACCGTTTTGGACCTTATGTCATGTGGCTTCTCTCTTAGTCTGCGACATGGTGCCATCGAACCGGAGCACACGCGGGTCTATTAGCCTACTTTCTTTTCCAAACTCCTACAGAGCCCTATCCACTATCCTTGTATGCCTAATAGCATACGCAAAAAATAAGGATTTGGGTAGTGAGTACAGTTGGGATACTGGGGATGTATAGGACCTTGTAAACTTTAACCACCGCTTTTCTAATGAACAAGCAGTTTCGTCCGCCAGGGACCAATTGGTCCTAAAATCTTCGCAGAGTGGACAGATGAGGCAGACAAGCCTTACCATAGACCATCACGATGAGAATCAAATGGAAGACAATATATAGCAGAGAGTAACTTGATTCAGCTCAAAGGATCTCCCACAAGTGGTCGTCCACATGTACGCCTTGCGGAGCGAAGTGGTGCATACGGAGCGGTCGCCCGGTAAAAAGGCAATCTCGTAGGACAGTATACTAGGTAGTACCACACGTGGCGATGTGGCGCAGTGATTTTTAACTCGAGATGGCAAAGGCCGAGAAGCGGGCGGCCGGAGGAGGGTGGGTCGGGGCTTGGTTGGTTGTGGAAGTCCAATTCGACCACTGAGTCAGTGTATCCAACGGATCCACCGCCCGCCCTGCCCCAATTAGCCGGCGCGGCCGACCTCGTACTTCCACATCATGCGGAACCAATTCAATCCATCCCAATCCTTCGTCACCAATCCAACTGCACGGTTACCTACCCTGTTATATGCGAAACCAACAGCGTTATTCTTACGAGGTAGACTGCATAGGTAGTCCCACAGCCGGGCCTTCCACTCGGCACAGGCTACTCACCCTTGGGAACTCGATTCAAGTGACCCAACGGAAACAATAAAACTCTGCCCAAGTCCAGCAAGTGTCAGAGAGAATGGAGAGCTACGGCTATCACGACGAGGCTTTCGCAGAAAATGACATTGCGGCCGCCATAGCCAAGGTGGGTAGTCTCTGGACAAGTATCTCAGACTAACGACAGGGAAAAGGAGCTCACCGCGGAGGCATTCGAGGCACGGTACCGTATTGTGAAGGAAATGGTAAATCCAAGATCACACATCAAGGCTGTTTAATTCCCGTGTTGCAGCCCTGCTTCCGCTGGACTACTGGAGTTGTCGGGTAATCCGTCACGGAGGGTAATGAAACTAGCATGAATCGTTCACAATTTTAGGCGTGGCCCTTGTGTACAATCAATTAAGGTTGAAGAGACATTGGCCCCCATTTGATATACCTTGATATTAATTGCTGAAGCGAAAGGAAATACACTTGCTCGTATTGACTATTCCAATTTACATGATTTATGCTTCAGGAAACGTAGCTTATAGACATGACAGAAACCAGTCCCCTTGCAAAAACCAATTCTCGACATTTTCCGTTAATGTAGTGTTTCTTTTCTTTCCTTAGGGAAAACCGTTGATCAAGTGTTGACCACTATACGCTCATTACAACACGTTTTTCTTCTTCAATTATCATGAAGAGATCCACAGCTGTCATACTCGCATTGCAATATCTGTTAACACTCGGCCTCGCGAGAGTGATATTACAAAGCGATCATGCGGAAGAAGGAGGGCAACCCGCCCACGCGCTAAAAGCCCGAAAGCAAGTCTCGTCAGACGATGGTGTCGTCGAAAATGAGGCTCGTGATGGCGCCTGTAAAGACATCATGTTCTTCTTCATACGCGGAAGCACTCAGAACTCGAATATGGTGTGTAAACCCCAGCTCGCGAACTCCCAGTAGTGCCTCTACCTTGGCCGCGCCGAGAGCTAACGAACGACTTGATCTACCACAGGGTCGGCAACCGGGTCCCCAACTCGCGACATATCTGCGATCAGCGCTAAAGCCGGACAAGATTGCTGTGCAAGGCATAGAGTATGCGGCGACGCTGCAGGGCAACCTTTGCCTCAGCAGCGGGCTATGCCCGGGAGATGAGACCGCGAAAGCGGCCTCCCAGATCAAGGACTACATGGACAAGTGCGAAAAGTCCGATGTTATTGTTGGGGGTTACAGCCAAGGAGCTGCGGTGCTTTCAAAGGTGATATCGGGAAGGCTCGAACCGAATTACAAGCAGCGGATCGTTGCCGCCGTGACGTTTGGCAGCACCGTGCAGAAGCAGAACAAGAAAAAGATACCCGGTTTGGCACCGGAAAAGGTGCGAATGTTCTGCAACGATGACGATCCAGTCTGGTGCGTCTTTCATCACTCCCCTTTTTCATCCGGACCGGATGCAGTGAGATGGCGCGGCTAACACCTTAGGATTGAAGTCGCAATGGTTTTACAATCGGTGCGGTGATGTCAGGCCACCGAGACTACCGAAAAGCAGCTAAAGCTGCGGCCGAATTCTTTGTACAAAAGTTGGCGGCTGATAATAACTGGCCTAAGGTGCCCGTCATCTCGGACATTGACTTATCACAGTTCACAGACGTGGGATTCACGTTCGGCCAAATTTACCGCGGAGCGCCCGCGGGCACGTCGACGCCGTTCAACGACGCCACGAAGCTGGCGCTCCTAGACAGCGTCGGAGTGGTTTCCATCTTTGGCCGCGGCGCCGCGCGGGTCGACGCGCTCGGCGTCAAGATGGACGGTCTCAAGGTGCCCCAGGAGCACGGCGGCGGCGGGGGCGATTACAAGGAGCTGAGGCTGGGGGAAGGCGAGTACTGGGTCAAGGCCGAGATGTGCAACGGCCAAAAGAAGGGAAAGGACCGCGTGGGATACTTCCGTGCTACTACTAATCTTAGCAGGTATCTGGAGATTGGGACGAAGACGAAAGACAGGTGCACTATATATGTGCCGGGTGACGGTCACTCGTTTGTGGGCATGCACGGAGAGTCTGGTGAGGAAGTAGACTCTGTTGGTTTCATTGAGTACCCTCAACGGGATGAGACAACACGTTGAATCCAGACATCTAATTAGAATTTGAAGCGTCATGAAAGGACCTCTCGGCATTTTGCAGATGCAATGTGAGGATGAGAAGAGAAAACTTCATAAAGAGTGTCCCTACGTAAACATGAATCTCCTGAGTCGTCCCGTTTTGATGTACATATCAGTCTATTCATCCTTACTCTCATATTCCCAACAGCATACGCAGGCAGCAAGAACTAGGGACAATAGGGATTCCAGCCCTGCCTTAGACGGAACCCGAGGTAGACTACTATAAACCTCTTGGCGGGTCCATGATGCTTAAAGGTGTCGAGGGAGGACATTGTTGAAGCTCCTCTCAGTGTCGACAGAACCATATCCGTTGCTATCCTTGCTGACGAGTTCTATCGCCTCGCGCGGATGAACTCTCACAACGATGGTCCGGATAATGACAGCTCAGCCGTCATCGCCAAAGCAGTTGAAGCGTGAAAACTCTGTTGTCTCCGGCATCCTATCTCGCTAAAATAGACAAGAGACCCCCGATGCCTTAGAGGCTTAGTGCAGCAAATAGGGCATTCAAGTCGGGCACAGACGTCCTCTAGACCTCATGGCATGGGTGAGGAAGACGGGGCCTCATCCCAGCATGAAGCTCAACAGAAAGGGTGGTAAGGCGGTAAAGAAGAACACCGGCCATAGATGATGGCAATAGGCATACTCTGACGAATGCTGAGGGGAGCATTGACAGTGCGCTCCTCCGATCCCTTCAAGTACATTCAGGACTGGAGCTACATCAAGAACGAGGAGTCCAGAAAGGCCACAAGGCTTCCAGTCTCGCAAGTAGCCGCAGGCCATCCGTTCGCCATTTCCTAACGTCGTTCGCGTCTGCTGCCCAGTGAGATCCGGTGATGGAGGGGAGTCTGCCGGCATCTCGAGCAAAATCTAGCTCCTGGCTACAATTTATGATAAAGTGAAAGCTGACAATCTTGAGGTCGTGATGGCGTTGGAAAATCTCCAACAAGGAGGTTTATGCACTCCAGCTTCAACATAGGGCAATGCTACAGAACCTATTGCACCTTCTACTTACTGCCTTCATATACTATTGGCTGTACAAGGATAGGTATGAGAAGACTATAGTATTGATTGAGAGACCGGGGCCCACCCCAACATGAAGTACAAAAGAACGGGTGAGACTACCTAGAAGAGCAACCAGACGGTCTTCGACATCGAGCGACGAGGAGGACTTTGTCCCCGGTCTGCCGGAGTACAAGGAGGCTGAGAGCGACGACAAGTATTATGACGAATAGACAAGAGGGCAGGGACCGAGGCGTCAGGCCTGGCTCATTCGTTAAAGACTTTCTCATTGAGCCGCTGATCCAGGCGAATGCTTCCATCCTGTTCGATTGCCTCTGGTCACTTTCAAAAAGACATTGGAAGACCCTCAGACGTGTCTGTGGACAAGTATGAATTAGTGTCCCGACATGATGCCAATACGATTACATTGTTGAATCCCTTTAGTCTTCTCGTACATGCAGCCCGCATGCCTTTTTATCATGAGCGGGGCTGGTCCAAAAACCGCGGAAACACACCCATGTGTGCGTGGGTGTGTCTACGCACAACCTCTGAGGCATTCTGTGTTCTACTCCTTCCCCACTCTGCACATTCAGGTCTTCCGGTAAGGGCAAGGGATAGGCGAGGCGGGGCGACATCAAGCTCATGACCCCTTTCCAGCCGTCTTCTCCTGCAGCTTCTTCGGGTCGATATGCTCGTCACGGTCCGCCTTGATAGCCTCCTCGCTGTCGGAGGCGAGCTCGGGCTTCCAGTGGCCCTTGCCCTGCTTCTGCTTGGAGAGGGAGTCCTGCTTGTGCTTCTCGTGCGTCTCGCTGTCGGTGTCTTTTTTTAACCGGAACGTGTCAGCTTGTCATCTCGAAAAGATGGGAACGAAGAATTGGTAATGGGTGGGGTCTGCCGTGACGGCGTCATCAAAGCTCTTGCGGCAGCACTTGGTGCCGGTCAACGGGATGCTTCAAGCTCAATTTGTCGTCCCCCCTTTGGCGAGGAGCAAAGAGCGACGAGAAGAGGGACAGACGCAAAAAAACTCACGTCCAGAAGACTCCTTCAGGCCCTGCGTTCTCGTCGTGGAGATGCTGAAGCATCGTCCGAGAGGGGCAGCCTGCCCGCCGACCACGAAAGCGCCGCGGGCGATGGGGCGAGCTGAAAGAGCGATGCGGGATGCCATTATTTCGTCTTTGTTGAGTTCGCGGGGGACGGGTATCAAGGTGTTTGAATTGTTGTATTGTTTGGCAGGCGATTCAATTGAGTGGACAACGTCAAGGTCAGTGAAGAATTAAAAGAAGTAGATCTACGATAATTCAGAAGGAGGCTAAGAAGAAACAACACGCTTAGAATGCAATAACCTAGGTTATCTAAGTACCTACTGAGACGGGAAGCAGTCAAGCATGCGGCGCTCGTTGACCCGGCCGTGACGTCACTATTCATTGCTCTCCCTCACGCTCGGTGACATCCTCAGGACCGAGCTTTTTTGGAGCTTTTTTCCCTTCCTTCCCCAGCTGCTTGCAGCAGTGTCTCTCAGCGAGCGACCCGTATGGCTGGGTGCCTCGCTGCATCCCCGTAAATTACCCGTTTGGAAAGAGTCTAATGGAAGGTGCCTTCCCGCGATGTTGCGGAAAACATTGACCAACTGTCGTTCGGCCATTTGCAAGCCCGCAGTCACATCACCTTTTGACTATCGTTATTCATACCCGTCGTCATCAACTTGACCTCTGCCAGAACATGTTCGAGATTCTTGATAGGCTTTTGTCGTCAGTTCTTCTACCCTAGCCGGCTCCCGTCAGCTGGCAAAATCTCCAGCCCCCCGCCCAAGCAAAGCAACCCCCCACCTCCGGCCATGCCTCTTTCCATTCTTCAACTCCATGTCCCGTCCTTGCTGCCCAGCTGCATCGTCATCATCCCCTTCACCCCCTCCCCTTCCTCATCAAGACCAATCCCATCACGTGATGATCACATCCCCCACCCCCTCTCTCTGCCCTCGCGGCAACATGCAGAAAGTTAGGCGGGTAAGCTGGGCAGGTCGACCTAAAAACGACCCAGGCACCAGGCACACGCTCTGATACCAAGGCACGGAGCAAGTGAACCCATCATTCTACCAAGCTGTCTTCCCCTATTTACCGCCCTCTAGAGAGTACCGGCGGCTACAAAAAGGTTCCCGTCCTCAGAGACAAAACAAACAAAATAACGTTATCCGTAGACCCCTCGAGTTCGCCTGCTACCCATACTGCCCTTGCTGACCTGTGAATTACCTGAGGTGACCTCCACCCCCTTGCCAATACCGGGCTCAGCTCTGCTCAGCCCTTGCCATCTCATGCATCTCGATAACAGCCATCTTATATCACCCTGCAATGCATCAGCATTATCACAATTCAGGGGAAACCTACAGCAAGCACTAGTACGCTTGGGAGAATGCTGTCATATCCTTATTCTAACGGATAATTAGAGATCTTTGAAAATAGGGGGAAGATAGGACTGTGGAGTTCACCCCCGGGATGAGGGTCATATCTGTCATTATCCGATGTGCCGCTTTCGTAATGCAAAACCAATGTCTACAATTTACTTGTAGGTAGCTCACCTATCTCACGGTGGATCGTCACTAAAACCATACACCCATGGTTGAACAGCATTTGATGAACATATCGTATATTGCATTGCGCCTTGCTGGCATCGCGCCACAAGATCAAACAGCGTCGTCTGATCTATTTCAACACCTTTCGCGTCTTGAGCGTTTCCTGTACAACCCCAAAAGGTATCCCGTTTGTCCGACCCAGAAACCACAAGATTTATCGTCTCATACCGCTACCCAGAAACACACAACTCTCGCGAGTTGCTCGCGAAAGTGCCCAGACAAGGTGACTCCACCACCGACCGTTTCCAGTGTCGCGAGATGCTAGACCTGCCTCCGGAATACCAAGCAATAGTAATAAGAATAGTCCATCCTCGCAAGACGAATGGAAAAAGAGACAGAAAAGCATCAACCAAGGACTGCGCGATCCCCATCCGCATCGCTCAACCAAAAGGCAACAATGCAGAGGTTCGCCAGCAGGCCGCACCCAAAATTCATGACCAACTCCACCTTTCCCAGTAAGGTATTTCCCGGTACCGTTTCCAAGCTTTGGAGATTTGCCGCAAAACAATAGCAACGCATGTCTTTGCCCGCCACCACCCATTTGATATTTCCCATATGAGCCCATAACAGAAACACCTGTTGTCCCCCCCGCTCCGAATAAGTTGCTGAAAAGACACTCATTCTATATGTCGAGATAATCTTTTTCGGAATGACTTCGTGACCCGTCGAGCACCATGATGAACAACAGATATTTTGAATCATCTTGGAAAACAAAAAAAGTCGTCCCGCTGCCCGTGAAAAAAGATGCCGAGAATTAATTATATCCGAGAACTCCGCCGTGGTGTGATTTCACACCGATGCATGTCGTGAAAATGCAAAACCATCCGTGTGGAAACGCCATTCGTGCAAGTCCAACCTCATCTTGAGAGATTCGGACACCGAAAGATTTTTGTCGATTTTTTTTGTAGTCGAAAGTCCCAAAGGAAAAGTGGTATCGGTTACTTCCCATTCCGCGCCATTGAAAAGCCTCGAAGGAATTTTGTCGGTTAAACAGGGTATGTCGGTGAGGTTGTTTGTACAGGAGAGGAATGTCGTTTGAGCCAACAGTTGACCAGGCCACGTTGGCAGCCTAGCCATAACCTTGAGGTACCCAGCCCGCAAGAGGAAATCATCGATGCCATCGCCTTCACTTCTTCCGCTTTTTCGGTGTCCGCCAAGATGACCAATTGAAACAAGCAGAATGAACAGCAGTTTACACATCAGCATGCATCGGCACAGAAGACAGGGAGCACAATCCCTATCTCTCTGTCACGAGAGCGGGATCGACTCCTCACCATCTGCGACCCATGCCCTGCTGCATCCTGGCGGGGGACACCGAAGGCGGCGGGCTCGACATGGTGATGCCGGTAGCCGGGTTAACGATGGGGATGGCATTGCGGGCGCGCGTGGCCGCAGGCTGGTGAAGCTTCAGGCTAGACTGCTGGTACGCGGGAGGGATGAAGGCGGGGGAAGAGGAGTTGAGGGAGAAGCCGGGGGCAACGGTCTGGGGTTGCTGTGTCGGCGAGGACTCGGGAGAGTTGCTGGCCAGAGAAGAACGCTCAGAAGAGCTGTGGATGGAGTTCATCTGCAGCGGGCGACCAGGATTAGTCACCGGATCATGAGATACAGATCCAAGGCTCCGGGATACTTACGTCGCTGTCTGTCAACAAGCCAGGGCAGAATTCCATGTCGTCCTCCAGGTCGAACGAGCGACCGGCCTCGAACTTTGTGCGGAAAGCGTTGAGGGTAGCAGACTCGGTCAGCTCCTTCATGCTTCGCACGCCACGGAACTGCTTGTGCTGGTTCTGGGAGACAGAGAGCCGAGGCGCTCGGCGGTTCCGGCCGCCATGGTGGTTGTGAGAAGCACCGGGGACGGCCGGGGTGGGATGCGCCTGGTGGTGGTTGAACTGGTAGTATGAAGACATTATCTATCAATGTTTCGGGGGTAGGTGCCGTGGTAATGTCGTTGTGGGAGGTCGGAGAAGGCGTGCCGGTTTTTGTTGGTTAGGAGGCAGTGTGGCGGATGCGCGGGTGGTCTTATGTGGGCGAGCCGAGCTGTGCGGTATTATTGCGGTTTGAAACACAAACAATGAAACCTGCCGAGTCGACGTTGTGCGAGTAGAAAGTGGTGTACGGATACGATGAATAGGTTCAAGGTGGGAACGGGTCGTTGGAGGAAAGCAATGCTTTTTTTCTTTTAGGTCGTTGTATGTATAATCGTTTAGAAGCGTTTGGTGGAATAGAGGTGATGATGCGGTGGGAAAAGGTACGTCTGGAAAGAGGGGGGAGAGAGTTGTTGAAAAGTAGCGGGAGGGAAGAGTCCGGAGAGAGCGATGGTTTTGTTGGTTCGAGCAGGACGGTGGGAGAGTGGGAGGACGGTGGAAAGGTGAGCGGGCAGGCGAGAGGAGCGACGAGGGCACGGAGGGCAAGGAGAGGACACTGGAGGGAGGGGGGGGCAGCGGTGGACCCACAGCTCGCCCAATGGGAGATGATCAGAAGACAGTGTTACATTCAGGGACACTGTGGTCCCACTCCTTGACGCCATATGCGAGTTCGCCACTCTGTTTTCATTGGCTGGCAGATCTCAAACTAGAGCGGCCATGGACTAGCGCGGTCTAGCGGGCTGGTGTAAATTTGGGGCGTGGCGCCGGCTGCCGTCAATCCTACCAGTGCGGCGGACAGTACATTGTCCGGGTGGGGCATAGGCTCGCCGTACTTGGATGGGGAGACGATGAATGAGTGAGTGAGTGAGCGATGTAGTGAACGAGACTGGGGTTGGATGAAGTTGAACTTGACGGTAAGGTGACTGCGCAGCGGGCGGGAAGGCAAGGCAAGATGTGGGAAGCGAAGAGTTGCGTGTGCCCGGCCAGCCTGGGTGAACCTGGTTGGGGGTTCGACAGTGAATGCTGAAAGGCAGATATAGCGGGACGCACTGGGTGCCTGGTTGGCGGGAGCGCAGAGAGCATAATCCTCCCACTCTCATGTTCACTTTCACTTTCACTTTTGGTCTGATTCTCACTCTCACATCTCACCATTAGTTTCGACAGACTTGCATCCCCCCCTCCATCTTGGACATTCCAGGTCGGAACATGGACGCAGGGCAAGCTGAGGCGTGGCATGCAGGTACCGAGTTTGCCGTCGCAGGACGCACTGTGGGCTTTGTTTTTCTTCAATCACAGTGCTGGCAGCCGCGAGGGAAAAGCCTCCTGGGTCGGAGAGTTGCCGCCGCCTGTCGCTTGTCTTGTTTACAATCCGGGCACCGCTTGCGGCCATGGAGAGATTGGCTGCCCACACCTGTCATTCCAGAACCCCAGTGTGAGCGGCGATGGATGGGGAATCAGCCAGGAGCACGTTCAATATTGCTGTACGAGAGAACAGAGCGAGATTAGAGATGAGACATGATACGGACGGGGCCCAGCGCAGCACTCCTCCTATCTTACACCGTCCGTCGTCCCCCGTCTGCCGTTCTCTCTGCCACTGTCACTGTCGGTGTGGTCCAGGTCCCAGTGTCGCCTGGCGTCTCTCTCTCTCTCTCTCTCTCTGTGAACCCCCTGGGTGCCGTGCTGCCTGAGTCCAGGCAGTATCGAGATGTCTCTCCTTTGTGATCAACTGACCACTCTTTCGCATCTCCTCTTGCGGCCTTGCCTGCTCTCGGCCCTGGCCGTGATCCGACCAACGGCGTGTGTCTTGCCCTCATCCAGTCTTCGCTCGTCCGCTTCGGCATCCCTTTTTTTTTTTTCATCCCTCTCATTGTCCGTAAAGCCTTACGCACTCTGGCACTCTCCAACCTCGTCCGTATTTCCAGGCGACGCTAAGCAACCCCCATGGCGGACGGTAACATTGTTATTGTTGTTGATGGTCCTGTCCAAAGTTCGGCAAACGCGTCAGGATGCTTTCGGCTGACGCGATGGGATGTCTGAAGGATGAATTGGGGTGCACGCACGATGGCATCGTCTTTCGGTGGTTGCTCTATCGCATGCTTTATCGCATGCTCAACGGCTTCCACAGGGGCATTAAACTGGCGCAGTCTGATGTTCAGAAACACGAGAAACGCAGCCTAGTGTTTCCCATCTCCGTACTGGTAGACCGGAGGCACCGTCCCTAGGAGTCTGGTGCCCGGGTTCCTCATACTCGGCTGGCTTCATGTCGTCCGCCCACCCACATTGTGTCGATTGTCGAGTGCGCCCGCCTGTCTGCTTCAGTCCAAAGTGAAACCCTCCTGACCCTCTCTCCTGGATGGCCCTGGTCCGGCCGAATCCCAACCTTTGGGGGAGCTGAAGATGGGGAAGAAAAACATTGGAGCGGACGGGGCTGCGTGATGCGTTGGATGCACCGGGCGGTGGGCAGACTGAACGGCAGAGGACGAGCTGCAGGTGGAACAGTGCAACGCACCACCCGCCGGATCTCTCCTTCGCTTCTTCCCACCGTGCTGCCTCCCGCACCACCAGCACAACTGCAGACACAGTAGCCGCACCAAGACAAATGGATTGTCGAGGTCAAGCAGGCAGGATGTGGGCGTACCTAGCGTGGGATAGCCAGCCAGGACCCAAACATTGTCGCCAGCTGCTCACACTGTCCGCTACCCACACTGTGATGTGGCACACTACCTACCTACCTATGTAGAGCCCAAGGAGCATCCACTGTCATTGGGTACGTACACATTTAGGTGCTGCTGCCCACTGCTGCAGGAGGTTAGAGCCCCGGGCTGCATGATGGACAGCGAGGCAGTGGCCCTCTGCTAGAGGCAAGGTACCTAAGTATTCGTAGCCACACACAGAGTCACACACACACACACACACACACACACACACACACACACACACACACGCCCATGGACGCACACACAAGGCTGTGAGCCACTGACATGCAGACACTGGGTGGAACCTGGTGCCGCTATGACTGATCGCTAGACCCTGGTCTGGTGCAAAGAAAAACAATAACCGAGAAATGACCTGGGCCCTTGACCTTCTGGCCTGGATTCGGAAACGTGGCGGCTGGCACACTCACTTGGAGGCGAATCAAGCATCCCGATTGTCATTTCGGCGGACCTGACAACTTAGGCATCAAGTCATGTAGCTCACAGTGTGCGACTGCCATCTAGGGACTTGCTGCAGCCCACCTGCAGTGGTAGCTACACACTTCCATCTCTCACACAGGGCGCACAGCGCCTGCCCACACAGAGAGGTTGTACGTACTATGGCAGTCAGCACCTTCTGCGCTCTATCTGTGTTCTGGATGACCATGTTTGTTTTACATGTCTTGTCACTAACAGTGGGGCAACCGTCTGCCGGTCGTAACTGATCTCACATTCTTACTCCCTAACAACCTGCTCACACTGCTGTGCACTCTCATGGTCCACACAGATCTCAGTCAAGGTTTCCCGCCCCATATCGTCAGTCGTCACTCGTTGCCCCTTTCCCTCCCTCACCCCAGCATCATCCGTCAGTGGCCATCGATAAACAGGCCATGGTGAACGCACAGCCCTGTTTATTGATCCAAGCCTTTTTCTTTCTATCTTCGTATCTTGATTTTCGGCGTCGGTCATACAGAATTGATCCGTTCCTTTAATATGATTCATCAGATCCTGCAACTGCCGGCTGGTAGAGACTGCCGCCGCTATGGAGGTGCCAGGTCGAGATTAAGGTAGGCTTCGACATGCCACACGCATGAGAGCAACTCTATCGCCGTGGACAACAGCTTCCCGCTGCGGCGCGAAACGCCTTCTAGACCAAATCTCGAATGGGAACGTTCCCCACCTTTTGACGGCGAAGCGTGGGATTTGCTATGGTACCCGACCTTGTACCCGCACTACATAGTAGCACTGCTGCACTGCTGCCACTGCATGAGGCGAACGGGCCTCCTCCGCGACCATGCCAGCGGCCTTCACCCGGGGCAGACCCTGGGATACTGTCTCTCTCTCATCTGGATCTCTCCTCTCTCCTCCCCGATTGTGGCACAGTACGGCTCCCTGTCCATTCGCCGAAGGCTGTGAAGCGCTGAAGGCTGAAGCGGGGCGAGGCACGGCCGGGGCCCTGAGACACCTGATGATGGCTTTCGTGATCTCTGCGGATACGGTCCGTACAGTTGAAGCCAATTGGGGAACCCAGGTGACGAAAGGGGGCAGAATCGCATTCCCATGGCCATGGCACCCCACGTCCAGTCCGTCGCCTCGTCAGTCAGCCCGGTCAACCAGTCTCTGATTAACCGTCATCCCGCCGACTCTGTCCTTCGGCGACAGCGTTGGTATTCGGTACATGCCTGGGGGAGCTCTCCAAACGACGTAACGGACGTCTGTTCCGTTCGCCCACCGTTTCCATGCCATCCAGGGCCCCGCGCCTGGGACGGAGGGCAGCTATTTTGGTCGCCAAGTCGGCTCTCCACGCTACTTGGGTGCTTGCCCGTTGTGCAGAGAGGCCAGAGCCGGACGGCGTTGGGCTCAGGGTCCCTGGGGAGGCCGAGGACTGCCTCCCCTCCATTATGCAGGACGTGTTCCATATCGGGGCAGCATTGACGCTCATCCTCCATGTTCTTCTGCCAGGTCTTGTTTTTGCGAAGAGCTTACAGCACAATGCCTAGCAACACAAGCCAACATTTGCCAGGTTGCCAGGCGTGCCAGGGTCTATTTACTAGGTAGTAGACAACAGGAAAAGAAAGTTGGTTGTGTGGGGATTCCGCCATTGAGTTCGACCTTCGCTGTCACACAGCTGTCGACGCATCCAATCCACGCTCGATGCTCTACACCTACCAAAATCGAAGCTCCTCTGGAAGGAAGGATTCGATGGCCGGTTGAGCAACCTTCTTTTGTTTCTTTTGCTGTCCAGCCTCTGGACCAACCTTCCAGCCTCACCAGTCGTGCCATCTCCAATCAATCCTCCTCCCCCAGCCTTCATACCCTGCCGTACAAACGTCTGCATGAAACCACAAATGTACGATGTACAGGGCGGCGGACGGCATGTTTGCGCCTATCTGTGGCAGCTGACTGAGGGTTGATGTTGGTCGAGTCACCCCACAAGATCTCACGGATTCGCTTTCGCGATGAATGGGATCTGGCCAGCCCAGCTACATGGGGCGCGGCCACTCCCATGGAAAGGGGGGAGGATTGAAAGCCACAGAACACACGGACGGGGAGGGGGGCATGGGAAGACATGAGAAAGCCCCTTCTTCACTGCCACACCGCCATTTTGGCATTCAAAGGTTGGACCAGACTCGATCCAGACAGCGGATTATGTGCATCGCTTGCTGCGGCAGCGGATTATTCCTCTCATGGTCTCACCTGTCTCACCACCTCGTCCCCAGGTTCTAGTGTACACCACGTCTGCCGTCTCGCAGTGGGGGACGCTCCGACCACCTCGCCGCCACTCTTTGACCGTTCCCATCTTCCCCTCCCCCTCCTTTGTCCCTTGGAGAAGGGGGGGTTGGAGAAGTCGAGACAAGAGCAGGATGAGAGTTCGAAGCTAGAATAAGAGCTGATGTTGGGGAGGCAAGGCAAGCTACCTGCTGAGCCACCTGGGCACACCTACCTGCCTGTGGCCGGAGAGGGCTTACTGCATCGACGGTAGAGCAACGAAAAAGCAAAGAAGGAGGAGGAATGCGACAGGACCAGGCCAGCAGTCGGCCAGCCAAACCGACGCATCTGATATGCCGGCAGCACTAACTGGTGGTGCATAGCATGGCAGCCATGCCGTGCCATGCCCACGCCATGCCACCTCCAGCACAGCGGTTGATGTGGGGCAGTCTGTCAAACGGCACAGTGCTTGGTGCTGTCTGGTGTCTGTCGAGGATGGGCTTTGCTGGCGAGCGATTCTCGCTCCGCTTCCATCCGATGCATTTCCGGCGCGGATGCAACACGACTTGAAGACGCAGCAGTTCGCGGCGGTGTCTTGGACTAAGGTGGTTCGCAGTCGAGACTCGACGACCTGTGCAGCGCAAAGAGTCTTCATCCTTTCCGCTGTATGCGCTGTTCTTCCCTTTACCCCATGCCCGGCAGACGTCGAGGCAGGGTCTCCGGGCCCAGACTTCCAAGTGAATGGCATTGTTCGGATTCCCACTAAACAGAAACAGTCGAGGACCCGCCCATAGCCAAGCCCCATCACGCCCATGGGGGATCGAGGGGGACAGCCGGTTACTTTGCGACGTCACCCCTCTCGGGGGCACGGAACATGGCGGCGACGCCGACGCCGACGAGCCTAGGAGATTTACGACGCCTCTTTGTTCAGAACGGCGAAGCGCATCATGCTTACAGCTCGGTAATTTCAAGCGTCAATCAAGTGACAACGGAATCCACCGAGGAAACTCAACATCGCGGCACTTGAGCGATTGTCGTCCCCCGCGTTGCATGCTTACCGTACGGTGTGGCCCTCTACCCGACCTCCGTGCGGTGACGGGGCCTCCGTCCCACCCCGGCGCAGCATCCGCCAACCGCGCATCCCATACCCGCGGATACCATCCATCATGTGAAATTCTTCCGCAACCTTGACCCAACCATGTGTACCGCACCGCAGCCGTCCTGCTCACCCAAGCCTCGCAGCCCGCCTGGATATTGCACAACATCGATACCCAAGTGATTGGCCTTGAAGAGAATCTCCATAACCAGGTGGAGAGACAATGAGGGACGGGCTACTGGAAAAGCACCTCCCGCAAATAGGCTTCGGCCTGGGCCTGGCAGCGGCGACCGCGACCCTCCTCGTCCTCGCCTCCCGCACCACCACCTCCTCCGCCTCAGCCGCTGTCGGCCTCCCGGCTCCGCGTCCGGCAAAAGACCGCCGCAAGACTGCCCTCTCGCCGAAATGGACCGTCTTGCCCACCCTCTCGACGTTGGGCCGCGATGAGCTGCCATATCCGCCGGATGTGCTCCCCGGCGGTCGGGACGTCGCAACGGCGTACGGGAACCTGCGAGTGTATGAGTTCGGGCCGGAAACGGCGGAGGAGAGGATTCTGTTGCTGCACGGCATCGGGACGCCTTGTCTTGCGCTAGGAGGTGTTGCTGAGGAGTTTGTCAAGAGGGGGTGGAGGGTCATGACTTTTGGTGAGTTTTTGATGATGATGATGATAATGGGGGGCTCCTACCCCTGAGCATGTGTGATTATGGCCATGAGCTATACCATTCGGAATGTGACGAGTGAAAAAAACCGTCCAGCACTTGAATAATCAAGGTAGCTTGGGCTTCATTCTCTCGACACATACCACTTATCTCATCAATCATACACGGCACTCTGTCTCTCTCGACCTTCCGTAACTGTACATTAATGACAACCCACCCAGACTTCTTCGGCCGCGGCTACTCCGACTCGCCCCTCGACATACCCCACGACGCCCGCCTCTACAACACCCAAATCCTCCTCGCGCTCGCCTCATCCCCCTCGCCGGGCTGGACCGGCAACGACGCCTTCCATCTGCTGGGCTACTCCCTCGGCGGCGCCGTCGCCGCCGCCTTCGCCTCCTCGCATCCGCACCTTGTCAGGTCCCTCAACCTCGTCGCCCCGGGTGGCCTGGTCCGCTCCGCCGCACACGTCGGGTGGCGGAGCCGGGTCCTGTATAACTCGGATTGGATCCCCGAGGGCGTGAGGCAATGGCTCGTGGGACGGAGGCTGATGCCTGCTGATCCCAAGAGCGGGGGCGACGTGCCGGAGAAGGAGACGGTCGACGACGAAGGCGACGGCAAGGACGAAGAGGAGGGGCCGACGGCGGAGTGGGATGAGCTGAGGCTCGTCGGCGGGAGACGGATCGGGGAGGTGGTGAGGTGGCAGCTCGCGACGCACCCCGGGTTCGTGACGAGTTACATGTCGACGATCCGCCACGCGCCAATCTACGACCGCGGGGACGAAGAGTGGAGGGTCTTGGGGGAGGCGTTGGAGGCGAGGAGGAGCAGTCGGAGATCGGAACCCGGGATGAGAAAGGGCCGGGTGCTGTTCGTGCTCGGGGAGGAGGATGACATTGTCGTGCCCGGGGAGACGGTATGGGACGCGGAGAGGGTGCTTGGGGAGGACGCGGTCGATGTCGTGGTTCTCAAGGGCGGGCACGAGGTTGCCATCACCAAGGGGAGGGAGATTGTGGGTGCTGTTGTTTCTGCGTGGGAGAGGGCGTAGACGACGGCTGGATTCTTGCATTTGTACGATGGGAGAGGAGGGAAGGGCGGGTTGCTTTGATAGAGTCTTATATAGGGATTGCTAGACGGATGGATAGATAGCCTGGATGTTTGAAACTTGGAGGAGATGATGGTCGTTTATAGAATTGGACATCTCCTGGTGGGAGTTTTTACTTGGTTATGTACCGACTTTTGATTCGTCTACATCTCACAGTATAACCAGGGAGGAGAGGAACTCTCAGTCCTCGCTCGCTCACTCGACTATGGAGATTGACCACAACAAAGGACATCATAATCAAAGTCTGTCAAATCATGGGACAGAAGGCTTGTTGTTCTTCATCCTTTTCTCATGCTCCTGTTTGCCGAATCGGATACAGACTTCCGTCGCAGCTGCAGCCTCGTTAGATACCGGTGGTGAGGTATCTCAGGGGGGCAGACCAATTGCAAGGAAAACCCAAAGACACACTCACACACACACACACACGCAAAAGAAACATAGAAATCTAGAAACTCGGAATTTCCCATGCCAATGTTCCCATGGCCCCAAGCCCCCATGTTCCATGTCCCAAAATCCCTTGTGTTCCCGACGATCCAGAGTAAGCCAGCCCTCCAGAGCGACGGGATTGAGCTGCTGCGGGGGCTTTAAAATCGCCCGGGGTGTCAGGAATGGCTCGTTCTCAGGCTTGGCTCTCTTCTCCCCTCTTGACATCCCCCCCTTTCCTCCTTTCCTCCTGATCTACTCGCGCAGCGTCTCAAAAATGGAATTCCGCGGGCCTTTAACGAGGGGCCCGAAAGCCATAACCTGCCAGTCCAAAGACTGCTTGTCTGCCCTCTTCGTATTCCATCCTACCATGCCCTCGTTCACCTACTCCTTGGGGAACTATCCGACGAAACTCGTGAGTGCGACGGAGCTGAACCGTTCGATAGGGTGAAGTGGCTAGGGAGTGAGCTGGAGGCCGTGAACGCCGCAGAACGGCTCCTGTCCCGGCCTTCGTCATGGACCACAGCGGCGTGCGGCTCAGGCCGAGCAGAACCGTCCGAGGCTCTCGAGAATCGGCGGTGCCGTTGCGTATCGTGATGCACCAAATACAATACCCATCTACCTTGCCAAATCTTTCATTTCAAACTCACCTCTCGCAATGGCTCAAGTCGCCATCAACGGCGGTGGCCTCTGTGTACCGATCTATCTCTCCCACTATCAAAGAACGAGTAGCTGACCATTACACTAGGGACTCACTCTCGCCCTCTACCTACACTATAGTGGCATCTCCTCCGCAGTCTACGAAGCCAGGCCCAAGGACTTTGTGTCAGGCTAGAACTTTGCCCTCTCACCTAACGCCCTCCACGCCCTCGACCACATCGGCGTCTACGACACCCTACGCCCCCAAGTGGACGCTGTCGGGCCCGACGGGACCTCTTCGACGAAGAACCCGTCAATGTGCTCCATGAGGATGAGGCCCGCGGTTCTGTACTTGTTCTTGCCCTTGGGCCATGGTGCCGATGAGGGACTTGAATGTCCAGGTGCCATAGTAGTGTGTATGTATGTATGTATGGGTGCTTGTGTATGTATGAGAAAGAAAGAGGAGGAAAAGAGAGGTAAGTGAAGGGAAGTTTTGTAGGGCAACTGCTCTAAGTCGATGGTGAGAGGTATTCTAGTTTATTAATGAACTGGACAGATGGAGATGAGTTGTGTGAAGGCAAGACTGATGGCTTGCAGTTTTTGCTTCTTGCTTGGGGTGGGGGGATTCTTGATGGAGATTAAACTTGAGAGATTGGCCCGACGAAAGCAGACGGCGGTGTCACTGCACAAGGCACCTTGGGTAGATTGGACGTTTGGCCTTGTCCATGGACTGAAGCAAGATGGAAGAAGGACGATGAAGGGATACGATGCCAATGGAAGGGACAAAATAAAGGACGAAGCTATGCTAGATGTTCAATTTTGTTACCTTCGCTGCTATATTTGTCAGTGATGCTGACTAGGAAGAAGGACGACGAAGGGATGTAATGCTAAGGTAAGGATTGGGAGCGCGGAGAGAGAGGCGAGGTCTCGACGTGGCAACGATGATGAGAGAGCTTCTCCGCGAGCCATGGTGAGAAATGGTCTCACGGGCGGCACGGGCCCAGTCAGCATTTGGTAATCAGAGGCGGCAAGCATCACCGTCTCAATGTCCCAAAGGTGCGCAATAATTAGACGAACAGAGTGAGGTTGAGCGTCGTTTGTCGAAAAAGAACCCACCTTGAATTGAGGTACCTTAGAGTTGGTCCGGGCGCCGATATAACGGGTCGTAGCGGGATTTCGATCGCCCTAGCTCTGACCCCTGTCTTTTCTACTGAGCTCGCGACCAGTCGGCGCATTCCCTCCCACACGTGTTGCACGGGCAAACCCACGTGTACGTACTCCCTCCATCCCCATTCAGACTTCCGTTCTCATCCAACCGTCCAACGACCTCCCGGTGAGGTATCGATACGATAGCGGGATAGGTACTAACACATCTTTAGGCCCCATTTGGCTCAAGTCGCTCATGATCCTTGAAGCCGACCTCTAGCAGGATTCCACTTTCGCAGAGCCACGTGCGTTACGGGCACGCAAGGCCTGGTCAAATCACAGTCCAGTGTTGCTTACTCTCTCTCGAGTCTCACCCAGAGAAGCAGAATAACCCCCTGCAACCACCACCCATAAGTATGGATGGCTTCCTCAACTTTCTTCCCGAGAAGGGCCCTCGGGTCGCCGGCCGCCTGGGTGAAGTCCTTCGTCATCATCGCTAGTTTCCTCGTCTTTGTCCAATTCGCCCTCCCGCACGTAATGGCGCCCAAGGTTTCTACTCTGCTGGCCGGCCTCGCCGTCTTCGGCACCGGCAGCAGCGGCGGCGGCGTTGTCAACGCGGCCGGTGGTGTCGATCTGAGTTGGCATGCGCCCTCTCAGACCGAGGTCAACAATCTGACCGCCGTGATCAATGGCAAGGGTGTCTGGGGTTTCATCTATGACACCTCGGAGACTCCCGACGACAGGTATGGGCAGTACAACTGGTGCAACATGCCCCATGTGCGCAAGACGGAGTACGTGAAGCCGTCGGAAGAGTACGAGCTCAAGTACGTGGAACTGGTAAGTCATACAGAACTTTTTCCCTACTATTTCACTCCCGCCTTCATAACTCCTTAACCCTGACTTATCCAACAGGTTCACCGCCACCACAAACGCACGCCCTACGCCTCCAACGCCTTCCCCGTGGAGCCGTATCAGTGGAACTGCGATGACCAAGGGCTCTTCTACTACGGCGAGCCCTTTGCCAGCAGCAACAAGCCGGCAAAGACCTACTGGAAGATCTACATCTCTCCCGTCAACCCCTTTGTCCCCGCGGGCTGGATCGGGACCTGCCAGTTCCCCCAGATCACCGCCCAGGGCCTCGACGACTCCTGGGTCCACGGCGCCGACCTCTATGGCGTCTACCACGGCCTTCTGGGCTTCCTCCCGGGCCCGGACGGCGTCAATTCGCCCGAGTGGCAACGCAAGATAAAGTACCGCGTCACCAACAACCAGATCACCAGCCAGGTCGCCGGCATGGTCGTCAACGGCATGTGGGGCACCACCGACTCCCTCCAGCTCAGCATCCAGGCCGCTGGCGTCGACTCCCTTGAGCCGCAGTACTCTTGCCCGGCCGGCTCCGCCCTCTTCAGCCGTATAAAGTCCGCCTCCAATGCCGCCTGGGCCCAACATCTCGCCGCCGCTGGCCCGCTTTACACCGCCCTCGACAACATCTCGGGCGTCCCCGCCGACGACCAGGGCTTCCATGCCTCGCTGGACCACTACTACGACAACCTCTCCGCCCGGCAGTGCCACGACAAGCCATTCCCTTGCAAGCTTGTCGGCGGTGTCAACACCACCACCTGCGTCACGCAAGACCTCGCCGACGCCGCCTACCGCCTGGGCAACTGGGAGTACTCCCAGATGTACCGCGACGCCCCCGACTCCCTCGCCGCCAGCGTCGCGTCGTGGGGCGTCTGGGTCGCCGAGCTGGCTACGCACCTGCGCGCTGTCGTGGACGGCACGAGCGAGACAATCTACTTCCACAACGTCGCGCACGACGGCTCCGTCTCGCGGCTGCTGTCCATCCTGCAGCTCGACCACATGGTCTGGCCCGGCATGGGCTCCGAGGTCGTCTTCGAGCTGTACAAGAAGAGAAAGACGGACGACGCCGAGAACCCTCCCGCGCCGACGTCCACCGTGATCGCGCCGGGATGCAACCGGAACAACTGCCTGCGCCAGGTGATCCGCGAAGCTGCGTCGGCAGCGACCTTCTGCCCCAACCTGACCGCCTCCGCCTCGTGGACCCAGCCGCTGCCTGCGTGGGCGGCGAACTGCAACGGTGACGTGGCTGCGTTGTCCTCTGCGTGCTCTTGCATCTATGCAACCGCTACGGCCACCGCGACCGCCAATGCGACCGCCACTGCGACCACAACTGCCACGGCCACATCCACGCCCGGCGCGGGTGAGGGTGCAGGTGAGAGCGGCTGGTATGTCAGAGTCCTCTGGGGCGGTCAAGTCTTGAAGTCATCACACCCGGCGCTGGGCCTTATGGATATGGTCCCCGTCGAGACGCTTTTGTCGTACTTTGACGGGTTGGTGGGAGAGAATGCCAGTCTCGTCAAGGGCAAGTGCAGCTCTTGAGCCTCTGCACGGTCTCATGATCGCTATAAGTAATGATCATCTTGAGCACGTATATATGTCGTGTGTACATCTAGTTCACCTCTGTAATTCATAATAATAGTCGATCCCCTCATGGCTCCGCTTGCTTGCGATCGCACCCGTGTTAAACACACAAATTTTGTACAACTAGAGCAGACTACACTCCTTCTCGAGATCTTTCCAACGCCCGTTGCGCATAGGGTCTAGCTGACGCACTTTGGCCATCCACGTTTGGAGTTCTTCCGTCTCTTCGTCATTGAGCGCTCGTCCCTCGACGCGCGGCAGCGCCCTCGTGTAATCCAGCAGCGCCTTATAAATCCACGTGATGTCGTCGTAATCCTCCAAGAGGTCCTTGATGTCTTCTATTTCACGTTTCACATAGGATGCCTTCTCTTCACCTGACAGACTTGGTGCGATCTTGGGCCGGCCATCTGACTCGGTCATGTTCTGGACAAGGAAATGGTGGTAAAACCAGAGGGACTGGTCCTCCGGGCCCACGTTCAATGCTTCGCGGACGAGGTCGAGTTCTGCTCACGTTAGTCAGCCTGACTCGCAAACTCCATAGGCGTATTTTCGGTTGCCATTACCGTCTTCCAGGAACTTCTGCCGCGCCTTGTCATCGGCGCCGCGTTCTTCTAGTAGGCGGGGTATCAGGTTAGAGCGGTTATGCCATGCTGAGAAGTTGGACAGGTCCATATTGATCATCTTTGTCGTGTATGCAAACTCGGACTCGACCAAGCTCTTTCCGTCGAGTCCTGCGCCCTCCAGAGTGGCGACGACTTTGCGCCGGTAGCCCCAGGCGTGGAAGTTGCGGCGGTCTTTTGTCAGCATCTTGGATACGAGGCCGAGTTCTTCTTCCCATATGCGACGGGCCACGGGCCTCGGTAGTATGTCGATGGCTTGTTGAAGGAGCCAGGAACGATATTTCCATATCCAATAGCTCTTTGGAAATTCCAACAACAGCGGAATCGTGAACATGAGCTCGTTCTTGAGGGTCTCAACGACCTCCTCTGTCGATGGTCCCCTTTTCGTCTCCACTGACTCAGCTGTTGTACCACTCCTCCCACTCTCTGGGTCCGCTGGGGACGCGGGGTCTGGCGGGATCGTGGTCGAGGAAAAGCGCGACGCAGCGTCGGAGGACAGAGGCGGAGTGCATGCTGCTGATGAACTCGCGGGCGGCGCCGATGGCGACGGCCCAGGCGAGGGTCTTGATAATGATCCACAGGTTAGGCAGCGCCTGCGGACGTTCCATGCCGTGTAGTGCTCCGGGTTCAGGCGCAGGAGCTTTGTGGTCAGGGCGAGGGTCGCCGGGTCGGCCGGGTCGGGCCGCGGTGAGGCACGGAGGAGGGAGTCCTCGATGGCGCGGAGGTTCGCGATCCTGGAGAGGTCGGCCTGGAGCTGGGCTTCGGAGCGTGGTTTCCGGGCTGTGCGGGCTATGCCGTGCTATGATCCTCGAGGAGGGACTAGTAAGCTTGGGGTAGATGTCTTGGCGGTTGCGGAGTTTGGAGGTGTGATGGAGGTTGATGGAGAGACGGGTGGGAAGGGAAGCAGTTGGTTGGGCTGGTGAGAGGAAAGTCGAGGTGGTTATACTTACGCTTTCCATGGGGATCCGAGGGGGCTCTATGAGAGCGGGATGATCTGATAGGAAAGGAGACGGGAGGTGACCTGGGGGAGGTCGATCAGGGAGGACGGACAGAAACTATAGTCCGCTGGTTGGGGGGTTGAAGGCGCTGCGAGCTCTGGGCGGCATGAAGCTGACGCGGGAACTGGGCAGCGCGCAGGAGCAGGGATTCCCCACCACCCCGTTTAGGCATGTCAATTTAGCCAGTGGCCCGAGCTCCCGGTGAAGAAGACCCCGAGAAGGTTGACCCGCCATGTCTTCTCGTGCAACAACAACGTCAACAACGTCGTACCTCTTTGCTTCCGCAGCTGCCTTACTTGTCTCACCACCGTGGCAAAGTACCCAACGGCGAGTGCCAATTCCAGGCTTAGTTTGACTTGCCACGTGTTTGCCTTGGTTTATGAAAAAAATCTCCCCCAAAATGAAAGGCCTGGACTCAACTAGACAAGAGGTTTCAAACCAAGTCGAGGTCGGGAGTCAATAGCTCCCTTCCAAGCTTTCGCTATTCTGAGTTAATCATCGAGAAGATGAGTCGAAGGTGTCAGCGCCCCCACCACATCAGGATATGAAATGAAACCATGTCTTCACTATTTGCCATCCATCTTGCTTGTCAACACTTACCCGCATGATCCTAGATATTGCCCTCTCTCACACTTTTATTCAGCTCTCAAGTTTTTATCTGTCGCAAAAGATGCCAGCTGAGAGCTGAATATCTTCAAGCAGCTTTGGAAAGAGCTCCAGTCAATCGCTCCTGAGTAAACAATCGGGTCGATCTGCACAGCTTCCCGTGACGTCGCTAGCTACGCGTATACCATGACGCATCGCACTGCTTATCCCCTTTTCCCTTTTCCTTCTTCTTCTTCTTCTTCTTAACCATTCGCCCCCCCTAGGAAACCATCTCTCCCTAGGACATGCATCGCTACATCCCTCGACGAGACGGAATTCCCCTCTCCGAAAAGATCCGCATGAAGCAAGACCCTCTACCGCTGCCTACGCCGACTGCCTCCCGCCCCGTCTCCGTCGTGGGACCTTCGGTCTTGTCCCCAGCTTCTTCCAAGCGCCCTTCTCCGTCTTCATCTACTCCTTGTCGTCGAATCAGAACAAGGTTCTTTGGGCCGCGGCCGAAGGAAGAGGAGGAACACCAACGACACGAAGAGAGACTGGCTGAAGCCTTGGAGGTCGACAAGGCAGCCAAGATTCTCGATTTTGGGGTTCATCCGGCCTCATTACCAAGGGCATAGTGTGCAACCAAGGTGCCCACGTCTTCCTCGTGTAAGTCTCATTTTGCTGACGACACTTCGTGCTCTGGCAAGCTCATATTTGTTGCTAGGCTCACGCCAATTACGAAGCAGTCTGCCAGCGGCGCCATACAAAGTCCTCCAGGCGCCGGGTCTCGAGGATGACTACTACCGCTCGCCAATGGCCTACTCGTCAACCTGCCAATGTTTAGCTGTGGCTCTGGGGAGCACTGTTTACCGATGGTCGGAATGGCACGATCCCCAACCTGTTTACCGCACTCCTCGCCAGCGACATACGAGTCTGACATCTCTGTCATTTTCCTCTACCCAAGGCAACAAGGCAATACTAGCATTTGCGCGGAAGGACGGTTATTTTGGTCTACTATCGTTCATTGACGAAATGCTGCCACGGTTTTGGTTCCACCACCCGTTTCCAGTCGAATGCGTCAGCTAGCGGCCGTCTGTGACGAAAAGACCATCACAGAACCCCTTCATCTCGGGCGCTACAGTGCCGACAGAGGACCTCCTAGTTGGCGATGGTCGAGGAAACATCTTGCACTACGTGGTTGAGTGGCCCAGCTTGTGGGAAGTATCTCGCGACACTTGGTTTGGCAAGGTGACCCCCGTTGCCAAGATTGCAGCGCATACCTCGCAGATATGCGCGCTGGTCTGGTCTCCCAACGGCCAAGAATTTGTTTCCGGGAGCAACGACAACACGGCCTGCTACTTTGAGATACAACGATTGGAGGGCCAACGCAAGCACCACAACTCATCTACGAGTTTGGCTCGCAAAAGTCGCCGGTCAAAGAGCGATTGGGGCCTGCCGGAAGGAAATCATCCTCGACCAAAGCAGCATGATGCGAGCCGCAATGGATTGAGCCCAGGCGTGGAGACGTTGTTTGACGCCGCTCCGATGGGCGGAAGGATTGAGGCTGGTGTTATTGGAGGGATTCCAAGAACGATACAAGTGCCTACAGAAGACCTGCGAGTGTTCAAACGCGGAATGGAGACGCACTGTTGGCGACATGAAGCTGCAATAAAGGCAATCGCATTCTGTCCCTGGCAGGACGGGCTCATTGCAACGGGCGGCGGCTTGGGCGACAAGTGCATCCACTTCTTCCACACGACGTCTAGCACACCACTGGCCACCATCGATGTCGGGGCACAGGTCACCTCGTTGATCTGGTCTACGACGCGGCGCGAAATAGCAGCGACATTTGGCTACAGTCATGGCTATGCACAAACCGAGCACCCATATCGCATTGTTGTGTTTAGCTGGCCGTCTTGTCAGCAAGTTGGGGCTATTGCTTGGGCAGGTGGCCCCCGGGCATTGTACGCCATTCCGTATCCTAGAGGACCATCAGATGCGCACAAGCGAAGCCGTACGGCGAAAGAAGGAACTATTGCGGTGGCATCGAGTGACGAGACTCTCAAGTTTCATGAAGTTTGGCTGGACAGGCCAAAAACGATTATTGGTGGCGCGGTTGGCATTCTGGGCGGTAGTGACATTCTTGAGGCTCTTGGCGGGATCGACAAGGAAGGAGTTATCATTCGGTAACTCGCGAGAGGAGCAACCTGCTTGCGTAGAGGGAATATTCATTTTACATATCATGTCATATCGGACCACCCGAGGTATTCTTCGCTGTAGTCGAGCGCTGGCTCACCAGAGACCTTTGTTACCCCTACTCTATAAATCGGGTTTGAGACCAGAGACATGGCCGCGTGTACCTCTCGTGCAACTGGGAGCGTTGGACTTTCCATGCCATATCTTACGAATTTTCAGTCGACAAGTAGCCTGCCTAGTGCAGTCGTGACGTCGAGGCGCGGTGACGACACCGATCAGATGATGCTTGGGTGGCCTTGCCTACCTCACACAGAAATGAGCGTCGAAATGGAAACGCTGCGATCTGAACAAATTACCTGTGGCACAAATCGTAAATTAGAAAAGGAATCAAAACTGGACTGATGATCTATGAGGGTCAGAAGTGCTGTATTGACATGGCAAGAAGAGCGATTCCCCTTGAACTGGCTGATGTTGAAGCGTTGTGCCGGGAAAGGGGCTCATTTCGAACGAGGCACCAGATTTCTGTCTTCATGTAGTTAAAAAATTGTATTCTACTTGAAGTTGAAAAAAACGTACACGCCGTTGTTGAGGAACATTACTATCATTGGTCCATGAGAGACGAGGGCATGATGTGGGATTTGAGGTAGAATGCATGCATCTTCAACGTCTACGTGGATAACACGCAGCCCAGGGCACCTCAGTTCTAGGCCCCCATGTACTAGCGACCCCGAACCACCGGAGGCGCTACCCCAGGCACCCTTAAAAGTATGATCCAGCCGGACCAGCCCCGAAGACCCCTGCAGAAAGGGGAGCGGCTGCCGCAGCACGGAAACGAAGGTGATACCTAGGTACTTAGGTAAGGCAGGCAGTCCACCCATGGAACTCACATTCCTTCTTGCGGACGACGTCCTGTGCGCTTCTCTCATACCCCGACCCCGTCCCTGTCCCCCAGCGCATGAACACCTCCAAAACCTCCCCGAATCCGCAACCACTCCGAACCACTCCGAACCATCCAGGAGCAACGTTGCACCATCGTCATCCCTCTTAATCCCCTTGTGCACTCCACCAGCACTGGTCAGAATTGCAAAATACAACGCGTGAGACACTTGAAATCTTCCACAGAAACCTCGCGCAAGACATATCAGGGTCCTGGTCAACATGTCCACCTTGAACCAGCTTTACCTGCTCGCCGACCACATCAAGCTCTCCCTCCTGGAGCGCCAGCGCGCCCTGTCGCTCAACCTCGACGCCGACACCCAGGACGGCCACATTTCCCGCTCGCTCGATCAGTTCAAAGATGGCTTGGAATCATTAGACGCCGAGGCCAAGCGTCTGCAGGGTGCTGGCGATGAGAGGTGAGCTTCCCTTTTGGTCCTCTCCCCTACAGATCTCCAAAACCGACGTCATGCCGGATGTCCCCCAAACCACCCAAGCACCAGATACCATAAGCCATCTCCCTCAAACAGAACAGTCTGCTAATCTAGACTCTGCTCCGTAGCGCCGCCCTGAATATCACAGACTCCCTCACCGCCCTTCAGAAGCAGTTCTCAGATCTGACCTCCCAATTCCACGGCTTCTCGAACCCGTCAACCTCTTCCACCACAACCTCACCAAACGACCCCTCCCTCGCCGCCGACTTCGACGCCGCCCAGTCCACGAAGCCCCTCAAGGGCTCCCTCCGCGGCCTCCCTGGCGCCGCCTCAAACAACAACAAGACCGTCCGCTTCACCGATTCACCCGGCGCCGCAGCAGCAACGGCCGAAGAAGACGCCGCGGCGGCGGCACTCTTCGGCCCCGGTCGGTATCGCGATGACCCCGCCGACACGGCGGGCTACCGCGACCAGGCCGAGGGCATGGACAACCAGCAGATCCACGCGTACCACTCACAAATCATGCGCGACCAGGACGATCACCTGGACCGGCTCGGTGAGTCCATTGGTCGGCAGAGGGAGCTGAGCATGCAGATCGGTGACGAGCTCGACTCGCACGTCGCCATGCTGGACGAGGTGGATGAGGTCGTGGATCGGCACCAGAGCCGGCTCGACCGGGCGCGCCGGTCGTTGGGCAAGGTCGCGAGGGATGCCGGGGAGAATAAGCAGATGATGACCATCATCGTGCTCATCATTATCCTTGTTCTGCTGATTGCCATTTTGAAATGATCAAGGCTAAAGAGAGAGATGCCTGGTGGTGGGAAGGCAGCAGCAGCAGATGGCTGTAGTGGGCGACATCGTTTTTTTTTTGGTTTTTTTCTTGGTTGGAATCCCGTCCTCATCAGAGAGGCGCGGAAGACATATAACGGACCTTGTCAAAGTCTTTCAAGTATAGGGCGCATAGCATGGTTTGGCGTTTTAGGAGTCTCCTTTTCAATCAGTCTTTTTTGTCGGTTCCAGCGGTCGTTCTTTGATATTCTCTCTCGGACATATAATCCAAACTGGCCGGTGACGAAGCCTACGCAAAGCTAAGTGAGAGAAGACATATGGAATAGGATGTCCGGTATTCTGTGTTGCGTAAGACCTAGCCCACATTCTTAGAAGGCATCACCTCGAACAGGACGGCGCTGTCCCTCGCGATACATGCTTCCTCGCGATGGTCTTACTTATTCCGAGCGCAACGGTGCTTATTTGCATGATATATGTACCGGCTTTGGCCAGGCCTCCTCCGAAGGAGTTCGACTCTTCAAAACTCTACCATGGTCTATTAGTCTAGTTGGTTAGGACGTCGGATTCTGATTCTCAGAACTTTCCGTAGGCCCAGGTTCGAATCCTGGATGGACCTCTCATATTTTGCAATTATAGTGACTGGTCTTCATTTTGCTCACTCTCTCAACTCAAGTGTTGACATACCTTGATAACTTGGGTTTGGTTGCTCTTGAATAAATAGTACTTAGATTTACTTCGGTCGTGATGGAGGTGATGCGTTCCCTCTCTGAGAGAAACTAACTAACCAAGCCTTGCATCGCTTGCTGGAAAATGTCTGATTCGCTTCGATTCCTGTCCTTTCGTAGAAGACATACGTGTGTGCCTTTGTATAATCGCCTCGAATGCCAAATGCAATGAGATCGTTTAAGTGAGCCTAGCACGGTCGGTACCTCTGGGGGTTAGCAAAAGCTGCGTGGAGAACATGTATACTGAACTGGAAATAAATTCCCAAACGCCAAACCCCGCCTGTTTGATTCTAGACGACCTAATTATATCCTTACGACGATAGCCTCCCTCACCAATCGGTCCCGAATCCCTCCAACAGCAGCGGCATTCACAAACACCGTCCTCCCCGCTCCCCTCCGGCCCCCTCGCCACCACAGCAGCCATACCCACGCCCAGAAACACCAACCCAGAGCAAGTATCGCCCTCGCCCCAGCCGTCACCGCACCACCCACACCACGAAAACCACCATCGCTGCCGCCCCCGCCAGCCATCGCCAAAGCTTCCAGCAAGACGACATTTTCATACGCCGCCTGCAACCCATCAAACGCGACCGCCTCCCTGCCGTGCCCGCAGTGCACGTGCCCAAAGACGTGCAGCCGCGGCCTCGCCCGCCAGACTTCGCGGAGGAGCATCTCGCACCCCCAGTTCCCGCGCGGATCGTCCATGTGGCCCTTTGGCGGCGCGTGGGTCACCAAAATGTCCGTACCGGCAGGCACGGCGCCGCGCCAAGGGTCGTCGTCGTCGTCGTCGACGTCGTTTGGGCGCGGGGCGGAGGCGGAGCGCGGGTACTGAAAGGCCCAGGTGCCGTGGCGCGGGGTGTAGGGGCTGCCGTAGACGCGGACCTCGCGGTCGCTGTACGTCTTGCTCTCGTCGTTGCGGCGGCGGTGGGGCAGCGTGAGGGTCGTTGAGGTACGGTTTAGATAAATGATGTCGCCCCAGTCCAGAAGAGGAGGAGGCCCGTCGCTGCCGCCGTCGTCATCATCTCTGTGTGTTGTTGGCAAGTCCTCGTCGCCTTTCGACAGCCCGTCGATTCTGAACCCGTTGCCTGTGCCGTGCGTACGTCTGTACTTTTCATCTAGGCATAAATCGTGGTTTCCTGCGACGACGACCTTGTACCGGTGGGGCTGCTTCTTCAGCCAGTCCAGAGTCTCTTGTAGCTCCTTTTCAGTCCCTGATGCCGTCAGGTCGCCCGCGTGAACGAGGATGTCCCCTGGCGGCAGGCGCGGCTGGGTGTTGTGCGTGTCCGAGATGCAGACCACGGTCACCGCGTCGTCGTCATCGTCAACATACACCACGGGGTGCGAAACGGGGAAGAAGTCATTGAGATATCTCGCAATTGTCGAAAGAGGGTTGGAGAGCAGCTGATCTACTATTGCGTCTTCTGGACGGTTGAGGATGTCGTCCAAGCCGGAAGACGCGCGATAGAGTGGCATTCTGTGCCTCGGTATTTTTGCGTGTTGAAGAGGTTGTGTCTTTCAGAGCTTTGCACGACTGTAAACTCCCAAACGTACTATCCGAATGATGTTACCTGGTTTGAAGTAAGTCGCTAGGTCTTTCTCAACGCCGCCACAGCTCTGATGAGGTGAGCCGGTGAAGCGGTGTTTGTCTGTCCGGCGAATGAAGCAACCAAAATTGCGGGCAAAGCTGACTTGTATACTCTGGCGGTAAGGAAGAACCAAACATATGGCAGAGGGCAGCGCAAGATGAGTGAGAAGCTTGAGTTATCTCTGATGAGGTGTGTCTGTATGCGACGGGAGGGAGGTGAGAGTTCTTCGCCCACTCGGAAACCCGCGTGATTCCCCTCAATGACATGATTGTGACAAATCATCAGATCTGTCCCATCGTGGGCCAACTTTTGACAGGGCCGGCGCATGTTTGTATCGCACCGTGGTATGTGATGCGCTTTCGTACAAACGGACTACCTACTTCCTATATTCTTGCTAAACACACCACCATTTATTTCATTAATACTTGGAGTTGGTGCCTTGATAATACCTCACTTTACATCACGTTTCCCAGCCTACAAATCACTCTGTCTTGGGAGGTTGATTTCAAGTTGTTGTTTTGTACGGAATGACTGATTAGAATGCTCTCTAAGATTTGGGTCTAGGAAAAAAAAAGTTCTTAGAGACACTGGATCTATATACCAGGGCATGCTCTAGTATGCTTCGACCAAAGACTGACGATGGGTTATGTGGTAGAGCGCTGCAGGCAGCCTATACAATATAAACCGAATACACTTGTCCGTTTCAGAGGTGTGAATATGAAAATCCCGACGGATATCCCAGGTGCTCACTTCCTAGCCGGCTGAAACCCGCGGCCTGATGTCGACTGCATACCTTTGTCAAGTCTTCAACAGATCATCGTGCCTAACCCTTGGAGGCCAGAGCTACCTTGTCTTCGATCAAGGCAAAGAGTCAAGCGGCACTCTGGCTGGGCCTTGGAGACTCAGAGAACCAACTGGAACCACCGGGTTGGTAATCATCCACAGTCACCAAACACCTTGATAGGCCATGTTTTGGTAGACATCAGGTACTTACTCATATCGACCAGCATCACATCAAGTCAAGTCAATTTCCTGTCAAGAATCTGGGTATGCATATTTCCTTTCCGATGAGAGACTAGGTATTTGTAAGATGGGAAAACAAAGCAACAGCAACGACTACGCCGACAAAACACCACCCTCCGCCGCCGTTAAAATAGAAAACTTTCCGCCAGGAAAATTCCACAAAACTTCTTTTTTTTTGGAAACCCATCTTTCCCCAACTCACTCCTCGCCAACAAAAAAGAAAAAGCTTGGAGACGTGATTGAGAGACCCCGACGGGCAAAAGATAATACTTAGCGGCTCGAGGGAGAACAACATGAAACAGTAAAGCCCGAGCTAGACAGTAACCGAGCGTGATATCGTACAGGTGGGGGGAGGAATATGGACAAGCTTTGTTGTCTCGATTAGCCTCTGCGTATCTCGTTTGTCGGGCGACAGCTTGCTGCCCTTGCTCCATTGGGATGGGGACAGGCGCCTCCCGTGACCGGGGACATCACCACTTGCGCAGCAGACAATGGGTGACGGCCCGTCCCAAGTTTGTGCAGGAACTTGCCTGCCCTTCAGGTGGATGTGGTCGAGAGAGAGGATGCCCAGATGCCAAACGAAACCGACAGAGGTTATGTGGCGGATATAGCTTCCAGCCAGCACCAAACGTCTGAAATGCTTGCCGAACACCAGCGTATGAACAGCCCTGAGATCCCAGAGCCAGAAAGCCAAGCACTAAGACGCCGCCATGCTGCATAATGATGAAAAAAAAAAGGCATTAATGAGCCCGCGTAGCCGGACTCATATTAGAGCATAACCTGGATGTCAAAAGACACCCCTGGCTTACGCCGGATTGCCCTTCATTCTCTTTGCCATCCGCGGCGTAGGCGGCTTGCCCTTGTTCTGGACTCCGTTGACCTGAGGACCGCCTGGAGTAGGTGCCTGGGAGCCGTCTTCCTCCATCTTCACGCCGGATGGGCGTCTTCGCTTGTTGGAAGCCGGAGAGGTATTTGCACTAGGTCCGCTGGAGCTGGTGCCTTGCTGGCTCTGTTGCATCTGCATGCCAGGTGCCTGCATGTGGCCCTGCGCAGGGCTGCCAGTGACATGAGGCGAGCCGGGAAGCTGCATATGCGGCTGAGCTGGGCTGGCACCCATCGGGAACTGACCGAAGCTGGGTGTCCTGGGGGCTTGGGGCATGGGCTGACCGTTCATGACTTGCGGCTGGGCGTTAATCTGGCCGACGTACTGCTCTAGAGCAGCATACGGGCCGAGGTTAGGATGGTTGTGGTAGAACGCGAAAAGGGGGTTCATTTGGCCGATCACTTCAGCAATCTGCATGTCATCTTTAGTGCCGGAGATCCACATGCACGCGCTGGCGAGCTGTCACATACCTCGAGGAACTGGAACACAGCTTCGGTAACCCCCATACCCCTCTTGACCGCCGACTCCGGAAGATCCACCAGTGCTTCTGGCGGAGGATTTTGCGGAGACTTCATGGGACGAGCCTTGCCCTTCTTGCTCATTTCTGGGGAAGTCTTGGTATCAGGGGAATTAACCTTGTGCCACTCCTTCACCCAATTGTGCACAGGCTTCGCAGCTTCGATCGCGGCCTTCCGAGAAATGTATTCTTCATGGTTGGTTGTCAAGAACTCAAAAAGCTCAATTTTCTGCTCCGCATCGAAGTGAGCTCTGACGGTGCCGGTGGCGACAAGCTGTGACACTGTTAGATGCTGCCTCCACGACAACGGAGAGGTCAACTTACATGTGAACCGCTGTCATACCAGTACACCAAGCTGGATTTGGTGTTCTCGATCCAGTGGCCGTCGCCAGGGAGCGGTCGATCCGTAGTCCCCTTTTCCATTATCAACTGCATATTCTTGACACCGCTGTCAAAGTGCGTATGGAAGTATCGAGGAAGCGCAGGAAAGGTTATCTCGTATTGCTTGTCTGCCTGATCTTCGACGTCGGTGATGTGTACCGAGTGTCGGAACACGCCCTTCTGTGAAAAGAATTGATTGACGAAGCTGTTCCAGTAAGACAAGTCGTCTTTGCCCTTGGGGCCCTGTTAATTCTGTCAGCGGGCTTTTTCCACATAAAATCTTCAAATTTCAACCTACGGGAAAACCGCTCAAATGTTCACTGAACTGCATCAATTTGAGCAGGCACTGCCCCTTCATCCCTTCCCTTCTGTGTTGCTGAGCGAGAGCCATGCTGTTAGCCACAGCAGCCTGGGCTGCAGCCTGCTGCGCGGGGTTCATCTGTTGCGGTCCAGGTTGGGGAGCCATCTGAGGAGGACCCTGCGGCTGGGCTTGAGGCTGAGGAGGCTGCGGTTGCTGGTTCGGGGCCGGACCCGGGGTCTGAGATGGCGTGGGCTGCCCTGCAGATTGAGGGTTGACGGGCTGCGCGGGCTGCTGCTGCGGTGTCTGATGCGGTGTCTGCTGGGGCTGTGGTTGAGGCTGTTGCGGTCCGCCTTGAGGTTGCTGACCCTGTTGTTGCTGCTGCTGTTGCTGCTGCTGCTGCTGCGCTTGTTGCTGGGCCTGCTGTTGGGCCTGCTGCTGTTGCTGCTGCTGAGCCTGCTGCTGGGCCTGTTGCTGCTGGGCCTGTTGCTGCTGCTGCATTGCCATCTGGGCCTGCTGGAGGCTCTGCATGTGCTGAGGGTTCATCTGCACCGGCTGGCCGGGTTGTTGTTGGCCCTGTTGCATCTGCTGGTTCTGTTGAGCGACAGCTTGTTGTTGGAGGGCGATCTGTTGAGCGAGCATCGCTTGTGCTTGGGGGTTATGTTGCTGCTAGATCCCGTCGTGAGCGTTATGAGTACCAAAATGGACATGTCATAGTTACCGGCCGCATGCCCTGCCTCATAGCCGCGATCTGAGCTGCGTTCATAGGGTTCATTGGCATCCCCATCGGCATGCCATTGACGCCCGCCATATTCGCGTTGAAGGCCTGCTGGGCCATGAGCGCCTGTCGCGCTTGTTGCTGCTGTTGGAACAATCGCTGCTGCGCCATCTGGGTGGCGTGCGCCATCGCTGCTGGGTTCTGGACTACGCGACTTGGTCAGTATGGAAGCAAGGAGGCGAGAACGCGAAGGCGACGAGGTTTGACGTACAGTTACCAAACTGATTTTGCTGGAACATTTGGTTTTGGGCAGGATTGAGATGCTGCAGAGCGTGAGCATTCGGACCTCCAGCACCCGGCGGCATGCCGCCCATCAACTGATTTGGATTAACCTGACCACCAGGCCCTGATACTGCCATGTGCATCTGGTGAGGCATTCCTCCGCCCGGGCCTTGCTGCCCTGGGTTGTGAGGCATACCCTGGGCCATGGGGTGCCCAGGTACGCCTGGATGCTGTTGCATGCCGGCAGGATGGCCTGCAAACGACGGTCCCATACTCGTCATCATGTCTTCGGCGTGTCGATGATCCACAGCGTGGATATCGACGTCTCTGCCCTCCGCACTATCTCATGCGCCTGCGCCCAACAAACGTGGTCTATCTCGACGACAATCGGCAATCAGGGCTGTAGAGGTACGGAGGTTTGGGGGGGCTGGAGTTGGGGAGATGGGCGCGACGCGGGAGCGATGGAGTCGTGCTTTGCAAGACGCGGGAAGTGGTGTCAATCGCGTGGTGCGGCGGGTTCGACTAGCGTTATCGATTGCGAAAGGAGTCGTTTGATGCGAACGGCCGGGTCAACAGGTGAAGAGGGACCGAGAAGGCATCGATGATCGGCGTGACGATAATGGGGGCGGACGATGTTGGATAGGGAAGTCGGGATGCGACCACAAACAAAAGAACTGGAGATTTCGGGGGGAGTAAAATGGCGGGTGAGTGCCCTGCGACCAAAGGAGAGCCCGACTGACGAGCGAGGGAAAGTTGGCGTCGGCAAAGACGTGGCGACGGAGAAGGGAAAATGCGTTGGTTGTCAATCTCGAAAGGATGGAGACGATGCAACGACGTGTCGACGGTCGCGCGACAGCGAAAGCGAGCGGAACAGAGTGGGAATCTCGTGAGGGTGGACGACCTATGCTTCAATCGACCAGCGTCGATGACATTCGCAGAGCGGGTTGTTCGAGATGCCCAATTTTTATTGCACACGTCGAGCGCAGCGAACAAGCCTTTCCGCGCCGCCTTGCCTTGCCAGGAAAGCGGGAAGGAGAGAGGGAGAGATTGGGGGTTTGCTGGATTGGGTGGGTTGTGCGGTGCTGGCTGGCTGGCTGGCTAGCTGGCTGAAGAAGGACGCAAAGACGCAGCCAAAGGGAACTGGGAGTCTGGACCAGCTGAGCTCTGGCTCTTTTGCAAGCGGGCAGTAGAAACCCAAGTACGTAAACTTGCTTGCTTTGGGGGGGAACACCACTTTGCAATTAAGCAATAAGACGAAACGAGATGAGTTCCGGAGCCCCGATAGACCGGCACGAATATAAAAAAGCGTCCGGCCAGGGGGTGTTGGAGGAGGAGTGGGTGGGAGGCGCTCGAAGTGGTGTTGTAGAGAGGTTGTAGAAAGTGACGGAAGGCGTCAAGTTGCGGTGAAATCCAAACCTTGAGTCCGATCAAGATCAAGAGGCAACAGCGAGAGGCAAGGTAAGGCGAGGCAAGGCACGCACGCGCAAGGCACAAGGCGGCGGGATAAGGTCGAAGTCGGGCGAGAGAGAGGTAGACGGGAGGGCCCTGGGGAACGGGAGACTGAGCAGGGACAGAGAAAGCGTGTGAGGTGGGCGGGCGACCATGCCAGAATGTCAGGCTGGAGCCCTCTGCTTCCATCAAGACAGTGGGCCTATTCGTTTTGTAGGATACGCTAGGTAATAATGAGATAGTTAAAGGCATGGATATGCCGGATTGGGATGGCGGGAAGCCCCAAAAAAATGCGGGATATGCGCTTATGCAGAGGTTGTGGAGGGCTGCGATCAGCATTTTATGCAACAAGGCAAGCTTCTTCAGCAATATCCACCCAGGGGTCCAGCAGTGTGGCAGGATTGACCAGCACAGCAAAAGCTGCAGTAGGAGAGTCCGGGCCGGAGACGCTCTCTTGCTGCGATCCTCACACCTGACAGTTTTCTATCCTCCTCGCCAGATCCCGCGAATGTCCGCAGCGATGGCCTCCACGGCAGGCGGCGTATTTAATGTGCGAAAATGGCAGCGCCAGAATCGCGCAGACCTGCCCATCCTCCGCCTTGGTTTTGCGTCCGTCAATGGCCACCACGTGTTCCCCGAACCACCCGGACGCTTCTTAGTTGACCCATCCTCGAGGACGAGTCGCCCACGGCTTGTCTCCTTCGTCTGGTGACATAAACCTTGGGAAGGGGTCCAATGAGCTCAATCTAATCCTTCTTTGGCGGGGATCGGGCACTACGGCGAATATCTCCGAGCTTAAGGTCACGTGGTGTCAAGTGTCTCGAGCTCCTCCCCCAATTTTTCTCGGACCCGACCAGAGATCCAAGCTTGAGTCACGTGCAGAGAGGTGGGCCGTGCAAAGGTGCCAAAAAAAAAAATCTTCGGAACTGTGTCCCCACTATTTTCTTCGTGAGCCTCATCTATAAAATCTCTTCTCCTGCACGTCTAACCACAACCTCCCTCAATTCCGGGCACCAAACTTCTTTCCACGCCTCCTCTCGCTCCGACAACAGGACCGCAACATCTCCCCGGCACTCGCGCTGTTCGAACTTACGTCATTCGCACAAGCTTTATGTCAAGCTTGCGGGAAGATTGCGCGTTCTTGTGTGTAGTTGCGACGAGCTTCGTCCATACTGATACTCACCCTTTCTCAGCGAGCTTTCGTCTCTCCATCATTAGGTAAGCACTAACTTTTCTTCTTCACTGCTTTTGGCTCCCCAACTCTCCGAATGATGACATTCAAGAAACATTGTCTTCTTTTCCCAACCGAATCGACCATGAAGAAACCTAGTCTGTTCGGGTTCCCCTCGAAAGGAACCTGTTACTTGCCAGTATATTCTGTCTGACACATCATCTTCACTTTCTCATCAGCATGGACTCTGGCTTGAAGAGCAACCGCGCTGACATTGTGAACCCAGATTCTGATCAGGAATCGCTCACCTGCTATACCCTTCGCCTCATTACTAACTTACGCAGCATCCTGCGCTTCCATCGCCAAAGCCAAAGGTTAGTCCCACAACATGTTACTTCACTCTCACAAACAAAACCCCCCAACATCATGATGAAATTTCCACCGAATTCGCAGTTTCCACTCGAGTCGCGGCCTGAGCCTAGAGGCGGGCACGCTGCAAAGCGTGTCTTAAGCGATGTATGAGGGCAATAATTCTTCCTTGGATGTCTGCATTTGTTCCCCAAACACTACTTTGTTAAGGATTCTCCGGTTGAACCTGAGCTAACAGGGTTTTGAGAACAGGGCAATCAGTGCAAACTTGGAGTTTGAGCAGTGACGAGCAGTGATGCTCTGGAGGCCTGTCAGTGAGACTGCGTGTTCTGGTGGACATGATATAGAACATCAAATAAAATCAAGATTCGCTATCTTCGAAACGTCAATTTTTCATCCGCTTAGATGCTACGTGACATGTCCTGCTTTGAATTTACGACTCTTGACGATCCAATTGAGGTTGGTCTCCACATGAAGCCAGTAAAATCGAAAGACCATTACCACCTAGCTCATAAGAACATTGTTTTCCAACAGTGATCTGCAACTACTGATCCAACGCTCGTGGAGCTTCTGGGAGGGCCTAGATCTCTAGACTTTCACTCCTCTCATTCCCGGGATCTAGGCTGGGGGCGAAAAACATCTTCAATTGCAAGAACGTCAAGCAAATGAAATGGTACCTGTCCATGTCGAATAATCTCAGGTTCTCGATTCTACAAAGCCCAACACTTGTTATGTGGGAAGGTAGGTAAGGTATCCTTACCCATGGACATGGACCACAGAATCGACATCATACCGTCTCTCTCCATTGTAACTTTTCCACCCCTTCCCCCAGTCAAAACACAACTACCTAGGTAAAGACGACAACAGGAAGGGGCGTCCAGCCGCGTCCCTGCCACGCCAGTGAAATTCCAAATGCAGCTCTATGGGGGGAAAACGCCATTACGGAGGCCGTAGCCATTCACCGCGTTATTCACGTCGTCAAGGGACGTCTTGAAACCCAAACTTGCCCGATAAAAACGCCTCCCCTTTCCAGTAGGTGAAAACCAAAGCCCAACTACCCTCCCCTAGGCCGCCCCTTAGACGACGCGCAACCCTTCCCTTATAGACTCAGGTATCTCTCTCCGTCTTCCGCCGACGATACCTCTCCTGTTCCTACCCGTCCTGCCCCTACCAAGCCAATTCAGCTTGAGCAGCCGGCACAGCTCCTCCATCCTCCTGTTCCCCTCGTCATTGCCGTCGCCCGACGCGCCCCCGATACTAGCGAGTATGCTCATGCACTGCAACATACGACCCACCATCTCGGTGACCTGCTTAGAGTCCTCAACGTTCTGCTCGCGCGTAAAGGGTCGCATCTGGCCGTCGCTCCCGCCGCTGGCATAGCTGACGTTGCTGATGGCGCGGCTGCGTCCGCCGCCTCCCGCGCTACCGTCGCCCAGGAGCGTCGTCGCATTGGAGTTGTAGCTGGCCACGGATGGATCGAGACTCATGGCTGTGCCGGGCCGCATCATGCTGATTGCATCCGCTGGGCTTGATGAGAGCGCTGGGTCCGGTAGCGGAGATGCGAGGGCTAGGGAGGCGAACGAGGACGGGAGAAATTCGAGGGATAGCCGGGAGAAGATGGCTTTGAGGGAGTCGTAGCGGGGGATGATGACGATGTCGCGGTAGGCCGTTAGTACGATGCGGCGTACGTCTAGAACGGCAGATGCGGGACTGACGTACGGGCCGGTGTCGGAAGACTGTGACTTGACGCCGCCCCAGAATTGACGGGCTTGGTCCGGGTTCATGAGCACGCCGCAGCCAGAGAACTCCAGGTCCAAGGGCAGGAAGACGGCCTGCATGTAGGGCAAAATCGAAGTGTAGGTAATGAGCCACATTTCAACGAGAGCCGGAATGACTTTATCCTCCTGCGTACGCCGGAGGGTGTGGTCCAGAGAAGCAAAACCAGTCGATAAGAGTTCGCGCAAATCCTCGAGAATGATGTTGGGTGACATGCGTTGGATGCAGTACTGTATGTGCAATGTCACCAGCCTGTTGAAATCCTCCACCGGCTGTCGCAGATCTTCGCCTTCGAAAATGACGAGCATCTTGGCTTTCAGGTACGGCCAGGCATCGTCGAGCGCCATGCTGTTTAGGCCGTATTTGCCTGCGTCGACAGGCTCAGAGAGATACGACGACTGATGCGTCAAAGTCGGCAGGCTGCTTGGACCTGGCCATTCCGATGGAAGAGAACTCGACTCGACACCGAGGTTGCTGCTCTCTTTTTCAGTCTTTTTGTCCCTCCGTCCCTTGCCAAACGACGTTGCAGTCGGAGCCGGACTAGGGGGCAGGTTGAAACTATACAAACTCGAGGGGGCGCTGGGGTCGGTCGGTTTCGAATTGCTCGATGCGGAAGACAGCGGAAGGTGGTAGTCATCCTTGAGCTTGTGCTTCTGCCGCGACAGAAAATGATGCTTCTTTTCCTTTTCCTTTCCCTCCTTCTCCATGGTGGGCGTCTCGGGTACTGCTCTGACGGTTGCGGACGACGCGTTGTTGAGGTTGTATATTGACTGACCGCTGGTATCGATGAGACTACTCGTGCTGAAATTCCCGCGCTGTAATGATGCGAGCGCGCTGCCGATCTTGCTCGGGCTAGGGAGTGGCTTGTCTTTAGGGTCGCCCTTGGTTCCGATCTTGACCGGGCGGGAGAAGAGCTTGACCTTTGATTTTTCTGGCTTTACCGGCTTCGGATCCGGAATCAATTGCGGCGGGTGATTGACAGGACTGTGCTGCTGCTGCTGCTGCTGTTGCGACTGCGGCAAGCCAGGCGATGTCTGCCCCGATCGCGGGAACGCTGCGTTGGCGGCTGCGTTGGCGGCTGTGGTCGCCGCGGCGGAATGGCTTCCAAGCAGGCCGTTATGGTATCCCTGGGTCCCAAAGCCGCTCTCTCGTGGACCGCTTGCCTCGGTCAGGCTTAGCATAGGCGGGCTTAGTGGACCCTTCCCGCTGCTCCCCCTCCTCGCGCTCTCGGCGTCTCCGTTGGCCGGGTTCGGGACGGTCTGCGATCGCTGTCGAGCGTGCTGTAGCTGCTGATGTTGCTGGCTATTCTGGTGTTGAAAGGCTGCCTGCGCCGCGATGTGGCTCGCGGAGAGGGCAGGGCTCGGGTGCTGTTGCTGATGTGTTGAAGATGAGTTGGCAGATGGGTGTGACATACCCACTTGAGACAGGTTCGATAGGCTCGTCGAGGGCAGCGTTGAGTCGAAGAGGCCGGGCGTCTGGCTGTGCTTCCTCGAGTGTCCTTTGGTAAGAGGGCTCGCGGTGCGGGCAGCAGCGGCAGCGCTCACACTCCCGCTCAGATCGTTTCCTCCTCCCGAGGCAGGGCCTACTGGACCTCCGGGTGTGGTTCCTGGCCGGTGCGCAGTCGGGCGCGAGAAGTTCTGCAGACTCGCGGTGCTCGAGTTGGCCTGGGCCGTAAACTGGGCATAAATTGGGGTGCTGCTGGAAGGGGCGGTGGGCGCGCTCGGAGCGTGTGTTCGGGGCTTGACGAAGTGAATGGCGACGTTCTCTTCGCTCGATGACGACTCGGCGCGGGCAGGCGGTCGTGGACGTTGCGGGTGCGGTGCGCTGGAAGCTGTCGAACCGGGCAGAGGGCTGAAGCTGCCCGGCGCTCGGGGCGGCGGGGGTCGTGCTGGTTGCATTGTCGAGGATGTGTTAGGGTTTTGTTACATCTTGGATTTTTGGACGATTCAAGATCGGGCGAAGGATTCGCGAAGGTTTGTTCTGTTTGGGTTGATTTGTAGAAGTAAAGGGTGGGCGAGGGTAAGGGTGATATTGAAAGGTTGTTCGTCCGGTCGGGTGATGCAGAGCACCTCGAAAGCGTGCGAAGTGGTGGTGCCCGAGGAAAATTGAAAGAAAGGGTGATGATGTAAGAAGGCCGGGGGAATACGAGGTGAGGGAGGAAATAGGGTGGTTATGAGAAAGCGCGAGGGGTGGATTGCGCCTCACCCTCACAGAGCCGAAGTGTGAGGTAGACAAGGGACAGGATCAGCATCAATGCCCTCCGCCTGGATTACTGTCTGTCTTTGGATAATCAGGTATCCACTGGTCAGCGGCCGCATCCAACCCTGGACGAATAATCATCGGTTCTTCTTACTGAGGAGGCGGGCAACGGGCGGCCGTCTTCGCTTACGGTGAGCGATACAAGGCAGGCAAATCTATTCCCAATTGCAGTACGTAGTACGGATACACCTCAGTATTACCAAAACCCCCGCGGGCCAACCTTACCTAGTCCAGCCCCCCATGTTACCATGTCACCAAGTCTTATCCATGCCCTGCCCACCTGAACGTGCAACGTGCGGCGTGCGGCGTGCGGCAAGCCTGGCCTGGTTAGGTACTGAGTCCTTTTTCTTCTGCCGCCCCCACCTAATAGTCCTGCCATAAGGTAGTGTAGGTGATCTATCCCCTTGTCCACCACTGACGCCCGCGCTGCGGCTTGCGACCCTGGGCGGTGTCCATGGGCTAGGGGCTGTCTTAGTGGGATCAACCCCGCAGTTGTTCCAGGTTCCATCTTCAGCGGAACATTGGATTGGGACAGCTGGAATGGAGGGACTCGAGGGGAGGGGCAGCTAGCTGGTCTCCCTCCAGGCCAACCCCAATGAGCCGCACTGCCCAAATTTGGTCCTAAGTTTTTATTTTATTTTATTCCATGTCAATCTGCCTCGTTTAAATCAACGCACATCGCAACCACCCTAGCAGAAGGGACTTTGTCGGCCTGCTTTGGAAACTCGACACCTCTCGACACAAATTCCCTTCCTTTCCCATCCAATCTGCGAAACTGTGACACACACCGATCCCAACAATGACATACACCAACAGCGCCGCCGCCGCCTCGGCTTTGCAGTTCTCAGCCACCTATCAGTCCCCCGCCAACGAGCCCTTCACCTTCTCCGAACCCCTCCCTGCCCCGCCATCCTCCGGCCCCGGCGACAAGGCCGCCTACCTAAACGCCATGCGCAAGTCCATCAACGCCGCTCAGGAACACATCAATAAGGAGCTCACCGCGCGCATGGAAGAGGACAAGGCCAAGGAGGTCACCAAGAACGGCACTGCACCAAAGTCTGTCGTCGACGAAGCACTCGAGGAGGAGAATTACGGCGAGGAGGCACCCCCCACTGACGACTGAGCGACAATCAAAGAAAAAGCAACGCCTCGTTTCTTGGACGGTGCCATCTTACATTCTTGCCACCTATATACGGGGTATTGCTGTATCATGCTGCCGCTCTCAACCCAGGCTATGCGAGTACCAATATGTATCAAGAAAAAACAAGCAAGCAGCGACACCAACACGCCTAGACTAGCGCCCGCCCCTCCCCTCGATCACGAAAACCTTCGAGCCCAATTCCCTGCCCGAGAACTTTGCGGTCGCTGCGAAGTTGCCTTGTTGAAACACGCATAGTGGACCACGTTGTTATCCGGAAGAACCGACACCACGCTTCGGCCCAATCTCTTGTGGCAAGCGCCACACAACCGCTCCTCCGTGATTGTCACCCTTCTGTTGCGCCCACCCTGTCCACCAGGTATGCCGTCACCAAGGAGCAGTAGCGCTTGCGTGGACACCAGCTCCGTGTCTCGCAGCCTAGCTACGATGCGCGATTCGTTCACGACGCTGTTAGCAGATCGGATTCTGCCACGAAAATATGACTCAAGGTCGCGAACAGGGAGGTCGTCGGGAATCAGAGAGAGAGTCGATGCTGCCGGTAGACGCGATCCGTGCCTTGACAATAGCTCAAGAGCCGGATCATGTGCTGGTTTATGTGGTGACGGTGGAGTGAGGTACAGCGAAAGAAGTGTGTGATAAATGGACGGAACTGAGTCCTCAGGGTCATCTGCTGACGATGGGCGTCGTGACTGGTCTGGAGACGATGGCCTAGAGTCTCTAGACTTGTGTACGGCATTACAATACCTGAAAAGAATTAGCTGTTATCGTGTCTAACAGGAGATCCAAAACTCACTCTTCGGCTTTTGCGTAATTCTTCATCTTGAAGACGTAGATTTCCAGCGCCTGCTTATGAGAGCCCATGTTGCTCAACACTATGGCTTGAGCCTCGTAGAAGGCAGCATCTTCGCCGTGTCAGTTTTTGTTGATTCAAGCTAAACAGGATTATTAACTTACCATCGCGTGGGATGAGGCTGAATGCCTTGCTAAGGCTGTACTGGCTGCTGGTCTTTAGGAATTGCACGAAACGATCCATCTCCGCATCCCATTCATCGTCCCGTTTCTTTTCCTTCAAATGCTTAATGAAGAGCTCGACCAGACGGTTGTGAAAGTCCGGAGTTGACTCGTCAAGCTCGGAGATGATGTGCTCCAGGTATTGTACCTCTAATCCAGGGTCGATACCACCAAGGAAGCGAGCAACCCGGCCACGCGGTAACGTCTCGGCGTTCTCGGAGTCGGCAATAAACACTTCCATGGCCAGCTTTGGATCCGCTCTCAGAGTCCATTCCGAGTATTGCAGGATGAGATCAATTTCGGATGGCGGCAATGTTTGAAGATAGATGACTGTCCTTTGAGGCCCATGCAGCCCCGGTGCAGCCTCGTCGGGTTTCTCGGCGGTCCCAAAGCGCTTGAGGAGCTCAAGAGCCTGTGAGTGAAGCTTCTTGCCGCTGAAGAAGTCAACCAACTCGTTGTATCGGCTGTGTGAAAGCAGTGCCTCATTGACGACGTCTGGATCGCAAAAATTCGGGAGGCGGAAAAGGGGGCCGGCTAGAGCAGGCCTGGTCATCATGTAAGTCCGGAACAGAGCGGTGTCGACAATTCGGGATGTCCTCCGGATCTCTCCCTCAAGTTGGCTACCTGATTCATCGTCGTGCGAGCCCGACATGAAGCTCTTCATTGTCTCTTCGTTGGTGCCATTCGTGTCCGTCCGCTTCAGCTTGCCGGTGCTCGGGTCAATCACCCGTTGTAGCCGCGTTCTCGTTCCGACGAGATATCCAGCCAGCGATGTAACGGCAGCCAAGAGCTCCTCACCTTCAAGCGGCTGGTTTTCAGTAGGTTTGCTTTTGATGCTTCCTGTCTCCTCGACATCTATCGTGTCTTTCTTGGATATGATCGAAGCAGCATCTGGTTGCACCGGTTTTCGATGACCCATGAATAGCTTGGCGAACCCAACGCCTCCTTTAGCAGGAGATGCGGGTGTTCCCGCTGCATCCTCCTTGGGCTTGTCCCCGTTTGTCTTCTGCGGCGGTTCCTCCTCGCCGTCTTTCTCATCGCTGCCAGACTCGCCCGGCTGCGCTCCGTGGGCCCAACCGGACATTTCTCCGGCGATGGAGGGCGGGAAAAGCTTTAGAACTCGCTGAGGTGGGGCATGAACATCGTCCTCGTTGAAGAGGTCCATGGAGTCGTAAAACTTCTTTTGCTTAAAAAGCATTTCAGCCTTCAGCATTTTGACTTCTCGGAGAGTTTCTTTCTTATTGCGGAGGAGGGCATCCTCTAGCATGTCAAGGATGCTGACAGCCTCGTCGTATTTGCCCTTCTCTACCAGCTCGTCGATTTGCGAATCATAGTCGGTAGCGCCCATTTTCCAAACGCATCGGTCGCTAGAAATGTGGAATCCCTTACCCGCGTGAGCGAGACTAACATTGGGTGGCGGAAAGTGAAGTTGCGCCGCGCCTGGGAGAGGAACGGTCTGCAACAGATGCAACGTCTCTGGATTCCTGACTTCAAGCGAGCCTTTTGCCGGAGCTTGCAATGCGAGGATGTATGGATACGAGTAGCCGATCTGCTCGGGAGCCGCTTGCCACGGGATTTGTCGCTTTTCGACTGGCTTCCCTTCGTCCGTAATGAACATGGAGTTGACATCCTTGGCTAGCAGTAGCTCGCCCTCGGCCAGCTTCGCAGCAAGCGGTTTGGGCATGTATCCTCCGAGGCCCATGTAGCCCATTCCAGCGCTGCTTACCGCTCCAAAACGACTAGCCTGCCCACCCGATGCCGCGGACCCTGGGCTGTTGATATCCTCGACCTCATGGGTAACTACGTCTACCAGAACGTATCCCGCATTCATTCCACAGACAATCTTTGTCGCACTAGCCCATGTAACGGTTCGTATCGATTCCGGCAGCGTGACTTCCCCAATATCGGCGCTCAACTCGCTTTCGTGCCAGCTCCATAGCAGCAACCGACGGCGAACAGCCACTGCCAAGCGACTTATAATCTCTGGTATTCCGGTCGCTGCATCTTTTACAATGTTTGATGTGACGGCAAAGCAGGTAGCATTCTTCGTTCGCGATAGAGTCTCCAAGGGCTCGTAGGTTCCGAGATCGTGGAGGGATACGTAGTAGTTTGACAACGAGACGAGAGTGTTGGCTTCTTTGATGACGGCGAGCTGCTCAATCGCTCTGTTTGAGAACTTTTCCACCTCGCGCAGCAGGTCCGTAGGTTTCTTCGGCTGTTCCGTAGTCGGGGTCGTTTCGGTTGCGTCCTGCGGGCTCGCCGTGATGGGTTGAGAGGAGCCATTGGCCTCGGTCGGTGACGGAGGCGGCAACTCGTTGAGGCGGTAGATGCGAAGGGCTCCGCTATTAAGGCCTACAAAAACACGATCGCCTATGAGAGTTCGTTAGATCAGGCTGCTTTGGTGAGATTTGGCGACTCAGGAGGAGCGCACCATGCGCGAGGATTGTCTCAATCTTGGACTTATCCCGTTGCTTCAGCTCTATGATTGGCCGAGCTGTGAATGCCGAAAGCATGGCGACGGCCAGCTCACCAAGCGGATATGTGGTATATTCACTATGCCCTCATCAGGAGAGTGCTTCGTAGAGAGAGCGCCGAGTTTGTCTCAATAGAGAGTCAGGATGTGATCATGACGGCGCGCGTGTGAGAGAGTGTTGAGCTCCAGCTATCGGTTCGGGTATGGCTGGGCGAAAGTGCGCTGTCTGGCGGCACGTCAGGGCGAGTCTCCACAAGGGAGCCGATGACCTATTTCTCTCCCTGATCCGGACTAGCGCCACCGCCACCCTTCCACCTGGAGGAACCTGTCTCCACCTCCTTCAACTTATGCTGTTCACGGAAAGTGATTGGCTGACGGACTTGCCGGGGTTTGCATTGCATATTCGCGTCACATGCATCACTAGAAGCTTACTTTCAACTTCATTTCATCGTGCCTCCCACCTTTGCACATACACTGGATTCAGATGACAATTGAACTTAAGAGATGCAGAAATTTGCAGTCGTGTCCGGATCCTTGCCTGAGTAAACGCTTCGCACTACCATTCTATCGCTTACTCCAGTCTACATACAGCATGAAAATAATCAAACTACCAACCAAAAACCAGGAAAAGCCAAATGTAATATATGAACCGGTGTCTATGTACCGACCGCAGGCTTCCCTTTGGATTTACGCCCCTTTCCAACAAATTGAAGCAAAAGCAGCCCCGCATTTTCTATGAAGCGCACGAAACAAAACTAATCACCAAATGCAAGTATGTAGCGGTCATGTACCGACAGACCTTAGTCTAGTCCAGCGACCCTCATCAAGCCATATCCCAATGAAACGACGACAACCAATGTGAGAATACTGCTGGGCACACCTCGGCTGATGAAATGTTTCACTCTGAGGTATCTCTGGCCCGTGGGGTCTTCCTTCATGATAGCAGCTAATTGCGTGGTAAGTAATCTGCCCATACTGGAAAGTCTGAAGAAACTTACTCATGTTGGGGAAACCACTTGTTGGCAAACCCATAGCGGCACTGCACATCAGAACGCCGCCCATGACCAACAGGTTCGGGTGGGGTTCATCCATGCTGGAGCCAACATCAAACACCAACGGCAGAATGATCAAAGCTGCAACTGTATGGCTAATGAAAGTGGCAATGACGAGGATGAGAGCTGAGAAGACGACGAGGACGACATAGAGACTCATACCCTCGACCTCCTTGGTGACAATGCCGGCAACCGTGTGCAGAAGACCAGATGACTTGACGGCCTTGCCCAGAGACAGGCCCCCAGCAGCCAGAATAATGATAGTCCACGGGAAGTTGTTGAAGTCTTCCTTGGTCAAGATACCAATGCCAAAGAAGAGGACGATGGGGATGATAGCAATGACACCCATGTCACCAAAGATGGACTCCATCTGATGGCTGCCGCACCACAGGCCGATGGTTATGAGCGTGACGATGGAAACGAACCATTGGATGCCTGTGAACTTTTCCTTTACAGGACGAATCGGAGAAATCGTGGTTCCCTTGCTCGGTTGAAACGTGATCAACAGCAAGATCCAGATGAGTAGCAGCGAGACGATGCCGACAGGAATGACAATGAAGAACCACTGGATCCAGGTAGGCGCGGGCTTCATGATGCCAATAGCCACAACATTCTGCGGCGAGGCAATGGGGGAAAGCATACCGCCGATGTTGGAGGCGAGCGCAATTCCCATGATGACAGCCTTGGACATGTTTGACTCTGATGGCAAAGTTCGCAACATCGGCTGCAACATGAGTTAGTGGCGATTCCCAACAGAAAGGGGCGAGGAAGAACCAACCTCAATGATAGAGAAGCAAAGAACTGGCGCGGCAACATTGCTGATCAACATGCTAGCAAATGCCGCCACAAGCATATTGGCAATGAGTACAGTGCGTGGGGTGGTCCCAGCCTTGCTAAGGACAAATGTCGCAAGCCGCTTGTCAATCTTGCACTTTGATAAAGCCGCGGCCAAGGTGAATCCACCCAGCAGGAGCATGATGACGGGTGTCCACATGGCCGAAAAGATGTAGGCTGTGGTGGCCTTGGCATCAAGTCTCCTGTAGGGTTTCTCTTCAGAGCGAACGACAGTCAAAACGACGCAGAGGAAGGGTATCATAAGTGACGTGACGAACAAGGGAATGGCCTATCTTGATGTCAGCATTGGTCAGTTATACTCAACACAGACAAAACTTACCTCCGTAGCCCAAAGGATGCTGACAAACACAAGCAACGCCAAACAATTTTGTTGCTCGGGTTTTTCCATGATGGGGAGGAAGAGGAGGAGGAGGAAAACGACGACAGCAATCAGAAGAGTGAGCAGAGGCGTGTTGGCAACCCACGTTGGCACAACAAAACGGCCCACAGGAGTAACCACCTCCTTGGTTATTGGGGCAAGCTCATCATCGCCCTGCAGTCGCCTGGATCCCGTCGCTCCATCCCTGCCCAACAGCGTTCTCCCTAAGCTGGCAGCCTCTGCGCGACGCTCCATGCCAATCATGTCTCGCCAGACAGTGTTGCGCTCCCACACAACGTGTTCACGGAGGTGAGATCTCAGATCTCGCTTGGCAAGTCCCTCGTCGCCCTGAGTGACAACCTCGGCGTACGCCTTCTCCATCTTGGAGATGTTCTCCTCGATACTCTTGATGTTCTCCGACTTGAATGGGTATGCGGAGTCGATGTTGGCGGCCATGTACGTGACCCGCAGCTCCTTGTCTAGAATCTTGTCGAATTTCTTCAAGACTTTTCTGAATCCCGTTCGGTTCAGCTGAACGTACGACTTGAGCTCGCAGAGCGAGACGTAGAGGCCGATTATGCGCTTCTTGAGCATAATACCCGAGGAGTAGAGGTAAGTTTGATCCGGCATCTCGTCGTTCGCCGTGCTGTATCGCCGCAGCGACCTTCCCAGGGTCAACTCGGTTGAAGCGGTCATATCAGTTACCGAATGCCCAAGATTCGGCACTGTCTTGCGTCTGCCACCCCCAAGGCTGGAGCGACTCTTCGTCAAGCCTGTGGTTTCATCGTCATCCTCGTCGTCGTCGCTATCTTCCATGTTGCCATCGATCGAAACCGAAGTCCTCCTGCCGTTGACCGATAGTCCCGGCCGAGAGGCGCTACCGAACGACCGCCTGGGTTCGCCGTCATTTTCATCGTCCTCTGAGGAATGGTTGCCGACGTCTCTCAACAGTTGGTTAACCTCGTCGAGAAGCTCGCCTTCTTTGGACACGTAGAAGGAACAAATCTTTTCCAATTCTACGCCGAGCGCGCGGCTAAACACATCTTCGGGTTCTTCGTTTCGGATGAGAGGTCTTGATTCGGCGTCACCTGAGGAGGTTTGATGGACTGTCTTCTCAAGCTGGTAAATGCTACAATGCCGGGTTAGCTGCCTAGGTCCTCACGACACGACGCAGCCAGGAGAAGCATCGGGCACTCACAGCTTCTTGAGGTTGCTGTAGGCAATGTAATGACTGCTCCAGTCCGGAACAGCATTGAACTGGATGCTATGGGAGAACTTCATATCGTCCTGCTCTTCCAGCCACCTTCTCTTCCAAAGTTTTTTCTGTTCCTGTCGGGCTTCGAGGTCCTTTGTGGTCTTCTGCGCGGTGATGTTTTTGTAGTCCGCAAGCTCGTAGCTCTCGGCCTCAGCAACGGTGGAGTTGGTGGTGGTGGTGGTGGTGGAGCTCCCTCCCCGTTCCCGAAGGCCTGTATCCGTAGAGGGTTTATCGAGGTCAATTAGGACTTGTGGGTTTGCAGTGCCTGCTTGGTGGGTAGAGGAGGGATTGCGGAGATCTGCTGGGGACGGTATGGTGACAGAGGGTCGCGTGCGAGTTCTTATCGGGCGAGTATCGCGAAGCTGCTTCAAAGGTTTGGAAAGGCGTTCAAGCTACCTCGATACCATCCCACGAATTCTTGGTGGCTGCAACACGTGGGGAAAGCGTTGGTCGACCTATTGCCCAACTTGATATGCGAGCCGCGTGACGATATAATTGGTTTCATTTGGGATTAGCGTACTTAGTCCAGTTCCACGGGCTGCCATGTCATGAACGATTAGTGCCGATGCCATTGGTTCTTCGCCGCTCGGATGGAGCAGACAGATCCTCCAGGTTTGCGCAATGGCTTATGTAAGGCATTGACGTGACTCGGGCTGCGCAGTCCCTTAAACGACACCAATAAGAACCCTGGCCATATGCTTCTATGCAGATAGAGCCATAACCGTTCCATTGCCCAACCTGCACCAAGATATCGCCTGCCTACCTTGCATCCACCACTGGTCTCTACGGCCTGTTTTCGTGATATGCCATTTGTGCTTCTTATGTAATACGTCTACTTCCTTATCTATCTTTCTATATATTTGAGACCCATGAAAATGTTTTAAAGAAATTAAATAAAAAAAAAATAAAAAAAAAAGAAGGCCTGTCTCTCCAGACTATTAAATCCAAACAATCTCATGCTGCACGTAAGGGCATCAGTTTGTTGAGATGTACGGATGCAAGAAGTTGAATATAACACCCCTTCTTGTAAGATGTTCCGGAGTTTCGCCCGGAACCGCTCACAATTGTACAGGAGCCAAACCACCAGTGAGATGGTAAAGGCACCCGCACTCCGGGGAAATAACGCTCCAAAGGGGTACCTTAGAAGTGCAAGCGACGCGCTCGACGCAACGACTTGCTGGGGTGACAGGTCGGTAATGTTCATAGCCGAAGTCATCTACAACGATACTCAATTCAGTCTTTGGATTTCTTGCAGAGGCCTCGGTTTCCGTTCCCTGATGATCGGTCTCCGGTTGAATATGTGACTCTACTAAGACTGCTGGAGATAAAGTCTTAGTCATTGCAAGGGCAGCCTCTCTCCGCTGCGCGCCAGCCTCTTCACGACGATGTCGGTGAGAAATCCAAAAAGAGAAGACCAGTGAACACGTAACACCCATTCCCGCGAATGCTCAGCATGCTTCTGCAAAAGTGAAATTGTAGACCGCCTTTTATGTCATCGACACATCGACATACAGCCACATCTGGGGACAGTAGAAGAATGATATTATCATGATAGCAGGCAGGATGATGCTTGGCTCAAATATGAGAATGAATGGGCGTGTTGTGGCCTCGCAAAGCAGGGCTGAGAGGTTGTTTCGGGGCCATAGTTTTCTCCTCAATTCATTTCAATATCATCAACACCGCCTAGCGCCGCGTGCTTTCGCCAAAGAACTGGGAGACACGTCCCGCACATAAACTCGTAGGTCAGGATAGTGTTCATCAAGGCCTGTCTCACTCTCGTCAGCATGCAACCCGGGACCAAGACGAGTCGTTTGAGATTAGAAACCCAGCCCCCAATCCTTGTCGGAGCCTCTCAAACCATCATTTTTCTTCACTAAATGATGTTCACGAAGACGGCATCGGAAAGAGGTAGCTTACCATGACAGCGAAGAAGCCGAAGCAGCCTCTTCATCTCCAAACCTGGGCGATCACAGCCCCGCGGCCCGATCAAACCGTGGGATTGCAAACACTCCCAAACGCCATTACTGACATGGCGCGGGCACGCTTCTCCGTGGTCATGACATCCATCGCCGTCCCAGTGCCATAGGTGATCGGGCTTGCACCGGCGCACTCAGCCAGAAAGCGGAAGAAAATGAGCCACTCGGCCGAGGGCGCAACCATGCAGGCAAACCTGCACAAAAGCAGGACCACATTGCAAACTTGATATACAAGCTTCTTGTTGAAGGTCTCACTCAGCAGTGCAAGAAGCAACGGTCCGGCAGAGAACCCAACAACATAGGCCGTCACTGTCAAATACGCCAGCGGAGAGTTATCTTCGATCTTGGAGTCGCCAATCATTTGGTCCCACGCGGGGGTGCAGACTGCAAGGATCTATGGGGCTGAAAAGCCGTGGTCGTAAGCGTTGGTTGGTCTCGCGGTAGCGGCGCGAAGCTCTGATGCGCCGCTGCCTGTCAACCATGTGGTAGCACGTACGTAATGCATATTATAAACATCACCACCAAGACATTCGTCCTCCACTTCTTCCTCGACGACCACAAGATTGGGTTGGATAATTCACACCTTTCCACTCGGGGTGCTTCTGGCGCGTGGCAAAGGCCGGCAAGTACTTCTGCATATTCATCACTCTCTTCCTCGAGGAAACAGGTGACTTCCTCTAGAGTTTTGCCGTTCGAAGGCCGTCACTCCGAACTCTCGAGGGTTTTTTTTTTCTTAGTAGGGTGCGGGCCTTGTCCGGCATTGAGCTGGTTTGTTGGCATTTGGGCGTTCGGACGTGACGTAGAGCCTTCGATATCGCGAGGGCTTGCTGATCTTTCCCTTTGACAGTCGGCGATGGTTTAGTCAGAAAAGTAAGTATGCAAACTGGGTTCGGCCAAATCTTATATCCGGTAGACTGAGTAGTAACTAAGTAGGTATCATATTCTTTTCTTGTCTGCTGCTCTGTCTTCTCTATGCCAAGTGTCGGAACATGAGAGTCTAGAAGAAGTCTGGACTGCTCGGCTGCATGGGAGACCCTGGTGTTGAGAAGCGTACCAGATTGGCGCCTCAGTATTGCGATTGAAGTTTAAATTCTAGCTTGAAAAGTCTCAGTGTGGCAGTGTAGCAGTGCATAAATCGGTGAACATTGTGTTTGGTACTTCACATGTCAAACACCAACTTGGGAACCATGTCCTGGACATCGCGTAACCGCCAAAGTAAGCGATGTTCCGCCGCCTCAACCGTCAGGTTGTATAGCGCACTCACACGTTGGCTTACTACGCCGTACAGACTTTCACTAGACCTGGGCCCCTCTCTTGTGGACGGAACATCAACTGGCACCTCGGAGAGGCAGAGTTCTACCAGATGATGAGAGCAACCCTGCTGCGGGGGATAGGAAAGGCGCGGCAGTTGACGTTGAGCTCTAGAAAATGGACAATAAAGATAACACGATCTCCGCCACATGAAGACGCGGGTTGGCTCAGGCGTACTCATCGCCAAACAGCTCGATACTATCCTCGTATGACGTCGCGACAGCCTCAGAATAGCTGCGGATGATCTCAGCCTCCTTATTGACGCGGAACTGGGTGGTCCACTTCAGATAAAGAGCCTTGAAAGGTCCGGCTCAGCCTCCTCAGCCTCCTGACAAGATGGAGGGGCCAGAGAAAGTATCAGACTCGGCCGAGCCTGTTGTTGACGTGGAAAAGAATTGTGAGAAGAGCAATTGCGACAAGGTCAAAGTGATGACAAACGTAGAAAGGATGCGGCCTGGGTTCTTCGATGGAACGGCTACCCTCACTATAGGAGGCGAAGTGATCCTCATTCCCACGCCGACCGCGGATCCCAGAGGTATGTTAATAATCTGCCTTTGGTTTTGCTTCAATAGCCCAGCTTACATGAACGCAGACCCTCTCAACCTTCCAGAATGGCACAAACAGCTCATAGTAGGCATCGTCGTTTTGTGTAAGTCATCGAAAAATGTTACCGGAGGACAATTCGAGGGAAAAGACTTGGCTTACATGAAATCCGCGCAGATGCAATATCTGGCCTGTGCTTGATCACCGCACTATCTGCACTCATCGTGTTCATCATGCCTGACTATCAACATGATGGAATCACGCCGGATCAGATCTCAAATCTCTTCACATTTCCGAGCCTTTTTCTTGGTATCGGAAACATGGTGTCGATGCCCATCGCCGTCGCCATAGGCCGTCGCCCCGTCATCCTCGCATCCAACGTGCTGCTCTTCTTAGCCGCTGTACTCTGCGCAACGAACCGCAATTACTACTGGCATCTAGGAGGGCGCATGGTCGCATCATTTGCTGCGGCTCAATGTCAGGCCTTGGCTCTGCTCATCATGCAGGTACAGGCTCCTTATATGTTATTTATGGGTTGAAATCTTCTGACTCCATTTCCTTTAGGACATCTACTTCCTCCATCAGCGAGCACGGGTCTTCCAAATATATGCTTCTGCCGAGGTTCTCCTCAACTCCAGCCTAGTGATCGCATCCTCATATATGGCCGATGCGCTAGGATGGAGATCTTGGTACTGGCTCTTCGCAGGTCTTTCGGGCTTGGCCACGGCTCTGACCTTCTTTTTTGTCCCCGAAACCACATATGACCGACCCATTGAGGCTTTCATGGGGAGCCACCCGACTGATAGAAGCAACGTTTTACCTGCAGTGCAGAACACCGGTCCTGATGCCATCAACAGAAGCCGATCTCCCGGGCCCAAGTACGCAACAGTAGATGAGAGGCCAACCGCAGATTTAGAACACTTCAAAGAACGCACCTTTGCCTCAGACCTGCAGATCTTCGTGTACAAACCCACGTGGTCTCGGTGCTGGCTCTGCTTGAAACAAATCGGACAAGTCTTTCTTTTCCCCCACGTTCTCTGGGTTGCCATCAATAACGGATTATTCCAAGGCATCGATGTGTCAATACAGATGACATACGCGGAAGTCCTTGTCAAGCCCCCGTATAATTGGGCCAACTCATCAGTCTCCCTCATCCAACTGGGACAAGTCCTCATTGCATTGCTTTGCGTGCCACTCATAGGATGGCTGAGCGACTACGTCATCCGCTCCTCGGCAAGGCGTAACCATGGTGTACATGAGCCGGAGAAGCGACTTATCGCCTGGATTCTCCCCATGGTGACGGCTATGATCCTGACGGTTCTGTACGGATACGTACTCAAGGACCCAAAGAGGTATCATTGGATGGCCATCGTCTCTGTCGTTGACGGCTATCTCATCGTATTGATGGGGGTCAGTACAGTTGGGACGGCGTATCTCATCGATAGTCACCCGAATTTTGCGGGCGCCATTCTCGTTGCACTGCCGGTGACGCGTGGGCTAGTGGGCTTTGGGCTCAGCAAACATACAACGACGTATATCTCCAACATCGGGCCTGTCAGAACTTTCGGGATCTACGCGTCTGTTAGTGCAGCATTTTGCTTGCTGGGAATTGTACTGTTCTTCAAAGGAAAGAAGGTCAGAAGACTGTGTGCTCAGATGACGCAGTGATTTCATGTCCTCGATGCGACAGGGGGTCCAATAGTAGAAGGTTCAGGCTTATCTCGTACAGAGGTGTTCGATACTTCATGCACATTTCTTGATTTTGCTTCAGAGGGCCTAGATGACAAATCTTCTTTGAATCCTTGCTTAAAGCTATGGAAATCCAAGGATTGTAAGGAGCTGTTTCCCTCCTTGTCACATATGTTGATTGAGTTCGGATAGGAATTGCCTCATCGTTAGTGAGCCATCGCAGCAGGCGTTAACGTTACTGGATACTAGTGGAATCATCAAAAGTGTGGATGGGATCTGATATGGAAGAAGTCAAAGTCCTTGATTCTGTGATGGCGGGCCTTCGCACTCCTGGAATATGAGCCCCTGAAGATCCTGGCCCAAGGATAATGAACCTCAGAACATATGCGTAGCGATAACTTTCTCTTGTTCCATGTTCCCTATCGTTTTCCCCGTTGACCGCATCTCAACGTGTGGACTCTTTCCTCTTTAGGAAGTCGTCGGAGCAGGAGGAGTAGCAGGAGCAGGTGAAGCCGACGCGGCCGGCGAGGCTGAGGCAACGGGAGTAGTTGACAGAGAAGGGGAAGCAAACGCCGGAGGCTCGGCGACAACAGGTATGATGTCTCGTCCATCGGAATCAACCACAACGATCAACTTGAGGCCCGTAGGTCCACAAACCCACTCCAGCATTCCAGTCAGTGCCGCCTCGGCGATTCCATCCAACCGAGCCTCTCTCACAACGTCCGACACCACAGGTCGACCACCACCAGTGCTGAAATTGGGCAAGTTGACATTGACGAAGCCAAGCTGGGCACCCCCCATCATCCAAGTATGCTGTCCAGCGGGAATGATGGCCGGAGAAGGCGGCATCATGGGGAGATGGCCCGGATTGCCGTAAGAGTGAAGGTAATTCACGCCGCCAGAATAAGTCATGGCCAGGGGCATGGCGGGTTCCATCATCTGAGGCTGCGGTTGCTGAAAGAGCGTGGGGTAGCCGGCGTTGAAGATCATCAGCAGAGGAGGCTGCCATATGGGCAACGTGACTGAGGTGGCTGGGTTGGCACTGCCGGGGATGGACATGACGCGGCCGTGCCTCGTCCAGTACAGCGTGATCTGGGCCTCAACGATAGGGTCGGCGCGACCGAGGCGCGTCATCGAGTCGCGAATGAGTGACAGGATTTGGGCCTTGGTGCCGGTTGGATGGAGACGGAGATGAAAGCTGCGGCTCCACGGTGGCGCGCCAGTGGTTGGAATCGAGTAGATATGAGTCTCTAGGACGAGTGTGGTTTCTGCCATGGCTGCTGGCTCTGTCGTCTCCAAGATGGTCAGCATATTTCTTCTTATCTTTTCTCACTTCTGCCGAAGCCGAGAGCTTCAGAGCTCAAAATACTCTGAGACTTACCCACAAACGAAATACCCCTATTTTTCATCAAGATTGTGTTATGTGTAGAGGGGAAACAGCTGAAATTATGGTTGCCTTGGAAGTTTGAACAACTTAAAATAGCTAGGTAAAGAAACGAGAAGGTACTGTCAGAGAAAGTTACCAGTGAGTTGCGTCTATACAATATGCGAATAAAGAGATCTTTGGTGCGGTGATGTGATTCGCATCTTGGCTTTGCGGTGTATGATCCGCTCCAAGACTCTAAGACGATTTCAATGATTCACTGATCGTACGGAAATTGCAAGACCTAAAAGATGAAAATAGCCAAGAGGATGTGAACATGTGTCTTCTGATACAAGCCATACCTGATTTGGGCGTTCATTAATGGTGCCGAGGAAAGTTGGCTGGGTTTTGTTGCAGTTACTGGATGGCCTCCTGCTCTCATTATGCTTGACAAACAAGTGGCGGGTGAAAGAAAGCGAATACTGACGTTTGCCGCTCGCCAAGTTGGTGTTCCCTGCTTCGAGTAAGTGAACCGAGTATTCAGCTCTAACTAGATAGACGGTCATCAACCCTCCACTAGGTCCGCTTCTGAAGACTATGTAGTCGTATTCATCTACCGCTTTTGTTCTTATTGTCGGGGCGGCGTTGTCAACAAGATAGGAGAGTAGAAGATCAAAGGGAAGCATCCCACGAGCCTTGCTAGAGGCCTACGGTACATGGATTGGCAGCAGCATCGTGCAGCGTGGGTCTTTTATCAACTAAGTCAATAGAAGAATTTGCCAGTCTTCCAGGTAGTCCTCACTAAAAAGAGGCCTGACGCCTTTTTACATGATTTGGAGGAAGACTGATGCAGCGTTTGCAGCAAGCTTGCTTTGGCAACACCTCCAAGGCCTCATCAAACAATCAGGGCTGCCTCCAAAGTAAAGCACTCTTTTCATTGGGCGATTCGCAGACATCAAGGGGGTGTAATACGACGAAGCGAATCAGAGAATCATGATGTCTCAGGAAGGAGCATGCCAAAGTCAAAGCCCAGCCGTTGTCACCACCCGGCATATATATGCCTATGTCTTCTTCGGCCTGGAACCTGGTGTGGGTAATCAGCTATTAGATTGGTTAATGCGGCGCAGCCTGTGACATCACGCAGCATGACGATGAAGTAAAACCGTTGAAGACCGTTGTAGAAAGTCTTGCTTCGAAAGAGCTTACTTAATTCTTAGATAAATAGGGTGTAAATCTCCAGGCTGAAGTACGGTGCCAGTTATTTGAAACAAATTTTTGGATTGTCATATCAGCCAACTAAATACCCGCTCTTACTTCTTCTGAACCGGTGACTCTAATTCTCCTGAACGAGACAGTGAAGATTGATTAGCCAGACTACTCGCAGCAGTTGACTGTCGACGAGACATTTGTCTTCCGCCCACGGCTTCGTGCTTGCAGCATACGTGACTCGACGTCGTAGTGACCAGCCATTGAGAGCAATGGCCTATCGGTTCTTGCCGGAAAGCTTGAATCTCCCTGGCAAATGAGAATTATCCCTCTGGCTAGAATTAATGCAGCTTTATTACTGATGAAGTTATGATAAGCGTTGAAATCCTCGACACTGAGATCGGATGGTGTTGTTCGGCAAGAGGTGGTAGTTTGGCAAGCCTACGGAACTTCTGTCAAAAGTAGACAATAACAGCCTATAAAGCAGAATTCGAATAGGACTGCAATAGAATATACTGTGCGATATTGCAATAAGTCGAAGCCAAAGTAGTCACGGCGGAGATGGACAAGCATTGAAGTGGATGCTCACCCAAAGGGTACTGTGAAAAAGCAGCTGAGTCAGCAAATCACCTTACTCAGCAGCCTTCACTCCCTCCGCAAGATTGTTGACATAGCAACGTGCTGCATAAACACCAAGATTACGGCCACAACCAATTTATCCCACCATTGCCTGCTTTGTAGCCTATCCTACCGCACGTCACATGCGATCGCGATACACAGTATCTGGCCGTCCACTGCTGTGACTTCCAACAATCGAACTCAAGGTCGCAACCCAGAGAAATCACTCATCATGTCTTCCGTATTTCGAGAATCGTCGCTGTCCGCCAGCATCAACCGTCAATCGCTAATGGCGACCCCGTCAGTCGCCGAGACGCTGCCGAACGCGAACTTTGGTTTTGAAGAGCTTCGCGATCGCATGAGCAAGTTCACCTCAAAGTTCGATGCCTTTATTGAACAGGGTCGCAAGCGCGTGTTGGAGGAGCGAAATGAATTTCGCATGAACGTGGCAGAACTACAAGGTACGCTGGGGGGCGGTGGATCAACTCGCGACGTTGCGGATAGAAAATGCTAATGTGCCACAGAGGACCAGCGCATGAAGAAAAAGGACATTGAGATCTTGCAACTCAAGACGAGCACCCATCAACAGACCGTTGCCAAGGAAAAGGCCGAGACGCGCGAGATGCAAGCGTCGATCGCGCAGCTATCGGAAGAACGCGACAAGCACCTGGCGACACGGGATGCCCTCAAGAAACAAATCGAGGAGACACAAAGGGAGATTGATGCCCGGCTGGCAGCGCAGCGGGCGCACATGAAGCAGCTCGAGGCGCAGTCGCGCTTCAACGTACCAGAACTTGAGTTTTGGCAGCAGAACCTCGGACTACGGATAGAAGGCGCGGGCAAGGACGATCGGCTCAAGTTCATCTACACATACGTCGACGACCAGGACTGGGAGAGGGAAGCGTGGTTCGAGCTCAACACGGCGAGCCGAGACTACGATATACGGCACTGCCGGCCCAAGCTAGAGCGGGAGCGTGTAGAGCGGGTGCTGGACCAGCTCAACGAAACAAGGGAACTGGCGGTGTTGCTCAAGGGCATGCGAGAGTTATTTGTGGAGGCGATGAAGACTTGATTCGGGAAGCTCTGGCTGGTGGAGTTTCTTGGCTCTGTTTACACTAACGATGAGGTCGATGATCACGATGGCAGTTTGTTTCTTCTTTTCAATGGATACCCATATTGGCGCAGGTCAACTACTCGTAGGCAGCATGAACAGTCTCGAAGCAGCAGTGCATGTGATTATTTTGCGAGTCTGATATGCACTTGTCGTTATCGGTTTTCAGGGTCTCTTTGTCCCATCAACATGTGAAATCTGGAGAAAGGATACGAGCACGGTATTGAGGCTTATGGTGGCGCATGCATGGCAGGCCGTAGCAGAGCTCCCCTGAGTCCGGGCCTAGAATCCAGACCGTCGGAGCATTGCAAATTTCAAGGCGATCACAAGTTGCATACATCGGACGAATCTGTGCATCATGCAAGAGCCCCCATGCCTCGAGTTAGTCAGTCCGATGCATGCCCGACAACTCAAGCATCGATATCCATGACTTGTGCAATTCCGGCCAAAGTCTAACTCTGCAGCAGGCCAGCCTCTCCGACGGCAGCTACGAACTCCATTCCATTAATGAATAAAACATCCTTTTAAGGTTCCCCCCCCCACCCCTCCCCTACTCTTCTTCTCGCTCTTCGGGTTTCCGAACAAAAGAAACCGAACTCAAGGAATCCTTCAATAGAGCTGCATCCGGCCGTCGAGCCTTTTGAGCCACAACAAACACATCGAGTCCAGATTCCAGACTTTCACCCCAGAACCTACTTACTGTGTACGTACGAATATAGTACAAAGACGTCCCACCACATTGTCCGGCAGAAATGCCCGAGGCTAGCTCCAACCTGCAAAGTCTACCGAGCCACTCATGACTCGGGATCTTGGCCCTCCGAAGCCGTCTGGTGGTCTCTGAATGATTCATTATCTCCCTCCCATTCGCCTGTTCCTGTCCCTGCCAGGCACAACCTACCCGATCCCCGACAGAAAAATAATCGTACTATTACCCCCTTCCTCGTACCACCCAAAATTGTACTGCCCAGAGCTCCGCTGTCGCTGCGTTGCTTGTCCCAGGACGCCTTTATTCTGCCGCACCCCTTGTGCTAGCAGAACGAGACGAGACTGGAGCGGCAAACGGCGATTACTGCAACGGGCTCCCCCGGAAAAAGGCCCCGAAAGCAAACAAGGGGGCCGGTCGCAAGAGTAACCAGCAAGGGGCCCGACCATCACCTTCCCAATCCCGTATCCCACTTCTGTCTGATCCCCACGCTTGCGGTTGACCTATGCCTCTCGGCCGCTGCCGCTCGATCACGGGCAGCACCGGCTTTCTGACCGAGCCGAGTCTGACCTGAGCTGGACCGGCGACCCGGAGGTGACGCGGCACCCACCACCATACCCCCTTCCCTGCCCACTGCCGTACCGCCCCCGCCCCCGAGCCGGCCTCCTGACTACCCATGGCCTCCGATGCCGCAAATCACCCAAGTCCCGCCGGCTCCGTGGCTTCATCGGTGACCCCTGGCTTGAATTACAGTAATAAGCGTAATGCTCCGGACTACCCAAGCCCGGCTGGTACCGGGAATGCCGACGCGCTCACTCCGGTCGGGGCCGGGGCCGGGACATCGCCCGCTTCTCAACCACCCGGTGATTCGAACAAGAAACGCCGTGTCGGTCCTGGCTCTAGGGGCGTCGCCAACCTGACGCCGGAGCAACTGGCCAAGAAGCGCGCCAACGGTGAGCACAACTGCCCTTGCTCACACACCCCATCACGCCTCACTGCACACCTTGGCTCTCTGCATCCGTGATTCTCACTCATGTCGACATCACAACCGGCACCTCTCAACCCAAGCGCTCGCTATGTCCCATGCTCCCCTGTACCTACCTACCCTCATACCTCTTTCTCCACAACATTGACAGGCTCCCTCCCACCTCGATGACGACCACCCCGCTAACCGAAGATCTCATCGCCCACGATCAGACAGGGAAGCTCAGCGAGCCATCCGCGAGCGCACAAAGAAACAGATCGAGACTCTGGAGCGCCGTATCCAGGAGCTGACCTCGCAGCAGCCCTATCAGGACCTGCAGGCGGTCGAGAGAGCCAAAGAGGCCGTCGAGGCCGAGAACGCGGACCTGAAGCGCCGTCTGGCCGCCTTCATCGCCTCCATCCAGCCGCTCATCTCTGCTTCTCCACCGAATCAACGTAAGTCGTCGTCGTCATCACACCTCGGGGGAACCAGTCATGCTCAGAGGGACGTGTCCTAACTAGACCCAACAGCAGCGCCGCCCCCGCCGGCGCCGGCAGCAGACCCTCACCCTGCCGTCTTCCCGTCTCCCAGCGGCAGCTATTCGCACTTCCACCAGCCCAACGGGCCCGTCTCAGCGCACAATGCGTCGACGCCCAACAGCTCGGCCTCGCCCGCCTCCATCGACCCGACTGCCGGGTGGCATACGACGCCCAACGGTGGTGGTGGCGGCGTCGTCCCGGACCTGTCTCCCCCGAATCACTTGTACGTCGCGAGCAAGATGCTCGACCAGCAGCGGCAGGGCCTCCGCCACGGCCTCGACCTCGGCCCAGAGAGACTAGGCCTGGACTTCCTCCTGGACCAGAACGCACGCGTCAGCAAGATCCAGAGCGGGGTCAACGGTGCCCAAGACACAGGGCAGTACAACCACGTCCCCATGAAGCACGACTGGACCGGCGTCGGTCCCGTCCAACACAGCCGGAGCTCGTCGCTCAGCGGGCCGACCGTCCACACCCCGCGGTCACAAGCGGACTACCCCCAGCAGCAGCAGCAGCAGCAGCAACCTTCGTCCGTGCCCCCCGAGTCGAGAGCCCCGGGCCACTACACAGCCGAGGTCAGGAACTGTGGCCCGACCTGCCCCCTCGATAGCCTCCTCCTCGACTTCCTCCACGAGCGTCGCCAACGCGCAGCCGAGGGCCTCCCACCCCACGAGATCATCGGCCCGCGCTACCCCTCCGTCCTCTCCCTCCTCAACCCAGCCAACAGCAAGTTCTCCCACCCGCTCTCCAAAGTCTTCACCGACATCCTCGCCACCTTCCCGGACCTCTCGGCCCTGCCCCAGCGCGTCGCCGTCCTCTACATCATGTTCCTCATCATGCGCTGGCAAATCTCCCCCACCGAGGAGAACTACGAACGCCTCCCCGACTGGGCCCGGCCTCTTCCCTCCCAGCTCTCTACCGAGCACCCGGCCTGGATCGACCACGTCCCGTTCCCCGCCATGCGTGACAAGCTGTGCCGCGAATACAACCCGCGCGACTACCTCTTTGACAACTTTTTCGTGCCCTTCACCACCACGCTGAGCCTCAATTGGCCGTACGAGGAGACGGATACGCTGCTGCAGGTGCCGGACTCGGACGAGGTGCTCATCAATCCCGTCTTTGAGCGGCACCTGTCGAGGCTGGAGAACTGGACCCTCGGTCAGGCTTTCAACCAGACGTTTCCCAAGCTCAGGGACACGTATAATCTCAAGGGGTGAGTTCCGCTTCGGCGGCTCACCCCATTGTGTGTGTGGTCTAGCGCAAATCCATGGGATGACGAAAGGAACGCCCCTCATTCTGAGGCCATCGTCTCTTTCTCTCTGCACTTCAGTCGGTATATAAGATTCCTCAGGGCATTCAAGGGGTTAGTTTTTGTTTTTCTTTGTGTATTTTTTTCGGTGGGGCGTTCATGTGAGTATATATCATTCATACGGCGTATCTGTTGACTCCAAGAGGTCATCACGAGTAAGGGAATATGGCTTGGCTTCTTGTATTCACCAAGAATTAAGGTCACGACAGAAGAGGTTGTGAGGTTCAGGCGGCGCATGGGATTGGACAACACTTTACGGCATTATCATCTATGCGTCCATAATTAAGGGTCTAGGAAGACGGATATCAACCGGTGCCTTGCCCTTCATTATGTTGACAATACTGGTGCAACAATACATCAATGACTTGAGAACAGTATTACTCCTTTCCCCGTCGCTAGCCATTCCGTACAGCAGTTGGTGCTTTGCCACTGAGAATGTGCGTTCTCTGCCCCTGTCTCTGGACGGCCGGGGAGGAGAAATTTAAGCATCCCTTTTTCCCCACCGTGGTGAGGTCGAGGTATATCTACGCTGGCAAATGATCGCCGCTGACTTCACCTATCGGTACGAATAATTCAAGCGTCCGTCCATGAGCTCTATTCAAAAGTGTTCTCATTTACTGCCCTGATGCCGACGCTGCAAATATGGTAGCCAAGTGAGCGTAGAAAACTCGAGTTTATTATCCAAATACTCCTCCTCCTCATATCCTTCAACATTCATCATCCGCCCCTACAGCCCCAATCGAAAACATCTTCAGATTCGGCCCAACACCAGCAAACAAACTCGCGTGTCTCCGCCCAGGCATCCTCCGAAACTGCAAACTCTTGACCGGCGTCCTCGCCCCGACGGCATCCACCGCGGCACACCGCAGCCTCCGCCCGGAGAGCAGCGAGTACATGCCTACGCCGCCGTCGTCGTGAGCGGCGGCGACGACGCCCGAGGCCGCGTCAACGTCCCACCCAAAGTGCATGTGCGCCTTGTTCCGGTACCCCGGAAACTCCACGACCGGCCGCGCGCCGTTTGGCTTTTTCTTGCGGTACCGAATGTCGTAGAGCGCCATCCTCGACCGGGGCCCCGCGGCGAGGAACTGGTGCGGGTTGACGGCCCTCAGGTGCGCAGCGGGCCCGACGGGGATGTTGTCCCACTCGGACCACTTGACGCGCAGATCAATCATCCTGACGTCGCGGTTGCGGCCGCCGGCGAGGAGGACGTTGGGGTTAGAGGGCAGAAAGGTCTGGTCAAAGAAGTCGCCCTCGGCAGGGCCGGGGCGCGGGCGTGGCGGGCCGAGCCAGTGGATGCGCTCGTCGGATGTGAGTTTGAGAAGGCCGTAGGATGTGCCGATGATGCAAGTCAGGGAGGAGGAAGAGGGCGGTGCGGGCGTCGTCTGGTTGACGACGCCTTCGTGGCGGCCTGTGTTGAAGGAAATGTGACGGAGATTGTTCGCTTAGAAGTGGTCTGCGTTAGAAAGAAAGGGGGTCATTTATGGGGGAAAGGGGGCTTTACCTCTGTCGAGCAACCAGAGAGGTCTGTCATCGTCAGGAGCGGATTTTGGAGGAGAGAAGAGGTAGATGTCACATGTGTTACTTGGTTCGCGGGATGTGACGATTATACGATGTGAGTGTGGGTGATAGTTAATAGATGAGATCTGGGGACAGCCTATCATTTCGTGGCGGTGGGATAGGCGACGTTCAGGACGGCTCGAGGCATCAGTGCTGAAGGATATTCTGCTGTCGTCAGTCTCTACCCTGACCATGGCGTCCACTAGTCGCTCCTCACCTGTCGTTGTCATCCATGGGAATGTAAGAACCTATCAACGTCTCCTCATCCAAAGCTGTCACAGTCAGACCAAAAACCTAAGGTAGTCACGATTCAGGGGTCCAACTCACTCGCATACGCAACCCCGAGCCCCGTCTTTTCATCATCGCCGCCAACATAAAAACACGGAATATTTGGAAAACTCTGCCTCGCAAAGCTGGGCACGAACGGCACCTCGCCCTTGTCGACGAGCCCCTTGGCCCACGCCACGGCAGGGACGTCCTCAACGCCGAACCCGCCATCAGCACGCAGCCTCCTCTCACGACGCATGCCGAGCTCGACGTCCAAGATCCCGCCGAGGAGAGGGTGCCGCAACGCGGCTGAGCGGACAATGTGCCGCTTCAGCCGCTCCTGACGGGTGGCGACGGCCTCGGCCTCACGGTGCTGGAGCTTCCGGCGCTTGACATTGTCGGCGGACCAAGCGGCGGTTTGCGGTGCCGAGGCGCCCTTTTCGATTTTGAAATATTTACCCTTTGCCTCATCTACGACACGATTTGTTCCGAGTTAGCCGGCCGGTCCGTAGAAGATGCGGTCAAGCGGAGAGACTGAATATTCAAAGGACGTTGTGAGGCTAGGATAAAGCAGTAGAAGGTTCGGGGGGGGGGGGGGGGGGGGGGTGAAAAGGATCCTATAAAAATCCGGGGGTTTTTGCCCCCGGGGGGGGGGTTCGTTGTGGGGTTTTTGCGGGTGGTCCGCCCGCCGGAGTTTGTCGGCGTCCCCCGCGCCGGGGGGGTGGTAAACGCCCCGGTGGCCCAGAGAGGGAAGTGTTGTGGGGTACCGTAGTAATGCCCGGGGATTTGCATCCGCGGCTGAGGTGCCATGGTGGTTGCTGTCCGGGGTTCGGTCCGCCGCGATAGCTTCGCGCTCTCCGGTCCGAGGCGATGGTCAAAGCCCCAGGGGTCCAACAGATGAAAGGTTGAGGTGGTTGGAAGCCAAGAAGCCTCAGAGATTTGGAAGATGGGTTGTCCCAAACGGGAAAAGGATAAAGAAGAAGAATCCACACTAGCTTTGTCTCGACTCGAAATGAAGACAAGCAAAGAAGACTTGGGGCACAGTCAAACTGACTATCCAAGAGCACTGTGGACAGTCTCCTGCTTGCGGGATGGTGTGCTCTGCCGTGGCGGGAGTGGGTGTAAGTGTCAATCTGCACGTGTGTTTTTGGTTGGGGGGAGGGGGGCGGGGGGGGGGGGGGGGGGGGGGGGGGGGGGGGGGTGGGGGGGGGGGGGGGGGGGGGGGGGGGGGGTGGGGGGGGGGGGGGGGGGGGTGGGGGTGGGGGGGGGGGGGGGGGGGGGGGGGGATGTGGAATGGAATCATGGATGAAGCATACATGAGAAACACCAGTACGATGTCGTGTCGCCGTGATGGTGATAACGAGGATTGGATATTGCGAGTGGTGATGGGCGTGTGTAGGTTGGTCAAGGACTGAGATGGCGTCGGTGGCGCCGAGTGAAGCAGTTCCTTTCCGCGACAGAACCAGACGGGATGGGAAAAAAGTATGGGCAAAGTGGGGGGGGGGGGGGGGGGGGGGGGGGGGGGGGGGGGGGGGGGGGGGGGGCGGTGGCGGGGGGGGAGGGAGAGGGGGGGGGGGGGAAGGGGGGGGGGGGGGGGGGGGGGGGGGGGGGGAGGGGGTGCGTTTGTCGTCCCTGGGTGGTCGGCGCCGGAGCCGGCATTGGCAACCCACTTCCACGGTGAATGGCCGTTCCCCCGTGGCCCCTTACGAGGACAGCGTCGTTGGTGTGTCACACCGCATGATAAAGGCCACTAACCTCGCTGAATCTGCGGCGTAATCACTGAAGCACTGAAGCTTAGGCGCCAAATGCCACCCGACTCGACACCCCACCCTCCTAAATGCCGTGTACGTGTACGAGGGGGATCGGGGAACCGGAGGGCCGACACTCTCATCAACCTCCACCACTTTCAAGTAGCGCATCTAGAAAAAGGGCAGAAATTTACAGCGAGACTCAACGCTAAGTTAGTTCGATACTGGGATCTCGCTGCGGCTGAATCGATGACTTGGCAATCCTTCTCACAACAAGGATACCAAAGTAGAGTCCAAAGTTTCAGCAGAAGCAAAAGCTTGGCCATCCTATCCGCGTCTGGTGCCGGACTACCGTGACCTACGCGGCTGTTCCGATGAAAGAAGAGAGTTTGCCCCCCATATAATCCCAATCCAGCTGGCTAGGCACCCATCCACCTAGCTGCCGTGTAAGTTGTTGTAGTTCAGTGCTGGCAAAAGTCTGACAACGGCTTCGACGGAGGTCATGCCTGGCTGGGCCTGCTCTGCAAGTAGCCTTTCCTAGACTCTATCGAAAGGGACGAGGAAACGGTCGTCGAGGGGAATTCCATTAGCCATGGCTGGAATGTCTCAATAGCCAGGTTTACAACGGGCATCAAGATTGTGTCGGATCCCAACCTCCGTAACCGTGAACTCCCATTGACGTTATATCCATCTGGACCATCGTGAAGTTGCCAAAAAACCTCAACAACCGAGACCCAGTGAAGGCTTCTCTCCTCGCTTCCTCCCTTACCCCGGAAACAAGCAATTCTTAATACAGCTATCAGACCAAGACTCCCAAATTTCACGCGCATACCTTACTCTCCCGCTGAACCCAGTCCGATCTCCGCTTTCTCGTGATAACCGGTCGTACCAAGACGAAGACGCTCTCCACTCTGAGCCCCGTCAGCTCCAGCTCCAGCTGCCCCTCCAAAACCTTGCCCCTCCAACCCCTCACCTCCCAAATCCAGACAGCTAGCTATCTTGGAAGCTTTCCCCCCCCCCCCCCCCCCCCCCCCCCCCCCCCCCCCCCCCCCCCCCCCCCCCCCCCCCCCCCCCCCCACCCCCCCCCCCCCCCCCCCCCACCCCCAAATCCGACGCTAGCTATCTGGAAGCTTTCCCCCCCCCCCCCCCCCCTTCCCTCCCTCTCTCCCTCCAACATCACCACCAGCTCGAAACCCCTTCAAACCATCACCTCCCCTCGACAATCTTCACCGAATACCTCCCATCTCTCTCTCGGAAACTTTTGCCAATCCAATCCCACCAGAAACTCATCCCAAGATGGTCTACACACTTACCGTCCACCTCCACGCAAATGACCACCCTGACTCGGTCGAACGCATCAAGGCCAAGCTCATCGAGGCCTCGCGCGTCTACTCAAAGGACCGCGAGACCGTCAGCTGGTTCGTCATGCAGGACGTCCACGACCCCAGGTCCTTCACCATTGTCGAGCGCTTTGAGACCGAATATGTAAGCCACACCACAAACTTCCCCAGTTGGGAACGCGCGTACACGCACAAACGCACACAAGCATCGCAAATGCATTCGTATCCAGCCGCTCCCCACACGTCCTGCCTCGGCACCTGACAGATTGCTGACCCGTTATTCCCCCGTGTAGAGCCAAAAGTACCATCTCGAGAACCCCTACTGGAAGACCTTTGATCCCTACGTTGTGCCATTGCTCGACCGCCCCATGGACCTGAGAAGACACGAAGAGCTGGATACCTCAAAGGATGTTGTTGTGCCTCAGTAAACCACGTGACTAGATAATTCAGATAATTGCTCCCGCAAATCTTTACTACTCTACAGTGACACATATATGTCTATATAGCGCGAAGGTTACGCCGACTCGTTCGTGTGTGCTTCGTCGCGGGATGGGCAGCAGACAATTTCTCAAGGACATCTGTACCGGAGTCCGGCGTATTCATTGCACGTTGACACTGAGTAGAGGCACATACATGTAGTTAACGTATTTTACGATTTGTATTAGGTCTATCAGCGCACTAGGGTATTCCCCTCCTCTCTCTCTCTCTCTCTCTCTCTCTCTCTCTCAACGAAATCACAGTAATTACCGATGAAGTTCATCATACAATTTTAAACATAGAGAAAGATGAATTTCGTGGGCATTAGTCCACATCTCCTCCGGTCTCAGTAGGGGCCAGAGTCAATCAGGCCCAGGGAGATCATCCCGCGAAGTCGATGGAGCTTTGTCACGGCGCGATTAGCGTCGTAGTCAAGCCCGACTCTGCCGAGAGATTCCTCTTTACTGCGACTTCTCGTGCTGAGTGGAGACACGCTGGAGAGAGACGACTGGTGAAACGGTTAGCCGCTGTTCCGAAACAAGCCACATATTGTGGAGTAGATTGGGGAATGTAAAACTTACCAAAGTCCTCGAGCGAGCGCTGCTTCTGGTTGCCCTTGGGGGACTTGCCGTGCATGAGGTTGTCGAAGCCGGTGCTGTCCTGAAGCATGTAGTATACACCAGCGCAGACGCAGAAGACACCGAAGGAGAAAATCCAGATACGGACGACGGCGACAATGGAGGTCTGTTGACCACCCTCGAAGAAACCCCAGATACAGAAGCAGGTGGCGAGAATGTCGACGACCAAGATGGCGCCAGACAGCTGCCACGAGGGGATGGAGGACCAGAAGGGGCCGTTGGCACGGGTGATGAAGATGAGCCAGTTCTCAGTGAGGGAGACCTCGAGGAAGACAACCTCGTCGAGGTTACCGAAGTTCTGGATGATACCACCGTTGGGGTGGGCGTACATGGTGGTGACAGTAATCCAGGTACCGACGGCGAGGACGATACCGAGGAGGACGGACATACCCCAGAGCTTGGGCAGGTTCCACTTGACGGGGGACTTGGAGAAAGGCGCGTTGTCGTAGGCAATGGCCAGGGTAGCGATATCGGCGAAAATGGCAATGAAGACGACCAACTCAATGTTCAGGGAGCGGTTGAGAATGGCAATCCACAGACCAAGGTAAATCTCCAAGTGGATGGAAAGGGCGATACGGTAAACGACGTAGGCGTACATGCGGTGGAAAATCTGGCGGGAAGTCTTGAGGGCGTCGATGATGGCACCAAGACCGGGGGCAAGGAAGACAATGTCGGCGGCGGAGCGAGCGGCGTCGGAGGCACCCTCGACGGCGATACCAGTGTCGGCCTTCTTCAGGGAGGGGGCATCGTTCACACCGTCACCAGTCATGGCAACGAGGTAGCCACGTTGCTGCAGAATCTCGACGACATTGTACTTGTGCTGGGGGAAGACCTCGGCGAAACCATCGGCAGCCTCAACGAAATCGTAGACCTCGGAACCGGGCATGTCACCGCCACCACCGAGACCAAGACGCTCCGCGTTGTAGATGTTGGTGCCAAGTCCGAGCTGGCGGGAAGTCTCACGAGCGATACCGACGGCGTCACCAGTCAACATCTTGATGGACAGACCGAGAGACTTGGCCTCGTTGACAGTACGAGCGGTATCGTGACGAGGGGGGTCAGAGCAGGGCATAATTCCAAGAATCTCCCAGGCACCGTGGTCACCACGCTTGCGGGCAACACCGAGAGAGCGGAAACCACGGGTGGCGAACTCGGCAACCTTGTTCTTGTAGGCCTGGTCAATCTCCTCGGGGATCTCGTGGTCCTGCTCAACAGTCTTGAGGACGAAAAGGGGAGCACCCTTGACGCAGGTAATGCGCTCGCCAGCGGGGGACTCGACAATGGCAGTGACCTTCTTGGAGACGGGGTCGAAGGGGAAGAACTCAATGACCTTGTACTTGGACAGGACAGACTTGGCGCGGGGGTAGTAGCGGAGCGACTTCAAGAAAGCCTTGTCAATGGCGTCAATACCCTTCTTCTTGCGGGAAGCAGCCAAGCAAGCGGTAAGCATAAGGTCCTCGGGGTCGACACCGGCGACGGTGTAAGGCTCGGCGAGGGAAAGTTTGTTCTTGGTCAGGGTACCGGTCTTGTCAGAGCAGAGAATCTCGACACCGGCCAGGGACTCAATGGCGGACAGCTTCTGGACAATGGCCTTCTTCTTGGCGAGG